CTAACCCTAACCTAACCTAACCCTAACCCTAACCCTAACCCTAACCCTAACCCTAACCCTAACCCTAACCCTAACCCTAACCCTAACCCTAACCCTAACCCTAACCCTAACCCTAACCCTAACCCTAACCCTAACCCTAACCCTAACCCTAACCCTAACCCTAACCCTAACCCTAACCCTAACCCTAACCCTAACCCTAACCCTAACCCTAACCCTAACCCTAACCCTAACCCTAACCCTAAAATATTAAGGAGTAGTAAATTAAAAGACCTCTAGTAAAATAGTAAAGAAGGCTAATACTAGTTTATAATAAACCTTTTAATAAAGGCTTAGGTAAAGGTATCTAGAAAATAAGTAGGGGAGAGTTATCTTATATTACTAGTAAAACTATAAAGAAAGGTAATCTAATAGACCTCTAGTAAAACTATAATAGTATAGGTATATTATAGTATTATAATCTAGTATTATAGAGTTAAACTACTAGGGATAAGTATAGGTTAATAGTATATACTAATAGGGAAGAGAAGGAGGTTAAAAGTAGGCTTATAGTAAACTAAGTAAGGGGCTATTTTATTAGGGTTAAGGGTATATTTTACTATGATTTTTATATAGGTGAAGAGGGTAAATAGTATTATCCTATACCTAAGGAAGGGCTTATATAGCTTATATATAAGGTAGATATCTTATTCTCCCTCCTATTAGTTCTTCTAATAAAAACCTTATTATATTTTAGATATAAAGTTTAAATACCTAAAATAAATAAACTTAATCTTATATATAAACTTAAATTTAAACTATAAAGTACTATTACTAATATAGAATAACTTTATATAAAAGTATCTTATATATAAACTTAAACTTAAACTATAAAGTACTATTTTTTAAAAAAGATAGCTGTATATAAAAGTATAATATATTATAATATTTCTTTTAAAGAAGTATAACTTTATATAAAGTATAATATATTATAATATTCTTTTAAATAAAGATAGCGTTATATAAAGATATAGTATATTAACCTTAAGTTCTTACCCTAATAATATATCTTAACTATAGATATAACTAGATTATATAGTACCCTTACCTTAATAATAGGAATAGGTATAGTAGAAATTAATATTTATATAGTATATAGCTTATATAGTAACCTAACTTTATCTTAATTAGCTATTTAAAATCTAAGGTTAGAATTTCTAGTAATTTTAACTTACTATTATTAATTTAATAGATATTATATAAAAGTAATATTTAGCTATTAAATACTTTAAGAAATCTAGCTTATTCTTATATAGGTTTTAAAAAGGTATATATATAAAAATATAGAGTTTATTTTACTATATAAAAATAAATAAACTCTACCCTTTATATTTTTTATAGGGAAATATAATATTATATAATTTAAATAAACTCTATATAGAGTTTATTATAGAATAGGTAATAGGGTTAGAATTTCTAGTAACTTTAACTTATTATTATTAATTTAATAGATATTATATAAAGGTAATATTTAGCTATTAAATACTTTTAGAAATCTATTTTATTTTTATATAGGTCTTAAAAGGTATATATATAAAAAATATAGAGTTTATTTTACTATATAAAAATAAATAAACTCTACCCCTATATTTTTATAGAGAAATATAGTACTATATAATTTAAATAAACTCTATATAGAGTTTATTATAGAAGAGGTGATAGGATATAGTTAGTAGTATTATAGATAAAGGACCTTTATATAGCTAAAGAAGTTATCTTAAGCTAGTTAATATAGTTATAAAGGACCTATTCTTCTTCCTAGGTAAGCTGTGAATAGGTTCTAGGCCTCCTAATAGGTGATTTCTATCTATTTACCTAGCCCTAAAGCTAGAAATATAGGATATCGAATACTATAGCTAATTTAGTCAGTGGAAATCTAGTAGAAGGATCATAGCTACTTAGAGCTAACTTGATCTGTTTCTCGATATTTGACATATAATCTACTATATTAGGCACGAAAAACGTGTTTGTGGTTATGATAGTAGGGGGTGATAGATATGTGGTGGAAGTTACAAGTTCGATTTGTTTTAGGGTGGTATTTGTAATAGGGTGGAGAGCACCCCCTGCGGGGTGCGTGGCACGAGGAGAGGGCATGTTTTGCCATGATTTTTGTATGGGCGGAGAGGGCAAACAGCGTCGTCCTGCACCCAAGGTGCGGAATCACCCTCCTCACCTCAATCAGCTTCTTAAGCAAAGGGAAAAACCTCGCCACAAACACTCGATACTTAGGCATCACTAGTTTTCTTTAAAATCATTAGAGCTTAACTAGATTTCTAAAGATTATTAATACTATAAGCTATTCGGCCTTGATCTTATATCATAAATGCTAGATATATATTGAAGAAGAACTGCTACAGCCGGGCACAACGTAAAATAGGGGTGGTCTAATAGTCACCTAACTGCTCTAGCTCTCACTACATCAATATTATCACACTAGACCCAAGAGCCACCAATCAGGGGCCTCTTGATCGCTAGTTTACAATAGAGAGAGGGTAATTAGATATAGTATATATAGGCGAAAAGAGGGAAAAACATCATAATATAGATATAGGAGTTATTAGGGAAAGGAGTATTATTCTTTTAATAAGGAAAAGGCCAGCCTGCCGACCGTTTATAGTAGAGGCTATAGTGTGCCCCTATCGCGAGCCTGCGAGGGAATAAACGAGAATTAAATAAGCGACTAATCTTCCCCTCCCTGAAGGCACTCATATCCCTCATCACAGTATCGAGCCATATATGTCGGAAATCGACAACTACCACAATCTTGAGCATGCTGCCTGCTTCAAAACTTCTAATGTATTGAAGCTTTACTCCTCCGGCTCCCTGAAGTCAAAGACAACATATTCCCCCTGAAGCATGTCCCACAAAACCGTAAAGTCTTCGTCATGGCCAACATCGATATGTATGTTCCGCTCGCTTCGATGGCTCCAGATCTTGTTCTCGTGGTTCAAGGGATACAGGTCGTCGCGCTTCCCCAACACTCTACGTGTCCTCTCCCAGCCGCCAGTATCGACGTCGCGGGTCGTGACGACAGGTCTTGAGTCTGTGTACTCGTAGCTGTCGTAGAATATCCGCAGGAGCTGCTGGTTCCTCAGCATAGAAGCCCGGGGATCCACTCGTCGATGCCGTCCCCATTATATCCCCACCATCATCGATGAAGGTCCGCTGGACCCCCACTGCTTTGTGGTCGTGCTGAATGTAACTGAGACCTGGTGGTGGAGCTCCCAGTCCATCCGGGGGCCGGGGAGGGCAGCCTCATGGGCTCTGAAGACGAAGCGGAAGACTTCATATATGCCCTCGTCGCTGCCATAAGTCCCAGGCCACTGATCCTTCTCAGGCCAGTCGCCATTTTCCTCTCCCACCCTTGACCTCACCTCTTCTAGCTCCGACTCGATAAACTCGCTATCCCGGCCGAGCACAGACTCTATCACCGAATGTATAGTCTTTGAGATGTTATATGTGTAGGTCGCAATGTGTGTGGCGCCGCTGAACTCGCGTACCAGGAAGTAGGTACTATCCGGCTTAGACTCGAGGGTTGAGCCAGCGAGTACGATAAATACCCCATCTGGGTCATATAGGTTAGGGAGGAAGTTAGGTAGATATTGGTTTGGAGGTGGTGAATTATCAGTGTGGGCAAAGCCGCGTAGTTCTGGCGGCATGGAGCTATGGGGGTCGATGACGTAGGTGACCGAGAGGCTAGCCCCATCATGTGAGAATATGTGGATGCTCGACGGGCCAGTAGCTATAAAGGCCTTTTCACCCCAGGTGCGGATACTCAGCCAGTCATTTAGGTTATACTCTCTCGACTTCTTGAATACATGCTTGACGCCAATATTTGTTCCAAGGTGATAGAAGAATCTACACGATAGGTTGAGTATTACGACCTTGACGAGCATGGGGGTTGCAAAGTCAACTTACATATCGAATCCGCCATCTGGCTGATATCCTGTAGCGGGTCCTACCTCGGTAACCAGAAGCGATTTGCCTACGGCACACATCCGCGGAAAAGTTCGGAAGGTGGTAAAGCCCCAGTCGGCTCCTCGTAGAACTTTCCGTTTCCGGGTGTACAAATTGTCAATAAAGATCAACCACATACCATCATTCCACACGATATTCCCTTCACCATAGGCCATGATGAACGGCTCGTCGCTCTCCAAATCGGGGTATTGGTTGTCGGGGTGAAGCTTAGGATCGAGCTCAAAATAGCAGGGAAGCCCGGCCTTCAAGTCGTTCCACGAGTGGTCCACCACAGCGGTGTGTTTCCCGTGCCGCCGGCGAAAGAACTTGCGGCACGCCCTCTGGAAGGCGGCGAAGGTGTGGGGTTTGGGCAGCGTGGGGAAGAATCTGCGGCACAGCGCCGCGACCACGGGCGCCTGGGTCCACGCCACGTGCCACTGGCGAGAGACCTGGGCGCAGGGGAGGAAGTCTTCAAGGGCGAGGTCAGAGGCGATCTCGAGCAGGATTTCGACGGGGAGGTGCCCGGGTCCCATGGGATCTGTTTTGTGCTGCGGATCGGCGGATGTGCTGTCCATCGTTGGCCCTGTAAAGGTACGGATTCGTGCTGGCTTGGGTTTTGGAATATTGGGGGGGTATGAATCGAGTATTGATTGATAGGCGTGGGGAAAATGCGAGAAAAGAATTCGAGCCCGAGACGAATCTAGGAGGGTAATTCCTGGTGAAACTATAGTATAACGAACGCGTGCTAAAATAGCCATAATACAGCTATAGCCCAGGGGAGACATATGACCTGAGGTATGGTGGAGTAGCTCACCTGAGGTTACAGGGATTTATATAAGCAGAAAAACATACCTTATGTAAGATGCAGGACTGCCATTTGCCACGCTATTGATCTTAGAAACACATTAACAGTTGACTTCATGCTGTCTCCCATCTTAAAGAAGAAGAAACAACAGTCCAACCCTTTATCTCGTAGGTGGCGAACGACATGGGCAGCCAATACGCTCTTTCCCGCGCCCGGACGACCGCGTAGCCAAAGGAATGCCGCACAGGACGACTCGGCCCAAGATCTGAAGTATTCTTTGCTGATTAGCCATTCGCGGGAGCCTAGAAGGCCCACATACACTATAAGATCGTCCTCCGGGGCCCCCGAGATAGCCAGAAAACGGCTAAGTGCGGCTTGCTCTTCCTGTGCCATGCTGTGCCTATGGGCTTTGAACTGTTTCCGGTACGGGGCGACTATCTTGGACATGGCGTTCCGCACAGCAATGTAGCAAGGATCACTGCGCGAATCATACATGGCGACATTGCGGTGGTCGGCGTTGAGTAACGTCTTCTGCTCATTGGCAAGATTCATCATGGCACTGGACTTGTCAACGATGAGCTTCTTTGTGGACGCGACCTCCATAGCGATTGACTGATAAAAGATCTCAGTTTCAGATTTCCAGAGAACCGTGGAAATGCGTCGTTAATTTCCTGCGATGTACTCGAGGCGGGAGAGAGTTCTGCAAAAATGCGCGAGAGCCCGACACCAAGCTGATGAGAGTGTTGAGTATCTCCGCAACTGTATTCCCCTGATGGGGCGTAGCCAGAAAAATTATAGACACGACTCGACTGACGACGGATTGAAAGTCCCTATCACCGTGGCCGAGTATATACGCCTTTTTAACGACAAGGCCACCCATGCTATGGGCGACAAACATCAGGGGTGGCTAGAGGGAAACCATAAAGGTCAGCGCTACTGTTCAGCGAACTTGACTATATTTCTACTTTATACCTTCTGGTCCTCATTCATGACGGGCGAGTCTTTAATAGAAGTAAGGAGTGATCGCGCAAAGCCGTGAATACTTAGGACAGACTGACTCGAGAGGAGCGCGGGATACCCGAAAGTGTGTATCCGAACGTGTCGGAACGTATCCTCTGTTGGAAGCCACTCCTTTGGCTAAAATAGAGCAACATTGTTTCCTTTGCTCCATGTGCTTTGTCAGCCCCCGTTTAAGCCGTGAACGAATATTATATCGGCAACAACATCGGCGTTGGGCTCATAAAGTGTGGTGAGCCCCAAGGGGCCTTTCGGATCTTCGTGTCTGCCATCTCCCCCGAGTGATAGTTCGGGAAAAGAACGACCTTGTAGAACTCGCCGTATTCAATCGTGCCAGCTTCCCCTTTTGATCCATGACTGTGCGAGTTGAGTCGTCATGAGTACCCTTTGCTTGCGTCGCGGACAACGAAGTGAATGGGGTTTTGCGTCAACGTAGGGGCTCGCAAATGCCTCGACGAGCCTCGAGAATCGGAAGTGCATGAGACAATCGCGGTTCACGCGGAAAGGGTAAAGAACGGCGGTTCTGGCTTACTCTTGCATAAGCTAGATATTATGACTGTCCTTCCTTTCCCGGCCTTGAGGTCGTTTCCTCCCTACGCAGTCGTCGGGTTCAGCAAAACTACTGAAAAGGCTCTAGCATCCCAAGTGTTATTCCCCCAGAGAACGAAGGGTTCAAGCCCTTCCGAACTTGGCACAAGTATTGTCGCCCCATTCCACTTGGCCTGATTTACCACTCACTTGAAGACCTGATCGCTACGAAAGTACCGGCCAATATGACGGACAAGTCAGTATGGGACCAGGAAATTGCTGTGCCTGGGCAGGTAATTACTTATATTGATCCCGGTGTGCGTGAAAGTAAGTAAAGCATCTTTCTCATTTTGCCTAGTCGCAAGCCGCCGTGTATGCTGCGCGGACTACGAACCTTTTATTTTAATAGAGCTACCTCCGGGAACCGAATTCGGGGAGATACGCCCTAGTGGTGCATCATACTGGGCGCGTACCGCCAAAATTGAAGTCACAGACGTCGAGGGCAATGAAACGCCCTTCTTCATCAAGGTCTGAAAATAGGTCTATCAATTCGATTATGGCAAGAATATGGGTTTTGCCGAATTTGAAGCTATGAAAACTCTGTATAATGTTGTACCGGAGATGGTTGCGGAACTCCTTGCCTGAGGTTCCTACAAGGATACATATGATACCTACTTCTTCGTGTCCCGATATTGCGAAATGTCGGAGGATATACCCAGTTTGTCGGACTTCCCAAAGTTAGTAGCTAAGCTTCATAGAAAAGGAGTTTCTAAGACGGGCGAATTTGGGTTTCCTACGACGACCTACGGTGGCCGGAACCCACAATTCTTTCCCGTCACAAAAAGCTGGGAAGAAACCTGTTCTAGGGGCCTAGAAGCAATCTTTGATATGGAAGAAAAGTCCCACGGCCGGATGAAGAGATGAAGCGACTTCGTAACGGTCTCATGACCAAAGTCATTCCTCGCCTATTCTGGGCGTTACAGAGCGATGGTCGCGTATTGACCCCAACACTCGTGCATGGGGATCTCTGGGACGGGAATGCCTCCATTGATGTCAACACCGGACTCCCGATGATATTTGATGCCACACCTCTATATGCTCATAATGAGTGTATGTAACTGCCCCGGAGCTTTTGCTAGTGTCATAACAGGTTAGGACTAACGAGTATCCTCGGCCGCAGACGAACTAGGGCCTTGGTGGGCACCGTGTCATAAAATGACTAGGGCCTACATTGATGAGTACTTTAAGCATTTCCCGTGGCTGAACCCGTAGAGGACTATAAGGACCGGGGTGCGCTGTATGGATTGTAAGGCACACCGTGATTCAAATCATCCGGAATCTATAGATGGATTCTTCAACTAATTCCGCTTTAGGAGATTCGACCTTCATGCCTGCTCGTTATACCCGGGCAATCTCAGACACCGTATAATGTTAGTACCTCTAGTCTATGATAGAAAACACTATGTGCTATCTAACATAAACTTTCAGTGTTATAAACACTATGAGAAAGCTCTTACACAGGTACGCGCCCGGGCTTGAGGGAAATAACCTGGAGAAGGTATTTGCTCCGGTTCCTATAGTGGCTTAGCACTGTATAAGGAATATTCGTCATGCTTCCAGGGACTTGGAGAGCTCCCCGTAGACACTTTACGGTATCCTGCGTTAGCATAGTGATACCTAGTGTGGTTGATATAAATACGATTTTACAACTCTTCAAGTTAAGGTTTAAGGCCGCAGAGCAGACTTTACATATACGTACGTCCCAGCTAGAACTGAGTTCTAATTAGCAGTTCCCTTATGAAAGAGTATATCTTTCCTATTTTTATCTCTATGAGTATCTATATTATATTATATTAGCTGAGTTCTTTTAAAATTTAGTTCTGTTGAGCGAGCATCAGCTCTGAGGGCGGAACCGGGGTCCCACAGCCCATTTCCACCGAAACCGAGTCCTTCCTCATGCCCGCCTCCGCACCTTTTCGGCTTAATTTTAGATTAGTCCCTTAATTCCGTCAAGCTAGGGCACCTTGAATTAGAGCCTGGAGACGGTTTAGTTTGACTAGCTATATCTAAATATAATCACTATAAAGCTAGTTGTATTTTAAGATCCTCTCAAGGCTATGAACTATACTATAGATATCTAGATAGTGCATTTATATTAAACAGTTCGTAATGTTCGTATTCGCTGTTCGGATCCTTCTAATAGATCTGTTTTCTATATAGAAATTCCTACCCCTTTTATATATGATATTTGTGAGATATTTACATGATCGGTCTTCGATCGCTCCGGTTGGATGTAAAGGTAAACGCCATCCGGATATGGACTCGGCATGAAACGTCTTCCGAATTCTACATTATATTAGATATGAAGTCCATTTACTTCCTATTAGCTTTCAGGGAGCTAAATTGATACTATAAAACACGTCTAATACTATATTAAAAGTTTCCTATAGTTATAACTATAAAGAGTTAGTATTCACAAACGGCTTTAGTTTCCATTTAAATAAATATGAAGCCCTAAATTGCCTTAGAAGGATCTAAACATAGTGTCCAGGTTAAAGAGAAGTCAATTCATACGCTTCATCTAACATCTAGAGGGCACTAGAAACTGAGGAGGTACCTAGGGCTATACTTTAGATAACGCTCCTCAACCTCCAAGACCCTAAGAAATGCAATGGAGGATCTTATAGACTACTTTGTAAATAATCAACAAGGGCATTAGAGTTGGGGGTCGACCGAGGAAGTCAGCCAGCATCTTAAGCTCATCGCCATAAGCCCCTCCATGCTCGAGAATACCCCGACGGTATCTCTCCCAAGCGTCCCGGTTATGGGGTCATTCGCAAACACAAACCGAAACACATCAATAGCCCAAACATGGGCACTGTTATTGTCAGTATAGAGTGCAAAGGATATGATAGATTAGGAGAGGTCTAGTTAGTGTCTTACGTTAAATATCCATAGTATCCTGCGTCATACCCTGCTAGAAGATGACCAAAAGTGGCATGTTCATGTCCTTCTAATCTCGATTCACTCATATCTAACCCCTCGATCCGCTCTCGGAGGTCATACCAGAGCTCTTTGATATCTAGATTTTCAATCTCGTAGTGTGTCATAGGACTGTGGACAGTCATATCGAAAATTGAAATAACTCTAAAATCGCACTGTCATATTAGCTACTAGTTCGGTTCTATAAGGATACTAGCGACTTACAGTTGGTGGAGGTACCACATTGTTAGATTGAGCTTGCGTCCTTTAATAAGATTCTCGAGTAAATGATCAGGAATCTGACTTGGCGGATCTTCATCATTAGGGTGCTTATCGCGCCAGTGCTCTAGTGCTTGGGGGTTTAGCTTGGAGAAATGACAGCTTAACCTTTGAAGAACATCTTTCATCCAACACCAGTTCTCAAGCATGACGCTTGGCATCTCCACGAAGTCAGGAGGCAGACTCGTCCCATGGAATTGAGCATGTTTAGTCCTTGAGAGTAAGTTATGAATGCCATGACCAAGCTCTTTTTGATAGTATTAGCTGCTTCTACTGTTCAGCATCTAGGTTTTATCGGGACACATACCGTGAAATAGAGTAACAACTTCCTCGTGCTTGAGAAGTGTACCCCTGCCTATAATAGGAGATGGAAAAGAACACATTAAAATGGTAGAAGGAAATTTCCTAGTGCCGTTCGGTTCTAGATATCCCTACGTAATTAATTCTCGTTAATAAAGCTTAAACTAAATCTTGAATTCGATAATCAAAGATACACATACATTCTCGATAGTGACGTTCTGGCAGCCTTGGTACTTATTCTCTCGCCAAATGAGATCAAAGTAAAGGTAACCGACAAAGTTCGATTCCTTACTCTTCTCCCACACAGACCAAACTTGTACATTCTCATGCCAGATGAGCGTACTGTCGAGCTGGTCCTGTGAAATTGGAGAAAAATGGAGATTAAGGAGCTCTGCAAAAGTTCTAGCATCGCTGGGGCTGTATACTCAAGGGGAAAGAACTCGGAAATCTTATAGCGGTCGATGTCAAGCTCCTCCTCAGCTAAACGTTGGTAAAACTTCAGATCCCAGGGTTGGAATTTATCGTCATTCTCTAAAGTTATTCCTTGGTTTTGGAGATGTTTCCTTCGTCGACTTTTAAGAAGATCCAGCTCTTCAGTCCCATGGAGAGCAAGATCCTCTTGAAGTTTGTATAAGAACGTCTGGACCCAATCAACAGACTTCGCCGCCCGACGTTCAACCCTGAAGGCGGTATGGCTAGTATAACCTAGCTTTCGAGCTTGAGTATCACGCTGAATTATAACATCCTGGAAGAGTTGAACGTTCTCTGGTACCTTCTTTTCATCAGCTAGATACATTCGCTTTCTGGTTTTGCTATTATTGGCGTAGGTGAGAACAAGTTTTGTGCCACCATTAGCAAACGGGACAAATTTCTTTCCAAGAAATTCTTCGTTAGCCTTCCAAGATTCAAGGTGTATGCTCGGAACGCCATCGAGATCTTCAACGTTGAACCATATACCGCTGTCCTCAGTCCTTAGGTTTTTGGCATATTTCGACCGCATCATGTCAATCTCATTTTGAAGCTTAAGGTAATGCCCAATCTGCTCCTGGGAAAGGATCCCATGCCCACAACGAGTGTGGTTCAACAGGTCCTCTTTCAGCCATAACTGATCTTCAGTATCAAGAAGTTCATTCTTCTCCGTCGCAGGCTTTAGAAGCTGGAAGAATGGGGCTTCTGACATCCACTCTGAATTCACCCTCCTCATCAATTCTCGCACCTTGTCGATTTCGTTATGCACCTCATCGTCGGGAGACGCGTAGCCAAGGACCCACAGCATACCCTGCTCAGCCTGGATCACATTCCATAGTTCAGCCCGTGGCCGTATGACATTAGAAAAGGTCGCAGTATCCGGTGTAATGGTCTGTAAAATCCGTTGTCTGACGCATCGAATTTTGGAGATACCCTCTTCTGCAATTAGAACAATTTGATCTAGCCGTGGAACTAAGGGAAGAGGCTGCGGTAGTTTGTGTGACATTGTAAGAGTTTGGCTCAGTTTCTGCGGTGCTATGATCGGTGCAATTGGTGCCGGCGATGTTGCGATCTTTCGGGTAGTAGGCCACTCAGATTAGTGAGAAAGTAGATCGGGGAAAGAGGCTATCTATAGCCCATGCAAACTAGGCCCTCTACATATTCTACTAACAGCCTAATACTATGACGTTATATTATATTTAGTACTATCTGCCTGGAAATACCTAATAGGCTGCTGCTATAAACTATAGATTATAGATTTCTCTAATGTCTATATCGAGGGGGAGGGGAGGGGAGGGGAGAGGATAGAGTGATGCCTGTCCCCGCGTCAGGATCAAGCGAGATTCAATCACGGCCTTATTTCTTCGCTATATTGATTGACTCTGAGTAATCGCATAGGTCATGCAAAGTACATTAGGGCTCATTCTACCGAAGTCGGACATCCCATTTCCCCTCACTATATATAAATGATATCATATAGCAATCTCTAGTTTCCCTCCTCTACTTTTCACTTCCCTGATGCTAATAATAACACCGAATATCTCGCTTAGCAACCAACAGATAGTCATTGATTGCATACTGTGATAAGGGTTATGTACTCTACACTAGAGAAGTTGGAGAAATTGGTGTAGTTAACGTAGTCGAATGTTCGGTCTCTACCTCGGTAGAGGATCATGTTACGCGGACACTATGAGTAAGGTCCGATCACACACCCGGCTCGGCCCACCCAGTCTGTCGGTACTAATCTCGCGATGCGATTGGCCCATGCGCCCGGCCTAAGTATTCAGGTGTTGCTCCTTCGTACTTCCGGTGGCTGTGTCATAATATTAGATCATTGCAGTGAGAGCTAGATAGCGTCTATTGCCCTATTTTCGTTTTCTTCTTTGATTGGTTCATCAACCTAACACGACTCTTATCATCGCTGTTGGTGACATAGAGCCACTATCCGACTAACATGTCCACATTGCCCACACATGTCAGCATTACATGGAAACTGAATTTACAAGTGGCCTTGCGAGGATTAGGAGCGGAAGAGACAAACGGATCGCTGGGCTGAGAGCAGTGCGGTTCCACGCCGCATATCGCCGATGTCAGGGTAAATCTTATATCAATTAGCCTAACAGATTAACCAGTATAAAACGTAGGAATAAGGAATGCTGATGAAGTCAATAGTTGGAGTCTAGGTATAACAGCGGAATGCTTTAGCACGGTGGTGGCGATTCTTCTCTGTGTTGGTATGGGTTTACACTTGGGGCCAAGGGAATGAGATCAAACTTTTTGCAACGAGACCATGGCATGTTAATTTAGAAATTATTCTAGCTTGATCAAAGATACTACTCGCTAGATAATCAGGCCGGCGCTAGGATACTAAAGGCTAAGCAGGAGAGAATAAAAGTTTCAGCGAAAATTCGGACCTGGGCTGCTGTAGAAGGTTGCTAGGAAGGGAACTTACGTCGACTAGTTGGTAGCTAAAAATGGTAAACTCTACCCCTATATTCTTTTGAAAGGAGATGTAGTACTATATAATTTAAATAAACTAAACTCTATATAGAGTTTATTTATTATAGAATAGATGATAAGGGGGGGCGGCTCACTAAGTAATATACGGGGAGCATCTAGAAAATAAAAACCTCGATAGGCGAGGGACGTGCTAGAGATGCGAATCCTGGGTCGCGCCTCTATAGCATCAAGAACGAATGCTCAACCGTTGATCGGCAACTCAATACGAACAGCACGTAACCGTATAACCACCATGATAGACTTTTGGTGGTTGGTTTTCGTCCACGTTCATGTTTTCTCCTCACCTGTCTCGGCTAAGCACACCTCGAGGCGTGAATCCAACGCTACTACTAGGACCAGATTCCAGTCAATTTGACGGCTGGGTTCGTACGACGTGACCAGTCAGCAACTAGGTTGAACCCGGGCTAGATTGCTATCTCGCGATCAGCCCATCATAGCTTCAAGACGTTAGCGACCCTCTCGGGTTATAGACAACACAACGTTCAATCATCCTAGCACTTCGCCACCTGTGGATATCCTAGCGATCTCAAATATATCAGTAGACTAAGAGAGAGCCTTCAGTCTAGCCTAGCTGACACCGATATCACAACGACACTCTATGGTGGCAGAGACTCTAGAAGAGAACTAGTACTTTAAAAACTGGCTATAGAGAGGCGTAATTAGCCTAGGAAGCCTCATCGACAGCTGCTAGGTCAGGGTCGCTAATAATAGCCGACATTATAAGGTCGCTAGCAGATAGCTGGGAGCGACGATGACGTGCTAGGCTAGGTACGTCTTGGGAACTAGCCATAGCTTCAATTTCAATAGCAATCAGATATCTATAGACACATCTAATCAGTGAGATAGTCCAGTTGTAGGGTTAGACTACCGTAGTCCTAGAGTCTATTAAGAAGACTAAAAAGATCTCTACTCCTCAAGCTAAGGCCTTCCCGAAGACGCTGACCAACTTAGGTGCTGTCTCCGTCAGATCATCGTACAGATCGAAGTGGTTCTTGCCCTCCACCGTAAACAACTCTTTTATCTCCTTAGCGGCAGCGACGGCATCCTTGCTATAGTGGTGCGTCTGAGCCTTCGAGCCGGCCTGCTTAACCAAGTCCGTCTCGAACATGGCAGGGGCCTGGGGCCCGGGGGTTGAGGTTCGCGTTGCGCCATTGGCCAGCCGCACCAAGGGCCCTGGCTATGGCTTTCCTGATTCGTATCCATTGGTTACGAATGTACCTTGGTATGGACTAAACGATTAGTGATTCTAGCTATTTCCACTCTGTTGGCCTCCATTTTCAGGTGAATATAACGTCATAGGCCGGTTCACTTTCGAGCAAAGCGAGACTGAGGCCCTAGATATACCTTAGGGGCAGCCTAACTATCAAGCACCATCGGCAACCCTATGGGCTGCATATGCGTCTCTCCCTAGCAAATTTCGGCGGAACTATCGGGAGCCCCTCTAATTAGATAGAGCAACGATCCGCAGCCCGATTGTGACACACCACTTAAGAATATAAGATGCGAGGTTGCCCACCTTTGATATTCAGCCCCTCACGCTTCGAAGTTCTAGTAGGGTGAACTGTTTTACTCGCGGTACTAGAAGATGAAGAGATATATACTCGATTAGGACGGGATTACATAGACATAACTGAGAGGTAAATACTCTATTCGTATTTGCAGCTTGGTTCTCTTAGAGAGCTATTCTTTATAGGCGTTCTCGTTAGGATTTACTATTTTGTAGATTAAAATGACGGATATAGGTGTATATAGATAAAAATGTGACAGCGATTATATAAGATATCTAAGGAGGGTATATTTCGCTATAGACGAAGGAAAGAAATAGGAAAGCGTAGAAACATAGAAACTAAGTAAATTTTTATTAATACCTTTTATATTTATTTTTACCTATTTCTCTACTGATTATAATACTATAACAATGTCTAAAATGAGTTTACTTAAAACTAGTCTTCTCTTTCCTTATAAATAGACCCCCTATAGAGCCTCTACCTACTAGTTCTAAAAATAAAGTCATAACGAATAAACACTTCATTATATCTATAGATATATAAAACGTATTAAATCGGTTATCGCGTATTGTTATGAAGAGCAACAGGTCCCGTTCGTCGCAGCGCTCCGTCCCCCGGCCACCATCTTCTGGAAAAGCGGATGATAATTGCGGCACAAGTCCAGCTCCATCATCGTGTACTTGTAGGGATCCTCGGCGTAGTGCTCATTGTAATCTCCTGCCATGTTGATTCCCGGGATCGCTGGGATCCAGTCTTCTCTTAGCATTTCGTCCGGGTTGCCATATTTAGCTGCTATCGTGCGGACTTCAGGATCATCGAGTGCTTTTAGACGCCCGTGCTCGATGATCTTGATGTCCTCCCGTTGACATCCTCTGCCACGTAAGTCGGGAAGTACAAGTGGACGTGCCAGTGCCCGACAAGTTTGCCGGCTTTAGCATCGGCGCGCTCAGTGTCGGCGGAGATGATAGTGCCGAACCCAATGTGAATGATGCCCGCACGCATGCGCTCGTACAGCCCGCAGTTGAACCCGTTGGCGTAATTCTCGCGTGGTCGGTGGATCTTGGGCGAGGTGCCGATCGAAGCCTCCCACCACTGCATGATGCCCGGCTGGTTGAAACCTGAATACTGCGTGTCGCTCGTCTTTTCGGCGAGCCGACGAAGCTTCTCGCCAAAGATGCCGCCACCCTTGATGTCAGTGATGACAGAGTTCTTGATTGTCATCTCCATGCGCGGATATGGCGCGATGTGGTTCATGGTACCCTTAATGACGCCTTCTCCATCCTCCTGCGGGATCATGAAGGGGGTCGACCCCAGATGTGGCCAGGCAGGTACGTTTCTCCGTACGGGATGTTAGCGGAGTAGTGTTTCTCCACGTGGTCCCTGCGGTACACCTCCCTGTTGTCGTGCCAGTAAGCGTCGTGATTCGTGTAGCGTAGATCCGTGCCTTCGGGGTCGGTGATATGCACCCGTTTGCAAGCTCGAACCCTCTTCCAAACCCACTCGTCGATGGCCACGAGGACCTCGGCGGGTAGCTGGTGGGCCTGTGAGACAACAGCCTCTGGGACGATGAACGGCATCCGCTGTATCTTGATCTTGCGCTCCCGGAGGATGGGTCCGCCGTAGCCTTGGATGACTTTGTCCCACTTGCCTTCCCTGTCCATGACCTCCCACGAGTCAATCCACTCGGCGAGCTCCTTAGTTCGGAATAGGTAATATTCCGCTTCGTCGTGGCCCTGCCACTGAGGGGGCGGACCTTTTTCCTCGATGTCGATGTGGAAATCCGTTTCGTATTTTTCCATGATCTTTCGGACGGCATCAATCACCATCGGGTGGTGCCAGTTAGACATTTTGATCAAGACCTTTTCGCCCTTCTTCAGGTCCCATGCCGGCCATAGACCTCCCGAATAAGGCCGTTGAGCGACTGAGTCGAGGGAGGGGAGAAGCTCTTCGATATCCTGAACGGCGGGGATGTTAGGACATCGTGGCGATGGCAGGTCTAATCTTTGGACTTTTGCCGTCTCCTCCTTGGTCATAGGAATCCAGTTTCGTGCGCTGGTATCCCAGTCTTCGATGTAAGTGATGCCTTCCGGATCATTCTTATAATATCCTTCGATTTCGGGCATGTTAGATGGACTCAGATAGTGAAGAAGAAAATGATTTTTCACAGTGCCTCGCTGCATATATTGATTACTAGACTACATAGCTAATATAATAAATAAAACTACAATTGTCGATTTTATATCTTTCCATGATACTCTGTCTGGCGATCGCTAACTCGGATGACTTTCCGAGCCAGAGTCGGTCTACCAGCACCCCTAGAGCGGAACTGGCTTAGCGCGTCCCAACGCTTAAGCTTCCCGCATCGAACCACTAAGTGTAACCGAGGAAGCTGGCCCGTGCTACGTTGTTGCCGAAATAGCGAACGGGTTGTTCCCGGAATTGCCTGCCGAGCAGTGAATAGGACGTCCCCGGGCCTGCGTTAAACCACGGGCGTGGTTCCTCCTCAACGTTTCTGGTATCGACTATGGCTCCGCCAGACAGATCAGACCGGCGCAAGGTGGCGATAGCCTGCGAGAATTGCCGGGCGAGGAAAGTACGATGCGACGGGCGTCATCCAGGCAAGCAAGAAGCTCCCTTTTAAGCTGACAGTACTAATGCGCTACTCGTAGTCTGCCGTGCCTGCACGCGTCGCGGAGATGAATGCAGGTATACCGTTTCCTTGGCCCCGTGGGACCGGCAGAGACAGATGTACGTTCAAGATCTGGAGAAGAAGCTTCAGGTTTTAGAACGTGCACAACCTTTACCGCCAACTCCAAATGGGTCGACGGGACGGGGTGCCACTACAACGTCCCAAGCGAGTGGAGAAGATAGGTCGCCTTCCCTGTTTGACCACGATTGGCAGGGAAACACCGAGTCCCAAGTAGCTCCGGATTGTCCTCCGCAATTGACAGGGGCTGTCCATCTGGGCCAGTCCTCCACCGGGGTTTTCATCCGAGAACTTCAAAACACAATCATTCAGCCGCCACCTAGGCCCGCGCGTAGCATCACGCTGGGCGACCTCGCCGTTCACACGCCTATCGGCTACCGGATGTCGTCCGATTGTGTTCTGCCCCCACGGCAAGATGCCGACAATCTTCTCAACATCTACCGGAATGTTCATTACCAGGTTTATCCCGCTATTAGCTGGGACAACTTCTTGGTAGAGTTTGCTACCATATATGACGGTTCTGCTCATCCAAGCAAACGTAGAATGACCCACTGCCTCGCGAATCTAGTCTTCGCTTTAGCTGAACGTAGTACGCATGGCAGCGGCGGGTCGGACTATTTTGAGCGAGCCAAGAGGCTGCTGCAGTTCGACATATTTGGCGACATCTCATTCCAAGTCATCCAGGCCCTCGTCCTCTGCGCGCAATATCTCCAGAGTGCCGAGAAACCACGGCAATGCTGGGTCATAGTGGGGCTTGCCATACGAGCGGCTCAGTCAATCGGGCTTCACCTCGCCGAAGCTGTCAAGAACATTCAGCCAGAGCGGGACCAGTATCTTGCGACCATTGTTTGGAGCTGTCTCGTCACAATCGACAGGACCTTGTCCATGACCCTTGGGAGGTCACCAACGCTATCTCTCTCGGCAGCGAGAGCGGGAGGAGTGTTAACCTACGCTCTATTCACTACTGACCAAACCTCTTTTCCAATACCTGCCTTTTTACTCACTCTTATCAGCTGTTTGATATCCTACACGAAATATTAACATCCCTTTACGGAGAAGGGACAAAAGGTTCGCTGGGGCTGGAGATGCTAAGCCATATTTCAAGACTAGAGAGGGAATTAGATCGATGGACCCGTGCGTTGCCAAACGACTTGAGCCTCCTATCCCCCAGCCCCTCCTTAAGCCAGGCCCACTTTCTTCGACAACGATACCTCCAAGTACTCATGATTCTTTTACGACCTGGCCTATCCTCTATTATCAAGTCAACTTATAGTCTAGAACGGGACCTAGAGGAGGCTACGACGTGGTATTGCGCTTCGCGGTGTATCGAAGCGGCTACTGAGATGGCGGATATCTCTATTCTTCAGTCACAAGCAGACGCGCAGGGAACCTCGGTCGCACCTTGGTGGTATAACGTACAGTTTTGCTATAATGCGGGGGCATCGTTGCTGGCAGCCCGACTTAGTGGCAAGATCGCGGAGAAATTAGGAACGCAGAGACTCGATGAGAGTCTAGGGAAGTGTATGACAACATTAAAGTCCTACGGTTTGCGTTGCCCGACCGCCTCTAGGAGTCTATCGGCATTCTCTTCAGTAGCAGAGAAAGCGGGCTACGCCTTCCAGTGTGCCGCAGCAGACATGTCAGCGGCTCAACTTGATTTTGATGCCGTGGATTTGGACAACTTTGTGGGGTTCCCAACGGAAGACAATTGGAGTTTGAATTGGACAAGCACGTCCTCAACTATCTTCGATCAATTCGGGCTGTTAGATGATTTGATAGGCTAACAAGAGTTTTTGATAATATAAGATTGTTTCGTGGTTGGTGTCATCGTCAAAGACCAACGATGCAGATTGAAAACTTCTCTGTATTTGGATAATACCAACATCCGCCTCTTAGAACAACTCAGGGGAGAATATCCGAGACGGATAGATCCCGAGTAGCATAAGTAGATTGAGGGAAATGACGATGCCAGCTCGTGCGACTTGAAGAGTTGTTCAGTCGCAATTTTACTCAGGAGAGAAAGGTATAGGCCAGGCTGCATCTCGTAGATAACCTTGAAGTCTCTAGGTAGACAGTGAGTAGAATTGCCGCTCACGAACCGAGCGTAAAACCACTCGGAGAGTCTTCCGAAGTATGTGCTAGTGAGTTCAAAGTGACTAATTAGAGCTTTTGGTAGCTTCCCCGCATTTGCTCTAACGGCATTTCTGTAAAGTAGGGCCGGAAAGTCTTCCGAGGCATGGTTTATCGCGGCCACTGGTGCCGATCGATATGCCCCACATGGGGAAACCACAGGCCTGGGTTTTGTTGATAAAAGGGAACTACGCCCTTCGTGAAATATGGAAATGCGCAAGAGGCGTCAATTTAACTTCTTAGATCTCAAGCCAGCTAAGCATCACTATGGAAGCCAACGAGGCAGCACGAAGTATTCACCATGTTGACCTGGACAAGTCTGACGAAAAGCGACTCGGCAATGCGCGCGAGAATGGCTACGGCCACATGTTAACAGAGGAGCAGGAGCTATTCTTGAGTAGTGTAGAGCCTGCAGAGCAGGACAAAATCTTTCGCAAGGTAAGGTGCCCTATATCGGTAGTCTTTGAGAAGGCATGCTAACAAGCGTACTTGATACCTAGGTTGACTTACACGTCGTGCCCATGTTAACTCTTCTCTATCTTGCCTGCCACATTGACCGCGCCAATATTGGTAAGCCCGTCTCGGGTTAACTTTGCCGTTTCTTCTTTTAACGAGGCCATAGGAAATGCAAAGATCGAGGGCTTAGAAGCAGACCTCAACATGAAGGGGACGGACTACAACTTAATTGCCGCAATATTCTTTATTCCGTACCTTATATTTGGTAAAGAACATAACGACTAGAAGTTCATGGCTACTATTTGACTAACGGATGGCCCTGCTTATAGAGATTCCAAGTAACACCATTCTTCTTCGATTCAAACGGCCATCGTATTATCTTGGCATCATTGTCACCGCCTGGGGCCTTGTCATGACCTTCACGGGCTTCGTGAAAAGTATGGGAAGCTTAGCAGCCTGTAGGGCTTTACTTGGTCTTTTCGAGTATAGATACTTCTTCCTTGACGCGGGTCTTAACGACACTTGCTAACATATTCGCTATAGATCTGGTTTCTTCCCAGCGGCAGTCTACCTCATTAGCAAGTGGTATCCACCTACCCGAACCTACTGGCGCGTGGCCATCTTCTATTCGGCCAGCGCGGCCTCGGGGGCGTTTTCTGGTCTTCTGGCCGCAGCCATCGCTCAGATGCACGGCGTAAGGGGTTTCGAAGGCTGGAGGTGGATCTTTATTCTCGAGGGCATTGCTTCTGTCCTAATCGGCATTATGTGCTTTTTCTTCCTACCAGATTCGCCATCTTTGTCCAAGTGGTTGACGCCAGATGAGGCTCGGTTCCTCAATTTATTGCACGACGCTACACGAGGCCGAATCGAGGTGGAAAAGAAGAAGGCAGACACCAGAAAGACCTTGGTCAAGGTTGTCAAGGATTGGCAGCTATACGTCCATGCCCTCATCTTCAACGGTGTGGGCATTCCATTATACGGAGTCAAGTTTACAATGCCGCAAATCGTTAAAAATATGGGCTTTACGTCGACTAAAGCGCAACTTATGACCGCCCCGTACGTGCCCCCGAACATTCCATCCCGTCCTTGCGTACCCTAGCTGATTGGAAAGAAGACCCTACGTGATAGCCGCATTAGCCTCCTTGTGCTGCGCATGGTTCTCTGACAAGTACCGATGGCGCATGCCCTTCATGGTTGGACCCCAGATAATAACACTTGTCGGATTCGCAATCCTCTATGTGGTCTCAGATAAGCTCAAGGACAACATTGCATTAGCGTACTTCTGTCTCTTTATAGTGTGCGCAGGTACTTATCCCACCCTCCCAGGTATCAACTCCTGGTCGTCGGATAACCTTGCCGGCCCCGCAAAGCGAGCAATGGGCCTGGGCTTCATGATTATGATGGGGAATGTCAGTGGATTCGGCGGTAGCTACATTTTTATCAACTCCGAGGCTCCTAAGTACCCTACCGCCTATGGACTATCTCTTGGATTGCTCTGTGTAGCTATCGTCTCATGTCTCGCGCTAGACTATACATACTGGAGGATAAATAAGAGACGGGGGCTATGTCGCCGGAGGAGATATCCACTAGGTATAGAGACGAAGAGCTCGATGAGATGGGTGACCGCTCACCGCTATTCAGGTACCAGCTATGAGTAGCTAGGCATAGGTTAATAATTTGAAGATTATTTTAGGTTAGTCCCTATTCGCAACCATTTGTTAATCCCCGTCTTATCCCAACCGGGTCTTGACCCATCCATCTTCGACACACGGACGATAGCTAGCAAGTCCACAAGTACCGAGGTATATCCAGGCAGTTGACGAAGTGGATTTAAGGGGAAAACTATCCCCTAAATTTGGTATCGCACTGTGGGTTGTGCTAGGGTCGATTGCTGTGATGGGTATAATACTCCATAGCACTCGGGTCAATCCAATCCCGCTCTGACAACATTGGGACTGCGAGACCAACGGAGAACCTTGCGTCGAACCCAACGCTTGGCATCTGCAGGGGTTCAACACACATTATATATTTTTCTATAAATGCTGGTGATCCACGTGAACATAGCGTATTTCGATGACCCGTTGTACACACGTGTAGCGCTGACGTATAGTCCCGGTACGATGACATCCTCCGAGCACAGTCAGAGGACCCCTCTGGCTATAGCGATCGTGGAAAGCGACAATAAGGAGTTCACGACTGAAATTGCTCTATTTCCCCCGACATACGTCTTCCCCAGGCTTGGTCCGGAGGATTTCCGCCTGGTCGAGCTCCTCCCGGGACATGGTCGTCTCCCATCCACTGCAACATCGAAACTTACAAGCTTGACGCGTTCAACATTCCTCCGTACCGCGCAATCTCGTACGCACGAGTAGATCCCCAGTATGATCTGCTAACCATCAGCGGCGAGAGAGTCCTGCCGGAGTCAAATCTCCGGCAGCAGTTCACGTTTCGGCACCCCATCTACGCTCACGAGAAAACAATTCTCGTGCCGACCACTCTCAGGGATGCGCTCAGGCAAATTCGCCACAGATATCTACCAGTTAAGGTTTGGGCCGATGCCCTCTGCGTCAACTTAGATGATAATGCGGAGCGAGCGGGCCACATCGCCATGCTTCCGCGCATCTATCAGCGCGCGAGCGGCACAACCCTCTGGCTCGGAGGCCAAGACCCGTCTACGCGCAAGACTATCGAGACCGTCAAAAACGTAATGGTAGCGGAAAAGCTCCAACGGGAGATTCCGCAACTCGACCGTGCCGAAATCGAGTCCGTGCCCCTGCTTCTGGAAAGACCTGTTTTCCGACGTCTCTGGTGCGTCGGGGAAGCAATAGTTTCCCTCAGCTCTATAATCCTGCTCTTCGGCGACCGCGCGGAGAGTGAGGCCACCATCACCACCCTGGGTAAGATCGGTTCTCTATCGTACACAAAATTCCGAAAGGCGTGCCGGACGATCGGAAGGGCGGGACTCAAGTTGGAGCCCGTGATGGATGCCGCTGCGCCTTTGGTTTCCTTCGGCCGCGAGTTAGAAAGGGCGTACGGTTCGCTTGACCGCGGAGACCTTTCGCAGTCTCGTCTCGCATATGTGCTGCGCGACTTTGAGGTGACAGACCCCCGAGACAAGGTCCTCGCGTTCGGCGGAGTCCCAGAGACCTTTGATCTAGAGCTGTTCGGCGAGCTTCCGGTGTACCCGACCGCGGAAGAGTTCGGGCAGCTAAATCTTTTGGGGCCTGTTCTTGGGCGGAAGATGGCGGCGAACTGGGCCCAGACGAAATGGGAGGATCACATGGGCTACGGTCACAATAGCTCCGCCAACGGGCGGATAGATACTATACGCGTATATGTGGAGGATTATTATAGAGCCGTGCTCGCCCTACTCACGCTCGTCAAAGACAACGCGGTTGGGGAGGCTGGCGTCGAGCAGCCGGTCGATCGATCGAGAGCCGACACCCAGTATGTAGCCATACGGAGGTTCCTCGATGGGATGGCGGACAAGTTCGTGTCCTCGGACGAGCTGGTCACGTACCGCCGTCTCTCGCTGGACGTGGAGAGCGTCCTCGTAGCATACGACGAGGTGCTCGCGTCCTTCACCAATGGCAATTTTGGCCCGGGAAAGTCAGTCTTTCCCGATAGTTCCATCACCATGGTCAAGGGGCTCCTCGGGCAAATGATCAGGGCGTGGGACTCTTCGGATTCTGGCAGCGACGGCGGGTCGGAAGAAAACGAGGCAGGTCACAAACCGATGAAGCCCAGCCTCGCCGAACGGATGAAGACCGATCCGCATTTAGGATGGAGCCCCGAGGGTGCCCGCAGAGTTGCGCTTGGCTATGACTTGTCTGCAGATGGGGATGAAGCCACACGAGGCTGGGGGCTTGAGTACATGGTACCTAGGGTAAGGTTGCCAAAATGAGGGTTTGCTCAACTTTTTCTTTTCTTCAAATAACCACTAACGAAGCCTTGGTGCCTTCTAGTCTTCTAAAAAGGCCAACCGGACGATACGACGGGTGTTCAAGCTCAAGACTACGACCTCCCTGTCGCCGAAGTATACCGCAACTTCACCGCCCGGCGTTGCCTTGCGGACAGCAGCCTAGCCTTACTCAGCTGCCTCGAGACATCCCTTGAAGACCGGCCACACAGGACCGTCGGTCTGCCGTCCTGGGTGCCTGACTACTCGATCTCGCTGAAGGGAAGAGCTGTCCCCCTCGTGACGCTGCCGAGTCTCAAGGCTGCCAACTTCAAAGGGTGTGGGAGCGACATACCTCCGATAGACTGGAGCGAGGAGGATCCGAACATTCTGAAACTGTCTGGTCGTATCGTCGACGCGATATCTGCCGTGTCCATCCTACGGAAGGAAGTCCGTAACTTTGGGCAGCTTCATGAAGAGTGGATGGCCATGATTGGGAAGACGGATACTCTTGAAGTAGCAGATGGAACAGAGAAGGCTGCGCGAGACGATGAAGACTCCTTGAAGGAGGAGATCTATAACCGGATCTGGAAGGGCAAGATGAACATGCCCGACAGTCTACTACCCCCACCCACACCATCCAACGTAAGCTCGTGGGAAAAGCTGATTCTCGACATCACATCACGGTGCCATCCAAAGCGAACGGGAATGGAAGGGTTTGAGGGAAGCCGTGGGCATCCTACTTCGCATTCCTCACCTTCCTGGCGGCGCAGCAGACGGGGGCGGCCACGGAGCGGGCTTTGAGGCAGGCTTTGGGCGGGGGCGAGCTAGCCCTCGGTCCTACCGGGGAAGAGTCTTACGACACGCTCATCCGCGTTATTCAAAACCTGGGCGTGGGGAGGAGGGTGGCGGTCACACGGGACGGGGGTTGGCGTGGGTGCCGGAGACGACGGAGGTGGGGGACTTGGTTTGCATGCTCCATGGGGCTGACATGTCGGTCGTCGTGAGAATGGATGGAGATATAGAGGAGGGCAGGTTTGAACTTGTTGGGGAGTGCTATTGTCCTTTGAAGGAGGACGGCGAGAGAAAGGAACCTAGTTGGGAAACGATTACTTTAGCGTGAGAGACATTAACAACTGATAGGAAGCTCGGCTTTTTCACCGCCAAAGCTCAACTGAATCAGCGAGAATTCACGCGACCCCGATCCGTTAGCGCCAATATCCGCGGAGAAATTGCCTTTAGCAACTATCACCGCATGCCTCGGGCGCATAGATCAGGTTAGCGTTCGTCAAATAGCACTTACACTAGCCGCTACAGTAAATAGACACGCAAATGGCATCTAAACATCATTGTTAGCCTCGACGCTTTCGAGACAAAGTGAGACGCTACTGAAGAGTAGATGATACGACGCGGCAAACTATTACAACGAGGGGAAGTAAAAGTTTTTGTTTAAAAAAGGACAAAACTAAAAGAAGGGGAAATAAAGATGTCTATGGGAGGGACAAAAACATATAACACCGGGGATTCGCTGGTCGTCACCGACCCAACTACTAGTCCGGCGCTTCGCAGCTTGTGTATAGGGGAGCGGACGGGACCCTCAATTCTCTGCGAGCTATGGTCATATGTAATCGCTTTCACCCTGAAATAGTATATGACCTTTCGTCTCTACGCTATAGCAAAAGCTACCGAATGCGCTGCGAGCCAAGTTCTCGCGACTATTGACGTTAGGGGTGTGTATCTTACGGGTATAAGGTCATATCTTTTCTCGTAGGCGAATATGTAGTCTCTATAATCTATCCCCTCATGACTTTTGATACTATTATAAGTACCAGTACTCCTCCTTTTCCTCTTCCTCTTCCTCCTCCAAATCTAGATCTTGATTATTAGTGAGAGTAGACTTAGTATGCTCTCCTTAAAGGACTCTCAGGTCGTTAGGGAAGTACTTCTGACATGCTATCCTCCTATTATCCTTCACACTATATATAGTTAGATATTGACCGTACCGTAATTCAAGTAAAGAAGAGGTCTCACACTTGTCGTTGATTACACCCCGGAATTAAGATTACTATACCGATACCTTATCGTAAAGAGTAGCGGATCCGTCCTTGATGCAAGGAGGTGCCTGGCCTACCATCAATACCGACAGTTTAGAATAGATTTCTATCATCCCACTCATCTTCTAGAATCAATGTTAGTCGTCGTTCATATCGTGGGGAGGGGTGCCGAGCAGTCCATCTTGATATAAGAGGAAGTGAGAAGCCCTGTAAATTTTTTTTTCTTAGGGTTAGTTTATTGACTTGGCTCGACGAAGTCAGAAAGAGAGACCGGTGCCTGTTGATTTGCGAATCAAAGACGAGTCCGCACGTCCCATATTTCGCCTAATATGTGACGTGGGGGCAGGGCGGTTAGGAAGAGCGGGAACCAATTATATCGTTCTGTTTAGGTATGTAGACCTGTGCACCCCCGCATCACATCAGTCAACTTGATGGCCCTTCGTCCAGTATTCAGCAGCCAGCGTGTGAAATAGTGCGGGAGGCGGAGGCGGAGGCGGACTACTTAACCAAAACAAGGCAATACAACGATGCTGTCTGCCTGCAACTTGTGCATCGCGAAAACCGTACGCAGTTTGGCCAACACGCAACGCCTCAGTGATGTCGATGGTGAGCTACCACCCTATACACTCGTAGAAGGTCATATATTGAGTAGCGGCTAAGGCTCGTGGTCGAGCAGTCTCACGGATTTCGAGCAACGAGCCCAACTTCCCGTGACCAGAGCCACCGTCGGGGCCGTGACGTTGGTCCGTCGGCCATAGTAGAGAATGATGATGATGGCCAAACCCCCGCCCTTCCATTCCGATCAATCTTACAGCTCGGACAGGAACAGCCCCTACTCTCTAATACAAATTCACATAGAAGCAAGGCCTTCTCAGCGCTATCGGACAGTGGTTCCATCTCCGTAACATCCAGCCACCTCCCAGAACAACGAACCAGCCAGGTGGCAGAGACTCAGGACCCATTGGGTCTCAACTTCATTCATGGTTCATCTCGATCTCACGCCGACATCATTTTTGTCCATGGCCTTGGGGGTCCTCTATAAGAACATGGTCATGGGAAAGGAGGCGAGATGTTTTCTGGCCTGCTTGGATCCGCCATGAGGAAGGACTTTCCCAATGCCGAGTGTTCTCGTATGGCTACAACGCTAACTTTCGAGATTCGGAGAACCCACTAAGCCTTTTGGACTTTTCGAAGGGCCTTTTGGCTGGGATGAAGACCTATGGACGTGGTGGTGAAGATGGCATTGGATCAGTGAGTTACCACGAAGACATATATCAAGTGACCCTAGTGAAGGACCAGCATGCTACCGCTGTAACTATGATGAAGAGGGAGGCTTGGTGCTAATGAACTCCGCAGAGACCTATCATCTTTGTAGCCCATTCTATGGGGGGCTAGTGGTGAAAAAGGTAACATGAGGACGTGCTTTCTAGACACGGCTAGTTTCCGGCTAACAATCTATGGTCGGGCAAAAGGCATTAATTATTGGTAAATACGATGAACACTACTCATTTATACTATCAAAAGTGTCCGGTGTTCTCTTTTTCTCTACACCTCACAGAGGATCATCACACGCGCGTACTTTAAACCGCTTCCTATCTATCATGGTTGGCACATCTACAAAGATATACGTCTCGGAGTTGGAGACCTCTTCAACTTCAATTGAAGATATCAATGAGCAGTTTCGAATGATTTGCAGCCCATGGCAACTCATCTCTCTATACGAAACTCTCCCAACTAGGTTAATGGCGGGGGTGAAAAGATTGGTGAGCTAGTTTATCATCCTCCTGCTACTCTGGTATGTATACTTATCTCGGCCTCGTTTCACTAGATTGTTAGCAGGGACTCTGGGGTTTTAAACTATCCAAAGGAGATATCGATTCCAATCGATGCTGACCATCATACAATCTGTAAATTCAGTAGTTGTTCAGATCCTAACTATATACGGGCCGTAAGTCTCCTTCGACAACTTACAAAAGATATGCGAGCTAGAGGTATAACCGAGTGTCTCCCTTTTATAATGTATTCTCAAGAGTATACCTTAAAAGATTTCCTAACAGCCGTCGACTAGCGTATACGGAATCAAATCAGCTCCCCTTGACTGGAAATATAACGAGCACCCTACAATCAATCCTTGGTATCGAAGAAGACGTCAAGGGTGATCTCGGGAAACACCTTAATCGCGCTTTTCCGGGATCATGTCGCTGGCTTTTTCAGGGTGAAAGTTTCCGAAGATGGCTGGATACGTCAAGTAACCGTTATAAAGTACTGTGGCTCACCGGCCTTCCAGGCTCGGGGAAATCGACGCTGGCTGCCCAAGTTGTCGATAATATCCAAAAAGCTATACACTGCCAATATTACTTTTTGTTGCCGCTCAGCCAACTAAGAGGAGCGCTTCTTATTGCCTAAGAGCTATCGCATACCAACTTGCCATAACATACCCGACATTTGCGGAGAGGTTGCTCGAGCTACATGAGCAAACCAAGTTCTCAGCGACCTTTCAGAAATTTCAAGTCATCTGGGACACGATTTATGAGAAAATCGTCTTTCAGATGGATTTCGGCTCTGCGTTACATTGGGTATTCGACGGAATCGATGAAGCCGATGCCCCCAAATTGTTCCTACAGCAGTTGATGCAAATGAAGCCGCGGAGTTGTATAAAACTGTTGCTCGTTAGCCGCCCGAAAAGGGAGTTGACAAGCCTTGCTGGGCCCCATATAGATTCAGTCTTCATAGAGCCGATATCTATAGCCAACACCGAGGACGACATCAAAAATTATATCCACGCAGTGGTTCGATCAGGCCTGCCCCAAGACGAAGCGCTCCAGAAGCTTGTGATTCAGCGTATCGCAAAGAAAGCTGAGGGATCCTTCCTTTGGACTAAACTAGCGTTGGACTCGTTATCAGAGAACTGGCATACTATGGCGGATATCGATGGCGCGCTCAATAGTGTCCCTAGTGACATGCATACCATGTACGCACGCATGATGCATAACTTGCAGAACCAATCGCCCCGGTTTCGAGATATTGGATTCAGAGTCCTTACATGGGCGACATGCGCATTCCGCCCGCTCACGCTACTGGAACTGGAGACTGCGCTCAAACCAGAATTTGACGGTTTTGTGAACTTGGCGGAGACCGTTATTCAGTTGTGTAGCCAGTTTGTACGCATTGACCAAGACACTGTCTGCCTCATCCACGGAACTGCGCGCCAATTTCTCCTTGATCCATCGCTTGACATACTGGTTGAGCATGATCACCTCGCGGTTGTCTGCTTACGGTACTTATGTCAAGACACCTGGAGGCAGGCGTTAGCTGGGGTCCTTGAGCTGCAACCCACGACGAGTTGCAACAAACTGGAGCCGCTTTACAACGAATTCCCATTCCTAAGATACGCTGTCAATTTCTGGGCGTTCCACGTCGGTTTAGCAAGTGCTAGAGCCCCCGATTTAGTATCGTCATTGTTGCTTTTCTGCAACAAACATATACTTTTCTGGATCCAGGCCGTGGCCATGTCAGGCTGTCTTCGCATTATTCCTAGGGCTGCGGAATACCTAAAAAGGTGGCTACGGCGCAGACGGAAGCTCGGGCGACACAATAACCCAAGTAGCCCAAACTCGTCCGAGACAGATTTTCTAGCACGATGGACGGAGGATCTCATCAGGCTTGTAACTAAATTCGGCGATAATCTAACACAGAGTCCTTCAAGCATTCACAGACACATCCCTCCGCTATGCCCCGCCACATCAGCTGTCGCAACCATCTATTGCCGAAAAGACGGTAGTCATCTCCTTACAGTGGATGGTCTTAGCAGGTCTAATTGGGACGATAATCTAGCACGTCTCTCCGTTGACCAGGATGAGATTGCGGCGAGCATCCGGTGTACAGGCTTCTACTTTCTCACGCTGATCTCCTATGGCGGCATCGTAATTATATGGAGCACGGAGACGTGCGAAGAGCTACATAGAATACGCCACGGGGAATGGGTAACTATAATGGAAACGAATAAAACGGGAAGTCAGGTAGTCACTGGCGGAAGACAGACAATTGCGATTTGGGATATCTCCACGGGTACAAAGCTTCACTCAGTTCCGAAACATGGCCTCGGCCATCTCGTGAGCCTGAATTTCGCCAAAACAGGTGCGAACCTAGCTATTAGTTATGATGATTGCTCTATCATCAAGTATGATCTCGAGACGTCTCAGGAGAGTACTCTTTTACCGCCACGGATGCTAAATGGCTTGGGAATTGCCCGCGCTTCATGGTTCTAAGTCCGGATCACACGAAGCTTGCTATAGGGTTTCGTGGAAAACCTGTCATTGTCCTGGACGTCGCAAGCGGCCATGAGTCAGAGCCCCGAACCGTCATTCGCTTAGATGACAGGGACCGTGTAGACGAGGGAGGAGACGTGTTCAACTCTCCGGAAATTGCGAGGTGGCATCCTAATGGTTCTATACTGTTCATCCTCTATCAAGACACCACAATTCTCGCCTGGAGCTTTGTAGACGACACGCAACTAGAATTCGGGGATACTGAAGCTCGGGAGATGATCCTCAACGACGACGGAACATATATTCTAACGAGCAGCAATAATGGTTCTGTCAGCGTATGGGGGTTACCGAAGCTCAACCTCATATACACGTTGCAGTCAACGGAATTCGTCCGTGATTTGGCTTTTAGTCCCGACAGTCAGCGCATCTATGACGTCCGGGGTTCACGATGCAACGTATGGGCGCCAGAAATCCTCGTACGAGTTGAAGAGCTCGACGAAGAAGAAAGAACAAACAGTTTAGATGAAACCGCCACCTCAGAGGTTGTGAGCGATGTCGTCTTTGCCGAAGATCAGAACAAAAATGGACACGTCACAGCTTTAGTATGCGACAACGAGGATGAGTTCTTTTGTTGCGGCCGAGATGATGGATCCGTGTCCATTCACGACATGAGCGGTGGCCTTAGAGTCAGAAAGGTCAGCATTCATTCCGCGCATGTCGATATTGTCGCCATTGATTGGTCTTCCTCGCGCCGGTTTCTGGCCTCTGCGGATGACTCCGGGAAGGTAATCGCTAAGAGGCTCAAATTTAAGGATGACAACAAATGGGCAGTATATGCCTTGTTCGAAACAAGGGTTGAGGGCGCTATTTTGCAACTATTGTTCAGCCTAGACGAGAGACTGCTTTTCATCAGCACCGATGCTGCATGCTACTTATGGAACACCAGGGAGAAGGCTCAATTATGCAAGAGGGCAAGACAATCAGAGCAAAGGTGCAAATGGATGAACAACCCCAACGACGAATCTCAACTTTTATGTTTGGAACCTAACCGGCAGTCCATCTACGCATGGGGGACTCTTGAGAGCATAGCGACCACAGACAACAAGCCACTCAATCCGGGCATAGATTGCCCCGTTGATATTCCATCTTTTGTGGTTGGTGGACCGGCAAATGCGCAAGAAAAAGTGAACACGACTCTTATAACTGAGAGTAGACGGTACTTGGTATACGACACTACGCAGGAGCAGTTGTCGCAGCGCCGCCGTAGACTACGAGTTAACTTACTTGAGACCTCCAACCTCACGCCACATTCTATGAGCATCGCCACACGGGCAACACATCTCGACCTCGGAGACGCGGTGAGACACCTCCTCGGCACCTTCCGGGATCGACTAGTTTTTATGGACCACGACAATTGGATCTGCACAGCTACTATCGGCGGGAACATGGGGCCGCCGAAACGTCTTTACTTCTTACCACGGGACTGGGTCAATGGAGAAGCCCTACATATGATTTTAATGAATAAGAAAGGGACCCTGTTATGCGCTAGAAATGGCGAGGTTGCTATAATTAGGTGGAACGGAAGGCTTTAAAACGTCATGAAGTAGAAAGATACAGCCAAATATATTCTCGACCTTATAGCCAACTATCCGCTTGAGGTGTACAGACCCTTCCACTACTAAATAATCTCTCTGCAAGACTGTCTGGCCTCCGTCCACCATGATATCAGCACCTGCGATATAACTCCCAGCCTTCCTAGCGAGAAGCATTATAGCACCAAAAGATCTTCTCGCTCGCCCATTCTTCCCATCGGAGTACAGCTGAACCGAATACTCTTGGCGTCATCCAACGCATTGCCTTCATTCAAAGTCGTGTTCATGTAGCCTGGGCTAATGCTGTTCACGCGTATTCCATGCACAGCTCGTTCAGCGGCTAGGAAACTCTTCAACATTGAAGCCGCCGTTTTCGAGACATTGTATGCCGACTGTGGCTGGCGGTAGCTAATACTATGCGCCGATATGCTGGCGATGAACATCGTGGATCCCCGCCTTGACGCATTAGTTTCTTTGCGACAGCTTGTGCGACAATGAACGTCCCAGTCTCGTTGGCCTCGAGGATCCGACGCCACACTACTAACGTAACCTCCACGAGGGGTACGCAACATGCTATCCTAGCCAAATTCAGCAGAATGTCGCCTGAACACAGTCAAGTTGCCGCTTCATTCACCGCCTGTTCTACAGTTTCTTCTTCTGTTATATCGAGCTTCATAAGTTAATTCGTAGTAGGTAGGAATTCGGCTATCAGCTGTCCCACTTGGTTCGTTCGCTCGGCAGATTCAAGGTCAAAGATAACTAGTCCCCGCAGACCGCGCTGGTGCAATACACCACAAGCAATAGAGCCCAAATCCTCTCCAGCACCGACCGTTATCTTCGGGATAGGGGTTATACATAGTCTTAGTTCTAACCTACAGCATCGCACAACATATAGACCCAATAGAAGATAAAATAACCCTGATACAAAGGTCGAAGAGCACGAAGACAAACAATAATTAGGTCCCTAGTCTTAGCACTAAAGGGGTGATGAGGTCCATTGCCAGGTACACAGCGAGAACAACAAGATAGGCTCCAAGAAGGCCCATCTATTTATAAATATCGGGACGATAATAGGGCACTTTAGTAGAGAAATTGTTCCTTAAGATGAAGCTGCTCCTCGTAATTCATCCATTTGATAAACCTGTATAACGGGCCTTGTTGAACTTCTGCCAGCTATAAGCCTTGCTCGGGTACTCGCCTACCTTTGAAACGCCGTTAGGCCTATCATTTGAAGCGTGTATATAGTGTGTTGTCAGTCTACGAACCCATTTTGGTCTAGTCAAAACCCGCAAGTATCCTCGCCTCCATCCCCGTGCAGCTGGCACCGCATTTCCTAACAAATCCACTCGCCGTGTACCCCGTTCCCTCTTGAAAAGGTGAAAGGAAATAATTTAACGCCCATGAGCTGATGATATACGTGAGAATAGTAAATTAGAATAAGATCAACCCCCTGAGGCTAAGATGACACATCCCTGTTAGCCTTTACGCAAGCATCTAGCCCTAGCATGGGATAACAAAAGCTCACCTCATAGCACTGTCCCAATTCAATATTACTCAGGCACTAGGGCACACTTAAATAGCAATAGCGGCCAGGCCTACAAGCAGCGCGGCGATAGGGTTGGCAATGGCCGCGGAAGCCTCCGTAAAGGTAGGTTCAGGAGCGTTAGGAGTGGTACCAGTAGTCTCAGGGACTTCAGGCTCGCCAGAACTAGACTCGGTAACCTCTGGGGGAGGAGTTGTCGGCTCTGGAGACTCGGTGGTGGCGGTCTCCGCTCCTTCGGACTCCGACGAGGTGGAGTCGATAACGCAGCATTTAACGTCGTTAGGATCAAACGGACAGGCGCCGCTCTTGTAATGTCCCCCAGAACGCGTGCAATCTGATGTGGAAATACAAGTACCCTTGGTGCCATACTCCCCGGTGGCCTCGTCTCCCGTACAGGGCCCATTCAACGCCGCATAGACACTGAGTGGGGAGATTGACAAGAGGAGGTAAGCAAGCTGCATTGTGGTTGAAAGAGAGTTAAGGTTGATTGTTAGTTTTGTTGCTAACGAGCGATTAGTAGACTTTGGTCTTTGGATCCCTGGAGACAGCGAGTAAGTTACAGGTATATTTAACTCAAGGCCTCGCCAACCTCCTCCAGAGTATTCCTACTGCAGTCTTCAGACTTTTGAGCATTTTCATAAGACGGATGAATGAAATGCCGACTGTAATTAATTTTCAACCAATAAAGAGGGCCATCAAAACAAGTGTCAGAGCATTGTATAAAATTGCCACTCATAAGAGATTCTCTTCCCGGTTGTCAAGTTGGATTGAAAGCGCGAAGCGAATTTTGCCTGACGAGAGGAAGCGAAATGTGTGCGGGGTTGGCCAGCCATTCTGTAATGCGGTTCGCTAACGTGTCGCTACCACGTTGGAGGTGCGTGCGCAGCATGGCTATGCTGTCAAAAGGCCCTCTGATTATAATTGGAGGGCTTATCGAGAGGACAGGAATTAGGGAGTCTGATGTTGGGGTTAGAAATCCCCACGTCTTCCAACTATTAGCTATTACGAAGTATATCCAACAGACATGTTTCTTTGTAGTCCAGGCGTCACCACCTGGCCTATCACAGTAAACTTCGGCTGATCTCTAGCCAATCAGAACCTCGCTAACGCTAATGGAAAGTGGGCCGGATACCAAACCTCCTCGCAGCATCCTTGAGCTTGGGTAAGATTAGAGCGGCCAAAAGGAAGGTCGAGATGACATTGACAGTAATGGTCTTCTCCCCGCCGTCTACCTGACGATAATCTGCCGTCGTGATACCGGCGTTCTCAATAACGATATCGATGCAAGGGAGCTAGCTAACGAGGCCAGCAAAGCTTTTAACACCATCGTACCTACTCATGTCGACGGGCCATACTTGGATGACGTTGGACTTGCACCTGGTAGTGGTCTCAGTGTCCTTCTTGGCATCCTCGCCCTTCTCCACGGAGCGCACCGCAAGGATGACAGTTGAAGCACCAATGCGAACACAGTGGCGGGAAGCTCCTTACCGAGACCGACGTTGCTACTGGTGACAACCACAGTTTGGCCAGCGTGGGAACTTTAGGGGACCGGAAGATTTATGGACAGTTGATCGTATACGAATCGTGCAAAGAAGGCATCTTAGATGATCAAGGATAATGAAGCAGCAGAAATAGCAACATGCAGTTGAATGATAATGCGGCCGTCTATAAAGATCAAGGGCTCACTCGGCAAGGTCATCTAGAAGGGATGCGGGATACGATACACCAGTGACATCTTAGCTCTCTTATATATATTTATATATATCTATAGCATCAAACCTGTTTAAAGATAAGCTAATTGCTTTTTTGGAGTTGTTCCGCCTAGAAGAAGGGAACGTTATATATTTGTCCTTTTGGTATGATTTTATGCTTTTTATCAACTACACTTTATTAGAGAAGATCTTTCAGTTATGATGTCACTTGGGCTTAGCGTCCCAAAGCCTATCCTCCTCAAATACTTCCAAAACAGCGTGTTTTGATAGCATCAGTTTTTTCATCAAGGTAAACTCAGCTGGCAATTCTTTTCACAAGTATTCTCCGCTGAAGCTCTGTCAAAGTTAGGATGTTGTGTCGGACGACCCTCCGATATAATTTACCGTATCAAAATCTTACGAAATGCTTTGCAGCGCATAGATGATGTGTAAGCACATAAGCAATTGCAAATATAAGGAAATGGTGCCAAAGCGAGGCTCCTTTCTTAGATAAACGTTATATGTCCGTTCATTAGTCCGCAAATATATGAAGTGCTGTGAAGCGAAGTGCTTTACTCTTCTTCCTAGTTAGTTTCGTAGTATTTAGTCGAATGTAATCCTAGCTTGGGGCCTCCACAACTGAGGGCTTTATCAGCTTAAAGAACACTCGGACCGTTAAACCCTGTCTCCCTTGGCCTGCGAAGCCAGACTTGGGTTTCTTAACCTCAGATAGTAGGCTAACGCTAAGATGAAGAAGGATATAAGAAAAAGTAAGGATAATAGGTTGAAATTGTTATGTTAAACTAACTCTATCGGTTTTATAAGATGGAACTATTGAGTGTATATGTATAATATAGGTAGGAGGGGATCATGCAGGCGATTAGCTAAAGGTATACTACAGATAGCTACCTAGCCACGATCAAGGTCCTCAATCTAGGTTTTTGCTATTCGTAAGTAATGATAAGTAGTAGATGATGAAGACGACTACTAAAATTCAAAGGTATAACGAACTCACCCGCGACGTGGATAGCTAGACTTTTACCCTCTAGAAGAAGCTCCCTGCCTATAGTATGGAACTTGGAAGCCGCACTCTCATCTATGCTGGCTCACGGGGCACTGAGACCGGCTCTTTAACCTATTGAATGTACTTAGCGCATTGCCGCGTACGACCTTTAGAAGATTTTGCGACGGGGCCTGGGAGGAAAGAGCTCCAGGGTAGGGTGTGGAAGGAGCTGATAGAGAGGCTTGGGGATGGCCTGCCTGGCGTGACATGTAACTTTTAGCTTAGATTGGCCTCAATATCATAGGGAAGATTATTTTTGAAAGGTTGGAAATGATATCTGTCATATATACTATAATCAAACGTCGAATGTGTTCATGCGATATGGGTGTGCTATAATCTCCACGCCACGCGGCTCTGTGGATCTGGCTATCGTACCGTGAGAAGATGTAACTTGAGCGCACTCCGCTGGGCTTCTAAAGGTGAGTCGCGCGTGGTATCATGATTGCTTGCGGGGACGCGCTAATAACATAGGAGAAAGGCCATGTTGATCTTCCTTTCATTCGGGATCCTAATGGCACAAGTCCAAGTGGAACTGGTAATCCCGATATATAATCAAATATGATATTATGATATCTAGATATCTCTGGAACGGTCCTGCTAAACGGTCCCTAAAAGAAATCGACTCTCTACTCTACTCGCAACCTCCGAACCCATCGGTACGAATTATAAGGTAGCCCCAGTACTTCCCACTCACCGATAAGTCCAAATACACGTGAGCTGGGGTTCTGCGATTGCCATGCACGTTACACGTTATTCTCGCTTGCGAAAACAATATAGAAAACGCAACCTACTGCAATTGGATTATGGTTCGATATACGCGTCGTCTACCGACGTCCGTGCTTACATGCTTCGTTGGTCTAGCTCCCAAGGTAAAAACATGGACAGGAAGATCCCACGCGTCTCAATCAAGTACGCATCTAGCTCTTACTTAGTACGTCACAAGAAGTAAAGGTGTCAAAGTCCATCGTCCTAGTCCAAGGGGCTGCAGTAGGGGAAGCGCAAATAATAGAACGCTCCATCTGAACTCGGCAACATGCTCTTAATTTTTAACCCTCTGATGCGTCTCCTTCTTGTCCCACGCCTTGTTGATGCTATCCCACACATGCTTCCGCAACGTTGTGGCGACCCAGTAGTTCCCTTGCCCGTCCTTTCCAGAAACCTGGAATGCATTTCTCAGCGAATATCCACCCGAGATCCCGCAAACTTGGATATAGCTTGCCTTTCCGACCGGCTCAACCCCTTTGGCGAACGGCGCCCCGGGTACGATGGCAGGGGAAAAGTCCATTTCAAAGAACTTAGCCTTGGACCAGTTTGATACGACGACGAGTTGCATAGTCGCATCGCCGTAGAGCGGTGGGTGGCCAGTGGCACGCATCGAGTCCCTTGTAAGCTTAACGGATGCCTCCAGTTGGGCGCGGGTGCCTAGGTCCTTGATAGACTGTCGAACACGGCCCGCAGAGTGCCCCAGAGGTTGGGAGACGACTTCGCCACCTCGGAGGTAGGTGAAAATTCCTGATGAAGCATTGGCAATGTAGGCTTTGGATCGGGGAAGAACATCCGGGGCGAGGAGCTCGCGCCAACCAAACGCGTTGAGGAGACAGATTGTCTGGTTTCGGCCAAACGGTAGATGTTCTGCGAGAAGTTTGGTGCCCCAGGCCGAAATGATGTCACCGTCACTAAGGAAGATTCGGTCCGTGGGCTCGCCCGCAGCGGAGGCGGCTTGTTTTAGACTCGCGACGGCTTCCGCCTTCGTCCGTTGGATATAGGAAGCTGGGAGACAGACGACGCGTGTTTCCTCCTCCTTGTACCAAAAGGATTCGAACCAGAGCCGGAGGCCGAATATGATAAGTTGAGCTATAGAAAGCCTCTTTGGAAGAAGCTTGTACTCCTCTTTAGGGTCATTACAGAACTCAGATAGCGGGGTTACGTCGAAACCATTCAGCGGGAGAACCTGGTCTTCCCGGCCGGCCAACAAGCTGGTCCATGCGAGTAGGAATTCGCGTCGCCCCATGGCATCCCACAAGGTGTGCGGCCAGGAGATACAAACTAGGGTAGCGTCGGCGAAGGAGGTGACATGCAGCCCAAGCTGCGGCCTATCCTGCGTGAGATAATCATTGATGTGCGTAGGCGTGCTTTGATCACGCATCAATTCATTAAAGTCGTTTGGATTTGCGATATTAGCTGGCACCTCGCCGGAGAAGCCGCTGGGTATTCGGGACGCGACGGGGTGTTCATGGATCCGGACATCAAAGCGCAGTTGTGTGTAAGTATATGCAGGTCGGTCTTCGTCGAAATGATCAGGAGATGATATTCCAGTTTTCCTAAACTCTACATCACTCTAGTCAGTTCAAGGGCAAGAAAAAGTACGGTATATCAAGATGCCGTAAAGTAGGTCAACAATGGGTTCCTAGTCGGGGCGGTGCGCGCACTATGAGTGAAGCATTACATTTTGGCGAAGGCGAGCGCCTAACTTCCTCCAGTCTGGTCGCGCGAGCAGCTTGTCGAGCGACTCGGTCAATTTTGTGGGATCGAGAACCACATCGAACCGGAGCATCAAATTGAGTAGCAGGTCGCGGTTGATTTTGGTGTCGTCCTCTGCAGAAAGCGGGATGACAAGGTCGGATGTTACCGCCGGCGGTGCCGACGGCGCTGCGTTTGTAAAAGGCCACATTTTGTTTTTGGGGGAGTTTCTATTCCTTCTACATTAAGAGATGGTTTTAAGAGGAAGCTTGTTTCGGTTGAGAGAAGGGGGCCTTCTTTATTTAACTGGCGACATCAGGATCATTAATGAGTCTTGATGAGCCTGGATGAGCCCGGATGAGCCGCGTTCTGTGCGCGGCCGTACCAAGTTAGGATTAGCTCCGGCGATCCCTCGAGATCCTACGTGAGACGAAGAGATTTAAAATTAGAAATGGATCCCTCCCCTTGTTCTTCACAAAGAGGTATAAAACTAATACAAGTACGTGGAAGGCTATCCTTGTCATCTTATCGCATCTTAAGACAAAAATTAGCTCCCTTAGGCCACCCGCCGTAATGGTTGAGGGCCAATAGCTCCCACCTAGCGTATCTTACCTGTTTGGAACTAACTCCCGCCGAGATTTTTAAGGTACCAATTACCTCCTGACTGTGACATACTGAGATAAATAGTAGGGCTAGAAGAGCCTCTAGTGAAGCCGCTAGTACCTCAAGATGACAACTCTTAAATCCGCTACTAAAGTCTGTTAGAAATTCCTCAGCATATAGGTGTCCGTCATCTTGATTTTTCTATTTACTTAGATTAATAAGTAACTACTTAAAGACGTTATATATTCTGTTTATTTAATCATAAGGTTGAGAGAGGCTTGAATATTATGGGGGCTCGACGTGGACAATAGTTATGCTAAATGTAAAAATATATGGCGATATCCCAATCGTGTCATGGCAAACTAAGCAGCATCAGTCGATAGGTGGCGGCATTGACATTTCCTCGATGGAGCCAAGAATGGGGAATTTCCTTCGAAGCATTGTCGAGGGCCGCTAAAGGGCGAAATACCTACAAAGCTCTACTAGCCTACCAAAGTCCCGAGGAACCGAGGAGACGCCACGAAGAGTGTAAGGAAAACCCGCAATCATCCATCTTGTCAGACAAGGTACGGGGCATTTTGGTGACCCTTAGAAATAGAGATGGAACCATATACATGGGCAGACGGCGCGCCAGCGCATCCGAAACACCCTGAGAAACCCTCACGACCCTTACATCCAACCCTGCCACCATGGGAAGTAGCATGTTGGATTCGATCGTGACGTATGCCGGCTCTTCTTGCACGACCCTCGTTGATTGTTTCGCTTCGAAGAACGCGACCAAGGTCTGTGGCGACTTGCCGCCGTCTGGCCTGATGACTTTCGCTGCTACATGGCTAGCGCCTGGGATCAAGTGCTGGAGATGGTGCTCAATCTCACCCAACTCGACGCGCTCGCCGTTGATCTTCACCTGCATATCCTTGCGCCCGATGTAAGTGAGACTGCTGTCGTAATCGAGTCGCACGAGATCTCCCGTCTTGTATAGTCGGCCTAGTCGGGCAGCTTTGTTGTGTGCTTGAGCGCCCTGAACGAACCAGGAAGGCTTCTCAATAAAGGCAGCTGCCGTTTTAACAGGGTCATCAATGTAATCCCGGGCGAGATTTGGACCCTCAATCAGTAACTCCCCAACGGCTCCCAACGGAACCAGATGGTTATGGTTCCGGCGATTTACCACCCAGCCTACCGAGGCTATGGTGGTACCGATCTTGGCCGGTTCTCGGCTCCCCTTCATCGATGCGGCGGCGCAACAGACTGCGCCTTCAGTTGGTCCATACGCATTGATGATCTCGGGGAGTCCATTCCATCTCTTTTGATCCTCCGCCGTGACGGCTTCGCCTCCGAACACGAGGGTGCGGAGGCTGGGGACGTCCTCGGGTCGAAGAAGGCGAGTTCCTGTGGGGGTAAGAAGCGCGATGTTGACTTGCATGTGAGTCATGGTAGCAGCAAGTTGGGTCATCCTCTGCTGCTCCGTAGGCACACATAGGCCCTAGGTTGGATATAAGCGTGGAGAGTTTGAATAGGAGATAGCCCAAATGGTGTCATGGCCGAATCTTGCACAGTCTTGTTTTCTTTGGTCTGATCCTGTATGACCAAGTTCTCGCAGAGCTGGGCCATGTTCGTCTTGCGGAGGATATCGGTGGTTGGAGATTTGCATGGCGGTAATCGAGTCGCCACCCAGGGGAAAGAAGCTGTCTTGCAATCCAATGCTGGAGACTTCGATATTCAGCACACGTGCCCAAATCTCTCTCATTTTGACCTCTGCTTCCGTTCGCGGTGGCTGTTTCGGTTCGTCAACTGCCTGCGAGCTTGAAAGCTGCTCTTCGAGAACTCCCAAGGCAAGTTTGCGGAGGCGCTTGCGTTCCGTCTTACCAGAGGTTAGCAGAGGCACTTCTCTGATGCTAAGATACGCCGTGGGCACCATATACGTGGGAAGCACCTATCCTAGACGCTCGAGAATCTCGGGGCCGACATGCAGTAGCTCCATGGTCGTATCCAACTCGTGCTGAGTAGCAGAGACATTGTCCTCCGCTGCCTGTTTACTTATCTCCACGATGACTGCTAATTGGGGAGTCGCGTTTTAGGCGGTAAATTTGATCACTTCCGCGACGATCACAGTCCTTGGATCAAGAGACATGCATTCGCGCCCGTGGAACTCTACTTCGCCAGATTCCAATCGTTGGCCCTTTAGTTTGACTTGATTGTCCTTGCGAGCAACAAAGGTGAGCGTCCCGTCTACGTTCAGCTGCGTGATATCACCAGTTTTGTACAACCGTCCGCGTCTTCCGGGACGGCTAGGACCGCGTCGCGATGCTCAACTCCCACGTCGCTCAAAGTAAAGACTACGTCAACTCTTGGGGTGCGGTTGCTGTTGCCTATTCAATGCTAAGAGATATAACTCTTAACTAGTGTGTCTAGGATAGGTCTTTCTCAGAGTGCCATTTTCGACGCAGTGGAGGCCTCACTTGAGCGACTCGGAAGCACCGACCTAGACGTTCTACAGATCCACCGCTTCGACGAAACTGTACCACCAGCCGAGACGATGCATGCCCTCGATTGCTTAGTCCGAAGTGGCAAGGTTCGATATATCGGTGCGAGTTCAATGTGGGCCTACCAGTTCGCTCTCCTGCAGTCCACGGCCGAGAAGTACAGATACACAAAATTCGTATCCATGCAAAACCAGTCCAATTTGCCTTATCGGGAGGAGGAGCGTGAGATGAACAGATACTGCAATGAAACCGGGGTGGGGTTGATTCCCATAAGTTCGTCACCTTTCGCAAAGACATCCAGTTTTGCCTAGTCGTCCTGTTGCACTCAAGTACTGACGATATCCCCGACAGTGGGCCCCATTCTCATCAGGCTTGCTTGTCCGGCCCTTGGCGGAGAATGTAAATTCTCTTCGATCCAAGTCCACCAAGAACGGTGCGTTCTACGAAGATGAAGACTCTGTCGCAACAGACGTTATTATTGCACGCGTAGAGGAGGTCGCTAAAGAAGAGGGTGGCCCATGTGCCACGTTGCGCTAGCTTGGTTGAACCGGAGGGTCGTTGCTCCCGTAATTGGTATTAATGATGTCCACCGTCTCGATCAAATCCTTGAAGCGCAGGGGAAGGTTTTGACCTTGGAGGAAGAAGTTTACCTAGAGGAGCCTTACCGCCCCAGGTATATATCAGGCCATGCATGAGATCTGTACTCGGTATCTACCATGGGCCATCGATGGCTCTCATGGCTAAAGAAAATTAGGCGGTTAACTGGCATCCTATCACCAACTTCAAGCTCTACGTTCACACTTGAATCTTCCTTCACCGACTCCAGATGGCATATCGAATCTCCCTCTACGCTCTCTAGCTTCGAGCTTCCCTAGTTTCGTAAAAGGTCCTCGTCGTGGGTCATCGGTTATGCTAGAGACGCCCTAATATCTAAAGGGAATCGGAAGATGCTACGTTAATAAAAGAAGGCTGTAATAATCTCGACGGAGCCCGCAATGTATGACCCTCTTCAAATCACTTCGGCCTTTTGGTGAGCAGTGGTACTCGCCAACAGCCCTAATACAGTGAATTTCATGATTGAGAAGGTATGCGCGGGCCTAGCTCAGATGATAAAACCGCATGAAGAAGTTCTTACATCGGGATAAGATGTTATCGAAGACATTCGAGGTGCCGAGCCTAGAGAGACCCCTAGGCGATATATTCCTTCCCTTAACATACGCATAAGCCCCGTGGGTGGCCTGTGCATATTAGACGACTAGGCGAGGAAATCCACGAATTCGTAGCCCCAAAGAAGAAGCCAATACGAGGTGATGGACACTTGACACGATATTCTCGTGTCACACGAATCCATCCTACCACCACCCACGAAGTCTTCGTCCGAGATTTATCCGCTTCAAGACGCGCATATGTGCTTCTCCTAAGCCACTCATAGCATAGACCAGACTAGCCTGGGGTTATTCCCCGATTGACTTTGTGCCCAACTCTGAGCTCATGATCAAAGGTTCCCCGCCTTCAGGCTCTGACACACTTGAATGGGAAGTCTAGACCAAGATCTTACCTTGACAACTGACAACACGACCATTCTGCTCCGAAGAGCATATAGACGAGTTCACAAACATGTCCAACGACAGTTTCAAACTCTGTATCTTCTGCCGGCGCCTCGAGCCAGCTGGAGAAAGATGCTCTACCAAAGTCTTTACCCAGGGATCTTTTCACGATCCGAAATCAGCACTAGTCTCGCTTTCCAACGAGGACGAGCAAATTATCAAGGAGCTCCAACAAAAGCCAAGTATTCTTTGCGACCGTTGCTCAGCTTTCGATGTTCAAGGAGTATTTGCGGAAGCGGATTATCAAGATTCCATCAGAACACTTGCCTGGAAACCTGCTGAATGGGCGAACCATCATGAGGATCGGACCAAGCATTCGATGGGCCTAGGGAAACTCTCTGATCTCCATCTTACAGCCTCCTGTCAGTTATGTCGCTTAATCTACTGTATTATGCCAAGACGTGGCCTAGACGTCGACAACCCAATATACTTTTAAAGCCATTTCCCCAATATATCCAAAACGACGGTTGGGGCGAGGTTCCCGAAGATGACAAGAGTTCCTGTGCTTATGCATTGGGGCTGGCTCGTCATTCCTTTCTTCCCGGCCCAAATGACTACGTCAGATTTGGGAATGATATTATGACGGAAGGGAACCATCTAGGCATGTCGATCACAATCGACCCTCCACTCTCGGGAAGGAGCCTCTATAACGCAAGGTTCGTCGATAGCTTTGTTGACTTTGACGTTATTAGAGGACATCTTGAGGCTTGTTTTGCTACACATGGGGACACTTGCCAGGTTCCTCATGGTCTGGATCTCTCGTCTATCAAACTTGTCGATATATCTCTGCGCAAAGTGGTTCCTTACTCTCATACTTGTCGATATGCGGCCCTAAGTTATGTCTGGGGAGGAGTGCATCCTCTTGATGGAGCGCTAGAGTCTCGGACCCTACTGACCACGATTGAAGACGTGATAGCAGCGACGAGAGGATTGGGACTGCAATATCTCTGGGTTGATGCCCTCTGCATCAATCAGTCCGCAAACCTAACTCCTGAGCAGGCGTTGGAAAAGAAGGCTCAGCTCAAGATGATGAACCACATTTACGCTGGCGCGGCCATCGTTCTTATTGCTGTATCCGGGGCCAACTCTAATGCAGGGCTTCCCGGGGTATCGGTGCAACGCGTAGCGCAAGTTCGCGAGCGTGTTGGTGACTTCGCACTATTTACTGCTCCCCCAGCAGTTTCTCTTTCATCACAATCCTCGACGTGGAACACTCGCGCATGGACGTTCCAGGAGGGAATTTTCTCTCGACGCACGCTGCGCTTCACGGACTCTTAGTGGAAATTCTCCTGTGAGGCTTCTGTTGTCTCGGAGTGTGATTCAGAAACTTCTCCAAGGATAACAAAGCTGCCCGATGGTATCGCCGCTATCTTTGCCAGCTTCAAGGTGAGATATTAACAAAGCTCTACCTACTAGAATATCACATGAAATATATCTGACACTACTGCTAGAAAGGGAAGGTCGACCTCCCTAATAGTAGACAGTTCGCCCTTAGGGTCTACGCAGCAATTATAGGGGAGTATACGAATCGGCATATGTCTAACGACAGCGACTCTCTAAACGCCATTTCCGGTATGCTCTCTGAACTTGAGAAAGTCTTGTTCCCTCGGGTTTTTATACATGGCCTACCCTTACTTAGTCACCGATTCTCGCTTGCCTGGATGCACTCGCACGACTCAACCCCAAGACGGAGGCCTTCATTTCCGAGCTGGAGCTGGGCCGGATGGGAAGGAATAGTCAAATACGATTGGAGAACAATACAGGGTTGCCCAAAGGAGGGATACCCGAAAGCGGACATGGAACCGGAAGTTCTCTCCACTCAAGGGAACAACTTATTCCTCGAAGGCTGGATTGTGGACTTGGATATAGTGACGAACCCGCTAAGCGAGGCTCGGGTGCCCAACGGAGACGACACCCAAATCGGCTACGTGATGGAAGGAAATGCGATGGACCCGAACACTATCCCGACCGGGCGATATAGTTGCTTGGTAATATACCGAGTAACTCAAGATTTCGGTAAGGAAACGGTATTCATGATTATCTTAGATTGGGTAGCAGGGGTGGCTTTCAGGAAGACGATCATAACCCTAGACACCAGGGCGGGCTTGGTCATTTTTAAACCAGTAAAACAGGCTATCACATTAGCATGAGCGGCTCTCGCTACGCTAGTTGCTATAATATATAATTCAAGTAAACATGAGACGGCAACAAGCAGAAGGCTAGGAGGAAACAACGTATAGCTCTATTTACCGCTATCAGCCATCCTCTACACCATGTACCGAAATGAGTACCCAACTATGCCATGTGCCCTTCATTGCTGCGGCGACGTTTGATGGGGTCTAAAGGAACTCCTCTGCACAAGCCGGACGTAGGCTACCATTGGCAATCTTTACGTCCCACACGAGGGCTTGTTCATCCCTGGGAAAATAACTCTCCTACAGCTTAAGGCGACTGACCGAGTCCAAGGTCCTCGATAAAGATGGCCGCTGCCTTTTCTCCAATGGCGAACGCGGTGGCCCCTGTATTGGCTGACACGTTGTCGGGGCAGATGCTCAAATCAGCCACCGCGAGTCCTTGCACGCCATGAACCCTTAACCTCGAGTCTACTACACCCGCCTGATCCTGCGGCGCCATTTTGCAGGTACCCATCGAGTGCCAACAACTACCAATGGTCTGCTTTAACCAGTCCTCGATAATCTTGTCATCTTCCTCGGTGTATACGATGTCTTGAACGTCCTTGAGCGGTTCATCTATCTGAACACTCTTCGCAGCGGATCCCTCGGAGAAGACTGGGTGAGCAGGGGCATGTTCGCCTCGGTAGACATCCATGCGCCGCAAAATCTCTCGCTGCTTCTTGTAGGCCCAGATGGCGACTTTCATGTCTACTCCGTCACGATCGCCGAAGAAGCCGGTAACGAAGTCGTGAGGGTCGGAGACCCGGGGCCGGTGATGTGAATGTGGCCCCGGGAGTAAGGGTACAGGGTGAAGGTGGAGCAAGACATATACTGGATGGGATCGATGCCGGCAGGGTCGGCAGGGTAGCTACGGGAATACAGCGGGTTAGCCTATCTCGTTCAGTAGTCGTTTACCGCGCATCAGTTCGAACCCGGCGCTTACCAATTAAGAGAAGTTAGAATGATCATAGGCCTGTTTGGGCTGTCCCGGAAGTCCTTGTCCCAGGTGGCTTGGAATTTAGGCCCGAGTGCGGCAGCCTCGCTTTCCGTCGGCCGAATCTTCCCCGTCGTATCTGCCACGTTCCAGCCGAGGATCTTATCGTTGGAGGCTAGAGCTTCCGCCACGTCTTTCCGCCCTCCGATCAGGGCATCCGCAGTCTCGTCGGGGTTCAGACTCGATCGGTAGGCGTAGACGAGGAGATGATGGTCCATGTAATTCGATCCAACGCCGGGAAGGTCCACGACGGGCTCAATCCCAGCACGGGAGAGCGCGTCGCGGCCGCCTACCCCCGACCTCTCCAGAATCAAGGGAGAGCCCAGCGCGCCACTGGAGACGATGACAAGTCTCCTGGCTTTGACGGTTTTCGTGACTGGTGGAGCATCCCCGTCTGCTATCGAAGCAGGGTTCTGGTGAAACTCTACACCGTTGGCCTTTTTGTTCTCGTCGAATAACACGCGGACCACTTGGTGTTCTACGAGGACGTGCAGGTTGGGATGCTCGCCATCCCGGAGACGTGGGTGCAAATAGCGATGCGCTGAGTCTTGCCGCACGCCGTCCTGGCTGATGAACCTAAGGTTTCGGTACATCGCGTCCGAGGTGCCAAAGTTCATCAAATCCGTCACTTCGGGAAAGCCCTTTTGGGCGGCGGCTTGAAGGAAGTCGGAGCGGGAGCGTTCGACATTGTAAGTGCTGGCGGAGACTTCAATGGGTCCCGAGTAGCCGTGGGTGTTGGACCGACCGGGCCCTTTGTAATTTTCAAACTACGACGTTTTGTCTTCTTTAGTCTGACAGCGATCGCCAAAAGAGATTTCAGCTAAAAACTGACCTTTTGTAGTACGGAATCATGTCTTCCGCCGTCCACCCCGGGGTATTCCACGCATCAAGGTCCTCTCGCTGCGGACGGCTGTACGTGAGCAGGTTAATCGAGGAACCCCCACCCAGGACCCTCCGGAGGGAACCACGACCTCTCGATCCCCGAGCTGGCTTTCCTTCACACCCTGGTAGAAGAGTGCATTTTTGCTCCCAGGGAGCACGTTGGCCATAAACAGAAGCGGGTGGACGATGGTGGGGTTTTGGTAGTTGTTGGGGCCGCCCTCGATCACCAGGATGGAGAGATTCGGGTCCGCGTCGGAGAGTCTGCTAGCCACAACGCAGCCGGCAGTGCCGCCTCAAGAGAAATGATTTTTAGCATGGGCGAAAAGCTACACATTTCCATTCGAACGGGTGGGGAGGCAATTACCTCCGGCGATGATTACGTCAACCTCATCGAGATTGGGCGGGAGTTGAGACAAGGGAACAGCCATGGTGAGATGTGTCGAGCGATTCGTGAAAGCGAGGTAATAGCTGAGAGAGGAGTGTGGTGGGTTCGGAAGAAAGGGAAACGGCAAAGACTCTCGATCGCGGGTAGCACATCTTATAAAGGGTCAGACGTCTTACTTGCCCCTCATCGCGGATCCTTCCATGTCAGCGTAGGACGTGTCGCGGTCATGAGTCGCGGGGTCAATTGGATTCCCATTGGGCGGAAGCCGCGGAGTGTCGCATCCACCGTAAGAAGAAACTGGGCCGGCGTGCGTTTTAGATTGATGTCAGCATCCGCGACGGCTGAGTTTTCGCGCTAGACCTTGAATCGCAGCTGTGAGTTTCGCCAAGCTCTGCTGTCCTTGGCAAAAACTTCGTCGGGGGTCCGAGATCACAACGGCAGGGCAGAGAGTAGAGTAGCGCAGGTCCACGATATGTCGAGGTCAATATGACAAATACCCGTATATACTCCACACTTTAGAATTCCTTCCCCACGCACTAGTTCTTTTCTCCTCCACAACGTCCCTGTTAACATAGGAGCTAAACTCCTACTGCCCTACGCCTGGGCGTTAATGGGTTAGAATAAACGAAGATGGTGCAGGTTGGCACATGGGGAAAGCCCACCCTATCTATAACTAAGAGGAAACTCTTATTTTCTCTCTCCAAGTCCATCATTATATAAAAATTCGAATCATTCGTCATCTTGATCGTTCTCGCCATCACTGTTTTCATTATCGTCATCTTACGTTGTCTAAACTGACTCCGAATCTGGATTAATTGAAAGCCTATGCGAGTCCACAGATACCAAAGGGCCATACCATCCCACCAAGACCAAGCACGGGGTCCATATTTGGCATCGGCTGCCCAACCCCCAGGACGGCCCGCGCACAAACCGCTCACAGTTTTACTTGGCGTAGACTCGATTTCCTGCCGCCTCTCTCTTCCGTGTCGAGGGTTAAGTTCCTCCAGCTCGTGGAACCCCGGCAATTCTTCGTTGATTTAGCACTATCATCCTTGAGTATCGGATATCAAGACCCTAGATAGATAGGGCGAGGCTTGTGTTAGGTTGATTTAGTCTTTAGCGGGTAGACCGTGATCTAGTAAATAATGTCGGGGGCGAAGCACCCGGGCAGTCGCGCCATGTATAAATACGAGGGTTAACACCCGCGGCTGGAATTTAAAGACAGCACACCCTGAGGTATGCGTTGAACTGAGGCGTGATAGTTGACCATTCGATATATATCTCTTCGCTCAGCCGACACCGTCAATACTTCCTCAAGGTCTATATCAGTTAGCTGTGATCGATTTCGAGACAGGCGCGGATGGTCTTGAGTGGTAACTATACATTGCAAAAGGTTTGCTTGTGGAGAGTGGTGGACACCACTAAGCCGTCCGATGTCCCTTGCTAGTAGCGCGAGGCAGTTCAAGTGAACTGGGAAGCCCTCGGGCCACAGCCTTTGATTAGGATCCACGACCTTAGACGACGCAGACCTGATAAAATAAGTGAAAGGTGCCAGGTTACACTCATCATCATGCCCTCATGTGCTAGATTATGAGCCGTAGTCCCGTGAGATCCGGAAAGAGAAGCGGACAGGGGGTTGATGGAGGACCAACACACCAATGCGTAACCAACGGAGTCTGCCCAGATCACTTGACTAAGCATCCATGGACGTATTGCATCTTCGTTCTATGTATGGATGGATGGGTCAATTCGGAGGAATAAGGTCTTGTGTACGTGCGATCTAGGTATCGTGTGCATGAGCACCAAAGAAACCAGCAGGCCTTTCTTTTCGATGGATCATAAATCGCTAGCGGTGGCCTCTCTTGGTACGGATCCCTTCCTTGCATGTTGTCTTGGACGAATCCACGTCCTCCTTTACTTGGCGCTTCTCATTCAATACGGAGAATGAAAGTCAACGTTACAGTCTGGACTGAGTACTGCGCCGACCAGCCTAAACGAGAACATTAATGTGACTACATCTGGCAATAACCAACACATATGGACCTAAAAATAACCGGTCCGTTCAACTCCCATAGTGGCCCAAGAGCCCGGGCGAGAAGCAGGCCCTGGGGGTACCATCCAGCACCTGCCCTTGATGTAGAGCGCCCGTCGTCCAAACCGTGGTCATGGCGCTTAAATGCGGGGTGAAGATCGAACGTGCCGGCCGCCTACACGACGGAACAATCCTACCACGGCCAGACGGTACCGTACAATGCGGCCGATAACCAACCAACCAACCAACCGACTGTCACGTCGGGTTTTAAAAAGTCACGCACCTCCCCAGCTCTGAAATGGCAAATTCTCACTTTTTGTTGGGGTATTGTTCCTCGATAAATCTTTTGTTATATGGAACATGGCGACAAAGGCAGAGTGCAAAGCCGCGGTGTTGGGCATCGCAGATAAGTACGGCTTTCTCGACGATGACACGCTACAGGAGCTGGAAACGTTTAGTCCGGAACTCCGGCGCAAAGTGGAGAGGAGTCTATTGGCAAAGGACAAGGTGGCGGGCCACTCGATATTAACGTACGTCCTCGTTGCGGCAATGGTGCGGCGTCGGTCGCCGCGAGCACATTCCATGAACATTACATATTGAACTAACAACCCGTATGTGCAGGCTCGCCAAAAATATCTATGGCAGCGATGCGCGGTTTGTGTTTGAGCTGTTGCAGAACGCGGATGACAATAGATTCATACGCGCCCTGCATCGGGGAGAGTCGCCATTCATCTCGTTTGACGTGTATTCCGATCGCATAGTCGTCGAGTGCAACGAGGATGGATTCACGATCAACAACCTGTCCGCAATCTGCGCGGTCGGAGAAAGCACCAAGTCTACGTCGCATGGCTATATCGGCACCAAGGGCATCGGGTTTAAATCTGTCTTCATCGCTGCGTGGAAGGTGCTCATCCAATCGGGCCATTTCTCGTTTTACTTCAAGCACGAAAAAGGAGACCCCGGCTTAGGCATGGTCATCCCCGTTTGGCAAGACTGCGAGGAAGAGATTGGCGGACAGCTCACGCGCATCACGTTATACCTTCATCAGAGCGGTGACGCCTCGGATGTTGAGTATCTGCACCAAACTATCTTCAAGCAACTGGAAGATCTCCAAGACACCTGCTTGATGTTTCTGCGCAACTTGAAGCGTATCCGCATTCGCTTCCACAACGGCCCCGACAAAGAAAAGGAATTCAGCATGTCCACGAGAAGCGATGGGAAAACTCTGCTCAAGACCAGCTTAAAAACTACCAACGGCGTTGAAACCGCGCAAGAAAAGGTCTTTCACGTCTCTAGGGCCACAGCGACACAGTTGTGCCATAGCAATCAGCGTGACATCCCCAACACCGAGGAGGGAAGGAGAGCGGCGTCACAGGCCGATTTGGTCTTGGCCTTTCCTCTAACAAGCACCTCGGAGCCATTGATTGCGAGGCAAGAGGTGTTTGCCTTCCTGCCGGTGCGGCTGTCCGAGTTTTCCGTAAGTTGCTGGCCCTCCATAGACGACTATCGCCCACAAAAATATCATGGGACTTGGTTAACTCGGGTGCGCGTGGACAGTTCATCATCCAATCGGATTTCGATACTAGCTCCAACAGGCAGGATATCGTCACGACATCCAGGAGGAACATGGACATCCTCAAAGCGGTCGCCCGCGTCTTCATCCAGGCTGTGCTCCAATTCTGCGAACACCCGGATTTGCGGTACTCTTGGCCCGCTTTCCTCCCGGACAAAGACCGTCTGTCGCCGTTCTGGAGCACGGTGGAGTCGGAAATAGCCGCGCTTCTCGATACAACACCTGTTCTTTTATCACAACATTCCAACTCGCTAAAGATGATCTGGTTTCTCGCTATCCCACCCAGCGATTTCAAAGATTCTAGCGGTAAACCATTGCTAGACGATATTCGAATTTGCCCATTCATATCTCCGAACTACAACTTTAAAACCTGTACCCGGCTTAGAGAATTCGGGCTGAAAACGATGTCGATATCTTTGGCTATAAGCCTAATCATCGAAGACCTCCAAAGCCCAGGTTCCATCATTAAGTCACCGTCAACAAGCGAGGACTGGCACTCGAGATTAGCAAGATTCCTCTCTAGTATTTCAGCTCTAAGAAACTCGTGGGGATCCGTGGAAGCGCTTGGAATATTCCAACTTAGGAACGGAGAATGGATCTACCGTCCATGGAACCGTTCCATATACTGGTCGACGACGGCGGGTGTAGAAATCCCCGAGGGCGTGGACCTGTATATACTCGACCCTCGAGCAGCGAAAAATACCGACCGTGCCACCCTTTACACAAAATTGGGAGTGGAAGAAGCATCGTTTGCAGAAGTGCGAGACTCCGTGTTTAGGAAATATAAACATCCCAAACTAAGCCTTGAAGAGTCGAGGCGGGACCTGCGATTTCTATATCGCACCCACACCAATGACGATGTCGCCAAATATGCGAGCATCCGGATTGTCGATGAGAAAAATATGCTACGTGATCCCAGGAACGAGGATGTATATTGCCGCAGTTCTCACCCCTACGGCCCAGAAGCACTGCTAGCTCCAGGGGCCGGCGCACCAGGCCATGCGGTTAGATTTTTACATGCGGCTTATTTCGAAGACTGTCCCACACATCCGGACAAGAAGCACTTAACATGGGCCGATTGGCTTGGTAGTGTTTTGGGAATTCGCAAGACTGTGCGGCTCGTGGATCGCGGAAAAGTAGAGTTCTCGGACAGCTTCCAATATGTTGCAAAGCATCGGCCCGCCCAACTGCTCGGTCTCATGCAGTATCAATGGGCAACTGAGGGAACCACCATAACCGCCAGTCCCAAACTCCAATCTTTCCTCCGGGAAATGGATGCCGGTAAATTCTGCACCCGCGCCGAACTGTTTCGAGCGACGAAATTGTCATTTCAGCACACCTGGCTGCCCCTGCCGGGTCTTGAGAAGTATTGCATGCAAGTTATGGAACAAGATGAGGCTTTCCCATTTCTCAATGTGGGCGAAGTACCGTCGGCCCAGGCAGCACTGGAAAAGTGGAAGTTTCTCATGACAGCGTGCGGCGTGCAAGTCAAGGATAGCTGTCTATTCCGCTGCAGGATCATCTGGCACATCAAAAACTTCCATGATAGCGCAGCGAGTATTAAGCGACCTGATAGGCTGCTTGGTTTATACGCGGACATTTACTATTGTTGGGAGAATAAGGACCGGAGCACGTATGAGCGACCCCGTTCTTTGCTACGACGAGTTCAATACTCTGCTTGTCAATCATGCGCTAATTTTCTACTTTAAAAGCCACCTCGATACCTTCGATTCGGTCTATGTGCCAAGACGGGGAAACCGTGAACCCCTCTGGGTCGGCTTTGGCGAATGCGTGTGGGACGGACCCATTACCATGTCGTTAAAGTATCCGCTTAGGCCCCTGTATAGCTCCATTTTAGCCAAAGACCAGCAAAACCGCCTGCACACACTTATCCAGCTCTTCGGCCAGTGCGGTGTTGAAGATGCGAGCTGGAAAGAGTTGGTAAGTGAGCTCGAGGAGCTTCGAGACAACGAGATTGAGGATCTCGACGCCGTTGTGGCCATTTACGATTACATGCAGTCTTACGTTTGGAACGAACCTGAGAAAAGTATTGGAGTAAGGTAAGATAAGAGATTCCACGGTTGTAGGAAATCTCGGAAGAACACTCGTGCTCATGTACATTCTAGAGACTTTTTCCGAGAATCCGCTTTGATATATGCGACAAAAGACGGGAGGCCCGGATGGTACACGTCCTCCGAGTGCCTGTGGTCGTCAGTAACCGAGATCCGGGACAGAGTCACGCTGAACGAGCAATACGATGAATTGGAGGATTTTTCGGGACGCCGTCAAGGTCCCGACCCTTGATTTGCAAGTGGTTTACGACGCGCTCTCGAAAACCTGTGAGGGCGCCGACGTAGAGCAAGTTCGTGGCTTGATCTGGTCACTCAACTCCTTCCTTGACGCCGAAAGCACACGGCCTGACGCATTAACCCTCGTTCAGAGGCCAATATTCCCGTGCGAACCCCCGATGGCGAACTCGTTCTAGTATCAGCGGCTACGGGGTTTGCAATAGAGGATAGATCCCACCTCGCCATTGAGTTTCGAGGCAAGATCAAGATGTTGGACTTCAGCCTCGAAGACGTGTGGGCCTTGAAACCCTTCCTCGAGTGGGTAGGCCTCACAAATCGGTATCTATCCAAGTGCGTCAAGGAGATCACGTCAGTTTCGCAGGGTGACGATCGGCCAATCTCTAGGCCGATACGGGACCTTCGACGCAAGGCCCACGCCTTGCTGCGTCTTGCGGCATCGGTGAATAGCCCTCGGTATAACAGCGATGCGGCGGGGTTTTATCATTTATTACGAGATGCAAAGACTGTTGAGACGGCCGGACTACGCTCAGTTCTAATTTTCTCCCAGGCCGGACAAACGGTGGAGATTGAGAAAGATATGGGCAACACACACATCCGCGAGGATGACTCTGGTCTCACGATATTCGTTCCCATTGATAAGACGGCGCAGGCCATCAGCTTCAGCTCAGCTCTACCGGAATACCTCGCGGGCTGGCTGGTGAGAGATCCAAAGACGCTGTTAGGAGAGGCTACGACTGGCCTTTTGTTGACACTGGTCACGAGCGTATTGCTTGCCGACTTGGATGTCGTGTCCTCCATCCTCGAATATCATGGAGTTGTTCGAGTACCTATACCCAATGAGGACGAACCGGTCCATCAAGATGAGAGTACAGCGTACGGCGGAGACCAAGCGCCACCAGACACGCACGACCAGCCCGATCGGTTACAGTCGAACACCCCCGATGCCGATGCCACCACCAGCGACAACCATTCTGAACCACTTACACCACAGGAATCCATTCACGAAGCAGACGACAACGTGCCTCCTATCCTCACTGAGCAAGTTGCTAGCGCCCATAGCAGTATGGCGTATCGCCCTTCATCAGAAACAAGGCGCACGGTTTCCGATTCCATCGTGCTCCAGCAGCCAGACTATGTCAGAGAGAACCGGGAGTACACCAATCTTCTCAGGAATGCGGTGGACGCCGCCCGCCGCGCAACCCTTCCTCGCGCGGGGCGTTTGACATGAGTAGCCTCCAACAGGCCCTTCCTGGTGGTATCGACTTTGAGAGCTTCGATGGGCTTGATGTGACTCGGCCATTCCGCTCCCACAGCCAGCTCGAGCGCGATAAGCGAGTCGGGGCCGCGGGAGAACTTTACGTGGGTTGATTCCCTGATTCGAAGTCTTGTTTCCAACTCACTGATAAATGCTCATGCGCCGCGTGACAGACTTTTGAAATCTTATCTCGGGTCAGTCCGACTTTAGGGGATGGAGTCGGAACAATTGGCAAAGTACCATCCGCCACTATGTCCAGTCGCACCCGGATTACACCGATCTCACACCATGGATTGGTCGGGAGACGTCAGATCTAGTATACGCTGACGATGGGGGATCTTACCTCTCTATTGATCGACCGTGGGTATCTTGCGGCAGACGAGTGGGAAACCGCCCGCCCCAAATACTACATAGAGGTCAAGAGCACTACTGGCCCGTGCCATCTGCCGTTCTACATGAGCAAAAATCAGTTCAAGAGGGTAAGACGCCTATCCAGAGGTTATTCGGGGTTTCTTGGATGATCGCTAATATCTACTTGTTTAAGATGGGAAACTTGCATCGGTCTCACGCCGAGGTTTACATAATTTTCCGTGTCTACGGATTGGGTACTAGAAATATGGGCTTGCGCATATACTTGGACCCCGAACAGCTCAGACTCGATGGGTCTTTGGAGTTCACGGGGCTGACTTGGTCAGTCACTCCGCAGGTGGTGGGTTGAGGCTTTGATGGGTGATCTACTCGGCGCATTCACTGTATTCTGCACCACCAGTTGAAGACGGGTTCAGCTTTGCGCTTTTGGGGATGAGGTGTGCTCTTTGCCGTTAACAGGGCGTTGAAGTGAACGCTTCACAATGTTCCGGGATTGGCCATTTCAAGCGCAGTATAATTCGCTATCAGTTAGAATTATTGATAATTGCGTACAATTTACCATAGCGTGAAAGCATGCCGTAGACCAAGCTCGAGTTCGTGTAGTCACAAACTAAGGGAATGATTCCAAGTGCTAGGCTTCATCATCGTGAACGGAACGAGAACCTAAACAGCGACTACCGTACCCCTCGGATGGAGTAAATGATACGATGTACTTAATAAGCAATGGCGGCCATATTCATACACTTTCGGGGCTGATCTGAAAAAGACCAGGGAAGCAGGGTCAGGTTCTTATGTTAGGAGTCACTGGCTCTTGAAGTGAAAATGCCGAGGCACCAACACGCTTAAGCTGTCGAGAATTTCTTATTAATTTGGATATTACTAGGAGCGCGCAACGAAAGATGAGAAAGAACTGGAGGGATACGCAAGATACCGACAAGAAACCATCCAACGTAATGCTAGGAGTCAAAGGTTAGGAAATGTACATCCGTGGACTTGACGGACGCAGCCATAGGCTCAACCGAGTGCTTAGGATGCGGTGGTCAAGGATGATGGTAGCGGACTCGGGAACAAGAAACATAAAGCACCCATGTAATCTCGCCGAAAAGTAGCATAGTTGGCTTGTGAAGAAACTCGTCCCTCTTCTAGACAGGTCTTGGTTGAAGATGCTCACCACCATTCCGTTCAAACCGAAAGGATGTATGATGCTGAGTGGAGATCGTGATGACTCTTGCTTCTCCATCAGTATTTAATCGTTCGAGATTGGGTATAGGGATGGTTTGAGCTATAAGCCGCTGGAGAAGTACTGGACTTTCCACCTGCCCAAAGGATATAAAATATAAAAGAACCATGCGGATATGCCGACCGAACTCCATTGATGACATTAGTCCTTCTTGCTTGCGCGTATCCACATCTCGGACTGCATGAAGATGCCCGAGTTGGAGGACTTCCAGGGGTTAGTAGGATCGACTAGAGCGAGGTCAAAATTCCTCAAAAGCTAACGAACGCGTTAGTATTCCAACTTGTGCAGAACATGCTGTCCACGGGTCCGACTCACCTCGACGAAAACCTTGTTAAGTTCGATAAGGGCAACATTCTTGCCCAAGCACTGCCACCTTCCGTAGCCAAATACTAGCTCCAAGGTAGCCTCCATCTCGCGGACCTTTTCCGACGAGCCATCCAACCACCGCTCGGGCCTGAAAACCGCCGCGTCTTCGCCCCAGATCTCCTTCCTCCGGAACACGCCCCAGGCGCAGTAGCCAATCTTGGTGCCGTCGGGGATGTACAGTCCGTTATAGGTGTCGCCGCCCTTGGGCACGTCCTTGGACATGAGGCCGGTGACGGGAGGGAAAATGCGGAGCCCCTCCTTGATGACGGCTTGCAGGTAGGGCATCTGGCGGGCTTCGGCGTCCTTGATGGGACGAGACGGGGCAGCGGCGGCGATTTCGGCGAGGAGGCGGGCGTGGACGCGGGGTGTCGAGAGGATGTGGAGGAGGGTGCCGCGGAGGGCGGTGGCGGTCGTGTCGGAGCCGGCAAGACTAATTCGAGGGGTAAGTGGGTGGGCAGAGCGAAAAAAGGTTAGGCTCGAGACTAGGACCTACATTTGGACGAGGGTTTCGGACTCGGCCTCTTTTGGGTTAGGCCATGGGCGATGAAGGAGCCCAGCATGTCACGCTGAACCTTTTATCGGGGCCGAATCGCTTGCCAACAACTTCCTTTGCGATACTACAAACACACACGTCATAGGGTTAGTTGAAAGAAGAAACCAAACGCAAGACATCGGACCGCTGGAAATCAGGAGATGGACGCACCCGATAATCTTTCCGAGACCAATCGGGTCCTTCTCCGACGGAAGCAAGCTCTTCAGAAGCGGTGACTGCAGCGCCCAGTTGAGCCATGGCAGCACGCTGACCAAGATGATGGCGGGCAAGTTCTCCTCGGTGGTCTGGATGTACCGATGGATATCGGCGTCGTTGTCGAGGAAGCCAAACGGCTCGTCGAAGGCGACGTTGGAAATGACGTCGAGGGTAAAGTACTGCGCCTTGCGACCGAAATCGAGGGGTTTATAGTCTTGTTCGGTCGATAGGTACTTGCGCTCGATGAGTTGGCATAGGTCGAGGACGCACTGGTCGATGCGGTTCTCTAGGTTCTCGACTTCCTTGCCCGAGTACTAATATCCCAGCACAATCAGTAAAAAGAGAAAGAGGGTTAATTTAACACAGCCAGCCATCTGGTGGCATTATTTGTGTTCCATATTATATGGAAAAATAGAAGGGCATGTTGGGCGGGGGCGGGAGAGACCTACACCTGCAGCCATCTTTGCGCGGAGCTCATTGTGCCTGGTGTCGTCCCTCTGCGACAGGACATTGTCTCGCGAAGGATCGAGTCGCATAGCCACATACCAGTCGGAGCGGCGATAGTTTGTACGGACCCCGAGCATGCGACGAAGAAGCTCTGGGTCGCACGTCACCAGGGTGTCTGGACCGATGCGGGCGAGCGCGCCTGGAAGCAAGGGAGAAGAGAGCAAACATTGTCAGCCGAGCACACATCCTTTGCCAGAATACCAAACCTCGCCCCCCAACATTTCTCGGCTCCGTCCCCTTGGGACCTGTCGTTTCGTGGTGCTGTGTAACCGGCGGTTCGAAGTGGAAGAAAGAAAAAAATAATACTAAAAAGGGGGTGGGCTTACCGTATTTCTCATTGACTTCGTAGAGATCCAGATGCATCGTCCCACCCGAAACATGTCGAACAAGCCACCAACGCGAAAAGGCGGCCCAGAAGGGTCCTTTGATATGGCGCAGGCGATACCAGGCATAAATCCGACGAGTGATGGATGAGGTCACGGAGCCTACGACCAAGAGGCCCAGGACCACGCGCCAATTCGCGAGGAGAACGGGGGCCATTTTTCTTGCACCTCTTTGTTCTGATCAATCGTTTTTTTGTCCTTCTGCACCCGATGTTTTTTTCTTTTTCCTCTGCTACCCCTCGTAATCGTGAGGGGAAAAGGGAAAAGGGGGAAGGGCAAAAAGTATTCTCGCGAAGGCCCAGCAGATTACTTTTCTTCTTTTTTTCTTTCTTTCTACCACGTCGAATTTCCCTGGTTTAACCTCCGAGGAAACCCACCCTGGCTCGCTTCGATAACCAAAGTGGTTGGGGAGGTATTACGAAGTAGCGATTAGGACGACGAGGATTTGTCCGCTGTCACAGGGCGGACAAAGCGGGGAAAGGGGGCATGGGATGGGGAGCGATTTACATTCACCGGCCCGGTGGCTTGGGGGCTGGCCTTTCTGGTGTATCAATGTGTCCAATCTGATGTGTAGACTCGCTAGTCGAGCTTGTCAAGGCATGTTCAATCTATTCGGATTCTACGCTAATCTCGTGTCCCTGCGAGAGGCGCTGGCTCATTGTGGAACGGCGTGAAAGGGACTCAGAGGGGACGTTGAGTTTTATGCGCCATTCCGTACCAGGTTTTGCTACACCAAGAACTTTGTAAAGTGGCCAGCCAGCCAGGGAAACCCGACTGTAACACTCTGGCCTCAGGGGGTGCTCAATGGGAGAATGTGAACCACGTGTTGCTGCTGCACCCGACGAGCAGGATGAAGAGACAGCCCATAGAGGTGATTCTTTTTGTTCCATCGATTTTCTTCATCTCATCGAGCAGTCGTTCTTCCCCCTCGTGCCACCGCTGCAAGGATCGAGAAATGACGCTCGCTGGCCAGTTCTGGCGGATGCGACGTGACTCCGTCCCTCTGGCTTGGGACGGTGGAGAAATGAACCGAAATTGAGGGCAGAAGCAGGTGGGCGCTGAGGCAATCTGAGGGGGCTGCATCAGTGCTTTTCCCAAATGGACGGGCAGTCATGCACATCACGGAACTCCATTGCTTTGATGGCTCTCACTCCCATGTCGTTCCAGTACATAGACGTCGCATTTCACCGTACAAGTAGCAGCGCACCCTGCGGAGGCGGGGGAGGAGCCTTCTCTTCACCGGGTGGAAGCCTGCAGAAAGTGGCTTCCCACACTGAGTTCTCATGCTTTTTCTTGTATCTTTTCAAGACCAACAGAGATTCCTACCAGATAAAAATCTACGAGAATATCGACGCGTCGGCGTGTTGAACAAGCCGACAAAAGGTCTCCATTCAGAAAAACGAAAAAGAGGAAAAAGAAGAAAAAGAAGAAACGGAGGATTGTGACAGAGAAACCCAAAGCTGACGAATATGTCGCGTACATGTGGTTCGCAACAATAAATCCAATTCCAGGACCAACACAATGACAGGTCATATGCAGCCCGGGAGTCGGACACGGTGCCGCGACGGACGGTGATTGGTTCGATCCGGGACGACTTGGGGACTTTACGGCGGGGCTGGTACGGCCCGTAATTCGGGACCCTTGTTAGAGGCCCTGGCGCTATGAAAAAGTCGTGGTCCACAGGAATCGCGTACCACATCGTAGCGTAGCGTACCTCGGTAGTGTGGGGGCTACACGACAAGCGGGTGACGAGAAATCGGGGAGTGGAAGGACGCCTGCTCAAATAGGTACCTCGTCTCCCACACTGAACTTGTCTGAATTTCTCGTCCAAGTCCCCTCCTCGACAATGGTTCTCGCCAGTGTCAGGATTATCAATATGATCTCTTGCCTTATCACTAGCTGAGAGGGCCTGTTTGGTTTCTGTTTGACAGGAGGACAAGAAGCTGTTATTCTCTTTGATTTCCATCGTCTACCGAGGTACTTTTCCTACAGAAACTCACACACCTCTGGGAGGGAGGAAACAAAAAGTGGCAGGTTTCTCCTTCGAGACATACCGGGAGCCTGGTCTAGGGATGCGAATTCGGAGAACCGTCTAGTGTATGCTGCAATGGCTGGCGATGGCGCACCTCCAGGACCAGCCATCACCTAAACCCGAACACAGCAAAAGAATCCCAGCATGTGGGTGTCTTTCCGCTCGTGGGGCCGTGACAAGACGTGAAGTAATAGATTCGGTTGGTGCATGAACTGGCCTGGCCACCCAACTGCTCGTGCCCTCCTGCCGTCGCCTTCTCGAACCACCCGTTGCTTTCCTCGATCCCTTCTCACCTGTTCAAACCCCTGTCCAAACGTGCGCATTCCATATTACTTGCCGATGCTCTCCTCCTCTTTCTCGGCCCGCCTCTCATACACGTTTTTTCTCTCTTTCCCCCATTCAAGTCTGTCCCTCTCTTTCTGCCTGGCTCGGAATTTACATGAATCATCTGATTTCCGAAATCCATCCCAAAACACCGAAGTTGGACATAGAACACCGAACCTCGCTGTTGATCAAAAACAACCACCACCAGCGCGCGCGCGTAATACTCCACAATGACCGGCCCTCCAAACGACCCTGCCGTGATTCATGCGGACGTACGTTTTTTTGATCTTCATCTTTATTTACTTTTTTTTGCTTTGTTTTTCAGTGCGAGACTGCGCAAGGAATATCATCCTCTCGCTCGCAGAGTTTGAAGTGCTGATTTGCCCCACCCCCGCAGGACCACGTCCCAGATAATGATGCCGATTCTACCTACAGCGCGGTAAGCAGCTTGACCTGACCTCCCATGAGGGAGCAGCTGAGCATTGAGAAAGACACTCATCACGGGAATTCTCTCTTTTAGGCCACCATTACCAGCGATTCCACATCTCTGTCTTCCAGCATTCTAAGACACCGCATGGAAAATGGCCGTCAGTACCATGCCTACAAGGAAGGGAGTACGTATTCCATGTCACGATCGCCCTACCCTTTGTAAAGTGGCGTCCTAGTATTAATTAATAATCGGCCTACCTGTAGAATATGTGCTCCCCAACGATGAGGTAACCTTGACCTTTGCTTCACCTTGTCAAGTTTGGTGATGATGGTGCTAACGGTGCTGCGCATCTCGTTAGGATGAGAGTCTAAGGCTTGGTATGTCTTGCACATCCGCGTACATCCCGCGTCGTGTCACCATTCTAACGATTGATAAGAGCTCCAACACCACATGTACACGTTAACCTACAATGGCGAACTGTTCGTATGTCCCGCAATCAAGGACAAGCCCGCTCCTCGCGTGCTCGACTGCGGCACGGGTACCGGCATCTGGGCAATGGATTATGGTATGCAAGTCTTGATCTCACCTCATCACCTCCATCTGCTAACCGTGAACCAGCCGATGAGAACCCCGAAGCAACGGTAAATGGTTTCAATTCACGGAATATCGACGGCACCCTTAGCTAATGTATCCAGGTTATTGGAATCGATCTGAGCCCAACCCAGCCCGCCTTGTAGGAAAGCCCCGTAACACTTCGCTGACCCGACCCCCGACTGCTAACATCTTCCCAGTGTCCCCCGAATGTGAGCTTCTACGTTGACGACCTCGAAGAGGACTGGGTCTACTCCGCCAAATTCGATTTCGTCCACGCGCGTATGCTTACGGGCTCCATCGCCAACTGGCCAAGGTTAATCCAGCAAAGCTACGAGTACGTTCTTGCCCAGCTCCTTCACCCCTTGCCATTTCTAACCTTCTATTCCAGCAACATCGCGCCCGGCGGTTGGTTCGAAATCTCCGACATCACCTTCCCCATTATGTGCGACGATGATACCTTCCCCAAGACCTCGGATCTTAACAAGTGGTCCGACTTCATGCTCGAAGCCTCCCAGAAACTCCAGCGCTCTCTCGAAAGCGCGTACCACTACAGGGAACAGCTGGAGCAGGCTGGCTTCGTCAACGTCGTCGAGAAAAGTACAAATGGCCTCATAACCGGTGGCCTAAGGACAAGAGGTACAAGGAGCTCGGTGAGTTATCCTCCTTTACCCACCATTTGGAGAGATGAACCCGTAGAAGAAGGCTAAACAATTTCAAAGGAGGCTGGGCTTGCGAGAATATCGCGGGTGGCGCGTCGGGCCTCAGCTTGGCCCTCTTCACAAGAGGTCTGGGCTGGACTGCGCAAGAGGTCGAGGTCTTCCTTGCCGGAGTGAGAAAGGACATGATGAATGTGCATATGCACACCTACTACTACATGTATGTCCCACTTGCTTCCACCTATCGTGTACCGCTGCTGACGTTTCCTACGTAGTATTACCGTCTACGGCCAGAAGCCTGAGGATGCTGGCGATTCGCCCACCACAGGTTCACCCGTGAATCCCTAGTCCGAGCGTCACCAGGATTCAATCGACATTTTACGGTATTGTCTCCACACCTGCCTGGGTTCAATCATTGTCATTACACTATCGAAGTGATCGTCTTCTCCTCTAGGCTCCTAGTGTTCCTGAGTAATACTAGAAAGCTAGCTTCATACCCCTCTCCTCCTAGTTCGGGACCCGGAATCAACCACCTCAATTAGTCCCTTTCTGTGCCGAAGGATAGGAACGATATCTGATGAAGTCAGAAGAGTGGGAGCTGAGGTATAAACTTGATCTAGGGATAAGTTGGACGCGAGAAAAGCAAGTTCAGAACTTGGATGGAGATCGGACGACAGTAGTCCCCGAAAGCAGGTAGTCGCGGTAATAAAAGGATACCATCCCAGCTTATGATTCTAAGTAGTCCCTGTCTTACAAATACCTACCTATGTTTCAGACCTTTGTGATGTCTCCTATTAAAGACAATCTCGCGACTGACACTAACATGAGCTAGCTATAGTAGCTCCACTGGCTTACTTATACCCCTATGTTTCACTCAACATATCTATATTCATGATAGCTCTTCATAAGCCAGTGATCGACTGTCAGTTAGCTGTTATCCGTCCTTGTTGAAACTAATTAGGAGCATGTTCAGTCCGTTGCGTGAGCTTTGCCTACATCATGCATATCAGTATGCCTACTGTTGAAGGATGATGGAAGGATTCCTACGGAAATGGAAGTCCGTCACGGAAACAGATATCCGTTGTGGAAACAGATATCCGTTGTGGAAACAGATATCCGATGCGGATACCGGTTTCCGACGGATCCACATGACGGATATCGACTTCCGTTCCGGAAGATGGTATCCGACGGTTCCAGGAATGGCAACTATAAAAGACCGTAGATTCCTCCATAGAACGGCTCCAAATAATGGAACCAAGCAGCGAATACGAACAGCATTCTACCCCCATCTTTTACCCTTTGTTCAATACCTACAAGTCTACGATGGAGCACTCCAATCCCATGCCAGACCGTGATGACTAACGAGGGTGGCCCATGCTCTATAGAATCTTCGTGATACATGTAGTGAATGAGTGCACTGACTGACTGCAGTTACCTATTGCTTAATTCGAATCACCTCCTACGGCATGCCCATAGTACGACTATTGGTACCTTCTTACTATCTGATACCAGGACTATACTTTCTCCTTCTGTCGCCAGCCGTTGACAAAGAATGTGGAACACTATCTTAACACTACGCGGCCCCTTCTGTGGACAGCATATGGCCCCAAGAGAGGTTATGAACTGATAGCTAGTTTAGTACAATGCGCCAGTTGGTGTTGACAACATAGATAGCCGCTTGGCCCACCTGAACCGCCTTGATAGTTTGGTCCAGCTGCTAATGCGGGTGATAATAGCATTGTGTTTTTGAGCCTCGCACACGTTCCATTCGCCAGCTTCTTGAGCCCATTGGTAATCTGTTTTGGTTGGTTTTGAGATGATGATGGCACTCCCTAACACCGCCCCAATGCCACAGCACAGCGTGTTGGTTCTGCATATAAGGCGACATGCATAAGAACCGACAGTTATAATTCCGTTTCCCTCTCGAGGGATTTCCCGCACCGTCGGTCGCGATAAACCGTAGTTTATCCGGCTCAGAACTGAAGCGCAGAAAAGTGAGGCGAGCATTCGCTGTTCGTGTTGCTAAGCTACCTATTCTATATATAAAGAAATGCTGGGTGAGGGTAGCACTCTTGCCGACTGACATGCGGTTCTATCCTTAATAAAAGCGATTTATTGGCTTACGGCCGAATTTGTGGTAGGGAGGCCGCGAATATGGGTTCGAAACGCCACAGCAGCAACGTAGGAGATAAGTGGCGGCCGACTAAACACCCTCGACTTGATGAGTCCGAACTAGGCGACAATCTTCCGGATTCCAACTCCCTCGCCCAACAGCCCGGTACGGAGGAGTTTCGGCGGGTGGAGTCGAGTCATGTATCTCCTATCGCGATTGACATCGCCGGCCACGACTCGGACGAAAGTAGCGCATCGCCAGCAGAGAAAGAAGCGCCTCGGGCGGAGAGGAGAGGGTCTTCTTTGACCAACACTCAGGAAAAAAGCGAGATATCAGATACGGTATCGACAGCAACAGAAACAACTGGTGATGGTGGCAAGTACGACACGTGTTTTGGTCTTGTGGGTCTACGAAGTGATGGATGCTGGAGAGAACCGAGGTCATGGCTAACATGGTCGTAGGTTGAAACGACCGCGATGATCAAATCTTCTACTTCGAAAGAGTCGAAAAGATTTCCTGTCAAGCTCCAGATTTCCCCGGCATCCCTAAAGCTAGAGATAGTCCACATAGACCAAAAGACTATAGTCGGCCTGAGCAACTTGGGCTCTACCAAAGTATCCGCATTTAATGACGCCATTCAAACGTACGGAGTAGTTCTCACTGCGACGGCCGTTTTCCCGGCCAAGTTCCGCCACAGTTACGTCCCGTGCGCTCTCCGTATCATTGTTTACGGCTGCATGGCGTCCCACCAGGCGGTGGCGGAGACTCTGGGCCTTCGAGGTCTTTACCTACAGCACCCTATCTCTCTGAGTACGATGATCGTGTGCCATACTTCAACCCACAATATCTCGTTCGCCCTGGCGGGTCGATGCCCCCTTGGAGGACCTGAAGATCTCGGGCAAAGACTCCATCGCGTACGCGAACGACCTGACCGCGCACGAAAGGCGCACATTGCTAGAGATTTTCGACTGCGCACGTGGTCCAGATTCGATACTTGGTATCCGGCCTAGTTCCAGGCTGAAATCGGAGCTCAAAGAGTACTGTGAGGCTCGAATGTCGTATTCCGAATACCGGGCTAATAATGGGTTTTCACAGGCACCAAATTACCGCCTTGGCGATGATGATCGAAAAGGAATGCAACGTGACTGACAACCTGGCCTTCCCTGCGCTATGGGAGTTGAAGACTAATGGAAACGGTCTGAAAAGGTACGTAAGCAGAACTATGATGCGAGAAGAATAAAATTGCTGACTGCCGACATGCCAAAAGATATCGTCATGTCGTCACTGGTCGTGAACAAGAGATGCAACCTACTCCGCTCCGAGGGGGATTCTTGCCGACGTAAGGTTTTCTCCCTCCTTTCTAACGCTGGATTTTGCGCCTGACAATGGATCAACCTAGGAAATGGGTCTGGGAAAAACGCTGTCTGCCATCTCACTCGTATTGTGGCATCTTGACGGGTCCAACAGCACCAAGACGCCTCAAGATATGAGGAACCTGACGCTAATAGTAGCACCTAAATCTAGTAGGTTACTGGGCAAACCTAAAGTCTCTGCCTCGCCAACTTACACATAATAGCTATTCCTGAATGGAACTACCAGTTTGAAAGGTATCTTGATCCTCGCAACGGGGTCTCCGGCGGCGCCAAGTCTAACCCAACCTCTCTACTAGGCACGTCCAAGCAGGGAGAATAAGTGTGCTTACGTATCATGGAAACCAGAGGCACCATACAACACAGGCGTGGGGCCACTCGGATGTGGTACTTACTACCTACGGCGTGGTGAGGTCGGAAAAGGGCAAGTCTGGCCCTCTCTTTCAAAGGAAATGGGCCAGAGTCATACTAGATGAAGGTAGGCTTTGCTCCTCTTATACATCGCTCAAGAACCTAGGGCCAATGGCGAAACACAAGGCTAATCCTACCGCTGTACTTCGTATGTGGTATTGAAAGCTCACAAAATCCGCAACCGGGTCTCCGAAAATTTCAAGGCGGTAACGGCCATTGACGCGCCACGCCGCTGGTGCCTGACGGGGACACCTATCCAGAACCGTCTGGATGACATTGGGGCGTTGGTGAGTTTTATCCAGGTCGACGGCCTTCACTCTCAGAAAGACTTCAATCGCTTGATCGCAAGTCCAATTAAGAACAAGAAGAGCTATGGGCTCGATCGTCTCCGCTCCCTTGTCAAAGCTATATGCCTGCGTCGGACAAAGGACAGCGTGCAGAACCTGGTGAGGCTGCCGCAAAAGGAAGAGAGAGATATGGTTTTGAGCCTGACCGGAGAGGAAAAGAAACTGTACGAGTTCTTTAGAGTCCGAGCAGCCAGGGCGTATGATGAGATGCAGAAACTCAAAGCCAGGCGCGCTGTGAGCAAGGCACAAAAGCAACCTAGCGCTGGTCGTGGGAATCATATCCTAGTTATGATTGGATGTCTCCGGCTTATATGCGATCATGGCGAGAGTCTTTTACCTACGAACGCCCTGAAATTATGGCACAATCGAGGCACGCAAGCCTTAATCTTGGCCAGTACTGGGAGCCTAGCAGGACTCGACCCGCAACACTGCGACGTTTGTGCATCAGATCTGGATCGCGTTGGTGGTGACATATTTACTATTAACGAACTGGAATGCGGCCATGTTCTATGTGAGCAGTGCTCTGTCTCCGAAGATCTTGAGGAACCTCAGGATTCTGATATCGCTTGCCCTAAATGTTCGGAGAGATCTATGCCGCCATCCTCGAGCCAATATGGCGTGGGAAAAGGAGGGAAGAAGCCCTCAGTAAAGGTTATTGCTCTCCTGGAAAATCTCAGAAATGAGCGCGCGCTGAAACCCTCGGACGGGAAAGGGGGCACGAAAAGGTATGTCTTGCATGCTCTTGGGCTCTTGTAGTTCTCTCTGGCTAACATATCCGTGCTTTTAGTGTGGTATTCAGTTTTTGGACCAAGATGTTAGATCTCGTGCAGCAAGCCTTCCATGTCAACGGCGTCAATTTTCGGAGAATTGACGGGCAATCTTCACTCGAGGAACGGTCCCGCTCCTTACAAGCATTTCGCGACGACCCCGACTGTTGGGTGATGCTGGCTAGTATTGGCAGCGTGGGGGAAGGGTACTACTATCCGGGCTCATTTATTTCCAGGCCGCTAACTCTTTCTTGTGTACTAGCGTTAATTTAACGGCCGCAAACTTTGTTCACATACTCGAACCTCAATGGAATCCCATGGTCGAGGCTCAGGCTGTAGATCGAGTCCATAGAATCGGCCAGGAGAGGGATGTAGTTATCACTCGCTACCTTATCAAGGACTCGGTGGAATTTGTGCGTACACCAAGAACTAACTAAAAATGAAAGATTGAGAAACAGTTTCTGACGAGTGTGTGTGCCAGTACGTGCGAGAGATCCAGCAAGAAAAGTTGCGAATGATTCATCAGTCCCTCTCGACGATGGAATTGAGTGGAATGATGTTGTTGCACGGAAAGACAAGGTCAGCTAGCAGGGTTTATAACAGTGCCTAGTCATTACTAACATATTTCTTGCTGGATGCTTATAGATGCTATCAAAATTGTTGTAGTTGGATCTTGACTAAATGAAATGCATAAAGCGACTATTTTTTATCATTTTGTTTACACTATTGTGGTTGGACGTGAGGCCTTGAGATTGTTATAATATTTTAGTAGAAGCGTTAGATATCTTAGGGTTATATCGCTGTATATGAAAGAGCAAGTCTCGCAGGTTTCATCGAAGGGAATTTTCTTCCTTCAGCTTTGCAAGGTTTGACTCGCGCTGTGCAGATGTCCAACTGACAAGCTCCTCAAAGTTCATTCCAAGCCAAACTTTAATGTTTCTAGCTCCATCCTCTTCAGATACCGGCTTGTGGTGCTTATACTGGCGATCGACCGCGCCCTCCAGAAGCAAAAAGCGGACAAAGTCGGCTGCTTCCTTACTCGACGTCTTGCAAGCCCACCGGAGGGCCGATTTGGTCTTCCAACCTGACCCTCGGGTTGTGGGGTCTACGGAGTTGACGTCTGCCCCAAGCTCGATCAATACTTTGGCCTGAACTTTGGAATAGCTGCTCTTTGCAACCTCAATCAGGGCTTTTGAAAGATGTCCATCATTCACCACGCCGTTTTTACACAACACTCGCCAGGCCTCGAAAAGACGCGCTTCCTGTTGTGGAAACTGAGCAGCTGTGCGGAGCACCAATTTGGTGAATATCTGTGGTATTATTCCGAACTTTTGACGGGTGAGGGCGGCCGTCAGGTCGAGCCAGATTTGGAAGATCTCGGGCGATTCGGACTCGAGAACAGCCACAATTATCACCTCGTAGTCGCACACATCGGGAAACTTGGTGAAAATCCATCTGGTGAGCTCGATATTATCACTTTGCAGACAAGCTTGACCTAATTCGTCAGAACGCATATCTATCCTAGGAGGGTTTGCTACCGTTCTATTCCATTCGAAAAACATCGTGACAATTTCCAGTTGACCATGACTGGCAGCCATCATCAAGAGTTCTTTGGTCGTCCTGCCGTTTACCTTTTCGCGGCACGAGAACCAAACCTTTCGTAATTCGGAAGCATTGCCACACTCGACTAACCCGAACAATAGTGGGTACAGTACTTCATTGTCAATCGATGTTGATGGCGTGCAGGCCGTAAGCCCGATGACTTGATGGAATCTCTTGCGATGGTCTTCGAGGCCACGAGACGAGGGGAAGCCAATATAAGAGTACACACAAGCTTTGACGGGACATTTCCATGGCTTGCTGTGGCAAACCATGTGCTCGGCGCGTTCTGCTTGCTCCTCAAATCCATGACGTCGAAACGAGCACGCAAAGTCACGGCACTTGTAGAGTCGTTTGCCGTAGTGTCTATGCAGAATTGGGCACACACAGTCCGTTCTATGACTCGTTTGACCGTCTCTCTGGTCCAAGCAGAGTAGTTGGCTGTACATCTTCTCAACTCGAGCACAGGATTCCGAGACGGTCAATGGATCCAAGAATGCCCACGTATTCGCTGATGCAAACTCTTTAGCACTAAAATCTTGTGGAAAAACGTGCGCTAGAAGTGCTCCTCACCATTATCAGAGGTCCACAGGTCCTTTAGATGATCCTCCAGAAACCCGACAGTGTGGGCTGTAAAGGCGGGTGCATGCGGCCACGGCGGAGATCGTGTGGGGAGAGTCACCTCCTGGCTTCCGTCGGCAATCTCGTCTACGCTAACTCGGAAGTCCTGGTTTTCACATTTGTCATGGAGATTTTGGAGTAGAATGTTAACAGGACCAAGGTCTTTTGAATCGCGTGCGGAACGAACATATTTCTTGGCCAGAGCGAACCAGTAAAGAGAGGCGAATTGTTGGAAGCGGTACCTACCCTTAAGGATATTTTCTTGTACTTGTTCACCTTCAAGTTCTGGATCCAGCGCATCGTAACTGAGATAGGTTGTACACGCGGTGAGGAGGTCTAGAACTGACTCGCTCATATTGATGATCTTGCTTTCATGCTTGAAGATGTACCTGCAGACGTCAGATTGGAGCACCAAAAGATGCATGACAGTGATGACAAAATTATAGAGGCTTACTCCTTGACGGTAAAATGGACAAACAACGGTGTATCTTCCACAACTTCTACTATGGGTCCGCAGAGACTAATGATTCTCAGCGAGGTATCCACTACGGGCGCGTCTTCATGAGTACGCGAGGCCACCAATAGAGCTTGCTCCATTTCATGTTGCTTGAGAGGAACAGGAGAGCATCCGATCCAGCCAAGAATCCGGAGCACCGTCTCACGCTTTGCGCTAGTAAACGCTTCGATTCTTGCAAAGGTCCGTTTATAACTATATGTGTGAGTAGGTGCTACGGTTCGGTCGTGGAATCTTTCTCCTTACACTTCATCAAGGTCTTCCGGCAGCGCCTCCAAGTCACAGCGGATGTCGTCGATGCTCGTCAAATGTTTCACGTTATCAATGACGATTTTGGCGTAGAGGAACATTCCTTTCAAGGCTGTTAGTAGATATAGTGCTATCGAGTCCTTTGGGACCAAACCTTTGGCCTTATTCGCTAGTGACGCCAGGAGTGCCTTGATTCTACAGGCTCCGTCGGGCAAAAGTTGCTTTCCGCCATCCATTCGTCGAACCGGTAATTGACGTAGCACTGGATGGCCACGGCATTATTGGCATGGGCAGATATGATGCTAGCTCTTGCACTGAGGGTTGCGTTGATATCATCCTCTGCTCTGCTACTAAAGAATAGCCTCAACGGAAGGTCGCTGCAGGCATCTGCCATCTGCAAGAAATGAAGTAGAAGCTTCTTGCGGGAAAACTCCTCCATTTCATCAAGCCCGTCAACAACGATATATGCCCCGCCTACTCTTTTCAAGCCCTCGCTTAATAACTCCGCACTAATCTCCGGCTTCGTCTTCAGATCGTGTTTACTCGTGTCGATCAGAGCGCGCGGCAGCTCAGAGTCGTACGAAGCCAGTTGGAAAAGCAGGGAATGAAGTATAGATATATCAGTTGTGCTCATTTGGTCGTGTCTAGGAAATGCAAAGAGCGTGGGGCCAGCCTCTTTGACGATCGTGGTAACTTGAGATGCGAGAAAGGTTTTGCCTAACACGTAGGATTAGCTCAGTTCAACTTTATAGCGCATCGAAATGCGGCCCCAACCCACCAGCACCCGGAATGCCTTGAAGCCACAGGACCCGGGGAGACATGTCGGTTGATCTGTCTACCCATTCGAGAAATACCGCATCCCGTTCTAGCCATTTTGAAGTACCGGGGCAGAAACGGGGCGTTAGCCAAGCGAGTCGATCGTCGTACATCCGAGGGCTAATGGAGGCTTCCAGCGCGACAAAGGCCTGGTTGACCCTCGAAGTCTCGGCCTCCCTAAACTCCTTGAGCATCTTGACCCTAGCCTCTTCAGAGTCACGAATATGCTGAAAGGTTGCTCTGCGGGTAATGAGCTCTATATGGCCTCGCATGCGGGCTCGGATCTTATCCAACCTTTCCAGAACCCCTGGCCAAAACGGCGCGAGTATTCGCTCTAGTTCTGTTAGAGGTTAGTAAAAACATAGAAGGAAACAGAATGAATAGAAAGGTATTTGACTGGTGGGCAGCCTGAGTCAAACGGGAGGGTAGAGATACTAGACTTGTAGAAGAGGTGAAGCAATTCCGCATAGAAGTCGAGGAGGTCCGCAAAATAAAGGGCGAGGATGCCCTTGCTGTGCGTGCTTTGCGCGATTTGTGACTCTAGAATCTTCAGATCTGGGATGTCTTGACCGATTTTGGCAATCTGTTCCACCGCCTTCTCGAATCCTTCCCTCCATCGCGCTGTGGACATAAGAATCAACTTTATCGGGGCCCAGATGAAGCCGAGAATGTCCGGCTTGACCTGCGCTAGGACATCAACGACGCTGGAAAATATTCGGAGCCGCTCTACGAAGGGATGTATGCGCGCCAGCCAGAGATTCTTGTACGGCCCATGTTTGGTTTGCTCGGCTTGCAGCTCATCCATGGCGTCGTAAAGCTGGTCGCAAGTCTTGATGTCACCAAGGTCCGGAAGCTTTTGGACCCGACGAATCGAGCTTGAAACTCATGTATAGCGCGGGAAAATGCCTCCTGGACGTAATCGGGCTCAGCTGCGGATTCCATGTTTGCGCCGAAGGGTGCAAGAGGATAAATGTTTGGCGGTAGTGGTTCGTACGAGAAAAAGATTAAAGCGTAGGCAGAGCTGCCACGGTCCGAGTCAGCCTGGGTATCTTGGGATGTTTTGGCAGTTCAGGAACGAGCGGTGGAGCGACAGGCTTATAATGGAATTCAATGTTGGGCACCGATGTGCGTCGTCAACGGCTCGACCGTCGCAGGTTATCACGTCTGGTAATTGATGTTCATTCCCGCTCCCTAAGACCCTACACAATGGGAGCAGGCTGCGAAGACGGGCACTGCTGCGCCTGCGGGTGATCTCATGAAACGGTAGCTACACGTTGTCAAGTCGACCTGGTCTCTGTGAGCAAACGGTGTTTACGGATTATTTCACGAACGTTGGCTAGCCATGCCACCTCTACCGTTTTTCGAAAAAGGCATGTTGTGTTGCACAACGCTGTCCATGACGGTACATGATTGGCCCTTTGATCACTCCATGCATCCTGTCTTAAGCCACTGGGCTCGTTTGGGAGCGACAAACCAATGCCGTATAATAGTGTCCAGGAGGACTACCGGTTTGCAATGCCTCAGACCTCCACGGCGCTGAACCTCATCCTAATAATGCTCGTGGAAGGGAGTCTCAATGGCAAGTTCAATGATGTTATATCAGACACACCCATGAATGTTTTGAATCCTGTTGCGGATTCCATTCCACCAGTGAAACTGCCAAGCAAGGATACGATCTAGTGTTGCGAGGTTTGGAACTTTCAAATTCCTAAGTATGTTCAAGATATATTGTCAGAGATCAACGTCTCTAACAAGCGTAGGGGTAGCCTTTGAGGTAATTTAAGACTTTAATCCGTTACGTGAGAACAAGGTTCCTCGGGGAAGAGGTTATGAATAAATCTCTTAAACTCTTGAGCCAAAATTCAGGGACTACGGGAGGCAGAAGAGAGTATTTCTCTGCGAACCTAGTATACCTGGAGTAGGTCATGGACCTCGACGCATGCCCTATGGGCGTTGACATTAGCCATAGCATACATAAGAGACTAGATTTAAGCCGTACGACATGACCTAGTATCTAGAGGGGGTTTTCTCTATCACAAGCAATAATTCTTATTTCCCCGTCCACGGTTAGTATTTTCACCACCGGTACGGGCTTGCTCTTGATGTCTCGAGGTTTTGATGTTCGTAGGGCTCAACATTGTAGTTGGCAATTCATACATTTTTAACCAGACCTCGACACAAGGAAAGTTTTGAAGCCCGACTTTATACAGATATGGACATTGAAACTATTCCTCGCTCATGGTCAGGTCGATGGCGGGCACACTCCGAAAGATATAAAAAGAAACATGAATTTTTGTTAATAAGGATCGCGACTTGACCATTTCTAGAACAAGGTGATTGGGTAACGATCCAGTGATAAATTTGTAGTAGCCAGTATTATAGGACAGAGCGTCTGAACAAAAACACGCTCGCTCACGGACTCATATTCCGAATTGGATAACATGTTGGAGCCTTCTACGCCAATTGGCATTTTATTTTTAACAAAGACTGCGGAACGACAAAGCCTCGTCTTTTAGGTTGAGGAATTGATCACTTGTTGGCAAATCGCCATGATATGTGCTGTCCAATATGGCCTGCGTGATCAGGGTCATCCTTGTTCCTTGGATTGTTAGACGTACGTGAGACCTCTCCGAGCCGTACCTTATTCATCCCAAGACGGAATTGACACTTGAGAATGGGCGTCATGTAGCATCGAAGGAATCGAAGGAATATTTATACTACGTACCTCTTTTCAGGATAGCTATCGTGAAGCAGGCTTGCGGCTTACAGCCCCGACGAAGGAATTGCTTGACCTGGTCTATCAGCCGCGCGGCACCAACTACGAAAGCCATGTCGTTTATGCTGTAGCCTCTGTCCATTCGGGGTGCGAACCCTCGGCAGACCCAGCCGGGCAGGAGACGGCATCAGCAAAATTCAACCAAATTTCCACGAGGAGCCGTGTTCAGGGCATCTAGTGATGCATGGCTCGTGGAATCAGATATGGGCGCAGTGCGTCGGGCCCGGAAATGGATCCGGCACCGCGAAGGACTCCAGAGCAGCCGGGTCTTCGGGACTGATACAGCGGCGGGAATGTCATCCAGGACGGATGAGTCAGGTTCACCAGGGCTAACAAACCAACGCTTTACCCAACCTAGCGATGACAGGTGATGAGAGCAAGAGTGAGGCAAGATCTCCTGACCATTTGCAATCATGAATAGTACAATTAAGGGCGAAAAATGGCAATGAAGATTTCCCAGGTGGCATTGGCCTATCTCAGCCACTTGCCAATACAGCTTTGTTGTTAGCCATGCCTGAAGGTGTGTTTGACCCGAGGCTCGCAGAAAATAGCCAAGGGCAATTGAGATTGTTCCGATGTCTCCAAGGTTGTATTGTGTCAAGAGGGGCTCGGGGTATGTCCGTTCGTCTCAAATTTCGAAGTGGGCAACCGAGCCCAGTTTACGATAGCTACCACTACCAAGGGATATATAGCAATTTGCCCTTTTATGCCACCGCTATACTGGGTCTGGGAGAACACACCGGCGGCTGCCTCTTGAAATTTCGGGGCGCCGATCGAAGCTGTCAATCTAGCAGGGGTAGACGAAAATCGATCGGCGCCGATGATGAGGGGCGTCGGGCTCACCATGTGACAGCACACTAGCAGGGGGCAGGGGTGGGAAAGAGAATGGAAATGTACAAAGAAGAGAGGGGAGAGGAGGAACGAACGTCTTCACCAGTCCCGACATACTTGCCCTACTTCCCCACCCAGCCACATTTAATATGCAGATGATACGGTACTTATCTACGCAGGGCCAAAAGCCGAGCCTAGGCCAGCCCTAGGCGAGAAAAAGTTTTTTTGCGCAAGCGACACCGCGGAGGGAGAGATGAGAGAAACAAGAACGGTGGAGGGTGGCAGTGGCAGAGTCGCTTATGATGCGGGCGAATTGAGATAAGCCCACTCGGTGACCATCAAGCGCCACCGTTGCTCCCTGCCCCTCACACCTACCTTGACGAGGGGAAATTATCCAGGAGAGGATCGGAGCTTTAGTTTCCTCCGAGGAATGCGCGCGTGCGGGTACGCGATCTGATCGAGGTGGGTAACGAGCCATTGTCAAACATCATGGCCCACCAGTGGGGCGGTAGTGCAAGTTGTCCCCCGCCTTCTTCAGCCCGGGAATGGGATGATGGTGATGAGATCTGGGAAAAGGGAAGAACCGGGGGAGACGACATGGTAGTGGGTGGTGACGATTTTCACTTGAGCAAAGAGAGAGGATAGATCAATGCCGAAAAGAGGAGACTCGGCCGGCTTGGCTGGGCGGAAATTTTCCCATTCTCTGCGCCTGTGGACAGTTACATCCAACACAGACACACGTGGAAAGGCCTACGATTCCCGGCCGCGGCCAGTCCCAATCGATCTTTGTCTTGCTCTTCAGCCCAACCACCCTTGTCACGTGTTGTAGCGTTGGCGCGGTACACGGAAGAGAGAACCGAAACGGGCGAGGTGGATACACCACCCCGTATAAGTCTTCATGGTGCTCGGGGCACACACTAGCGCGCAGAGAGTGATGCGATGTTGATTGACTGAATGGACCCCGTCCACTAGACACTAGTCGGGATGTAGGGCAGAGATGGGCTTCGGACGTTTGATGTAAAAGCCACCAAGTCCCGGGGTTGGAACCAGTCCTATGCGCGTTTCTTCTCGTCGGTGTGAGACTGTCTGTTTGTTTCCCTCTCGGTCAGTCAAGCCATGGCTTCGGAGACGGATAATCGGGGCCCAGAGCTTCTGGCCGTCAACATCACCTTCTTCAGCGCCGCCCTCGTATCCATATTTCTACGATGCTATGTCCGCACGTTCATGGTTCGGGCCTTTGGTATCGATGACTGGTTAATGGTAGCCGGAACGGTTGGTCTCTATCTCCACACCCTACTTATCGTTGTGACTTATTAACGTGTCATGACTACAGGTCTTTTTACCTTGTACGCCGCATTCTCCAGCACCGGCGTCAAATATGGCACCGGACAACACCACGCCAATCTCGAAGACGAGAATATCAAGAAAGCCATGATGGTGAGGACACAACCGCCTGTTTATCTTGTCAATCTTTTTGTCAGTGTGCGTACAAAGCTAACAACAAGGCAGTGCTGGTGGTTCTGCTACCTTTGGTACAGTCTCGCCATGGTCTCCTCTAAGCTCTCCATCGGCTGGTTCCTCCTCCGCGTCACCACGACCAAACTCTACCGCTGGATCATCTTCATCGCCATGGGCTCGACCGCCTTTTCCGGCCTCGTCTTCTTCTTCGTCACCCTGTTCCAGTGTAACCCGATCCCCTACTTTTGGAACAAGGACCTCGAGGGCAAGTGCGTCAACATCGAAGTCGTCATCGCGCTGGCCATCCTCTACAGCGTCACGGCCGTCATCTCCGATTTCATCTTTGCCATTCTCCCGGCCGTTATCGTGTGGCAGCTGCAGCTGCACAAGAGGACGAAACTTATGTTGATTCCCCTTTTAGCCATGGGTTGCGTGTACGTATCCCCATCCACCCACGCCCAACTCGAGTTATGGATATAATTGCTAACGGCAGAGCAGCGCGAGTTCCGCAGTCGTCGTCCGCTTTCCCTTTCTCCCGAAGTTCCGCGAACCCGACTTCCTCTGTAAGTGCTACGTACTACCAGAAGACACCGCGAAATCGCTAACACATTTCCTTCGTTCTCTAGGGAACACCCTGGACATCGCCATCTGGTCCACCATCGAGCAAGGGCTCGCCATCACAGCCGGCAGCCTAGCCACGCTACGACCGCTCATCAAGCTGCTCGCCTTCAGGCTCGGCCTCACCACCAAGCCGAAATCGATGCGCCCGTCCGACTACGCCACGAATTCTCGTCCCTTGGGGGTTCGAAAGGCGGTGGCCATTTATCCCGCGGCGAAGCGTATAGCCTCTCCTCAGCCAACCGGTACGGCGTCCGAACCAACGTGTCTGTAGGAGAGGGTGCGCCGGCTTCCCCTTCAAATAGTCGACAGAGCCCCTTGACGGGAAAGTTCAAGGTGGATATTAAGAAGGAGATACAGGTCACGTCGACGGGGAGGAATGAGAGCGAGGAGGAGTTGACTTTGGTAGGCGTGTGGAATACCAAGGTGTCTAGTCGGTAATAAGGGAAGAAAATTGGAGGAATAGGAAACTGGTGCGGCGGATACCAAAAATCATGAATAGTCCATAGTGGGTGGTTGTATTATATAATAAAACATCATGTCCCTCACACATTTTTATTTTGAAGATACTTTCGATGCTCAAAAACGCACGACTTCCTATTTTCATGAGCGGATGATGGCTACCGAAGTATTCCGTGCTGATGGTGTGTGCTCACACTTGGGATGGCGAGATCAAAAGAGCTCATAATTTATGCATCACTGCGCGGGTGCTGATTTGAAGTAGTCTGCCGATACGTCAACTTGTTCAATCGAGACAAATCGTCAGACTCCAGGCCAAATGGTGTCAAATCAATAATGTACACTTTGTGAATGGCTATTATTTGTTCTGCACTCGCTAGGCTATTCTACGCACGGAAGTCTTCATCATAAACTACAAAGAACACCACAATTACTCGTAAAGTTCGCCGAGAATCACATCCGCGGCCTTCTCCGCCACCAAGAACGTGGACACGGCAGTAAACGTGCCAGGAATACGGGGGTACACGGACGCATCGACGACGCGGAGACCCTGCACGCCGCGAACGCGGAAGCTCGAGTCGAGGACCGCGAGCGGGTCATCATCGGCGCCGATGGGGCACGTGGACGAAGCGTGATGGCCCCAAGCGGTGTCCTTGACGTAGGTCTCAATGTCCTCTTGGGAGGTTACCTCAGCGCCGGGGAGAACCTCGGTGATGGGGACGAGCTGGCTGGCAAAGGCCTTGCGGGCAAGCTCAACGGCCTCGTACATGGCCTGGAGATCGGCGGAAGCATCGCCGACACCCGTGTCAAAGTAGTTGAACGTGATGTCGGGCACGTCGAGGGGTCGGCAGAGCGCAGAGCGACGGTGCCGGCGGTGTTGCGGGGATGAGCCTTGAGGATGGCCCAGGAGAACCAGTCGTGTTCGACGGTAGCGTTGACGGCGTACTTGGGGAAGTAGCCGCGGAAGTTGACGGGACCACCAAAGGCAAAGATGTCAAAGTCGCCGTTGTCAGAGGCGTTGCTCTTGTAGAACATGGTGGCGGCGAGCCCGGAGGAGGAGTAGATGCCGTGGTCGCCGAGGATGGGGTTGTTCCACCGGTCGAGGCAGGGGTCCTCGTCGGTGTAGAGGCTAAACGTGCAGTCGTCCAGGGCGCTGAAGTTGGCGGGCGCCCGGCCCTGCACGCTGATCTCGTAGTGGTCCTGGAGGTTGGTGCCCACGCCGGGGAGGTCGGCGACGACGGGAATACCAAACTTGGTGAGCTCATCGGCGGGGCCGACACCGCTCAGCTTAAGGAGCTGGGGGCTGTTGTAGACGCCTCCGGCGACAATGACCTCGCGCGAGGCGGTGGCGCTTCCGGGCTCACCGGCGGCGGCTCCGTTGGATAGGGGCTGGCTTTGTACAGGTGCTTTCCGTCGAGGAACTCGACGCCGGTGGCGCGCGGGAGCTGCTGCTGTTCCTCGTCGCCATCGTCGAACACGACCTTGGTCACGAAGGCGTTGGTGCGCACGTCGAGAGGGTACATTTTCGTGCCGTTTTCGTAGGTGGCGTCGCGTACCGCCAGGATGAACTCGCGGGGCCCGATGCGGCTGGCTTCGCGCGTGGACAAGGGGATCTGGTAGTACCCCGGCTCCTTGTCGCGGGAGACGGAGTCGGCGTTGGCGTCGCCGGCGATGAGCGTCTCGAGGTTGGCGAGCGTGCCGGTGATGTCGGTCAAGGCGACGGCGGCGCCGCCGAGCACGCTGAGGAGCTGGGGGTCGCCGAGGGGATGCTCAGGGGCGCGGTCTCGGTGCTGAGCCAGCCGTCGTAGCCGTGGCCCTCGAGACCGGGGAGGAGGTGGCGGTTCTCCTCCATCTTGACAAAGTACTTGCGCATGTTCTCGGGGACCACGAGTCGTCGCCCGTGAGGGACGCGATGTACTCAAAGTCCGACTGGTGGGGGTACACGGCGATGAGAGCATTGTGGGCGGTGCACCCGCCGATGGCCTGCGTGCGGGGATAGAGGGTCCCCTTGATCGTGGAGCCCTCGGGCGGGTTGAGGCCGGTGTACTCGTGGCCGTCGGGGGTGTCGTAGGTGGTCTTGTAGTCGCGGGCCTGGCGCGCGTCGTCGGCGTAGTGGCGCACGAAGAAGTTCCACGAGATCTCGGGGTCTTCGGACGAGTTGGCCGAGTAGGCGGGGACGGTGTAGTTGGTGGTGTGGTAGTCGTCCCCGGCCTCGATCAGCAGCGTCTTGTGGCCGGCCAAGGCGAGGCGGGCGGCGAGAGGACCGCCTCCGGCGCCGGAGCCGACGACAATGTACTCGTAGCCGGTTAGAGCGACGGCTTGGACGGTGAGTGGCGCGGCCAAGAGGCCGGATAAAAACGAGTGTCTCATAGCGAATGGAATTAACCCGGAGGGTCTGATAAGAAAAATAAAGGAGTGACTGCTATGGTTGGGACGGGACGGAGAGGAACCAAAAGACTAGTAGCGGGAATCTACTAGCTCGCCGCGGTTCTTATACTTCCTTTGTCGTCAATTCGACGAAACCCACATTTGATTTTCAAGGCCCAACATAAATGCGCGGCCCAAGGGGGAGTTTCTGTGCCACGAGTACACCGGAGCCGAGGCCTTGTTCTTTTTCCGACACGCAATTTTGCATTGAAGGGGGGCCCGCAAGAAGCGTGTTTGTCAAGGAGAGATGTGCTCTTTCGGAGACCAAGACTAGTATAAGGCATAGACCGACGGGAGATGGCGGGGGCGGGCAGTGGCGTTTGTTCGCTGTCGTGTGTGTACTCCGTGTACGGTTACATTGGTCCACCCGATCAGGATCGATTAAGTAGTCCCCGAAGGTCGTTGGCGTACGACCAGGTTACGCCTGCAACTCACAAATCCGACTTTGGCGGTTTATCGTGATCGCCAGCATGCCATCGCAGTGTGACAGAGGAGACGTCGGTCGAGGAGAGGGCAGACCGAGTCCTGGTGCGTGAAAGACAAAGGACGACATGATGCAATGGCTGGTGGTTAGTCCTACCTTGACCTCTCCGGAAGAGCCGATCTCTTTTTTTTTCTTCCTCTCCTCCTTTTTTCTTATCTCCCATTCTTATCTCCCATTTGGTTGTTCTTGTCTGTCTTTACTCCCTCTCTTCGTTATTGACAAGCTGCCGTAGCTCTGTGATGCACTGCTGATTCTCATCATTAATACGCCAACTAACAGGGCAACCTCTTCCGCGCTTGCAGCAAGTCCGCGTGGAAGGGAGTAGTAGCATGCAGCATGAAAATCCATGCCCGGGAAATGAAGTACAATTCGTGACCCCTCGTAAATGCCGACCTACACTCAACCGCATGAGATTGAGATTCATGGGCGTACGTGGAGAGGCTTCAAAATACCCCGATGTGGGTTGGTGGGGTTCTTGCGGGTCGTGTCAGTGTCGATTGATGGCTCGTGGGTACGCGAATCTAGGTCTGTTTGTGGCGTAATGGCCGGTCGGGCATTGTTGTGGCCTGTGAGGAGGGGCCAACGCAACTGATCAATTCTGAAGGTGGTATCGTGACCCCTGGTGAAACACCCATGAGATCTCACTAGAGCTTCTGCAAATGGAGATCGGCCTTGCTACGTAATCCTACATCAAGTGTTGACTGTATGTCATTTCTCTTTCTCACAAAGCGATATGTCCACGGAGACCGAACCCTAAGCACCCAATTCTCCTTTCCCCGATTCTCTCCCTTTTCCGTGGCCTCTGTTCCTCGACCTCGTCCACGTTCGTTGAGATCGTTTGTGGTGAGGCGAAGCGGTAAAGGTCTAGAATAAATGCAGGTGGGACTCTGAAGATGGGCCCATTTATTCTCCAAGATTAAGCGTAATAGGGCCGGTTTGAGCTAGCGCGGTCCCGAATGGGCAACGAGTGCCGGAGACTAGCCAAGGCCCGTCTTCTTCGCAGACAAACGCAAGCGAATGCTGCATTCTTGGTATCTCGTGCTTTCGTGGATGGGCGAAAAGCACAAGGAGGAAGGTCTAGCACTGGGCTGAACTTCATCTATCACTCGTGCCAGATCTTTCCCAAATCGGAGACGACTAATGGCACCCACGTGAACCCCAGATGGGCGATGCTTATTTAACTTTCTCGAAGCAGTAACGGCTCGATCTAGAGGCCCTCGTTGCTTTATCTTCCCCAGGATACATGTAGCGACAGTAACCAAGGTTCTTGTCCAAAAGAGTTGAATAAGTAACGAAGAGCTTGTATGCACAGGGTCTACCCGAAAATATTGGGAGAAAAGGTGTCTCATCTACCCCGGGGACCTTGGGACCGAAGTAGAATGCAGCGTTATGCATAGGAAAGTGGGTCGCAAATGTGGCTCAATGCGAAGCCATCAACATCAGCCTCACTACTTGGTTGACAAATGCGTAAACAATCCACAAAACATTTTGTATTGTTGGTCTTTCCGTTTTACTAGGACACTTTAGACCGATACCAAAGTTAGGTGGTACGATGAAAGCACCGTGTGGTAGGGAGATCAGCGATTGTCAGTCCAAGTCTTGCAACTTAGGTGACAGAGGGTAAGTAGATATAAATTATTATCTATCGAGTATGGCGAGATGCGAAATGCTGGAGCGAGCACTGTGGCGATTGATATTAACGAACCTGATATTCTAGTTAAGCTAGCAATCAGCTAATATTTCATCTAGCCCTAGAACCCTTATCCCTCTAAGACCCCAAGCGACACGGCTGCCGTGTCGGTCCGCCCAGGAACTGTCACGTTCTAACATTAAGACGTATTGCTTAAGACCAGGTTGCCTTAGGATTAGAACAGTCAGGCCTGTTATTGGCTTAGCGAGGCAATCAATATACGTGTTCAAGTGTAGGGCACAAGTGTGCTTGAACTAATAACTAAAGCGAAGGATATGGAACTTGCTTTCTGTCAAGGTTTAATTCTTTTTTATTACCGAGGTACAGTTCCATATACTTTGCTTCCATTGGTTACCCGAGCATTTCTAATACTACGGCCCTTCACCGCTTTCTTTGGGCCGCCTGCTCCCACATGGCCGAGCTGTGCCAAAAGAGCCGTTCTAGTATATCGGGGTTGATCACAGGCAGCGTGTGCTAGCCGATTTCTAGTAATATCTGCGACCTTGGGAATAATGTTGAATCGTTTGTTCTTGATCAAGACTGCACTCGTAGCTCTTGAAATCGCTATCTTACATTTCCCCGTGTCTTGATCAGGACGGGTTCTAGTGTGGTAGCTGCTGAATCATGCACCGAACTTACCCACATGGTTCCCAGCTAATACTACATAGTCGCCCCTAGTCGGGCCCTTTAGTAGATGGCTCTTTGATGTTGTAGCCAGAGTTCAAACAATTTTAGCATACGATACGGTCTAAGTGTCGCTTCTGAGGCTTGGCTGTAGCTAGTAACCCTATAGTTTATTGATCCATGTTATAAGGCTCTTCGCTTTGAGGGTAGTAGGCTTGATGAAGACCCTTTCCTGCTGTGTCGCCAAATAAGCCATCTCTCAAAAGAAGAATCTAATAACCATCTAGGGGTCGCCTCTAACAGCTTACTTCCCCAGTTTAGCTCTTCCTGCTGTTGCTGCTGTGTCTCTTCGCCATGATGCAGGTTATTTTGGGTTGATTCGGGCTGTAGGGTTCGTAAGCCGCTGTCTTCAGATTCCTCCTGCCTGCGCGGTGGTAGCGACGCGGGGCTTCTGTTCGTGTTTCGTCTTTCGATGCCTCCTACAGTCAAATATATCCCATCTAATTGCTTACCCTGCTAATTTAAGTTAGTCTCCTTTTAGATATAGAATATTATATCAATAGATATACACGACCGGTGTCCTTGGGACATTCTTTAATGATTGTCTCCATATCTAACAACTTTAGCGATATTCTTCGGAACTGGTGGTGGCGTCCTTGGGACGGAAAATAACGCAAAAGTCAGCTTTAGATCATAACCTCGAAAAAATTGGTTATGATGGAAAGATCCAAGAGCTAAAAATCAACTTACAAGAGAGTAGATTTCAGAGAAGATGTAGTATAGTAAGCAACAGAGAACAGTCTGTCAAGGGTAGTCTTAGATTTCGAGTCTTAGAATTAGTTGTATCATGACAAAATGCCGATTAAGGTAAGAAAGACACATGGGAGGAAAAATTGGGCATTAATGGCAGTTTAGGTGATGCCTAACCGGCCAACTATAAATTAGGAAATCTTCCGTGCGCAAGTGCGAGCTCGTGGCGTTTTATCTTCGTTCGGCCATGGATACCCATGCGATTCCTGAGGAATCCAGAACGCAATCAGCTCCACACCAGTTCACTGCATGTCACTGGAGAGATGAGGGTTATCCAGGGTTCTCAAAATGGATGTCCTCCGCTGATGACTTTTTTGTGTTACGTCGTTTTGGGCAGCTCAACATACGAGTCATACTACTAATGCAAGATCGGATTGTCAGAAAAGAAGATGAACTCGCACACCTAGACCAGTTTAGCCGAGGACAACGCGATAGGCTAGCAGACTGTAGCTCTTTGCGATCGGAACCGCTTCCTCAACGCGAGGCGATACTAGACGAGCTGAGGTGTTTACTGAAGGAGTATAGTAAGTTGGTGTACTTGAATCTTTACCAAGCTCTAGTAGTTTATACTAAATTATAAAAAGACGACTATCTACTATCTTATTCCCAACTGAGAAATTCGCCTTCCGCATCAACTTCCCAAATTCAAAATGTTGAAAATTGGCTCTATAACCACGAAAATGCTATAGACACAGAGGAGCAAGAGTTTCTGAAAAAGGGTAGAGACGTAATTGCCCTCAGTCATAAGCCAAAATCTCCGCTCCGACTTCGATTCCAATGGCTTGCTTCAAGTTGGCTATTCCGCGCTAATCCAAAGCATGATGTGGCTCAGTCTGATAAAACGACGTTGTATTATAGCAATGCCGGGCTAGAAACCTTTTGCACGTTCATAATCATAATAACTGGACTTAGTTTATTGATAGGGCCAATGTGGTGGCTTCAATTCGAGACTCAGAGTATACGGAGACTTGGAATAATCACGTTTTTCATCCTAACATTTACTATTCTACTGCAATTAACGACCTTTGCGAAGCCATTTGAAGTTTTAGCAGCTACTGCCGCGTAAGTATACTTAACTCTAATACGTATTTGGTATATATGTTAATGCCTTATATATATCAGCTATTCGGCGGTTCTCGTCGTCTTCTTGCAAATCGAAGCTAAATAGACTAGGCTCGCAGTATATAATAATAGATTTTTCTTAGATTTAAGTTTATCAAAGGACCTCTCGTATCTAGTGTTTACTTAGGAATAGAAGCACCTACTTTAGTTTAATAAGCCATAGCTTCTTTAACTCTCCTCCTCCGTCCCTAGGAACATCTAGGTAAGTGCTGGTGAATACTACTTTCAAGCCAGACCACGGGGATGAAATAATGGATCGGCGAAAGTGTGCCATCTGAGCCTGAGATGGTTATCTTGACTAATAGTTTCAATCACAGGAACCCGGAAGAAACTAGGGGGCGAGTGTATCGTTGGAGAGAAGGCCTTAGCACATTACTCTACACGTGCTACCATATTCATCGACGTGAATAATGACCCGGCGGCTGAATTCCGCCGCTTTCTATTGTTACAGCAGACTAGCTCACCAACTGAATTTCCCTAACTCGAGATCTGGCCTGTTTGCAGCCCCGACGCCGAACCAACCAACACCGATGATTGCCTTGAGCCAGCCTGCGACGAGGATGCATAGACGGCAGTATGAATGAGGACAGGCGTCGCGTTGGGCATCGAATGTCGAAAGAGTTACTCACTTTTGTGCCATATTATCTCTATATTTAATATTTTAAGATTCGGGGGAACCAACCAACGAAGCAATGAGCTGCGGTGCGTAGAAAGTTGGGGATGGTTCCAGACGAAAGAAGGCCTTTAACCCTTGAAATCGCCCTTTCCCTTTTGGGCGTTTTACGACAAGTGCAGATGGATGTTTCACTTGATTGGCTCTTAGGCTGCTAACCTTGTTGACCAGCTGCATTGGCCGCTTTAGGAAACCGAGCCAACTAGCGCCGCAAGCAAGGTTCTTCTCCCGACGATCTGTTCTTCGATGTTAGTCAGCAATGTTGGCAGACAAAGAACCAATCAAATGAAACATCCGGACTCGTCGTAAAAACCCCAAAAGGGAAAGGGCATTTCAGAGATCCGACGCAAGCATGAACATGAACGACTGCGGGTCCGAGCTTGCCGGGAAACATGGCGTTGGAAATTTCCATCGTATATCACCCAAAGGGTAATATACGATGTCGACAATGTTTCCATTTACCTCCACCACGTCTAGGTTGGGTTTTGGAGGGAAAGGGGAGGCAAAGCCGAGGGCAAGATAAAAAGGACCCGGTTTCCTGTAAAATTGTCTCTTTTCAATGTTGATTCTGCTCATCGCATTTTCAATCTTGGACCACTTCTCGTAGGCCATCGGACAGTGTCCTTCGTTACTTACATTGGTCACACCTCTTGTTTTCCCCAGCATTTACACATTCTATTACTCTTCTAGGAGAATAATACTAGAACAAGGTATGATATAAAAGCGGCATCGACTTGGTCACGATACGGCTGCTAGATAGATTGAACGCTAATTGCCAAGGAAGCGTAAGCAAAACATGTCGGCCCCGAGCCGCGACGAAACCATCGCGGTACCCGAGCCCGAGCCCGAGTCCGATGCACCCAAACGCCCAGAGCGCACCCCACAGTTCTCCGACTACATCCGCGTTTTTGGCTACGCCACGAAATGGGACTTTGTCATATACGCCGCGGCGTCGATCGCCTCGATAGGCGCCGGCGTGACGCTTCCACTCATGAACGTCATCTTCGGCCAGCTCGTCAATGATTTCGCCAAGTTCTTCCAGGCAGACGTCGCCATGACCCCCAAGACCTATATGCCATCATCGACAGGCAAGCCCTATACATCTTGGCGCTCTTCCTCGGGCGTTGGGCCCTGAATACCGTCAACAAATTTTGCTTCCAGGTCATCGGCGTCCGCTTGTCTTCCGCCGTCCGCCAGCATTACCTCCGCGCGCTCTTTGCGCAGTCCGTCCACATCATCGACACCATGCCTGCCGGGGCGCCCGCCACCGCTATCACGACAACCTCGACGACGCTTCAGATCGGCATCTCGGAGCGGCTGGGGACGTTTCTCGAGTTTAATGGCACCATCTGGGCCTCCATCATCGTGGCCTTTGTCTGGAGTTGGGACATCACGCTGGTAACTTCTTCGCTCATCTTGTACGAGATTCTGGTGTTGTGCATCATCCTGCCGACGACGGTCAAGGGCCAGGCCGCCACGATCGAGGCGGACACGCATAGCACGGCAGTCGCGAGCGAGGCCCTCGGCGGAATTCGCCACATCATGGCGTGTGGCGCGCAGTCCCGCATCATCGTCCGCTACGGACAGTGGGTTCAGGAAGCGCGAACTCGGGCACAAAAACTGGCTCCCATCATTGGCATCCAGTTTGGCCTTGTGGTATGTAATAACACAATCTCCCTTATCTTTTGAACAGAGCTTTAAAATGTTGAACTAACGCGGTTCTTAGTTCTTTGGAATCTTTGGCGCGTTTGGACTTGCCTTTTGGTACGGCATGCAGCGATACATCAAGGGCACCCTTGACAATCCGGGCACGGTCATCATCGTACTGACGTCCGTCATGCTGATCCTGACGTCTCTCGAGCGCATCGCGACGCCTCTGATGGCGGTGAGTAAGGCAATGGTGGCGGCCTGCGAGTTCTTCATCGTCATCGACGCCCCCTACCCTCTTCCGGATCGGAAAAGCCCGATATCGAGGACGAGGATATCGTCTTTGAAGACGTTGTGTTTGAGTATCCTAGCCGTCCGGGCGCGACCGTGTTGGATTCTGCCAACCTTCGTATCAAGATTGGCCAAAACACGGCTCTCGTCGGTCCGTCTGGCTCCGGGAAGAGTACCATTGTCGGCCTCCTGGAACGCTGGTACTCCCTGCAGGACCAGCCTTTACTACCCCTCATTGTCGAGTCCAAACTCCCCGAGAAGAAGAAAAAGGACGGTTCCAACAAGAAAGGTGAGGAGCCCGGCAAGGAAGAAAGCCAGACAAAACCGCAGGATGCAGAGCAAACTGCCGCAGCCGTCGACGCCAAACCAAAGCTTTCGGGAAGGGTCATGGTCGGAGAGTACAACCTCGAAGACCTCGACATCACTTGGTGGAGGGCCCAGATCGGCCTTGTCCAACAGGAGCCCTTTTTGTTCAACGGCACCATCTATGCTAATGTGGCCAACGGACTGATTGGCACGGAATGGGCCGATCTCCCGGAAGAGAAGAAGCGAGAGATGGTCGAAGAAGCCTGCCGAGAAGCCTACGCTCACGAGTTCATCGACCGTCTTCCCGAGGTAAGAGATCTCTACATTTACGTCTGCTTCTTCTTTCGTAAAAAACGCTTCATCTAACTTCTTACCCCGTGTAGAAATACGACACCCGAGTGGGCGACGGTGGTGCCAAGCTGTCCGGAGGCCAAAAGCAGCGCGTAGCCATTGCCCGAGCCATCATCAAGAATCCGCGCATCATGATCCTCGACGAAGCCACGAGCGCCATGGACACCCGCAGCGAGGGAATCGTCCAGGCGGCGCTCGACCGCGTGACCAAGAACCGCACCACCATCACCATTGCCCACCGCCTGTCCACCATTCGCAAGGCCGACCGGATCGTCGTGATGCAAAAGGGACGCGTTGTCGAGGAGGGCACGCACGAAGCCCTCATGGAGAACTCGGAGGGCGTATATAGCGGCCTTGTCCACGCGCAGGCTCTCCGCTTGTCCGATTCCTCTCACGAGGAGCCGCAAGTTACTTCCGTCGCCGATGACTTCAATCCCGAGGCAGAAAAGGCGGCTGCCTACGACAGCGAACCAGTGATCGAGGTCATCGCCGGTGAAGCCGAGGAGACGAAGAAGAAGAAACCCCGCAGCTTAGTCCAAGGCTTCGGCAAAGCTTTGTACATGGAGCGCGCCCAATGGCCCCTCTACGTCTTGATCATCCTCTCCGGCGCAGCCGTCGCCGCCGGAACCCCGATTCAAGCGTGGCTGTTTTCCAAAGTCATCGGCGTCTTCCTCCTTACGGGCGACGAACTCCGGAGGGAGGCCAATTTCTGGAGCTTGATGTGGCTGGCCCTCGCCGGCGGCGTAGGGCTCGCCTACCTCGCGGCCGGGTGGTCCAGCCTGCGTGCGCAATACAACGTCAGCGCCGTCTACAAGCAGCGCTACTTCACCGCCATGCTCTACCAAAAGGCCGCCTTTTTCGACGAGGAAGGAAACTCCCACGGAAGCCTCACCTCCCGCGTGAGCGGCGACGCCAAGCAACTCGAGGAGCTGCTCGGGCTGAATCTTGCTTTCTTCGTGTCCGGCATCTTCACCATCGTGGGCTGCGTCATCCTCTCCTTGTTTTACGGGTGGCAGCTCGGCCTCGTGGCGACTTTTGTGACGATGCCCATCATGCTCGCGTCGGGATATTGGAAACTCCGCCAGGAAGTCCAGTTTGACGAGATGAACGCCGAGGTATTTCGGGAAAGCTCCCAGTTCGCCACCGAGGCCCTCGGCGCCATCAGGACCGTATCTGCGCTGACCATGGAGTCCGCCATTGATGCGCGCTACCAGCGCCTCTTGGACGCGCACGTCAATGAGGCCATGCGCAAGGCACGCTGGAACTCGGTCCTCTTTGGCTTCGCCGCGAGTGCCGGTCTTGGGTGCCAGGCGCTCGTCTTTTGGTACGGCGGAAGGCTCCTCGCCAATGGCTCGTACACGCTCGAAGCCTTCCTTGTGTGTTACCTGGCAGCCATCCAAGGCGCCGAAGCAGCCGGCCAGTCCCTCGGAATTGCCCCCAGCGCGGCCAAGGCCAAGAGCGCCGCCAACCGCATCATGGACCTCATCGAGTCTTCCAACGCCTTGCAAGAGGAGCAGCGCGCGCTCAAGGGTAGAGTACCCGACGTAAAGGGTGGTGCGGAAATCGAGTTGAAGAACGTACACTTCAAGTACCCTACACGCGATGTTGACGTTTTCAAGGGCCTCAATCTTCGCATCGAAAAGGGTCAGTTCGCCGCCCTTGTGGGGCCCTCCGGTTGCGGCAAAACCACCATCATCTCCCTCCTTGAACGCTTCTACGACATCGCACCTGGAGACGGCGAGATTCTCTGTGACGGCACAAACATCCAAGACTACGACATCTTTGGCTACCGCGACACCCTGTCCCTCGTCTCGCAAGAGCCGACGCTCTTCCGCGGCAGCCTCCGCGATAACATCCTCATCGGGGTATCTGACCCGTCCTCCATCTCCGAGGAAACCCTCCACGCCGTGTGCCGGTCTGCTTTCATCCACGACTTTATCATCTCTCTTCCGGAAGGCTACGACACCGACGTCGGCACCAAGGGGCTTGCCATGTCTGGCGGACAGAAGCAGCGCATCGCCATCGCCCGCGCGCTCATCCGGAACCCCAAGGTCCTACTTCTTGACGAGGCCACTTCCGCGCTCGACTCCGAGTCTGAAAAGATTGTGCAAGTCGCGCTGGAGAAGGCACGCGAGGGTCGGACAATGGTGGCGGTGGCACATAGGCTCTCGACGATTCAGAACGCTGATGTCATTTTCGTGTTTGACGAGGGGCAGATTGTCGAGAAAGGGACGCATGACGAGCTAATTCAAAGGAGGGGCGTGTATTGGAGCATGGTAAGTCCTCATCCCCCGGCTCGAGCCGTTACATCGCTGGTGGCTATTGCTAACCCCTTTTACAGTGCCGAAACCAGGCTTTGGATCAGTAGGAAATGGTCCTGCGCCCAAGGTCCATCGCCTTGTGCCCGTATGGCTCGTTTCCAGGGCCCTATCCATAGGCTATTCGTGACAAGTTTACCGTGCTGCCTAGGGTTTTATAAATAATCGTAGTCGAGTGTACCTATAGGTGTTGAATGGGATGCGTTCTAGATAGTGAAGCGCGGGACGCTGACATACACTCGCAAGAGTAGTGTCCTAGATGAGATTGATGGGTATGCAGAGATATCACAATAACTGGTGATTCCATCAAAGTTTACTTTCAGAGGATAGTATTAATAATAATTTAGGCTTACTGCAATATACGTACTACGTCGTGATGCTAGTATACATACTTCTCATTACTCCGCTTAGAAAGGAACATATATGTAGATACAATGGAAATAGTGAGAAGTTATGACTGTGTCTTCCTCCCAGTGAGATCTTATTCGTGACCTCAAAGAGGGGTTTATGAATAGGTGCCGATACCGCTTCCGCTGGCCAGGTCTCGACCTATTACACATTAGACCCATTTTCCATCAGGCTTTATGGGCGTAGCTTGGTCGTGATATAACGTTGAAAAAAGGGGGAAACAAGCTTAGAAATGCTTGGATAAGCCCTACGTAAGTAGGTCCTTGGAGGCTGTTCGGTCTGGTTGACTGGACTCGGCTACCCCTCCTCAGTAGAAAGAAGGACACTGGCGCACAACTATTCTAGATAGATATTTTCAGTCACACGTAGTTTTGGTTACTCTCATCCTTACAATGGTATGATGGTCAGAGAGGAATGAGGAATTGGTCGATAACGACGGGTATAATATAAGATGTGCTGACTAGGCCCCTTCTCTATCGTGTCTCGCTTCAGCCATGGTCTATTGCAGTTTTTCTGCGTCCCTCGCTTCACGCATCTTCATCTAGGCATTGTCGTGAATTAGTCCTAGACGTTGACCAGATCCACCATGAGCAGCCTTCCCGATCCCGTGAGGGGCTGCCGCGTCCACCGCATGTGCTTTTGGTCCTCGGAGAGCTCTCCTGCTTCCTCCACCAGCTCCCACGCCCCCAGATCATCCACGTTATCCATAAACCGGAATATGACGCGTGTTCCACCCTCTTCGAAGAGGTACTCTCTCCGGCGCAGCCGCTCCCACTGCGCCGTAGGCGATCCCTCGAGGGTATTTCTCCTCTCCACGTCGCGGTTACGGACGCCGAGCTGGTACAGGGAGCGGACGTTCCAGACGCCGTCCTGGACGGGGTAATCCTCGAGCAGGTTCAGGGCTTCCTCTCGCGCGAGGGGTTCTCGGCAGAAGAAAGCGACGAGGAGGAGGTGAGAGGACATGAGGCACTGCAGGGAGAGCTGCTGGGCGGGGTGCTTGATTTCGCGGCGGACAGCGCGGAGGGCGAGCTGGGCCATGGTCAGGTACTCGCGGAAGTACGGGGTCTGGGCCTGGAGGTACTCGACGCGAAGGTAGAAAGAGGGGTTTTGAAAGAGGTAGGAGGCTATGAATTGGAGGCGAAGGTAGAGGGCGCGAAAGTACAGCGGCGAGTGGACGCCCTCCGTCATGATGATGGAGTTGAACAGCGGGGTAAAGGCGTTGCCCAGAGTGAGCATCAGGGCCGTCAGCTCCTCGCAGATCTCTGTGATGCGCTGGTTTCCGAGGAGATTCTGGTAGAAGTTGTTCAGGTCGTCGGTCGCATTCACGCTCAGCATACCCGACGACCGAACCACCTCCATCAGCACGGCGCTCACGTTGACCTGCTTCCGTCCGAGGGCGAGCCAGTACTGCTCAAACTGATCCAGGCTCGTAAAGACTTCCGGCACGTTATCCACCGTGACCGAGCAGTGCGGCAACTCGCTCAACGTGATCATGAAGGACTCGATTGTTTGCTTCTTCTTGCGTAGACCCTTGGTAAAATTGGGGAATGGGGCCCCCTCGGCGAGGCGGCCGGGTAGGACGCTGCGGGCCTGACCGGCAAGATTCACAAAGATGTCCGCCACCGCCCCGAGAACCGGGCGTGGATTTGGCGCCAGGGCGGCGCCCATGCGTTCGCCAGGGCCGACGTCGGAAACGACGGAGAGTAGGAGGGCCAGGCCGTGATTCACGTGGGCGAGCGCCGTCTTGTTGTTCCCGCGGAGGGTCTCGAAACAGACGAGTAGGATGGAGAGGAAGAGAGCGTCCGTGGTCGAAGCGCCCTTTCTCTGCAGGCGAAGGGCCTGGCAATAGTGAGCGATGGCACGCAGGTAATGCGGGTCGCTCTCCATCTCGGCGGCGGAGCCAGGGGCCGGCAAGAGTGGGCGCGGGGCGGCATCGGTGTGCGCCGCGCGCTGATGCCACTTGCTCAGGGCACCTACGCTGATGGCTGCGTGATAGAGGTAGATATTGCTCCGCGCGAGCTGAGGCAGCATGATTTTCCACCAGTCCCCGTGGCAGGCGGCGGAGATCCAAGGGCTGCAGACCAAGCTGACAAACTCGTCAAAATAGACGGCGCACGTGGCATCCCCGAAGCTGATAGCTGTAGGGCACGGCTCCTCGCCATACGCGGAGAGGACGCTGCGGAAGACGAAGCGACGGACCAGGCGACCGAGGAGCGTGGGGAGGATATTGCCGTGGCGGCCGACGACGGGGCCGAACTTGACCGCCCTCCCTTCTTCTCCCTCGAGTCCCAGCAAATCTGCGCCCCCGCGGCACCGCCGCCGCCTTTTCGCGCTTCGTGGCTGTGGCATACCCCTCGCAACGGCCGCTCATCCGGAGACAATTGTTGCAGTGGGGTTTCGCCTCGTCGCATTTGACATGGCGTTTCTTGCAAGTGATGCATCCCGTGCGAACTTTTGAAGGCTAACGCGGGTCGCCTTGTTCCCGTTTTTGGGGGCTGGCCAGGCCCGTTGATATGGAATGTAATTAGGCCAGACGTTCCGGCGCTGTCGGAGTCGGCCGCCATGGTTTTGTTGTTCCAATTCCCATTCGCGATGATGTGATGGAAATTGCATCCGCTTCCTTCCCTTTCAGGAGACCAGCCATATGAACGATGACTAATCTGACTAATCTGCAACATCCATGGACCTGCGATGTCGCTTTCTTACAATATTTAGGGGAAATACCGAGCTCGATTCACTGATTCTACTCTAGGCAGCAGCAACAGCGTGTGTTGGTGGTCGTACAAGTACCACTCAAAGTGAGCGTTCAGAGAAGTTGATGGAATTTCTTAAGAATATTGTGAAACATCAATCCTTATCTTCAATATGCATTTAGTGATATTTTCTATCCCACCCGTAGATTCTTTCTCGGGATGGCACGCCGAATAAATACAAGAGGACAAGATACTACTCGCAACATCCATAGCTGCTTTCGAAATGCGACACGGCAATGGGGGAATAGTTGATATTCGCTAATACCCCCTTATATTCCCTGGTCTAGATAAGTACCAATCTCATACATTCTTCTCGTCATCTTCTCTTATTTTCCGGGAACCTCGCCCCATAATCTTTCCGCTCTATCGGACCCCGTGGCTAGTAGCCCTTGACACCAGCAAGTTGAAGGACCTTGTCCGTGATTTCGGGCTTCTCAAAGGGTTCCGTCCTATACGCAGGGCAGAGCTTGCCATCGCGCATAGGCTTCTCTGCCGAGGGACGAATATTGCTACACGACAAGTTAGACTCGGACTCTCCATACAATCGGCGCCATCGTGTTTAGCACGCAAGCGCCCGCCCCATTAATAACAAAAGGTTGTGGGAGACATACCAGTGGGGCCAGTGGGTAGTACCGAGGTAATTCTCAAAGCAGTTCTTCTTCGCTTCGAGCGCCTCGTCCGTCGCAAACTTGCGCGGGGTCATGCAAATGTACTGGAGGTGGCGGATCTGCTCGCCCTCGGGCAGGCAGGCATAGTGCATGGTGCGCGAATCCCAGAGGACAAAGTCGCCGGGGTCCATGTTGACCTTGTACATTTCGCAGCCGCGGTCCTCGAACCACTTGACGTCCTTTTTGCTAAAGAGGAAGAGGTCCATGTACTTGATCTCGGGGGCGGGGCGTCCTCGTGGTCGGCGGACTCGCGCTTCTGGGCGAAGAATTCGTCGAACAGCTTGGAGGAGCCCCTCATGAGCATGAGGCCGCCGTCCTTGGGGCCGTTGGGGGCAAAGTTGAGGAGGCCTTGGACCGCTTGCATTCTGTCAACATGTTAGCCTTGGGTGAATTACACGAGCAGGTTCTTGTTGAACGGAGTGGCTGTGTTCTTTTTGCTTACCTCTTGCGCGCCGGGTTCTGGTCGCAGTGGGGCCAGGGCGACCAAGTAAGGTCCTTGCGGTTAGGCATGGAGATGTTCTGCCCGTCAAACGAGCAGATGAGCTCGTTGGTCTCCCAGAGCTTCTCGAAAATGTCCACCACGCCAGGCTCGGTGCGGGCCTCCCACACATACTTCTCATGGGTAGCGCCGTACATGTAGTACATGCCGCCCTTGAAGTTGACGGGGAGGTGCTCGGAGGTCCACGTGTCGGGGTTCTTCTCGTCGAAGCCGAGGTTGAACTTCTTGAGCCACTCTACCTGCTTGTCGACGTAGTATTGCGCGCGCTCGGGGGTGATGACGTTCTTGATGAGCACGCAGCCCGTCTTGTGGAATTCATCGCGCCAGTCACCGTAGACGCGGTTGGGGTCGAACTCTACGAGGTCCTTGGCCTCGAACTGGGTGGCAAAGGTGAATGTGGAGTCTTCGGCCGACTTGATTTCTGTGGTGGTTGTGGTGGACATGCTGGCGGCAGGAATGTCGTTTCAATAGGGAAGAAAAGAGACCGGTCTAACGTTATCTTGGCATGCAAATACAAAATCTTTGCATGTAAATGTGTAATATTGGAACTTAATTGCCTAATGAAAAGAAAAACTGATGCTATCCAAAGTTGTGATGCGCCGTTCTGATATACCTCTTTGATTCAGTCGCCGCGATGCATGTCCCCACGCCTATGCAAAGCGCGTTTGGGGAATCCTCGGGCATTCGCCGAGGACTAGTTCTTGGAGAAATGGAGGGGTTGCAGCGAGTAGCTCGCCTCGGGGCCCGACCGAGGAGCATGTCGGTTCGGGGGTGCGGAGCGTGATGTGGGGTAGTGTGGGGAGCAAGGATGGGGTAGAAAGGGGCCGCGGCGGAGTGTGGGGAACTTGGAGGGGCACGACAACGATTTGATCGGCATCTAGATCTAGATACATGTAGGAGCATGCGATGAGAAACAAAGCTTTAGCATATGAGATCGCGGGGTAAAGCTGCTTGGTGGGCCCGAGTGCAATTAGCTTTTGTTGCCTCAGATTGAAGCTAGTGGGCCTCGGAGGGGGTCCGCGGAGGTGCGAAAGGATGTTGGAAAGGAGCAGGAGGAGCTAGGGATTGAAGCTATGACGATGGTTATAATGCAGGACGTGAGCCAGAGTAATAGCTACTTCTTTTTTCTTCCACCTCCTCCATCTCTCTTCAGACTTGCCCTTTGACCTCTCGTATCTTGCGCGCTTCATTCTTCATCCAGATCCCCCTTGCTTGTCGCCACGAATAGATTATTTTTCCTTTATCCACCTTGTTAACCGTTCCTTTATTCCCCACGTCTTACTAGAAATCATGCCCGCCCCGCTCCAGACGGCGGTCAAACGCATCTCCCAGCCCAAGGTCGGCGAGAACGGCTACACGGGTTTCCGCCCCGGCGAGACCGAAGTCTTCCGCGCCGGCTCAAAGCCCTTTGGCGAGGACACCCGCGCCCTCACCAGCGACATCCAGCTCGATCACGACGTCGAGGTCGTCGTTCGCGATGGTGCCCGCCTCTACATCGACGTGTACCGCCCCGCGGATAGCACCGAGAAGGTCCCCGCCGTTCTTAGCTGGTCGCCCTACGGCAAGAAATACAGCGCGCTCGACATGTTGCCCATGACCAAGTGGCACTCGTGCGTGAAGCGCTCCGACCTCAGCGGGTTGGAAAAGTTCGAGGGTCTCGACCCTGCGGTGTGGTGTCCTAAGGGATATGCCATCGTGAGCGTCGACGCGCGTGGCTCGGGAAATAGCGATGGGTTTATTGGCGTGTTGGGATCGCAGGAGGCCGAGGATGGCCACGATGTTGTGGAAGCTGTTGCAAAGATGCCTTGGTGCAATGGAAACATTGGCATGGCGGGTAACTCGTACCTGGCCATCTCGCAATGGTACATTGCGTCTCAACGGCCCCCGTCGCTCAAGGCCATTGCCCCTTGGGAGGGTTTGAGCGATTTGTACAGGAACAATTCTGCAGAGGTAAGACTAACTTCACTCGACCCTTGAATGTGTTTCTTCCGCAGCCCGAATTTACACACTAACAACTTAATCTTTTAATTTTAGGTGGATGGTTTTCCATGAACAACTTTGATCTCATCACTAAAGAAATCCTCCGCGGCCCCCAGCTCCGGCATCGAAGACATGGCCGAGATGTACCGCCGTTCCCCCACCATGAACGCCTTCTGGGCCGACAAGCGCGTCGACATGACCAAGATCCAATGCCCCGTGTACATCCGCGGCTCCGACGTCAGCAACCTGCACAACATGGGCTCGATCCGCGCCTGGCTGGAGATTCCCCACGATAAGAAATGGATCCAATGGGGCACCTACCAGGAATGGTTCGAGCTCTACAGCGTGCCCGAGTCGGCGGACCAGCTGACCACCTTTCTCGATTTCTATCTCCGCGGCGTCGACAACGGCTGGGAAAAGGATACTCCCAAGGTGCGGTGGGCCACGCTCAAGTACGGCGATAGCAGCCCCGTCCACGACATCCCGCTCGCCGACTTCCCCGTGCCAGACACAAAGTATATCGAGTTCTTCCTCACGGAAGGCGGGAAGCTCAGCGAGACGGCGCCCGCGACTGCCCAGACGTTGACGTACGACTCGGAGGACCGCAACAGCTACCTCGATTTCACACATACTTTCCAAGAGCCCGCGCGGTTGATTGGTCTTCCCAAGACAACCCTCTACGTGTCCTGCGATACCCGCGACGACTTTATCGTCTTTGCCATGCTGATCAAGAAGGACAAGGACGGAAACGATATGATGCACCTCAACTTCCCCTTTGAAGCGTCTCCCGTCAACAGCATGGCGGAGATTGATCCCAATGACCAGCATAGCGTCAACACCTATAAGGGACCGGTGGGTATCCTCCGGGCGTCGCACCGCGCGATAGACTCTTCCAAGAGCATCCACCCCAACTTCCCCTTCCACCCTCACGACAAGCAAGAAAAGATCACCCCCGGCACTGTAGTCAAGCTCGACATCGGTATCTGGGCGCTGGGCACTGATTACGAGGCGGGCGAAAGCATCACGATCAGGGTAAGTCTAAGCGAGTTACCATATTTCCTTCAACTATGAAGCAAAACTAACAGCGGCGATAGATTGGCGGCCAAAACCTCACAGCTGCCGAGTTCACGGCCTGGTCCATTCCACGTCCCGAGCATGAACTCAACAAGGGCGAGCACAAGCTACATATTGGTGGTGACTACCCCAGCGCAGTCGTCATCCCTTATGTTGGAAGGCCTGAGTAGGGGGTCGGGGGTCATGAGGGTAATTCGGTAGAGATGTAATGACTATATCATGTACCCACGCGGGCTCGATACATAACTTGAACACGTAACTAGGATCCTTTTAGAACAGAATGACATGATCTGCAATCATCTAATCCAAGAGTTGGGGGTTACTTCGTAGCTAGTAGAAAAATGACAGTTGTCATACTCGTATTTGACTTCTTTTAATCCTAAAAGCCTCATCACATTGACTCATTCCCTCTTTTCTCGTTGCCGCTGCTATTGGCCTTCTTGTTCCCTTCTTGCTATGCTCATGCATCGCCAGTCGTCGAGAAAGATGACAGCGAGCGGAGAAGAACTAAGTATATTGTATTCAAACAGCGTGTTGCGTACGAAAAGTTTAATTATGGTTGAACCCGCACTCTATTGCCCACAAGGTACAAATTCCATGTCTTCGGTTCGGAAGCTGCCGGCATCGACATGCTAGCACTTAGACTAGGATCTCCCAGTCATCTCGACGCCTGGTCACACGTAGCTCCACCACACCATCGTCCATTCTTCAACCTTTTTGCGATTTACTTCTCCTGAATCAAAATACCGCGTAAAAGAAGACGCAAAATCGTGTTCAATTTTTCAATACGCACATTTTCATTATAATAGTTTTCTTCTAGTCAAGACAGAACATGAGATCATCGTCGCTTGGGTTCACGGAGACGCGAGCCGAACCGAGGAATCGGAAGGCCCCACCCGTCAACCCAAAGCCCCCAGTGAAATATCAAGCCTTTTTCTCGTTTCTTCCCATGTTTTCAAGATGGCGACACTCCCTAATGACCATTTATCCTTTTCTCTCATTCCTTAGGAAAATATACCGGGACCAGTCAAGAAAAGAGTAAGCCGACACTCATCCCAAAGCACATCATGGCAGACACTTCCGACATCGTCCCGGAAAAGGGCCAGCTCGAAGACCCCAAGTCCTCCGCCAACACAAGCGAGATCGAGACGGGCGACGAGGCCCCCGTTCCAATGGACACCGTCCGTCGCCGCATCGTCATGTTCTCGCTCTGTCTCGCCCTCTTCCTCTCCGCGCTCGACGTCACCATCGTCGCCACTGCTCTCCCCGAATCGCCCACGAACTCGGCGCCACCGCCGAGGAATACGCCTGGATTGGCAGCTCCTACACGCTCTCCAACACAGCCTCGGTCGCCATCTGGGCGAAGCTCTCGGATATCTTTGGCCGAAAACCCATCATCATGATTGCCAACGTGGCCTTTCTTCTAGGAAGTCTGCTGGCCGGTCTCTCGCAAAACGTGGGCATGCTGATCGGGGGCCGCATTATCCAGGGTCTCGGCGCTGGAGGATGTACGGTGCTGGTGACGATTCTCATCAGCGACTTGTTCGCGCTGCGGGATAGGGCCAAGTACTATGGACTCACGGGGATCGTGTACGCCATCTCGAGTAGCATTGGACCGGTGCTTGGCGGCGTGTTTACGCAGACGATTGGCTGGAGGTGGTGTTGTAAGTCCACGGCGTTATCACGTTTCTTTTTGGCTTTCGTGCGTTATTATACGGCAGGAATACTGATACCAATTAATTCGCAGTCTATATCAACCTACCGTTCGACGGCATCTCCCTCATCGCGCTTCTCCTTGCCCTCCGAGTCCACACCTCGAAAACCACCCTCGCCGCAGGCCTCAAATCCCTCGACTGGATTGGATGCCTCCTCATCGTCGGAGGCACAATCTGCTTCCTATACGGCCTCGGATCAGGCGCCGGCGACAAAGCATCGTGGAAATCGGCCGAGACCATCTGTCTGCTCGTGTTCGGCGTCGTTATCCTCGTCCTCTTTGGTTTCTACGAATCCCGCTTCGCCACGAGCCCCTTGGTGCCCATGCGCATCTTCTCCCGCGGCACAAACATCGCCTCCATGGCCGTCCTCTGCCTCCACGGCTTCGTGTTCATCGCGTACGATTACTTTCTCCCGCTCTACTTCCAAATTGCCCTCGGTTTCGCCCCCATCATCTCCGGCGTCTCGCTTCTGGCTCTCGTTGTGCCCCTTTCCTTCACAACCATGGGCGCGGCCTTCTTCATCAAAAAGACGGGCTCCTATCTCCTCCCGACGAACATTGGCGCCGCGGTGATGACGCTCGGCACGGGATTACTCATCAGTTTGGGTGCCAAGACGGACTGGGCCAAGATTATGGTTTTCCAGGTCATTGTCGGCCTCGGTGCCGGCCCGTTGTTCCAGGCCCCGATGATTGCGCTCCAAGCGCACTTGCCACAAAAGGATGTGGCTGCAGCCTCTTCGGCGTCCCAGTTCTTGCGGAGCTTAAGCACTTCCATGTCCATTGTCATTGGCACCGTGCTTCTTCAGGCGAACCACGGAGGGAACCAGCTCACGGAAGCCGTTAGCACTCCAGAGGCCGCGCAGGGCTACGTGGATGCGATGAAGTACATGTGGATATTTTACACTGCCATGGCGGGGGTGATGGTGGCTACTTGCATGTTTATCAAGAAAATGCCGGTCCAGGATAAGTCGTAGTCTGCTTGCTCTTTGAGCTTCACTTGGTGGTCGTTTAGACCTGTAACATTAGACAGGCTGCTTTTCGGTATAGAATTAATATGATAAAAAGTAACCCAACGAGGTCGCATGGTTTCTCGCTCGAGTTAGCCAATCTTCCAATCTGTGATCATCCAGCTCTATATGTAAGCAATCCTTTTAACCACCCTCTACTATCCCGACGCACATCGAGGCTTGTCATGTGCAGGGCTCCCAGCTGTAAGTAAAGATGGACTAATCAACATATTGACGAGCTCACCAATATGAAAGAAGAGTCCTGGCGGTCCCCTTTCTCTATGAGGAACTTGGCTAAAAATATTACATAGTCTCAATTTTCGGACTACATAAGTTAGGCCTCACAGGTCTGTATTGATCCTCGGTGTGTGATCACGATCCGAGGTTGGACTCAGTACGCATCATAGACTTGTTAACATATATTATGTGGGCTCCCGTCGATGACATAGGAACGCCAATGTGGGCACACACCGCATGGCCACGCTTCCCTTGGCAAGTTGTGAGATGGCAATCGGCTCCACATGCACAACCTTGTTTTCAAGCGAAGATTTGCCCCTATGGAATGCTATTCATACATCGATTGGCCTTTACGAGATCTCATATCCCCAACCATCCCAGGATTTCTGTCCACATCCGCAGATCTGTGCCTGAGTTCAACCGCAATGCGTGACGCTTGGGGGCGTTGAGGACGAGTGCCGACGCTATCCTGAGCTCTACCGGGGTGTGACCCACCTGTCGTGCTGCTCCTCGGGGCTTGGCGTCTGGGGTTCTGCGGACCTCGGAGTCGATCCTCGGAGCAAAATGGCAGGGGTTCGGTTCCAGCCCAATAAAGGCAAGTAGAAGCGCTCACAGAGGGTGAGAGAAGAAATTCCATACTGATTGGCCACTTCATGTAAAATTCACTCTAATACTAGCCAGGGTCCTTGAGAGATTGAGTACTAATTAAGAGGCCGCAAACAGGTGGAAAGGCCAAGCAATGGCTGAGGGTTTATGCACGGCTACCAAAGTGAAGAATCGAGGAAGCTGATAAAATGAATCAATTTGAAAGGACAAGGACATGGTGAGAATAGGTTCAAGACCCCAGGGTAATTGATTGAAGTATCTGCAATTTCCTAGATGCTAGTATGTCCCTATTACAACTTAGATGCCTTGTCTATGTAGAAAAGTTTACATGTATACAATGTGAGAGCAATAAGATCGGCCCGGCGCATTCGGTATTCGTGTGTATGGTGATTTGTCGCTGCGCCGAAAAGACCTGAACGAGCAGAGGCATTGGTATGAGGGGGCGAGAGGCGAGACCTAGGACGTAGAAACCATTTACTTCCCCTTGAGGCCCTGATACATGGATGGCTCAATCGACGAAATAAAGGTTCTTTCCGACGCCCCAGTGAGCAGCGGCCTGTGAACCGGATCAGAGTGGTTTGAGTTCTGAAGAAATTTGAAAAAAACGGTAGAAGTAGAAACAAAATAGTCGAGTATACTCCGAAGGAAGCCTCCAGCATTGACTTGGAGAAACCTGTATCTACGGCTGAAGAAAACAAGATAATAACGGCGTTTTCGGGGAATTTCGGTTCACGACCCTCGAGAGGAGCCCGGAGCGTCGTGTCTGGGGTCTGGTCCCGGGAAGCTGCACAGTGACAAATCTGGGGTAACTAGTCCCAAGAATTTAAAAGCACCTACTCTGAATGGGCAGAATTCCACGCTTGCGTAGACTTGCCACGATGGAGAAGCGCAAAGGGGGTGCATTGGCCCTAGCTTTTTCCATAGCTCGTCCGTCTGAGCCAAGGCGCGACCAAGCCGAATTAAGTAGTCCAAGGATTGGGACAGCGTTGCCCCCGCAATGACGGCCTCCCCTTCTCCCTCCCCCTATACGATCTCTTGCTCCGAAATGTAGCAGGCGTGGACCTGTTTGCTCCGAAGCATCTCGTGGTTGGGGTCCGGAACGGAGCACGCGCGCAAGCACGAGGCGCAATGAGGTTGTGCCTTTTTCTTGCTAATTTCTCTCTCCACGTCCGCCTTCTGCCCGTTCCCCCACGAAACAGCCCGAATCGCCTCTACGGCCTTTCCCCCTTTCCCCATGGGGTAGCCATCTGCCTTTGGTGAATGCAATGTAACAACCGGAATGTGGAGAAGAAAGACAGCATCGGACTACAACTCACTCGAGATCTATACATCTCCACGATCTATATAACTTCACATCCTCCAGTCCCGAACCCCCATCATTCATACAGGCTGTGTATCCTCCCTCTCAGAGCATTTTCATCACCACGGCATCGCGAGGACATTCGGTTCCTAATCATTCGTCTCCAAATCCGACGAATTGACCATATACAGACACTTCATCCAAGTCATCAGCCATGACCGCAGTCGCCATGGAAGAAGACAAGAAGAACATGAGCCAGCACATCGAGGGCTCCATCAGGGACGAGGGTTCGGAGCCTGTCAAGTCCGAAAGCTCTGATGGCCGATTCGACGGCGACGTCAATCTTTCGGGCCCGGGTGATACCATCTACCTGATCCCGACGCCTAGCCCCGACCCGCGAGGTAAGCTTCATGTCCGAGCTATAGCTGTCTTCCACACACGTTGCTGATATTGTGCCACATCTAGACCCTTTGAACCTCCCCTTGATGAGAAAACTGGTAGGTGGACCAATGACTATACGGTCCTCGTGGCGAATACTTCCTTCTGACTCGATGATGACCAGGTTGTCATGGGCATCGTTGCCTTGTTCAGCTCCGTTGGCCTGTCCATGGTCAGCGGACTGGTAAGTGGACACGCATCTACCCAGGGAGGAATTGCACACTGACCAGAAACTATAATAGGGAGGTCTTTTGAACTTGTTTATCCCAATCTATGTCGCCGAGGGCAAGGGCTACGCCGATATCACGCGTAAGTACTAAACCAAAAGAGCCGACCTAGTTCCGTTTCAAAATAGTTATTAATAGCCGCGTCACATAGATCTAATGACGTATCCCACTTTGTTCATGGGCATCGGAAACATCATCGCCATGCCCATCGCCCTAGCGGTCGGACGCCGCCCCGTCTTCCTCGTATCCTGCATCGTGCTCGTCCTCTCTTGCGCCCTCTGCGCCACGCAACAATCCTACGAATGGCACCTTGCCGCCCGCATGGTCCTCGGCCTCGCTGCCGGTCAGAGCGAGGCCCTGTGTCCGTTGATCATCCAAGAGTCCTTCTTCCTGCACGAGCGCGGCAAGTACCAGATGATCTTTACCGCGGCTGGTAACATCTTGACCACCATCTTCACGCTTCTCACCTCGTACATTGGCGCGGCGATTGGCGCCAAGGGATGGTATTCCATTGGTGCGGGCGTGGCCGGCCTTGTCCTCATCATCAGCGTCTTTTTGCTTCCAGAGACCAAGTACGAGAGGCCGTTGTCCGCTTATCAAGGCCGCGATGCCACCGTCAGCACGTTTGCTGCGGGTGCCGAGGACCCTCAACAAGCTTCGTATCCCATCCAGCGCATCGCTACCACGGACGTGCGCGAGCTCGACCTAGTCAACTACAAGCCCCGCACCCTTGCCTCCGATATGCGCCTATTCGTCAACAAGCCAGATTGGGACGAGGGTATCCGAACACTGCATCGCATGTTTACCATTATGCTCTTCCCTGACATCCTCTGGGCGTTCGTATGTTTTTTCCCCTCACTCCTTCCTCACTTGGTTGAAGAGACTGCTAACCTTCTCTTTGTAGCTTCTCAACGGTCTGACCCTCGGCGTCAACATCGCCATGGGAACGACCTACGGCTCCATCCTCAGCGCCCCCCTTACAACTGGGAGGACAAGAACATCTCCTTCGCCATGGCCGGCCAAATTGTCGTCTCCTTCTGCGCCCTCCCTCTGCTCGGCTGGGGCTCCGATTGGGCCGTCAAGTATCTCGCCCGCCGAAACGGCGGCGTCCATCAACCCCAGTACCGCCTCGTCACCCTCGTTCTCCCCACCATCGCTGGTGTCATCTCCGCCATTCTCTACGGCCAAGCCGCCGCCCACCCCGAGCGCCTTCACTGGTTCTCTGTCGTGTTCGCCGTCAGCGCCTACTACTTTGCTTTTATTGGCGCCAACCAGGTCGGCATCGTGTACTCTCTGGACTCGTACCCTACCCGTGCCGGTCCCGCGCTCGTCGTGATCTGCGCTACCCGTGGTATTCTCAGCTTTGGCACGTCGTACGGCATTACGCCTTTTATCGAGCTTCGCGGATACGACGGTGCGTTCCTTATCTACGGCATTCTTACGGGTGTCTTGGGCGCCATGGGCATCGTGGTCTATTTCTTTAGTGCCCGCATCCGCGCCTTCTGTTCCCGATACGCCGTCAGGACTAGCGACACTAAGCCCTCCTACTCTTGATCGAGACTGAAGTAGGCCTCGCGGGTCAGAGAGATCGGAGGTAGTCAAACATTGACCTGTGGGGGTGTCTAAAGCTGCTGAGTCGTGGAATGCGCGTCGCTTGTAGTAGCGGAAGGTCTTTAAGCGTAGCGTAGCAATTGTTGTTTTTGCTGTTTTTAGTGTATTGGCTGGGGCTGCTCAACCGCAGTGGCCCAAACAATTATATCAGTAGTCCCAAATATATCCTCTTTTGTTTGAAGAATCCTTGTCTGTGATAGCCGGGAGATGTGTGCCAACCATATTCCAATCGTAACATAGTCAATGATTTTGACACAACCTTCAATTGTCGTGAACCTAAGTTTTAAACGAGAAATATTATTCAGTGATGAGGACCATCTATGCTCCGTACCTAAATCCTTCCTTTGACCCTCACCCATATCAAGTTCATTAAAAAAGATTTGACACTCCTCAGACCACTTGCTCCTCTACGCTCGGATCAAGAAAAGAATACGTCCCAAACGTACCCCATAACTCATCGAGCGGCATATCCTCTCCAAAACTAAACATGGACGAATCGGCCGTGATTTCCGGAACGGCCGATGACGTCTCCCAAGTCACGGGGATGGGCCCCGTCAGCTGCGTATCCAGCAGTCCCATATCCATATCCCCGACCGCCTTCGTTACCCCAGTCCGCTCCAATTCCACGGCAGCAATCACCCCAGTACGAAGCACCTCGAAGCCGCGGATGAAGGCTGGGTCCTGCCCGCCGCGCCGAAAGTACGTCTCGATATACTCGGTCAGAATGGTCAAGAGCTCTAGGTCGGAGCGGATGAGCCGCTTGTTGGGACTTTTGAGAATGGACAGCGAAAGGACAACGGCGGCGAGGCTGGGCTGGGACACGGAGGAGATATTCGAGCGGATGCCGTGGTCATCGAGCTCGATGACGAGGCGGACGGTGGCGCGGGCAGAGGCATTGCAGATGTTTTCGGCTTGGAGGAGGCGCATGTAGGAGGGGATTTTGGATCCTTGGCGCTTGACTTCATCGGTGAAAGACTGGGTTGGGAAGACCAAGGAAGGGCGTAGGAGGGTTATTTGAGCCTGTGGTGGGCGGGTTTAGGTTAGCTTGATTTTTTAACATGAGACGGTTCTTTGAAGAAGGGGGTTACCTACCTGATAGTATTGGAGAGAAAGGAAGCTCGTGATATGTTGGGGGTATTGTGGTTGGTCCGAATCGAGGTCGGTAAAAAGCTCATGACCCGGCTTCATCCCTTCAGGGACAGTCTTTGCCCACTCCAAAAGCTTCTGGTCCAGCGTCCCAATCTCGTACATTAGGCGCCACGCCGAGTTCGGCCGATGCCTGTACAGCCGCTTGCTAATCTGGCTGAAGATTCGCGAGAGCGATACCCACAGAGCGAAGAAATCCGGGCCTTCTTCCGGGGGCGCCGAGCACCTTGGCTCGGAGGGACTTGGTCAATGTCGTCGTCGTCGATCGCTGACGGCCGCCCCGTTTCAAGCTCCATGAGCTTTTCTAGCGCGTAGCACGACCACCAGATCCTACCCTTGAGCCCCAGCTCCGGCATTTCGGAAGAGTCGTCACCTTGCTGGGACCGGAGGCGGATATGTCGGTGGAGGCCGATGGAGTGCGCTGTCCGAATGGCTTGCGCGAGAACGTGCCATCCTTGGCCATCTTTACAACGTGACCGTAACGCCAGAGAGCAGGAACAGAGCTTGGACGCTCGGTAGATACGGCGCCGCGGTGAGGTGCGCGAGTAGGCTATAGGCGGCTTCGAGATAGGTTTCGCCAACTGCGGTAAGCTCGCCGGCCATTTCATCAGCACCCAAGACAACAAGGGCGTAGATGGCGACGAGTTGGGGTACGTGGCCAGAGGATAGGCCTTGCCGGAGACCGTTGGGGCAGTTGTTATCTAGGCGGTACAACTTTTGTATCCCAGCCTCTATGACGGAACGATCGACCACAGGGTAGAGGGGCCATATTTTGCTGAAGAAAGTGTCGAGATATCTTTTGAGGGGAGCGGGTTCCGGTAGTGGTAGAATAGTGATGGATAGAGTGAGGGGGAATTCCTCGACGTGGCGCATACCGTTGCGGAAGTGGGGGCCATGGTCGCGAGGCCTTTTCGCCGGAGATAGATGTCGACAAACATTCCTAGGCATTGGAGACTGCTTCCGCCCATGTACTAGCGACACCACCAGAGGGGTTAGTTTTCTATCCGCTAGATGAATTGAATGGGGGATGAGAGGGAGAGGATCGCTTGGCCTACCTTGAATCTGTGAGAGCTATTATCCGTGTTGACCACGACATCCGCGTTGGAATCCGTTACACTACTCTCCCCGCCACCTCCAATGGTGCTATGCTGGTACCCTCGTGCAACCCACGAGAGGGTGCCCGCAGCAACAGATCCATCTCCGCTAGCGGGGCTCGCGTCCACAATGCCATGGGATATGGGCGACTCCGTAGCGGCCGAGACAGACGTCGACGTCACGCTCCCCGACGGAGAGCCCGCACATCGTAGGTCCGATCGCTCGATGCGCCGCCAGTCCCGTGATCCGAGGGTGTGGTCACCGGTGTGGTGGCAGACGCGAGACCCTCGTGCCCTTGTCGAGATGCGCCTCCGGTCTGGTTTCTATGCGACGCGCCGGGTCGCTGCCCGGGCAAGAGGCCATCCTTTGTCGCCCAACGGCGCACGCTGGGCCCCTTTTCCGGGTAGCGGGGATCGGTGGTCTCGCACACCTCGTCGCGAAGCCAGCAATTGCGGCACTTGGGCGTCTCGGCGTCGCAGCGGACCTTGCGCTTGCGACATTGATTGCAGGCGAGGCGTAGGCGGATGCGCTTAGAAGGGCCGGAGTTCGAAGATGGTGAGTCGGGGTGTCGTCGTGGGTGTTCCTGCCGTCGTGGTGGTTCTCTTTATTTGTGTTGCTGTACTGGCTGTCGCCGTTACGGTCGCGGTCTTGGTCGGGGATCGGGGTGCGTTCTACGTCCATGTTCGGAGATAGACGCTCTGCGGATGACTTGGAGGCGGCGGTGGTAGTGGACGGGCTCGGAGCGTTCATGATTAGGCTCTGCTGATTGCGGACCGGATGGGCTCATTTCGAGGCAGAATGGCTCGGTTCGCGCTGCCCGAGGGTGCCATTTTTTCAAGTAATATACTGCTGGGGGATTTGCGATCTTGGGTACTTGGAATCGTGAATGCGGGGTTACTCCCCGACGATACTCGAGTAGGAATAGTGCGGGACGAGGGGCTCAAGAAGTTCAGAGACACACAAAGTGAGTGAGAGCAGACAGGCTCAGAGCGGGCAAGATTGTGGGGAAAAGATGGGGTCTCTGACAATTGAGCGATACCCCAAACCCCCAGAACCCTACTCACTTTTGTCGACAGTAGCTTTCCCCACGGCTATTTGATTCGGGAAGTAATCCATTGGCCAACGTTCTGCTTTGTGGTGGGGCCGACAGAGATGTCAAATGCGGTTAGACTCGAAGCTCACGAGAGTTTCTGTTCCGAGGAGCGGACATTGGTCCCTGCTCTGATCCTCGGAGTCGCGAGAGAAGTACGTACATATTTTCGCATCGCTTAAACCATGAACCGAGCTTAACAGAATAGTAAAGAATGCGTGTGGCCTTGAACGTCCCGCTCCCCTGGGCCCTGGTTGCCGGCGACCATAGCATAGATAGCAAAACGCGTCAGCTCCGGAACTAGTGCTCTCCGCTGAATATATTTTGAAAGAATCCTTTCGCTTAAGTTGTGGGCGTAAATCTGGGCTGAAGTAGAAATGGTTTTTAGGCTTGTCGGCTTGTTTAGGACGTTTGGCTTCAATATTCATGTTCTCTCAGAGCCTGTTGCATCTTTTCAATAATGCCATCTTCGCTCGAAGAGCCATCGTTGGGAGCGCTGGATCAGCCGTGCATGCTGGACCTAAAATGTGGTTAGCCTCTCGTCTTTCAGGCGGCACGTCGAGTTGCACGAACTATTTTAACCGCGGAGGCGCATTCTCCGACCGAACCGTTGGAGACGATGCCGTCTTCCGCTTGCTCAACCTTGAATTAGAACTGTAGGGTGAAGATCGGTAAATGGTCAGAAATAGGGATTTTTGGAGGTCTCGATTTTCAGTCACGGTGGGCGTCATCTAGGATATGAGGTGATTAAAATGAGGGAGTGGGGGCTGAGCCATTTCAACTACCAACGATGGCTCCTTTCTCCACAAGCATCTGGACAATATCATTGTGGCCGCGTTCTGAAGCTGCCTAGAGAGCGTTGCTATAGCCGCCGCCCTGCGTATTAACGTCGGCTCCTTTCTCCATAAGCATCTGGATAATACCACTATGGCCGCGGGATGAAGCTGCCTGCAGAGCGTTGCCATAGAAGCCTCCCTGCGTATTAGCATCGGCTCCTTTCTCTATAAGCATCTGGACAGTATCACTATGGCCACATAATGAAGCTGCCTGGAGAGCGTTGCCATGGTGGCCGCCTTGCGCATTAACGTTGGCTCCTTTCTCCATAAGCATCTGGACAGTATCGCTATGGCCGTGGAATGAAGCTGCCTGGAGAGCGTTGCCAAAGTAGCCGCCCTGCGCATTAACGTCGACTCCCTTGCCAATAAGATCACATGCAGGTGCCATGAGCCCATTGAGGGAAGCGTAGTAAAGCCTAGAAGCTTTTGGACCACCACGGAAATTCCGTAAAGGCTCATAAGGCTGCCATAAAGCAGTCCATCGTTGGAACGTCGCTTCATTCTCTATGAACTCAACTGCCATTTGAACCATATCTTCTAAAGCTTGAGCAGATATAGCATGGCGTGGCCACATTTCCGCCGCATATATTGCCATTGGAAAATCCTCCCTGATCTCACTGTGACTACTTTTGATGTCTGTGAGATAGGTTAAGCATGTTCTCGCGATAGAAAAACTTGCAATAGTCATCTCAAACTGATCTTCTTTGAGAAGATATTCTTTCACAGAGAAGTGGGCAAGATGTAGTTCCTTGGTGGCGTGCACGACTGTTATCAAGCCGGGACAGTATTCGAGAATATTAGTCTCATGAAATAGTCGACGCTTAATGTCAAACCCTTGCGACTCGTTTTGGACCTGCGTTGCAATTACTTCTTTCGCCTCAGCTAGCTTGAGAGGTCGCGAGTGCACTAGGAATTGTAGAAGTCGTATCGCATCGTGTTTTAGCTCCGCGGGTATTCGATCCATCATCTGTTGGTATGTGTCTTCCAAGCTCCGCGGTAAAGATGAGAGAGATTCCTCTATAGCCGCCGGGTGAGGACATCGAGCCAGGCTGTCCAACTGACAGAACGCCCACCTGAACCTAAATAGAAGTTTAGCAAATCATCAACATATCTATTATCATTAATCATGGTAATATCTTACATCCCGTCCGCCCCATCGCCAACCTTGTTTAGGATCTTATCTTGGAGATCTTGGGATAAGTGTTTATCCAGAAATCTACGCTGTTGCGAAAGCTGTGCTGCGACTATGATCGAATATCGATGTTGATCGACTGCTTATCAAGTGCTAAGCGGTTTTCCTCGCCTATTAACGAGGGGATGTCGCGCACGAACTCGGGCTCAGGCCGATTGGTGTAGATTAGTTGGACGTGGTCTAGCTCTGGCGTAAAGATGACGTCTTTCATCCATTGGACAAGATCGTCCCTCGTTTCCGACTCGTCCAAAGCGTCCATGACGATAGAAGTCTTCTTCTTCTGGGATTTAAGCATCTTGTACACAACGTCCTTAAGCGCCTTTATGGTAGGTTGGTCGCGGCCATTCTGGTGTGCTTGAAATAAGTTGCTAAGGTCTACAAAATCAGCTTCACATTTGTGAAGTTGGAAAGCAAGCGATCGCAGCATGCCATCGACGGTCTGTTGTCTCTTGTCGCCAAAGTCAAAGAAGAAGCTGCAGATAAGACGGTCGTTATCCTTATTAAGGCGATCCAGTATAGTCGCACTCAGTACCGTCTTCCCGCATCCTGCGAGCCCATGCAGCCATAAGTGTCGGCGCTACCCTGTGTGCCACACTTGGAAGACTGGGCTTTCCAGGAGCCACAGGCCGGTCCCCTCATGGCGGAGGTCCCTCGCGCGTTTAGCGTTTATGGAGGGATCGGGGGCAAAGCCAACTTTTGATCTTCTTAGTGTAACGGTCGTTCTGGGCGGAATCAACCGAAGCCTTCGTTGAGTCTATGGTCTGTTATATCCTATCCAGTTCACATCGAGCTACTTATGTTGAGAACGAATTTCGAATTTCAAGGTTATTCAGTGATGAAAGTTTGCCAGACCAGCTCTAGGGAACAAAGGAGGGACTAACTTAAATGAATCTTTGTATAACTCTTGGTCTACTAGGTCTCTGCGACGGGAACGTGCTCGAGGAGCTCCTTGGCATACGCAGCGGCAGTGGCCGAGGCGTAGCGCTGCCATTGATCGTTCTTGTGGGAATCAGCATAATCACAGATGCCTCGGATCACGAGACAGGGAAAGTGATTCATAAGACCCGCCGCTTCCATCTCAAAGCAAATGCAGCCCTCGCCGAAATCGGCAGCAATACGATCACGCACGGCGGCGTCTTTGACAAGCGTATTGCCGGATGCGATGATCCCGTAGTGTATCTCGGGGTCGGTAGTGTCTCGAGCGTCGCGTTCAACCTTGCCAGCTGACTCACAGCCGCGACAGTTCGGCCCAGTAATGTGCTTATATTCAGCCTTGAAGAGATGATCATTTTCAAGCCCTTGGTGAACATATCCAGGACTTTTCTTGGATATCTTCCCCATCTTCGGTTCCTTTTCTAGCATCTCTCGGAGGAAGTAGGGAACCTTAGAATCTCCCAGCTCGTGAATGCTCTTGATTTCACGAATCGCCTTGAGGAGGACCAGCGGAGGTGGCCTGAGGAAGCCTATCCGCTTACACTTGCCCCCGTCCATTGCCTTGACCAGGTCGTACTGGAAGACTCCGCCTGCGGTCTCATTGGGATAGCTGACGGCAATGTCGCCGAGCCGAATATCGTACCCGTCATCTGGTCGGGGATTCCGCCGCCGATGCCGACTAGAAGACCAAAACGGATGGATGGCACAGAGACAAGAAGGCTCAAGGCCGTAGTCGCAGCCGAGGTGGTTCCATAGACTCCAGCACCAAGACCAGCGATGACAATATTGTGCTCTCCCATACGACCCCAAGTATAAACGTTGTCGTCAGTTTTGTGTTTAGCGAATCCAGTTGGAGTTGCATGTTCCTCATCAAGCATTGCTTCCGCAGCCGCCCGCTCGATGAAAGAGGAGCGATCCAGGCTACCGTGTAGGAGTCGGGACTGTCGAGAACTTTGAGCGATGCCATGGTAGAGAGGAAGCGCACGAAGCTGATAGACAGGTGGCTAGAATGATAGACTACGTAGTTCGTTCGCGTCGAAAAGCTGGAGTTGAGTAATTCCAGAAAGGAAATGTAATTACATAGACTTCCAGGTTGGATATGATGTGATGGCCGCAAGTAGGGAATAGCTAGATGGCACAAATCTTTTATCTTCCTTTAAGAATCAGATGAGGGCGATTCAGGAATATAGATCGATGGAACCTTTGGTGCGAGAAGGCTCTCGGCTTCCAAAGAGGGCGAAATACGTTTAATTGAATCCGTACTTGCTACATACATGAAGTTCGAAAGGCAGTCCGGATCCTGCCGCCGAATAGTAATGACTAAAATTTTGATCTCGCATGAGAGGGTGTGGCCACCACCATGCGGCCGTTGGGCTGCTATGGCGAAGGACCAGCGAATGATTTAAGGCATCAACTACACCCATAGAATGTTCTAACCAGGCTGCGCGTTGGAAGTCCTAGAGAGGATTTAAGGCGCCTCAAATTCCTGAGAGTAGCACTTGGGGGTCGGGGAACACGCGTCACCCGTGTTGGACGATGACTTACGACATCAATTGCAGCATGATTGGGTTGGGAGCTTTGAGTGCAGCAGGCTGTTACAGCTGCATATCAAAGCCTGCACTCCTCCCAGATGTTCGCAATCCAGCCTGGCCATCCTTCCCCTCTTTTGCGATGTGATGAGATCGTGAGAAACCCAGGCGTTTCGCGTTTACAGCCTAAGCCGGCATCTAACTAAATAAATAACCTTGCTTCATTCCATACCCGGTCCATATTCTATTTTAGCTTACCTTACTCTATTAAAGTGTTTACTTATAGCTTTGACGGATAATGATATTACTTAGAAGGTTCAGGGTCAGAATCTAGTAAGCTGTTCAAACGTTTTCAAACCATCAATGCTCTGTGAAAAGAGGGGTTGACCCTCGCAGGACTACAGTAGGTCAGTAGCCAATTACATCCCCCTAAGGTTCTCAGCTGAAGTATGGAAAATTGTGGCGTTGAACACGTTACAAGCTGTAGTAATATGTATAAAGTACACTTGCACGGGGAACAACTGTAAAGACTAAATATCGCATCCCTTGTCCAGCCACCTCCGATGCGCAGCAGCCGACTTGATCAAATCACGGTCAAGGACGCTGAGGCAACTTGGATGGCATGTGGGATGTTTCCATTGGATGATACGACGGTCGCGTTTTTGGGCCGGCTGATGCTAATCTGACGGATCTTTCCAGGCCCCCAACACATATGCAGGGTCGCTTGAAGATGTGAATCAAGGGTTCCTTATATATTGTCTGAAGGTGTCCAGGGAGTAACGATCTGAGATAAGAAATTTGCATTCCTGAACTAGCTTCTAGGGTAGCTGTGTATGTGTGTGTTTCTATAGTATTTACAGGGGATATAGCTGCAACTACAGTCATATAGAAAAGAGCCTAGAATGGACTATAAGATAGTCAGTGTAGAGCCACGTAGTAACTGCTTAAATAAGAACTATAATATATAAACCACTATTATGGCGTTCCAACACTGGATAGGTGGGAGTGGCTATAAGTAGTATAGTGTAAGAACGACCGGGCCTGTAGGTGGCGCGCCGAGGCAATCAAATACTCCTAAGATATAACGGTGTGTAATGCGTATTCAAGTGTAGGTTCCAGGGGTGACCTGAATTGACGACCAGAAAGGATGTCAAACTTCCTTTCCTCGAAGGTCTATCGACCTCCTTATACAAACCTTCTTTCCTATATAGTTCCTCTGATCTTCTTCATCAACTATCCATCCTCTATCCAATCAGCTGGCGTTGTCCCATCAGTCGAGCGGGGTTCGTTCGATCAGTCGAACGCGGGCCATTCGGACTTCTTAGTTATCCTTCCTTCCTCTGGCTTACATCGCTATGATCATTCTTCGTCCCCGGGCCTGCGGCATTCACATGGCTATGTGCCTGGATCATATATCCCACTTGTGCCCATGCCTACGGTCCAAGCGTTAGGCGTCTCATTTTCTATAGAATTTGCCTAGGCTCTGGGCCTGGGTTGCATGTTTCACTTGTGCTAGCGATTGCGATTCATGCCTTGGGTTGCGACCGGCGGTCCCAACCGTTCTTCCTAGCGCTGCCGTTCCTGCATTAGCGGGCTGCCTCCGCAGTTTAGCTGTTTCTGCCACTTCTGCCCAATCTAGCTGGGTTCTTCGGCTGGCCCTGACAACTTAGAGAAGAACATATGTAAAGACTAAAATTAACAGAGTACTGTAATAAAGTGAAAGAGAAAAATAAGACTACCTAGAGTAGGATTTTAGAATAAGAGCCTAGTTGTAGTAGAAGGAGTTGATCTTATTCGACAGTAGCTTTCCCGCGACTATTTGATTCGGGAAGTAATCCATTGGCTAATGTTCTGCTTTGTGGTGGGGCCGACAGAGGTGTCAAACGCGGTTAGACTCAAAGCTCGCTCGGGGTTTTGTTCCGAGGAGCAGACGTTGCTCTGATCCTCGGAGTCGCTTAAGAAGTACATGTACGTACATATCTTCGCATCGCTTAAACCGCGAACCGAGCCTAGCAGAATAGTAAAGAATGCGTGTGGCCTTAAACGCCCCGCTCGCTCAGGCCCTGGTTTCCAGCGACCATAGCATAGATAGCAAAACGCGTCAGCTTCGGGACTAGTGCTCGCAGTGCGTCAGGAAGGAAAGCCGCCATGATGGAAGATGTGGTGTACTGTAAACAATGCGGCAAGTTTCCTTACAGCTGCATCAGGCGAACCTACTGGTATAAATGGCTACTATGGAAGCGAAAGATAGGTTGCCGGACAAGTGGATAATACAATCCTTGCTTTGCAGCAGCGAATGGAAAGAACTGAGTAATGCGATGACGAGAAGACTAAAGGACCTAGGCTAAGAAGACTTGGCAGAAACTGAGAAACCAGAGGATGCAGACGACGATGCTGACAACGAGGTTGATAAAGCAATCGTTGAGAACACGAAATTCTTTGACTGCCGCATCGCACTCTTGGAGAATCAGGTCCAAATACTGGACGACAAGATCGAAACGATAAGAAGAGCAGCGTGCCAGCCAGAAAGTCAGCCGCCCCTACCTCGACAAACCACAGGCCTGCACCCGCCACGCCAGTGGGCAAGCAAGCGACCGCCAAGCCCACGAAACGAACACAAGAGACAAACACCGGCCCCAGATCGGCGATGAAGCGATTAAGCCAAGTGATAAAGGACCTAGAAAAGGAAGGAAGATGTAAGTAGAAAATATATAGTAAGAGTAGGGAGTAGCAAATACAACAAAGTTATTCATTTTAGAAAAGATCTTTCCATTATTAAAAGTCTAATATATATTTTCTTTTCTAAGGGAACAGTTAAGGACGATGATAAATTGTAAGTAAGGAAGGGGGCACTACACTTATACCTATTAACACTATCAGTATACAAGTAAGAGAAGCTAGCTCGTAAAGATAATCAACTAGTACCTGAAGTAGCTGGATAAGCACTAGTAAGTAGATATGAAAGATACTAGGTATATAGATAATATAGTTAGAGAAGATATAAACTTTCTAACCTTAACGTTATACTATAGTTATAATACTATAGTATAAATAAAGGTAACCACTAACTAGTTATAAATAATAAGGAGTTAACACTTGTCAACCACTCTATGGAATATGTAAGTTATGTAGTCTATAAGTGAACAATGTAGTTAATGAATAGGAATTATAGTAACTAACTAACAGCGTTATCCTATATGATAGATCGCGAACCATTCCACCTATAGTGAACGCTGGTTCACTGATAATAGCTGGCGGGTCTTTTAAAGTTATAATAGTAAAACCCTAGGCAGCCTAAAATAAAATAGAAAACGACTACATATAATATCACTATAATCCTCAAAGACAATGCTGTAGCTGATTATAGTCTATAAGAGAACTATATGATTATTATTCCTATTATATTATTTTACTATATCCACTCTAGTATACACTCCCTCTTCCCTTTTCTCTTTTAATAAGTTAAAAACCTCCTAGGTGTTAAAACCCTTATTCCCTACTTTATACCCGCTAGCCTACTGCCCTTACTATGTCCTCGTCTCATTATATCTCTGCTCTTATCGGTGGTATATAGCTATAGCCTCGGTGTGCTCCCTCCCCCAGTAGTTAGGTAGTGATCTACCTAGGGTCCTACCTCTACTCTACTCCCGCCTTCTCTACTCCTATACCTCTATACACCCCCTTCCTTCCTCTAATCTTATATCCTATACCTACTCTAGTGCACCTATCGCGGTATGCCCACCTCGGCCGTGCCGGGTCCGGTCGTTCTTTTTCCTTCCTTTGTTCTAGAATATCGCCCCCTATCCTCCCTCGGGCCTTCCGCCCTTCGGCGGTGGTCTATCTAGGGGCCCTCTTCATACAGTTGCGCCTCCCTTATTCTTTCCCTTCTCCCTCCCCTCTCGCTGGTTATTAATTCTTACTTAATATGACATTTCCTTCATATATAAAGGTATTGCCCCCCTTCTTTATAGCTCTTCTAGCCTATTCCTTTTACCCCTCTTAATAAGGTAAGTCTAACGCTCTACCCTGTACTACCCTTCTACCTGCCTGCTGCTGCTGACTTGGTGAATGATTGCACCTATCCTTCCTTATGTGATGAGACCTCCGCGTAAGCAGGCTTAAGTGATCGCCCTTAGCCTTCGTGGCCTTGGCGGTTATGGTCGTGGTGGTCACGGCCATGGTGTCCGCGGGCGTGCTAGCTGTGGGCGTGCGCGTGCACAGAGTCGTTCCACTTCCAAGGCCTCCATTCCCTCATCCCTCCCTCTACCTGCCACCCCTCTCCCTGCGCCAGCGAGGGTTCCGGGGACACGCGGTCTGGGGGCGGCAGTCTTGACTAGGACTCCGGTGGCGCCGTTAGCGACGCTTCGACGGGCGTCCTCCTGCTATCCACGCCCTGGCTGCTGTGGCTACTAGTCTGCCTGTCCTCGCTGATTTGACGACTATACCTCTCCTTGGACAGTTTTAGACACAGAGGCATAGTGACCTAACGTATAAAAAAGCCTTAATATACATCTTCTGGTCGACCATGCATGTGTGTGTCGGGGGCTGGAAAGATCCGTCAGATTAGCATCAGTCGGCCAAAAACGCGACTCTGGTATCATCCAATGGAAACGTCCCACGCGTCATCCAAGGCGCCTCAATGCCCTTGGCCGTGATTTGATCAAGTAGGCAGCTGGGCATTGCAGATGGCTGAACAAGTGACATGATATTTGGCCTCTGTAGTGTAGTCGTTCCCTGTGTAAGTATACTTTGTACATGTTACTGTCACATGTGACGTGTTCAACGCCGCAATTTTCCATGCTTTAGCTGGGAGCCTTGGGGGAAGTATTTGGCTGCAGACCTCCTGTCATCCTGCGAGCGCCGGCCCCGCTTTTCTTAGAGCCTGGTTTGAAAACGTTTCCAATAGCTTGCTAAATTCCGGTCCTGAACCTTACGCGCCATATCATTATCTTTAAAAGCTACAAGTTAACACTTTCACAGAATAAGCTAAGCTAAAACAAAATATGGGCCAGGTACAGAATGAACCAAGGCTATTTATATACTAAGATGCTGGCTTGGGCTGTAAATGCGAAGATTCCTCACGATCTCATTACAGCGCAAAAGTGGGGAAGGATGGCCAGGATGGATTGCGAACATCTGCGAACATAGAGTGCAGGCGTTAACATGCAGCTGTAACAGCCTTCTGCGTGCTAAGCTCCAAGCCCAATCACGCTGTAATGTCGTAAGTCATCACGCGCGCGCGTTCCCCACCCCCAAGTGCTACTATGAGGGATGCGAGGCGCCGTAAATCCTCTCTTCCGACGCGCAGCCTGGTCAGAATCTTCTATGGGTGCAGTTGATGCCTTACATCATTCGCTGATCCTTCGCCCGCCATAGCAGCCCAACCGCCGTCGCATAATGGTGTCCACACCTTCCGACCGTCTCAGTCCACGCCGGACGAGGAACGCACGCGCGAACAGCCGTGCTAGTTATCCTTGCCCTTAGGGGCCGCGAAGTGACGGACCCCACCAGAGCTGAAACCGACTTGGCCAGACCCGCAGAAGCAAGGCCTGCCACACACCGTCGAGCCGGTCCGTCTTAGCCAAGTCTACCCGAGGGCGAGATGGACACAGACATCGACTTCATCGCCATCCATGGCCTCGAAAACTCTCTCTATTAAAGAGTCTGCCTAATTTGTCTGCATTTAAATGCACTTTTGTTTTGGCTGAGATATCGACATAAGCCGAGTTTGCGGGGCTTGAATTTCAGTAACAAACTTTCAAGGGGGACTATATATACGGAGTATTGGTGCCACATTTCTCAGCCAGGTCGAAAAGGTATTTCATTTTACCAATTTGCAAATGTACGCCTAACTTCTCACCCTCTCTCAGTCTTTTAAGCTTTTACCATATAGTCCATCCTCTTTCCTCCTCTAGAAACCTCTAAACCCTCATTCACTCCCTTCTGAACATGGCCTCCGACCAATACCACGACGGACTCTCTAGGGCTCTAGTTTCTCGGTCCGAGATAGAAGCCCGGCTGGCTGAGGCAATGCGGCGGGTCGACCTAGGCCAGCCTCTTGACAGCGCCTCCCTCAGCATTCAAACTCTACCAGATAGCTACCCGACTGCTGGCTACGCCTTGCTCCCTGCCTATTCTTCCCGTACCTCGACAGCCTCTACAGTCGTCCCTGCTATCCGGTCTTCGAGACCTTTAGCCATCGCCCCTCCTCCTCCTCGCGCCTCGATGGCCGTGGCCGTCGTCCCTCCTCCTCGCACTCCGACAGCCGCGACGGCCTCTACAGTCGTCCCTGCTATCCGGTCTTCGAGGCCGTTAGCCATCGCCCCTCCTCCTCCTCGTGCCTCGATGGCCGTGGCCGTCGTCCCTCCTCCTCGCACTCCGACAGCCGCGGCGACTTCTGCCATACACCCCATGGAGCAGCGCCGTCTGGCGACGATTGAGAGTCGGAACCTGAACCGGATCGATTTACGCATGCAGCGAGAGGGTAAGGCCTCTCCCTCTGCAGCTGAAGCCGAACGCCGACTAAACCGGCTCCGGAGTCAGGCTAGCCTGGCTCAAAACATGGCTATCGCGCGTACACCCTCCGCCGTGGGTCTCTTCCAAAACACTTGCGCCACCGACCTGCTCTTTCTCATCGACACCACTTTCTCCATGGACCCATACCTCGAGGCTGCCAAGAACCAGGTCACCAGCATCGTGGGTGACCTCAGCGCTGCCTTCTTCTACAAAGCTACGCTCCGGGTGGGGGTCGTGAGCTACAAGGACCACGGCGACAATCCCCACATCCAGTCCCTGGACTTCACCTCCAAAACCGATGAAGTCTTTGCCTTTCTCAGTTCTCTCTATACCAGGGGCGGGGTGATACGCCTGAGGATGTGCTCGGCGCTCTACGGAAGGCACTTGATGCCTCCTGGAAAACCACACTCGCTGCATCATCCACATCACCGATGCCCCGCCTCACGGCCGCACCCTGCATGACATGAAGGACAATCACGACAGCTACGCCGAGCCTGGCAGCGAGCCACACGGCCTCACCCACCCCTCCATCCTCCAACAGATGATCCGCCAGAACATCAACTATACCCTTCTTCGCATCAATCATAGCACCGACCGGATGGCTTACGTCTTCTACCAGGCATACGCTGCCTACTCTCCGGACTGCCACTTACTTGAGTCCAACAAGTATGCAGCCGAGGCCCGTGGCCTCTCCGGCTCCTCTAAACCCGGTTTTCAGGGCTGGACGGCGGCCACCCAGCAGGCACCTAGGAATGTCAAATTTGCTGAGCTCAAACTCGGCACCTCCTATCACTCGCTGCGCAATCTCGTTGTAAACTTCGTCACCACCTCCGTCACCAATTCCGCCACCTTCAGTTCCGAAGCTGGCACATGTCTTTCCTCCGAAACCAACACCGGGATCAGCTCCCGGCTCAACTCCGCGTTCAGGAGCGGATTTGGTAGAGGAGGAAGCCATTTTAGTACGGGGCATACATCCATTTCAACCGTTAAGGCCTCATACCCTACGGATTCGTTGTCCATCAGCTTGGAGACCGAGCCACCCCAATGGGACACTCCCGGCTGGCTCAATGAGGAGATCAAGTTTGCTGCCTACTCAACCGAGGTGCTGGCACACGGCGACAGTACGCTCGATCGTATGATGGACAGCCATGACAACATCATCATCCACACTACCAACCTCACCGTATCGAAGCGAGACAAGCCGTTTGCCAAGGGTGCCATGCGGTTTGCCTCCTACGCCCGTTCGGGCGCCTCGCGGAACGAGCTGGTGGTCAAGACATACATTCGCGAGGGTATGACCCTCCTCCACCTGATAGAGGACATGCGCGCCCAGGCGCTCTGCAAGGCGTTTGCTCTCGAGTTCAACGCGATGCTTCCCGAGCAGTACTCGCTCGACTTCATCGTAGTCACCTGCCTTGAAAAGGCGTCCGAGGCTGGCAAGGCTGGCGCACAATGCATGTCACTTGAGCCCAGAATCAAGGGCGAGTACATCAAGTACAACTCCAACCAAGGCTACGTCAACGAAAGCAACCCAACCGACCCCATCTTTCAAGCCACCCAGGCCTTCTCCCACTTCACTTTCGAGCGCTCCGGGGCCACTTCATGGTCACGGACCTGCAGGAGTCGGCCGTGTGCTCACCGACCCGGCCCTCCAAACATTGAACACAAATTACCTCCCATACGCGGGTGGCAACATCCACGACGAGGGCATCTTTTTTCTTCCTCACCCACAAGTGTAATAGCGTCTGCGAGCTGCTTGGCCTCCTGAGCAACCGCAGCATGGTCGCCTCGGGCAACTACAAGTTCAGGGAGACGTGGCCAACCCAGCGCGAGGTCACTAACATGCTCGTCTGTTGCTCTAACAAGCTGTGCTGCCGGATCGTGCGCATGTCTAAGGCCAAGACCTCGAACGACTTTCCCGGCTACCGCTGGTGCTACAACTGCTGGCCAGAACTGGAGTCGACGACAGTCAAGATAGTCTGCACCGCGCCTGGTCGTCTGCACGAGTTCAAACTCTCTCGCTTCTTTTACGAGTCTCAGGGTCAGATCTTACCGCGCCGCTGTCCTAAGCACCGCGAGGGCGATGATGCCATTGATACTCCCACGACCGGAGCGTCAGCCAGCGGTCCGGACCTAACTACCTGTCGATTTGCCGCCGGCTGCACTAACATGACTTGCCCCTTCCTGCATCCAGTGCCGCCTTGCAAAACGGGTGCGACCTGCGAAAAGTCCGATTGTTCCTCCCGGCATCCCGTCGAAGACTGTCGGTACAAGGACAAATGCAGCAATTCAAAATGCCTATTTCGACACCCTGGTGGCCATCTTGCTCGCTCTGGCTTTGCCTCTACCTCCACCACTGCGGTCCGGGGCCCGCTACCCGACTGCCGATACGGTGCCGGTTGCACCAACAAGGACTGTGCCTTCCAACATCCCGTCTCAATCTGCCCCAGAGGCGCCGACTGCACCAAGGATGATTGCCGGTACCGGCACCCCAAAAGCCGATCGAGTGTCGAAATGGCGCAGACTGCCTCGTCCCCAAGTGCATCTACGAGCACCCTCCCGCAAGTAAGCGACCGTAACAAACTACAAACTTTTGTGTCCTTTATACGGCTTCCAGGTCACATGCACATTCCCGGAACTTTCACGCTATTTGAGCCGTTCGATAAATAATCTACATTACTATAGCAGTTCAACCATAAGACGGAAATAGCTCGAATTTTGGTATTTTCTAGACTACTATTCCAAAACTTTATTGTGATAGGTTGTAGCCGTCTAAGTAGCCAAGAGTGCTGGTTTTCCTACACGGCAGTTAGTCCACTCCTTGTTCTCCATCTATAACTCTAACCATGACTGCAATATAACAAAGGTGAGGAGTTTGGAATGCAGGTGCTAAACTTTGGTGATTCACTCCCCTTGCTTGATTTAGATGGAATAAGATGTTTGATGTAGATATACCGCCAGGACTAATATCTGGCCTATTCCTCTGGGATACTACGTCTACCCCGACATTTTCCCGTTGGCGTTGGTGTCGGCGCCTGATCCTTCACGGTGCAGCTAGGGCAGACCGGGCACGGGTCATAACCCGTATACACCTCGACATTGCACCCCTGCGTAATCGTCGCAGATACCATCGTTCGTGTCACTTCAGAGTGATCCGGTCCGCACTCGTCCGTCGGTGCCCGACATTTGTATTGTCTGCAACGTTCATGTGTCGCCGACGGTAGTGGAGTTTGGCACGGAGCTGTCGTGGCACAGAAATCGTAGCTTTCGGCATCCGTGTGCGTTATCGTGAGAAAATGGCAGTGCGACTGGTCCCATGGCTCGGTCGGGTTGAGCACCTCGTTGCAGGGGAGCGCGCTCGGGCAAGTGGGTGTCAGGGTGACGGTCGGGCAGAACATATTTTCGATGAGTGTCGTGTCCCAAACCTCCTCCGTGACGGTGCAGGAACCCGCGGAGACGCGGGGCCAGTGCAGGCCGGGAGGTTTGCCGGGCATGGAATCGGATCCCCTTTTCTCGTGGCCGTATAGCAGGGCGGGCAAGAGAAACTATTTGATGGTGAGTAGTGATCCTTGAGAAAAGTGTGGGTCGCTATATCTTCTTACCCTTGTGCGAACCCGGCCACGCAGGCGAGGGTCAGGATCGTGAGTGACCTCATCGTCAGCTAGAAAACCAACTAGCGAGCGAATGGATAGAGGTCAAAATAGTCATTTAGATCTCGTGAGCTTAGGAATGGAATGGAGAAAAAGTAAATGGTAAATCTTGGTCCTCAAGAGAGATGTTCTCGAAAAACCCCCGGATAAACGCAATCAGCCTTCGGCTAAAAAACGCGTAGACAGCAAATTAATGGCTATTCGGGAGCTGTCTAAATACTGATTCCTGGCGTCTCATTTTGATTCGCTCAAATATTCATCGCGGTCTCTTTGGCCTCGAAGTGTCCTTTGGTCTCGGTGGATCAATCGTAGAATAGAAGCGGGAAGGGCTACGACGGCCGGTGCTTTTTCCCGGGCACAAGCACGGCTAAGACTTGGCCACCGAACATCACCGTAGTCAGGCCAGCTAATGCCTTGTTAAAAATAGCTATTGCGGCTGGGATTATATCCTAGGCGCCCTCAATTCAGTCCTCAAAGAAGCGGGTTTCCCACGGCTAGGCTTTTAGTCTTCTTTTCGAGCACTAGTACTCGGAATAGATATAAAGTCATTGTTAAACCTTGATTTTAGTATTTTGTACTATTCAAGAATGAATATTAGGAATAACCAACGAGGGTTAGATCGTGTAGTATAAACCATTTGCTGCTTCTACAAGCTGACCGGCTCCCATCGAGGATAGGAGTTACTATTTATACTCCGAGGCATTCGATGCCTGGCTTCATAAGACTTCCTAGATCATGATTCTAAGAGCGCCTATGAGGCCGACCATAGCAGACCAGGTAGACACAGACAAACTTCCCGCACCCGAGCCACCGTCACCTCCTGAGGAGGAACCCCCGTTTCCACTTCCAGAATCAGACCCGGAGCCAGAGCCTGAGTCCGAGTCACTATCCGAGGACTCATCGCCGCCGGAAGAACCGCCCGAAGTCTGGTCATCGGAGCCGGTAGGTGCGCTAGCGGGAGGTTTCGTCGTCGTCTTCGGGCAAGTGATGGTCGCAGGCTCAGCAACATCCTGGTCAAGGGAGAGAGGAAGGAAACCAGTCTCCGTGGGTCTCGAGATGTCAACGGTGGTAGAGCCTGACAAGATCTTGGTGGTAACACACTTGACCGCGGTCACGGTGGGACAGCCGTTGAGATCGCAGCTCCAATCCATTGTCCTAGACTCGAGTTAGCTGGGAGGGCGTGCAGTGAGGGAGGTTCGTGTTGCTTACATTCCACCGCTAAGCTCTCCACTATAGTGAAAGGCTGGTCGCCGTTAGCGATGGGCTGATCTCGGTATAGAGCTGGACAAACTCACTCTGGGGACCAGCGGTAAACGTGAGGGTTCCGGTGCCACCAGCAATGGGATTGCAGGGACCGTCGGTGCAGCTCATGGCATACACGGTGTTTTGGCCAGACTGTTGCGCGATCAGCAACTGCATTCGTGCGTGAGGGTTGAACTTGGTCACGGGTTTCTCACCGACGAGACGACGCTAGCCTGGAACTCTGCCATGAGGGAGGCATCACCGCCAGCAAGGGGAGGTAAACATTCTACTGCATTATTAGCTTCCACTCTCATCAAAATGGCTATCTGTTGAGCATACGGCTGTGGTAACGGCGTAGGTGCCTCCAACGAGGAGAGCACCGAGAGCTAAGACACGGTTGGTCATTTTCACAGGTTTCTGGCCGTGATGTTGCTTTGCTCGACACGATCACGATGAAGAATTGAAACCGGACGATGCCTGGCGGGTACAACAATGGTTATTAATCGTATTCTTTCGCGCTGTGCCACGCGCAATTAAACTAAAGTCCCCTTGAGAACGGGCCTAACTTCTTTGGTGGCGAAGCCCACCGTCCGATTCATGCTCAACCTCTTGGTAGCCAATAATGTGAAGATGTCTGCCATAATTTCAGAATGTGGGTCCGATCCTCCATCGTGTGCATGTGCGACAATGAAGAAGGATTCGACGCTGGATGGAAGGGTTACATTCTGTCGCTGGTAGTAAATAGACTTGACAGCATTAACTACGACTCTCGTTGACTCTTTTTGCTACCGCATATTCTGAGTGAGGTCTTGCAATTCTCTTCCGTGGCAGTAATACCCGCGCTACGAAGAGATGTACCTATGTCGCGAACCTGTTGGCCGCGGAGCTATCGCCAATGGGTTTGGGCCAGGGCCCATGTTCAGCCCTTCGTGGAGACCTACCGCCCGGTATACCCGTTAGGCTGGTCGTGGTGGGCGCCGAGGTCGCGCTCGGCGAAGTGGATTTGGCGCGGGCGGAAGCCCTGTGATATACAACGTTGCGGTTGGCGATCTGTCGCGTATTCTTTCGCGGTGCAGCTCGTAAAACAGGCGCTTGAGGACATGAAGGCATTAGAAGAGGCCTGGCGGGCGGGCTGGAGAACAAATACGCGATTGTGTGACCTTGTCGCTGTTTGGCGCGGGAAGGATTTGGCCGAAGGAGAGGAAAACCACAAGTAAAAAGACATGCAGTGCCAATCGGAAGAAGGCGACGAATGTGTTGTGCATAACTGCATCCCGAGGAACGAGAATCGGGGTTTGAATATGGTTCCCAAAAATGATTGCTGTTAGCTAGTCGTATCCATTGCAAAAGTAGATCAGATGTGCGAAGGTGTTTCCTGAAGCTCGTGGCTCTCGAGCATGCGTCTAAAGCAGGGGCGAAACTGCACCTCCGATGGGAAGCACTCGTCAGGGCCACACCGACGTTGTTATTTTGTTAACAATATGCCCTCGGAGTGATGCCAGCCGGCAAAGCTTTGCTACCTTTGATCGAATCCCCTCGCTCAAAAGCTAAGCTACAGGAGAAACGATCATTCTGTCATTTATCAACCTGATATATGGATCGAATTAACCCTCGCATCATGTTAGGTGGGGATTAAAATCGATATCACAAAACCGTGACGCAACAGGTAGTGGCTGGAAGATCCTTCACTACTGCTTTGGCTAAACCGTTACTGAGGTCGCCGCGTACTATTAGAGCTATACGACATATATGATCGACTCCCCACAGAGCCACCACAGTTGCAAGATACCTGAGTTGAGAACCGAAGATGGTACCGGCTACCGGCCACAGCAAGGATAGCTAGTGGAACGTGTAATAGGTTAAATGTCTTGTAAAACGCATGCTGCACGGGGCTTTGGGCCTAGGTGCGTTTGTGCCATCGAGGTTGTTTAGCCGGTGATCGGATACAGAGCAATCAATGCGAAGGCACAACCTAGATTCTTTTATTCTTCCGCCTGGAAGCTTACAGTGTCTTCGTTATAATGAAGGAGACTCATCTAGCCCAGTCAGACGATGTGATGCTCTTGAAAAACTGAATCGCTAGTACACCTTTCCAAAATCGTAGAAACCCGGCACGCTAACCACCTCAAGCTAATACACCAATGGCCCAGGCTCTCATCGTACCGTCGCCATGGATCCAAACCCCCACGCAATCAGCGGAGACGAAGCGGCATTTTCATCCCACCCTCTGCTCCACGATGAAATGGCCACCAACACTGAGCTCCACTGGAGCCGCCGCTTCGCTCACGGTATGCTCGACTGGATGCTTGGGGTGCGCCTTACCGCTCGCGAGCTCGCCATGCTGCGCGTCATGGATACCATCACCGACAGGCCTTCGTGGGAGTCTAGCATCCTCGACGCAGACCTGGCAGAGGCGTTGAGGAGAGAGTTGAGGGTAGGCGAGCCCTTGTTAAGCGCGCGGGCGTGGGCGTGGTGTCTTGAGGAGTTGAGGGACAAGGCGGCAGAGTTTGTGCGTACGGGCCGGGTTTTGGTGTATGATGCCGGGCCGCGAGTATCAAAGTCGAGCGTAAAAGGGGCTGAGAAGCTGAAGAAGCTAGTAGGTGATCTAGCTGCGCAGAAAGACAAGAGCCACCGTCTTCACGGCGAAGAGGTGCAGTTGCGCAATCTTGTGGATCCTTCTCTTCATCCGTTAGTTTACGGGCACACCAAGATTCTACCCCGGTTAGCAAAGCCCATGTCGAGCATCTCTGGGATAGATTCGGTCATGGTGTTGTCTCCGTAATCGCACCACATCCCCTCGAAGAAATGATTCGCCTTGCCGAGAGCGATCCACCAGGAAGCTTAGAAGAAATGCTCGAAAGCGACGAGTGGGCGGATCACGGATATGAGTGGGAAAAAGCCGTACATGGAGGTGGTCCAGCTGCTTTCAGTGGCTGCCATGTGATGTTGAATTCGTGGGTGATGAGGAGAATGGCGGAATCAGGGCTCGCATCACTAGCTACATCAACGATCTCCATCCAAAAGCTCACCGCGCGCTCTACTCTGTTATCGAGGAAATCATAACGGCCTCGATAGAGCCGTGGAACGATGTACTCACCCCCGCCGTCCCACCCTCGACCGACGTAAAACACGCACCCTATTCCGCCTGGACTATCGGTCCTGGCCGAACGCCCCTCGCATACGAACACACGGCGAAGATAACAGGCGTCCTGCGCCACGCAACGGCATTTGTTGGCTGGACGAAGGAAACTTCTACAGAGAGCTCAGTGAGCTGTCTGACAACTGGGATCATCTAGACGCGCCTCAGCGCAATGTGCTTCTAGACGAGATCATATTTAGAATGGAGAGCGCTGAACTTTCCAGGCATTTCGGCAGGGACTTTAACACAGTCGTAGACAGTTGTAACAGGGAGATTTCGGCTCGGCTTGAGGGTTTTCGACACCCAGAGCCCGGTACTCTCTTTTCGTATCAGGACTGGAAGGCGGGAAAGAACGCGCGCAGACCAATTCGAGGAAATAACTGGGCGCCCTCTACACCACGCAGCCCTGCCTCACATACGCCAGAGAATGATGACGACTTTCTCAACTGGCTTATTGACTGTGACGATGAGAGCACCCAAGCCCAACCTCGGGAACAAGAACTCTCAGTGGAGCACACCGCCGTCCAAGCTGGAGTGGAGGGGAGCAGCCCACCGCAGAGCCCAGCGTATCGAGCACACAGGAGCAAGCGTCTCCCAAACACCAGCGATGCTTCCACTGCCGGTTCAATGATAACTACGATTGGCGTGAGCGCCCACCCGAGGAGAGCAAGTATAGACATCATGACCACGAGTACCGCAACATCCGCATCCAGCATGACTTCAAGGACAAGGGTCTTCAAGTCTACGTCAATATTCAAAGCATCGAACTTACACCGGAAAACCCACGATATGAGGGAAGTCCCTGGGCGCTCGCAGGCATGTACAACGAGCACATAGTTGCCGCGTCCATGTACTTCTTCGATGTTGTCAACATCGCTGACACACCACGTCTCTACCTCCGCGTCCCAGCTAATTTCTTCCAAGATAGCCTAGATGTGGACGAGTATTCTTACTTCCCCACATTCGGCATCAATAGACCTCTAGGCTATGATCACCCCCAGTTCCACACTACCAAGATCTCGGATCTGTCTCCGCGTGCGAGGGGCGTCTTATTGCTTTCCCAAACACGTTGCAGTCCCGTATTGGTCCTGCTCAACTTCAAGACACTTCTACAAGGGGGCACATCCGCTTCCTCACCCTGTACCTCGTCGACCCGAACTACACCCTCGTGTCAACGAGCCGGGTCCCACCACAGAGTTTCGACTGGTGGGTGCAAGACGTATTCCCAGCAACCTTTCTCGCGAGTAAAGGGTTGCCGGAGGAGCTGCGATGTGCGGTTGCCGAGGAGGCATGTGGATCTTTGTTCACGGAGGAGCAGTCGGCGGAGTTTCGGGAGCGTCTTCTTAGAGAGAGGAAGAGGGTTATGGCCGAGCTTGGGAGGATACTGTACCACTTTCGGTTTGATTTTGAGCTTGAGCCTGTCTAAATAGCCGTTGTGAGAGCGGAGGGCCAAAATTGGGGCATGACCGGCGAGAGTATGTCTGTTGAAGCTCTGATACCCCGCTAGTAAGGGATTACGCTTGATTCACCTCGCCCGTCGTAGCTATACGCGATACTGGGGTTTGGAATATGAAAAGGCTTGGTGAAACCTATGGGAAATGGAGGTTTGGGCTGTCTCAAGGTCTCCTAGATTGTATTTGTAAGGCTCGCAATTCAGTACAAAGCTTCACCAATGTATCAACAGATCAATAGATCAATCTAAATGGCAGAGTTTTCCCTTCCTACCGGATAATCCAATTGGGTTTGGGGTCAGCAGGACGTGTTTTGTAGGAGTTCCCAACTTGACATCAGCTATGGGCATTAATAACAGTCTGATCTCGAAGCAGAGGGCCAACCGCTCCCTATCTTCCCAAAGATTCCAAACTAGACTAACACCACAGTTGGATATCCGTTAACACAGCACATGTAAGAAAGCACTTCCTTTAAACCATAACCTGTATTCTCTATTATCCGCTCTAAAAATCGTTCCGAATCACGGCTAGCTCCCTTCGTCGTGTTATCCTTGAGTACGAGGCAGAAATTGGTAGAAATGCCTCTCATCGTAGTAGATCTTGCAATCTCTTGGCGAGCTGAGAAGGGCCAAGAAATCTTCGTCGCAACATTTTCAAGGATGGAATATCGGCAACCTGGCGATATCAAGTCAACAATGGAAAGCTAGCAGGAAGCGGGAGGAAAAGGAAGGGAAACTGTGTTAGGTGATGGGGAGAGGGGCGGTGAGAGTAGGAAAGAGGTTGGGTCCTGTAGCAAAGTTGAAATGGGTTCGCCAAGTCGCTCGTACACACGTTAGAGCCGAAGCAAGGCCCACAACTGGGGCGCGGAAGTTTTAAGAAGAACTAGACGCATCATCTATCCTATCTAAAGAGTATCATTGCTGTCGTTCCGCCATTCTCCTGCCTACTCCGGCACCGCCCCCAAAGTAGTAGATTGTGGCAACTAAAACTAAAACCTTGTGCATCGGGGAAAAAGGATATCCGTGAGGTGTATGTGTGCAAGGGGTCACTCTTCAATGAGCGCCTTCATACCTTGATGAACTCGACGGGCGGAACGCCTCCGTCGTGGGCCCAGGAAAGCTTGGTGATCTTGCCACCTTCCCTGCAAAGTTGGCTTTCCAAAAGGCCGCGCCCTGATCAGAGCCCACCCACCGACCGCGTTTCGACAGCTCATTGCGCGTTTGTAGCCAGGTAAAGGTGTCGTCGGCGTAGTAGGTAAGGGGAACCTTTCCGACTCGAGGCCCTGTATGAGCCAGTACAGTTGGCCGCCCTCGAGCTTCACCTCCACCTTGACGACGTGGATATGGTCCCAGTACGTGCCCACGTATTCCTCGAGAGGTTTGGGGGCGCGCCGCCTTTTCTGCCTTCTTCGAGCTCTTTTGTGAGGGCGGGGTACCACTTGAGATTCTCGGCGACCGCCGCCTCAGCAAGACTCACGTAGTCGTTCCGGTACTTGTCGGCGATGTCGAGGAGCTCTTCCAGCACGACATGGCCGACCCAGTCCGCGACATCGTTGAGGGCGAGCGAGTTGGTGAGGATGACCACGGCCGTTTCGCTCTCCGGGAGAAGTCCCACAAAGGCGAGTGCGCCGGGGAGACTTCCTTGGTGGAAGAGGAGCAGCTGGTGGGCGCCCTGGCCGATGGTCGGCATCCCCTGGGGAGTAGGCCGGGGTTGAGTCCGATGTGACCGAGTTGGCCCGGGAGCTGTACCCTAGCCCATCCGAGCGCGTACGACGTCTCGTGCTTGGATGTCTCCACCATCGGGATCTTGCCGGACATGAGGTGTGTCGCCTGCTTCAGAGGGTTGCCCTCGCTTGGTGCTGCCTGACTGTCGCCGAACTGGTCATTGAAGGCCGAGATGAAAGCGCCGTAAAGCTTTCCGAGATCCTTCGTGGTGGATCGCATCCCGCCGCTCGGCGCGCCGTACCAGTCGTCGCCGAGCCGTGGACAAGTGATGGGCGCGGAAGTGGCGTCGTCGAGGGCATTGTAGCAGCGCGAGACATTGTCGGTCTCCGCTGGCGGGGTCTTGAGGAAGGTGCGGTGCATATCGAGGGGGTCGAGCAGGCGGGTCTTCACGAAGTCGTAGTAGGACTGGCCGCTCGCGGCCTCGATGATGCGACCGGCGAGCTCGTAGTGCAGGTTATTGTACGCGAAACCGCCGCGGAAAGGGAGCTGAAGCGGGCGGTCGTTGACGTATTTGACCATGTCCTTGGCCGGGACGAGGACGTTGGCGTCGGTGCCGATGATGAGGTTATCGGCCCATCCCATGCCCGTGCGGTGGCAGAGGAGGTCGGTGATGGTGGCGTGGTTCTGCAGGGTAGCGTCGCGGGACTGAAAATCCGGGAGCGCGTCTTTGACGAGGGTGTCCCAGTTTACCTTTTTCTCCTCCACGAGCAATCCCAGGGCCGCGGCGGTGAGGGCCTTTGTCAGGGAGCAGACGGGGAAGACGGTGTCTTCGGTCACCTTGAGCTTCTTCTCTGCATCTTTGAATCCGTAGTTGGCGTAGTAGGGCGCGTTGCCTTTGGTAAACACGCCAAGTGCCAGGCCAGGCGTGCCCCCGATAGCCATGAGGCGTTCGATGGTGGGGCCCAGCCGGGCAAGTCGAGTTGGGACATCAACCATTTTGGACGGCGGGGGATCTGGAGGCGGAGATTAGCTTCATGATTGCCTTGTTCCTCTTCTTCGAGGCTAGGATTAAGAAAAAAAGAGAAACGGGGAGGGGGGGCGCGCGCTTGGTTTGTAACAAAAAGAAATGTCATGCTGAAAAAATAACGAGAGATTGTTTGCATTGGGGGAGCTCAACGAGGCTTCGCCAGGTTTGGTAAAGGAAAAAGGATTGTCGCGTTTCCGCTGACGATTGCGCTTACGTGAGCTAGATGGAGGTTCTGGGGTGCGGGGGTAGAACGTGAGGTCCCAAACGAGGATAGACGCGAGGACGAAGAGGACGACGGCCAGAGTCAACTTTCGCTTCTGGGGCATGCGATTCCGCGGAGAGCCGGAGTCGGCAAGTAGAGGGGACGAGGGGCGTTCCGACAAAGATGGGATCGAGCTTTCAGAGGTAGAGCGAGGCCGTGCCATGAGATCTTTGGCGAGGCGAGAGGGCTGCTAGAGGGGTGATTGTTCCCCTTATCAAAGAGTCGGGTGGGAGAGAAAGAAGATAGGAAAGAAGGTGAAAGACGCAAGGATGAAAGGATGAGAAAGAAGGTGAAGGCGAAATGGGGCGGTTAGGCGGAAAAGAGAGGGAGGGCGTGATGGGCAGGTTTCCGCGGTCAGGCACGTTTTGTGCAATTGAATAGCGCCGTAGGTGAAGACTCTAATGCGAGGACGCTGGACGAATAGAAGTATGTTACAGTATTGTAGCAGCCTGGGGATGGCTAAACAAGGGTGATAGGCGTTGGGTGAATGATTTTGGGCCGGGGGAGTCGGGCAGGCCATTCCCGGAGTGTTATGGCCAAGTGAATGTTGCCTCAGGTTTCTTGTGCTACCACAGGTCGCGACAGCGGCCACGATTCTTTGGACCGTTTGTAGAGATTGGCCGTGGCGCGAATGGATGTGGGTGCCTATTTCGGACGAAAGAAGCAGTCTCTGTCTCGCCCTGAATATTACCAATGTACCTCTACATGGAGCTTCCATCTGGCGTTGTTGCAGAGAGCCTGACAAGCTGAAGGATTCCCCAACTGAGGTTTGTGCCAACATGCCCTGCCGGGATTAGGAATATCATGCAACTTTTGAGGGGAATGATGGGGGTGATGGAGGGTGGGGTGATGACGAGCGGCGGTTTATTGGATCTCGACGCAGTAGGGGTCTCGTTTCTCGCCCGCGCTGCTTGGCCGGGCTCGCCCGTCCTCGTACATACCGGTTTGAAATAATAACGACTATCATTGGCGAGCGCTGCGCCAAGGTCCTTTCAAGACGCTCCACGTTCAATGTTTTTCCACACCTCCCCTCAGCCTCACCACACACACTCTTCACACTTCACACTCGCACGCTTCTCGCTTCTCATCCGGCTTTGCCATCCGAGTGGTAGCCGTCTCCTCCCTCTCGCATTATTCGCGCCGGCCGTTCGCGTTCGCGCGCAATCACCTCGTTGTCAACACCCCCATATCGCCGATCGTCGAACCGCCTTTTACACTTGTTGTCTCAGTTGAGACAAACGGGGCAAACGAAGGCCAGTGGCTCAGCGCACCCTTGTCCACTCAGCTCTGCCCTCATCTCCCACCACCATCCTGCCCCGTATGGAAAGGAATCGGGAGAACAGGCTGCAGCCATCGCTAGCCGCCTGCCTCGGACATACGAGGCTTTTGCCTAGACTAACGCTCTCAATTTATGAGAGAGGGCCCCATCCGCTTCAAATGACGTCGAATCGGCGCCGCGAGCAAGACCAGAGCCCCAAGCCAAGAGCGCCTTGTTCCAAGCTACGACTAACCAGACAGATGAGTTGGTACGCCACTGACATATAACGGGGCTGTGTAGTATATCGACATTATGAAGAGGGCGGCTAGGGCGAGTCAGGGGAGGGGCGAAAGTGGTGGAGGAGGTGGAGGAGGCTGGAGGAGGTTGCGTGCGCGCTTTGTCGAGTAGGCCGTGACGCTCAACTTTGGCTTATCCCAGTTGAGAACCATCTTCTCTCAGCCGTCCCTCGCCAAGTGTCAAACGTGTGCCCGAGACAAATAAATTCTAAGACGCACCGCCGCCAGGAACTCGGTGGATCCGCTCTCGGCATTTGCTGAACCTTTTCATCACTGTCGGGCGTAGAGCTCTATTCTTCTTTGTTTTTCTTGTCTACTTTTCACCTGCGTCTTACACGCGCATAGTCCTCGAAACTCTAGTTATCCCTCTTCCATTCTCTCCCGTTTTACCTTGTCAGGCATGCCGCCGTCCGAGGCCCGCCGGCTCTTGGAATCGCCCCAATCCACAACGGCGGAGCCCGCTACGGGACCCATTGTTATGGATTTTCCGAGCAGTAGTGGCCACAGCAATGGCGACTTGTCCTCCTCCACAGCCTCTAGCAGCGCTTCTCCATTCTCCCCGCTCACAAGTTCAACGCCGCCAACGTCTCTCTCAACAGCTTCTCGCGGCCCTGGTCCCGTCACCATCAGCCCGCCAACACCGTCCGAGGTTTCAACAGATCCAGCGGGAAATAGCCAGGCTGAATACTTCCCGCCGAAACACGTCCAACACGATGGGGCGCCTCACGAAAGCCAAGATGAAATGGAAGCTTTATGGACTGAATACTTCAAAGACAAGAGAGGCGAAGTGAAGAAATGGATCGAGAAAGTCGAAAAGGATAAGGAAGGTAAAATCCGCCGAACTGTAAAATGGGTGACGGGCAACAAGAAGAAGGGATTCAACATTGATATTGAAGAAGTTCTCGACTTGATGGGACATCCTGAGAAATTTCAAAGTCACATGGAGGACATGATCAAGTCGATCTACGACCCGGATGAAAAAGATGTTGAGTCTGCTTCCGGAGCCATGAGAAGAGTGAGGAGATGCGGTCTTGGGATATGTAAGTGGCTTAAAGGATTTCAGTCGGGAATCTCTACGGCCGTTCAAGTTATCCCCCAGGGGTTCGGGTGTCTAGGTTGGGGGTCATGCTCTTGGCAATCGAGGCAAGTTTGAACCGCTTTGCCTTCATTCTTTTCACCATGTCCCATCATCCTCCCCTCTCCTCTGCCGGGAGCTGACCATATCAATCATCTACCGATGCACAGATGATATGCGCTTACAGCGAGTCACGCCAGTTCCTTCGGGAGGTGATCGAAGACACTATCGATGCCGGCGAAACGCTTCCAATGGTCGTTCGACTAGTCTGCAGGTATAAGGGACAGGGTCTTCGTATGACTTGGCAGTTCCCTTATTCAACTCCTACCTCGACCTCTGCTACAGCGCAATCGACATGGTCTCCAGGAGGGCGAACCACAATATGAATCTAGGTATGCCCTACTAATCAAAGTATCGTCGGGGTGTACGTGTAGTATACATGGAGAACTTCAGAATTCAAGGGACACGTGGTCTGCTGCGCACCCTGGCATACTAACAAATCCCTTGCTCTATTAGGGCTCGATTCGACGAAGGAGGACTTCCGTAATAAAGGGAAGATTTTCAAGGACAAAAGGCGAGATCTTGAATATAGACTGGGCTGGAACTACCGCGAAATCTTATCTGATCTCGTTCATGAGATCCGTGATTTGCTACAGATATATGAGCAAGCATCGGAACAGCGTTTTAACGAGATTCTCCACGCATTGGGGACGCGAAGACCCGAAAGTAAACAATGGCCGCCAATACCCACCGTCCCACTTCCGGTTCGCGTCCGGCTTCTGCCGGACAACAAGAACTTCATTGGTAGGAAGAACGAGCTCGACAAGCTGAAAAAGTATTTAATTCAAGAGGAAACCAGCGACACCGCTGTCCGATCTTGTTTACTACGCGGGCTCGGGGGTTCGGAAAAACAGAGGTCGCCCTCCGGTTTGCCTACAGCTCAGCCGAGCGTTGGCACGCCGGCATCTTCTGGGTCACGGCCGACATCACCCAGGAGGCGCAGCTCAACCGCGCGTATTGCGACATTGGCCGAAAGCTAGGCATATTGAGTGCTGATGAAGACGATGACCGGCAGGTCGAAACGGTCAAGGGCTGGTTCGAAACTACCGGTAAGTAATCCCTTCCCCTCCGACGAAAGGGAAAGACGGCCGCAAAACCTCCCTGTTTGGATGATGCAAGTTTTCGATGCTAATGTACCACAACCTCACGGTTCACATACAGACAAGCGGTGGCTACTCATCTTCGATGGATTTCAGAGTGACTATACTCCCTCCGTCACCCAGGATAAAATGGACCGGCTATGGCCGTCTCGAGCGAGCACTTCTGGTTGCGCAATCCTCATGACGTCTCAGAGTGAAGTGCCACAGAATTATGCGGCAAAGACGATTACGATGGAGCCAATGACAAAAGAGGATGCGCTTAACCTCCTTCTCGTTCCGAATGAAGAAGATTCCACTGAGCCTCAATATGACGGGTTTACACGGAGTATAGCAGCAGAGATATGTCGTGAGCTGGGTTACTCGCCTCTCAATCTGTGGCTCGCTCGCGGATATATCCTCCTATCGAGTATGACGTGGAAGGAGTATCTTGAAGAGTTTCGAGCAACCTACTCTCTTCCTGCGTCCGACGTGGTGGGTGGGTGGTTTGGTGAGAGGTATGATAAAAAGTCCCGGGCGGCTCTCGACTTGAACCTAAAGTTGGTCGTCCGATGGAAGGAGCAGGCCCGGCAATTTTTGAATTTTCTTGCTTTCATGAACCCCGAAGACATTAGCGACACTTTACTCCATGTAAAGGGCATGTAAGTACATTCTTATTATGGGAGGGCCCCCTCGCAGGCATTGCCAAATTCAGCTAACTCTTAATGGCGGCGCACAACAAGACCCAAGGTTGAGAGGATAAATGCTCAAAAGGCCTATAACGACTATATGGTCATTCTTAGGCAATGTGGATTAATTACGATCATCCCTGGACCTCCTGGAGGCGAAAGAAAAAGTCTTCGCATCCACCGCGCTGTGCAACTCATACTTCATGATAAAATGAGGGAGGGCGGGCATATGGAAGCTGCCGTCGATACGGTGACCCGCGAGGATACCGACGCTGCTTTTAATCAGGTGATTCGTACCCTCCGATCCCACTACCCGGAACCCTCCGAGCTGCAAATAGCCGACGCCGGGATAGCCACCGACTTATTGCTCGTGCTACCCCATGTTATGACCATCCGGCGGTGCCTCGAGACCAATATTGTAACGGGGAATAGCGCTGTTGCTAAGCTCCTGAGCGACGTTGGCGGCATGGACTGCTACGACCGCGGTCTCATAAAAGAGGCGTACGAGTTGAATGAGGTTGTCCGCAATATATTGGAGAAACGTACCGAAGAGGGTACGAAGCGACTTCTCAGCAACGCTCTCACCATCCAGGGCCTATGCACTGACTTTATGGCGTTGAGCAAGCGAGCCGAGGGTCTGAAGCTGCGCAGAGAATGCCTTCAAATCCGCCACTCGCTTTTCAACAAGCTCCCGCTCGGGGAAAGAAACAAGAAACAGACTATCCGTCTCTATAATTCTCACACCGACCTTGTCTGTAGCCTACAGCAGATCAACGACTTCGCCGGAGTTACCAAGCACCTCGAGATATGTTTTGACAAGTACAAGGAACTCGGCCCCGAAACAAAGGAGCCCTACGAATACTCAAAGTACTATAATCAAATGGCCTACATCCACCTTTATGACGGGAAACCCGACGAGGCGATCAAGTCCGCTGAAAGGGGCTACGAACTTGCGGAAAAGGCGGCGCCGGGGACCAACTACCCCTATCTCTATCGGTTCGACTACGTCAACATTCTATTTCAGCACGGCGACCATAAAGAGAAAGCCTTTGAACTCCTTCAGGAAGTGATTAAGTCCCACTCAGAAGGCCAATCGCTGGTGTATTCTGAGATTTTGGCGTCCGGCATGAAGCAAAACCTCGGGATCATGGCTCACCTGCTCGGTGACCACACGAATGCACGGTAAGGCACCATGAATAAAACCTGGATTCCTCCCCACCCCAAGAAGACACACACGTAGTCTAACCCTTGCTCTGCTCCAATATGTAGGGAGATATTGGAGGATATGACCTCTCGAAACTCATATAACCATGCCTGGCCAGAGGAGAATGTTGTCAGGGGCAAGTATTACTTGTCCCAGGCGCTCAAGGCAATGAACGATTCGACGGCGGCAGCAATGGAAAGGCAGGCTATGGACGACCTGGCTAGATTTCTTCAGCAGGTGCAGCCTACAGAGAAATGGATTGAGACAGCAAAGGAAAAGGGAGAGTACGATATTCTCTTCGACTACCTTGTACATTGGGAATTTCGGCTCGTCACACCACGGAAACCATCACTAGAAGGAGCCTTCGCGCCCGGAAGCAGCGCCTCAGTGGCAGACCTGGGACTAGATTCCGTACCCCAAGCCGACGAAGTGGGCTCTAAAGTCGACATCATCGACTCCCGCCATCCGAGCGAGGAGTTGCCGGCATCTTCAAACAACTCGACTCTCGCATCAAGGCAGCCATCTCCCACTCTGCACCCAAACGTTCCCGCCGAAGGGCTCCGACCAGTAGAATCTTCCCCTCCGCCTCGGCCAAGGGCCGGCCCAACGACGTAACTCCGTCGCCTACCAGGCCTAACCACCGGAAGAAAGATGAATCGTGGTGTGGATGCAATGTGTTATGAGCAAACCAAAAGGTGCCTGAAAGGAGAAAGTGTAGAGGAGGGGGAAGGGGGGATGCGTCGTACCGGGCGTCCGACTTTCTTGTTGTCTGATAGGAGAGAGACAAAGCCTGTAGGATTAGCTTGATGAGATTGCGCAATTATTTAGGATGTTGATCATGTTGTGATACCCTCCATGTGATATAGTAGGTAGGCAGGTCTTCCGTCGAATAAAAAGGATTGCGCCCTCCTGGGTCGGCGTTTCGCGGAGAGGAGTTGCGAGCGGCATGCACGCGGACCCTAGATGGCGCATGCTTGCAGCACGAAGGACAAGCAAGAGTTCAAACACTGGAGTACCCTTTTTATTCTTATAGCCTGATCACAAAGTATACCCCCACTCGTTTGCATTGGCGGGAGCGTGGGGAGAGCCACTGAAGTTGGTCAATGTAGCATATGCCACAGATCTGGTCATGGGTTAGTCTATATAATGTCCTCCGACGAGCGCTCCCTTTAGGCACCGGACGATCTCGTTCTCGCACCTTGTCGCACCTTGACTCATTTTCCATTTTTATCAACCTAGTCCCTGTCCACCACCATTAACTTGTTCTTCTCGTCCTGAATCCCACCCGAATAGCCATGGAGAATCTTGGAGCGGATCCCATCGTGAAAGAGAATCCCGTTATCCTTCCACTCGGAAGTGCTTCCCAGCCCGAGCTCCTTGAGAGGGACGAGGTCAAGTTGGCTCAGCCATGGAAGGAACTCATCGAAGAAATCAACAAGGAGTCGAGCGTCAAGGGTGATCCCTTCACACCGAGCAACGGCTTCAATGATCACTCACTCGCTGGCTAGGTGAGTCTAATACACTGGCGTATATCCTGTTTGGCTGGGCTAGGATATAAATGTCATTTTCGACCATCGTGTCCCCCGCCGCTAATTTTATCCTTAAAGCCCGAAATCGCATCTATGATGTGCTACCTAGGGGATAGGAACGGGGTTTGGACTGATACGCGGTATTAGTGAAGACTAGTTATGTATCAGAAGGCCATCTGGCTGGGACAGGGCGGAGCTGGTTGTATTCAGTGAATTAAAGACATTAAGTCCACGCACTTTATCGTCATCCTGAGGCTTCAGATGTTGTTCGTCGGTCCCGCACTTAGTTCGGGGTGACGTTCGGGTTTGCAGCGTGTGAAGGGGTGCGTGAAAATAGTGAATAGTGAAGTGAATGCAACGTTCGTCCGTCCCTCGCTTCCTCGTCGACAAAACATTGTAAGAAAGAAGCTGATGATGGCCGAGTACATTGTCACATCAACAGTGCTTGACTTAGCCAATGAGTAAACAACGTGGCAGCCTCATCGCGTGAAAAGAGATCAAGATAATAAAGCGACGTGCTCTTTCGTCGTAATTACATACTAAACACACACACCCTCCCAGCCCCCTTCATCGCTGAAGCGCCGTCGACAGCAGACAGAGGCGGCTGGCCATGCGGCAAGGATGATCTGATTCAGCGCGGGGTTCCCATACTGTCCCAACCTCCACCTACTACGCTTTACCCGCACTCATGCAATGTTCATCACTGCGATATATTAGGGATCGGGCCGAAGACCTGCAAAGTCAGGCTCGGGAGCCTTGCCCTATTTCCATGTACTAGTACAACGCTGGGTAGGGCGAGTGGGTCGCATATAGTTATATCTAGGTGTTTCAAAGTCCTTTGCCAACGCGTTTTGGGGATATGAGTGAGTTCGCGAATACGCTGACCTCCGTGGAGGACCGGTTTGCCCAATTCCCCATGCGAGGCGTTTCCCCAAGTCACTTACGCCTTTTGCCGGTGTCTATAATTGTAGGCGGCGAAACGCCGTCAAGCTCCCTCTGAGCAGTGAAATCGAGAAACGCAGTGGTCCAACCCGGCATGTCCAAGGAAAAAGGAAGCAGAAAAAAAAAGAAAGAACCCTGGCTTTACGCACTTGAAATGACTCAAATTTTGCAATCGGACGACAGCCTTTTCGGGCCTCGCTCAGCGGTATTATCGTATTTCCGCTTCAACCCCGATGTCCATACGCGAGAGAAGCCTTACGAAATCCTCGTCAACCTGGCTCCAGGCCACCGCCGTCATAACCAGGAGTTTGAGGACCGAAGTGTAACGATCGCTGACGCTCGCAGCGCACAGGACCAGTTCTCTCTCGACGCCCATGGCTTCTGCTGGCGGAAGTGGGCTGGCCCTGAAGAATGGAGAGGAATTGATGCTGAGGGCGTTAAAGAGTTGGGACATGACCGCATCATGAGCGGCTATGTCACCGAGGCGGAGGCATTCCTCAAGGCAGAGCTCGAAGCAGCCGACGGGAAAGAAATTGACATTGTCAAAGTGTTTGACTACAGAGTATGTATTCTTGCCATCCTATCTTTATTGAGACGCATAGTCGCTCTTTTGCCTGATACTAACGAGTGCCGATAAGCTTCGCGTAAACACGGACTTGAACTCTTTCCAAGCTCGTACCCTTGATCTCGACGATGGACTCGACCCCCTCCTTCCTGTCCCTCACCCACACATTGGTAAGGCACGCGGCGGTTGCGCCGTCCACCGAGGACTTGCTGTTGGGCTAATTCATGTTATCAGACCAAAGCTTCCGAGGTGCGGTCCTTCGCGTAAGGGAGCACATGAAGGACGACGCGGATGAGCTGCTGAAGAGACGGTTTCGGATCATCAAGTACTGAAATACTATCCCTCCTCCCCTCCTCCCCTCCTCGCCTTCCCCGAGTATCGAGCGTTCTGCTTACCTCTACGGCGTAGCATTTGGAAACCTTTGCAACGCGTGCGCGACTGGCCGTTGGCTGTATGCGACTCAACCACAGTTCGGCGCGAGGATCTTATAACCAACGATCTCGTTCGTCGGCGCTACATAGGAGAGTCCTTTTACGCGACATACAACCCAGAGCATCGCTGGTATTATCTCCCGAACCAAGGGCCAGATGAGGTCACACTTCTCAAAATCCACGATTCTAGCGAGGAGGCGCCTATACGCTGTAAGACTTTTACCTATCCCCGTCATCGCCCATCAATCCCCATCTGTAATCCCCATCTGTTTTTGAAATGGCCAAAGCGCTTCACCAAGCTGATTCTATGCAAGACTCACTCCACACCGCGTTTAGCTTGGGTCTTGCGGAGAGTTCAAGAGAAAGCTTCGAAGCGAGAGCTCTCGTGTTCGATAAGGCTGAGGAATAAAATAATTTCAGCCCGATCTCTTGAATGCGCCGACCGTCCTGCGGCGCAACCCCGTAATTGGGAACGCGGAAATGCAGGAAGGCGGTGTTATCTAGCTATCTACAGTCGTCGTTTTCTCGGCCATTTCCCACGCCATTGAGTATTGTCTGACTACATACACGTTCTCCGCGTGAACTTGGTCCCAATTATTAGATTTTTGAGAGGCAGTTTTCAAGGCAGCCTAACACCTGGCTAAGGCTGGGCCTGGATGCAAAGCCAAGGAGACGGATATCGTCATCATTGTGTGACCCGCGTAGCCACCTGGCCTTCGCCATAACGTAATTCTCCATGGCAACTAATTGTCCGTCCCAAAATCTCCTCGAGGCCAGCATAATGTCCCGAGGGGAGCTTACCTCTGTCCATGCACCCGCGTCATCACGAACGGCCGCCGAGACCTTTGATCCCCTCCAGGTGATTCGAACTCTCTCTGTTTCTGGCCCCGGAGACCCTTGAGTGCAATTTCGTATCAGCTCCCGAAGCCCTTCCAAGTTGCTCTGAGGTGGCAAAGACTCTATGGGGACGGATCCACCACCGAGTTCGGCACGCGATTGATCGCTATAGCTGTGCCTCTCGAATATGCACCAGAGCAGTTTGCCGACGGCGAAAACCATGGCAGACTCCTGAAGATTGGGAGGAAGACTTGTCCACTCGAGGTAATATCCATGACGGGGGTTTAGATATCTTCTAGGCAGAGATTGGGGAAGCGGAAAAATAGCACCGAGAAGCTGTCTGTATGCGGCCTGCTTCTCCTGCGGGACCAGCTCATGAGAAGTAAGCCTTCTCATCCGCGATGCGTAAAGGATTTCGGGGGCACAAAAGCTATCCCAGTTCCCAGCCTGCTCCATATCGATCAAGACGAGGTTTCTCTCGTCATTGGACTCATCAATGAGAATATTGTCTGGTTTCAAGTCGGAATGGAATTGCAAGGGCGAAGCCATGATGTGCTGGAGCGCAGAGATGAGCTGCACCGACCACTTTAGCTGAAGACCTAGCGGAATGTCTTGATACATCGTAAGCGCGTCTCGGAGGGTTGGTCCTTGCACTAAATCCATAATGAAACCTAGAACCTTGGCGCCACCTGCCGGCGACTCTGCATTCGGATCGGTCGTAATGATGGCGCGAGGCTTGCCCAGGATCATTGGATGTGGGTCAAGCGTCAATAAGACCTTGAGTTCGTGATAGAGGCGGTGCATAGCCCTTGTATTCGTTTTGAAGACAAAACGCCCAACCAGGCCGGATGACTTGGGGAGTTCTACCACCACGACCGTTTCGCTTAGCTGGGAGACAAGGTGGAGAGCGCCGATGGAAAGAGTTAACGGAGGCCAGGCACCGGCCTCAAGTTGCCACATATCTTGGAGCTCAGAGGATGCGACCAGACAGTCCTCAAATCCCAGGCTCGAGTGGAAGCGAAACTTTGCATTTCGGGGGTTGTGTGGCATGGTTTCCATGATCATCGAGGACCCGAAGCTGATATCTCTATAGATCTGATCAAAGTAGGGGAGTCGCAACGACCATGATTCGACGGCGGCTACGACATATTGACTTATCCCTAACCTCCTCAGCGCGCCATTTCCCGTTGCGGTCACCGCGTCCGACGACCGCAGCTGTCGCCTGATAGACGGATCTTGCGCCGACTGGCAAGGTATTATAACGTCAATCATCTTCACAGGACGCTCCGATTCCATGTACAGGGGTGTGACGAGAAACCGGCGTCCTAGCGCAGAGCAACCGTCCATTCTCCATGGCTTCCTTGGACACTTCTGGTCGCGGCCCAGCGCGCTCTGGAATAGGCCGCCATAATATTCCACTCGATTCTTCGGGTTTAGCACGGAGCGGTCCCATGGGCCGGGGGCTGTGTTAGAGTCACGGGAAACGTCATCGTGTTCCGACTGGCACCAACGCACGTAGTCATACTCGAGAGGATCGCCTGCGAAAGGTGCGAGAGGGCTTATAAGTGGCTCGATACAAGCCGCGAAGTCCATGAAGCTCAGATAGGGTCCCCTTGAGGTTAGTAGTTAAGCCAAAAGCCTATGAGAGATGGTTTTTACATATGTTGAAGGCAGAAATTTCCACTCTTGTTGCGTCTGGGCAGGGCCCAGGAAGGTTATGTCGTGCCCCCTACAGTTGGTTCCTTGGCATTGAGGGATGGTTCGGTCCACAGTCGGGCAGCCTGTTGACGACAGTGATAGTCGAGACGGTGGATGACTGAGGAAAGAGGTCCCAAAAAAACGCGTGTTCATTCTATCCAGAAATGAAGTGGATACGAAGACGCCTATCACTCCGTCCCCTATGCTACATAATGGTCCTAGTCTGGGCACAACGACGAAAGTAGAGGTACGAGCGGAGGCACCTTGGCGCGTGCCGGGAGCTGTCGTGTAACACGACAGCCTGGTGCCAAGACGTGCTCGTTCTGTTCTTGGCGCTTCGGAGGGCACGAATAGGAGCCACCAACGTGGTGTACCCCTCATCACCCTTCAACAGGGGATTTTGGGTGTTACTAAGAGATATATGTTTTGATGGGAGTAGGCGGGCATGCGACGGAGCAACTACCCGGCGCGCGAGGACTGGCTCTTTCACGGCACGGTCGTTTATGCACCACGCGGCTTAACGAATGATAGAATGTGAGAGGCTTGATATGAGCGATTGCACGGGTTTAGTTTCAGAGTGCGAGACAGCTCTTGTAGGCTGTGTGTCGGGGATGGGGGTAATGAATTCATCTTATATATCAAGGAAGAAAATCATCCTTAATTTTAACCAAAAATTCGTCTCCGGTGCGTTGGAGATCTACGGCCTTACCCCCACTCTCTCGTCCTAAAAGTCGCGGAAGTAGGAGCATTAGCTTGTGAACAATACTCATTTTGGTATATAAGAAAACACGGCTTGGACTCTGGTGCCGTATCTTCGATGCCAACCCACCGAACCACACTCGCTACGTGATAACCAACCATTCAATACCTCTACCTGACAGTCAGGATGACTACAGGCCAGAGTGACTTCGTTGTGATGGTAACCGGAGGAGGTGTTAGTATTGTGTTGTTTTCTGAATGTTATTTTTCCCACATCCTCAATTAACGTAGCGCGTTGGAACAGCACTGATATAAACTAGGCTTATGGGGAGTACGACTTTAACACGGCAGCCATGATACGCGACAGGCTACCCCAGAGCATCGACCGGCCAGGGAAGAGATGCATCCGTATTCTACAGCACCCCGTGGATACTCCTTGCACCTATACTTTTGGAATAGAGGCCATGGCGGAGATCTGGGATGGGAAAGCCATCGGGAAAGGACAGGCCGGCCCGTCGGCAGTTGACCTCGCTCTGCACATGGGGATGCGGCCGAGTTATCCTGGCTATTGCTTCGAGACCCGTGCGCGTAGAGATGGTTATAAACACCCGGGAGAGGACGGACAGTATTTTCCTCAGGAAATCGTGCAAGGAGATGCGCCTTGGGCCCAACTCCCCGAAGTCCTCTTCTCCGGATTTGACATTCCCCAAATGCTTTCAGTCGTCGGGGAAAGGCTGCCGGTGAGTCACAACTGAGTATATGGCCGAATGTAGGCGTATATGCCCCCGTGCTTACACGAGAGGCGCACAGGGACTTGACCTCAAGGTTTCAGACAACGCAGGCTGGTACTTTTGCGAGTTTGAATTCTTTTCATCGCTGGCAAACGCTCTACTCAAACACAACTCGAAAAATGCTCTCTATCTCCATGTTCCTCTTCATCGCGATGATGATGCTATTTCCACAGGAGCCCGAGTGGCCGTGGAATTCATCACCGCGGCGGTAGAGGAACTTGAGGGTGCTGAACCATAGAGATTCTGGTCGCCCCTCGCGTTCCTATCATAAATACAAAGATCGTGGTTGGGGTATGGCGCATCGCGCTCGATTTTGTGACTTTATAGGGCGGAAGAAGATGCTCCCGTTATGGGTTAATACAAACTCGTCCAAGTCCTTGTTAATCGATGAAATCCCCATTAGTGAGACTATACGTCCAAGGCTATCCATGGATCTATGTCAAGACTAATGAAGGTGGGCGGAGGCAAAACGTGCCCGCTACTTTCTTCGGTTAATAAGTTTTTCTGACAATACACGTACTCACCGTGGTTCGGTACAAGGCTTCGGTAATAGTCGCGTAATTCGTGGATGTCTGCGTCAAGGAGAATCGGTTTTAATACCGAGTGCCGCTAAGCCTATCAAGGACTCGAAGCCAGACCGCCGGTGTACAAAGGCAGAGAACTCACCACGGCGAGTAGTCAGTGTCATGTCTTTATTGACGTGAGATACGACTGCCTACGATAGACACCTAGGACCTATTTCAAGGATTGGTCTATCCATACGAATTGAAGAGGTGCCATATATGCCTTGAGACGGTACGCAGAGATTTCACCATGGTTCAAGACAAAATGAACGCCGTCGTGCTCGAGGGTCCATACCGAATCACCGTTACCAAGCGCTCGATACCCGAAATATCCAATCCCAAAGATGCCATTGTACGCGTGTTGGCAGCAGGGATTTGCGGAAGCGAGCTACACCCGTATAGAGGTGAGCAACAGACGACATATGGACATACTATGGTACGTATTTGGGAAAGTGGTCTCGGTATATCAACTGAAAACTGTCTGGCTAAGATGAAAGCCCTGGCTTTCACGGAATGGAATAATAGCATCCACTCAAAACTAACATAGCGCTAGGGCCATGAATTCACGGGAATCGTCACGGAAGTAGGCGAATCGGTGTGCAAGTTTAACGTCGGCCAGCGTGTGATTTGTACATTCTCAACTGCTTGGTATGCCTCTCTCCGTAGACTTTCACTTATGCGTAGACCGACATTTGCTTACACCCTAACTAGTCTGTCATGCTGGTTCTGTCAGCATGGTCATACCAACCGCTGTGAAAATAGCCTCGCCCTTGGCACGCGGCAGTTTGACGGAGGCCAGGCCGAGTTCGCACTCGTTCCTAATGCGGATGGGACCTTGTTGCATGCCCCCGAGGGGATGAGCGATGAGTTGCTCATCGTGATGTCGGACATTTTCCCGACCGGCTATTACGGCGCCATCCGCGCCGTGGAGCACATTCAGCGAGACCCAACGGGCTCAATGAAGGCAGCAGCCTGCTCCGAAGCACAGATGTTCAAGACCCAGGAGTTGAAGGACTGCGTCTTTGTAGTAATTGGCTGCGGCATCGTCGGGCTGTGCGCGGTCCTTAGCCTGCGACACGCGGGAGTTGGCACCGTTTTCTGCGTCGATTCAGTCGATGATAGGCTTTCTCAAGCGCAGGCGATGGGAGGAACGCCACTAAAACTCGGCAGAGACGATATCCGGGCCGCGATCTTTGAAGCTACCCAGGGGAGGGGGCAGATGCAGTCGTGGAGAGCGTTGGCAACACAGCCGCCCTCCGAAGCGCCTTTGATCTGCTACGGCCGTGTGGGGGTTGGCGAGTGTCGGATTTCACCAAGCTGACCTTCCGTTTACAGCATTGGAATGTTACCAGAAGAACATATCGTAAGATATACCGGCCCGTTCCTTTAACACTCAAACCTAGCTTCCACCGCATTGGAAAAGACGACTAACCTAGCCGTGTCATGAACAGATTAAGTTTTGGGAGGGCACCAGTACGCGCAGTCTTCCTGCAGTCGCTTGAGGTGTTCATTGCCAACAAAGATAAATTCGAGGGTGTCATCTCGCACAAGCTACCACTCTCTGAGGCAGCAGTTGGATATGAATTGTTTGAGTCGCATAAGGCGCGCAAAGTTGTACTCCTACCATCTCATTGAGCTTAGTCAATAGATCAAGATCATGTGAAACTGGATACCTCGATCGACAACGTTGACATTATGTTAGAGTACTAGGGAAGGGTGACGGTAACGTCTTAGGAAGTACGGAATAGCAGTTACTTAACATCCGGGGCTATTAGCTGGGGACAAGACAAGAATGGTGCCCTCGTAAATAGTTCGGTAGATGAGTATTATACTGTATTTGCTTTGCCTAGTTACCTCTTATCAAGCTAACCTGAAGGTCCCCTAGACCTTCCCCTGACTTTACCTCGTCTCCTTTAAACTGTATGTGTGTACATGAAAGGTCTTTCTCTTCATTGCTCCGCTATACTACTTAGAGTTACATCCTCAATCGATACGTCCGCAGTGCAAAGCACCTGAAACCTGAACGTCCGTTCCCGTTGTGTATGTCGAGGCATCGCTTAACAGGTAGACAATGGCTGGCGTGAGGTCGTTCCGGTTACCAATACGCTTGATTGCAGGAGTGGTGCTCATCAACTTGATCCGCTCCGGATATTGCTCTTTCAAGGGAGTCAACATCTCGGTGTCGATATAGCCTGGCGAGATCGTGTTGACCCGGATGTTCTCTGGCCCTAGCTCCGCAGCCAGAGCGGTACCGAGCATCTTGACCGCACCCTTGGAGGCATTATAAGGAGCGAGTTTGTGACCGGGTGTAGCGCACGACCCTGAAACCGAAGCGATGAGCACAAGACTGCCCTTGTTGCCGTCCTTGATCATTTTTGTGTCGCTAGCTGCGCAGCGAAAATGTTCCAGTCACCTGCGACAAAAGGAGTTTAGTGTAAGCAAGATTTGCACACGTCTGACGATTTCATGGGGCATATTTACGTTGACGTCGAGAACTTTGGACACCTCCGCCCAGGTGAATTCTGTATAGGGACCTTCTGCGACTATTCCAGCTGCCGTGACACTAAATCGGATAATGCATGGTCAGTAGTGATCTTTCCGAGTGGGATCTCAATGACAGCGGGGCTCCGTCTCTTTTCGGAGACGAAAAAGTCGCACGTACATGCCATCCAATACTTTGAAGTCAGCCACGGCCTCTTCAAACCCGTCCCTCAGGCTTTGTTCATTCGCAACGTCTGTGGGTATATACTTCACTTTGACGCCAAATGTCTCGACCAAGCTGTCAAAGTCTTTGACGGGCGACGGGCTTCGGTCCAGTACAGACACATTGCCGCCCATCTCGGCAATAGCTCGCACCGCGGCGTACCCAATGCCTCGCCCGCCTCCGGTAACGACGAAGTTCTTGTGCGATAGGTCGAATAGGCCTTTGATATTCACGAGATCTCCGTCTGCTAATCGGCGGGTGGAGGTCGAAGAGTATGGTCTTGTCATGGATTGCGGAGCGCGGGCACAGAACCCATGGCGGCATACTTGCGCGAATCGAGAGGGAATCATGGTGAAGTGCGTATGAATCAGAAATGGTGAGGGACGCGTGAGAATCTGGAAGCTATGTTTACTTCACCAGATGGCGTCGCTTGGCAGTATTGGAGATCTTGAAAAGACTGCGTTCAGATCCAAGAAACAAGCAGTACCATACAAACGAAGCGGAATAGGGAGCGGGAGGAAAGGGTGGAAAATCGCCCGAAGCTGCAAGTTGCTCACTTCTGAAGGTGTCCCGGAAGACCTTAGCGCGCGGGGGCTTCGGCAATTCGGGGCACGCTCACCCGACCAGCGTGACCATAGCCGCGCCGGCTCTCAGCCGGCTATCACGCATCGCGAGGTTGGTGAACACACGGTAAACAAATTCACGCGGTACCGGGTTTTTCCTCTGTTTTAGAGTTGCCAGAGCCAAAATTAATCCGCTCTCAAACACTCTAAACTCCATGATAATGTGGGAAATTGCTATACGAGGGCGATCAAGTTCCGTGGCAGGTTATTCAACAAGCCTTCTTTTTTATTTATCAAATAGCGGTCGTATAATATTACTGCCCGTTGGCGATCAAGGACCGTTAATTGTTAGTGGCTCGTTGATCAATTGCTATATCGATTCGTTCATACTTGAAACAATGGCGAGTATCTTACTGAAGACGCTACCGTACGAGGCATGTCTCCCCGCAACTCAATACCGTGATGAATATCCACGGGCTATTTCTGACTGTTTGTCATAGTTTGGGGATCCTTCCTTACTTGATACAAGAGCATTCATCGGTGGGCAGTGGGAAAACGGGAATCGGAACAAGACCTACGAAGTATACGGTAAAGATCAAGTGTCGCTGTCCCTGCAAAGGGTAAGTAGTCGGTGACCTGATTGTTGGCTAATTGTCTACAAATATAGATCCAGCGGACAACCTTACGCTCGCCAACGTAGCAGATCTTGATCGCGACGATGCGCGTCGGGCTGTTGAAGCGGCCGAGGAGGCGTTCAAGACCTGGCGGTGCACTTCTCACCGAGAGAGACGCTGGCTGCTCCGACGTTGGGCAGATCTCATCCGAGCCCACAAAGAGGATCTCGCGGCCATCTGCACGATGGAACTGGGCAAACCTTTTACGGAGTCCCTGGTGACTGTCAAATACGGCACCGACTTTTGGACTGGTTCGAGGCCGCCGTGGAGTACCTAAACGGGGAGACGATTCCGGCGGCCAAGTCAAACAACCGCATCTACTCCATTCGCCAGCCGCAAGGTGTCGTCGCCGCCATCACGCCGTGGAACAGCCCGATCGCCATGGTGACGCGCAAGGTGGGCGCCGCCATCGCGGCCGGGAATACTGTCGTGTGTAAACCAGCGCCCGAGACCCCGCTCTGCGCCATCGCCATTGCCAAGCTATTCGAGCGCGCGGGAGGGCCTCCGGGGTTCTCAACGTCGTTCCTTCGAGTGCGAGCGGGGCCGCTGAGATAGGGCGGGAGTTCACGACGAATCCCGCGGTGAGACACCTGAGCTTTACGGGATCAACGGCTGTGGGCAGGCTGCTTCACTCGGAGTGTGCCAAGACATTTAAGAAAACAAGCATGGAGCTGGGAGGCAACGCGCCGTTTATTGTCTTTGCTGACGCCAATGTCAACATGGCGGTTGAGGGTACGTAGGGGGATGACCTGTCACAAAATGCTCTGATACCTCGTGCGTTGTTGAAAATTGCAAGTATTAACCTATTTGTGTTTACAAGGCCTCATCTCTTCCAAGTTTCGCTCCTCGGGCCAGACCTGCGTTTGCGCGAACCGCATCTTCATCCACTCCAGCATTATCGACTCGTTTGCTACAAAGCTTTCAGGAAAAATTGCGCAGACGTTCCATTTCGGATCGGTATGGGACAAGAGGGTTAATTATGGGCCGCTGTACTCTGCCAAGGCTCTCGAAAAGGTGCAGGCCCAAGTGGAGGATGCCCTGTCCAAGGGAGCGAGGGTCTACTCTGGGAGCGTGTTGGACAATGACGCTGCGGCAGGACCCAATTTCTACCCGCCAAGAGTGATTGTGGGAGCTACTACGGCGATGAGGTTCATGGAGGAAGAGACGTTTGGACCGGTGGCGTTTCTTGTTCCTTTTGAGACTGAGGACGAAGTCGTGGCCCTGGCGAATAGCACAAACGCTGGTCTCGCTGCATACTTTTTACCGAGGATATCTCTCGCATGTATCGCGTGAGCGAGGCCCTGGAATCGGGCATGGTTGGGGTTCGCGTTGGCCTCATTAGTGCTTGTGAGCAGCCATTCGGAGGGATCAAGGACAGTGGGTTGGGGCGGGAGGGGGACAAAGGCGCTAGAAGAGTATACCGAGGTGAAGTCGGTTACGATTGGCATCTGAGAGAGTTAATGTAGTTCAGCAGATGACTTGTATTTGCTTGAGAATGAAGTAGGTTACTGAATACAAAGCAAACTATCTTGGAACAAATACAACACGTGTACAAGGCAGTTCTACGACAGTAGACCGTCTAACCACATATCATTAACTCTCAACTGGTGCTATTATCAGAAAACGCAATTTGAAAGTAGAGCCAAGGAGAGTAATAAGGATGGTGCATCAATTGATTACTATCTAGAACGCTAAATCTTGGCTAAGCGACGGTTTTTAGTTTGGAGCGATGCCACTCGCGCCGCTTCTCGGCCGGCCCTTCGACCGAACACGGCTCCGGCGGTCAAACCACTGCCACCGGGGTAATTATCGTAAAACAGCCCGCCGAGCATCTCTCCCACGCAGAAAAGCCCCGGGACCCCTTCGCCCGTCACCGTGCTTTTCACCTGAGCGGTTTCCGGTATGACGGACAACCCTCCAAAGGTGAACGTCACGCCGCAAGTAACCCGCACTGCGAGAAAGGCCCCTGGTCCAACGGGGTGGCCCAGTTAGTCTTGGGGAGGGCCAGTTTCACACGCGACGATTGAGTGGACAGGCCGTCCTTGATAGCCGGATCCCATTTCGCCGCCGGATTTTCCCGTTGAAAGGCTGTGACGGCAGTGTTGTACTCGTCGAGTGTCCGGATAAATTCCTCGGGGTCACGGAGGCCAAGAGGCACCAACTTGGAAGCCAACTCGGTGATGGACGGGGCGGTAATGCGTTCGACCCTCTCTTCGCGGTACTCTTCGTCTCGAAGCCATGGGATCATTCTACTATCCCAAACTTGAAAGGCCATTCGGTCCGGCTGTCCCAAGATCGCGCGACCAAATTTCGCATACGTAAAATTTCGGAGATCCACGCCTTCGTCTACGAAGCGTTTACCCGCTGTGTTCAACATTAAGCCAAGGGGATAACCGGATTTGGTGAACTCGTTGGTGATTTCCTGGTCTCCCGCATGACTGGGCGCGTTCGCATCCCAGGCCACGCTATGGCAACCCGACCAATTCCCAGCGGTGGCAGCACCCGCGTCGCGTATCGCCAAGTTGAGAACGTCTCCCGTGTTATACGGAGTACCCCGGACCTTGGCACAATCCCATCCCGGACCTAAAAACTGCGCGCGCATGCTCGGGCTACTTTCGAACCCGCCGGCAGCGAGGATGATGGCCCCGCCCTGATTTCCACAGTCTCGCCTTGGTGTCTGACAATGGCCGAGATGACGGCGCCGGATCGCGGGTCCTGCTTCAACCCGATGAGAGAAGTGTCGAAAAAGGTAGAAACACCGTGATTCTTGGCCGCTGCGAGATGATCCGCTACCAGGCCCTTGCCGAGACCGTCCGTTTTGAGGGCTAACCCCCAGAATCGAATGCGACCGTCGACTTTGTAGGCCTGGCGATTGAAGAGAGCTGGAACCGAATCCCGTTGCTCGCCAACCACTGAATCGCCTGCGTAGAATCCTGTACGAGGATACGGGCAAGCTCCGGGTCGGAACGGCCCCCGCACATTCGCGACAAGTCGTTGTAAAAGTCGGCTTCTGTGTACGGATCAATGTCAATCTCCTCCGCCGTCTGCTCGTCGACGTTATTCACGAGCGGGAGAAGATCGGATTTTCCACCGTGCACGGTCCTGTACGCGCCGGCTGTGAAGTACGAGTTGCCTCCTGCCCATGATTCGGGGCATTGGTCGATGAGGATTACGTCTTGGGCCCCTTGGCGCGCGGCGACGGCGGCGGAGAATCCGGCATTCCCGCTGCCGACGACGAGGACGGTGCAAGAGGATGGGAGGGCCATAGTTGAGCTGGAGCGAATTTGGCAGGCTTTACTTGACCATTAAGCTAGGCTCATTGACTTGGCGTGATGGAAGCTGTCAAGGACCGAAAAGGGCGCAGGGTTAGTGATGTTTGCACAATAGTATTTGTGTGCGAAAACAAAACCGACATGACATTACGATCTACAGTTCGAATAGTCTTATACAGGTCTGCTTAAACTCCTTTAGTCAGGTCTTTTTTTGGGTCCTGCTCACGCGATGGGCATTCGCTTTCCGTGCCATCAAGAACAAAATGTTTGATGGCCGATAGCCGGCACCCCGCAATACCGCCCCGCAATGAACCCGAGCCACCTTCGGCTAACGGCGCACGTTGGACCTCGAACAAGCTTCGCCAGCTGCTTGGAACTGTGCTTAACCATGCCCGGCTCGTAGCATAACACAAGGCGGTGGCATGTAGCCTCTGGGGGAGTGGTGCCAGGAGTCCGGGAATCACTATTCCATTCCGTCTGTCTCATACTGATAGTAGATCACATTTAAGAGAAACTTCTAGCTAAAAGCTGTGCCCTCCCTACCAACAAATAGCCTATCCAACACGTGGAATGCGCTTCCCATAATAGAAGCTCTCGCCTTAAATTCTTATTTGCTCTTACCATTCGTGATATCACCAATCCACTACTAGATCAAAACTCCTAGAGCAGCCACGATGCCTCGATTAGACGGTAAAGTCGCCATTGTCACCGGTGCCGGGTCCGGATTCGGGGAGGCCATAGCCCATCGGTTTGCAGCGGAAGGCGCCAAGGTACTGGTGGCAGACATCGCCGTCGCCAACGGCCAACGAGTGGTATCCGACATAAGTGCGGCCAAGTACCCAGGCAATGGTAACGCGACGTTTGTCGAGCTCAACGTCGCCAACCGAAGGGACTGGGAGAACGCGTTAAAGGTGGCCACGGCAGAGTACGGGCAGCTCGACATCGTCGTCAACAACGCCGGAACCACGTACAAGAAGCAGCCCAGCGTGGATGTGAGCGAGGCCGAGTTCGACAAGATCATCGCGGTCAACGTAAAGGGCATCTATTTTAGCGTGGCGGTCGTCATGCCGTATTTCGAGCAGCGCAAGTCGGGCGTCTTCCTCAATACTTCATCCGTCGCGGGGATGAAGGTGAGGCCAGGCCAAGTCTTCTACGGAGGAACCAAGGGCTTCCTCAATACCGTGAGTCTTGCACCGAGACATCTGCTTCTCCCACTAACTTGAACTGTCACGCCTAGATCACCCAAGGTCTCGCCGCAGAATACGGGCCCCAGGGTATCCGCGTCAACTCAATCTGCCCGCTCCGCGGCGCAACGGGCCTCTTGGAAATGTTTAGCGGTGTGCCAGATACGCCGGAAGAGAGGGCGCGGTTTGCGGGGTCCGTCCTCTCGGGCGCATGGCGGAGCCTGCGGACATTGCCAACGCGGCTGTGTATCTCGCGAGCGATGAAGCGTCGTTCATTACCGGGGTCAATCTGCCGGTGGATGGGGGACGACTCGCGGCTTAGATTTTCCACGCATGGGCGACTCGTAGCTAGGAATGACAGATACATGAAATAGTAATCTATGGGATCCTGGAAAATGGGACTAGCGTGCATCGTAGTTTTCTCCTTGATTGACTGAAACCGTCCACCTGCGCGCATTATTGGAACCTAAGGGCAGCACTAGCGTAGCCGCTAATCTGGATTTCTGTCGCCTGTGATCTACTTCTACTTGTATGAGTGCCGCCGTTGTCTCCTTTCTCCTCCCTTCCCAACAATGAGGGTCATCCCCGCAATATCCCCGGTTCGCGCCAAGTAGTCTCTTCTTCCCCATGGGGTAGCAGGCGTCGATTACCGACAATCCGGAATCCATTCACCTCTTGGGTTTTTAAACACCGAAAATATATGGGAAGAGGAGCCGGGCGCCCGTGCGACCCAAGTACTGGATCCGGTAGAGTGAAAGAATGTTGCGATTCTCGCCAAAGTCTTAAGAAACCCACGATCCTCGTGCAACCCTATCGTGAATTCACCTTGTGTCTCACAGCCTCCTCCTCGATAGCTTGGAGTTGAACTATCCCATTTCACCTTTACTCCCCTCCACCATTCTCTACCGCTAAAGATGGCGGTAAAAACAACGGCCACGCGCTACAACTTCATCCTCGCCTTCTTTGTAGCTCTGGGGTCCTTCACCTACGGCTACAACTCCTCCGTAACCGCCTCAGTCATTGGCCTACCCAGCTTCTTCTCTTACTTTGACATCGACATCTCCTCGACCAAAGGCAGCTCTTTGGCCGGGGCCATCAATGGCATATACTCTGCCGGCGGGGCGGTCGGGTGTTGGCTGTTGTCTTACTTGGCCGACACCTTTGGCAGACGGCGCGCGATCCAGGCCATTTGCGTGATATGCATTGTCTCTGCTGCGCTTCAGGCTGGCTCCGTCCACATTGCCATGTTCCTCGTGGGTCGGTTCATCAACGGGATTGGCGTGGGTATGATGAATGCCATTGTACCCATGTACCAGTCCGAGAGCGCCCCGGCGAGTCAGCGAGGCCGTCTGGTGGGTATTCATGGGTTCTTGATCGTTTCTGGATACGTAAGTCTCTACCCCAACCTTATCTGTTCCTTATCCCTACATGACACCTGATCGACGAGTCCGCCTTGAACATGTATTCTAATCATTGTCGTCTAGAGCTGTGGCGGGTGGACCGCGTACGGATCTTACTTTACAAACAACCTCGTCATGCAATGGAGGCTCCCTCTTGCGTTGCAGATCGTGGCCCCGGGCTTGCTTCTTCTGGGATCACCCGCTTACCAGAGTCGCCCCGTTGGCTCATCAGCCGTGAAAGAGACGAGGAAGGTGAGTAATAATATTTCCTCGATATCAGAGAGATGGCTCACTAATTGATTTGCCATAGCCATTGCCATCCTTAAGAGTCTACACAGCTCCACGGATTCGTCGCATGGAAATGATTCCCCCACCGAGTACCAACAAATCAAGAGCCAACTACAGCTTGAAGCAAGCGAAGGCGCCCAGAACCTAATTCAAGTCCTTTTCAATCCGCGGTGGAGGCGCCGCATGCTCACGGGATTCCTGGTACAATTCCTCATGCAAAGCACCGGAATTCTGGTCATCTTTAATTACCAGGTCAGTTACTATCCTTACTTAGATTCTACATATGCACATATGCCATCCCGTACCATCCCTAGACTCGACTAACTCGGATGTTCTTACATGTAGATTCTGATGTACAACAGTCTTGGATTGACAGGCTCCCTACCTCTGCTGCTCCTGGCCATATATAACGCCATTGCCGCTTTCATGAACTGGGTCAACTCTCTCATTCTCGACCGATTGGGCCGCATTCGGATCATTACCATCGGGCTGGTACGTTCAAACATCCCAAATCATTGTCACCGACTTAAGAGCATTCCTGCGCCGCGTGTTATCCGGTTGCTAATGTATGACTATTACTCCAGGCTGGCTGCGTCATCATCATGTCCTGCTACACCGCCATGGCCGCCACGTACATTGGAACAGACAACCGTGTGGGCAACGCGATGGGCGTTTTCTTCATCTTTGCCTTCATGATGCCGTACGCCGGTTGTTTAGATGCTAGCAGTTACGTCTATTGCGCTGAGATCTTTCCCACTGCAATTCGCGCTCACGGCATGGGCTTTTCAGTCAGCGGCCTCTTCATCTCCAACATCAGTACGTTCTCTTTTTGCTACACTTTTGCCTGAAGATGGAGTGGATCTAACTTGCTCGATACAGTCTATACCCAAGCGGCCCCAACCGCGTTCAACAACATCCAGTGGAAGTACTTCCTTGTCTTCATAATTGTCCCGTTCGTGGGATTGTTCTTCTTCCGCAAGTACTGCCCGGAAACGAAGAATCTTTCCATCGAAGAGGTAAGTGCCCAATTTTACTGCGCCAGTTTCTAAACATTCTTAGTGTACGAGTGCTGACCGTTTCTAGATTGCTGGTCTCTTTGGCGATAGGGTCATTGAGGCGCCAGATACCGAAAAGATGAATCCGAGAGGATGGGAACTTCGGAAAATGTTGAGAAGGCACAGTAGGCAGTCGCGGCATACAAGCCAATTGCTTTGAAAGGCATTGATGTTGTCAAGTAGCCAGTTTGGTTTAGCGGAAGGCGGGAGCTTGAAATTTACACATGATTCTCTTCAATCTTGATATTGATTGCACCCTTAAGTAGGCGTCTGCTGTAAAGCTATGTATGGGGAAAACTCATCTTCATCCATTCATATGTAACTACTTGCTCCTACGCAATTCGTACATTAAACGAGAAGATTGAAGAGACTGCTGGTGGCTCAACAATTACATTATGGTTATAATATGCACACGTAGTTCAGACGCCGAGAATACCAATCCTAACCCAACATTGAACTCAGCTCTGCAGACTGAAATCATCAAACACGAAATTATCCGGACTCGTAAAAATTCTTGCAACCTCACGGTTAGGTCAACCGGCCAGTGCAGCTCTTCAAACGGCATCACTTTATCATCGGCCAATACCGCATGAATGAGCGGACTCGTGTTGGCGGTGATGCAGGGAAATAATCGAGGCAGTTGATATCGTCTGCTAAATCCGCATCCTCAAACCCCGTCTCCGCGTCCGCTGCTACTCCATTTCCATTGGGCGCGTCCGGCGACGAGTCGTCCCCACCATCCTGGCAGGGTCTACGGCGACAAGCTTATCGAAACCGAGATCAAACATCTTGGAGGAATGCCACAAGGAGGCCATTTGGCGCAGCGCAGTGCGAAGTGTCCGTATATCCCGGTCCGCAAACGGCTGCAGATGCGGGTCGCCACGCGCATGGAGCAACGCGAGGATGGCGACCGCGATATACCACCCCGCTTGGCCGGCAAGGAAGCGTACGGATCCGCGGGCCATGTAGTCCTCGAATATACGCGCTATGCAAGACGCGGCCACGACGGCAGGTCTTCCCGCTTTCGGGAGAATCCTGCCCGCCCGGTTTTTCCGCAAGTTCAGCAGGGTGATGGTGGCGAGATAGACGAGGTTCAGCCCGTGAACGTCGCGGTTGAACCCCGTGGTTCGATCGCCGCCGATTTGGAGCTGCAGGCGGTCAGGGAGAGACTGGACCCAGTTAACGAGCTCACTGGCGAGAGGTGCAGTACTCGTGCACGTGTCTTTGCGGATGCAGAGCATCTTGCTGATGCGGCCCATGATTTCCGTCAACTTGACCCACCGGACAAAGATGTCGGCGCGAATGTCGCTAGGGTCGGGGAAGTCGTCTACCGATATCATCTTGACGTCGCAGTAATCAGGGTCGATGATGCAGGGCCTGCCTTGCGATATTCCCGTAATCCGCTCTCGGGCCTAGATGGTGTCAGAGCCGAACAGTGTTTGCATGCCCCAAGGAGGGGTGAAAGAAGGAAAGGGTATGCAAAAAAGGCGCTGGAATAATGTGCTTACAAATAATGTCCACCATATCCTCCGTCGAAGACCCATGGTCTCCCAAACTGCATTTGCTGCTGCGTATGAGGTTCACGATGCAGTCCAATCTCTTGCGCCAGTCGGATGGCTGCGCCGGTCCACCACCAGTTGGTATTCATGCTGACGACATTAGGCGGCCCGGTGCTCCACCAGTAAAACAACATTACGGCCGATATCCTCGTGACGGGGTTGATGTCGTACGCTTCGTAGAAGAGGTCCTTAGCGCGCTTGTAGTGGGCCGTGGAGGAAGCATGCTGCATCAGAGGCGGGTTGATGTGATTCCCGCATAAAGCTAGAGCGTGCCGGAGCAGCAGGGACCCCGCGGCCGTGTCGGAGCTCTCCTGCAACGACCCCTTGTCCAGCACCGGGCACCACACGGAACCATACTCAAAGTAGGTGGCGAGGTAGCTATCCTGCAGCGATGGCGGGATGTCGTCCAGTTCACACGCACGCTCCACTTCTCCATTATGCGGGGATAGCTCATCCCCTCGCTAGGACCCCTTTGGTCAAAGATGTTCATGTACCCGGAGTCGCCGAGATAACTTGCCTGCTGCTGAGGCTGAGATCCACCGCTCACATGGCTCCTTTGCCCCGGGGTGGATGCCGTCACTCTATTGGTGGATATGATAGCCGGCTGGGACTGAACCGGGAGGCCAAGATCGTGGTGGTTGTAGAGGTCATTGGCATTTTGCAATGGCAGATCCATCAAGTGCCCGAGGGGTTGGGTCTCGGTTAACATGTGGGTATCCCCGCTTAATGTGCGCTGCCGTTCCCTATTCGCATTCAGCTGGAGGAGGGAGTATGCCACAGTCTCGCTAGAGAGCTGGGCCTGGTCTGGCCGATCGTCGTCCTCCGCACAGGCGACGGTCGCCCCATCCTCTCCCGAGTTACCCAAGGCGGGATCGATCAGAAGCTGCCCTCTGCGATAGAATCATCACCGGGTGGCGTGATTGCCGTGTCTTCATTCGTGACGGGTCTCGTCCTACGCTTGCCCAGTCCTCTTCTCGAGGGACGGATCCTATTTCGGCCGTAAGAATTAGGTTCGGTAGACGTAGAGCAGAGCACGGCGAGGGGAGGTAGCTTACCGGCACTCGGAACGAGATGCTACACAGTTTCGGCAACGGTTAGGCCCTTGCCCGAGCCGAGCCTGTATATCGCACTTGATCTATTCCCACTCTCAGCGTTAGCTATTTCCCTCTTCATCGTCCAGCGTGCATTGGTCTCAGTCCTATCAAATCACCTTTTTCTCGTGGCAACGCGCACAAACGAGCCGAGATCGAACTTTCGGCTTTCGGCTTTCGGTTGTGGTAATTGCCGGAGATGCATCCTGATCGTGCGACTGGGCGTGGCCGGCAGCCATGGTATGATGACGACAGTAGCCGCGACTGACAGTTTATCGCAATGAAGAAGAAATTGAGCAACGAAGGATGGGGCAATGCCGCGTCGGGATTTTGTTTCGATGAGTAAATCGTACCACAACTGCGGCGTGGTGATGGGAGTAATGGCGAAAGCCGTGGGAGTCACCCCGCACCCGGCAGCTTGGGAGGTTTTAAACAACCAGCGAACAATCGAGGGAAAGTGGACTCGAAGATTGTACACGAACATTGGGTTTAGCGTATTTTCAAGATTCTGGGGCCCCAAGCTAGTGAGCCTATAGCAAGCCTGGCACGATGCCTTCGGGACACGCTAGTGGAACTCTTGCACCTCTTTGTGAATGAGTGGATGTCGGATCCTACTTTGTGGAGCAGCATCACAAGTTGAGGGTCTCATCCACTCCTGCGGAAGCCGATCGTTCATCCCAGCAAAAGGACGCTGGCTAGTGCCGGATTCTCCCTGTTCCCCGGACCAGGTACGCCGCAACCGACGGATCGGCGGCAGAGACAACATAAGTCTCCCTCAAGACCGTTGGTACCTTCCGCAAGGTCCCAAGGCCGCGCTCCGTTCCCCTCCACGTTCCTCCCCACCCCGACAAGACGTTTACGGAACATTCGCAGAATCATAGCTCTGTCCACAATTGTGATGACGAACATGAACAGCCAGGACCGCGTCCGCGCGACCACCTCTCAACCGGATCTCGCAGCCATCCAGGATGCCCAACGAGTGCTAGTAGAAGAAGGCATGAAGATTCGCGAGCAAGTTCTTGGCGCTAGCTACGTCCGTAACGCTCAATCATTACCAGAGTTCGAACAGCCACTGCAAGACATGGCTGTCGCTGCCGGATGGGCACTCTGCTGGTCGAGACCTGGTCTCGAACGAAAGACGCGATCCCTCATCTGTATCGCCGTCCTGAGTGCCCTGGGGCGAGACGAGGAGTTAAAAGTCCATATCCGTGGCGCACTTAGCAACGGTTGCACGGAGGACGAAATCCGCGAAGTTCTATTTCAGGTAAGAATATCGAGGTGTTGAAGTATGCATTGCTCGACTCCGAAGTTAGACGAGAATGCTGGCCACCTTGGCGCTTGGCGCCATCAGCATGCGTCTCGAGCTCAGAGTGGGAATATAGTACTAAACCTTGGTTGTTTAGCTTTCGGTCTACGCGGGAGCGCCCTGCGCCATCAACGCTACTCGGATTGCTTCTCGTGTGCTTGGGAAGAGGGAATAAAAGCAGTATTTTAACAATAGTAATTATTCTTGTATCATCAAGTTACAATACATAGAATATCTGTATAAGGAACATCTTATCTACGACAGCTTATGGCATACGCAATGGGTTTATGAAAGTGCAACTTGGGAGGCACGGCATCAAACGCACAATGCGCGAGGTGGTGAGAGTAATCATTCTATTCAAAGACTATACAATGATTAAAATATTTATTTGGACATAAATCCATACGAAATAGAACTGGCCACCTTCTGCATCTTGTCCGCTGGGGTTCCAGCCACGAAATCATCCAAGTCCAGGTCTAAATATCCAGAGGCTGATAGCTGCCGTGGCACGACGGCAATAGAGCGCCCTTTGTGATAGATATGCATTAGTTCAGTCCAAGATTAAACCTCGGTGAAGTAGAACGCAAGACTTGAAATACGTGATTATAAAACATACCGTTGATCGAGGAATCCGTGATAATGCGGAACACGGCGGATACGGCATCTTCTACTGCGGCAAAATCAAGGCCTTGGGCACGAAACTGTTGCGTGAGCGACTCCATAAAATCTCGGGGCATAATATCCGTCGCAGTAAACCTTGCGAAACGTGTCGTGTTAGTTGGTGCGTGAAGATATAACTGGCAAATGTAACTGGCTTCTCTACTTACCAAGGAGCCAGAAGATTGACCCGCAAGGCGCCTTTTCGACGAAGGCAACACATCAGACCGCGAACGCCATGCTTAGCAGCACCATATATGGATGATCCCTGCGTGTCAATGAAGCCCATGATGCTGCCAACCACGATTAAGCACCGATCGAATGTTTCCCGCGGTTGTCGGTGAAAGTAATGGGCTGCAAGTTTGGCCGTGTAGATGACCCCAATCAAGTTGACATCGACAAGCTTGAGGTTCGGTTCGGTCGGCTCCAGTTCATCAATGCCTTCAAAGAGAAATTCCATCAGCTATAGTCTTAGGGTGATAGGCAATGTCGGACGTCCGCCTACCTTCGAGAATATCTGGGCCGTAAATCCCGGCATTGGCAATGACAACATCAATGCCGTGAGAGGGTGATTTGGCTATGGCCTCTTTAAACACGGCAACTTGATCTAACCAATTACTCACATCGCACTTGATGAAGAGAGACCTTGCTTAGAATGAGCCATTGTGCAATTACTTGTAAGCAGGGTATCTATAAGACGAGACATACCTGGACGCCTGGGTGATATCGTTTGGTGGCTTGATATCCGCATTCACAACAAAGGCACTGCTCATTCGCGTGATTGGTTAGTGGCTCGAAAGCACCAACGCAATCGTGCTGATATTACATGTAGTGATCTTACCCAGCTTCGGTGAAAGCGGACACGTAGGCTGCTCCCAGCCCGCTACTGCCTGTAGAATAAAGGTCAATAGAAGATAAAGGGATGATGCGTGTCGAGTAACTACATACCTCCGGTAATGACGATACACTTTCCTTGATATTTCTCACGCTGCTTGGAGCTAGGCAGTCGAGGGGGCCTTTGTTGACGTAGAACGGAGCTGACATTGTGGGAAATCGTAGCACAAAAGGTCAGTTAGTCAAGTTAATATTATCTTCTAATCTGCGTAAGTTTTGGACCTTCGGGACCCTGTTTGTCAATTATACAATATTTCTCTTCCTTCTTCGTCCATTTCTCGTTCTTCGTCTCGCTGTTAGTCTTGTTTTCTGTCGAAAGCTAGTCTCGTTGTGCAGCCGAGTGTCTCGGCAAACAGCTCCGGCTATTCTCCCCTTTAAAGCCGAGCATAACTCTGAACCAAAGCGCCGGCGAATTACCCGCCTCGCTGGCAGCCCCTATTCATCTTATCCTGAACCCGTTGACGTTATGTGACCGCATCTCGGTCGGCTGGTGTTAGGCGTCTTCCCGAGAACAGTGGAGGTAACCGTCCCCAGGCTAGACATCAGCTCCTCAAGTACTGTGTGAATGAACTGCGTTTAAGTATCTTGGATAATGATCGTCATGTTATTCGACATTGTAGAGACCCCTGTGCATCTTTTATACTCTCCGCCAGCCTCTGATTAGACCTAACTACATCTCTCCTACGTATTCCAAATTCTGTCTCAGCCACCGTCACCTCGTCTATCGTTATGGCACATCAAAGTAGCAGTATCGCCCCCAATGAAGTCTTTCTGGCAAATGGCCTGCCAGGAGATATGCGGATCGGGAGTAATTCCCAGGGCCCTCACCCAGCCTCCATCGAGCGTCCAGTCCAGCATCCTGAGTGGGACAAACCCAGTCCCGGAGGCTACGTCGTCTCCAATCACATGATAAACGAACCTCCTCCCAACAAGCCGTTCCGCATCATCGTCATGGGCGCCGGCGCCGCCGGCATCGACTTTCTCCACTTCGCCCCGAGCGCATTTGCCGGTCTCGGCGTCGAATACGTGTGTTACGACAAGAACTTAGACGTCGGCGGAACTTGGTACGAGAATCGCTATCCCGGTTGCGCGTGCGATGTACCCAGCGTGGGCTACACATTTCCCTGGAAGGCGAACCCGCGCTGGACGAGCTTCTACTCAACCTCTCAGGAGATCTGGGCGTACATGAAGGAGATTGTCGAAGAAGAGGGCATGATGAAGCATATCCAGCTCCGTACGGAGATCAAATCTGCGATATGGGATGAAGATAAAAGCAAATGGGTCGTCAAGCTCAGCAAGAGCGGTACTGATGCTAGCCCGACGGAAGTCCGTGAATGGGAGGAGGAATGTGACTTTTGGTGAACGGAACCGGATTTTTGAAGTACGTGTCGTGCATGACTCAACCTCCCAGACGCCCTCACCACGATATCTCATGCTAATACAGAGGCGGCAGCGCTTGGAAATGGCCTGATATCCCCGGTCTACAGTCATTCAAAGGGGTAATCCACCACACCGCTGCCTACCCCGAGGGCTTGGACCTCAAGGGTAAGCGCGTTGCGGTCATAGGATCTGGGAGCTCCGGTGTCCAGGTCGTAGCCTCAATCTACCCCGAAGTATCGAAGCTCTACACTTGGGTTCGAAGCCCAACATGGATCACGGCGGCATTTGGCCAGCAGTTTGCCGGCGAAAATGGTCGGAATTTCGACTGTACGACGCACCTGAATTCTATATTATAACTACTCACCATTCCCCCACCAACTTTTGTGCCAGAACATCGTCTATGACACTCAGCTACTAACACTTGGTGTTTTGTGCAGATACCGAGAGTCAAAAAGATGCTTTTGCTAGAGATCCCAAAATGTACCATCGGTACAAGAAAATGATTGAAACTGAGCTAAACAAGAGGTTTCGACTCGTCCTCCGAAACACGAGGGAATCCGACGAGGCGAACGCGGTATGCCTTATCTCTACTCTCGTACCAAACTCAAACCTCATTTCTTGGCTAACTCTCTTGAACTCTAGTTCGCATATAAAGAAATGGCCACAAAATTGAGCCCAAAGACAGACCTCATAGATGTTATTATCCCCAAGGACTTTAACGTCGCCTGCCGCCGCCCGACACCGGGGAACGGGTACCTGGAGGCGCTTGCAGGAGATAAAACCGAAGTTTTTACGCAGTCAATTGGCGGCATCACAGAGAAGGGCGTGATAGACTCGGCCACGGAACAAGAATACGAAGTCGACGTGATTATTTGCGCCACCGGCTTCGATACGTCATACCGCCCTCGTTTCCCGATTGTAGGTTTGGACCCCAAAGTGCCGCTCTCGGTGAAGTGGGCAGACCATCCCTCGAGCTATCTCGGTGTCGGGGTGGACGGCTTTCCCAACTACGTGACCTATTCCGGTCCCTCTATCCCAGTAGCCCAGGGCTCCGTCTTGCCCATCATCTCGCTTTTGACCAAGCATTTTGTGGAACTCATCCAAAAGATGCGAAGTCAGCACATCCGCCGTCTCAGTCCAAAAGCCTCCGCAGTCCGCGACTTTACGGAGCACAGCAACACGTTTATGCCTCGGACGTGCTGGGCGGATCCGTGCACCAGCTGGTTCAAGCAAGGTACCAAGGACGGGCCCATCATTATGTGGCCGGGGACGAGGCTGGCTTATTTTGACGTGATGAAGCATCCCAATTTCGAGGATTACGATATCGAGTATTGGAGTGGGAATCGCTTTGGCTTTCTAGGGACTGGCTTTGTAGACTACGAATTTACTGGCTCGGAGGACAATGCGTGGTATCTGGATACCCTTTCGGACCATAAGGAATGGGAGAAAGGTGTTGCATGTGGCCACGACGAGGATGAGCTCAAGCTTGTCAACAAGGGACAAGTTCCCGCATCTGCTGCGTCGTTCCTGCGCAACGGCACAACATAAAAGAGTGCGTTTCAAATAGGAAATAAACGTTTTGGATATATGCGACTTAAACCCAGGCGGATGTTAAACGTGACGAATAACAAATTTCGATATCCTCTTTCATGTACATATTACTGTCCTGACACATTGCCTTGGCAATTTACGTACAATTGAACTGAATAGAAGAGTGACTTATTCCCCTACAATATGGCTCTCCATACCACCCATGCTTTGTCTATCTGACAACTTATCGGAACTGAACCGGCTTATTTACTATGGAACCACTCCAGTGACTCGATTACCAGTGCATCCCAGGTTGTGCTAGACGGAAGCTGAGAGTACCGGCGAAACGCGTGAGGAAGGCCGGGGAAGATATGGAGCCTGGTCTGGACCCTATGCTACTGCTTTAGCGAACGGACTATATCTTTGCGGTTTTGTGAAATCAACCAAGACAAGTAATGGCTTACCCGTTTTTCCTCAGTCTTTCCTCGTAAAAGATGCCTTCATCCCGCAAGACATCCCTGCCGCATATGAGAAAGCTCGTCTTTGGCAATTCTTTAATATCCTCCTCTTCTGCCATGGAGATGCACTTATTCTCGTCAGGAGGCGCATTCGACGCGTCGAGAAGTCTGCTGAACAGTTTGAGCAGTTCCATAGGGAGGACGGGGGCATCTGCGTTTTGATGATAGGATGAGCAAGGCAGGTGGGCCCAGGGGTAGTTGTCCGTGTCTACAATCAACCAAGGGATGCAAAGGAGTTGGCCGGAAATCTTCATCATCGGCGAAGCTTTTGTGTTGAGTTTATGAAGCCGCGCCGCTTTGAGCGCAACTGATGCGGCGAGTCCAGCCCTGCGGAGATGCCCCCAACAAAGACATGGTCGCGATCTCCTCGGAGGGAGGAGATATTGCTCGACAGCCACTCGAACGCGTCCCAAGCGTCGTTGAAGGGGACGGGATATTTGAATTCGGGGGTGTGGCGATAATTGATGCTCACCACGATGATGCCGGGCGCAGAAAATGTGGATACGATCCGGTAGCACGCATCGTCCTCGGTTTCAACCCCTCCAAAGAGGAACCCTCCTCCGTGGAAGAAGAGGTATACTGGCAATAATAGATCGGGCGGCTGGTTCTTGGGTCGGTAAACGCGGGCGATGATGTTTTGATGGTCGCGAGTGGTGATGGAGTAGTCCCTACTCTGGACATCGTTACCGAAGCCTATGGTTCGCACCAGCTCGGTAGTGTCAGCGTTCGGCAGTTTCACATGAATGGTTTGTAGCTTGAGGAGACCGACCTGAGCTTGCACATCCCTCTGCAGAGAGCTTCAATCGCAGGGCGTTGGTCGCCTCGCGAAGTTGTTCCGGATTTACATCTGTAGGGTCAAACGCTGGAATCGCAACCTTGACCGCGAGGTCCTCCCACTCCGGACTAGGAATCCCGTAGCAAGAATGATCTGGCATTGACATCTGAGCGAAACGGCTATCCGAGAGCAAGTGGCTGCGACGTTTGATTGCAACTGTGCCTAGAGAATTATTCGCGATCAAGAGCTGAAACGTGAGTACGCTACATATATAACCATTGACATGAAGACTTTTAAAGAATCTCTATATTTTATGTCTTGGCTTGGACGTGGTTGGTGATAGCCGGACGACAGTAGCATCGTGCTTTAACCGGAGCATTTACTTGACGGCCATGTTAACCGGCCAGACGTGGAGTGGACGCTAACTCATTTGGGAAGTGCCTGATAGCTAACTAAAGTAATACACAAAAAGAAACTACGTAGGAGACGATAGAAAGAGAATAGAGGGTAACGATTATGTGCAAGCGCATCACTCCATGGTGACCCCCTTTACGCTTGCGTGGCCGTTCAACCTCGCGGCCGATCCATTAACTTGGACCTTCTCCGGAAGCAAGCCGTCCTTTCCTTTCTCGCCCATATACCATGCAATATCACTCCCGTCGTGCTCAAGGGTAGAGAAGCCATTACCGAGAAAGGCGAACCGGTTCATCGACCAATAATCGAAAATGTAATCCTCAAATAGTGGTGTCTGCAACAAGTCCGCGAGCACCACCCGCGAGCCCGGGAAAACGGTAAGAACGCCATCGGCCTTGCTATTCTTGAACCAATTCGTGCAAGACTCGGACCAAACGGTGCGCTTCAGCCAGACGTCGGCGTGTTCCATGAACGCATCCGTAGCCTCCTTCTTCGGGGTCACTGACTTGATGTCTTCCTTTTGCATTTTCTTGACAACTTGTAGAATATTATTCATAAAGAGCTCGACCATCGAGATGTAGGACCCGTGGCCAAAGGAGAAATATGGTCCGCCAACAGTAAAATAGTTCGGCACTAGATATTTTCGGGGCGGCGTCAATAACTATCTTGTGCGTCTTGTCTCTGGAGCAGGTAAACTCACTTCCGGGGATGGCCATGGCCAGGTAAGAAGTCGGGCGCTTGGCCTGAATATCCTGGAGGTTAACGCCGTTCGCTATGGTCGGAAAACAAGGCACCCAAGATGTGTCGAACCTGTATATCTTATGTTAGCATTCTTTGTTGCGACGTAGTTACCGATGGACAGGCCGGGAGTTTACCCACCCCGTCGCGCATATAAGAACATCGATCTCGTGCGAATTTCCCAAGCTATCGAGGAAACCATTCTCCGTAACAGTCTGCAGCGGCTCGAGAAACGTGGTGACCTTTGGCGACGTCAGAGCCTCAAGAAAGCCATTTCCGGGCTAACAAATTACAAGAGCGTTAGCAGAGCCTACGAAAGAGCGGTGCTCTGAGAGATGCCTACCGTCGGCCTCCGGCACCCGACACTGAAATCCGTAGGAATGAGTTTATTGATAAGCTCGTCTCTTCCGGAAAGCTTTTCTTTCATTTGTGCTGTGGAAAACTGCCGTTGCTTTGTGATCAGCCTTTGCCTGTGTGGATGGGAGATGTGTCTCTCGGCACTTACCTCTCGAGCCGCCGCAGACTCGGGAGAGCCTCTCAAAAATAGTGGAAACATCCGACTAATCTCGCTCTCGAGCTGTTTACAATACTCGAGATACTCGTCCGGATGGGTCCTGAAATACTCTTGCTGCTCTGCGCCATCTATGCAAGCATAAAGTTAGTGTCCGCGGCGACAAGTCGGCGACCAGGTTTTTCACTTACAATGAAAATTATCTCCGTTTGGTCCAGCAAACTTCTGCGCGAATCCAGCCGTCATCCAAGTAGGCTGTCGAATCCAAGCGTATAACTTGGACACTTGCGGGAGGATGGATGGGATAACCTGTACGCCACTACTACCAATGCCAACTACGGCTACGCGCTTGCCTTCCAGGTCGATTTCGGGGTCATAGTCGGCGGTGTGATAGAGTTTACCCTTGAAGTCAGATAAGCCCTTGATATCTGGCCAGTTCCAGGCACTTTTGGAGGTCCATGTTAGATTGATTCCCGTCTTATTCGACTCTAGGTCGAGCGAAAGCGGTACTCACTTCAAGATGCCACTACAATTGATAAATATCTCTGCGCTAGAGATAAAGACTTCGCCCGTTCCTACATTTCGAACGTGTATGTCCCAAACTCCGCGCGAATCGTTCCAATACGCTCCCGTGATTTGATGGCTCAGGTGGATGTATTTGGCAAGGTCAAAGCGGTCGACAACATCTTTGAAATACTGCAGAATCTCCCCGGCGCCGGCGTAATATTCGGACCAGTTGGGATTCTTGGCCCACGAAAACTATTTGTGCTCGGTTTAGCGTATGGCCTTTCTATGGTAGGATGGGAACAAGCTGGTGGTGTCCGGCCGTACCTGGTAGATATGAGACGGAATATCGCATGCGCATCCCGGATACCTAAAGAAGACCAACCGATGTGAGCCGCCAACGCACGATGTTCATATCGGCGGCCTAAGATTCAACTGAAACTCACCTATTCTCGTACCACGTGCCGCCGTACTCGGGATTCTTATCATAAATGGCAAGCTGCACGTTTTTTAACTGCTCGGGCAGGAACTTTGCCAAACATATCCCGGAAGCACCCGCTCCCAAGGCAATCACGCGCAGAGGCCTCCCGGAGCCGTAAAGCTGCTCTCTGATCCGGTATCCCCGTTCGTTGGTTGTTTTCCAGCCGTATTTTCTCGGGAGAGATGCGAAGTCTGGACTTTGAGATGTCACCGATGGCTTCGGATCTGGTGATGCCTTTCTACCGTTAACTTCGTTGACTGTCATGATTGAATCACCTCTTCCGTAAGTGGTATTGAAGAGGGTAGAAGATCTGGTTTATGGAGTGCTGCAGCTGTGGTCGCGAAATCGATGATATACGAGGGGTATTGGGCGTCGCAGAGTGCGCAGATCTTGTACGCCCGCTCGTATGTGATGGTGACGAGACTCTTTGCTGTTCTTGGCCGAATCCGGGCCCCAGAGTCGTGGCGTTGTTAGCTTGCAAGGGCAACGCCGGGTAACGGAGCGTATAGGAAGCCGAGTATTGCTAAGCTTGCCTCATGAGCTCTGGATGGGCAGTGAAGATCGGGTGTTGTTGATCGGCCATTACACTTGTTAGGTTTCGGCATTGACCCGTCGGTTATTGGTCTAACAACCGAAATGCACGCTTGCCATCCGGGTATCATTACCTGCCTTTCAACAACAGAGCCGTGAAGACACATTAACTAATTAAGCGTTCCTATAGGTTGGTCAACATTGATTAGGAGGTCTAAAGTATTATTGGTAATTGAATTGAATGCAGGATCAGAGCCGTGTGTTGCGTAGAAGTCTTGCCCAGTCGAGATATGTCTTTTGGTGCCCGTGTTTACTACGGATCGTTTGAGGCAGCTAGTTGGAGCCGGGACAAGAAGTCGGTAAAGTCAAGTTTATAACTAATGTGTGAAGCAGAAGAATCAATCATGTACATGTAATTAATGAAGCATTCAACGGACAATTATTTGTCGAGCTCGCTCTCACATGAGTATCGAGTCACTTCGTCATCCGAGACAGTAACAATATATATTAGAACACAATTTAGAAGACTAATTCTACAGTTCTACTCAAAATATGGCTAAGGCATTGCACGGGGATCCGACCAAGCCCGGAATGTTTAGCGGAATTGAAGTCAAAAGAAAAGTATACCGCTGCTTCGTTGCGCAGTATTCCGAGAGCGCCTTGAGATCCCATAGCTCTCCAACATGTAGACCTAAAAGTCCGAGAAAATGGGGATGTAGAACTATACGTCAGTTAGTATCAGCCAACGCCCGTTGAAAACAAAACTCCAATCCTACCTAGATCAGGGGACCCTCCGGCCCCGATAACGCCGTCCTTGGTGGCCGGCAGCACCTCGAAACCGACACTATCACTCGCGACAGCCGAACAGTGGGTATTCCAGAACCACTTCACGGCATCTATGGAACCCTCAACACCCGCACTCATGCCGGTATTGATCATCGCCTCCTGCTCCTCTGGCTCCGCAGCGCCGACTATATCGGTGTAGCCAGTGCGAATGATGATAACATCGCCTTGTTTAAACGTTACGCCCTGTTCCCTAGCAATCTCTTCAATCTCTCGAACTTTGATTGCGTGCGGGCTTATGGGGGTGTATTGTATTCCTTTGCGCTGGGCGTAAGATACGTAATCGATAAGCACTCCGCGTGCAACCAACCCTCCGCGGGTATGCCAATCTAGAAGCGTGAGCTTGAATTAGACAAATCCAGCATAGACACCAGAATACGATGATACTCTGCGTTAACTTACGGTCTAGTGTTGGGAGTGTCTTGCCCGCATCAGTCCCACGCGCTTGTGTAAAATCCTCAATCGAAGGCTGAGATCCGTTGTAGACGCAGGCCGACTTTTGGTGGTGGAAGTGGCCTAGGACAGCACAATACCAGTCAGAATTAAGTTTGAAATCACGTCGTAAGGGATTCATGGTCTAACAAAGACTGTCCCATTGGCTGCTACTCTGAGTATTGAATTCGACCTGCTCCTGTTAGTACATGTATAGCCATTCAGGACTACCCGTCAACCGAACTGCTAACCTCGTCATCAAACCCGTGGATTGCCAAGGGGTATCCCGAAACGAGTGGACGCGGTGGGCAAGTGACCGGCGCATGTATCCAGGTTTCTTGATGGCGCCAATGGGCCAGCTTTGATTTGCAGATGGTCAGCATGGAAAAAGTGCGAGCGAGAGCCTGGCGCAAACTACTTTAGAGAGATGCTGACACCATCCTTTACTTCAGCGGTAGCTTCCCTGATGATGTCAGGAGTGACCTTGTGTAGACAGCCATATAGGTCTTTTTCACCGTTGCGGCTGAAGAGACCCCAAGCGCAAGGCTCCGAGATGCCCTCAACGGACGGAAGATCGTCATAGTCCGGAAAGGTAGTGTCCATGTTAGGTTTAGGTGTAAAAATAATATTATGAGAAGAATGAGTCCTCGAAGAATAGCAGAAGAAGACACGACGAGGTCCGGGTGGGCTCATTAAAGCCCCCTGCGATCCGGGAGCGCTACGAACGGTGCGCAGTCGGTTATGACAAATTTACGCCGGCAACGGTGTACACAAGATATGTGCCAAGAACCGAGTCCCGAAAGTAGACCGGTGAATCGACACAAGCGCCGTCTATCCATTTTTCTCTCAGAACCCCGCCTCCGTCCCAAGAAAAAGGAACCGCCCGTCGAGAATAAATCCGGATAACCCTCAATAGCTACAATATTTGCTAAGTTGCGCATGCTTGAAGTACCTACTCTCCAAACCACGCATAATTACTCGCTACTACATCCACACAACCATCCTCAAACGAAATGACGGGAATATCGGCTCCGCCCTCCGATAGCATAGTTCGGGTCCGGTTAATCAACACGACTGGGCTTATGACAGTTCGTGCACAAGGCTTCATCGAACCCGTCCAACGTGGCCACGAGCTCCTCAGTTTCCCCACCTATGCGTTCCTTATTGACCATGAACCCAGTGGAAAGAGAGTCATGTTTGACTTGGGTATACGAAAGGACTACTGGAACCTACCCGCCGTCCTACAGCTTCGATTTAGCCAAGTAATCGTCGCTTTGAAAGTTGATGAGGACGTCACTGAGGTTCTCGAGAGTGGTGGGATAGGCGTGGACTCCATCGGTACGTAATTGGAGCACCGGGGGCACTGCTATCTTCTAACCAAAACACACTAGATTCTGTAATATGGTCTCATTACCACTGGGACCACATTGGAAACCTCGAGCTCTTCCCCCGAGCACGTCGCTCCACGTCGGGCCTGGCGTCAAGGATCAGCCTGGTCTCCTACCCGGGTTTCCCAACGTATTAAAGTCACCGCTGCCAATGTCATATTTCGAGAACAGAATGGTCTCTGAAATACCATTTGACTCTGGTTTGACGATTGGCGGCTTTCGCGCCCATGACTACTTCGGAGACGGGTCGTTCTATCTATTGGGTAAATATCTCGTTAGACGACATGTACCTTGCCAGCTTGGTCGTGATCTAACATTAAGCACCCCTAGACACTCCCGGTCATTGTATAGGGCACGTATGTGGGCTTGCGCGTACGACTCCAGGCCCAAACCCTACCTTTGTCTTCCTCGGCGGCGATATCTGTCACTTTCCGGGAGCATTTCGGCCCACGCCGCAACTCTCCCTACCCGACACCATTCCGTCGCAATATCTAGACAAGGATTCATACTTTCCTCATCTCTGTCCTTGCAGCTTATTCACGGACAACCACCCTATACTATCATCGGATGAGGCTGGGAACAAGCAGGATAACGCTCAGGAAGTTCCTTTTTATCAAATATCAAAACATTCAAGTTCAGCCTATGTCGACCCGCAAACAGCCCAAGAATCCGTCAACAAACTTCGCGCCTTCGACGTCTCCCCTCTGTACTCGTGTGTATCGCCCACGACTACGCATTAGCGTCTCACCTACCTACCCTTAACAATTCCCCAGATCAAGACTTGAACGGCTGGAAAGTAAAGGGTTGGAAAGAAAAGTGCCATTGGGACTGGTTGAATCAGCTTCCTCGGGGAGGCGAAGCGGGTCGGCCTCTGTTAGTGGAGGGATTCTGGAGGGATGGGGAAATATGGGAAACAGCAAAGAGTGAGCTGCTAGAGCAAGGTAGGAAATGGATCAAAGACGTATAATCATTAGCCAGCCATGCATAAATCGGCCATTCGATTTGATTGCCAACCATTGAAAAAATGTTTCTATTTTCCTTATGGAGATGTACACCCTTGCTCCCCCAATGTACGTATCCGAAAGACCCCGGCACTAGTCCCGAGCATTGTACGAAGCCATTGTGAAACTGGTGACGGGATACCGTTATATAAGGCTTAGTATGCTACCTAATGATAGCATATTGAAACCAACTGTGTGGGAAATACCTCATTGAATTTCAACATTGACCTTTGTCAATTGCGAAGTTTCCAGCATAATCCTCTCATACCTCCCTGCCCTTGAGCCGGGCTCGTAGTCATCGAGGTCCTGATCGATATAGCCGCGTGGAGCGTCTTCGTCCGAGGGCACGACCGCAAACGAGCGACCTAAAAGATGTTAATATATTTTAAGTTCATGTTCTCAAGAAAGAACATAGTCGTTGTTACCATTAATGGAGGGCGTCGCGGCAATTCTCAAGACGAGTTCGGCCGCGCTGCCGGCATCCGCAAACTTGACGCCCTGACCCTTAACATGATCCTGGACATCCGCGCTTAAAAGTCCGGTGGAAACAAACCTAGATCCGGGTCAGAAACCCTACAATATCAACAGAATCGACAACAATGTCTCTCACCAAGGAGCCAGAACATTGGCACGAATGCCGTCGACCTCGGTCGTCCTTCTCGTGGAGCGCATGAGACCGCGAACCGCATATTTCGACGCTTGGTACATGGGCCCTCCGGGAGATCGAGGTATCCTGCGGCGCTGGAAAAGATGACGAAACATCGGTCACGGTCGGCGCCGATGGGGTTTCTCAAGAAATAGTGCCGGGCCAGCTTCTGGCTATACAGAACACCAGTCACGTTGACGTTCATCATCAACATGTTTGGCGCCACCGGGTCATCATCGCCATCTATCGAAAACCGTTAGCACGCCGATCTGTTTGATTGAGAATCGGAAGAGTGCCAACCTTGCTCCACGTTGAAGACCGTGTCATTTGGGGCGATGCCAGCGCATGCCACTACAACGTCAATAGTGTGTGACGGGGAGTTTTCCTTTGCTGCCTTGAACATTTGTAGCTGGGACTCGAATGAGGTGACATCGCACTTGACAAATGTCACATTTCTAAGTCCAACGGGCGAGTTAGTCGGTCCAGTGAGCAGTAGATACCAGGCAGTCAGCGGGATAGTAGATACGGTGCAAGCTCAGCAGCGATTTTCTCGCCGCTAGCCACTGCTAAGTCACCGAATGTGACGAACGCCCTGCGCCGAACGTATTAGCATTGAAGAATTGTGCGCATCTTGTACAAACTCGTCATTACCCGGCTTTCGCAAAGGCTCGCACAGTTTGTTCGCCCATGCCACTGGCTCCTAATAGAATTCAGTCACACATCCAGCCCCAGGGTGAGCGTTTGCGTTACCTCCGGTGATGACTACGCTTAGTCCCCTCACATGGCTGGGGTCAAAGGGCCCCGTGCAATCAACGACTTGATTCTTGTATGCTTGAAAGGCCATGGTTTCAGTTCGATAAAGATCAATGTATCAATTCATAATTCCCTGTACTGCAAATCGTCTGTGCAGCGTAACTCCCATGTCATCTTATAGGCCTCACGTCACATTGATACATGTGGGTTAATAGATCCATTACATTCAAATCACGCTTATACCTCCCCGCACCGGCTTTAACCTTTGAGCGGGGTTTCCGGCCGTCGCACGCTCGGTGCCGGGCGCGGGACCGGCATTGCCCAGGAAAGCCGGAAAAGGGTAGAAGGTTGGGTTGGGTTGCTTGACAAGGGAAATCGGCCCGCGCGATTATATTCACAACCGAGCGTACGAGACTACAATGATCTACTCTCGTACACTGCAAGTCCAAAATCGGGATTCCAGGATCCCTACATGACTTGAGGACCGACACTACACTGGCAAAGCCCCAATTGTCCCGGACTAGATTATTTCGCTCTCTCCAGTATATCTTGGGTTGGATGCTTAGTATGCGATGTATTTAAAACAAAAAGTGTTGCTATGCATACATTATTATTCAGTATGATCAATCTAAGCATTAGCTCCACCGTCGACATTCCAGACTGCTCCGGTAACAAATGAACTCTCAGAGCTCAACAGATAGGCAATAACATTGGCAATTTCCTGGGGCTCCCCATATCGTGGGATTGGTGTGTTTTGGTTTGGCTCCTCGTCAAATCTCTCAAACGTGGCGCGCAGAAGCGGAGTATCGACACAACCACTAGGTTCCATGAGCGAGGCATCAGCTTTTACATGGCAAGAGAGCTTGAAAAGATGGAAACTTACGGGAGTAAAGCGTTCACCCTTATTCCTCCCTCGCCAGCTTCAATGGCGGCTGTTTTAGTCAACCCAATCATCGCGTGCTTGCTCCCGCAATACGGGGCGGCGTTTTTGAAACCGCGAACGGAATACATGCTCCCCACGTTAACAATACTTCCGGGCGTCTCCATGAAACCCGGCACCAACCCTTCTGCCAGCGTATTGAAGACGCTACGCGCGTTGGCATCCATGACCAAGTCGTACTCTGCCGTCGGTATCTCCCAGATCGGGTGCGTGCCAATCAGACGCCCTCCGATTCCCGCGATATTCGCAATGCCGTCCACGCGGCCAAAGTGCCTCTTTGTGCCTTCTAGAAAGCTCTTGATCGCGCCTCGGTCGGCCACGTCGACTGGCTGGGTGAGGATCCGGGATCTGTAGGAAACGTCGACTGAGTCCGTCACGGCGGCGAGTTTCTTCTCGTTGATGTCGCATATACCTAGAGATGCCCCCGTTGTAGAAGCGTTTTTACCGTTGCCAGGCCCATGCCAGATGCGCCGCCGGTGATGAAAAATGTCTTTCCCGCGAGACTGGCCGCCATGTTTAGATTTCGGGAATCTTGATCTCGCAATTGCGCCTGTTGAGTGTCCAGGGTTGGCACAGGATAATGACGAAAAGGCAGGCGTGGTAGATCGGTGAATGGTAATTTCAAAAGCTAGATGGGAGAATATGCCACGATCGTCAAGTTGGCAGAATAAGTAGCACCACCAAATTCGATTACCGAGAGTGTCGAAAATCACAATATTCGGTGTTGATTTCATGAAGGGCGGCAAAGCTGGCCCGGCTATCGTCTGTCGCGGCTTCGGTAATACACGGATTCTAGTCATCGCGGATCAATCTTTGAGAATGGGGTACTGTTTGAACAACCTAGATCTAATGCAACATTGAAATGAATGATGAAGTTATTATCGTGTCTCCGAATGCGGGAATTAAAACACTGTCTTTTGATTTACTATCCCATCCATCTTACTATCTCTTCACGGAACTCGGTGGCCCTTTCATTCATGTCATACCTCTACAAAGAGGTGGGTTAGTTGTAGAGGTACCAATGACTCCAGCAGACTGACTTTATACGCTCATGCCTCCTTACGGCTAATAATTTAAGCTATCTAGAATGTCCCTACTTCTCTTGCTGCTCTAGTGCCTGCTCATCGGCCTTTGTGTGAATATGACCCGCCACAAAATTATCCTTGGACGCATCATTGTTTGCAACAAAGAAGGAGAGAATGACCGCAACGCCGCAAAAGGCGAGATTTGTGAGAAAGACGATCCGGATCGCGTCGCTGTATCCACTACGGAAGCCCTGCTGGCCGAGTTCAATGACTTGGTCAGTGATGCCCGGCACTTCCCCAAAGGAACTAGTCCCTTGGAATGCGGATATCAGGGCAGGTATGGACGAGTTTGGGAAGCTTGTATCCGCCACAGCCTTGGAAATCCGGGCAGGAAGAGTCGTGGTCAATTTATTGGCTAGCACCGTGCTGTACACGGCTACCGAGATGGTGGGCACGAAGAGGCGGATGAACCCCGACAGGCCACCGGCCGTCCCAATTTCCTCCTGAGAACGAATGGGGAACGTGGTGGTTGTGATGGCGATGGCGTCCGCGGCTCCGACGGTAAAACAGCCCGTAATGACGAATGCCATGGTCATGGACATGTTGAGAGGGTTTGTCGCGGCTGCGCCAAGAAGCGGTGTGGCGATAATCATGAACCCAATCGTTGGCAGCTTTGGTCCTGTGAAGTTGGCAACGATCCCTCCCGCGATCTGACCAAAGACAAAGCTCATTGCCGGGAGAGCAAACATGGTGCTCAGGTAGTTTCCCTCTACAGTGTAAATGTTGGTAACAGCGGCTGGCCACAGCAGCACGAACGCGTAGTAGTTGCAAGAAGCAAAGCCGGTCAGCCAAGACACCGCCATGTACCTGCCATTCCGGAACAAGTGAAGGGGGAAGAACGGGTCCACGTCCTTGAAGGGCAGTTTAAGCTCCCATAGGATACACAAGGCTGTGCCGACCGCTCCCGCGACCAAGGTGCCGATCACGGGGGCGCTGTTCCACGGATACAACTGCCCGCCCCAAGATAGCCCCATGAGAAAAATGAGCGAGCTTCCCGCCCAGAGGACGAGGCCGATCCAGTCAAAGTTCTTGATGAGCACGCAGGCCGCGGTGCGCTGGTGCAGCATTTTGTACGTGGGCGGGTGATAGAAAAGTACCAGCATGCAATGGCGATCACATGCGCAACAATCTCAAAGTAGAAACATCCTCTCCACCTGACTTTTGTCTCGGCCTGGAACCAGTAGGCGAGCTTGGGCGCGAGGGGGTTCGTAGGGATGGAAAAGATATAGGTCCCCACGTTGGCAAGATAGCGATACTTCATGGGCACGATCTCGGCCGACGCCCAGAAGAAGCACAGCATGATACCCGCCGAGATTCCCAGGAACACCATGGACCCAATCAGCTGATTGACCGTCTGAGCAACGGCACCAAAGATGCTGCCGATCAAGCCGATGCAGGAACCGATGATGAAGAACCACCGCCGGCCAAAGATGTCGGTGAGGCGCCCGACGATGAGGTAGGTGATGGCTTGAAGCAGCAACCAGGCGAGGGACACCCATAGAATGTTGTCGCTAGGTCCGATGTCGTTGTTGATGTAGGTGATGAGCGGGGAGATGAGGCCGAAGCCCCCGAGGCTGCAAGGAACGACATGCCGATGGCGGTGTAGCTCCCAAGAAAGGCAGGGCTGTACCAGTAGCTGATGGGGAGTTCGTGGAGCTCTCGGCCTTGCGCTTCGAGGGCGCGCTCTGTGTTGGCCGTCATGTTGGCCTTTTCAGACGCGATCTCAAAGTGTTGGTGCTTCGCGGCTGGTCCATTTTCTGGGTCAAGAGGGGTGACTGGGTTCTTTTCGTTCATTCTGAACAAGGCAACAATTGTTACTTATTAGTGACTACAGTTGGGTATGAAAGACTTGGGAGAAGAATGGACAAGGTGAATGGTGAAAAGGTATAGTTTCGGGCGCATGCACAACGTGTCTCTTTGTTCAGGATAAGCCTAGACTTTAATACTTTGAATGGACGTCATCTTCCTTCACAGGATTGAGTCAATTCAGAGCTAATGGGTTTCCCACAGACTTCAAACAGAACCCGTGGTTTTACCCCAGATTGCGGGGGTGGTCTTCGTTGCGTGGGCCTGTCTCTTCATCCATTTATTACCTGGCTACCGAAGCCAAGCTGAGCGTCACTTGGCACCATAGAACAGCCGGCGCTATTGGAAAGTTCCCATACACTGAATTTAAAGCCGAGGAGCTGAGGAAAGCTCCGTCGGTTCAACACCCTTCGAAGAAGATTACAGGGATGTGAATAACAACCCCGCAAAATGACCCTCTCTCCGTATATCTAGCGCGATCCTAGCTCACCTTCTAGCCCAGGGCTGGCGAGTACGAACATATATATGACCCTAGCTACATGGAAATGGATTCTTAGCTTTTCGGATAGATGGGAGCTAGTGGTTGGACCGTATTGCGCATGTTCGGTAGTCGCCAGTTCGGCTACTATCCAGCCATCTAAAGCCGACATCAACTCCTAGACTAAAACGAGGTTGAGACTTGCAACTTATTCACATTCATTCTCGCGCTGTTGCAGATGATTCTTTTGTAAAGAGCTTTTATTTCACACCACTTTACGGTGATCTCCAATATACACTGGTGATTCAGCGCTTGACATTTTCCCCACGACTCGGGCTGTTTCATCAGCCGCTATCAAATAGAAAACAGTAATAACCCGCCAACCGTTGATGATCTGCGAGCCACGATAGATTTTGTTAAGAAGATCATCAGCTGGTGGATGGCGGGACAGTAGGTTGGCTATCTGTTCCGTTCTACATGCGAAGGTGTTAACTGCGTAGCGTTGCTCTTGTGCTAGGACACTACCTATTTAAAATCGGGAGGTGGGATGATGCTTTAGAGGCTTATCGTGACGATGCCCAACATGGCACCCAACTTCAAGAGTTGAGGGTGCCGAACGGGACCTAGAGCCTAGCATCTGGGTATACATGTAATTCTAATAACACCAAGCCTTCTGCCCAGTGTAAATCTTTGTCTCTCATATGATACATGTACCGCTTGCTTAGCATGTGCTACCCGTACCGACATGTCACCATCAGCCCTACCTCGGTAGAAGCAGCGTAATAAGACCGAGATAATTAGCCAATGATCCATTGCCTTGACCTTTCGTTGAGTATGGGGCCCGATTGTCGAGGCATTTGTATCATCTAAGATTGCTTTTTCACCCCAGCAGGTGTTTCCTCTGGAAATGATCTACAAAAACGATCACGGTTTTCATCAACTTTTCAAGCTCCGTTGCTAATGACCACTTTCTGCACCTAATCGCTTCCATCCAATCGGCTATCCATTGCTTTCCCATTTTCAGTACTTTTGAGTACAACACATTTCACCGCTCATGCTCATTCTTTCTTTCAATTACATGGCCTGACGCTGTTAGTTTCCATACGCCACATATGACGGCGAGGAAAGTATATCCACCTCCATTGTCCTTTGATATTCCCACATTTCTATTTCTCACTTTCCCCTTTCACTATTCATCCATCCACCCTTTATATTAACTTGATACTACTTCTCCCGTACAATGGGCTCAACTCAGAGGTCAGTCGCCATTTGTGGCGGAGGAGCATGCGCCTTGGCGCTCCTCGTTCGCCTTCTCCGGGAAATGAGGGATACAAAGTGCATCGACCGCATATATCTTTATGAAGCACGCTCGCGAATCGGTCGCGGGTTGGCCTATTCAGAAGGTTGCGGAAATAGCATTCTCAACACGGCTGCGGAAATTATGAGCTTTGATGAGAATGATCCCCTGCACTTTATCCGATGGATAGAGTCAAGCCATCCGCAATTCATAGGCGACCGCTATCCGCCACGATACATCTATGGAGAATATTTGACTTCAATCTTTAGCTCTGCGAAAAGGGACGCCGCTTCTCAGGGGGTCCATTTAGAGGTCCAACACAGAGAAATCACGGGGCTCTGTCCCTCAAACGGTCTCTTTATACTTCTAGATGATAGCGGCCGGACTGTGACGGTTGACAAGGTGGTCCTTGCCCTTGGTAACTTTCCAATGTGCACCCAACCACACCTTGCAGCATATCCGGGGTATTTCGACAGTCCTTGGCCCCTACATGACTTAGATAAGATCGATCGCAATTCCTCCGTTTGTATCGTGGGAACGAGGCTAAGCGCGATCGATGCGGCCTTCTACTTAGTAGAAAACGGCCACACTGGACAGATATACCTCGTATCTAGAGGGGGCCGACTACCAGCCGTCCAAGGTCTAGCCAGCAGTACAGACCAACATCTAGATGCTCTAGACTCACTTGCACTTCACCTAGAAATGCAATCCCAACTGGTTTCACTACAGGAGTTGTCCAATCATTTGAAGCAACTTATAGAGCACATGGACGTGCAAGACTGGCCAGATTTCTTTCATACGAACGATCCGCTGCAGCAGCTATCTCAAGATATTGCGGCTGCTGAAAAAGGCGAGACTGGTTGGAGGTCCGTTGTGGACTCCGCCTGCCTTATGCTAGAGAGGTACTGGAATATCTTGAAGATAAGTGACCGAATGGCTTTTATCAGGAACTGGGGTAGTTTGTGGAGCACCTTCATTCACGCCATACCGTATGTAAATGCGTGCCGTCTGCAGAAGCTGCTCCAGGAAGGTCAAATTCACGTCATGGACTTCGATGAGATCCAGTGCCATCAACCGGGGTTCACTATCTCATGTGGTGAGAGACGGTACCACGCAGATATTGTTATCGAAGCCGCTGGCCTGGAGCTGGATGTTACTCGTATCCAGACCCCGCTCCTAACATGTCTTCTCTCATCAAAAGTCCTCGAAGCAAATCAGCTAGGCGGTTTCTTAGTAGATCGGAACACACTAGAATCAATAACGACACAAGGAATATATGTTATGGGCTCTCTAACGACCGGAGTCCATTTTTCACGACTGGTATTGACCAAAATATTTCGCACGCATCACGAATCGCCCGGCATCTAGTCAGAAACGCTGTCATTCCAGAAGAGTTACCAGGTAACACAAAGAGTTTATAAAAGTTACTAGCCTCATAGTAACATAAAACTTAGAAATTGTTCCTTATAAGCCTCACAATCATATACATAATTTTAGACTTAAACATATGTATCTATTAATATGAAGTCTATATACTAAAGTAGTGTTTTTAACCTAAATATAAAGGGGTGTTACTTCTAATAAGAGGTTCTAATTAGCTAGCACTAATCTTAAGTTACCCTAAGTCTCCTACGATTAGCCCGGATGTTAGTGCTTAGTGTAAGAACCCTCGCGGAAGGACGAGATCTAAATAGCCACACCTACATCGTCCGAATAGTCGGGCGTTGTATTGTATTTATGGATTTCAGTAACCCTCTAGTTGGAAACTAAGAACACTAGAGTATAATTGCGATGACGATGGTAATAGCGGTGGTAGTAGCATATATAATAACTCAGCCAATACCATATCAAATCTATTATACGACCTAAGGCCGGTCTCACTTATTTGTCTCAGGAAAACTATATAGCATGCGCAAGAGGGCTAAAAATCTGTCTGGTAAAGATCGGCGTGCGAGATTCTACCTTAGCACCGGTAATTCCCGTCCACATGCGAGTCTTGGGATGCCTCCACGTAGAATTTCTCGCTATAGGTAGGCGGTATAGATTTGAGGCTGGAGTACGACCCCGTATATTAGGTTGAGCCGTTGGCGCATGAGCGTAGACTTTACTTTCTACGGTAACCATGATTGGTGATGGGATCGAAGATATCAAAGGGCGCGGTGCGCAAAATAGGGCTTGCATTTATCATGTATTGAAGCATCTTTACATCTCGGGAGCTCGACAGCGTTCGACTTCTCTCCAGCCTGCCAAGTGCCATTAATCATCGAATTGTCTAACATCCTATCATGCGCATCATTCCTTTATTCTCCTTTACAGTCAGATTGCGTCTCAAGCTGGAATCTACGATCCTCTCCAATCTACGCTGGGCCGGACCGAGTTCTGAACGAGACCGGCAATACGTGAAATACGGACTTACGACGGTCCCTGTGGTCCCGGGATAGCATAAAGCTCGCCACTTACTCTAGCCGCATCGGGACTAGCAGTGATGTTCAGTCTCAACTCCAACATTCGCGGGGTAAGAATGAGAGCTATGCCCGATCAAGCACATTGAACCTTTCGGGGAAATTGTGCCAGACGGACCATCACTCCAATAGCCAATAGAGCTGCTTTGAAAAGCGCTTCCCTTAACTCCCCCACAGTCAGTACCTCCTCCCCACTGATTTCACCAACTAAATCTCCTAATTTCACAGCTCCCCAAGTTTTGGTTCAAGCCCGCCACCGAATATTCCCTAGCTACATCTGCCTGCCCAAGTCCGGCCTTTCATTCGTTTTCTTTCCCATTTTCTTATACCCTTTTGTTCAGACGGCCAAAATGACAACAGAGCCCGGGGAATACTACAACTGCCAGGTTTGCGAAAAGCGGTACAAGCGCCGGGAGCATCTCCAGCGCCACCGCGCCTCACACAAAGTCTCCCGACCGCACCAGTGCGCCTGCTGCGACCGTACGTTCCAGAGACTCGACGTGCTGAAGCGGCACGCGCGCACCTGCGAGGCGAGAGCCGTCGGCTTGCTGCCCCAGAGAAGACGGGCGTGCGACTATTGCGTGCGCCAGAAAAAGGCTTGCACCGCCGATCAACCGTGCCGCAACTGCGAGAGGCTCGCGATCGAGTGCTGCTACTCGGCGGCCGCGAATGTTAAGCCAAGAAGGGATAGCACGGCGACAACTACTGTGAAGGAACGCGAAAGTACCGAAAATGATTCGAACGAAACCCAAATGATGACTCCTCTCGATTCCCTTTCTTCTGTCCTCGTCCCTTCTGCTGAAAAGATGTATTCCGCAGCCCAGACGAACGGCACCCTCTTACCGATGGATCCCTTCGAGGCCAGTCTCTGGGACTCGGCGGAGCCCACAGCGGCGTGGCTAGATTACCTGAATCCCGTCATGGGTATCCCCCAGATGCCCTTCGACGTCTCGGCTCCCCAGCACCCGCGCCGCGGCAAAACGACACGCGGTCCTACAGGTTTTACTTTTGGACAAGTTTACCAAGCGCACGGGGTTACTCGAGTCCTTTGAGTGCGGCACTCACGAGTTCCGAGAACAGATCCACGCCCACTATCTGCAACAACAGGGGCGTCGAAGGACGCCACGGTCAGTGACGAACCCGCCACGTCGATGACAACAGGTACACCCTTGCTAGAAGGTATATTCACCCCGTCCGCAACAGCGGCCGCAGCTAGTACGGCTGAACCAAACTCTTGGCTTCACGATCCACTCACGATCAAGGTGCTCCAAATCATCACACACGTCAAGGAAGTCATCATGATCAAACCCAGAAACACCATTGTCACCATCGAGTGGTCAGCGCTCCTCGAGAAGAAATGCCTCGAGTTCTTCTCCCCGGCCAACGTGCGCCGCTACTTAGCCTTCTACTGGGCCATATGGCACCCCAACATCAACCTCTTGCACAAGCCGACCTTTGACCCCACCACCACGAGCCCCTCCCTCCTCGCCGCCATGACCATCATGGGCGCCTCCGTGTCGCCCTGCCCCTCAGATCTAAACGACGCCAAACTGTGGTTCAACTGCGTTGAGGAAATGGTTTTCACCGACTACGATCTGTGCTCGGATCCCGTGTACACGATGAACACGGGCGTGTGGACCCCGGCCATGACGAAGCAAAGGTCCAGGCGCTACAAGCGGCCTTTATCATTTGCCTACTGCAAAATTGGGAGGGCACCGAATTGAGCAAGCGGCGGATTCGGAGGTTCCGTTTCGCGACCGTGGTGTCGGCGGTGCGCGATATCGACTTTGCCACGGCGAGGCATGCGGAGCTGGGGAACCCGCTAGATTTTCAATGGAAGACGTTTGTCGTGAAGGAGGAGCTGATCCGGTACGTTGGCCTTTTATCTTCTCTTGCTTTTCTCATTTTTATTAGCGATGGATTACATGTTGGACTAATTGAAAATTGTGCAGCGCCTTTTATGGATATCCCTCCTCGACCACGCCTTTGTCGTTTTCAACAACCTCCCCGCGCTTCGTTGTCAAGGAAATGCGCATCCACCTCGCCCGCCCCGAAGCTTGCTTTCACGCCGAAACGGCGGACGAGTGTCTGGCGGAGCTGCAAGCGTGGTCGGCGCACTCTTCCATCCTACCGACGCTGTGCATCTCTGACGCCACGGAAATGATTTGCAAGGGGCCCTTGCCCGGGAAATGCACCGCATCCTGTCCAACTTTGGTGCCCTCAACCACTTTGTCATCATTTCTGGTATGAATACTTTTCTCCCTTCGTTGCGACTCCTTTTCTCAGCAGCGGTATGACACTGTGCTAAATAATACTCTCAAACCAGCTGTACACTCTCTCGTCTTCCAGCACCGAAACTCATTCAGTCTCGACAGCCACTTCATCGCCATCCGCCACGCCCTCGCCAACTGGAAACCCATCTGGGACCTCTACAAACTCCACCTCGACTCCTCCCCCACCCACAACCTCCTCGCCGGGCAGACCCTCACCCCGGACAACGCGTGGCGCCGCATCGGCTTCTGGCGCCACTCCCACGACTACTGGCTGCTCGCCAGCATCATTGTCGATCGCCTCACCGGCTCCAGCTTATCTACGGCGAATTACGGTGTCTCGCCCGAGAGCGACTACGCGGGGTCGCCGCACCGGGAACCAACGGGGGTGCTGACGCGCTACGACCAGACGAGCATGCAGCAGGTGAATGAGCTGATTGCGGATTTTCAAAACATTCAAATCTTTTCTACGGCGCTTTGAGGGACTATTGGACTCGCTGAATACTACTACATGCACGGCCTAGTTATTCGCGGTTCTTTTGCCACGGAGCTCGAGCCATGGGGGTTTCGACCACGGGCTTTGGTTGATCGGGACGCTTGGGGGTCATAAAACTGTATATCCGACTATGGCGGAATAAGAAACGAAGCTCCAGACACCTCGGTAATTAGAAACGCGTCACTGTGTAGCACCAAGAAGACAGGCTCTGGGGTCGAACATAGCGAGACCACGCAAGTCTTATTTCTCCACATCTCCACCTCCGCCTCTCCACAAGACTCTCGTAGCGATAAGAACACCAGTTAGGCACCCATGATTAGCAATTTCCGTTACACAGAAAAACATCACTAGCAGTTTCTCCAACGATCGAAGCGAGGCACCTCAACTTTAGCCGGATTCGGAAATCTTAACGCGGCCATGTCCAATGACAACTCAGGTCAAGATAGATCCGGGCCCATCCCTGCTGTTGCCGTGTCCAACAGTCCGGGACACGGCATCGTTGGACCCGCCAGAGCTAATCTGGGAACCCTAAAGAAAGGGGAAGGGGCGACAGCTATCGCGGAGACGACGGGACCGTTGCGCGGAGGTTCGGCGGCGTGACACACACATCCGGCAATACGGATATAGACAAAGGATATATATCCGACAGTACATACACGACGCAATATTGAAGCAGTCTACGCAATAAAAAGGGCAGAATACGGTGTACACACGTTGCTTTTATTAATTAATGAAACTACTCCCAGGTGAGCACTGCTTTCAGGGCACGACCAGCTTTGGCATCGTCTATCGCCGTTTGGAAATCTTTTACGTTGTACGTTGTAATTAGCTCTTCGAGCGGAAGCTTTCCTTGGGCGTGAAGCTCAATCAAGTGGGGGATAAACTGCAATCAGACAAAGCTCTGTTAGCACTCTGTAAAATGAAACTTGCTCTGATACGCCCTATTGTGACGGGGATACTCACCTTGGACGGGAGGCTGTCACCCTCAACGCATCCAACGTATTCCCTTCCATATGTAAGGTGGTACATGACGTCAACACCAACCCTCACCCCGAACCCAGGGGCACCTATCGTCACGGCGCGCCCGCGGGAACCTAGCGCGTCAATCATGTTCTCAATCACCTTGGGGCTCCCCGTACAGTCAACGGCGTAATCAACGCCAATAGGGGGCAAATCTTGCGAATCTCGGCCACGACGTCTTCCGAGCCGAGGACGCCATGCGTAGCACCAAGCTTCTTCGCAAGCTCCAACCTGCCAGGCTGCAAGTCTATCGCGATGATGGTCTTGGCCCCACGAATCTTGCCAGCCATGATGGCGCTCATGCCCACGGAACCAGCGCCAAAGACAGCTAGGGTACTCCCTCCTTGACGTTGAGAGAATTGAAGACACTCCCCACGCCGGTTTGAATACCGCAGCCGAGGGGTGCAAAGAGCGCGAGGTTAGTGTCAGGGGCTACTTTGACAAGGCAGGACTTATGCACAAGGGTTCTGCGGGCAAATGAGCTCTGGCCAAAAGGAGCTAAACAGGGGCTTGTCGGCGCCGTCGGCGGAGTAGCGCGCGCGTGCCGTCGGAGCGGGAGCCGGGGAAGTTGCGCTGGTTGAAGTCGTAGCAGTAGGCCGGGTGGCCGGATTGGCAGGGCCCGCACGTCTCGCAGTGGGAGAAGGACATGAGGACTTTGTCGCCTGGTGCTACGGTCGTGACGTTGCTGCCGACTTGAAGAACCACCCCGCCACCTAAAGTAACATGGAACGTTAGAAGATTTGGTTCTGGGGTTAGTTCTAGCTCCGGGACCTGCTTCGCGTACCTTCGTGTCCCAGAACAGCACCATCCTCGCAGGGCATTGTGCCGTTGGCAAAGGAAATGTCTGTGTGGCAGATACCCGTCGCGTGGATCTCGATCAAGGCCTCGTCTGGGAGCAGTGCGTCGAGCTTGATGTCGCGCAGCTCAAAGGGGCCGTTGACCTCGGAGAGGACTAGCGCAGTGGTTCGGGACATGGTGGGGTGTGTGTGTACGTCGAGATCTACGTGTCGGTGCGTTTCTAGAATAGATGTATAACGAAAGCGCACTCTTCTTCTAGCAGGTGAACCGCGACTGGGTGGATAGATAGAGAGAGACAATTCCGTGTGAGTGGCCGATCCGACGACTAGTACTACCCGTTATATACATGCATCTCCCCTTCAATGTCATGTCTGGCCGCGGAGCCACATCCACGCCAAGCGCTAGTACAGCTCCCCAGGGAAGCGCGGGAAACAGGGCAGAAGGGACGCTAGCGTAATGCCGAGCTTGTTCCTTCATATCCGTGATCAACACGGTAATTCGGGGGCTGACCCTCCCTCCCACTCATATTCCGCAACGGAACCCTTAGTCACAGCCAACGCCGCCCACATAACACCGCTCCCCCAGCTGCGGCCCAAGATCCGCAAACTCGTTGGGGGAGGGCCAACGACGAAACGGGTTAGCACGTCTCAACCACCACTCAATTACCATTTCCCAAGTACTCATTCGCTCCTCTCCCGTTTCCTTCCTCTGCCCGTTCGTCCCCGCGCTCCAACGCCACCAAGATTGTGGGGCCCCGCATTTCCCGGGTTTTTTGTTCCTGAGCACGCATTGCGGAGAGAATGTGGAGCCTACCACGAAGCTTCGCGCTCCGACATCCCACATGCGGCCGATGTGCTCGCTGCGTGTCCGGATTTGGTAATACGCAGTCTTTGATTGCTCTGAGTGCTACTCCCTATGTCCCCGAATCCCCAAAACGAGCTGAGCCTTGTAATCGCACGAAGATGGTCCGCAGAGAGGAATATGCCCGCAACTTGTCCGCTCAACGCAGCAATTGCACATGCCCTCTATTTCGAGTCTTAAACCAAGAACCGCAGAGGTTATTCGAGAGATGACGGTGTATATAATTGAAAATGTCCCCAAGCTAAGACAATTTTCCTTTGTGCAATCGCTAGGGGCTTTTTTCTTGGTTCGACAACAATATTAAGCCTGCCATCCTTTCTTCGTCCTTTTGCCACCCCTCTCGCAGCAAAGCAGGATGACCTCGCTGCTAGTATTAAAGCCCACCACCATTGCGGTCGGTGTGGTTGTCATCAGCCTAGTCGCCCGACTCCTCATGGTCGGGAGACGACCAAAGAACTTGCCCCCGGGCCTCCAACAGTCCCCATCCTCGGGAACCTCCACCTCGTACGTGTTGACTCACGACGATTCTCTCCCCTTCCCAATACTAGTCCATGGAGAACTGACTGGCGACGCATGATAGATGCCGAAAAGAGATGTTCATCTTCAGTTTGAAAAGTGGGCGCGCGAATACGGACCCATCTACAGCCTCATGCTCGGCACGCAAACAATGATTGTGCTTTCTACCGATCGGGCGGTCAAGGATCTTTTGGACAAACGCAGCAACAAGTATTCCCACCGACAGGAAATGTACATTTGCCATGAGGTTGTCAACGATGGGCTGCACGTTTTGATGATGGTATAGTTCTTCCTCGTCATGTGAGCGATACCAAGGATACTAATAACCTCTCTCGTCTAGGGATATGGAGCGCGTTGGCGAAGCGTATGTCGTCAATTCCAGATTCAGAGGCATCGGCAAGGCTGTCGCAGAAGCTAACTCGTGTGTGTCCGCAGGCCCGGAAACAGATTCACACGCTTCTCAACGTGTCCGCCGCGAAATCCTACGTCCCCTACCAACTCCTCGAAAACAAGCAAATGCTCTACGAAATCCTCACCAAGCCCGACGATTTCCTCTTCCACATCCGCCGCTACTCCAACGCCCTCACCACCACCATGATCTACGGCTGGAGGACGCCAAGGCACGACGACAAACGAATGCAGGAATTCTTCGAAGAGTTTGCCAAGTTTTCCGAGCTCAACCAGACCGGCGCCGCCGCCACCCTCGACTGTTTCCCCATCCTCCGACTGCTCCCCGAGTTCATGTCCAGCACCAAGAGGAAGGCAAAGCATCTTCAAGCCAATGTCAGGGCCTTGTACTTGGGACACTGGCTTACGGCGAAAAAGGCATCCGAGAACAGCTCTCTCAAGCCCTGCTTCTGCGATGATCTTGCCACCGTCCAGAAGAAGGAGGATATTAGCGATGCCCAAGCCGCCTTCATCGCCGGTACCCTTCTCGAAGCCGGATCCGATACCACCTCGAGCACGCTCTATGCCTTTGTCCAGGCGATGCTCCTCTACCCCGACGTACAACAAAAAGCGTTTGAGGAAATCGACCGCGAGGTTGGGCCTGACCGCCTGCCGACGATGGAAGACGAATTCAACCTGCCCTATATTCGCGCCTGCATCAAGGAGGTCATTCGATGGATGCCCACCACTATTCTGGGCGCCGTGCCCCACGCGGTGACCGAAGATGACTGGTATGAGGGCTACCTCATCCCCAAGAACGCGGGCGTCATGAACAACGTGTGGGCCATCAACATGGACCCTAAACGCCACCGGAACCCCGCCGCTTCAATCCCGAGCGCTACATTGACAACGTGCAGAGCCTTGCCGACGCCGCGGCGAACCCGGACCCCACGAAGCGCGACCAATTCACCTTTGGCGCGGGCCGCCGCATCTGTCCCGGAATCCACGTGGCGGAACGGAGCCTGTTCCTCGGCATGTCGCGTATGCTGTGGGCGTTCAAGATCGAGCCCAAGCTCGACGCGGCGGGTAAGCCGATCCTACCGGACCCGGACAGGCTTACGCAGGGGTTCGTTTGTTTGCCCGAGCCGTTTGAGGCGACTTTTACGCCGAGGTCGGCAGAGAGGACAGATAGGGTGCGCACGGATTGGGCTGAGGCAGAGGCTGAGTGCCTTGATCCAGAGACGAAGCAGTGGCGCGTGGCGCAGGTCGCGTCTAAGGTGAGAAAGACCTAGATATGCTTCTGTTTTGTTTCTATATTATTAGAGAGTAATCCATGTTGTTGTGTACACGATCGGCTAGATGGGTCGGTGACTCTTGCTCAGTCAGACCGGGGCTTCTAACGGTGTGCCTCGCGCCTGATAAACAACCAACTTCCCTTCTAATGGAGGTTCAATGAGGTTGGATGAAACGCGCAACTTCGTATTGAAGTAAAAACGGTCAATAGTCTAGTCCAGCCCCCAAATTTAGTTTTTCCACTTTATGTCGCGCTGAGCAACTGCTGATGAGCAGCAGCCGTGCTTGTCGATTTGCTTAATAAATACTAATGCAGTGACCTTGACGGGTATCGAGAGACCTTGAATAAATCCAAACGAGGTAGGTGAGAGGCGAGTACAGTTATATGTTTCCATGTTATGAGGCCCATCCCGCGGGGACGTCCCCTATACCTGTATGCAGGAGTCAGCTTGTCCATTTTTCCTCTTTGTAGGTGACGTCCGTCGCATGCCATCTACCGTTATGTTGTTTGTGTAACGATCCACTGCCGCGCTCCGAATGCTCCGATACGCGGTGGTAGGCTTATCAATCGACGTGCACAAACGTCCAGCCCGGATGCGAGGTCTGCGAAACATCAAACAAATCAAAGTACTACATCCCGCTCTTGTTGAGCCCAGTCGAATGTCAAACTTGCCTGTACTCTAGGGCCATCACCTCCTCTGAAATTGCGTGCCCCGCGTCGCGGGACTCAGTATGAGCCTTGGAGATATATAACTTGACCATTAATTGCATGCTTCATAAAAAGGCGATAGAGCGTACATGTATCCCCCACCCCGCTTTGAATGATTTGTTGATAGTTCCTCGCCAACCGATCTAGTTGACACTAAAGCACGGCAGGACCTGTGTGGAACCCTTGGCCTTTGGAATCGCCTCTAGTCCTTCCATAAAGCCACTGTCTCGGTTGAACCCTCTCACAATGCGACAACGCCCGGTGAAAGGGCCGGTACCCCTCGCTGAAAGGCTCCGGAGACTCGAGCCCCGACTAAAGACCATCCAGGCCATCACGGGTATACCTGGCTTTTCCATTGGAGTCATTCACCAAGGAGTCGAGGTATGGAAGTTCAACTCGGGATATTGTGACGTTGAAAACAAGATCCCGCCTCGGTCCGACACGGTGTTCAATCTCAACTCTCTTACCAAGAGCATCACCTCAGCGGCCTTTGCCTGCCTCGTCCACGACGGCAAGGTAAACTGGGACACACCCATCAAGGCCATCCTCCCAGACTTTGCACAAGGATGCGATGCGATAGACCAAGAAATTAATGCCATTGACTTGCTGTCGATGCGCTCCGGGCACCAGTCTCTCAACTGCCTCCCCTGGCAGGGAAACAACATCGTGCTCCCTGATCGACGCGATACCATCAATTCTGGAACGCGACACCTCGCGTTGGGAATTTCCGCGATTTCTTCAGCTACAACAATTGGGGGTACGGCGTCATTGCTCTCGTGATAGAAAAGCTGTCCGGCCAGCCCTTGCACCAGTTCTTCCAAGAGCGCCTATTTGGGCCATTGGGACTAAAGCGCACCAAGATGCAGGACGCGATTCCGTTGGAGAACAGTTCCCTTTCGTACGCGATGCTGGGCGACAGATCCCCGTGCTCGTGCCCGGGCCCACTATTGGCGCGGGCATCTTTACCGAGGGTGGCTCCGGTGTACTTTCCACCATTGACGACATGCTAGCCCTATACAAAACGTATCTAGATGCCATCAACGACCAGTTCCGGTCGGGGACAAAATCCACTCCCGGGAACCCTTTTGTGGAATGCGCCACGCTGGTGGCGGCTCACAACCGTTTGCCGGCCAAGTCGATTCTTCGAGAACAGTCGTACGGGTGCGGCTGGATCCGCTGTCAACTTCCCGGCCCTCTCGGGATGATAGGGATGAACAACGATTTTGTGGAAATGCCGCACGTGTTGGAAGGGGGCCCTTCACATCTTTGTCTGTACCATATGGGGATGATGGTTGGTTCCACCTCCAACATCGCCTTGCTTCCGGAAACAGACACAGTCGTCGCTCTCTTGGCCAACGCGGCGCCGCTCGGAGATGGCACGGATTGGATGTCGCAAATGATTATCGAGGAGATTTTCGAGCCACCCACCCGACACAATTTCGGGGAATATGCCGAAAAGGTGGCGTCCAAAATTTTAAATCATATTCCATCCCTGGGGAAAGAACTCGAGGAAAGGCGTATACCTGATACGGTCCCCTCTTCCCCCATCGAGTCGTACGCAGGAGGGTTTGTGCACGACAAAACACCCTTCAAGATTGATATACGCTTCGACGAGGAGAAGGGGGCTTAACAGTTACGTTTATGGGTTATGAAGTGGAGACGTACGAGTTGCGGCATTATCATAACGATACCTTTACGTGGTGAGTCTGTCATGGCCCGGGACGTGATATTGGATAAATCCCATTTTAACGTTATACTAGGTGGATATCTTTGAATGAATCCGCAAGACGAGGCCGGTTTACATGTTTTTACCGAGCGGACACATTCCTATTTAGTTTTGAGGGGCTGGACCGTTTTACATGGCTCTCGGGGAGCCCAGCGCGGAGCCACTCGTATTTACGAGGGCTGGCGGCACGACAGAAACTTAGCTTTGGTCTGTTACATCCGGGATAAACTACTTTGGAGTCATCTCAAAGTTGTTCGTACCGCTCTTATAATGGACGGGGTCTTTTACAACTCTCTATAGAACTAGAGAGGCGGATGAAGCGACTACTCTCAAGTTTCGACGAGTGTGGTGGTCGAGAGCCGATGCACTCGAAGTGAAGGAAGTTGGCTATTGGGTGGCTAGAGGAGGCCACTCTACCGGCGTTCGATCCGCTGTTAAGGCCTTGAGGATATGATTGCACCAGTAGTTAGGGAACAGAATATGAAACGAACTTGGCAATGCCTGCCGCAGTGAATCAGTAACGTGTAGCACTGAGATAAAATTGGATAGAGAAGGGAAACACACGAGGCTTCTTTTCTGTTCTTTTCCAGATCTCACGGTGTGCCTCCTGCCACCTGACCAAGGAAAGTCGAGTTCAAGTGAGCGCAACCGTGTGATGCGATAGCCAGTGAGATGGTGTGAAATGCAACAAAGCAAGCAAATCATAGATGATTGTATTAAACTGTAGTGTAACCTACGCCAAGGTATACAAAAGCAATAACCCCTCGGAGGAATTCGTTTAACAACTTTTGACTAAGCCAGACGCAGAACGGAGTGTGCTGAATAGATAAGAGACCGCTATTTCCGGCAGTGGCATTCTCACGAGAATCAACAATCACGGTTCCACGCAGCTTCAGCCTCCACTCGGTTGCTCTTCGTATCTTCTCGCGTTCTCGTGTTCCAACCGTCCGCGCGAATGACAGACTACCTTGGCTCAATAAGCTACAGCTAACATTACCGAACTATTCTTCTTCCAAGGTCGACCGCCTTACTTTTGCACCAGGCATCGCAGTAGGCTTTCTTCGCGGCGTCATGGTGAGCAATGTAGGAGACACCGAAGATCCCGTCGACGGCGGCCATCTCGGCCCCTTACCCCGCTGTGGGATCTGCGCAGAGACAGTATTTAAGCACGAAAGGGTGATGGCGCGTACGTAAAGCCTCAGTGCTATCCTTTTCGCATTTTAACTCACGCAACGCCATTTGGGCGGTTGTTCTTTTTGCGGTTTGCCCAATTCCTAGAATACAAAAACAAAAACAAAGCAAGGTATTAATCCGTCTCTCCCCAGTCTCCGGGGATCGCGACGCAACGTCCTATCGGGGCTCCACAGAACCGTTCGCTTTCCCCGAGCCGGCCCAGTCCATGACGCGGGTGGATGGGCGTGCATTATGTCGCTACCCCGACTGCAAGGCATGTGCCGCTTCGCCCGAATTCACTCCGATCCACATTGACTGTTTCGAGATCGTGAAACATCGGTGTAGTCGTCTTGGCGCTTCCGACCTCTTGCACCGCCTGTGGGTCTTGGCCGCTTGGAGAAGCCCGTGGCGTGGGGCGCAGCCTATCCATTTTCCCCTCGCCAGTGGACAAGGACATACTGCGGACCATATGTCTTTTATGCGAGATATTTCCTATACACATGTTTCCGTCAGAGCTGGTTGACATCATCCGTTACCACTCCAGGCGCTCATTACTCTGGAGATGTGTCTCTGCATTTCAGTTCGCCGACGTTCTATCGGCTACCAACCCAGTCACTCTCTTGAGCATTCCGCTACGAGACATTCTCTTCTGGGAGCGCGAAGGAAAACTCAAACGCCGCACAGAGTCTGCGTCCCTGCTTCCGATACTCAAGTTGACGCTCGACTCCGACGGCATTAGCAAGGTTGAACGCCTCCCTGGACCGCCTACATTTACAGGAGAGTGCCGTACGTCTTCGGCCTTCATCGTACAACACGAAGCGTCCATGTCAAAAGTGATGGCGCACCTCAAGGTATGTGTCTTGTACCCGGGCTGATTATGGCACTAATATCGACATCCGCGGCTGTCTCGTAGGATGGGCGATTGCGCCTCGACGTACCGGCTGGAGAACCCGCTCCACAAATCTGGAACACTCCCGCCCCGCCGGCCGCGGATCAACTCTGGGCGTATCCCGCTGATCCTGACTTGTGCCGTGCTTTCTACGCCGTTGCAATGGACTCGATCAGAGGCATCACTTTCTTCTTCTCCGAGGGCACGCTCCGCGCGATCCATATCCACACCTCGCATCAATCGTGCGCCATGGATACTTTTGAACGCACCTTTTCTGGTCGACGAAGATGGTCCATGATTTGGGTTTATCTGCCCATCGAAAAGTGCGATCGAGTGGTTGTTCTCGGTATACGAGAAGGATCGCACGCTTGGGAACAGAGCATCCTTGTCAGGACAGAGCGCATAGGTGACGTTATCGTCGGTCAGCAAGCCAACGACACCGGCAAGGACTACTGCTTAGCCGCATCCGCCCCGTGACCATGATGTACGGGGAACCGCGTGAAGGACGCCCGGTCTCTTTCTTCGGTGCGTATCGCAAATCGTGCTCCTCGGATCGCGCTCTTCCAAAGCGATTCCCGAGGCAGAGTCCCGGTCCCAGTCCGATTGGCGATGCCGCCTACGCCTCGTGCGCCCCGCTACGCGACGTTTTATCAGCGCTTGTCTTCTCCGACCAGAGTGCGGGATTTTGCCGGGGCATATTGTTCCACTACCGGAACGGGGGCTCGCGGGCCGTGGGCCAGTGTCGACTACACGTGGACCCGGTAGAGAGCGTTGTCCTACCCGTCCAGCTTTGTTTTCGAGGCTATTCACACCCCTCGCGCATTGACCGAAGCACGATCCAGGTGGTGCAAGTCAAGTTCAAGCAAAGGCTGGACTTGACGATGGAGTGACGGATATAGAGGAGTGGAAATCTCTGCCAATGGAAGGGGTGGTTCAATTCTGGTATACGCATGAATCCTCGTTCCTTGTCGTCGACGGTTGAGTTTAGTTATATTTCTTAGAAACTCCTGGGTGCTACCAACCTTTGATTGTAATCCACGTCGTTTACAGTACCGTAAATCAAACGCTTACAGACCTTTAGTACAGTGGATACATGTACACTTGGAAACCTATGTAGGGACGCAACTATCATAATCTCCCTTCCGATACCGTTTATTAAAATTCCTAGCAGATTCTTTCACCCACTATATTTTAATCCTCCCGTTTTTCCCTGTCCACACCCGCGCAGACACGAGTTGGAATCTGGGTTTGTTCGTGCGCCTTTGCTCGGATTCTGTCTGCAAGATCCAGGCTATCAAAAGATGAGAGAAAAGTCTGTGGAATCCAGCTGCAAGTCCTGCACAAGCGTAAGCCAGTCCGGAAGCCCCTGGTCAAAGGGCGCATTCCAACAGTGACGTCTACAACCCCGCCACCGCTCGGGGATACATCCCGGGTAACAGCATCGGCAGGCCGGCTCGAGCAGGCCACCCTTCCCGCGTTCGACTCACTAGCCTCGGGATTTTGGCTCTTGGCCCTCATGGATATGGCTTTCGACTTCAAAGCCATCAGGACAATCCACTTGGACCCTCGGATCGACGCGTCCTGCTGCAGCCGTATCTGCGCCAAATGATCTTCCACGGCGTCGAAAGCCCGGGCCGCGTTCGGACTCCCGGATTAATGCACAAATGCCATAGTATGTACAGTATCAAGTGATACTGTGGATACGACCGCATCGTCCACCGAAATTGCCGCAGCAATTCGTCGCTCCACATACTATCCGCCTCGTCCAGCACGCTCACGGCATCCATCAGAGTCTCTTCGGTGAGCAAGAGCCTCTGCCCCGTCGAAGGGCGCATGGCCTGCCACTGCTGACGCGTAACAACGTCCAGCTTCCGCATAATCAGCCGCGCGATCCGTACCGTCATGCGCTGCTGCGGAACCACGGGCGTGCAATATTGCAGAATCTTTTCCGTCCTCCTGCGCAAGTCGCCCACGATTTCGGCGCGGGTGGCTTCGACCGAGGCGTTGGCGGGCGAGCAGTCCAGCTGCAGCATCTTGGACCACGTTTTTGCCACGTCGATGGAGACGATGGCCATGGTCATGCGCGTCCAGCCTACCCGTGGCGGGGGCAGCCTTTCCATGGTGGGGTAGAGGTCGGCGTCGTCCAGATTCAGCGGCAGGGCAGCGCCGGACATGAGGCTGGGGCTGTGGACGTTTTGGAACCCATAATCCTCGGCCGCGCGGCCGTCCCTGCCGATGAAATGCCACCAGACGCGACGACGAATCTCGGAGTCGAAGACCGACAACCCAAGCTTGGAGCCGTCGCGGTGGAGTCCAATGGTTTGCGCGGCGCGGATGGCGAGTCCGTTCAGTGTCCATATACCCCGGCCGGAATTTTGTACGCGCAAAGCGGTCTGCAAGCGGTTATTATTTTGTAACGCAGCCATCCCCAAAGGTAAGCTGGCTCTACTGAAATAAAAACTTACGACGTAAATCCCCAAAGCTTGCAATAATATGAGAGTCGGGTTCTCCAAAAGTCGGCATGGGCAAAGGCGAGTTCCAGCCCCGTCTTGAACTGCTGTAGGTTTGGCAACATCTCTTCTCGCACGACCCCTTGCGCCGTGTCAGCGTCTCGCGCAATGGTGGCGGCGTAGTACACGGCAAAACACAGCGCCATGGCGTCCGACGATGCGTTGATCGGATCATCAATGGCGGTAAAGACGACGACTTCATCGGTTGGGATATGCAGGATTTTAGAACAGGGGTCCACGTTGTCTACGTATATTTTCCACAGTTGCGTGGCGACCAACTTGGAGGGGTGATAGGTGGCTAATGGAATGTCGAACCTCGGGCTGGACAGAATGCCCATCGGATTGAACGGTGAAGTGGTTAGCGGCTGCGGAGATACGCAGCTCCGCGGCGTCGCAAGGGCGGTTCTCACATCGTGTTCCTAAAGAGGGTACAATACCCGGATTAGACCAATCGATATTAAAAGCACATGAGTCGCGATAGGCGTCCGAACCTGTTCGATGAGGCGAGAGAGTAGCGACTCATTAAAATACTGGCTCGAAGACCCTTTTTGGAGAAGAACCTCATCGCCAAGACTCTCGTCTCCGTGCTCCGACTCCGACCGTCTCCTCGTTCGATCAGACACGGGCGTTGCCGTCTGCGGGGATGCCCTCGTCAAGCTATCGGCATTATGCGACACCGCCCTCAGACTACTTTCAAGCTCCGAAATACGGCTCGCCACATCCCGTATAGTAGTCTTCCTGGCCCGCCGAACAACGGGTTCGGCGGACGGATACACACATGCGTGGCCGCCGCGGATGCAACGGGAGCAGGGGGACTCTTTGTCGCAGCGGACCTTGCGACGATGGCAGATGGTGCAGGACCGATCCGGCTTGCGGGAAGGGGCTTGGCCCTGTGGATGCTCGGACATGGTCAAAAACAAACTGTTCGGTGCGAGGCAGGGAGCGGGTTCCGTGTGGGAGAGGTCCGAGCCGAGTTTATGAGCTTGGTTGTTGGCGCCGTCTTACTCATCGGCATCGGCGCTTGAATAAGAGCCGATGCCGAGCTCGGCGTGTCAGCATTTAAGTGGGGAATGGGGGTACGTACCCTTTGCGTTGGACTCTACCCTATTAGTATCATGTTCAGAACAATAACAAAGCGAATAATAACTGTAAAGTTGAGGCCGAAAGAAAATGCACACGTTGAACTTCCAAGACTGAGCCAATCGATGGAATCTCTCTCTTTATCTCCATCCCTCTCCATGCATCGTACATCTCTCGGATGTGTCTTGGACGAAACAACGTGCTGTCAGCGTCGGTGCAGGTATTTTTGAAACGGCATCGTCGATTCGTGAAGTTCATTTCCCGTCCCTCAAGGTCTTCCAAAGTTCGCCATAGCACAATGCGAAGGATTCAGAAAAAGTCCCGCTGACCAAAGTGATCCGCCAAAGTCTTGTTTCTTTCTCCGATGTGAAAAAGTCTATTGGATTAGGTGCGTTCGAGCACACCTTCCACAGCTAAACCCCTAACCCCGGTTTCGACAAGGGGATAAAACTACCAGTTCGGCGGTGGTTCAAAGGTACCCGCCGAGGCCGAGCACACCCCAATGTAATAAAAGCGTCGTATCCATGGGCTTTTATGCTCCTACGGTCAATTGAAGGGCGCTTTCAATCAATTTTTCACGTCCATTAGAGTTATAAGACAACGTCACTCGACCTGCCGTTGTGACCGGAGCTGTAACCTTTTTCCGCCAAGTGACCAATGCCCCCTGTCCCTTGCCCACATATGAACCCGGAGCCGCGCTTGTAACCGCATCGCCACACCTCGTGGGCCTTGCGATTACTTCTACACCTTGAATTCTCCTCAAAATTCCCTTATCTACCTTTGGCCTTATCCTAATATTCTCCCCCTTCTTCCCTACATTCATCCATCATGCCTCACCCAGAAAAGACCCACTCGTCTGCCGACTCCGAAACCAGCGGCATAACACACACGCCAGAGCACGTCCTCGGCGACGATGGCGCCCATTATCTTTCCGCAACAGAGAAAACAGCCATCTCTGCCGAGTGTACTGACGTGGAAGAGGGCACCGCGGTAGAGGCCTCACATGAAAACATTGCGCCCGACGGAGGTGTTGTCGCTTGGTCAGTCCTCGCTGGAGTATGGTGTGTCATGTTTTGCAGTTTCGGATGGGTGAATAGTACGTCTCCCACCTCCTCGTTAACGTCTGCTCCTCCAAAGCGTATATCGCGTCGCTAATTGCTTGTCGAGCAGGTATCGGAGCTTTCCAAGAGTTTTATCAAAACAACTTTCTCAGCAACTACTCCCCTAGCACCATTGCATGGATCCCCTCCCTGCAATTATTCTTCCAAATGGGCATGGTACGTGTCTGCGGTACAAATCATTCTTTGTTTCCATATCTCTGACTTTCCCACAGGGCCCCATCATCGGAGCTCTCTACGACAATTTCGGGCCCCGCTACCTTGTCATCGGCGGCAGCTTCCTTCACGTATTTGGTCTGATGATGGCCTCGCTTTCCACCAAGTACTATCAAATCCTTCTTGCCCAAGGCGTGTGCTCCGCCATTGGAGTCGCTGCCATATTTCAGCCGGGTAAGAATCCCCCGCGGTGTCGAAACCACACTTTTGACGCCATACTAACTCGTACAGCGATAAACGTCATCCACGGCTGGTTTGATAAAAAGCGAGGTGCGGCATTCGGCATCGTCGCCACTGGTTCCAGCATCGGCGGCGTCGTCTTTCCCATCATGGTCTCCCGCCTCATCCGCGAAGTCGGCTACGGCTGGGCCATGCGCATCTGCGCCTTTTTAATCCTCGGCCTCCTCGTCGTGGCGAACCTGACCATCCGGGCCAACCACCCGCCCCGGCCGCAAAGGATGACGCGCACTCAGCTTGCCAAGCCCTTTCGTGAAACCGAGTACGTCCTTTGGCCGCCGGCTTCTTCTTCTTTACCTACGGCTTGTTCGTCCCCATCAACTACCTCCCCGTGCAAGCGCTCGAGGCAGGGATGAAGGAGAATCTCGTGCAGTATCTCTTGCCCATCCTCAACGCCGCCAGTTTGTTTGGCCGCATCTTTTCCGGTGTCGTTGGCGACAAGATTGGTCGGTACAACATTTTCGTCATTGTCGGCTATCTCACAGCCCTCCTGATCCTTGCCCTATGGATCCCTTGCAATACCCAGGAGGGCATCATTGCCTTTTCCGCCCTCTATGGCTTCTCCTCTGGCGCGTACGTGTCTCTCATCGGACCTCTTATTGCCCAAATCTCGCCCTTGCCCGAGATTGGGTTCCGTACCGGCATCATCTTTTTATTTCTTCCGTCGGTGGCTTGACTACCAATCCCATCAACGGTGCCATCCTGTCGAGCTCGGGAGGGTGGGTAGGCATCAAGGTTTTCGCGGGCGTCTTCTGCACCGTTGGCACTACTTTTATTCTCATGGCCCGGCTTCAAAGGACGGGATTTAAATTGGCGGTCGCCTTTTAATCAAGGGTGCAATGCAGAGAGACGAAATAAAACCAGTGGCGGCGGGTTAAATCGAGATTTGTCTTGATATTTTTATCAGATAGAAGTACGGCGTTACTAGGGCCACCTATTAGATAGAATACATGTACCAATGCTTATACAACATCTATACTACATGTCAACGAATGAGTCGGGAATGATTCATGGTCCCTACGCCAGAATCTCCCTCCACGCTCTCCCTAAAAACGCCGTACGCATCTTACACTAATGTTAATATAAACCCCGATAACAATGACGGATACCTGTAGGCAAAGTTCTCTCCAGTCCAATTTTGATCTACTGCCGGCCGGTCTTACTTCCACACTTCATATTTACGTCGCTTGGTGTATTTTAGGCGCACCTTGAGGATACCGGCTTTCACAAACTGTCGGTTAGCTCCGTATGCGAGACGCAGCTCGTGTTCAGAGGCCCGCCGAGAAGTGACATCATTATGAAACCCACTCTTCCTTCTTCTCAGCACCACAGGCTCTAGTATCTCGATTGCCTTCCGCGATTTTCCTTTCGTTCGGTATGCTGCTCCCAGTTCAAACTCGGACGCTAGTCGCGAAGGGTCGTTTCTTTTGAATAACTTTCTCTTGACCTTGACCACCTGCTTGAGTATCTTGACAGCCTCCCTCCCTTGTCCGTTGGCGATGTATGCGCCTCCGAGTTCGTGCTCATAGGCAAGCCTTGAAGCGTGCTCGTCTGTAAAATATTCCCCGCGACTGCTACCACCTTCCCCAGAATCTTGATCGCCTTTTCGAGGTCTCCGTTAGCTCGGTATGCCACTCCCAGCTCATGCTCGTACGCAAGCCTTGAAGAGTGGTGATGGGGAAGACTCCGCCCCGCGGCAACCACCACATCTTCCAGGACATCGACCGCCATTTCGAGCTCTCCATTGAGTCGATATGCCACTCCCAGCTCATGCTCGTACGCAAGCCTCGAAGAGTGGCGATGGGGAAGAGTCCGCCCCGCGACAGCCACCACGTCCTCCAGGATATCGACCGCCTTTCCGAGCTCTCCCCTGACGCGGAATGCCGCACCAAGCTCGTGCCTGTACGCGAGTAGTGAAAGGTGACTCTCGTGAAACTTTCCCCTCGCATTCTCCACGACTTCCTCTAAGATTTCAATGGCGATGTCGACTTCTCCCTCGTGTCGGTATGCGACGGCAAGCTCATGCCTCGATGCTAGCAGTGACGGGTGGTCTGGCTGTAGCATTCGAGCCTGTACCCCGATCATTTCCTGCAGGATACTAATCGCCTTTTTCACGTCTCCGTTGGCACGGTATACTCCGGCAAGCTCAAACTGTAAAGCAAGTCGGAAAGAGTCACCAGGCTCCCACTCCTTGTTTCGTAGCGCGGCCGCATCCTCCAGAATGTCGATTGCCTCCTTTAGTTGACCATTTTCCCGGTACGCCCCCGAGCTCGTGCTTGAGCGTGAGCAAGTCTTCCTCGTCAATCTTGGGAGTTTCTTCACGTATTGCCACAATCACTTCCAGCAGCTCAATCGCATCCGCCACCCGTCCGACGGCGCGGTATGCTCCCGCGAGGCAATGCTGCGATTTCAGCAAAGGTCGATCATCCTCTGCCTTTCCTTCCTTTCGCACGGCGACCACCGTCTCCAGTAGTTCGAGCGCCTCTTGCGCCCGACCGTTGGCCCGGTACGCTGCTGCGAGTGCTTGCTGAAACTCCAGTTGGTCGAGGCTGTCTTTGGACATCTGCTGCTGTATCCGGGTCCCCGTCTCCAGTAATTTCACAGCCTCTTTGGGCAGTCCTTCAATCAGCAGCCATTGCCCCACTCGGATGCGTAGCCGAAACGCCGAAACGCCCGCTCCCCATTGTGTGTCCAGGACTCGGAGTACATGAGGGAGATACTGTTGCGCCTGGTCACGATTTCTGACCGTATATGGTGTAGGGGACGGGAATATATCGGTCAAATCCTTCAAAACGTCTTGCTGCGCTTGTTCTGCCGTTTGTTGATCTTGATTCCATTCCCACCACGTCGCGAAATGGACAAGGCCGTGCATATCGTAGACATCCCCGCGACACGTCAAAAGTCCATAACCGACCAATGTGCCAATGGCCTGCATAAGGATCCTTTTAGATGAGAAATGGGGCAATATTGACCGAGGTATAGCTTTTGGCTCAATGTATGCTATAAAGGAGAGAAGCTTTGCTGCATATTCGTCGCGAGTGCGGATGTGTGTGAAGGATACTCTCCAAGTCGTCAACGCCGCACGTCGACCTGGGTCGTAGGCTTCAAGATCCATACCACCGCTACTGGCTCGGTCGGTCGCGTGCTCGGCCGTATTCCTAAAAATGTCCAGGTAGTCTGATATAGACAATGACTCGGTGTTCATGTACAGCGATGCCTGCACGATTGCGAGGGAAAGTTGCTGAGCTATTCGAGAAACTCGGCCACGAGACCATCGTTACTGGATTGGATTTCTGGCACCAATGACTTTTCCAACAGTGTCTCCGCCTCGACACGACTCATAGGATGCAGTCTGACAACATCAGGCCCGGCAACAACCACTGCCACTTTCTGGAGTCGGGTGGTGAACAAGATCCGCCCGCTCGCTCCACGGAAGAAATTCAAGAATTCCATGGGGCTGCTCCTCTGAAGCCTTAAGAATATCCATCTCATCGACATCTTCGACGACGAGAAACCAGGGACCCGCGTTCTCCGAACTGAGATGTCGTCGGACAGTCTCTCGCGCGTCCTCGTTCTCTCGCGCGTCCTCGTTCTTGGATTGTGTGGCCCCAAGCTCCCTGGCAAGCTCGACGCACGCATACTCAAAGACGGCCATGCTCGACGCCGACACCAAAAAGACGGAGTACCCTGGCTTGTTTTCCTTTACCCAATGCGCCAGGTGCCCGGCCACTTGGGTTTTGCCTATGCCGCCCAGCCCGACAAGCGCCACACGTCGGACGCTATCCGGGCCAAACAGCTTTTCCTCCAAGACGCCGTGTACATCGAGACGTCGGACAAATTGGGGATTCTTGGCAAACTTGATAACGTGGATAGGACGTTCTTCTATCATGTTAATTTTATACATTTACGCTAGACTAGAGCTGGCTGTGATTTCACTCACGCTTTGCCTGACCAGATTCCCCCACTGCTGTTATGCCAGGATCCACGAGGTTTAAACAAGCTAGGGCCTCGACGCATCTCTGGATGGCATCTCCATTCTCCTCCAGGTAATTATTCGTGTGCCCGGCGATGTTGCTCGATTTCTTCCAATCGGAAAGTGTAATCTTTGCCATACCATGGTCAACGTTGAATCGATGATACACTCCACGGTCGCCAAATCGTTTGTTGAGACCTGATGCAACTCTTTGGGAGGTACTTGCCATAGTTCTCGGTGCTTCTGCGACGCCTCTTCTTGTCCGTAGCGTCGGATATTTTTGCCGGTGACCAGTCCCAAGACTGACTATGCGCATCTCCCGGCCCGGAAATCTTTGCGTGGCTTCCGTGAGAAGAACATCACACGGGTTACTATAGCCAAATGCGGCATCCACAAACTCCGTCTCATCCCGGCCAATTTTGATTGGCTCGAAGAAGAACGTTGCTGCCGACGTTGCCCGTGCCACCTGCCAGATAGTACACTCTTCAAAGGCGGTCGACGTGTCATACGTCGTGAAGAGTGTTGGCAAGGCGTCGGTATTGTCGTTAGTGAGGGCTAGCACAACGCTGCGAGGAACGCAAACCCAGTGGAGGATCAGTACATCAACACGCTGAACTCTTTGACTGTCGGGCGTCATCTTACGTCTTCGTACACGAGCTATCTCGAAATATCATGTCCTCATGCTTACAAGTCTGCCCGGTAGGCCGACCCTTGCTCCGTTCGCTGACACATGCTGGACTCACGCAGTGTTCCCGGATCGTCTGCTTTATGGCAGCCTCCAATTCTGCCGCAGAAAAGGAACCGGAGGGCGACATTGGGACGAGCGACTTATGCAATATTCGTGTGAAAGCCTGCTTGGCGACCTTTTTATATGCATCGATGCATTCAGCGACAGTCATGCCCAATCTCCCAAGCATAATCGCGATAATTCTACAAGATCGATCAGCATCCATCACACGTAAGATAGACAGGGGACACACCCTCCAGTGCTCGTGCCACCGATTAGGTCGAAATAATCACATGGCTTGGGGACGCGGGCCAGCCCTTCTTTCTGACGGAGGCCTTCCATAATTTTCTCCAATATCAAGAGGCTGGAGAGCCCGCGAATCCCTCCCCCATCTGGAGTGAAGTATTAGGTAGTTAGCGAAGTCTAGATTCAGACCCCGGTGCCCTTTGAACCTACCGAGAGAGAGAATCTTTACCGGCTTGGAATACACGTCTGGCATTTTTTTCTACATGTATTTCATGAACCTATTCAATTTGATGATAGACAGACTGCAGTAAGAATAGGGTCGTACCAAGACAGCGGCCCCGCTTTCCAATTGCGGATGTGGGACACGGAAAGCGTAAAGCGGAGGGCCGAGATCGGGTCACGCACGCAAGTGTAAAACTAAGACTGGTAGTAAAATCTAGCCCATGTGGGATAGAGTCATACGGATATGAGGAAAGAATGATGTAACCTCTTCTTTCCGAGAAAAATCGGGGGTTTTGGTAATGCATTTATAACCCTACGCGGTTAGCAGATTCGGCCAAAGTGCAAGCGAGGGGCACCGAGTCAGTAGCCCAACGAAGCCGTGCGCATGGGAACCATCAGTCCCGGCCCGAGGGTGCATGAGAGCAGGCTCGAGCTGGCGCCGCCAAGACTTCGGGTGATGGCCTTTTTTGCGCCATCTAGCCTGGGCTGAGGCGCGCAGGATGAGGCCATGCCAATCTTCCGCTGCGGCATCAGCTGTGTACCGTTATCGGATTGATGGAAAATTGGCATCCTTCTTGCGCCATCCATCGCGGCGATCTTGATATATATTCCTACAAGAGCCAATGATCAGGCCAACTTCCAGCCATCCAGGAAGAGACCGGGCAAGGATTACCTTGCAATGTTAGGAGATGGACAGGAGGAGGGTGAGGGGGCGAGCGAGGGGCGAGCATAGTGTTGGTCAGGCTGGCGCCTAAGATCAATGGCCGAGCCAGGCCCAACGTTGGGCAAAAGTCGCACGTCGATAGACTTACTGAGTTCAAGGTGACATGTCCCGATTCGGCTCATCCTAGAAGTCAAAGGTCAGTCGCAATCAATCAGAAGTCAGAACCAAGGTGTGATTGGAGCGTTGTGCCACAACAACTGCAGCCCGGGACCATCCCGTATATGAAGCCCCCTCATTGAGGATCTATGTAGTGGCACTCCTCAGGCTATGCCTATACTTGTACATATACCTATCAAGGGTGGAATAACGAGATTAGCACTACCAAGGTAGTGTGAAGACGGCTATACGGTATAGACCAAGTCTCTACAATTATAGTCCAAGTCTTAGCTTGTAGGATCGTATAAGTCCGCCGAAGGATAACTACATGGACGTATGCCATATACCTCGGTAGTAATATCTAACATTACGGTGTCGGTGAATCACAGACAGCTGCTATGCAATAGAAATTAGCTCCATTTCTACCCGGGAGAATACTCATTTCTTTCCTAGCCCGGGCGCTTTGCTGCCCTCTCTCAAGGGACTATATGCCTTGGTGCTGGAAGCCAGTTATATTTCGATTAGGGGCTCCCGTCGGATATTGAACATGGTTATCGAGTCAGGATATTCCCACGTAAAACGATGCTACGAAAAGGTCACGCCCTTTTCCACCAAACGCAACAGGATCACGTTCCAATCATTCCGCTTCCGTTCAAAGTCACGCATTGTTATAGTCATCATCCTATCCCAACCGAGCATCCATTCATGCATTTCTCTACTCACCTTCTAGCACCTCGACTACAACAGCTGCTCCTGAAAAGGCCTTGCTCTGCTCGGCGACACCTGGAGACCATATATAATAACCATTCTTCGGTTAAGATCAGAATAATCCGCATCATTCCCTGACTAGAACCCAAAGGTTCTAGCCAGGCCCATAAACCAGTGGGGCAGCGGGACGCATCCTAGGCTCGGAACGTGCAAGGAATGCGCAACGGAGTCCGGGGACTGGCTCTGCCATGCGGCGGGGAATGATGACGGCATTCGCACGGAATGAGAACCAGCTCCCGGCACAGCGAACGGATGACGGGAGTTAGGATAGTGGCCAGGATGCGAACCCCATCCACCACCAAGCTTTTCCATTAGGACACCTACTATTTGGCATAAATACACTTCCTATCGTTGAGGTTTCGACAATATGCATGCTTTGTTGGAGAGCTGTGATAGTGTTAGACGGCACTGAAAGTGTCAAGAGCCTTGGCATATTTAAGCACTACCTGTTATTGAACAGAGGGTAAAATATGGGGGTAAAATGCTGTTCATATTCGCTGCTTGGATCCCTCTAATAGATCCGTTTCTATGGAGGAATTCCTGCCCTTTTTATATCTGATATTTCTGGGATATTTTACATGATCCGTCGTCAAATGCCATTCCATTTGGTGGCCAGCCGAATACATGACCCTTTCAGCTGGACTAGGATCTGAGCGGCCAGCGGATATCATTCCGGGCGGATATCCCTCATCCAACACCTGTATCCTGCCGGTTTAATACGACAGACGTAGGCGTAAGGTAAGCTGGCCGTCTCCGTCTACCTAAGCCCTTGTGTTTTTTCAACATGCCAGATAGCCCCTCCAGCCTTTGCTGCCAGCCGCATACCAGCTCGCCTGCCACTTGTCTATAAACAGCTCCATGTCCTCGGCCACTTGCGACTGAGCTTGTTGCCCCTGGTTTCCGGGTTCGAAACAAACAAGCCTCTCAATTGTGGACGGCGTTTCCGCAAGGAAACGTACAATCATTAACGGAGGCGATGGCATCGAAACATCAGTATGTCTGCGTCTGTGGTTAAGAATCCGGTCTGATGAGATGCATAATGGGCTATAAACATACAGATACTTTTTTTCTCCAGCAGTGGTGGTTAATGGAGTGGTTGGGTCCTGTGTCATCTTGCTTACTTTCATTGGGATGTTGGAAGAAGCTTGGTCAATGGGGGCAGATATTTTGCGACTAGTCGTACTATTCAATATATAGCATACTATATGACTGATTAACACCTCGCTTTTCAACCGGCAATGGCGTGCCATTTACTAAACTCGTGAGCCATGATAAGAAAGCAACGGACCCGATGCGCAAGCATCTTGCTCGTCTCCTCCATGTGGTATGTCCTTAAGAGAGTGAGAGGGTGGTAGGTGGGATACAGAGTGGTTAGCCGTTGATGAGCAAACTCCAGGGTGAGCAAGACGCATAGTTAGACCAGGCATGACAAGCCCGAGGGAGAGCCATTGGCCAAAGCACACACGTGCTTTGTCGTATGTTTGGCTGGGACCTTGTAACCAATTAGGCGAGAAAGCACAACTGCGCTCGTGCCAAAGTGTGTCCCATCCCGCCTTGAAATACATGCCTGTTCCAAGGTTTCGGCATATAAGGGTAGGAGGATGATGATCACTGCTGATACCCCGCCCCAGCTTTAGCATTTATTCTTCTCCGACTTCTTTCCCATCCCATTCTTTCCCCTAGCGGACGTTCATAATTATCTCTTATTCAGAGACCGATATATCTTGACCGTTGAGACATGCGTAAAAGGGAGTTTGTGGGGCATGATCACCAATTTTGGTACCTTTCTGCTTATGAAGCCCACGAGCTCAAATCTCCGTCTAAAAACGGCAGCAGTGATAATGTCAGCACAAAGGGCAAGAGTGAACCAGGCCTAGATAAGAGGCAACCTGACAAGAACAACCCACGATCCGTCCACCACTCTAGTTACGGACACGACTCAAGTAGCCAAGAAAGTGTTGGAGAACACCTTACTCTACCATGCTCGACATGCAAGACCGTTCTCGGAGAGTTCACATGTATCTGTGGGAACAAGAAGGCTACGGGTTCAACTTCCAGTGTACATCTCGACGAGTCTAATCAACCGGGACAGAAATCACCAAACGCATCACACAGTATTTCACCAATCATCGAAGGCGCAGAAGGCCCGTCTCAAGAGACCGCTGTGCCACTTATATATCATCCAACACCCCCACAGTTAGCAATCTTGATGGACCGGGGCCTCTTCATACACCAGGAATCGAAATAAGCTCAAAAATGAGCGAAGGGTAAAGGGCGGCCACAGTTTACCGGCGGGACCCCGGCGATGTAACGGTAGTCATCCCACCTCGATGCGTCATGAGTTCTTGACACCACCTCAGCCCAATAGGGCCACACTCAGGGATAGACCTCCTTTCAGTGCCGGACCTCAGCAATCACCGAAGCCAAAACCCCAAGCGACGGAGGATATCAAGTCTTGGATTTATGATATCCCCTCTGCAACATTGTGCAGTGCTGTCGCGGATATGCCATCATCTGAACCTTGCGTTCCCAGTTCAAGCGACGGTGAACTAACTGGAACCTCTCCTGTGCGTAGCGACAGTAGCCCTATTGACTCCGATCTCTTCTCCATTTCGGATGAATCCGACGTCGGGGAGCCCCAGAGCCAGGAGGAGATAGCTTTTGGCTTCCACGCACCGGTAGTTCGGGCTATTATCCAGGCCTATGACGCGGTCAGGGCTGACTATAGCAGGCGGAGAAACCTGGTCACAACTCCGGAGCATCGACAACAACTGGATCATTAACAACACCTGGATCATCATCAATTGGACCCGCGCAGTCGGGGGCCACAAAGAGGAAGGCAAGTGGAACAGGGCCAGGGTCCGAGGAAAATAATGGAGTTCTTACTCGGCCAGACGCGAAACGCCCAAGGCTAGACAATAGCCAAAATCACGTTCTGGCCTGCCCATTTTGGAAGATGGACTCGGGCAGGCATCGTCGGTGCGGAAGGCTGGCGCTACGCAGAATACGAGACGTCAAATTCCACCTTCACCGTAGCCATACTCCCGAGTTCTATTGCCAGAGGTGTCTCGTCCATTTTGACAGTGAGAGCCGGCTCAACGCCCATATGGCCAACGAATTGTGTCAGTTACTACCTCCTGATCAATTTGAGGGTATCTCGATAAGGCAAAGTAGAGCTCTGAGTAGGAAATCTAACCATGCATTATCGCAAGAGCAACAGTGGTTTGCGATCTGGGATATTGTCTATCCGGGGATGAAGCGGCCTTCTTCTGCGTACATAGATTCTGACCTAGCTGAAGAGCTTTGCGCTTTTCGAGACTACTACCAGGATCAAGGGACTTCAGTTATCATGGCATCACTTGATTCCAATGCTACGTGGGAGATGTCGTCAGAAGAACGAAATTCTAATGTCCGACGGATCATTCGAGAAGCCCTGAACCAGATCTATGAGAGGTGGGTGTCCACCCGAAGGGATGGATTGGCGAACCCATGTCTCAGATCCCAGCCTAGTTCGACTCCTGGGACATATGAGTTCCAAACTCCGGAACTACAGCTTCCCAAGGTGCCGGCTACCCCCGAGCTTAGCCAAGGCCAGTCACTACATCATCCCGCAAGTTCCCCTTCGGTGGCCGAGTTCAGAGAGGGTGGGCTAGGATCTTTAGACATGGGCGGCTCGCCTGACGCTGTTCGAATCCCTAAGCCGCAGCCATCAGAACACCTTGCCCATCTAGTCTTACAAGCGCCTGATGCCGTGCAGCCTACCGTCATGGTACCCAATCAATTCGGACCCAGTCAGCCCATACCACCTCATTCATACCTTCCTGCGCTAGAAAACCAGAATGACTGGGACCTCGAGGTGTTCTTCAATAACTACCCAGGCGAGGCGACACTTACATAGGGGTTGTGTTTACTACTGTATCCTGTAGGGTTAGTTTATGGCTTGGATTCGGAATGGAAATGTAACCGGTCTAAAACTCACAACTCGTTCAAAATTAGTTGAGACACAGGATATTCTTGACTCCTGGGCGTCCATTACCATTAAAACATTGAAAGGCTGGAAATTAAATGGTTCGGATTGTGTCATGGTTACCTGAATTTCAAAAAAAAAAAAAAAAGAAATTCAATGGCTTTATGTTGATTTCGATTAATAGGGGAGGAAATGTGACGAGAACGCGAGAACCAAGGGATTGTCTCCATACACCTACAAACGTGGACTACATTGGATTAACGCAAGCATGGCTAAGGGGAATACAGGGGTTTTGGTTTGGTTAATATAGGAGCTCGAGGCAAGGGAGGTGTGCATGCGTGGACGACTCTCCGTGACACCCTGAATAGAGAAAATGAATATTCGATAGTAAATACAACGCTAAACGTGATAGAACTAAAATAGAGTATATGAGGCACTTTATAGTCCGCGCGGACGGCCCAATATCTATGTTGCTATCGCGGCCTTGACCTAGACAAGACCCATTGTATGTTGAACGGACTGGGAAAGTTGCCATGCATCATTATCAAGTGTGCGTCAACCACTCGCAAACTCCCCATGGCTGAAACCTTTGGTGAATCCTCCTCTCACTTATGCATGGCCTCTACCCTCCGTACACTTCTTCACTAGCAACAGAACGGCAGAAACACTACCCCCGATCACCTCCTTGCCTCTTTTCCACCCGGCCGTGGTACAATGTCTACTTCATCGTCCCCTCATGTTCCTGACTAGGTCCTGCTAGGTCTCTGAGCAAGCCTCATCCCTCTATAATGTAAAGCCTATCTCACTTCTATCTAACTCTGACCCTAGACCTAAGTGCCCGAGGAAATTGTAAAATTACCTCAATATCGAGGTCCATATTATGTGATTGTTCTGGGAATGGACACCCCCTCGCCGGGCCTGCTTGAAACAACTCCTCAACAGTGTCCGATCTTTGTGGTCTGCCAGACTTCATGAATGGGCAGTTATGGCCACGAATGCACAGCTGATCTTTGCATGCGATATCCTCATCACAAACCAACCTTCTGCTATATGTGCGCAACTGCTCTATCTGCTCGGATGAAAGCGCAAGCGTATGGCTGAAGTCGTAATCGCTGCGGTCGCATCGAGTCAGGAAATGGAAATGGCAAGGCTGATCCTCCTTTTTAAAGTCTGACTTGGCTACATCTTTCATTTTCTTGATGGATTCGGTGTTGTATTCGATGTCAATTGGAGGATCCACTCTTTGGTCATGTATGTTACGCAGAATCGGGGGTATTTGGGTATCAACTGTTGTGACTGGACGCAGCCCGCTGACAGCAATGGCTTGCGTATCAGGGAATAAAGTATGGCAGCAGCCTCCGTAAAAGAAAAAAGCATAGCCGTCGTTGATCACGTATGGAGTATATGAGGCCCCTAAACTTCAGAAGAAGGTAGGTTGTCTCACTGGCATCTTTGGCTAGCCCATGTCTATACAGTAGAGAAATACTTTCTCTTTGATACTAGATACACTTGGTGCTCAGTAACTAAGACACTCCTAGGAAATACACTGCGGCAGTTGCAACACTATCTCCTGATGCCTGTTAGCCACTCCCTGAGCGCTTCTTGACCAGGAGCATGACGGCAGAGACACCACCCACAATCACCTCCTTGCCCTTTTCCACCCCGCCATCGTACAAAGCCTGCTCCATCTCCCTTCTCATCTTCCTCACCACGTCCTCTTCAGTGCCAACAGCCTCGGGGTGAGCCTCGCGCCACCTCGTAACCGGGCTCATGGTTGCCAGGATAGCTTCGATAGCGGCCGGCCCTGCTTCCCTCTTGGAGGTTTCGTAGTATTGATCGCCGCGCTCGGCACCCGGAGCGTCTGTGCCCCACTCTTGCCGCACAAACGAGTCCTTGTCAAAGTCAGCCACCGGCGTGGGAATCTGCCAGGGGAGGAGGATGTCCTTGTATAGCTCCCGCACCACGAGGTTTCCTGGCTCGAAATAGCCGTCTAGGCGCTCGTGGAGTCTATCGAGAGCGTCCCGGATGCGCTGGGCGTTGGGTACCGAGGAGTCGACGGCAAGCGGACCGCTCACCCACAAAGCCACCGTGCCGCCCGGTTTAAGAACCTGGGCGGCGCGGGGCCAGAATTCCGCCATGTTGAACCAGTGCGCGCACGTAGCCGCGACGATGAGATCGACGCTGCTCGACTCCACCGGGGAGATAGGTCGGTGCCCAAGAGCTCGGCAGAGCTATTCTCGAAACGAATAGGGTCCGAATTGGCCGAAGTGCCCCTATGGACCGCGCCATAGTCAACATGCCTTCGGATGGGTCGATGCCGATGGCGCGAGTAAAGTGGGCGGCGGCGGTCCCCACGGCCTGGCCCGGACCGCAGCCTACATCGAGGACCAGGTCGAACTGGCCACCTGAAGATTCGTGATAGTTCAATAGGATCTCCCACAGTCGGGGGTGGTAGCCCGGGCGGTGTTGGGCGTAGGTGGCGCCCTGCTTGTCGGTGTAATCCCGAAACGTCTTCTCCTGGCTTGGGGCGGCGTTGTCGGACATGGCGAAGCCTCTGTTCTATGGTGGTTAATCAAGGAGAGCAGAACACAGCCAAGAGCCTTCTTCTCCGAGGTTAGTTTTTAGTGAATCCGTCAATTCGCTCTTATGCGTCTAAATGGTTGCAGCTCCAACAATGAACAAGCTCACCTTTCTACGCATTCAGAGAGTTTTGACGCGGGGATGCGGGGGCTGTGTTTATCCGTTCGGGAGTCGGCACACGGCGCGCTAGACCCATCGCGTGCGCCGAGAATCCCGAAGGTGAAGCCTATTCGAGGCTTTGCTGACTAATCCGAGAAAAACAATCCATCTATGGTCGATGGAACCGTCGTTGGTATTACTAACCGAGGTTTATCCTGTCAACCTCACGAGATGTCGAGATTGATGCATTATCTGTTGACAGGATATTATCGAGTCGATGGTGATAATGACGATGTCAAAAAAAAATTTCCCGGTGAGGAGTAAATTCGCCTGATTGTTTAGAAGCTGGCGAAGTTGGAATGCCTAGCATTAGGGCATTAGCCTGCCAAAGCCGCCTCCGGGGCCAGGGCAAGCAGGGTACCACACCTCGTTGAGCAGGCTCTGGTCAACCTTATGAATAAGCCGCCTCGAAGAGATGGATGCCGAAACGGGGCGGATGGGTTTCCTTGGCTGCACTCTCGCAGGCGAGGTCATGGGGTCGTGGCAGACCAACAAAACTCCGCCCAGCCTGGCGGCGCGAGAATGAGGACATGCACCCGGCTCGGAGGTGCACCAGGCTGCGGCCCATCCCGCCACTCACAAGTGAACTTGAGCAGGATCCGGTGTGATGAAGCGCGAATCGCGCATGTGGCCCTCACCCTTTTTGTTGTGGGCCAATTAGATCTCTGGTGCTCCATGTCGTGTGGTTACACAACAGAAATAAACTCCTCTCCGCCCAATATCCGAGCCCCACCCAATTCCAGAGCCTGACCTTCAAAAATGTTCCTGAGTTACGTCCTCGCAGCTGTTAGGCTTCGTTTTCGGTGCAAGCTGGACTCTTTCCTGGTCCCGCATCGAAGGAACAAAATGAAATTGCAAAAGACCTGGGGGCCTCCCCGCTCTTTGGCCAGTTGAGAACGTGAGTGCTCAAGAAATTTGCGATGTCTTGCATTTGTCACTTAATACATCTATCAGTTATATTTTCCCTGCCGCCTTATCGAGCTTCGCTAGACCGCTGGTGCCCGACGTGTGCCGTCCACAACTACATATCTGCTAGCCTCTGTGCATGGGAAGCCTGCGGCCTCCAAGAAGCAAATCTGTACTGCTCCGTTCCTTTATCGTCGGCTCCAAGATGGAAGTGGAGAGGGGCCGGGAGAATAGGGTGACTAAAAGCAAGAACGACATACCGAAATCGTGGAAAGCTTCGGTCGAGCCACATACCTGGCGATTTACGTAGATAATACCCTGACACCCCGCTGTTGTGGTCTGCCCCACCCCTTCCGAGCTTTGCCTCGCCATCCAAGGAGCCAAAGACTCTCGCACGCGCCTCCGCACTGCCACTAGCACCATGCCTCGTACCTGCACATTTCCCACTTATAACCTAGAGAAGAGTGTCCTGGAAGGGTGGCTTAGCCAGACATTCAATGATCAAATTACCGCTGATGTAGGCTTAATCCGTGCTAACGCCCCCTTGTGCCCTTCCGCCCTGCAGATCCGCTCTGCCATTCGTTGTTAGAGGCGTGTACGAGCACCTCCGATGCTGACCTATTGACCGCAGGTAATCAACGGGCAATACGTATTCAACATTCCCGATAATAGGGAGCTGACGGAGGTGAGTGACGGATCCCAACGCCCCCTTATATAGCCACCCCACCTGACAACCGTTGTTTGTGTAGGTTATGAGGAAATCTATCCGCAAGCTAAGGGGCAAGATGCAGTGGCCCCCTAAAATTGAGAACGTATAATTTGTGGAATCATGGGTCGGGGTTATGGACCGGGTTAGAAGAGGATGTCTCCGGAAAGTGTACTTTTGTACTGCCGCGTTACGGAGGGTACATACACTTTCAATTGTATTTCATTGGCATGGCCTATTTCATTCTCGGAGGCCGCAAGTGTAGCTCATAGTGCTGAACGACAGCCAGCGAGCTATGGTTCCCTTGAATTGTTTGATACATCAAGACAAACCACTTGTGACATGGGCTACTCCTATTCCTTGTCTTGCTTTGCCAGCTCTGCCACATTCCCCCCCTCCCTCTTGTGTAATAGCAAGGCTTCGTTCTGATGTTGGACGTGGTAAATTTGTAAGTTTACGATGCCGATAGGGCCGCCCCAAAAACAGCTGTCTTGTGGCTCAAACAACGTTCACTATACTTCGGTGTATTCCACGGGACTATTTCTATATATGGGCAGAGACGACGCCTCATGTTCCCAAAGTTCCATATCGAGAACCCAACGTGCGTTAGATTACTAAACCCTACCCAAAATGTTGACCCCGACGCGAGCCGATCCATATGATGAATTAGTCGACCGATATCGCCAATGGCCAGACTATCCGGTCAATTCGATACGACCAGGTGCTCCAAGCTACAGACTGCAAGGGCATCGCGGGTTCCTAGCAATGAGCGAGGATCAGCTCTTCGATTCCGAGTCAGAGGAGCTGACGTTTCTGGATTTTTACGATGGCTGTGAAAGTCTGTGGCGCTGTCCTCTCGCCGAACTCACTTCTCACCGTTGCCCACCGCACTAACGCGAAACACAGGATATCAGTACAATATTGTCACAACCAGCGATGAAATCAACAGACATATACTCAACGGCCAGGCTGACCCACTTTGTCGTCACGTGTAAGTACTCGAAAGAGACTCGGATTGTCTATGTCGGGATCGTCCATGGCGTGTGACTCGATCTCTCATCTCGTTTAGCTCACAGAGTTACTGACGGACGGATGAGGGGACCATCAGATTTATCACCGCCAACAGCTCACGAGGCCCGTTGAAGTGTTCTCGGGAGAGTCTATGCAAAATTTTGAGCTACCACCAGACGCACGCCTACTTTGTCGATTGCATCTCTACCTTTGGTGCTACGGAGGATCCCTTGGATTACTCCCTCGTGAGCATGTACTCTGATGATACATTGCACCTTGCGGAAGAGCGACTCCTCCATATTCCGCGGCTCAACCGCTCGGGTCACGATATTCAACTCTCTTATATCTTGCGGTCCGTGGAGAAATCAGAACAATGGGAAAAAGATAAGTTGGAAGGCAAGTGGCAGTGGAAGATTCGACAAATGGCGGTCCACCATCAATTTGACGTCAAGACAGGGCGGGCGTTGTGGATCACAATCAAAGCCAACGGCTTGATGGAGGATAGGGTCAAAAGCTTACCTTGGACGTGCTCGCAGGATGCCGGCGGACGTGTTGATGCGGCGGAACAGTTCGTCGCAACACTGAGAACGCAACTGATCTTCTTAATGTGGTCAGATGACAACTGGCGCCATTGCATCAACGACATTGAGGAACAGATACGGGACATTTTAAATAAGGCAAAGACGGCAAGAATCGAGGACGACCAAGAGCCCAAGGACATCCCCATGACCATTGCTAAAAAACTGTCCCGCCGGGGATCCAAGGGTTGGAACGGCGAAAAAGATGAGGGGCCGCCTACGAGCAGAAATTGGACTTTGCATTGGTTACTGCATAGTCCACGTCGGAAAGCGGCATCAGCGGCAACGCAGCTGCTACAAAAGGTGGATAAGAGATATAGGACACCTATGCGTGCTACCAGTCAAAGCGAGCAGATGTCCTCGGAAGCCTCCCCGCTCCCAGCGTCAAACTTCCGGTCGCGGCGAAGAGGGCAAACGATAACGATGCCAATTCCGATAGCCATGCCCGGCAGCTTCGGAATCTGTCTGTCCTTGGGAAATTCACGTTTGACCAATCCCAAAAGCTCTTTGATGTGGGAGAGCGACTGGAGGAAATGAAGCTCGTCGTGACGCTGAACAAACAGGCGCTGCGAGATATACGAGAGCTGTACAATGAACTTTCAACGAGGGAAGACATGTGCAAAAACATCAAGGCAAAGTGCCGTGGCGAGGTGGCCAGGTTTTCGCGCGAGGTGGGTAGGATTGAAAAGAACCTAGAGATCCGAAAGACACAGATAGAATCTCTATTGTCGTGGTTGAGAGAGGGAAAGTCATTGGTAGGAAGAACCCCTCCAAATCAATCTAAAAGTACTCGTGCTAATCATTCCTGGACCACCATTCTAGTTTGACGGAATTTACCAATATCGTAGCGTGCAGATTGATCGCATCTTTGCGACAGACAGTCACGTACAGGCCCAGAGAATGGAGAAAATTGCCATTCGCACCGAGCAAGAGACGGTGTTGATGCACACCATCACCCTCGTCACTCTGATATTCCTACCAGGAACGTTTGTCGCCGTAAGTCTCGTTGACCCGTTTCCGCGACGGACCCGGACGGGGAGCCGAGACCTGACGACTGCGCAGACCTTTTTCCAGAGCGGGTTGATCGAATGGAACCCGGAAACGGAGCACGCCATAGCAACGGAGCGTGTCATGGCGTTCAACGAAAGAGGGTTTGGGTTATTTGTGAAAATCTGCGTCCCTCTCATGATAGCCGCCATGGGGCTGTGGTGGCTCGTCTGGATCTGTGGAAGGAGAAAAGTCCGCGAGAAAAACGCCGACGAGCTGGTCTAAAGGACCCTGGCCCGGACATGAAATTACGGAGTTTCGGCCCGGTTTTGTGGGGCTGGGCTCTGAGCGTGCGGATTGGAAGCAAGCAAGTCCAAGTGTCGAAACGATTCAATTGCATGGGGGAACAAAAGTATGGCTGCCTGTGTGTCCAGCGGAGACTGGTAAGACTGTTCTACATTCTTTGATCTTGCTGTTTTTTTCTGTTTTCTTTTCTTTTCTTCTTGGGTTCAGGCTGCTCTTAGTTCGCCTTGAGGTCCGCCTTCTTCGCTCTCCGCCCTATTACAAGCCGAGTACATGATAGTTTTCGGTATCAAGGCGCCAGGTGGCAGACTTGGGTGGTATTTTCTTGTTAAAGCTGCCGTCTTTGGTGGGCGACGTCGACATTTTATTGGGCTCAGCGCAGGTGGCGGAGAGGGGTTTTCCGCTTGTGGGGTGGTGACCTTGCTCAACCTCTACAAACTTTCGCCAAACTCTGATATTTAGCTAGTTTCTTTTCCTTTTTTATTTTTGCTTCTTTTCTCTTTTTCTTTTATTTTTATTTTTATTTTTACTTTCAGCTAAGTATGTGATGTCTTGGCCTCTCCGACTACGTGGCGGCATAGATATCTTGAGAGGCACAATCGCCCTCTAAGCAACCTCCCTAGTGATCTTACTAACCATATTGAGGGGAGGATGTGACGGGCTGCATGGGTAATAAGCCGTACCTTGCCCATTGATCTCCAGAGGAGGGGCACGATAGTTAATATTGAGAGGTTCGAGAGGGTGTGTGTGATGAGCGGCTGCATGAAAGCGGGCCATCCTCTCGCTCTTGTCAGTATAAATATTCCTTTGTACATCCCACCCACCTTCATCCTACCTACCACCACCTCTAGGCTCTAGTCACGTCCACAAGTTTGAAGAGTGGGCAGGCTATATACGGTAGGCTTTCGGTCTAGGAGAACTCCCCTAAGAAGACCCAACAGCTCCGTCCGCCCGGCTCGAACTAGAGCATGCTGTTTCGGGCCCCATTGTGCTCTTATTCATAACTCGACTGTACCATCCTTGAACAGTAACCCGCCATCAGTGTACATCTTGCATGGTTGGGTCGCGCACGTCGACACACACAGACTACCACCTACTGACTCGCCAACCCCACAACTTATTAAACATCCTCCATATCACCACGGTGTATCGTTCACATCCGAGCCGAATATGGCTGACGCATTTAGAGATATCTTCTCTTCTCTAGAGGCCTTCGGAGTGGACGGAGAGGGACATAAAGTGCCCTATGTTCCCTATTCTGCTCTACAAGAGCAATGGACCGTGGAAAGGGTCAGAGATGTGCTGCAGGACACCGACGTACCCCGCAGAGGCTGGGGCAATCGTTCGCAGCTTTCTTCGCGTTTTCTCCACTCTAGTCTTCATAAACAAGTCCCACAAGATTTCCCTGTTCTTGCGACACAACGTGACCGATGACCAGCTCCCGTTAACAGTCTACCCTCCGGCATGGGGAGATGAGGCGACATCGCGGAACCATCGCTTTTTCGGGCGGTTCCAGAGCAATCAGTGGAGGTTTTGCCCGATGGAATTTAATTACTGTCAGCCTTACCAGAGGGAACTCGACGGCCGCGTCATCCTCCCCATTACCTTCCTCGAGAAGATTGGGACCTGGCACCGTGGGGACCCCGTAAAGGTTTGGAAAGTGTGGATTGACGGCAGGTGCTCCGACAGGACCAACGCTACCCGCACGGCGAGGCACGCCGCAACGCGACCCATCACGCCGCCCGCTGACGGCTTCCACGCAGTCTTCAAAGTGTTTTCTGCCGACCACGACGCCATCGAAGAGTTCAACGCCGAATCAAAGGCGTACAGAAGTTTGCCCAATGAAAAAGAAACTCCAAGTCGAAACTACATCCTCGACTACTACGGGTCGTTTGTGCAAAGTAAAAGACGAACCATTGTCTTGGAATACGCGGATCGTGGAACCCTCCTTCAACTCTTCCAAAATATGGAACCCCCAGGAGCGATGCAGAGTTCCAAATGTTGTGGGGCCGAGCCTTCTGCCTCTTGTTGGGGCTGCACATAATCCATCGGATGGAAGAGAAACAAGACTCGACTCTCTCTGGGTGGGTAGTAATCCAAGGGATGAGACGAGTGCCCCCAAACGATGACATTAATCCGACTAACGTCATGTTCAACTGTGTAGGATGCATCAAGATATCCAGCCTTGCAACATCTTGGTCTTCTCCGGCTCCGGATCGAGCGGTAATCGATTCGATCTTCATTTCAAAATCGGCGATTTCGGCGCGGCGCAGATCAAGAGGTTGCGGTTAAAGGATGGCCAACTCGAAAGCAAGAGACATAACAATGGCAAGATGAACCGCATGTATCGTACGTCTCCATTTGCACATATGATCCCGACCGCAGTTACCTAACCACTTCCCACCATGTACCACTCAACCTGCTAACCCTCCGGATAATCTAGTGGCCCCGGAATGCTCGCCGATGCATGTTGTACAAAGACACGCGCCCAACCAAATCACAGCAACCTCGGACGTCTGGGCGCTGGGCGCGGTGTTCAGTGAGACCCTTATCTGGTGCTTTGGCGGCGAGCCAGAGCGTGAAAGATACCGGCTGAACCGAACCTACGAAATCCAAAAGTTTGCTAAATATTTTTGCGACACCGGGTTCGACTCCTGCTTCCACAACGGAATACAGTGTCTGGAAGCAGTGCACGCCGCACACAAAGCTGTCCTTCGCGACGCACCGGGAATGGACCTCCCCATGCGGGTGAGCAACACCATCTTGGAGACCATGCTACAGAGAGATCAGCACCACCCGGCTGTGGGCCGGCTGGATTCCATGGAGATTTTCACGAAATTTACAAATATCGACGAGGGCACGCCCCGAAGCTCGTTTGCGGCGCATAGTCCCAACCCATCGATACAATTACTTGACCGGATGTCGGAGGGGAGCTCACGGAAGATTATTGGCTTGAGCTGCCGGACACCAGAGAAAGCGTCAACTCTATCCCAGACCAAGGGACCCATGCCAACATGAACGATGCCTCCAAGAAACCTACTCGGACAAATTCTGTTCCTACGCCATACTATCAACCGGGCGAATCCTCGGCGCTCGGTCGAGGGCATCGCGAGGGTAGGCATCAGGCTAAGCCCACAAGCAGCGGCTCGCGGGACATCCCCAAGAATATACATCCATCTGGCGACGGCCTAGGGGTTTATTCAATGCCAGACAAGGAACTTTGGGAGCCGAGCCGGACGAACACTGCCTCGCAGTCGTACCCTCCACCATGGCCGCCCTCGACATCTCGCCAATGCGCTCGCGATGGTGAAGATAGGGATGGAAATGTTTCCGACGAGTGCAGCCGACGAGATGATCTTAACCGGGCCGGGAATTCATATAGCGGTGGTCGGGGTACTCACACAGGCCTAGTCCAAGTGCTTCGGGAAGACGACATGGAGGATCTCGCGGCCCCGCAATCACCCCACTCAACACTATCATACCCCATGTCCTGGCCGACACTTCACGAGAATGACTATTGGGATGGCCCCGGTGACAGCAACCCACGGGACTATCACGTGCGGACTGAGCCTCACCCGGGGCGTGGTCGAGACACCCATACGAGCCCAGACGATGAGATTCAAGAACCGAAGATGGATCCTGCCCCTCGGTTACGCAGCCCAACACGGGCGCACTCAGTATCGCGAAGACCTCATGAGGGTGGTTATATGACAAACCTTAGCTACAGAGACTCACGGGGCACCTCCAGGCCGGGTGCGTCTCAACAGGGTGTTGGCCAGAGGACTCGTAAGAGGCAAGAGGAAGAGGTTCAAGAAGAAGCTGACACGGAGGATTATAACCCTCCACGCCGTGTACCACGGGCACCTTCAATGTCGCAAAGGCCTCATGAGGGTGGTTATATGACGAACCTTAGCCGCAGAGACCCACAGGACATCTCCTGGCCGGCTGCGTCTCAACAGCGCGGTAGCCGGAGGACTCGTAAGAGGCAAGATGAAGAGATTCAAGAAGAAGCTGATACGGAGGAACCTACCCCTCCTCCACGTCGTGCACCACGGTCATCCTCAGTATCGCGAAGACCTCATGAGGGTGGTTATACGACAAACCCCAGCCACAGAGACTCACGCGACATCTACAGGCCGGCTGAGTCTCAACGTCGTGGTAGCCGGAGGTCTCGTAGGAACCAAGGTGAAGAGGCTCAAGAAGACGCTGACACGGAGGGCCCTACCTCTCGGCCACGCCGTTCAACATCGACACGGACACCCTCAACATCCCGCTACATGCCTCGCGGTGGTGACCATCAGGCTCGGTCCGGTACTAACATCACGCAAGGTACCCTTACCCTTACACTGGATGTGTCTGAATCTAGCGGGCAAGAGTCAGATGTCCCCGTCCAAGCACCTAGAGCCCCCGTTAGTGGCAAGTCCAAACATGGGCCGCGTGATGGGGATAGCCAGCAGGTGAGCAACGGGGACTCCTCCAAACGCGACTACAGAGACTCTGGCTACCAGCACTTGAGCGCAGCGCAACCAAGACGCAGCACATCACGCAGCCCTGGGAGGGGACTTGCAATCCCCGATTTCTATAATATCTTGCAAGATACGGGTCTCTTTCAAAAGCCTAAAAGAAATGCGGCTCTCAACAGGTTGTACGACGCCCTCGGAAAGATTAACTCAAAGGGAGGGCGCGATCAGGTAAGCATGGGCGCATATTTCCCCGTAAGGTTGCCCTGGAACAGACGATGGTCTAACTTGAGATCCTCTAGATCTTCTTGATCGATGACGCGAGCTCCATGGCCTACCACAAGAGCAAGGTCGAGCAGTGTGCCCGAGTTCTCGCGTACGCAGCCAAGGTCTCGGACCCTGACGGTATGGACGTGTACTTTACCTCCGAGATGCACAACCGCAAGACGTATAAAAGGAGTAGCCAGGTCGAGGCAGCCATACGCAAGCACGACTTCCGCCCTTACCGAACGACCAACATGGCCAAGTGTCTGGGAGAGCTTTTAGACGGTAGGAGAGGCCGATTAAGGAGACTGAGGCGGGCCAGTATCTATGTCTTGACGGATGCGGTATGGGAAGACTGCGATCCGGGCGTCGACCATTGCATCGTGCGGGAAGCGAGAACACTCAAGGAGGAAGGCTCCCTCCCGAGCGACCTCATGATTCAGTTTATCAGATTTGGTGATCAAGGTGATAGCCAACTTGCCGAACGCTTGCGCTATCTCGATGATGACCTTGTGGACAGGTTTGACCTCGGTGAATTGTAAGTTACTGCCATACGCGAGCGGGCCACTTTTTTCTCTGTCCCTTTTTTTCTTTCTTTCTTTTTGGGCCTTGCAGCCGTGGCTAACGACTCTTTAGTGACATTGTAGACACACGCCACTGTGATGGAGACGTTTCCGAGATGCTCATTGGTAGCATATCGCGGGTGAATGACCGAAGGTCAAGCTAAGGACATAGTCAGGAGGACTTCAGGAAGTCTCAGATGCTTTCAGATTATATCTTCTTGTTTGGATTGGTTTTTCCTTTTGTGGAGGCTGTCATATTATGGCGAGGAATATCGCAGGAGCATCGCATCATCGATAGATCTCCATGTTCAAATGTTGCATTGTTTGTTGGTAGACATTCCACACCCTTTTATGTGTTGGGATCGCATGTCTCACGGCAACAAACTCTTTCACTTTTAAACTACTAGATGTATCAAGCTTATAATGACAATCCCCGTTCCAGCTAATATGCCATTGGCCGGTTTTCCCAAGCATCAGTCGTCCTGGGCAGTCCTTCGCGAACAAGTGCAGAAAAGAGCCTCCAAGAACATCCCCTTGATTCTGCGAAATCGCCAGTGCCGAATCTCGATGGTCTGAGAAATCGGTCTGGTTGTCTCATAGTCAGCTCCTTCGTTCTTTAAACCACAATGGAAACCCAGTTTGCTGCCGAGTGTAAATACCCCAGATATTTACACTCGTTTGAAATCGTGAGGTTGACGTTTCCCAAGCAATAGCTATGTCGAGACAGAGCGGCGCTAACCCAGGCACCCGAGACGGGCTTATCAGCGTCACGCCAACCCCATCTAAAAGTAAATTCGCGTGTCTTGTCATGCAAAGTTGCCTTTGGAAAGAATTCTCGCCTGTTTCGGTCGTCGACTGTCATCAGCGCACTTTTGGACCTAGCGACGAATACACTCTGTTTTATGGGCCCTTTTATTTTAATCACGTCCCCTTCCCCGCTTAACAGAAATCATCTGAAGAATGATTTCAAATTCTTGCAAAGGAACTGCTACCTCTTGGCGTGGGAGCGAGAAGGGCGGAGCGAATATTGCCCAGGATCTTCCTGTTATTGGTCAGGCTCCGAGACGCAGGTTTTTCAACGCTCCGTCGGCGTCATCTGAGAATTGCTGGGTGCCAAGCCGGACGCTTTGCGGATGCACGCGCCCGTCAGCCATTGTAGAGATTTGCGCTGACACCACTCCAGCTTGGGACGAACGGAAAAAGAGGCGCTTCCGGTAAGGATTTTTTGTTTTAGCGAAAGGGTAAAGGTTGAGCGAGAGTAGCCATCACTCGCTGTTTACGGGTGAATGGAGTCTGGAGGCTGCCTACTATGGTCAGGAGAGAACGTCAACACTAATAGCGCTGTGAACATCTTGAAAACGGATCACAGCGAGGTGGTGAAGTGTTTATATTAACTGTGATACCAACTATGAGCCTTTCAACCTTCAATTATAGCGCTTGTTTCTTGCTAGAGATTTGCATCTCATAAAGTAATGAATAAGATAATGACTTCTACTTAGTAGTATCGCCTCCTTGCCTGCCTCTCATCCTGGTTGATTGCTAGACGCAAGGTTTCCGTCACCAACTAACTGGAAGAACTAAACGAGTAGCCCATATTGGGAACAAATCAAGATAGGCGTTGAAATGAATGGGAGCAAGTAATCGAGTCAACATAAGTTGGTACATGTAAACGTCGAAAGAGGCCTTAGAGATGGCTAATCAATGGCAATGCTCTCTTATATTCTGCATGAGGCCTAAGTCGCTGCGCCCTGGTAGGAATGTCAGTCCGCCGGCAACCTCCGGATATGGTAGGAAAGGCGCGAACCCGCGAAGACGCGAGGGAAGTTTGTCCCAGCATCACGAGATGAGATTTGGAATGCATGACACGACCCAATTTTACGCATGCTAGCTTCCTAGACCGTTTCGATGCCACATGTTTGTCTATATCGCGAGATGAGGAAGAGCATTGGAGCAAACTCAGCCCCATACTGCGCGGATTTCTGTGCTGGGTCAGTCGGCGAGCTGTCAGGGTTGGAGTGTATATGTCCGGGATTCCTCGGGTGATTGAAGGGTCCATGATGGTGGCAATAGGAGGACTGAAGGGTCTTCGGGCTCGTCGGAAAGGTGTGGGTGATGCCAAGAAGCCCTGGGTCTCACTATTAATACTCGAGCGTGTCCACGCTTTCGTCTCTCGATGGCTTCTATTCCTCATCAAGGGCATCCGCCACCGGCATTCCATTCTTCATTCACTGCACCTCTTTGGGGTGCTTGAATACTGACATGGTCGCCTTTACTTCTATCCTCGCCAACGTCGGCGTGGCGGTCCTATCGCTCGCTATACTCCCGTCCGTCTCCGCCCTGCCTGCCGACTTTACGCCCAACTATGACGCCCAAATCTTCAAGCGTGCAAACCCCAAGGACTTTTACCTCCGCATCATGCCCCTCGGCGCGTCCATCACGGCGGGGATCCATGGCCCCAGGACGATCAGAGCAAGAACGGGTACCGCAAGCATCTTCGCGACAAACTCCGATCCGAGGGGTGGAAAGTCAACATGGTTGGCAACCAGCGTCTTGGTAGCATGAACGATAATGTACGTGGAACCCAAGAAATCGTACAGCGCAAAAGTCAGTGTCTAACCAAGAAATTCGGCTTATAGGACCACGAAGGTGTCAAGGGCGAGCTCGTTAGCCAAGTCGAGAAGCGCGCCAAGCAATCCAGCCGCGTTTGGCTCCCCAATGTTGTCCTCATCAACGCGGGAACAAACGACGCGACCGGTAACGGGAGAGATGGGAACCCCATCGTCGGCACGGGGCGTCTCAGGATGAGGGCCCTCATCGACAGTGTCTTTGCCGAGGTTCCCAACGCCGTGGTCGTGCTTTCCACCTTGCTCCCCAACCTACGTGACCTCGGGGGCACGCCGGCGCAGCGTAACATTGACATCATCAACGACGAGTACCGGGAGCTCTATAGGACCTACGTACCCCTCGACAACAACGGAAACGAGGTGTCGCAGCCGACCTTCAAAGTCGTCCTGGCCGACATGGCCAACTTCATCACGCCCGGCGAGATATGGGACCAGACGCATCCGAACCCCAGCGGCCAGAGAAAATGGCGGCCGTGTGGGATTGGGCCATCAACTACGCCAATGATAAGGGTTGGATCGTGCCCCCGACCGAAGCCGGGAAATTCACCGATGGAGAGGGTGGCGGCACCTGCAAAAGGAATATGCCAGCGGAAACGACGACCCTCGCGGTCAAGTGCAGGTGCTTTTCGCCGGAAACTCGCTTATCAAGAGTGACGGGAACTATATCCACGCCGTGCAGGGTCGCGATGACCGTAAGCGCAAGTTCTACGGCGACAGGTACAATAACATGGTCTTTTTGCTCAGCTCGTCAATCTCGGCGGGGCGCATAAGGGAGGCGAACTGGACGAGGCCATCTATTTCAACACCGACGGCGAGAAGCGAGTGGTGCACATGTCGGTCAACCAAGGCGATGGAGACATGGGCCCCAAGGTCAAGATTACGATCCCCGATAGCTGCAAAATCCGAGGCATCCGTTGGGGCGATGTGGTAAGGACTAGCCCGTCTGCCCTTGTCCGTCTTTTCTTGGCATGGCTAACTGGACTAGAACGGTGATGGGCTGGATGACTTTATCTGCCTCTCGCCGGCGGGTGAGATGTATGTCAGCATCAACAGGGGCGGCAACCCGCCTACATTTGAGGATATCGGAAGGGTAAGTCATTGATCTTTTCTCACTTGCTGCACGAAGTCAGCAATTCTAGCTCTAACCCTTTTCCTCCCCTAATCTAGTATAAAGGCATTACCGACGGTGCTGACCAAGATCACATTCGACTTGGAGATATGGATGGCGACGGCAGGCTCGATTTTTGTACCCTGCGCGATAATGGCGATCTTCAGTAAGTCACTTCGGAAACCTTGGGGGATTCGAGTCTGGCCACAGACATACTAAGACCAACTTTGCGCTGCAGCTGTTACCGGAACGGTGGGTTCGGCGATCGCGCTGCGTACTGGCAGGATATGGGTGTAGACCGCCCCATCTTCACGGGAAAGAACAAGGGGGACATATTTGGCGTGAACCTCGTCGACGTGAATGGCGAGTAAGTGTTTTTCTCTCCCCGGGAAACGACGGTAGGGTCTAACCGGTGGTGATAGTGGGCGATACGACTGGACCTGGATGGACAGACAAGGCGAAGTACACACCTACATCAATCAGCGCGGCGTGTCCAAGACCATGATCCCAAGCTGGCTGGACGCCGGCATCACCCATCTGGGCGTGCATACCGACATTGGCGACAAGCGCCAGTATATCAAATGGGGCCGCCTCTTTGGCAGCGGTCGAGCCGACGTAAGCTCCGATGATGTCACGTAGAAGGTCTTGGAGAAGATGATTCGCTAACAAATCTCTAGTACATGTATCTCAAGAGAAACGGGTGCGCGGCCCTCGGTCACAGCGAAGGAGAGTGCGAAATCGAGTACAAGCCGTACCAGAACCTCGGAAAAGGTGGCCGCTTCCAAAGGGTGACGGCATCTACTGGGGTGACACGACGGGCTCCGGGTTCGACGACTACATTTGGATCTCACCCGAGGGCGAAGTCAGCGTCTTCATCAACAAGAACACCAAGGATAACTTTGACAACTACGCCAAGTCGGCGTGGACCAAGACCATCACCTTCAACACCGGCATCGACCGCCGCGCGCTGCACGTGGGCGACTGGGACGGCGACGGCAGGGCGGACATCATCGCCGTCACGAACCGCGACACGGGTTCTCTCAAGGTGTGGCACAGTCGGTGGGACGGCACCAACTTCAACTGGGACGCGCGGGATATTCCCGACAGCGCCAAGTGCAACCAAGGCTGGGGGTCTCTGTACTGGGACCACGGGGCGCACTTTGCCGACATTTCGGGCTCGGGCCGCGTGGATTACATTTGCATGGAGAAGAACGGTCGGGCCACTGCTTGGCTCCGAGATGACAAGGGCGCTTGGTATAATGCGCGGCAGATCAAGTCCTCGGAGGACTTGGACCGCGCCAACTTTCATTTCGCGGACGTTGACGGTAAGTTTCTTCTATTAACTCTAGTCCAGGCACCTGTGACGCACAGAGAAAAAGAAAACGCTGACGGATGTTGGTAGGTGATGGCGCTGCGGATCTCTTGTGGGTAGATAAGTTCACAGGCGACGCTACGGTCTGGTATAACGGCGGCCAGGTCGCCGAGGCCGACCGCGGGCAGTACAGGGACAGCCTCTTTTTCTGGCCCAAAGCTGGTATCCTGTACTTTGGCTCCCACCGCGGCTCCAACATGAACTACCCCAACCTCGGCGGCCAGGGACGCGCGGACCAGGTCGGCATCAACCCCATCCTCGGCCACGCCTGGGTATGGTTCAACAGCTGTCCGGCGGGCGGCGACGACGTCGAGGGTGAGGTTCCCGACCCGGGCCTCCCCGCGTACAACCCCCGAGCGATACGCCTTCGCTACCGAATCCCGATCCGGAGAATCACTGGTTCTGTTCTCGAAGCGGTGGCAGTTGGACCCCGGATCTGTGGAATGAGCACAATATTGGCAGATGGTTTTTCAACGGTAAGTGATCCTCTTCCCCACCACCGCCTAGTTTGCAGAGGAGCCTTTTAATTCTCATTTTTGCGCGCCCTTTATAGATCTGAGCTCTATAGTGGCCTCGAGGCCGTTTGGCCCCCGCAGGCTGCAAGCGTCCCTCGTGTGATTGCCTCATATGACGGCTCGACCTTTGACGACGGATGGAACTGGCCCGGTCCCGGCTGCGTGACGTGAGTTTCCCCAGTCTCAAGAAATCTAAACACGCTGTAACATCCCCTCGTTCTGAATAAAGTAATTTCCTAACTGGTTTTATCCCCACGACAGTGTCCGAGGCGTGTGCAGCCTCTCCCCAACCGACCTCGTCGACCGAAAATGCGTCCAGTTCCCCGAACGCGCCTTCACCCTCTTCGCCATGCGCAACTTTGCCCTCACCATCCAAATGTGGTACTCGGCGTTTAGCGACAGCGTCGACACCGCCAGCCTCTTCACCGCCGACATTGCCATCAACTTCCTCTGGCGCACCCCGCCCCAAGTCGAGGCCGACCCTTCCGCCTTCCTCACCATCCTCGCCGGCATGTTTGCCGGCATCGGCGCCATCATCCCGGCCGCCAATGTCCCCGCAAACAGCCTCGCGGGGCTCCTGACCATTGCGGCCGGCGCGGCGGTCCTCACGCCCGGCGAACTCGTCGAGGATGTCCGCTTCACCGACTTTTCCGAGTTGCAGGCCGCGCTAGGAAACATGAAACTGACGGTGCAGAGGACCATGTCGTCCTACTTCAACAGGTTGCTCGCCTCGCTGCCCCCAACCACGACAGGACCCGGGGCACCGAACTTGCCCGCGCTCTCGAGAGCGGCGCCTTCGCCGACCAGGACTTTGGCACGTACGTGCCCGAGAACGCCAAGACGGACATGCCGTCGCGCATCCGGGCCTCCATTATTGCCGAAGCGTGGAACAGCGGCTCCGTCGTGATTGCGCGGTGGTCCCGGACCGGGCCAATGGCCCAATTCTTTGATCCATGCTGCGGGAGGGACGCGGCCAACCGTCGCGGTATCGATCATGCGTGTGCCTGTCAGTTTGGCGACAATTTTGTTATCGTATGTGTTGTTTCTGTTTCCCATCTCCCAGTTGCCTTGACCTACTACTAACATTCATGAAAAGACCCCATTACAGCACACCGGGATCAAGTCGAGCGACGCCGACACTCTTTACAAGTTCCCCAAAATCGGCCAGGACGAGCCCACGCTCAAGCAGTACGGCCTAGACCACGCCATCCTCATCCGCGCCGCCGAAAACACGCAAAAGTCGACGGGCGTCATCATGGGCCGCGAGCTGGCCAACGTGGAAAAGTTCATCAACGGCGCCATCGCCAATCCCACCGGGAGCATCTTGGACAGTCTGACATACTTCCCCGTCCCGTACTGCAACCTGGATGACTTTGACCTTGATTTCAAAACTTTCCACAACTGCCACGCGGGTCAGAACAACAGGGAATTCTTTAGGATCTGCCTTTTACAGCTGATGTCCCATTATTGCCCCCAGACGCCGGGCTGGCCATATAAATCCTGGTCGACTAGTTAATAGACGTGTGCTACGAGAGAACAAACAGTACCAACCGCGAGGTTATTAGAGGTATTGGTATCAACTATTTATATACATCTCAACTCACCACGTGTAGATCTTGATATTCTTTAGAACCGACTCATGACAATGGGTCGAATAGCTTTAATACAAATCCTTTATTTCGAATTCCAGAAGATTTCCTGTTAACAGGCCAGTCTTCGCCATTTGTAGAACTAGGGCTTGAGCAACCGCATTGGTGCGGATACCTAACCGTGAACCTACAACTCCAAGCCCTTGGGTCCCTGGGACACTACCCATCGAGAACGGGTCCATTTCTCAGCCAGTAACAAACAGGGTACAAGGCTCCAGATCTCAAGTTTGAAAATAGGGTAGATATAAATCTGTAAAACCGGTAACCGTCATGGAGATTGAACAAGAGTTGAGCGTGTCAGTAGGATAGTATTTCTTCCTGTTTTGTAGGTACGTATAATATGGGGAACAAGTAGATGCAGTAGAGAGCTTCCGTAGCCTTTACCTAAGTGATCGCACGGGCGCGGCTCCTCTCCACGTTTCTCAAAAGTAGAAATGTTCCTCACTATGGGACTGTTGGAGAATTGGAACTGCTTGATCCAACAATAACAGTCCCTAAAAATGAAGCCTTTGAACCAAGGAACTGCGGGAGAACCGTTCCTCGCAGGTTCGTCAGTCCCGGCCCTCCTAGGGACGATAATTCTTCCATCGGCCCTCCATTTATTTGGTGAAGGATGGAGGGATAGGGGTATCTGAACATATGTCGCATCTATCCGGGCGCCGATATCCAACAGGATGGCGGTTGTTGACCCATCATGTAAATATCCCAGAAATGCCATGTATAGGGCAGGAATTCCCCTGTACCGAGGTAGAAACGGATCTATTAGAAAGATCCAAGCAGCGAATACGAACACATTTTCCCCTCTGTTCAATGCATCAATTCTATCGTTCAACATTTGGGAGTGTGGATGTCTCAAGTATCCATTCACTGGTAGTTATTATTGAACAGAGGGAAAATATGGGGTAAGATGCTGTTCGTATTCGCTGCTTGGATCCTCTTCTTGGGATCCGTTTCTGTGGGATATCTACAGTATATATCCATAGATCTGGAACGGGTTCCATACTAGGGTCCATTTGGATATCGGTATATCCGACATCCAGATCTTCGGCATCGCCGATCCGTACGTCAAACGCTAGTATGGATCCCAGATCTGGACTATATAAGCTGTAGCCGTATCCCATAGAACGAGTCCCAAAAAGAGCATCTAAGCAGCGAATGCGAACAGACTGTTACCACAATTACCCACAATACCAGACACCCCGCTTTTCACAGAAGGAAGAAGCGAACCGGGCCGGAACCGCCACTAAATATCGGACATAGCAACCAGAGACTATCCACGACGAACGTCCAACATCATCCTTTTCCAGATACCATTCCAACGATGCCGACCAACGAATTCCGATTCCCCACACTTTCTAAGGCACAGGATTTTCCTACCTGGTATCAGGCACTACGGGTCTACTCTTCCATCCATGGGATTCTTGACTACTATGACCTTCCATCTATTCGTGGGGATGATGCGCATGATGAAACTGAAGTCATCCCACGTCCAATGAAGCCTGAATTTCCCGAAATTCCAGAACGTTCTGCAGACAGCGGAGCAATAGCATACTTCGAGATCATGATGCTTATATACCGGGACAAGGCAGAGGATTTCCAAAGGTTCATAACCCAAGAACGTAGACTAAAAGAACTCATTTGTTTATCCATCCCAGACCACATTCTGGATGGGATATCGATGAAGGCGTCCATCGAAGATCTCGTTGATTTCATTCGAGAACAGTTATACATTAACCCACGAACGCTACGAAACACAGGATCACGTCGGAGATGAAACCAACCAATATCGTAATGGAAACAAGACCAACAAAGGCAGAGGAAGAAGAAAAGCTCTCCCAAAATCACCAATATTAGACACCGGGGGAAGATAGGATTTATCATGTATCAATCTGCATTGCGCTGCGATCAGACGCCCTCAGGGCATGTGTTAAACTCGCCCGACATAAGCTGTTTTCTTGGTGCCGGGGTGTTGAAGGATCTAGATCTGATGTGCAGCCGAAGGATCAAAGTGTTGAAGGATGGAAACATGGGACATCCGAAATCATACCGAATTCGGAAGCGTTTCCTGCAAGGTCCATATTCGGATGGGATTTACCTCTGTATCCGACCGGTATTCATCCGAAGTGGAAACGGAAGATGGACCATGTAAATATCCCAGAAATATCATCTATAAAAGGGGCAGGAATTCCTCTGTAGAAACGGGTCCTAGAAAGGGTTCCAAGCAGCGAATACGAACAGCATTTTGTTGAAGGGTGGAAGGATGGGATATCCGAACATTACCGAATTCGGGCAGCGTTTCGTGCCCGATCTATATCCGGATGGCGTTTACCTTTATATCCAACCGAATGGAACCGAGGGCATCCGGAACGGCAAGTAAGGCCGGATCATGTAGATATCCCAGAAATATCATCTATAAAAGGGGCAGGAATTCCCCTGTAGAAACGGATCTATTGGAAGGATCCAAGGAGCGAATACGAACACGTTTTCCCCCTGTTCAATACATTTTACCCCCATATTTTGCCCTCTGTTCAATACAAAGGTCTGGATGGCGTTTCCATTTATATGTAGACATTTGATCTATCAAGGCAGTAGGATTGTCCCATAGAAACAAATCACAGGAAGGATCGAAGCAGCGAATACGAGCATTATATCCATAAATCTATGATTCAATGCATCATTGTAGTGTAGACGGCCCATGACACTTGCACGCTGTCTTTTGAAACTGGCCATGACGCGTCACTCCATTAGTCAGCACAATCCTTCAACCCGCAAAGATTATGGGCCGTCGCCAAGCCGGGGCCAGACGGAGAGTCGACTTTGAATAAATGAACCCAGCTTCACGTTCAGGAGACAATGTCGACGCAGCAGTCCGGCTCGCCCAGCGCCTCCAAGGTGCCTCGCATGCGCCCGCATTCGAAATCGAGAAAAGGCTGTCTCGAGTGCAAGACTCGGCGCGTCAAGGTGCGTTGAGATTCAACCCTTGTTCCAAGATGAAGCAACGTCGAGGCTGATGCATAGTAATCAAAGTGCGATGAAGCTAAACCGCAATGTCGTAATTGCGACAGGCGCAATGTGGTTTGCGTCTACGTAGCGGCAGCCAAGAGGAAATCCCATCTTACTTCTACGGCCGCGTTGACACCGGCCGCCGAGGAGGTAGCCGAAGACACGCGGTGTGTGGGCCAAGCTGCGTTGCCCGCTGAAGCGCGGCTAGGCCATTGCTGCCCGGTCAGCCTGTGTTCGGACCAGCTTCTCAAGCTACGCTTGATGCACAACTACGACAGCGCCATGGTGGATTCCCTCGTGGGGGCCCTCCAGTTCAACACGAGCGTGTCGCAGGTGCTGCGCAAAGAAGTACCGGAGCTCGCGTTTAAACACCCGTTTCTCATGGACACTTTGCTCTCTACGTCCATCATCCACCTCGAGTGCACGGGGTTTAACATGGGCCCGAGAGTGCTCGAGTATAGGTACAACGCCATCCGCAACCTGCGGCGCGAGCTCACCAAGGGCCAAGAACAGAGCCTTCCGGCGCTGATTGCGGCGTCCACCCTCCTTAGCGCGACGTCTCTCGCCGCCGACCGCGTGACGAACTACCAGGGTCTGTGGATCACGAATTGGTTAGCCATGCCTCTAGGCTCCCGCGCGCTCCTCGACAAGCGGCGCGGTCAAGCCCACGGCCGCGCGCAGTACGGCATGCCCCCGACCGTCCACGCTATGGGCCATATCGACCACGGACCCGTACCCGTCCTCATTCCCGAATCTCTCGCTGAAGCGCTCCGCATCTGTGACGAGAACGACCCCGACGTGCCCTTTCGGGTTGCTCTGGACACAGCGGCCGAGGGCATCGGCAAACTTTTCGGCATGTTGCTGGCGCCGCACCTCGTGCCGTGGATCCAGCTGAGGGTGAGGGCGTGGCCCTTTACCTACGGGTCCGCGAAATTCGTGGAAATGGTGCGCCTAGGGCGACCAAGGGCTCTCGTGCTCGTCACGTACTACCTCGCGTTCTTGAAGCTTTTGCCGGCGGTGTGGCTCTACGACGGCGTGGTGGAGCGGGATATGCGCAAGATCGGGGAAGTGCTGGGGGAGGAGTGGGCCGGGTCTATCGAGATTGCTAGGGCGTCCGTCATGGCGGAGAACCCGGAGGAACGGGTGGCTTTTATGAAACAACAAGTGATGGCTTCCCAGGAAGCGGACGCCAGCCCCTCTTCGTTACCGAATCTCTACTCATAATAGCACGTTTTAGAGGCTGCACGAGGCTATCTCGGTGACACGTATTGGACTTGTCATTTTCAAATTGGCGGCCTCAAACCTTGTGCGATGATAGCCCAGGTCCGGAGGTACCAAGATACACTCAGCTGCCCGAGGGCTCGCATGCACTGAACAGCGTTTTTCGCATCTGCAATACACTTTAAATACAGGGGAGGGGGCGCAGGTTATTCGCATAGACATATAGGTAATGTAATAATGACTGGGATAAATGCGTATAGGCGCACTCTGTAGCCCCATTCTGACAGGTCGTACTCTATGTTACATTGGGTACAATACATCGCTGTGCGGGTCGGAAGATATATATACTAAGGGAAGGCCAGTCTTACTGTCTGCAATTTAACCTCATCGGATCTATTGTACATGTCTTTACATGTATTTTACGCCATGGGGGATCGGCAACAACCGGTCCCACACTCCTAGGATCTATCCATGGTTGCACTATTCTATTTACCTAAACATCTTTCAAAGACTCTCAAATGCTATGTCATCCTTGCGCCCAGTCAACAACTTGGTGGGGTGATAAAACAAGAGGACGACCATCACGCCCAGCATCAGCACCGAGTCAAAGATGTAGAGGAACACCTCGTTGGACAACAGCGCTCCCTCGTGGCCCTGCGCGTACTCGACCAGGCGGAAGACGGAACGCACAAAGATCAAGCCGCTCACGAGGTACAGCACGTAGATGATGTGCTTCCAGCCAATTTGTCCGCGCCGCTGCGGCTCCCTCCGCAGATCCATGCCGGCCTGCACGAAGCGTCGGTGGAAAACGACCGTGACGACCATGAACAAGCCAAAGAACAAGATTTGTACGATGAGACCGATGAGAATGACCGTCTGGCCCGTGCTGGTGGTCTTGGCATTCGACAGCATGCCGCTTCCAAAGACTTGGATCAGGAAGGACGCCACGTCGCCGCCGACAAATATCTTCGTGAGCCATCGCGGCGATATGGGGGAGATTGACGCAGCGTTGAGGTGGAGAATCAGTCGGCCGAGGATCATGTACACGGAGGCGGCGAAGAGCGCGGGCGCGACGAGAATGCAGATCGTTTGCACGATGAAGGGACCGAGGGCAGATTCGTCGCTGCAGGACACGAATCGGGCAATATACCCTGCCGTTTCAACTGTAGAGAAAAAGAAAGAACAAAGAGTTAGTTTAGCGTGCGGAGTCGGGCAGTCAAGGGAGACTGGACGAGGATAGACGTACGCAGGCCACCGATGAGAAAGGCGCAAAAGAACCAAGACCGCTTGCGCACAACAATAAACAAGTGCCCCAGGGTAGCCAGACCAAAGGCGATGCCAAAATTATGGCCGCCGCCGACGAGGGCGAGTACTGGTAGAATTTGAACTCGTTGGCCATCATGTAAGATACACGGAGTGTGAGTGATGGCTAGGAATGGGGATTTGGATACAGCGAGAGAGGTCGTGATGGAGCACGGAAAGGGACGACAAGGAAAGCACACCAAGAAGAATCGCAATTACAATCCAAAAGGGCCATGGATTTCGGTATATATATCTCAATCTAGGAGCGTATTTGCAAACCTGCTCTACTACCGGTTGCGAGGTTCCGATGCGGGCTCAAAAGCTCAGTTTGGGCGTGTGGCTCGTGATTGGTCCGCCGTACTCGCATTTCGCTTTTTGGATCTCGCACGATTTTTCGGTCGGGGCGGCTTTTTCCCTGACGCGTCTTTATGCTCGCATGCCATTGGTTAATTCTCTCCTAAACCCTTGGGAAAAGGGAGAAAACAAGCATTGGGACGACCCACAATGTATTCTTAGCGTCAGGGCAGAACAAAAAGAACATAAAATAGAACAGGGCCCTCCGCGATGTATCTTGTTCCACTTGGCCTACTTGAAGGCTCGCATTATCTAGGATCAAAAGCGAGATCGATGGAAACGATGGCGAAGATGACGACGCGAGGAATTGTGGCTATGCTCTACTGGTCTCGGAGATCGACGAGAGGGTCTGATGAAAAGGGGAAACTCTTGTGCTTTGTCCGAGATGATCTCTTTACTCTCGAGAGTGATAAGGCACGCGGGCCAGTTAGAATAAAAGTCGGCAACTCGGGAGACTAGAAGATACGAGGTAAGTCGACGCATTCCTACGCCGCGGATGTGAAGATCAATTGATGTTTTTCTCTTTCACGATCTCCCAAATATACAGCGAGATGAGTTGGTTGTCGGAGGCACATCTCCTTATTTGCCCGCTGAACCGGGTTATTCGAGCACCTCTTATGAACTCGTTGTCTTTGGTGGTGGTGATTACATCACTACAATTGCGAACCAGACCAACTTTAATGAGCTAAGCGTAACGAGCTAGAAACCAAGGGTAAGTCTACCGAGGTACATACACTCTCTCCGAGTCTCTAAGGATGGAATACGGTGATTTTAAACATCCAAGAACCTTGACGGCGTTGGCTGGTGATCTTTTAACGCCGCCAAGGAGAATCCACATCTCTATTCAACAAAGATTTACACTTTTATGCACTTAACAGTTAAGTGACTTCAAGTGCAAATAATGCTTGCACGGGGATAACCCCCAGAGTGAATGCATGGGCAATGACGCTGGACCAGCGGCGCGATACTCAAAGAGCTGGGACAAAGTTCCTAAAAAAAATATACAGAGCGGATGGGTACGACGACGCCTAGTCATCTTCCGTAGTCACTTGCGACTGGTCAACGTCCTCCAGTATCTAGCGGAGTATTCTATCTGTCCTTACTAACAGAGAATCCTGCCCCTTTGCATCTATCACCCTTAAAGCCGGGAAATAGAATACAATTACCTATCTCTGGCTACCGTCATAGAGCCCTCTAACATAATTTTCCAATCTTGATTGGGGTCAAAGGCCACCGGTTCTCCATGTCGCAATCTCGAACTAGTCGCCAAGTCGAGTCTAAGCACTTTCTCGAATTTCCAATTGATGGTTCCACGAACAGTTAATCCACTACCGCCATTTTTGTTTATCCTGTTTCATCTTGTCAGCGGCCTCAGCCATTGTGCAACGCAGCGTACGCCCTCTTTCCTGTGCCTCCTCCTGTCGAACACGCCGGACTTTAAAATCGCGTTTCAGCAACTGGAATGGGACCAATCAGTAGTCGCAGCACCACCAATGTGCGCAACGCATGCTCGAAACCGAGCTCGGATGTCGCCCGTTTGCTGCGCCGCTCCCCTGCGTCTAACGCCAAGAGTCTCTTCCTGCCGCCGAGAAGATGACTCTCTGAAGTGCACATGCGACAGTTCGGTGCCAGACACGGCAGAACACGTCCCAGGCAAGATCATCGCTGTTGGGAACTTCTTCATCGGAGGCTTTCTTAGACGATCAAGAATCAAGATGCGCGGTAGTTCCATCTCCAAGGTTTCCCTTGCCCATTCCATGTGTTGTTGTCGCTCTTCTCCACATTTTCTCGTGCCGCTCTCTTGATTGTCAACAAAAACTGGTTCACTTCTCGGTGACCGGACCATGTCGTTCAATCCGACCCTCCGCGCCCCTATATCGGGCTGTGGAGAAACTTTGCCGAGGGCGGCCGGTTCACCCTCACCCTCAACGAGACCGAGGCTGGCGTGCTGGCGTCCTTCCTCGTCATCTTCGTCGGCGTGGCGAGCCTCAGCGGCTGGAACATCGTGCGCTTCTCCCTGCACCAGTTCCGAGCCACGGACAAACTCCACGACGGCCTCCATCACCAGGCGCAGGCTATCCTGCGCAACAGCGCCGGTCTTGTGCAGGCGCTTCACCTTCTTTTCCAGATTGGTAGTGCCTGGCGCACACGCATCGGTTTCGCCCGCGTCGCGCGACGTCTGGCGGGCATCTTCTTGGCCGCGTTTCTCTTTTTGTCGGCTCGACGTTGGCCCAGCTCTTCATCTCGCTGACTTGGTCTGCGGCTGGTCAGCAGTTTCTCGTCGATACCGACACGTGCAATATTTTTCTCCAGCCTGCTTCGCCCGACGAAGATGTGGGCTCGAGCCAGGCCGGCACGATCTACGCTAAAAACCGGCTCGAGGCCGCCATGGTCTATCAGCGCAAGTGCTACGCCGACGGCGCGGATATTACGGCACCCGAGTGTGGCAACTACGCACAGCCCCGGATCCCCATACTTGTCGAGGACGATGTCTGCCCGTTTGCTGACCCGGGCCTCTGCCTTACGACCAACACCGTACCTATGCGGCTGTCCGTAATGATGGATTCGAATCTCGATCTAGGCGTCAATGCCGTGCCTGAGGACAGAGTTAGATATAAGCGAGCGGCACGCTGCTCTCCCATCCAGAACAACCAGGTCATGTTGGATGGGGCAAATAACACATTGTTCATGTATGGGCCAATGCCGTTCTTCCAAGGGGGCCAAGAACACACCTTTTCTTACCCCGCGAGCCTGCGGACCTTTGATAACTACCGTGTCGCGTAAGTGTCTTGTTTCTAGCCCACCCCAACGTCATTGTAGTCATCAGGACACAAAGCTGACCGAGCTGGCTGGATAGGGGAACCTTTTACGACTCGGCCGGAGTCCCGTATGGCTACACCGAATGGCTTGCCAATAACACCATTATTGGAACCTCGACCGACCACAACATTACCGCGTCCATCCTCTTCCTGGCGACCAACGGCGTCGTAAATATCGTGCCCTCGAGCGATCCCGTGTTCGGCGACAACGTGCTCGCCAACCCCGTCCAAGTGCTAGCCTGCATCGAGGAACACGAAATCTGCAACCCCACCCTGCCCCCTCCCACGAGTTGCAAAAGGTTCACGCCCTACGACGACCACGTCACCATCTGTGACCGTCTCGGCATGAACCCGCGCCAAAATGCCACGGCGCTACGCATCATGCTCAACTCGATAGGATCCGATATCGGCAGCATCGTACCCCTGGCCACGGGCGACGTCGTCGCGGCCGGACGCACCGTCTTTCAAGGCAAGCAGTACGAAACCCTCGCCGCCGACCACTGGCGCGAGGAGGTGAAGCGCTGGTTCGGCATGGCCGTGTACCTCGCCCAGGCCGACGCCGTCGAGTCCTCCACTCCGCAGACGGACGCGCGGTTGCTAGGCTATTTTAGCCCGATCGTGAACCCCAACTTTGTCCGGGACTGCCGGAGCCAGAGGTACAGCAACGCCGCCGGGGTGCGCAACTTTGATTTTCTCGCCATCGTCGTCGTATTCGCCGTCGGCGCCTCCGTCATACTGATTGCCACGTTGATCGAGCCCATCGCCGCGGCCCTGCGCCGTGCGCGCGGTGCGGACCAGGACAGGATGCTGGCCTGGGTCTTTGACAGTACGCTGCAGCTTCAAAGACTCGCGTACGGCGCGGCCGGCGTGGGTAGCTGGCAGCCGGGCGTGAAGGAGGTGCCGACGAGCGACGAGAAATTCTGGCCCGTCATTGACCTGAAAGAGGTGGCCATGGCGGAGTCGCGGCAAGACCTCGTGTCTGGCTATAGTTGAGCTTCGTGAATATGATACCTTGAACCGGGAATCGGCCCAGTCGGAGAGGATGAATGTATACGCTGCTCCAGACGATTTGCAATCAGGATTTATCGATTTGTTCTATTTTCGCACAAACAATGACGAAAAAAATTCATTCAATCCTCTACGACACGAACCACTATTTCAGAGTGGTTTGTGAGCTTAAAGTAAGAAGTAGAGCGCCAGGCCAGCTCTTTTGTACAAGGTAGAACTAGAAATCGAAACCATCTATATCCATCCAGATCTATGTAGAAAAACATTCCAAACACTCCAAACACTCCTAACATTCTAAACAACCCAAATATCCCAACAGGACCGAGCCAGAGGTAAATAAGCTAATGAAGGTGAAGAGAAAGGTGTAAAAGCAAAGTACTTGCTTTGCTAGCCGACGTGCTATACGGCACATGCCTCGCTCTGTCCGCAACTTTCGGCGTCGCCACCTCCTTCTCTCTCACGCCGACTGCCTTGGCGACTTCCTGGCCTAACTTTTCCAGTTTCTTGAATCTCTTGCAAACCTTTTCCATTCTCTGGGCCACAAGTTCTGCGGTATATTCCTTATTCGTCAGTTTGGTGGTATCAATACCGAACTCGCATAAAATCCTCTTGCGCTCGACTTTGCTCATCAAGTGAGGTGGCACCTTGAGCACCTGACTACAAAATTGGCCTGCAAGGGCAATGTGCGCGTGGCCCAAGTCCTTGCGGAACTCCGTGGCCGCAGCTTCATCTATTTCGCGTCAGAAGAGATGATCAGATGTTAGAGGTTCTCTGGCGCAAGAACCGAGACAACATTGGGCGGGTGGACATACACTTTATAGCCTTTCTGATTGATGGTGGCCCAAGTTCCCGATACCCCGTGTACAAGGCTCCGCCAGCCATAAGCACGGCGGCGAGGAGGGCCGCGAGAGGAAGGATCCCAGTGAGGACCATCGTGCAAACGGCAACAGTAGCTGAAGTGGATTCACGTAACCACCCCAGCCTAACCGATTTACCCTGCTTATGGGCGGTAGCGACTAGCTCTCGGAGCCTGACCCCGTTCTCCTCGTGGAGATTGAGAACGCTTTGAATTGCTACCACATTCATGGTAAGGTCATAGAGCGTTTCGTTTCCGATGCCTGCATGGTGACTTGTTAGTGGAGAGGCCCAGTCTTTGAGAGTACCGTCGTAGACCTACTCTCCCCGCTCTTTAGTTCTTGAATGCACCCTTCCATGTCACGAACCAAGTCCTGTACGCATCTGGTAGACGAAAGGAGGCTGTTCCACGTTTCTTGCATTTCCAAGTCTGTGTCGCTGTCCTCAGACTCCTGCAGAAAGTTTCATGTCAGTTAGAGACGCCTGCTGAATCGAGTAGTTTGAATAGTCGGAGAACCTCGGGAGGGGTGTACCCACTTGAGAAGATGGAGACACGTTTTGGCGTGTGATTTCGATAAACATTTGAATCGCGGGAGCTAGTGCTTCGTCCCCTAGCTTGACCAGCTCCAAGATTTCGGTGATGCCGCCATAAAGATCATATCCCCGGCAGCACCGAGCGAGGCTTGCAATGCAATATCGCGGCTGAGAGCAGTTGAATCAGAGACAGTAGGAGTGGAACACACTGTGACGCAAGAACCTACATTCTTTCGAGCAAACTCTCTTCATCCTTGGGGGCCAGGTAGGCGACCTTGTCATGGTCCATGGCGAGGGAATGTTTAATCGCAACGTAGCCATATTGCTCAGTGACTTTGTCATCGATAGCGTCCCCAATGGGAGTGATTGTAGCCTGATGTGGCTGTTTCGCTATCTTGCGGAAGAACTCGTCGATGGTGGTCTGGAGAGCACCGTAAAAGCAGGCGCGCATCGCTTGATCTGGAGTTCCTGGGCCACTGGGGTTTTGGTTTTGCTTATAGAGCAGATTAACCTAAAAAGCAGCGAGGAGAGGTTGGTATATGAGAAGGCGAAACGGATCAAGTTGGAGGGATCTGGCACAGCTATTTCTCACCTCTACTGGCACGAACGAGTCCCTAGAACCTTGACTTGTGTAGCAAGGTATCGCTGCCTCGACGTCCCAGTCTGTAGGCACAACCGGCTTGCACGCTTCGGCCAGGGCTTTGTTGACTTCATAGTTTTGTCCCGCACGATTGAAATACCACACTCGCAAGCAAAGGCGGCTCGGTACGCTGTGGGATCTGCCATTCCTTTTGATGGTGATGATTTCGGAGGGGGTTCCACAGACACCATTTTCGGACTCTCTCCAAGGGAGACAACAGTAGGAGGTTTCAGGATGAAGAGAAAAAAGCAGTGTTGGAGATGTGAACGAGAATGTGTTGAGATATGAAAGAGAATGGATCGTGAAAGATAACGTATCGTCAAGAGCACGGAGATGATGTGAAAGAATGAATCTATATTGAATTTTCATCGAGGGGAAGTCGAGGCTAGATATGGAAGGCGACGTTCGGAGGGGGATGGCACAGCCTGGTCCTCTCGACCGGGTCCGAACAGGTCCGGTTCAGCTGGGTCTCGCTGGTGTCTGCGTCTAGTGGCTAACTGCGTCTAGTGGCTAATCCCCGCCTCCTAATAAAACCCAAAAGGGATATTCCATGCACAGCCGGATCAAGCAAACGCCAACCAGCTTGAGTGTGGCTGCCTCAGGCGTGGCACACTTGCGTCTAAAAACGCCTATTTCGCCAATCATGTTGGTCCATGAAAAGAAGTGGTGGTGGCTGATTGTGCACTCACATGAGACACGCCTCATTGCGAAGTCTAGCGCACATCTCAAGCGCATCGTGCTTCTCTTCTTAGCCTGGTTTTCCCCCTCCCTTTCCTCAACCCTCAAAATGTGCGAGCTATTCTTTCAGTCTCTGCGAGTCTCTTCCCAGCTATCTTTCCCTTTATAAGGCGTCGCAGCGACCCATCATCGGCTTCAAATGTAACTTTTGTTCAAACTGTTTATAAAAAGAAAAAGAAAATGGCAGAACACAACGGGATGCCACGTCTTGGGAATGACAGAAGCGTGGATGATGACTACGAAGAAGTCGTGGCGTATCCCGCTCCGGCCCAACCCCATTATCAAGACTATCACGAAGACTCTACAACTATGGATCCCTCGGACATATGGAGGGAATTCGAATCAGCTCGGAGTTCTGCCGAATACCATCTCGATGAGTATCTGCGCTACTTGGCCCAGTCTTGCCCCGCGATAGACGGAGAGACATGTCGAGGTAATTTGTGCCATCCTTTTGAGCATCGACAACACCTGTCCTTGTACTAAATTAGTCGACTCGGTTTCCTCGCTAGATCTCGAACCCGCGCAAAACAGAATCGCTATCCGTCGAAAGATTGCCCAAGATAGCGCGATACGTGACCTTGTCGCCATGGAAACTATTCTGGCCTACGTAAAGACACTGACGAAGCCATCTGGGTTTCCAACCGCAGCCGCGCTCTGGCAAGTTTGCAAACAGCGACCATCCCCCCTTTTCCACCTCGTGTTTTTTTCCTCATCCGAACCCTCCAACTAACTGGTAGCTTTCTTTTTCTCTTTTTCTGCTTAGCAGCACTCTCGCATGTGGTGTGTCCTCGGCAGTCATCCCCTCAAGTCTGCTATCATCCTCTCCCAAGTGGGGTTTGTAGGTGGCGCCATTGCTCTAACAGCACCGCCAGCTTGGAAGCGCTACCAAAGTACAGCCTCGATGCCGCACGCATCAGCGTCCATCACCTCAGACTGGCCTTTGAAGAGGATATCGGTTTGGTGGATGATGAAAGTCGAAACGTCTTGAAGAAGTCACGGTTCAACTTCCTCAAGTGGGAGTTTGCTTATCTATGAGCGGTCTTGGTCTTGCTAAAGGTGGATTAAAGCCTTTCCTAGGACTGGACGCTCACCGGCCATTTACAGGACGTTTGTACGTATCAACCTGACGGGGGTGGCTATGGCGGAGTCGCGACACGTGTTGGACCGTTCGTTGAACTCAGTCTTTGAGCGGAGCTCGATAGGCAAGACGCGACCCGCTGGGAGTGACGTTGACCAGGAAAACCTCATGCCTAGTTTCGTGAGAAAGGCTGGGGTAGATTTTGGCACCAGGTGTAACGATAGATGTTTTATTTTTGCTTGCATGATTGCGACCACTTGCTCCTTATGATATGTCGTGTCAGGAGCTTTCTTAAGCGTCTACAACAAGCTGTCCTATAGCGCTTGCCTCTGACACAGCGTCGTGGTGGATTACTCAAGCGGATGAAGAGTAGAAACATTATTCTTGTTAAAAATGCGTCTTTGATGGGAGGGGCCAATGTTGTCCCACGATAGACCTGCCTCCCTCCCAGTGCCCCCAAGAACCTGAACTTGTGCCAAGGAAATGGGTAGGCCTATTCTCTCATGACAGAATGCACTCAAGCAGTTCTCCTTCAGCCGCGGTTCCGGGGTTGCACAAGACCATATTGATCTAAACCAAACACATTGGTAGCGTGGCCGCGGGGAGAAGGACTTTCGGGAATAAAAGTAGCTTAAGACTTTTGGACGATCCTTACCCTTTGGGTAGTGGAATGGACCGACTCTTTCGAAGAATATTAATCTATCTGCAGGTGGCAATTGGAGAAAGATGGGTTGAAGGATTCTGCTGCTGTAGCGGGAAAAGCAGCTGGCTAAATGGCTGCAGTATGGAAAGTACTACGCCCAAGATTATCTGCGATTGGGACGGCCGCCAGAGACTATACACCGAGGGGAAGATACCAAACTACTAAAAGCAGTTCTCGCTGCTCTCTCTTCACTCTCCGTTTCTGTGGCGTACAAGGGACTCGAATCTCACGTTTAGTTTTTTGTTGATCTTTGCGCGCTCGTCGAGATGAGGACAAGACAACCACTGGCATTTGCCATCAGCGGCCTCTGGCTTGCTACGTTGGGACTGTGCTTGAATGCTCTCAAAATGTCATGTTCTCAACTTGTCGTGGATCGGCTTGATCCGTAAGCCTCCGTCCCGTACTCTTGGCCGCATATCCCCGCGCTAACAATCCCCATCAGCCTAGTGAACCCCGGCGTCGTTGGCTCGCCACACCTCCACCAAATCGTCGGCGGCAACAGCTTTAACCCCACCATGGACCCCTCCGACGACCCCGCCGAGCAGTCGACCTGTACGACGTGCACTTTTGCCGACGACTTTTCCAACTACTGGACAGCCGTCATGTTCTTCCGCGCGCGCAACGGCACGTACAAGCGCGTGCGGCAGCAGGGCGTCGTCTTTCACGAGGACGCGCGCGAGGGCGGCATCACGGTGTACTATATCCCGCCGGACGCGAATCTCGGGCGAGTAACGGGGTTTCAAAGGGCTTCCGCATGCGCACCGGTGACCCGGCGGCGCGCACGGCAGAGGATGCGGCGAAATTTCAGCATATTGACTATACTTGCCTCTGGGACGTAGGACAGCGGTATTCGAACCGGACCACCACGTTCCCCGCGGAGCCGTGTCCTGCGGGGATCATCACGACGTTGTATTTCCCGCCGTGCTGGGACGGCGTGCGGCTGGATAGTTCCGATCATTATAGCCATGTGTCGTGGCCTCTGGAAGGGGACATTGACACTGGCGGGGTGTGTCCGGAAACGCATCCCGTCGTAATCCCGCGGGTTGTGCTCGAGATCCAGTGGGACACGCGAGAGTTTAATGATTTAGACGGTTGGCCCGAGGATGGAAGTCAGCCGTTTACGTGGAGCTTTGGCGACGATGTCGGGTATGGGAGTCACGGGGACTACATATTCGGGTGGAAGGGCGATGCTCTGCAAAGAGCTATGGATGACGTGGAGTGCGGTAACCTAGTGTGTGGGTTGCCGCAACAGGGGATTCTTGAAGCGAATAAGTGTATGCAGGATCGTATGGTGACGGAGGATATTGATGATTGGTTGGACACCTTACCAGGTCTGACGAGCGAGGATAGCCACCACGAGCATGGCGACGCGCCGTCTCGGTGTGCCAAGAGTCGGAACCGAAGGCGCGATTATTGATGCATGACTGGCCAAGATGATCCATGGCTGGCCAATGTGGTATTATCACCGAGAAGCAAATCATCTTACGATGCTCAACGAAACTTGTAGTATGATTCACAATGGTACAAAAGCTTGACTATATACCACAGCAATCTTCAACCCAATACCAGTCTTTCCACAATCTCTTCCAACCAACATCCAACATCCGTCAGCCGTTCCCGTGAGGGTCACTTCTTTGTTGTTCTGGAGAGCACATCTCTCGGAAATTTCCACTTAGTCGCAGATGGCCGAGTTGCCGCTAGGAGTGCACCTGCCAATGGCACAGCAGGCCGTACCCCTAGCCTGGGGCTCACCAAACTCGTTGGTGGGGAAGATGCAGTCCTCGGGCTCGTTCCCGACGGGGGTGAGGAAGATGAGGCTAGCTCGCTCAACGCCTGCAGCAGAGAAAGATTGTTAGAGACGAATTGAAGGTCTGTTTTGTCATGGGAGCTACAACTCACATTGGTAATCGTTGACGATTTCGCTGCCGCAAAGGCGAGCGTTGCCGGGGCAGGACTGAGCCTGGACGCCGGAGATGGCGGCGACGGTGGCGAGGATGATTGCGAAGAGCTTGGCCATTGTGATGGTGGTGGAAAGTGTTGGAGTGAGGGTAGATGGAAAGTTGGATTTTGTGTTCTTTGTCAAGAGTGCTGGAGGAGAGCTGAGAGTGCCGTTGATGATTCTATAAAATTCTTTCTCGAGAAGCCAGAGAATACGGGCCTTTTTATATCCGCCGAGACCTGTCTAGACTGAGGAAGTGAAGATCGTATTCTCATCCCTCGACTGTCGTAGCCTTCACACCCACTTGTGCGCCGTGAAGTGATCGGCGAAGGCCCTCGTGCGCCCTTGGAGTCTTGTCTGATCCTTCTGATCGAGCTACCATGGAACGAAGGCATACAAGAGCGTCCGAAGCGTCCGACGTGTCTCGAGGACACAGTCAGTGGCCAAAGGGAAGGCATTGCGTCGTGAATAATCGCAGTGGCTTTGATGGATACGCATAATGGAGGGTCATCCAGCCACCACAGCCAACTTCTTTTGACAAGTTACGTGGGTTAGGTTGGCGCAAGTCTATTCATGGTCTCATGCATTGTTAGGATCTAGACCACAACTTACACGCAGAGAGATCAAACTTTCCTTTGGCAGCGCCCGCCATGGGCAGGGTCGACGGCGCCGATTCGGGCAACGACGGCAGGTTTCAGACCCGGAATAGTAATCCTCCTGCAGAGCGCACAACCCAAAGCGGCCGCACCATGCTCTCGGAACCTTCACCCAGAGACATGGGTCGTTGCCTAGCAAGGCCCTTTCTTTTGTCTTTTTTGGCTTCGCCACTGCGTTTGACGGCCTCCCATCCGCGTACCAACGTGCATTGTTCGGGGATTTTGGAACGCGGCGCGCAGTCAGCGCCCTTGCGTTTTTCAAGGATTCCTCTGTTCGTCACAGGAGCGTTCTTGTGTAACGACCGCAGGTCGCGTGGTGATTTGGTTTCGTGCCCACCACTACGGGCGTCCTTCGTTCCTCGTTCTGTCGTTGTGGTGGGCACAAGCATTCTGATACGTCTGTTTTGGTACGAGGCGGAGGGTTTGTGAATTATGCGGTTGGGTGAAGCTGGGACGGGGAGACGCGTGTTGATTTGTTGGTGGGATGGCACAGCGCCCTGGCGTCGGCGAAGAATCTAGGAAGCCATCCCGAAAGTAGCCGCGATCCACCTTGCTGGGGATATGGGTTTGCCTTACTTTCTGTGAAATGGTGGAATCGCGGTTGGCAAATTCGTCAAGCTTGGGTTTACTATGGAGTCATGCTGAGCCTATGTGAAGTGGTAGTTAAAAAGGCTCAAGTACATCCAGTATAATAGACGTGTCTAGCACGCCTAAAGCGGGAAGGCCGGTCATCAACGTGTTTGACATCTGCAAGAAAATCAAAGAGAGCATGTGCGCTCTTTGCCCGTTTTCTCGTCCCCTTCTGCAGAAGTGTCAATGACAAAGATCCCAACTGGCAGGGATCGGTACGGTCGGGAATTTCTATGAGTGGCGGCACCTTGATTTTGGCATGGTCACCGATGCGCTGATGTGAGCAAGGGAGAAAAAAGGGTCAAGGGCCATGCGGGGAGCTCGGGCTGCTCGGTCACTTGTGGCGGTAGGATTCCCCGAATGCTACGTGGCTGGCGTGAAGAAGAGCGGCCAGCTCCCTCGTCTCACACCGAGGAGCACGAAAAGGATTCAAGGTGTCGGAAATGCGATTGACGTATTCATAATCAATACGTCAGTGTTGAAGCTCGTGCCTCAATATTATCCTGATGATATGGCCGGGCGCCTCAACACTTGGTCAAGGGGGATTAGGAATCGCCGGCATTATGCCTACAAGTCTATCGCAGAGGGAAGGCAGCGGAGCGGCGGACGCTGGAACTTGGGAGTGCGGGAGGCAGCGTTATCGATCTTGTCATGTCAAGTTGCCTGAAGGGAAATGAGCGATGTGTTTATCGGCGTACTCCTTGCCTGCAGGCACTCTTGGGCTAGAGCTTGATCCATGTGGGTTGGAGACGCACACAGTGAAGGCGGGAGGAAGGGAACCCGCAGAGCGCCATGAAGAAATTCTACGGAACCGGTTGGGATGCAGGTAGACGGGGCCCTGGTTGAAGCCGGTGGCTCCCAGGCGCCTGTTTCACGACATAATCCATCCATTGATGTATCTATGCTTCTCGATTTCGAGACCCTTGTCCGACGCTGCAAGGGCGGGCCGCGGTGCTGTGATGGGAGTCGGGCAGTTTGATTCATAGAATATGGCCGTACCCGCAACACTTTCCTAGCCCAGTTAATTGGTTCGAGGTTATTGCGGTCGGAAATATGGATCGCTGATCCTGTCCTGGTCAACTTGTCGTCTACGATATGCGACTCTCTCCATCTCACGTCCTCGTCTTCAGACTGTATCCTCTCCAACCTTGAACAGCCCACATTTCAACACATTTCTTGCCTTTTGCAACAGCTAGGAGTCATCAAAATGAGAAAATCAATGCATCAATCGCTTTAGTAAAGTAATATCGACCCAGCCATCCAGCACCAGTACCGTGAACGACAATTATGCACAAATGAAATGCTCCGCGTCCGCTTCCCATGACTTTGGGAGGCCTCGGCCAAGTTAATCCCTCCTCCCTTTTCCTTTTCCCTTTTCCCCTTTCCCCCAACGCACACGCGCTCATCGCTTTCTTCAGAGCACAATCTGCCCTACCTACGAGGATGGCTTCCTACCCCGTATAAACCGGTAGGCCGTGATCAAGCGGTGATCGCGGCTCCGAACTCGCGCTTCACGCCCTCTATCAACACCTGGACTTGCTCGTTGGAATACCCCCAGACACGGGTAAAAGGGCCGGGGTGTGGGAGTCGACAGACATTTGCATGTGAATCAGCTCGAATTTGCCCAGCTCTTTCAGCGCGGGATCCTTGGCCCATTTCCCGATGGGTATCTAGGGCGACACGGTTAGCTTCTGGGGCGTAACAGTTTTTGCGTTGCTCCCTTTTCCAACGAAGCAAAGAGACTGTGGGAGGTAGGGAACAAAAGAGTCAAAAAGATACATACCCGCTTGACTTCCTCGACAACATCCTCGAATCCGGCATCAATCATCCACTGCTTGTGGTACTTGGCCATGTTGATTTGCCGGCCAAACTTGAGGCTCGCCTCGTCCAGCTTCTCCACCCACTCCTTGGTCCACGGCGCGCGCTCAAAACTATCATCATCACTATAAATCCAGGCGTCGTACTCTTGGATCTCGACCCAGCCGCCGGGCTTGAGGTTCTCTTTTATGCGGCCGTACAGCCGCGGCCAGTCGGACGAGGTACCGCAGAGGGCGCGGCCGTGGATAAAGTCGAATTTCTCATCGTCGCGGTACGTCCAGTCGTCCTCGTAGTCGTCGACGTGGAACTGGCAATTGACGGGGACCCATTCGGGCTGGATGGGGAGAGGTCGACGCCGTAGACCTGCCAGGAGGGGAACTCGTCGGCGATATCGATGGCCCAGACGCCCGTGCCCGTGCCAAGATCGAGCACGCGCATCTCGGCGCCGGGCGCGGGATCGGACAGGGGCACCGAGTAGAGGGAGCCGCCTAGTAATAGGCGCCAAATGTGATGTTGGAGATTGAGGCGCTCCTGCTCCTGGTCGTCGTTGGGCAGGACGTATTGGCCCTCGCGGTAGGCGTGGTAGCGTCGGCCGTTTTCGTACTGGTAGTGGAAGATGGAGGAGGAGATGGAGCCCGTGTTGGCGGAGGCGGCGTCGGAGCCGTAGGAGGAATCGGCGTCATCGTGGACATCGTAGGCGTGCTACGGAGAAGCGGTCAACAGTTAGCGCAACGCTTTCACACTGCTTTGGTTCCGTCCAAGGAAAATCGTCAAATGGTCTGTCGAAAGGGCTCGACCTACGTCAATCTGAAGGGGAGCTGGCGCATCTTCTCCCGCCTCTCCACCCGATGATGGCGAGTCGTGCGCGGCGGGAGGCGAGGCCGAGGGGCGAGCAGGACTCGACCCCGCTTTCCCGGGGCTTCCGGCCATGTCTTTTGTTGAACAATATATTAACAATAAAAAAGAATCGCCAGAAAAAAGAAAAACTACGCTTGATGGGCAATGAGATGTGCCAGTGGAGATATCCTGGTTGCAGTGCACTTTAAAGTTGCGGATCCTGCGCGCGAGGTGCGTACTACGGAGAGCGGGTAATGGAGAGAAACAGTCGGGTGGGTGTGGTGGGCACGTCTGTGGGAAATAATAAGATGGCCGTGGAATCTTTAATCGAAGAAGAAAAAACCGAGGCGCCGACGAGCCGTGGCCGACCCCATCCCTATCTTTTTGCTCGCACCATTCGCACCATTCGCACCATTCGCCTTTTTCCTCTCGGCGGGGACGAGTTCCGGCTAACCCGCTTTGACCGTCTCCCCACGCGACGGCTGGGCCCTACGTGCACGGTTCTAGCCGAAAATGGGTGCACAAATGCTGAAATGCTCCCTGTTTTCTTCTCACGCCGGCGTAAACCTGGAAGAAGCCAGCAACGCCAGAAGGCCATTATCTTTTCCACGTTCCCTCCAATGGCGGTGGGTTCTCTGCGCGTTGGCGAAAAGCTACTAACCTCGATGAGGAAACGCGGCTTCGACTTGACCCTCTTCGTGGGGGAAGGGGGGACTAGACTGGAGCAAGCCGTACCACTCAATATTTGGCTTAACAAGGGAAAGGAAGGGCGACCAAAGGAGGAGAATGGCCAGCGCGGACAGGACCTGGCTGCACCGGAGAGAGCTCCCCGCCGCGCCACCTCTTTCGTTTCTTCAAGCCCCTCGCTTCACACACGCATGAGGAAAAGCGCGCGTGGTTTGGACCTCTTCCTCGTAACCCTTCCATTGTCCCCCGCCCCTCCATTGCACCCCTGGTCACCAACTGTCCACTTGACTGGAGAATGTGTCGTTGTTGGGGGACTCGGCTGCCCAAGGGCGGCGACATCGACGCAATAACCCCTCAGACCCCATTTCCCCTCCAAAGAATACATCCGCGGTTCGCAGCATTACTTGTATTATAGTGCGAACCCTCTTTTTCCCCCTTTGTGACACCCAACGCACTCGTCCCACCACACACGCCCGTTTCTTGTTTGTTTGTTCCCCTCTGGTTATATTAATTGTTTGTTTGCTTGTTAAGTTTTTTTTTTTGGTCCACGCCCACAGCATGTCCAAGCTTATTTGCGTCGTCGGCGCCACCGGCAACCAAGGCGGCTCCGTCGCCCGCCGCTTCCACAAAGCCGGCTTCCGCGTGCGAGGTCTCTGCCGTAACCCGGAATCCCCGCCGCCCTCCAGCTCGTCGCCGATGCTCCGGGCATCGAGGTGGTGGCCGCCGATCTCGACGACGTCGCCACGCTCGAGTCGGCCTTCAAGGGCGCCCACGTCATCTTTAGCGTCACCAACTACTGGGAGCCCTTTATGCGCCCCGACTACCGCGCCAAGGCGTCGGAACAGGGCATCACCTGCCGTCGCATCGCGTACGATGTCGAGTATCGCCAGGGCAAGAACATTGCTGATGCGGCGGCCACCACGGCGGATACGCTCGAGGTTTTCCTCGTGTCGACGCTGAGCCATGCTGGCAAGGCCACGGGCGGCAAGATCACGGAGCTGTACCACTTTGATGCGAAAGCCGACATCTTTCCCTTGTACCTCGAGGAAAAGTATCCCGAGCTGGCTGCTAAAACGTCATGCATCCATACCGGATATTTTTCACCAGCTACAACATCTTGCCAGAGTCGTACTTTAAAAAGGTATGTTTGATCTCTATATCTAGTATTTTTTTCTCCTCCCTATATCCCTAGTCCGCCATGGTTAAGTGAAACACAAAAAAAAAAAACCACGAGCAGCCGCAACCTACAATGCTAACACACTTCAAGAATGCCGACGGGAGCTTCAAAATGCGGTTCACCACGAGTCCTGATAAGCTTGTCCCGCATCTTGACCCGGTATCGGACATGGGAAATTTCACCTACGCCGTGTACCAGATGCCCCCGGCAAGGCGTACATGGCCGCCGGCACCTTTTGCTCATGGCGCGAATGGATCGAGACCTGGGGAAAGATTGTTGGCGTTGACGCGAGTTACGAGCAGGTCTCCCAGGAGGAGCTGATTGCTTCCGCGTTCGATAGGGACCTTGGGATCGAGGTAACCCACATGTTTGATTATACCTCGGAGCCGGGCTATGACGGAGGGTATGACCTGCTCACGGCCAAGGACTTGGTAGAGGTACGTATTGCACATGTTCTTCCAAGACAAGCCACTTTATGACTGGTGGTTGGGCTAACGTAGCTTCATTTTCGTAGAATGGCATTGAGTGTCCCATGACTTCGTGGGAAGACTGGGCGAAGAAGAACGACTGGACCACCGTTCTCTCCAAGTAGCGGTACATGTAACCTATGCATCTAGATAGGACATTTCCTATTATACTCGTCTTTTGCAAAATTGCGCTTGCGGTGTGCACCTAATAAACCTCCATTGATAATTCAGTACCTTTTGATTCATGGTCATGATGGGCTGTCCCCAACAAACTCTGGGTACAATCCCGCCGTCTCTAGCATTCTCTCGTCTTCTGCCTGCGTGGTGCTAATGTCATGACGAATCGTGTTTCGAAACGTCTTCCTCCAAACCGAGCCCTTGTGCAAAACGTGTGAAATTGGTGCGTTGGTCGAGCGGACTATTTCCAAGGCTGAGGGCGACCTTGCAAAGGCTCTACCTTCCATTCAGGTGTTGAATAGCTTCCTGGGAACTTGTTCCAATTGCCTCCCTCGCATTGGGTCCGGCTTGAGGATCGGCTCAGGCTCAATTCGTATTCTAAGCAGGTTCTCCAGTTACATGTACACCCGTCAACCGGTTCAGCGCAGCTAACCAGTCCCACATTCAGCTTCACGACGTACGACAGGCATGAGCCATGTAGTATAGCCCTCCGTTGCTTACTTAGATTCAAGAAGGTGTGAATGCTCATAAAGACTCGGGGCGTCGAGCTGGTAAACAGCACAAGTCGGCATCGTTACCAGGCTCTCGACACGAGAGAACTGGCTGCAGTACCAAAACGCTACTGACGATTCCTGACAGGATAATGGAGTCTACTCAGATACAACAATCAGATCCGTATCAAGGTTAGCTCCGATGCAGCGAAACTGTACGGTCGAATCTCCATGTTCGGTAGTGTCAACGCGCGATTCCGAAAACGGTGCGTAATACTCATGAATTTACCAGAGCTAGACGGTTTATAATTGTATTATATCTCCGCGTGCGCCCAAAGATGCCCGCCACCATCCCTGTTCCGGTTGCCTCTGCGTTGCGTCCAACCTTGCCGTTCCCGGCCCTGCGCGTCCCCGTCCGCGTCCGCGTCCCCGTCCCGCCCAACTCTGGACTGATCCTCCCGGACATCGCCACTTTGTCCCTGTCCACCGTCGCCCCGCTCGTCTTCCTCTTGGTCTTCCCGCCCGCCGTCACCTCGAAACCAAGCCGACTCAACGAGCACGCTGCGGTGTTCATGGCGGAGCTTGATCGTATACTCTGCCGGGTTATCCTCCGAATAGAGGATAAAGCAGCGAGAGACACTCCTCTGCCCCGAGCGGCGGACGCGCATCTCGCACTGCATCTGCTCGGCTGCCGTCCACGTCAGCCCGAGCTGTATATAGTAGGAGGCGGCCTGCAGACCATCCACCGCCGTCCCCATGATGCCGGTAGTGGAAAACACGACGACAGTGGAGGCGCTCTCCTCCCCAAGCCGCGCGACCTGCCTCATGCGGGCTTTCCAACTCAGGTTAGAGAGGATGAGGGAGCCTTGGACTTGGGGGATATTTTCCTCGCACCACAGGTAGGCGAGGTACGCGACAATAGGCCGGACGCTCAGGACCAGAACATGCCCCGTGCCCGCCGCACCGCGAGTCGCCGCACCGCGCGTCGCCATGGCCTGGCGGATGAGGCGGCCCATCTCAGCCAGCTTGGTGGAGGAAGCCGCAAGCCTGTGGAACTGGCTTCGCAGATACCTGTTCTCCGGGGTCCCCTGGCGGCTCCAGGACTGGGGGCCCTGCTTGACTATATCGAAGAAGCGGTCCAGCTCCTCGGGGTCGAGATCGAGCAGCCCTGGCAGGTGCGCCGAGAGGATCATCAAGCTGAACGCGGCGTTCGTTCGAGCCATGGTCCAGAACCGATTCTCCGGTACGTTGGCCTGGCTCACGTCTCGTTGGAAGGTCGCGATCAGGTGGGTGAGGCGGGCGTGCAAGCCCGCGGGCATTCGGCAGCGGATGAAGCTGCTCTCGGACTGCGGTATGCGGATTAGGGCCGCGCCTCGAAATGTCCCAAGCACGGAGCGGCGCACCATGACCTGCGACAGGAACGACACGCTCTTCTCTATGAATTCGGCCCTTGGGTCACCCGGCTTGAGAGCGGCGAATCCTCTCTGCATGTCTTGCAGGTTCCGCGTCATCCACCCTTCCTCCGCGTCTAGCACGGGAGCGCCCTCGGAGACATGGCGCCACATGGATAGTAAAGCGATGGGCGAGGCTAGGTTCGAGGGCTCGGTAGGCATAGGGGTCCCGCTGATGAAGACGAGGAGGGGAGGGCATGGACCCGTGTTCACATGCTCCATCCAGAAGCTGAGGAGTTTCATAACCTTCGTGGTGGGCGTTCTTTCGCGGTGCCATTCATCATACGCAACAAGGCCCGGCGCAACGCAGTGCTCAAAGTCAACTCTGGCGCTATTCGCCTTACCCTCTATGGGAACATCCACCGAGCATGTTCCGAGCCTGTCCATGCTCGAACGCAAGGCAGATAGTGCCGCGATGCAGACGATATTCGACTGCCCGGGAGCCGGGATGTAGGAGAAGCTTGCCAGGTCGTCTGGGGTGGCGCGTTTTGCGATCACCGTCTTTGGAAGGATCTTGGGCTCGTATCGAACCGCCGCCTGTCGCAGCTGCAGGGATTGAACGGTCTCGGTACGGCCCGACGCGATGATGTGGACGGCCAGGGCGCTTTCGTCGAGTAGCTCTCCCGCAGCCTTCTCCCACTGGGGTGCCGCAGACGCGATCGAAGGGGCGATGATGAGAGCCGGGCCATCTACCAGACACGTACTAGCCAGTTCCCTCGTGTCTCCGCCGGGTACACAGTAGCATTGAATGCCCAGAGGATTGCTCGACGGGCAGACATGATTTCCGCCGCCGCCGCGGGGTGTCGTGGGAGGGAGGTGACGCTCGTCCAAGCTGCCATTCCAGGCCCGAGTCACGTCTTCCTTTGACTTGAGGATGGCATGGCGAAGGGCACACAGGGCTAGGGTCATGTATGTTTTTCCGAGACCCATATCGTGCGCCATAAACCCGCCTCTGCCGATCATCGGACTGCTTGCATCGCCGTGGACCGCATGGTGTTTGAACAGCATCAGTCGCAGGATATCGTTGGCCTGCCATAATCTCAGGTAGACCTTTATCCCGTAAAATTTGATCCCAGCACTTGGCGGGGCCTGGGGGTTCGGGATCAAGAATATTCGGCACGTGCGGCTCCAGTCATCACCGCCGACATCGCCCACCTGGCCAAGAAGCCGATCCACAAGTAGCATGCCGGGATCCTCGCTGTCAAGGATGTCGGATTCATCTGAGCCCAGCACGTCATCCTGGCTTCCGCCTGAGCCCTTGGGGGACGGTCTGGTCTCTGATGAGCTCTACATCCGAATCGCTCGAGACCGAGGGTGGCTGGGCCACCGGCGGGGTCTCGTGGCGGTCCGTCTTGTTTTCGCCGAGGCCGAGGCCAACGGCCTCATCGCAAAGGGGTGATGAGAACTGCCGTGTCTGTTGAACGATGTCGAGGTCGGAGTCAACAACTTCATCGTCATCAAGGAGCGGTGATCGAGGTACGCTCCCATCCCGTATTGGGCCGAGGCCCGTACCAATGGTTTCTTCACTGTGGAGAAGGGGTGGCTGAGGCGCGCTCGTATCCTATACTTGGCGGAGGCCAGGGCCAACAACAGCTTCTTCCTCGTCGTCGCCGTCCTTGGGAGATGCCTGAGGGTTACGTGACGCCTCTGGTAGGCAAACATCGAGATTAACAATGTCGGACAAGCTTGTAGGGGAAACCTGTTAGAAATGGCGCAAGTTAGCCGCCGTGTACGCGAGGTCAGCGGTGGCACAAGGCGGACGAGTATCGAGATCTAAATCGGATGGTTTTAAACATGGAAACAAAAAGAAAAGAAAAAGCTCGTACCTGATGAGGAGACAGGGCTGGATCATTCTGGCCTGGGACCTTGTCAAGGTCGGCAGAGGGTGGAATAGAGGGAAGACTTGGGGCAACGGCCCGGAAAATCAGCATGCCTGCGCCCATGCCGCCCCTGCTGAGGACCATATCTGTGGAGATGTCGTCGAGCAAAACCATGAGGCTATGACGTGTCGGGATGGAGCGTCTCGGGAGGCCGTGGATATCAGCAAATATGCCCACATTGCACAGCTCGCCGACTCTCAAGACCTTCCGAGCCGCTCTGCCAAGCCAGACTGTCATACGCCTGCAATTAAAGTCGGCGGACGTGGTGTGGAGGCGGTCCCAATGCTTTCGTTTCGCAAAGTACTGGATGCTTCGGTACGGGTACCCCTCTCGAGCACAATCCTGTATATCGCAGTCATCTGTCACCCCGTCTGGCAGGACAGCCAGGACGAGGTGGGCCAAATTCATCTCCCAACGCGGGCGCATCCCTTGACCGTCATATTCTAGTCGCCTGCGCTTCGGAGGGCGAGTGTTTTCTGTCGAGGCCATGGAAGGCAAAGCGTATCAAGGTAGTCGATAGAACGAGGGAAACGGTCGATTATAGTGAGAGGCGATGCCAACATTGCGAGGGCAAAGGGTCAAGGTCGTCTAGTTCAGAAAAGGAACAAAAGTCAGCTACTAGTCTCTGTTCGTGAGAAGCAATGCATCGCTTAGCTAGATTTCGGAGAGGGAGGAGGAAAATTACCAGCTAGGCGATGTCAACGGTATCATTCCGTGCAGCTTCTAGCGAAAAGATCAAGGCAGGCAGCTCAAAGTTTCCAATGTCAGCATGCCGTCCACAGGGAACGGTATTGCGAGCAAGGGCAAGGGACAGTTGATTACGTGGGTGCCTAGTCAATGCCACAACTGGATGATGAGAGCGTGCCAACTCTGCAGAGTCGGTTGTGGATTGAAGGAGAAGAAGAGGTCACGAGGACATGAGGAAATACTACGTAGGATGTCATTGGGGGAAGATGTGGGGTGCGGGGAGGAAGGAGCGCGGAGAATGTTCAAAAGATTTTTTATTTTTTGTGAAGCTAGAGCAAAGAGCGCAGTTGGTGAGGGCACGCCTCGCGCAAAAGGCGCAACTCGATCATTTGCAAAGAGGAAGGCGCGGCGTCCGATGTTGCTGTGTGTTGCTGTGTTGGGAGCTCTGGTGATGGCGGCGTCGGCGTTTGCGGCTCGCCCAGCGCCTGCCCATCATGGATGCGGACATCGGACACTATCACGTGGACATAGGGCGGGAAAAAAGGAAAAAGGGGGAAAAAAAGTCACATACTGGTTGGATGACGCCGCTCGATTACTTGTTTCCGGAGCACCACCTAAGTTGGGCAGTTGGAGCAAATCCTGATCAATCAGTTGATCGGACATGTCGCGGTATCATTTTCCAGTGGCGCGCGCGCAGATGATTGAAACCCTACACGCCAAGCACGCATCGCACCGTTGAAGCCCCGCGAGGGTCAGCGGTATCTTGGCCTCACTGCGCCTTCCTCTGCAGTAAGAAATTGGGCGCGCACCGTGATCCACTGCCCTGTGGGCCCGTCTGTCAGCGAACCGCCGTCCCCGCTTAGCTAAGCTGAACACCGCCCTTTTGGGAAATGTCCTCGGACGTGGGGACGTGGGGTTGAGGTCGTTCCGGATCTGTGGGGCGGCCGCCGACCCGCATTTCCAAGCTTCGCTTAGCAATGGATCACCCGATGTAAATGACAGCTAGACATCTTCATCACTGATGCAGCTCGGCTTCGGACACCCCTCCCCTGACTTAACCGAGAAAAACAAAAGAAAAAGAACCCAAAAGAAAAGGACGAATTAGTTTGGCCAAGTGTCGTATTTTCCAGTCACCCGTGGTGTACACGTAGCGGAACGTTTGCTCTTGAGAACTGGAATCGGGATGTCGGATTCGAGGAGCCCAATACAACGCAGTTGCAACATCGGTTGGCTGGCTGCCCTCAACGCGCGCCAAGATCATCTCCTTGGCCGCCGCCAACGTCTCTTTACCTGCCTCCAATCGATCCCAAAACTTGCGAGCTCTGTTGAACGTACTGGCACCGGCCATAGGCGATAATTTTTCCGCCAGCCGTCGTCAACCGCAGAGCGCCGTCCCGCTCCCTTGCCTCACAGCCACCGATGGGCATCAGCCACAGATGCTTTTTTCTCTCTCTTTTTAATTTTCATTTCCATCAATCTTTTTTTCTTTCCCATCCGACCGCAGTGAATCCTCCCCAAGCCCGCACTCTCTTCAACCATGTTGGCGGCAGGCTGAGGTATGACCTGTTTTTCTGGCGCTTTCCTCTGAACAGGGCCTATAAAATTTTCAAGGGCCGCGACAGACTTTGGCCTTCTCCCAACGCGCGAGGCAAATCAAAAGCTAACTCAATTTGGACAAGGGCGCGCGCCACAGGGTTTCCCTGTCGCGCTTCCGACATCCGTCCCCTTTCTAGACGCCATGGCTTCCATCAACAGGAGCCGCTGTCTGTGCGCTGTTTTACAAAGAAGAAGGAATGATAATCGGTGGGCAATGGCTTCAATTTGGCCAGCCCTTGTTGGACCAAAAATGACAAGGGGAACGCTCCCTGTTATTCCAAGGTCTAAGAGCAGCTACATCCTGCGCCAACAGCCCTCGCCTTCGCGCAGTCTTCACTTGTCAATACGGCAAAGGCAATGTAGGGTCATCCCCACGTCGGAATCGGGCTTCCACTGCCCCCTAGACCCCCGTCAGTTTCGTGCAGTTTTACTGCCGAGCCTAGGGGAGCAAGGGAGTCGCCTCCCGGGCCAGAGTGTCCAGCAAAAGTCATACATAATCTTGTTCAGAGATGACAGTATATGGGGTAAGAGAAAGGGCAGCTTCGCAAAGGAATCCCCCTTTTCCATCGACCTAACCCCTCACACCCTACGGCTACAAGCAAGTATCAGCAACTTCATCCTCCTTCCTTAATCCCCCTCTTACAGGCTCCTTAGACTGACGCTTTTTTCTTCTCCCTCAATTGTATTAGATTTGACATGGACATAGCGGTACGACGAGACCACCCCGCCCACGATCTCGACCTCACAATTCGCGCCGATACTCATGACAAGCGCCAACCACGATCGGGTGACGGCAATCATGCGTTTCGTCATCTAGCATCTTTATTTTATGCTTGTTGATGTCAATGCCATCCGGGGTCACCGTCTGCCATTGGGCTTTGTCAGTACGGACTCTCAACGGTCGATCGAACAAAGCCGCATCTTCAATAGCATAACATTGCTGCCACCTGACTTGGCAGGTCTGTTGGAATCCAGCATCCGGTATGCGATTCTACACTATGTAGGATGCTAAGATGGTATATTGTTGTGCAGGCTTCCCCAAATGCGGAAACCTTCGGCGCGTCGCCAACAGTGGGTCAAGGACCCCGATCGAATTTTTCCTCCGCCAAAGAACAAAGAAAGACACGGGGGATAAGTTTTTGGACGCTCCGGTATTGTCTGTTTTGGAAGGGCGTGGCGCCTCTTGTCCTCGACGGTATCAAGCACGTAGGTAGCATAGATAGTCATTCAAATCACAAGGCCTGCGTCGAGTGTGGCACCATTGATCTCGGCAACGAAAGCAGCGTGCCGTGCATTACACAACCCATGCCGTGTAGACAATTCATACGCACACATACAGTTTGACAACAACGTGGGCATTGTGAAGCACAGAGTGAACGCTGTCGTGGCCCCTTAAGGTCTTCGGAGTAGGGTGCGCGCTACCACGTGGGGATCCCCCAGAGGTGCCAGCCGCCGCCATCCGCGTTGCGAAATCAGGAGGCGTTTCTCGGTAACTTACGACTTCTGTCGAGGCGCCGACCCTTGTGACAGAGTATGCAACCCCGGGCTTGGTCGGCTTTCGATGGCCCTTTCTCTTCAGACGAAGACTGCGGCGAAAAAGGCGAAAACTGTCAAAAACCCCAGCGCCCTCCTCAGTACATCATTGACGGGGATTATCCTGATGGCGAACGTCGTGTGCACGGCGCGCACGCGTCTGGTGCAAGCCCGTACAGGCGCTCCAAGACCGACTACACCAGAGCGCGCCGGTGCTTGACGAGACGGACGCCATGCACCGTGCCGACGCACTACTCGTTTGGGCCGACAGCGGGAAGCTATGGTTCACGGCGGGCGACAAAAGGCAGCCCCTCCTCCTGTCATGATGGAGTCTCCCAGCGAATAGGAGAGGGGGAATTTCGAGAGGGTGTCGATTCTCGAGCTTCGCAAGGTGGCCGGTTGGCCTTGCTTCGTCCTCTCGCATGCAATGCGCATCTCTCACGGTGCGTCTCTCTGACGCGCCATCAAGGCGCCCCTCATCGTGGTGAGAGGCCGCGATACCCGAGTTGGCCGAACAGAGGCGGGAGTCGGGGACGACGGCGACTAGAGCAACGTCGACCCCTTGTCGTTTAAAGGAGACGATAGAGTATTTCACTAGGCACGGGAGGGTTGTGCCATATTTGGAGGATGGAGGATTCACGGTAATTAGCTAGGGGAGGGCTCATAATTATTTATTCTTATCCTTTATCCTGAGATTAATTTAAAACAGAAAAACAGAAGAAAAAAAGAAAAGAGAAAAAAAGGAAACAAGGATGCGCATAATTAATTTTCATTCACTTTCGACGAGACAAGGGGACAAGCGCGGGAGGCGGGATCCTTCCTCTACCAGTACCAAACGCCGAAAATTACGGCGAACGGGACCAGACCCGAAAATCAAACTTTCCAAGCTCGCGGGCACGGCGACTCTCTCGGCCAAGAACAGGCACAATTTGTCCAGGCTCCCGTTGATGGATTTCCAAGCGAGAAATGCATGCATCGGAACAGGTAAGGTATCAAAATAGCCTACTGAAGCAAATTGTACGTCGCTCGAGGGCGATATCGGAATATACATGATCTATGGCGAATGACCGACCTCTTGGATTCCCTAGGGAGCACCCACACTACTCAGCATCAATTGATCCATCTCAGCACCCATCTCGGCAACCACACACACCCTCTTTCGCTGTCATATTGACTAAAACCCACTGGACTGAGTTGTTTTTTTCTCCCCATCTTTTGTAGCAACCGTCTGGAGACACGTCTATGCCAAGGAGCGTTGGTACTACCTGTCTCTGTCGGGCGATTCTGGGCTGACAAAGATTTCTGCTGAAAAGGGATGAATTACGATATCTGGCCTTATGGTAACGCGCGATGGGAGCGTGACAATAGAATGTTGCCTGTCAGCCGGCATGCGGCAGTTTTGCCATTGGTTCTGTTACGTGGGATCGAGTGGATTGGAAATGAAAAGCAAGAGAGAAGAGGGGAAAGAGGACCGAGCCGCCGAGGGCTGGCACACTTGGTCGGAGAAATAAGGCGAGATCGCACATAAGGCACGAATCGCACGGCGATAACCCCTTCCTACGGTTGTGAATCTGAATCAGGATCTGGAGGGATCAGGTCTGTGGTCCGTGTACGGATATAGGCACCAATCTCTGGCCCCAGAGTCCGCCGAGATGGAAGGGATGGAAGGGATGGAAGGGAGGGGAGGGGCGGAGGGTTGTCGCCCGGCAGGGCAGCCGCCGGAGTCGCAACGGCGGCCGCCCGTTGGGGCAATACTCGATTGGCTAAATTCGCGATGGATGCGGGTACTTTAGCGCAAGCCACACGAGGCACGAGGCGGTGATTCGGCCCTGAGTCAGCAAAAAGTGGAGCGGGAGCGGATCCCGGAACGGCAAATTTCTGCATTTCTGCATTCCCACTGGAACGACGCTGGAACGACACTGGAACGACACTGGAACGACACTGGAACGACACACACTTCCACAGCCCTTGAGCGCGCCACGGGCTTGCCACGGACTTGCCATCAATTGATCCATCGCTGCTCTTTTGGGGGCGTTTGCGGAGGTACCATGGTTCAAATGTTGGAACCGCATCCCATCAGCACTGAGTGTTATAGATGCTACCCCAACCCATCTGTTCAAGGCGTGTAGTGACCAATTGGCCGTGGTCAATCTCTACACCCGCACCCACGCACACACCCAGCACACACCCAGCACACAACCCAGGTCTGTCTTCTTGTACCTTATTGCTGTGACCTGTTGCCTGTGCTGCAACCGATCTGTAATGTTGCAATTGTTGCCCTGCTGCGCCGCTTCCTCCCAACCAATATTTTTTTCCCTTCTCTTTGTGTTCATCGTGTTCGAACCACGATTTCGGCTCAAGCCGTGAACCCGAGCATGTCACTCGCAAGATCTGCTTCGATCCTACAAGGCGATGTACACTACGGCGGACCATCGTCAGTTCAGCTGCTGTTCGAGGCGGATACAACATACAAAGAGAAGCTCATTTGCCAATCCATGGTCTCCCGAACAGTGCGAACCACTTCTACCATAGCACGTAGTATGAAGGGAGTCAACCAGTCAACGCCCCCCCTTCCACCAAAGGTCTTTCTTTTTTTGGTAAATATTGGCTGCCCGACAACCTCCGCCACGTAGAAATGTGCACAGCCAACAGGAAAGCGTGCAACCCACCATGACTGCACAGAACACGCCTGTAGATGTAAAGTGCGAGATCCTACATGAAGATCCCTTCGCCATCATGGATTCGACCGTCGCCAATCAAAGACCGGGCACATGCCGAAACCCCACTCCACAGGCTTCGTGATTCCCGTGTTTCCCTTTTGGCGGCTTTTGCTACCAAGCCTAGATGGCTGTTGAAACCTTTACGCAGGTGGCTGTTCCATTTGTGCTGTGGTTCAAATCCTTCTCACCCTATACTGAGCCCGCAAGGATCGTATCTGGGTTCGCCTTTCTCTTGTCATCGCGTAATTAGCATCAGGCGGATTAGGGGACGGAAATGTGATCCCGCTGAGATCGATAAATACACGCTTGCCGCCTTTGTTGGTTATTTTACCAGAGGGCCAGAGAGTAGTCCTGTAACGCCGACGCCCCCAAGCTTTCTTTTTTTTTCACTCTGCGAAAGAGCTCTCTCTTTCTCGGTCTCTCTCTCTCTCTCTCTCTCTCCGTTTCTCCGTCTCTCTCCCACGTCACCCGTCGTTACGTTATGTCGCCCGTCGAACCTACCGTCGTACCCAGCCGTGGGGGCAGTCCGATACTGGACCAGAGTCGTCCCGCAAATGAAGGTGGTAGTTCTCCGAATAGACGGGAACAAAGAGTCCGAAAAGCCCTCGATCAGCGACCCTCTCGTACGTTTTAGATTCTGGTCAGGATGTTGGACATAACGAAGAACAAAGGTAGCTAAAAGAGACCACATATAGGTCGACATACGAAAGCCAAGCTCGAGGAACTGCAGCAAAAGTTGATATTACACGATCAGCAAGCTGCAGAATGGACTCGGGCCCAGTCGTTGGCCACATCCCCGCCAAGGTACACTCGATATACCAAGCAGCTACAACCTCTACCAAGGTACAGTCAATATACCAGACGGCCCCGATGGCAGACGATTTTGCAAGCAACGTTGATTTCTTCGTCAGTAAGTACATCGTGCCGCCGCTGGTGCTACCGTATGCTGCATGAGGTTAATATATACTAACATCGACAACCTCCTACAGGTACTATTGATGGCGATTCTTCTCCACATGGGGCCGGAGGCATGGATCAAGCATTCTCAACCTCGGGCAGTCTGACGGCACACATCTCCCCGCTGAAGCCATCCTTTGCGTGGGGCAGCCAACACGAATTCAACGGATCAGAAGAACCCTCGACCGTGGCATCGGGTCCATCATCCGCCGTGACACCGGCGTTCGGGTTCGAAGAAACCTTTGACCCAACACAATGCCTGTATGATCCCATGCGGAATAAACACGGCCAGCCAGAACTGGACTACTACGCGACTGGGATGTCTCGAAAGAAGATTCACCAAGATGTGAACGTAACGTCCCCCGTTCAAGACCGCATACTGTACATCATAGACCAGGTCGCGGCCATGGGCTTTGACTCGCTCGAGGAGGTTGTGGAAATATACTACACAAAGACGTTTGAAAGCACCTCTCCCTTGCATCAACATCAGAGATTGAGCCGTAACCGCCGCTTGCCTCGGCTTGTAGGCTCCTTGCACACCGCCGCCAAAAACTGGGATAACTGGGAGCGGCGAGGATTCAGAGAACAAATCACCCTCGGGGCGGAAGAGATTTTTGCCGAGGAGATGGATTTGTTCATTGCACAGAATCCAATCAGCAGTATCAGCAAAGATCCCATCGCCGATACCTTCAGAGACGAGCGGGTGTTGGGCGGGAGAGACACCAGCGACAGACAGAAACTTCAGAATGGGGTAAGCACCCCCATGCTTGATGTCCTTGATGATTTGATTGTGCAGCGTGGAGGCTAACCAAATGACCAGCTCCCAAATCTATGGGCTCTGACAACGGCGATAATACAAGATAATCACCCAGGCATAGTACTTGCGGTTCTCAAGATTTTATGCTTTGGCCGCAGTAGAATGATGGGGTGCCTCAATCTGGAAGACCTGACCAGACCCAAGACGACTGAAAATCCGAGATGAATGACCCTTGGAACACGGCTACAAAACAAAAGGTATGTCCATAGAACTAATTCAATTACAAGGGATTACATGTACTAATCAAACCGCTCTAGAGAGGTCATCTTTTCCAACTTGGCAGGGAGTGAAAACACTTTACCGGCGGCGAAGCATACGCTATCAGGTGAAACAGTTCCTGACAGCTTGAAGCCCTACCAAGACAGCAATCTACTAGCGTCCAAGTTTTACGGACTTATAGCTGTCTCTCCCTGAGCCACGGCATATAATCTGGAATCAAGCACTCCGAGAGGAATCCTGTTCCCGAGTCGTAGTGCTTTAAAGAACATATGAATCCTCTTGGCGCGATACCTCTTGAGGTATGCTACTGTCCCGAATCGAAGGCTTGTATCGCCGATTCTTACGACCGAGTTGAGAAAGCCGGTCTATCGGTCGACATCACCTACTTGTGGGACAGATCCAGCGTCACGGCGGGACAGGGCTGTATCGTAGAGAAGATCGAGGTTATTCTCGATTCCGGGGATATGGCAGGCCGGGTTGGTATATCGTCCAATCTGGTACAAGATGCGTGCGAAGCGAGCAGAACCTCTTCACACGAATGTTGGAAAGTCTGCTACAGGCTGAAATTCTAAACAAGATTTCGGGTATCAGGGCAGAGTTGGACGCTGATGCTGGTCTTTATTGAGGCTCGGTGACATGGTCATCGTGGGCGGTCTCCCTTGTATAGGCACAGGACATGGGTTTCCCCGACCTCAGGGGGCCAAACTTTTATAGAATATTTGGTATATCTTTCTATTCCTATTTCAACTTGCCTTTCACAAAAGAAGAGTTTCTATGGGATGTAGCTACAATACTTGTATATTGGAGAAAAATAGACCCATATCTACAGACACCTTTCAGGGATCCATTTCCTGCGCGTCCTGTTCCTTTTACTGCACATCATCTGCCCACGTACACTGCTGCCTACCGAATCTAGTACTATCGCTCAGACTCGCCCTCCTTACCAAATCTCCCCCTAGTCCCTCAGACCTTTGTCAACACACTTCACATCGTATCGGGGTGCGGGCCCACACCTCTCTACGCGCGCCATGACAAACCTGTTCCGAAATGAGCATGTCCCAAAGTTCTTAGATTGTTCATGCGTTTTTAAGTATACACCCCTAGGCTTACAGGTTTATGCAAAGGTTCCTGTCCTTGTACGGGGCCTCATGCTTTCATGCAGAAATGGATGCATATGTGTATGCGAACATGTTTCTCCCTCCTGTTTGGTTACCATGGCCATTCCAACGTGTTGCCCTTTCTTGCTTGTCTGTATCAAATATTCGTAGGATCCCTTGACATATTTGACTGGCAAGTCTAACTTGAAAAGGCCTTCTTCGTAGACTCTCTAAGGGTGTTTTCACCCTACGTTGTTCTATATCTTGGTGCCTCGCAAAAAACTATATCAGAGCATTTTCTTTTGTTGGTCCACTTTATACCATAACCTAGCCCCTCTCTGCTTTCTGCTAGGTCGCTGCCTCATTGACTCTGCAATATTCTTCGTGACCTGTAATGTCCGCTCGCGGAGTAGCTTTGGAGCTTTTTCTTGATTTCTTTTTCTTCTTTAGTATTATTCTTTAAGCTCTCTTGACATCCTCTGCAGGTATCGGAGGCCACCCTCTTCAGGCCCCTGCGTAAGTTATCCTGTTCTTCTGAGCCAAGAATTATAGCCCTACAGGAACCATGGGAGCGGTTGCCCTCGACGCCATCATTGGTTCGGGAATCAGGGCTAGTATTGGTGATGCTGCTGAGCGGCACAGCTTGTAGCTCCTGCAGCTTATTCTTGTTCCGCAACTCTGGATACGGCTGCTACTACTAGAACGGCTTTCCGAGTGAATGGTATATCCACCGAGAGGGGTTTCTTCCTCCGTAAAACATTCCCGAGGGCTCCCGGATCGTTGGGGTCAGTATCCTAACGTTTGTCTGGGCTCTTTTCACTGCCTCCCCTTGTAGAACCTCATGTGGTCATTCACATATTGGCCGATATATTCATCATCTCGGCGGTGGTCTTTATGACTTCTAGCCGGAATAGAAACTAGAGACTTTTGTGGAAAGCAACGATGGGTAGAGGCGTAAATCTGTTGAATATTTAGCTCTTGTATGCGCGAGAACGCTCCGAAAACGATCAAAGATTGAATTATAGCTGCCGGCTAACCTTTGGACCCAGCTGAATATAACGAAGCAAGTAGACCTCCAAAGAAAGGGAGTTTCTTATCATTTCCAGTATCTAATTCAACCACACTCGAGCACTACACTTGAATACGCATAACGGATAAGAATATTGTTGGACTGTTTGATTCCTCACTCAGCCACTAACAGGTCTCGACTATTTCTAACCCTAACGCAGCCCAACCTCAACAACGCGTCCTAGTGTTGGAAAATCACGTAAACAATGGCCCAAACTCTTGGGAATAATTGTATCACCGGCTCTCCAGTGATCAATTCAAGTCCACCTGACTCCTATTTTGAACGTGCAGTACGGATAAGAATATTGTTCTACTTTTCATTGCCTCTCCGCTCTGAGCCACACAGGCCCTGCCTGTTCTAACCCTAACGCATGCTGACCTTAGGCAACGATCCCCAGTGTAGGCTATTATTAGAATAGGGATACATAGGCTACTATGCATTGAATATCCTCTCTCTAAGCCGCCTTTCGGCCGCAAGAGGTAAACCATGATAACACTACTCTCGAAGCTCATCTGTCATATTATTTGAGGCCATAGTCCTTCTGTTTAGACTGAATTGAAAGGCATGTCCAAGATACATGGGTGGTGACACTGCAAGAGCATGCTAAACTCATCAACACCGGGTGCCCGGGATTAGCATGATAAGACCCTGCATTCCCAAAAACGGAATTAGTAAGCGCTAAAAATACGGGGTGGGGGCACCACCAGCTGCCTAGTGATATTTCGGGGGTTCCTGTCTCTCTCATCTTCCTGGAGCCTTTTCGCGGCTGTCAACCGAAGATGGCGCTTCAACAACGCATACCGACGGTCGAAGCCGCCGATGTCTCTCCCGTGCAGACGTCGGCGTCACCTGCCATCGCCGCCCTAAACTTCGCCGCGAGCTTTCACCGCGACGCCGAGGCGTGTCGCAACGCGCGCGACCGCGAACTCCTGTACGAGAACTACCGCGACAAGATCCTCGCCATCGATACTTTTGCCGCCAACGTCGCCGCGGCCTTCCTGCCCTTTCTCCGTGTCGCCGCCAGTCGCAGGGATTCCGATGCCGGGCGCTGGGAGGATTTTAACCGCCTCGCACGGCGGGGTAAGGCCACGCGCGACCGTGCAAGCCAGCACTTGCAGCATCAATCCGGCGTCATCGCCGCCTGGGGACTCGAGTGTTTCCAACACTATGGTTGGCAGGCCCTACCGCTGCCGCTACTCCGCCAGCTTCACGACTTGGCTGTGCTGATGCCGCGCTGGGACGATGTCGTCAACCTGCTCAACTCCAAGATGCTCGCCCGCCACGAACTTCGCGTCCTACGCGGGAAGAATAATGCTCTCCGGGTCGGCGAGCACTCTGCCGCGTCCAAAGTGCAGGATTCGCGCTCGCCCGTCGAACGCGCGGATATCCTGGCGGCCTTGGAATGGGCTCGTCAAAAGCCACCTCGGCTGTCGCGCGCAAGCAACTCAAGAAGTCGACGCTGGTCATCGGCGGGTCCCCCATTAAGAAGTTTGGTCTGAAGCGGGACCACTACGGCATGGTTGTGCCGTCGACGATCTCCACGAGCGGCTCCGACAATGAGCAGAGCGACGGAGATGAGGATGTTGATGACCAGAGCGATGGAGATGAGGATATGAATGACCAGAGCGAAGAAGATGATGATGATATCAGTGAGAAGAGCGACGTGAATAAGGATATGAATGACCAGAGCGACGGAGATTCCGATATCGATGACTACGATATATCCCCGCCATCGCCCAAACGGGCCAAACTCTCGGCAGCCGAGCCAACGCGTCCGGCCTTTCGCGGATTACTGGTCAATCCGCGGGCTCTGGAAGTAGCAGTTCCAGCTCGCGAAAGGAGGAGCACAAGGGCCGCGATCGCCGCTAGCAGCAGTGGCTCGATTACTCGAGATCGTAGTCGCTGCGACAGCGAGATGTCAGAGCTCGAACGGCCGGAAGCGGTTCACGCAGAACATACTCGGCACGAGTGCGCAAACGATACGCCAATATCCAGAGCGGTCATGACGCAAGGGGTCATGGAGGATGAATCCCCTTTACGCATAGGTTTGCCACATAGACAAGTTGGCACGGAAACAGCGCAAAGGGCCTCGACGGACGACGAGCGTAGAAAGGTGCAAGGTGATGCGACGGCGCGTAACGCAAGAATCATCGCCAGAGACGGCGAGAAGGCGAGTATGGAGGAAGCAGCAGAAGATGGCTGCCACGTAATCCAAAGCTTACCGGAGAAATATGACATGGCGCATGCGGCGCATGTGGCGCATACTCCCCGCCGCCAGATGCCGCGGGAGAAGACACAAAATAGAATATGCCCAACCACAGCAGAGTCGAGAAGAGGCACATATGGATTTGGACGCAGCTAGTCCTCAATCACAGAGCCGGGACACGGTCGAAGAAGGAGATGGAATTACATCCAACACCCAGACAAATTGTAATCTGGGCACGCGCAGAGTAGTAGACGATGAGGAGGTTGTTGTGGAAGGGGAATCCGAAGATCCAGCCCACGTTGGCGAGGCAGGAGAGGAAGGCGGGAACCATGAAACTAAAGGGAATGCAGGGGCCGTAAATTTACCCGTAGAGAATTTGGTTGACCCAGGCCGAGCGAGTACGAGTGTAGACGGGACTGTGGGGCCAGACTTATCTCACGCATCAGTCTCCGACGGCGGGTCGCCCTCGCGCACCGCGGATTCTCTGCCCGATCATCGCATTGGCACTCTACCACGCCAGGAAAGTGAAGCGGTGAGTTCCCAGCGCAACAACAACCCACTTCCTGGCCGTTCTCGATCTCGACCGTGACAGCTAATAGTGAGACACGCAGAGAGCGGACAAGACACCACCACAGCCGGACGCGCCGCCGTTGTTAGCGCCGCAAGCACGATTGAGCAGGTCCGACGGGAACCAGCCGATACCGATACCGATACACATGGCGGCCCCAACCGAAACCCAACCAAGCGAGGCCGGCGGTGGGAATGACTCGCCACCGCCGCGACCGCCCACGCTTCTTCAGACTTTGCAGCAGAGTTACGCGGCCGACATCCGCCAACTCGTTCACCATTTAAAGCAGCCCCACGCCTCCGACGAAGTTCAGCGTCAGCGCCAGCTCCAGCTCGACTGGCTAGATCCGCAGCGCTGGGCCAGCGTCTACGCCGAGCCAGAACACCAGCTCGGTGGAAGCTCGGTAGCATCGCCCAGCGACGCCGACGTCTGGTATTTGAGCTCGGACAGCTTCCACCGCTACGCCGAGGACGGCTATATTTTCCGCCGACCTGTCGTCGTCAAGCAGCAGTTTCAGGACAGTAGCATGTACGACATCGCCGAGTACATTGACATGCTATGGCAGCGCTTTCCCGAGCAGCAGATCGAGGTCCAAAATAGCGCAACCGGCGCATTCTCGTTGATGAGCATGAAGGATTATTGCCTGACGGCCACCAAGGTCGATTTGAACTCGTTCGATGCCATTACGCCCATCAGCAACGCCACAAATCTCCATCGTCTGGCGCGCGCGGATGAGCCGGTACTCAGCAGGCTACCGCGCTTCCGACTGCTCTCGACACTCGCAGATCGCGTGGCCGGCACGGTGGGTAGGAGCCGGCATCTCGGCCAGAATGACATGGGGGACCATCTTGCTTTCAACACGCTGAGCTTTACCGGCGCACATGCCAGACCGCACGTGGATGCTCTGGGCGGATGCTGGGTGCGATGTCTCGCCGGCCTCCAAGTATGGGGCTTCGCGACGAACCTCGATGCGGACGACTGGGAAAGATTCCAGACTGATCGCTGTAATTGGTCGCCGCAAGGCAAGGGCCGGCTCATCGTGATGGAGCAAGACGACGTCTTGTTCGTACCACCGGGTTTGCGCGTGATACAAGTCACCTTTGCTCTGGAACCCTGTCTCATGGAAGGCGGACTCTTGTGGGATGAATGCGCCATCCCCGAAATCTTGGATGAGCTGCTCTGGAACGCCAAGCGGCCAGAGCGCAGGAGCGAACCTAATTCCTTTCAGCTACGTGCCGTCGTGGACGCGTTGGAGAAGTGGTTCAACGAGGAAAACTGCGTCTACCCTTCTCCGCCTCTTGCGGCAACGGCGTTGGAAACCGGCATTCAGTCGTTGCGCTCCTTGGGCTGCGATTGTCCCCGCGACTGCCATGGCTACGACGATTGCCCGTGTATACTCAACTGCCGCCCATGTACGACATGGTGTCGGACGCAATCCCAAATGACGAGTCCTGGGCTCGGTTTGCAGAATGTGCAAGGGCAGAGCTTTGATTGCGCGAGTGGCAGGTGGCCAGCGTAGAAGAACCTTGCCTCTTCCTCCCTGCTAGTGCGGTAACTACTGTTCGGCAGTGATTTCTCTCGGGAGAACGTGGGACGTTCCTTCTGGATGCCTTTATATAGTCGTGAGAAGAATAGTTGTCATTTTACTTTTTCATAGTCAAATTAGAGTTGCGATGAATCCTGAACCAAAGGGAGCCCGGCGAGAATCCCCGTGAGACCTGGGAAATACGAAAAGAAAAGTGTGAGAAGATTCTATATAGCCTATCTTCAGAATGACTACGCGAGCGGCACAGACAACGCCGCCGCTCAGTTTCTCCACCTCTTGGTTCAGATGGGACTAGATACCAAATCCTGTCTTCTTCGCAATATGGATGTCTTTCTCCTCAATACATGTACTCTACGCGGCCACCTATATCCAATGCGCCAGTTCTATCACTCCACCCATACCAAAGTCCCATAATTGACTTGTTAATGTCTAACCCCTTGATGAAGCTATCAAAACGAACTTTGAAATTATCGATCGATCCGCATCTTCTCTCGGGGATTGAAATACAGCGGCTATCGTCAAGCCTCAATTTTCGGCTACAGATCAACCGGACTCTTCTCATCACCCTCGTCTTGGTCTTTTGAGCTTGGCTTTCCTCGCTGATCTGGTGCTTTGCCCACCATGCCTTCTCTGTCTCCGCCCGAGCTTGGATCTCACCAATTTTGGTTCGGAATAATGTGTTGGCGGCGATTTCTCTCGCGGACTGGAAGATAAAATTGCCCCATTGCGGTACCAAAGCATTGGCCTAGGCAAAGAGGAAAGCAGGGCTTTAGTTGTATCCCAGAAGGAAAAACAAAACAAAAAGAAACAGCTAGAATGGGCTGGCAAACCTACCTCCATTACAGTATCTCTGATTTCCTCCTCCATCTCCTTCTCCGTTTGCTGGAGCCGAATAAACAGCTCCTCCCCAACACTTCCACGTTGGAGGAGGGTGCCGCAAGCGGTCTTTGCGCTTCGTAGCTTGTCGACACGATTGATGTTTTCGGTGGCGCGTCGTAACAGAGCGGCTCGTAACACAGTCTCGGGGACTGTTCCGCCTTCGGATCTCATGTGCTGGAGGCTAAGGTAGACATCGCGTTGCAGATGGGGACCGAACCACGGTGCCTGGCTCGCAATCTTGGCTGGATAGAACTCGCAGTCAGGCTCTTGGCCCAAAGGGGAATGTATGGGGTGGTGAACATACACGCTCTCCAGTTACGGTAGAGGTTATAGAGAGATACGCATGATCCACTGATTACCAATAGGTAGGCAAGCGCCAGCGCCATGCCTACCCAGTCGGCGTGGAATAATTGATCCCACATGGTCGTGATCAGGGCGATTTGTGGTGGACAGGAAGGACGTTTCGACAGGCAAGATTATGCACTAGTGATTTAGTAACGAAATGCGAGGAGTGAAATGGATGGTGTAGGTGAGGGAGGGGGCGGAGGTGCCGAGCGTGAGAAGAACGGCCCAAGCCATCCTGCCATAGCCACACCTCCCGCATCCGAAAGAACAACTGGCCGTTTCGTTGCTCAATATTGGATTGTTTGCTTACACCCGCCCGCGCATATACGTAGACTCTACCGGAGAATAGCCGCCGTCCCAAGTATTTGGATAACGGGCCATCTTTCCCTCCCGGTCAAAGGTACAATAAATAAAAGCTGGTATGGCGGGAAAGCCATACATCATGTAGATGGCAAGAGGTAGAAAATTCGAGAAACATTTTGGTGGTGCCGGTCTCTTAGTTCACTCTTGCGCATTGCGAACTAGGGTCAGTACACGACCCGCCTTGTCGCGCGCTTTGCGAGACCCCCAATTCCAGTCTTCTTTTCTGTCTGTGAGCATAATCCCTGTATATGTTTTATCAGCCAGGACTTGGTTTTCCAGTTGGTTCTGATGTTGGAATTATCATCACAAATGATTGATGGGCCAAATGTACATCGTTGGCAATAGGATGACACGACATGTTAGTGTGCTTGTCGCAGCAGTTGATCGTGTAAATTAATTGTATTGAGGGTAACAGTTCAACACTATTGGGAAGAATGGCAAAGAAGACATGAGCAAATATACTAAGATCTCGAAAAATACGATATAAATCATCTCTACGTGCAAGGAGCAAGACCCAAAAACAAAAACAAAAAAGAAAAACAAAAGAACAAACGAAAAACAAACGAAGCAACGAGTTTCTTTCCAAGCTCATGAGTCGCCTTTACTAGCCATGGCCATCCTGATAGAACCTCCCAGGTGCGTCAACGAAGGGCTTTGGAGGATAATGAATGTGCTAATCTCAGCACCAATCTGCTGCCGGATCCAGTTCCGCAATTCCATAGCAATCAACGAGTCCATTCCGACATCTACGAGGGGCCGGTCCAGGGGGAAACTATCCTCATCCTTGATCAGAATTTGGCAAGCGCCGCAGCGAGGTGTTTGGCGATGAGACTGGTAATGGCCTCTTCCGACTGCTCAGCCGCCAAAAGGCTTTTGAGCGAGCTTTGCTGAGACGAGTTGCCGATGCTAGAGGCCTCGGTCGAGTTTTCAAGATTGTGGTAAATGGCCATGCGCCTGTCGACCTTCCAGGAAACCCGGGTCGAGGGGGACGATATCGGCGTGGTGGTGTTGAGCCCAAGGCCCACTTGGCCAACGCTTCGATGAAGCTTCTTATCCCTTGATGGTTGCGCAGGCCGGGACTTTTCGAGGGCCAGGGTAATGGCGTCGAGCAGATTCTGCTCTTGCAGGATATACATGCCGGTTTTTTCCAAGCTCTTGAGGATATTCTGATTTCTTGCCACGAATCCGACACTCCCCATCACACCGATATCGATGACAGATGATGGGAGTCCGTTGCGATGTCGATATTGCACAAAGGCGTCGAGGAATGTATTGGCCGCTGCGTAATTGGCCTGGCCGCGCAGGCCGATCTGGCCATTCTGCGACGAGAACAAGAGGAAGAAGTCCAAGGGCGACGAGGCAGTTGCGTGATGCAGGTTCCATGTTCCCTTGACCTTGGGATCTACCACAGTTGTCCAGTCCGAGAACGCCATCTCGGAAAACACAACGTCCTTCAACACCATGGAGAGGTTGATCACTCCCGCGATGGGTTGAATGGCAGTAGCGGCGTCTACCGCTCGTTGCACATCGCTCATCACGTCAACGCTGCCGGGAACGAACAGCACCTGGCAACCCTGGGAGCGCAGCTCCTCCACAAAGCCTTGGGTTTTGGGTCCCTCTTGTGCGGATCTGGAGAGGAATACCAAGCATCTAGCACCGTTTTCGACCATGTATGTGGCGATGAGCTGCCCTAGACCACCTAAGCCGCCCACAAGCAGGTAGCTGCGGTCGGGGCGGAAGGTTGGCGTTGGGGTGGATGCCAGCGGCTCACTGGCTGACTCGGCTCCTTGGTCTAGATCCAGATCCAGTGGGTCATCCGGCATTTCGATGACGATCTTGCCAATGTGCTTCGCTGCTTGCATAGTCCTGTAGGCGGACTGGATATCGGCAGCCGGGAATTTGTCAGAGATGGGCAGACAGCTGACGCTGTTGGAGCGAACCAACTCCACGCAGCGATTCAGCAAAGTAGCAGCCCTTTCCGGGCGGGATTGGCACAGTCCGCCAAGGTCCAGGCCGACAAAAGCCCGGTTCGCTTCGAATGTCTCCATAGCGAGCTTGGCTCGTCGCTGGAAGTCTCGCTTTCCAATCTCGATCATGATGCCAAACTCGGCGACACACTTCCACGAGGCCTGTAGGAGATCGCCTGACAACGAGTTGAGCACCACGTCCACGCCAACATTATCTGTTATCCGCAAGATTTCGGGGAGGAAGCGCGAGTCACGCGAATTGAATATATGACTCGGCTCGATGGAACAGTTGTCGATAAGGTGATTTCGCTTGGTCTCGCTTCCGACCGTGCAGTATATCTGTTTGAAAAAGAAATGGTCAGAAAAGCCAAGCGTTGAAGAGGACCAGGCTGGTTAAACACTTACCTTTGCACCGATCATCTGCGCGATTTGGATTGCCGCAAGGCCGACACCACCGCAAGCCGCGTGGATGAGAATAGACTGAATTGAGGAAAAGGAAAAAGAGACGTCAGAATATTGCTTCTCGCGTTCGCTCATTTGATTTGTTTGTATGATCACTTACCTGCCCCTTTTGCAGATTCGCCGTGTCAACAAGTGCCATGAGAGCGGTCGCGTAAACGCACGGCATCGTAGCGCCTTGGACGAAGCTCATGGAGCTGTCCATTTGGACGCACAAAGTTTCCGATAGCGTGATATGGGTTGCGAAGCAGCCTCCTCCCATATACATGACACGATCGCCGACGGAGAAGCGCTGGACTCCGGGCCCTACCGCCCGGACGATACCGCTACCTTCAAAGCCCATTTGGCTAGGGCTACCTTCGACGATGCCGAGAGCAATAACAATGTCCTGTCACTAGTCAGTATATCGGTGCTTTTGCCCAACACGGTTTGCGCGACCACGAACCTTGAAGTTGAGACCGACTGCCTTGGTCTCGACAAGAATCTCCCCTCCGCGGGACTTTTGATTATTCCGTTGCCCCATTTCATAGTGTGCAGCAGACCTGGAGTTGTCATGGTGAGTTTTTAAGCCTGTCATCGTGGGCCGTTGTGTCCTCGATCCCGGCGAATGCAGAGGATACCGTCTGCCAGTGGAAACGCGAAACAAGGATTTCTCCTTCCACTATGGCAAACTCGTAGTCAGGATCCATGGACTCGGAGGTCACGCAGTGCGTTTGAGCTCTGCATAGTATGTCAGTGATGCTTTTCACGGCAGTTTCTGGCGTCGTTGCGTAATCAAGTTCGACGGTGAACAGCTGCGCGGAATTCTCGTTGCGAACTGTTCTCGCCAGCCCAAGTATCATGGCCGCCCTAGGATCCTCGCAGTCTACCTGCGAGGCTCGCGTTGCCCAAACGATGTTTTCTTTGAGCGATTGCATGTAGGAAGCTATGGTTTTAAAGGTTTCCTCGGACATGTCGTGGAGTGTAGGTTCCTGAAGATCGAGGAGCGAAATCGTATCGCACGCGGGCAGCGCCTGACCAAAGAGGCAGATGGTAAAAGTGATCTCCCGATCCACGAGATGTCGACAGAGCTCGGCGACATAGGGCCCGTCTGGTGTATGGCACAGAATCGCCACGCTCGGCGGCGTGGCCGTCCGGGGCTGCGCGAGACGATGATACCGGCGCTGAGATGATAGGGGCCACGGAATCGAGAACAATCGCATCAGGTTCCTGGAACCCCACAGCGGCTAGCTCTTCCTTCCAGCGTGCTGGGGAGACCCATGGCTTCTCGACACGGTTGTCGTCGGCCCCAAGCCACCAGCCCGAAAAGTAACCCTTTGAAGTTGTGTCAGCCTAGTAAGCACAAGGACCCTATCACCAAGATGTGCCCCATTCTTATAGCGAAAAAAAGAAAAAAAGAAAAACTGGTTCAAAGGACTGGAGGGTAGACTTACCATGATGTAACTGATAAACATGGAATCTGAGCAAAGGTTAGCAAAGGTTCAAAATGTAGCTAGGTGCGGTGTAGATTTCACTTACCCGGGCAGACTTCTTCCAAAAACAGGCGCCCATCAGGCTTAAGCAGACTGTGCACGTTGCGAAGAGTGACGTTCAGCGACGGGGTGGCGTGAAGAACCTAAAAGGGCGCGGATTATTAGCGTCGTGACCCAGCCCCGGCAGCAACAAATGCATTCTTTCCGTAACAGGACACCTACATTGGCACCAATGATCAGGTCGTAGCTGTCGAGCTGAAATCCTTGCTCGGAAGGATCTTTGGAAACGTCCAAGACGCCGTACTCAATGTTTTCAAAGCCTGCGAATCTCTCTTTCGCTGCCGTCATGAAACCCGCCGAGACATCGGTATAGGAGTAAAGGCTGTACATACGCTCTCCGTAAGGAGATGTCAGGGCTTGAAGGACCTTGGATGTTGTACCGCCTGTACCTGCGCCGACCTCTAGAACCCGCAAGTGGGGGTTTGTGTTCGCTATCAGGCGAATCGCATCAACACAGTCGAGGGACGCGGCATCATAGATTCTGCTAAGCACGTTATCCGGTAGGAGGACGTGCAGAGGGTGCGTCTCCCGGAAAGAGGTTAGTCGCGTCAGCAAACAGACGATGGACCGCCGTGGCAAATACGCCGTCCAGAAGACCCGAAAGCTCCGTCAACGTGGCGTCGATTCGGGCAACTCGCTGCTCGTGGTTCAAAGTCCCCAGACCAAGGTCTTTGGAAATCAAAACGTTGGCGCCGGCCTCGTACCGCTCCGTGTGAAGTCGCATCCAGTCCAAGAACTTGAGAAGGTGCTCCGGGGTGCTCTCGGCCACCTTGATTTGATCGAGGTGGTCGTAGCTGCACAGGGTGATGAGTTCCTCGAGCAGAGGCCACTCCCTGAGTCGTGGTGCGCGCGGGTGCAAGCCGGTCCCGATGTCGACAAAATCGCTATGGGGCATCCATTCGAGCTGCGTGATCAAGGGATCTTGGCCCCCAGCCGAGTTCATTGTGAGGACGCTGGTCTTCATTCCCTTTAGGCTAACCGCGGGCGTGTCTGCGCCACGGGCGACGAGGTCTCCGGTCCAGGACCCGAGCTCCTCCAGGCTATTGATCTTGGCCATGACCTGCAAATCAAGCACGGTGGGGAGATGACCATCTCTTCGATAAAGGTTGGCACGGCCAGCTGGGTCATTTTTCGTCGGAGTCCATGGCAAGCGGCCACGGTGAAGAGCTGGAAGCACTGGTCAATCACGGCAGGGTGCAAGGCATACATGGAGCATCTTGACTCCTTCGCAGAGGCCGCTTTGATTTGCGCCGCCACGCTGGCCTGTGCTTCCCTGGAGATGGTCGAGGCCGACACGGAGGTGATGCCTTCAAACAGTCCGGTGTAGTTGAATCCGATTCGCCTGAGAACTTCGTACCAATTCTTCTCGTCCACCTTTCGTGGGAAAGAGGCAGCGGGCGAAATGATGTCAGTGCAGAATGAGTTGTCAACTGATGACCTGGCCTCGCCGTGACAGTTGGTGATCCATGCTGTTCCGTTATACGACGTTATGGTAAAGTCATACCAGAGCGAGCTGTCTGATGTGTCCGTCCTCGAAGGTTTCAGACTGGTGACAATTTCGGTAGCCTTGCCCATCTCTAGCACCATTGCCGAGACAATGTGGACGTTCCTAAGGCTATATGTCGCAATGCTGGACAACTGTCGGAGGGCTTCGCCGACCATGGCAATGTATCCGGCGGCAGGGAATACGACTTGGCCATTCACCTCGTGGCCAATCAGCCAGAGTGCGTCTTCAAGGGCAAGAACCTTTCTCCAGCAGGGCTCGCTGGCAATCTCCAAAACTCTGCTCCCAAGAAGCTCGTGGGGCGGATTCTCGCGGTGCCTCCAGGCACGCGAAACACGGGGTTCTTCCCAGTGGCTCGTGTCCTGTTTCCAGGAGTAGCGCGGAAGGTCTTTGACGATTTGCCCAGGCGGGCAGATGAGGGAAAGATCGATCGGCAAGGACTGCTGGTAAAGCTTGCCGGCGAGATTCAAAAGGCTCCGGTGGCCGCTCTTGCCTCTGATCAGCGTGCCAACATGAACATCGGAGCGGCCAATATCCCGCAGGATTTGGCCGATCGGGCCGCCCAGCGCAGGATGAGGCCCGATTTCAATCAAAACCACCTTGCCCGTTTCATCGCGAAGCGCGGAGCGAAGTGCTGGGTTGAACAGAACCGCGCTCTCTACATTGGCACGCCAATACGGGGCCTCCAGGTTTCCATCCCCTGTCAGACGTTCGCCAGTGACGGTGGAATAGAATGCTGCGTTGGGGTCGACGCTGCGAACGACGGACTGGAGCTGAATTTCATACCCGTGTCCGTGCTCACGCATATGATCTGTACATTAAATCCCCCGAGTGTTAGCAAGCCAATTTTTCAGCCAACACCGACTCCACGATGCAGCAACAGTTTACTTACGAGAGTGGAATGCTTTCTCGACCCGCAGCTTACGGACGAATACCTGATCAGCCTGTAGTGCCTCGATTACACTCTCAAGCGCGTCGGTGTCTCCAGACAGGGTGACGTTGCACTGGCTGTTCTCACAGGCAATATCTACCCCGGGAGCAAGTATGGTTGTATCTCGTCCCTGCCGAGCCCAACAGCAGCCATAGATCCCTTTCGTTGAGAAATCAGGTTATTGATGCCACGCCGCGTTGCTATAAACATGGCGACCTCGGCTGTGATGGCGCCAGAAGCGTACGCAGCAGCGATTTCACCAGACGAGTGCCCTATGATGATGTCTGGGACAACGCCCCAAGATCGAAGGACGTCGACTAGTGCGATCTGCAACGCGGCACATACTGGGTGGCCTACTTCGGCACTGTGAACACGGCTGTCACCCTTACCTTTGCATAGTTCGTCTGCGGCTGGTATAAGTCTCTAGTTCTCAAAAAGGAAAAATTCATGCTTTTGCTCACCTTCAATACACAGCGACGTTGGCTGCGGGAATGTCTGGAGGTATTTGTCCAATTTCCGGATCGTCGCCCGGAACGTGGCATTGGTGTTGAGGAGCTCCGCGCCCATCTCAGGCCATTGGGCCCCCTGGCCCGTAAAGATCCAAGCAACGCGAGGGGTGATTCGCCAATCGCTCTGGTATCAGAGACATCTTCAAAAACAGACACATCTTCTGTCACGACAAAGGCGCGATGGGGCTTGTGTTGTCGCCTGTTCGCTAGCGTGTAGGCCAAGTCACGGAGCTGGGGTTGACGATGTGCGGTGTACTCACGGTAGACGTCGATCTGCGCCTTGAGAGAGTCTGCATTGTAAGCTGAGAAGAAGAGAATGTTGGGTTGGGGTGGCTTGTGAGTCCCATTGGTTTGAGTCCCATTGGTTTGAGTTCCGTTGGCATGGGTTCCATTAGCCTGAATTTCATGAACATGAGTTCCATTCGCATGAGTTCCATTCCCGTTAGTTCCATTGGCATGGGTTCCATTTGATTGAATTTCATGAACATGAGTTCCATTCGTGTGGGTTCCATTCGCATGAGTTCCATTGGAGTGGCTTCCATTGGCATGAACTCCATTGGTGTGAGTACCGTTAGCCTGTGTACCGTTGGCTTGGGTACCGTTTGTGTAGGTGCCGTTAGTGGATCCACCATTAGACAGCATACGGTCGAGTTGACTGGCCGGTTCTAGGCCGAATTGTCGTACCGATTCCAAAATCACCTACACGTAGATTTTAATGAATAAATGTATACTCTTGACAGAATTCGTGGGGATTGGCCTTCAGACTTACATGGGCGTTGACCCCCTATACCGAATGAGTTCACGCTCACTCTCTCTGCCCGGTTTTCCGGCCAAGGTTCCACATCCGTCGGCACACGGAGACTGAATTTTGGAAAGGGACTAGCAAGTATCAGCGACCGACTGCAAATAAAATACGGTATTGTCTCCAGCCTCACTATTCGGGTTTGGCTTGTCAAAGTTGATGTTTGGCAGAACCGTTTGGTGTTCCAAGGCCAGGACACACTTGATGAGACTCGTCAGGCCAGCGGCAGCCTCAGAGTGCCCAAGATTTGGTTTAACCTAGACAGATTGCGTTGTCGCGTCAGCTCATGGTATCACAAGATAAAAACGGAGAAGCCCTACCGAGGTGATGAGAACCCCCTTCTCGCCAAAGCATTGTCCAATAGCTTCTGCCTCAATCGGGTCACCGACAGAAGTTCCGGTGCCGTGGCATTCAACAATGGCCGTCTGTGATAAATCTTGAATACCAGCAGCCGCGTATGTTTGACGTATCAAAGTCGCCTGTGCAGTGGGGCTCGGGGTAAGCATCCCGTTCGTCCTGCCGTCCGTGTTGACACCCGTTCCACGCACGATGGCGCGGATAGGGTCGTTGTCTCGTAAAGCGTGGTCGAGTCTTTTCACTAGTATCATGTTCACCGCCTCTCCTCGTGCGTATCCGTCTGCCGAGGCATCAAAGGTTCGACATTGGCCGTTGGGCGAGATCACGCCTTGGTCATTGAGGGCGATGTATACGGTGGGCGACATGATTAGACTAACACCGCCCACCAAGGCACTGTCACATTCGCCGCTTTGGATGGCCTTGCACGCAATGTCGAGACCCACGAGTGAGGAAGAACAGGCGGTTTTCACCGTCATACTAACCACGGGTTAGAAGAAAAACGGACGTCGTAGATCTTGGGGCGTAAGCATACCTTGGCCCGCGCAAATCCAGCTCGTACGAAAGTCTGTTGGCCAGGGCAAAGTCTCCAAGACCCGTGCAGCGGTAGCCGCCCCGATGTTGTGTTTCCCGAGCATATAGATCCGTCCAGTCTTCGCCAAACTCTCCAATGTAACAACCCATCCTACTACCGCGCCATGTGGACAAGCCCGCATTCTCTAAACATTCGAAAGCCACCTGTAGTAGTTGACGCTGCCCCGGGTCGAGACGCTCCAGCTCTGTCTTGGGAATCGGAAAGACGTTGGTATCGAATTGCTGCAGCTCTGTGTCTCGGAGGAAGTGAGCCTTGTTCACGGGGATCGTCCCAGGGCCTCCGGAGGGATCATAAAACCCATCTATGTTGAAGCGGTTCTCGGGTACTTCACAAAGCCCATTCTGCTTGCCAGATAGAAAGGTCCAGAGATCTTCGCTATTATATATGTGTCCCGGAAGTCGCATCGCCATGCCAATGATGGCGACCTGCTTCGACGGTTCATGGAACTCTTCCCGTGATGAGTCCATGTTGGACTATGAACTGAGAGTCTTGCTTCGTTCGATCACGAAAACAAGGAACTATGTGATAACTGACCTTAAGAGGTAGTTCTTGAGTGAAGCGCGAGTCTAGGTTTTAAGAAAGTTTAAGGCAGAGGCTATCGATAAAAGAGCCCGTCATTGTCGGTAAGTATATATCAATTAAATAACTTATAAGAGATAGACGACCAGTCTTAAGGGACCCTCCCTCTGCAGCTAATTTAAGACTGCAAGGCCGATCCGCCGGACAAGGCAGAAAGCAGAAAGCAGAAAGCAGAAAGCAGAAAGCTTGGACCTTGGACCCGGGGTTGATGGTCCGTGCATAGGATTCTTCAGGTTCCAAGGGTCCAATGAATTTGCGGCTTGGAGCCATAAATTTCTAAATTTGGCTACACTTATTCCTTTTGGAAGACGATCAACATTAACACAGCCGCTGGGTTTGTCTTCTTCCAACGTAATCTCTGATGTCCGAGAGATATTCCAGATCTGGAAACCTGTCTCGAAGGAGTTTCTTCATTTCTGCGATAGTTGTACTCTTTTGTTAGACTAATACGATGGACAAAACCAGAATTACCATCATGACTACGCTCCCTGATGATCGTCTTGCGCTACAAGACAAAGATGAGTTGCAAGACGGGGGTCCTCAATGCCCTCAGTCAAAACTAATACACTGTGCGTTTATTACCGGGTAATCAACCCAGATCGACATCTAGTAGATGTAATGACTTATGCAAACGAGGTTGCCGTCCCCCAGAACTTGGCAAACGACAATGGAGAACACCCCCTCCATGGACTGGGTGTCCGATCTTTATATTACCTAGAAAGTCTAAACGCATCTACCCATCTAATTCGCCGAGGTTGCCACTTTATTATCATTATTTACCGCCAGTCAACCCGTTGCTTGGCCTACCGCCGCACGGGTCCGTGGACGTGCCGGCGATGCAATCGATCAAGTAACAGACCTTTGTGATTACTGGCTCGCTTGATGCTTGCCTGCTGCTTGCCTGCTGCTTGCTTCATGGATCAATCTTTGGCGCGCTCGAGAACGGGTATGCGGGGTGTCGACGGATGTGGGTAGACGGATGGACGGCTTCACTGCTCGCTTGCATGTTGGTCCCTTCAATTCGGGTTGTAGATCATTGCAGCAGCTATTATAGTAACAATGTAAAGATCCCTTTTCATCCTCTAACCCACTCTCTTATGCTTGCATAGCATCCGGCTGTCTGGCTGGGCCGCGAACGCAAATTCTGCCCCTTGCACCAAAGAGAAGGCCAGACCAGGCTTGTGATACCCTAACCCTAAGGATGATGACAAAGTGGGTGGCTCTTGACCATTGAATCAGCTCGTTAACGCGGGCGACTGCGCTGCAAGCCTTGAATTGCGAGAACTTGTGGAAAATGGAAAATACTTCCATAACTCTGACGTTTTGACTGTAAAATATTGTTATCATGTTAAATCTGAAGCCATACTAACTATAAGTGATTCCCTAGCTGCTGAGAGAAAAGAGGGGTCTTAGGGTTAGGGTGCGTCAATAATATAAACATAACAAAGCGTGTGAAGAAAAAACGTTGGAAAAAATTAATTACGAGTAGAGCTAATCTACTGAATTGTGAATCCCTAGAAGACTATCATTCCTCTCAAATAAACAGATCAAGGTAACTCGAACACGGTGTATTTCATCGTCTGGAAAATGGGTTTCCCGTCCTCACACGGCGCAGTGGAGAAGACTTACGAGCAACAGAGCCTGAACTTTTCTGCAGCTCAAAAGAAAGCGAGTACGATATGTGTCAAGCCAGAAAAAATGAATGAGTGTCAAGAGGAGGAGGGCTTGATGTAAGTAAGTGTAAGTGGTTCTTTTAATCACTTAACAATTAACTGGGCGCTGTTATCTCTGCGCCAGTCAGGTAATATTTCCTTCATAATATAAATTATAAGTGATGATGATTCTGCTGCTCGGAGTCCTCATGGCGAATACATATCTGAAGAATGCGAAAATGAGAGCTTTACATGACCTCATGAAATAGAGTTTTGTTACTTTACTCTTCATTAACACCTCTACGTAAGATAGTAAGCGTCTCGCAGATTCTACAAGTAGATAATCAGGTCAAGTCAAGCAATATAATTCGGAATAAGGTGTATCCGCCTTGAGGGCCAGATAGACACAACAACGGGTCAAACTCGTGATTTGCCTCCCAAGACTATCCGTAGGAGAGTGAGACGGCACTGGCGATGGCCCGTTGCACACATGCTCACCATCGTGCTTGACTCTCTTGCCAGCATGTCCAGGCCGCGGCGGCCGGCATTTGTTGCGCCATATGACTCGTATATGTCCTCCAAGCTGATGCCCGTGGAAAAGCTGCCCACGTCGTTTTATCCACCATAGACGGTATATGAAAACGATCAACGTGAACATAGGAGACTAGAGTACAGGTCACTTTATTTTGGCACAAGCGTGAGAGTGGTGGGAATATAATGTGATGTTGATAATATCGATCCCGCAGGACCTTGTCTAACCCTGCCGAAGATAGTGGCCAAGGATATAACGTGACGTTTTAACACTGAAATAGGGAGCTGAGGTAGCTATCATGGGGTTAGAATGGCCGGGACCTGTTAGTGATTCAGTGAAACAGTCAACTTGTACGAAGATATCACAGTTCGTGATGCATATTAAGTGTCAGGGCCAGATGGGAGTTGAATTCACTACTGGAAAGGAAATCGAACTTCTTTTCTTCTAGGATAGATCTACCTTCTTTTATAAACTCTCCAGACTTACTTTCTTTCTTAGCTAGTTTCCTCATGGCCACTTCGACGGTCGGTCCCATCCATCCGATCAGTCGGCTCCCATCCGTCCGGTCAGTCGGGCGGCGTTTGTCTGATCAATCGGACCCACCCCGTCAGTCGGACGCCGTTCGCCTTTCTTAGTCATCTATCCGAGGTTCTACCTTTCAGCTGGGAGAGGCCGCCTCACTCTTCCTTCGTCCATCAGGTCATTACACACACCCATGGCGCCATGCGTGGACCGTATATTTGTTTTGTGCCTGCGCTTACGATCCATGCATTGGGCCGCCCCTTTCTATGCCTTTTGCCTAGGCTCTGGGCCTGGGCCGCATATTCCCTCTCTTGCTGATTATATTGCGGTCCATGCCTTAGGCCGCGCCTTCCCAAGTCCCTGTCGGTCCTTGCTCGATTGGCGGGCTGCTTCCACAGTTTGAGCCTTTTCTGCCGCCTGTTGCCCTCTGCTCCTTAGGCTCGCCTTGAGAGGTTCCTCGCGGCAACACTGGGTAGGGATCTCCTGGCTTCACAATTTGAGTCATTTACGTTCTGCTCTATCGTTCGAATGAGTTCTTTTACTTTTAGAAATTCAGTCCTGGTACTGGAAAATCGAGCCAAGAGCTTCGACCTTGCACTCGCTGTTTGACTTGGGTGTTTACCACCCTCCTACTCTGCGCGTGGTACTCACTCCCGAAGCCTGTTGTTTACAAAGCCAACCTTGGACAAAAACTTAAAATTAGGGAGCCATGCTAAGACGACCTTGGGGAGACGGCAGGGGGTAAACATTCCACACTATTCTTTGACCAATACACCCACTCGGCAGCGCTCCGAGGGTGGTAGGGCATTGTCACTAGCAAACCTTCTCGATACATCTCCCGAAGAGGTACATCCATGGGTAACCTGGGCCGGCCGGTAGGATTGTCGCACCTTAGATTCCCACGACGCACACGCACCATGGCTCGTTGCGCCGTGATGTCGCATGCATATGTGTCGGCGGCCCGCCCGTGCATGAAAGCCACCATCGGCACGAAAGGGCCCCCTGCCTAATAGTCGCCTAGTGTTTGATTGGGTGTACTTCGTGTAATACTGGATGATCTAGTCAGCCCTGAAAGGCTTGGTGAACACAAGTATTACGGGATTTTGGCCCCAGGTGCTAGTATGAACGCTCACTGGCTCGCAACTCTTGGCATCCATCTACACTAGGGAATTATCTGCGCGGGAGGTTCTACGACCTTCTCCATGTCCCGGTTTCGGCTGGTGTTCAAAGGACCATTTGGTAACAGAGCCACATTTGCGGATCTCTAAGCCGCGTAGGATCGAACCAAGAGGAACTTCTGTACGGTAAAATGATGACGAGCTAAATTAAATCATAAGACAGTTATTAATATAGGGATCCCTTAATATAATCTGGCAGCTTCTTAAGGTTGGCCGGCTGTGCATGTACCTCGGGGAAGCTTGGACCATAGAAGACGAGCGATGGTCCGTGCCCTATTTTGAGCTGCAGGGACTTTGACACGTTAAAAGCTCCGCGCTGCAGCTGTAACCCTGGACATGGTCTGTGCTGACTTACAGCGTCTGTCCAACGTTGCTGCTCACCCTTTCCTCGTATTCTGCCGATAGTCGTACCTGTTATTAGGCGCCCTACCCCATGAAAGACACCGTTGAAGCCAAACTCCCACATCTTCCTCGGACCTAACACCTGTTAGATTCGAACGATCTTTCTCGAATTCTAACAGCTGATTTTGCTCAAGTCGTTCGAGATGGAGAGCGGCACTACAAACCATGGCGACGATGCCAACAAGGCTTCCAATGTCGCCACGGAGAAGGCGGCATCGTCCTCCAATTCGAGTCCCGATGCCTCGCAGGTCGCCGTCGACAGCGTCACCGAGAAGAAGAAACCGGGTGGTTTCAAGGACTACATCCGCATCTTCAGTTATGCCAATAAAATGGACAACTTGGTATTCCTCGCCGGTACCCTTGCTAGTATAGGATCCGGCGCGACTATGCCTCTGTTGATCATCATTCTCGGCAAGCTTGTCAACAGCTTCAATAGCTACGGCGGGGACGCGTCGCAAGTCGCAAACGTGGAGGAAATCCAACTGCAAACGCGGAAAGAGTTCAACGATAGCTTGAACCAGCGGTGTCTGTACCTATTCGCCCTGTTTATCGCTCGTTTGGGGCTCAGTTACATTAGCAAGGTATGAATCTGAGTGGAGAATCGATTTGGAGTTGTGACATCCCAGGTACTAGCCCCAACTTTAGTGGTCCTTTCGCTCGTTCGGACTTCGCATCTCGGCAGCCATCCGATTGCACTATATGCGATCTCTCTTCGGACAGACGATTCACGTGCTCGATTCTATGCCATCGGGTTCGGCGGCGATTACCATCACGACGACGTCCAACGTTCTCCAGCTCGGAATCTCCGAGCAGCTTGGCAACTTTATCGAATCCATCGCCACCATCATTGCCGCCATCATCATTGCTTTCGTGTACAGCTGGTCGCTAACCCTCGTCACCAGCTCAGTGCTCGTTTTCATCCTCTTCGTGGTCATTATTCTTTCGTCCTTCATTATCGTGAAACAGACGAGCCTCAAGGATGCCGAGAACACTGCTAGCGCCGTCGCGTACGAGGCTTTCAGTGCCGTTCGCATGATCGTCTCGTGCGGAGCTGAAGCCCGGACCAGGAAGAAGCACGACGCGTGGATTGAGAAGGCCCGGCAAGATGGTTTGGCTGTCACCCCTCTCTTGGCCATCCAGTACGGATTAGTCTTCTTCTCCCTCAACGCGGCCTATCCCTTGACTTTCTGGTTTGGCACCAAGTCGTATGACGAGGGTCGGATTGACAATATCGGCACCATCATCATCGTCTTGATGAGCGTCATGTACATGGTGTAAGTATAAAAGTCCATCCATCAATCAACCAGAAGAATTCTTTTGGCATTTTTCGTAGAATTGATCACCCTGTTTTTCATTTTCGGATGGTACGCTAATCACGCAAGATAGAACGGCCGTGTTGCCCATCTCAGCCCCGCTGGATACGATTCTCAAGGCCACGGGAGCAGCAACCGAGTTCTTCGCTGTGATCGACACACCGAAGCCGAAAACTGGTACTCTCCAGGAGCCGGATGTGAATCCTACTTCCGACATCCTCTTCAATGATGTTCATTTCGCGTACCCTGCCCGACCTTCCAAGAAAGTACTCGATGGGTTGAATCTTCGCATCCAAGCCAAGAAGAATACCGCCATTGTCGGACCTAGTGGCGCTGGCAAGAGTACCATTGTAGGGCTTATCCAGGGATGGTACACTCTCCATGATCAGTACACTATTCGCACGGCCGCCGACAAAACCGAGACACCAGACCCGGGCGCCAAGCCAAAGGATGCGGACAAGAGCAGCAAAGCCAAGAAAAGAAGGACAAGAGCAGCTCGGAAGAGAAAGAGAGCACAACTCTCACCCCTCAGACCCTCCTCCGGAACCTCGTGTACAACTCAGCGGTAGCATCTCGACATGCGGGCATGAGATTGAAGATATCAACATGAAGTGGTGGCGTTCGCAGATAGGATTGGTGCAACAGGAACCCTTCCTCTTCAACGATACCATCTACAAAAACATCTCCTTTGGCTTGGTGGGTACCCAGTGGGAAAACGAATCCGAGGAGAAGAAGCGCGAGCTCGTCAAGGTGGCTTGTAAAGAGAGTTTTGCCGACGAGTTCATCGACCGACTCCCCGATGGGTATGACACGCAGGTCGGAGACTCCGGTATCAAGCTTAGCGGTGGCCAGCGACAACGTCTCGCCATTGCGCGTAGCATCATTTCGCAGCCCAAGATTCTTATCCTCGATGAAGCCACGTCCGCCATTGATGTCCGCGGTGAACGAATTGTGCAGGCAGCTTTGGAGAGAGCCTCCAAGGGTCGCACCACCATCACCATCGCCCATAGATTGTCCACCATCAAGAACGCCGATCACATTGTTGTCCTTCAGCACGGGAAATTAGCCGAGCAGGGAACTCACCATGAACTTCTCAACAATCCCGAGGGAGTCTACTACGGCTTGGTTAATGCGCAGAAGCTCTCTGGGAGAAGTGGACGAGGACTTCATCCACGACCGGGATATCGCAGTTCCTCTGGAAGACAGCAAGAGCTTTTCTGATATTGACAACATCCCGGTCGAGCCCGAGGTCAAGTGGAAGGATAAGAATCTGTTTACCGGCTTCGGAAGGCTGCTGTACGAGCAGAGGAGCCGCTTCCCGCTCTATGCCATCGCCCTGGTCTTCGCGGCCGGAGCGTCGGTGGCCGTTCCCCTCCAAGCCTACTTCTTCGCCCATGTCATCGCTGTCTTTGAGACGCCCCGCGAGCAGCTGCTCAGCGATTCGGTGTTCTGGTCCAAGATGTGGACCATCCTTGCCGCGGGTGTCGGTTTCTCGTACTTTATGATTGTGGCTGTCGCTACGAACGTGGACGCCTTCATCGCGACGGTATACCGTCAAGAGTACTTTGGATCCATCTTGCAGCAAAAGATTTCCTTTTTCGACCAGGAAGACAACTCTACTGGCCAGTTGACCGCCCGTGTCGCCACGGATCCTGATGCGCTGAAGCAGCTCCTCGGTATCAACATGTCCATGCCGTTGATTGGTATCTTCTCCCTTATCGGCGCGCTTGCCATTTCGTTCTACTACGGCTGGAAGCTGGCGCTTGTCGCACTCTGCGTCATCGTTCCGTTTGACGTGTTGGCGGGCTTCTACCGAATCCGTTATGAGATGCAGCTCACGCACATCAACGAAGCTGTTCTCTCGGAGAGTGCCAAGTTCAGTACCGAGGCGATTAGCGCGTTCCGAACAGTCTCGTCTCTTGTGATGGAAGAAAGCATCTGTGACCGATACGAGAAACTGTTGTATTCGCACGTCATGGCAGCATACAAAAAGGTTCGATGGACGTCGATCGTTTTCGCTTTTTCGGACAGTGTCAACTTGGGTTGCCAGGCCCTCATCTTGTGGTATGGTGGCCGCCTGCTTTCTACGGGAGAGTACGGACCCATCCCCTTCTTCATCACGTACATGGCCATCATCCAGGGTGCGGAATCCGCTGGTCAGTGGCTCAGCTTTGGCGCAAATGCCGCCCAGGCTTCCGAGGCGGCAAACCGCATCCTCAGCGTCCGAGGCAGCCAAAGCAGGGACGACGTCACCACTCAAGAGTCTGTTCCTGACACGACTGGCGGTGTCAAGATCCAGTTTGACAACGTGTTCTTCAAGTACCCCACACGTGATTTGTTTGTGTTCAAGGGCCTGAACCTTACGGTCGAGAAGGGCCAATACGCCGCGCTCGTCGGCGCATCTGGCTCTGGCAAGACATCCGTCATCTCCCTTCTCGAGCGATTCTACGACGCTGCCCAAGGCCAAATCTTGTTCAATGGCAAGGATATCAAAAGACAAACGTTCACGAATACCGCAAACTCCTTTCCCTCGTGGCCCAGGAACCGTACCTGTTCTCCGGTTCTATTCGCGAGAACATCTTGTTGGGTGTCAACGAAGCGGAAATTACCGACGAGCAGCTCCACCAATGCTGCCGCGATGCCAACATTCACGATTTCATCGTCTCCCTTCCCGATGGTTACGCCACCAATGTCGGCAGCAAGGGCGTGAGCCTTAGCGGTGGACAAAAGCAGAGAATTTCCATTGCGCGCGCCCTCATCCGGAACCCGCAGGTATTGCTCCTCGATGAAGCCACGAGCTCTTTGGACTCGGAGAGCGAGAAACTCGTGCAAGCATCATTTGAAAAGGCCTCCAAGAACCGGACGACGATTGTCGTGGCACACCGACTGGCGACTATCCAAAATGCCGACATTATCTACGTGTTGGGTGGCGGAGAGGTGCTCGAGAAGGGTAGCCATGCCGAGTTGCTCAGGCAAAAGGGTGCCTACTGGAGCATGGTAAGTGAAGATTTGTTTTTGTCCCCCGGTCCACATGATAGTTCTAACTCGCAGTTCCAGTGTCAAAACCAAGCCCTTGATCTATAGAGCGTATAATGGTGGCCGCGCTTGACAACGTCAAAGTCGTAGCGTAGAGGCCGTGTAAGGCAGGGTCTTGGAGGGATGCACATGCACCTGGTGCCATGCGACAACGCCAATTGATCATGTCTGGCACTTATTCTAACCCATGTTTGCACCCGTTCCACGCCTGGTGCAGCGAAAATAAACATTAGAAAGTAAATCCAGGCTTAATCACGTTGGAACATATTATTCCCGGGGGCGAAAGTTGTGATTTTTGTGGTACTCCTAGAAACATTCCTGTACCAGCACATTCAATAAACCGATGTGGTTCGTAGTATTGATATTAATAATTCTATCCACTCTTTATCCCAATAAAAGCTACACAGTGTTCTGTAATCATGGAGGCCACAAATTTCCGACTATCTAAACTAACCGTTGATATGATTCTAGGCGTTCCCAAGCTATCTACGCCAGGGGAAAGTGTGCCTCGCCGCGGCGGTGGCAAAGGGCTTCCAGAACGCCCTCGCGTATGTTCCGATGTCCCGAATATACTGTAGTAGCGTATCATTAGCCGTCAAGGTGGGTCTAGGAGCTTCGCGGTAGAGGAGCTACCGGCTTCCTGCCGACAAGGCGCGGCTTGGAGAGTTGTATATGAAGGATCGGGGCGCAATAGGGCGGCTCGGGGAGTGGCTACAATTCTTCCTCCGTCGTACTTTCCTCCATCGAGATCCAAACATTCTTCAAGCTCTGCGTGCACGGACCCCAGTTCCGGGTGAGATGGTCCAAGCTTGTTTGGCCGAGAAGCTTCCCCGCGCCCCTAGTTTGGCTTAGGGGACTTTGTGTAATGAGGCTTACTAGTCCGTACCGCAAAACAAGATCCCTGTGACCTCCGTGTCTGCATTTATTGGATGGAAAACCGGGAGCCAGCGCCACTAAAAATAACTCCGTACCTTTCAGCCTTACAAGTTGACGAAGGATTATTACTAATAAATCACAACCTCTGAATTCCTTTTCTTCAGGAGTCGCTTGAAGAATATGTTGAGAATGCTACGGGACACTCTTTTGCACCCCTATGGCGTTGCATATGCCATTTCCCACACCCCGATTTCTCGGTGGGTCTGTTACTTGATCCCTCGGTTGATCGGCTAGCTCTTGATCATATTGGTGGTTCAGTTCACTCATCCGGTCATTGATGTTGTCTCCGTAATCGAGAAGTGGCTGATCGTGTACATGAAAAATAACCTCTGATTGAGTTGCATAAATCTATGAAACAAAACAATAACAATGTTAAATTTTCCCATATATTATACGACTTCTTGTTGCGTAGGACCAAGGTTCCTGTGTGGGAGTATTTCAAAGTAATTGAACGGATACTTAAGATGGATGGGAACCAGACAGACTCATTTGATGGAGTCAAGGGTCCGGGAAGGGGTACGGGAAGGGGGTGTGTGACTTGGCTTGGGGCTGGACATCGAGGCTTTGAAGAAGTTCCAGTTCCAGCATACAGCTGGGTGTAGCTCCTTGAATCCATGATGGCCCCGATTTCTGGGTTGGGAGCAGGCAGCACCTTGATATTAGTGGGTCCTGCCCGGAGCCATGGCCTATGCTCTATATGTGGGCTTGAAAGCTTGGCTTTAGCTTGATAGCTAGAAAATGTATGGTTCGATCGGCGAGGCCGGGAGGTAATAAGGGTTGATAACGATGTGACGTGGGGATCCTTCATCTCCTCGTTCCAAACCCTGGTAGACGGAACGTACATTCTGAACTCATGGCTTGTACAGATGCTGGTATTCGTTCGGTTAGGAGATTGGGCTTATGCTGCGGATACCTGCGCAGTAATATATGGTCCCGACTGAAGGGAGGCTGTAACAGAGGGGGGGCTGTTCTCTCTTAAAGAAGGCGCAGGTCAATTAAAATATAGCTCCAGCTACATCGTACAACATTTGCAACCGCATATTAATCCCAAATTCTTGGAATCCTAATAATATCTCGAATTTCATGTACTAGCTATTCCGCGACAACACTTTAACAAAGTTAAGATTCTCTTACACACTGCATCGTTGGCATATGCAACCAGACTAACATCCACGATCGACCACGATCTACACAGATATCCAACTATTTTCGAAAAACACAACAAAACATGGTTTCAGCGAGCAATATGGAAGAGGTTAGACAGGACTTGGTGAGTATGAGTACGGCATCTTTGCGTCAGGCAACATCGACAAAGATGGGGAGGTTGTTTACACGGAGGCAATCCGGCATTTTGGTTTAGACCCAGGTAAGATTGAAGCTATCCTCCCTTGCACTGCATTTCAACGTGATGTGATGGAATACGCGGAAAACAACAAGAGACGTGGCATCGGCCACGTCGTCTACGACATCCCGAAGCACGTCGACATTGAACGATTGGCCGCAGCTTGGAAGGAGGTTGCGCGCCAAACCCCGACGCTACGGACTTGCATGTTTCGATCGGAATCCGGAGATCATTTTCAAATAGTGCTGTCGGAGAGCTTCGCGTGGACACATATGCTCGGACTGGGCATGAAAGAGGGGGTTATTGAAGACGAGGCAGCCGCCGCGGCGACTGGAGCTCGGTGCAATCGATACGCGGTCCTCGAGGACCGTCGCACCGAGCAAAAACTGCTCATCTGGACGTTTAGCCATGCTCTGCTCGACAACACCTTCCAGGAGCGAATCCTCCAAAAGGTTCTCGAGGCGTACAACGGAGAGGAAATTCAGCGCTCTCCGGGGATGGGAAGGCTCGCGGATACGGTCTCCAGAGATTCGGAAAGCGTGGTCGAGTTTTGGAAGAAGCACTTCGATGACCTCAACGCCTCCGTATTTCCTCCTATCCCGTCCTACTTGGCTACTCCTCGTCCCACAGAGCGGGCAGAGCACCGCATTTCTTATCCCGCCGTCGTCCAGCAGAAATGGACGCACGCGACCATTTGCCGAGCGGCCCTCGCCCTGCTTCTTACTCGATATACGGACGCTACGGAAGCACTATTTGGCGTCATAACGGAGAAGACGCCTTTCTTCGAGGGACAGGAGAACCCGATCGACGGCCCCACGCGAACCGTCGTTCCCACGCGCGTTTTCTGCAACCCCGACGAGTCCGGATCGGACATTATGCAGGAGATTGTCACCCACGATACCACCATTCACGAGTTTGCGCCGACTGGCCTTCACAGCATCCGTCGCAGCGGAGAAAACGGAACCGCCGCATGTGGATTCCAGACCGTGCTCGTCGTGACTCCCGGTGGCGACGCTGCGCAAGCGTCGGACTCCCAGCTTCACCTACCTCTTACAGCACTGGACGAATTTGTACCGTGCGCCGATCGTGCTCTTTTGATCAACTGCCAAATGTCCGACAACTCCGCATCGCTCCTCGCGCGATACGACCCGGAAGTGATTGACGCCCGTCAAATGGCCCGCTTCCTAAGACAGCTCGGACTCTTGATCAGCCAATTCCAGACCCGCGCGGCCGACCTGCCCGTGCAGGAGCTAAATTTCATTACGCAAGAGGACCGAGCCGAGATTGAAGCTTGGAATTCGGGGCAGCTTCGGACAAAGGAGGTCTGTATTCACGATGTGATTGCTCAACGGGCTGTCGATACACCGCACAAAACCGCAGTCTTTGCCTGGGATGGAGAATGGACGTACGGCGAACTAGACAGCCTGTCTTCAAGACTTGCGATCCATATCCAATCCCTTGACTGCGGCCAAGGGCAGGCCATACCGCTCTGCTTCGAGAAGTCGAAATGGGTCATCGCTGGAATGCTGGCTGTGCTCAAGGCCGGCCGGGCTTTCACGCTGATTGACCCATCCACCCCGGCGGCCAGGATCGCGCAAATCTGCCAACAAACTTCCGCCACCGTCGCTCTCACTTCGCAAATTCACCTTGACACCATCCGCGCGACCGTGAGCCAATGCGTCGTGGTCGAAGACGCGTTGTTCGAGTCGCTGTCGCGCGACGAGGGCCAGCTTTCCTATACCGCGAAGCCGCACGATCTAGCCTATATTCTCTTCACGTCTGGTAGCACGGGCGAGCCCAAGGGTGGTATGATGGAGCATCGAGCATTTGCGTCGTGCTCTCTCGAGTATGGCCCCGCACTGGGAATTAACCACCATACTCGCTCTCTCCAATTTGCCTCTTATGCCTATGCGGCGTGTTTGGTAGAAATTCTTACGACAATGATGCATGGCGGCTGCGTCTGCATTCCTTCCGACGAGGATCGCATGAACAACATCCCCGGTTTCATGAACAGTGCAAACGTCAATTGGGTGGCGACGACCCCTTCGTTCATCGCGTCCATGCAGCCAGAGACCCTCCGTGGGCTTCGAACCTTGATCGCAGGCGGGGAGGCCATCTCCGCAGAAATCCGCAAGGCTTGGGCCGATCGAGTTCAGCTTCTATTCGCTTACGGCCAGAGTGAGAGCTCGGCCGTCTGTAGCGTTGTGCAGGTCCGATCCGACACCAAGGGGGATCTGAGGAACATTGGCCACGCAGTAGGCGCCCATGTCTGGCTCACTAACCCCAACGACCCCGACCAATTGGTACCGATCGGCTGCATCGGCGAACTGGTGATTGAAAGCCCGGGAATTGCGCGTGGATACATCGGTGCCCCGCCAAACGGTAATTCGGCTTTCCTCAAGACGGCCCCTGCGTGGTATCCCGCGCAACAGAAGCCGGATTCCGTCAACTTTACAGGACTGGCGATCTCGGCTACTACCGATCGGATGGGACTATTGTGTATTTTGGTCGAAGAGATTCGCAAGTCAAGATCCGAGGCCAGCGCGTGGAGCTCGGCGAGGTGGAATCGCATTTGCGCCAACAATTACCTAGCCACGTCCGGCCCGTCGTGGAAGCCGTCCGATGGTCTGGAAGGGCTAGCAGTACAGCCCTGGTCGCGTTTCTGATTGCACCCTTCACCAACGGACACAAGGCGTCCAACGGTGCACCGGCAGTGGAGGCCTACGTTTTGGACGAACAGAGTGCAGAGAACATCAAGACGAAGCTGCGACAGGTTGTTCCCGAGTACTTCGTCCCGACGTACTATATTAACATGGAGAATATTCCAACGACCACGACTGGGAAGACGGATCGGAGAAAGCTTCGAGACATCGGTACTAGGCTGCTGGACGAGGTAACTCAAAAGTCCCTCTCCCGGTCTGGGGCGGGGGTCGATTCGTCCGTGAATGACGAAAATAAACTCAAGGAGCTGTGGTTCCGAAGTCTGAACCTCGATCCTAATTCTACGAGCGTGGCGGGCAATTTCTTTGAGCTAGGCGGAGACTCCATCACGGCGATCAAGCTCGTAAACATGGCTAGAATGGCTGGCCTGACGCTAAGCATCACCGATATCTTCCAAAACCCTACCGTTGCAGGGCTCGTAAATGTCACCCGGAGAGACGCAGGTCGGCACCGCCAAATTCCCCGACCCAATACAGCGGACCGGTGGAGCAGTCGTTCGCCCAGGGTCGCCTATGGTTCCTCGACCAGCTCAATTTAGGCGGCTCGGCGTATCTCGTACCTCTTGCTGCACGGCTGAGAGGGTCGCTGCAGATTGATGCTCTCTCTGCCGCCATATTTGCCCTGGAGCAGCGGCATGAGACCCTGCGGACAACGTTCTTGGACAAGGACGGGATCGGCCTGCAGGTCATTCATCCAAGCCGCCCGAAGCCGCTCAAGGTTATTGATCTTTCTGGTGAGGCTGATGGAAGCTACGTTCAGCTGTTGAAACAAGAACAGACAACGCCCTTTGATCTATCAGCCGAACCGGGCTGGAGGGTGTCGTTGTTCCGCCTTGGCGATGACGACCACGTCCTGTCCATCGTAATGCACCACATCATCTCTGACGGCTGGTCGATTGACATCCTACGCCAAGAGCTGGACCGCTTCTATTCGGCGGCACTCCGTGGCTATGACCCGCTATCACAGGTGACCCCGCTGCCGATCCAGTACCGCGACTTTGCCATATGGCAGAAGCAGGCCGATCAGATGGCGGAGCATCAGCGGCAGCTTGAGTACTGGACCGAACAGCTAGCGGATAGCTCTCCGGCGGAAATTTTGAGCGACCGGCCACGACCAGCGATGCTCTCTGGACGTGCCGGGACCGTCGAGTTCTCTATCGATGGCGCGGTGTACGATGGCCTCCAGGCGTTTTGCCGCACCTACCAGACCACTTCCTTCGCTACCCTGCTCGCTGTTTTCCGCGCGACACACTATAGGCTTACCGGGGCCGAAGATGCCACCATTGGTAGCCCGATTGCCAACCGTAACCGTCCAGAGCTAGAGAGCATGGTTGGTTTCTTCGTCAACACCCAGTGCATGCGTATCACCGTCGACCAAGACGACACATTCGAGAGCTTGGTCAAGCAGGTCCGCTCGACTACTACGGATGCCTTTGCCAACCAAGACGTTCCGTTTGAGCGGATCGTGTCGGCGCTTCTGCCTGGGTCGAGAGACATGTCTCGTAACCCACTTGTGCAACTCATGTTTGCTCTCCACGCTCAGAAAGATCTCGGAAAGATCCAACTGGAGGGCCTGGATGAAGAGCCTATCTTGGGAATGCTGTCTACGGGCTTCGACGTCGAATTCCATCTATTCCAAGAGGTAGGAAAATTGGCAGGCACTATATACTTTACGGAGGACCTTTTCGAAGCCTCTACTATCCAAGGTTTTGTCACCCTCTTCCAGGAGATCCTCCGTCGGTGCGTCGACGCCCCGCAAACGCCTATCGCGGTTCTTCCGCTCACCGAGGGTGTCGACGACCTTCGCAAACTCGGCTTGCTCGATGTCCAAAGGCCCAACTATCCTCGAGACTCAAGCGTGATAGATGTGTTCCGTGACCAAGTGGAGGCTTGTCCGGACGCGACGGCTGTCGTCGACAATTCTTCCCGGATTACCTATGCCGAGCTCGATGAAAAGTCGGATGAAGTTGCCCGCTGGCTTCAGAGTCGCCATCTGCCTGCCGAAACACTCGTGGGAGTCCTCGCGCCGCGATCTTGCGAAACAGTGGTGGCTTTCTTCGGCATTCTCAAAGCAAACCTTGCCTACCTCCCGCTCGATGTCAACGTTCCCACTGCCCGCATCGAGACTATTCTTTCTGCCATTACGGGAGACAAGCTAGTCTTGCTTGGTACTGGAATCCCAGCCCCAGACATCCAAGTGCCTAAGGTCGAGCTGGTCCGGATCGGCGATACTATGGGCCGTCAGAAATTGTCCAACGGCACAACTAACGGTACTGCCGTGGGACCATCGGCAACAAGCCTCGCATATGTCATCTTCACATCCGGCTCGACGGGAACGCCCAAGGGTGTCATGATCGAGCACCGCAACATCGTGCGATTGGTCAAAGAAAGCAACGTAACGGCCAAGATGCCGCGGGGCGCTCCCGTCGCCCATCTCTCCAACGTTGCTTTCGACGCTGCGACATGGGAAATCTATGCGCCCATCTTGAATGGTGGCACGGTGGTCTGTATCGACTACTTTACCTCGCTAGATAGTCAGGCGTTGGAGGCAACGTTTCTACGGGAAAGCGTCCGCGCTGCCATGCTCCCGCCTGCGCTTCTCAAAGAGTGTTTGGCCAATATCCCCTCCACCATCCGAGCCTTGGATGTGCTCTTCGTCGCTGGTGACCGCTTTGACCCTCGCGATGCCATCCATGCCCGAGACCTTGTCGGTGACGGTGTATACAACGCCTACGGTCCAACCGAAAATGCCGTCCTGAGTACGATTTACAATATCCAACAGGGCGAGGAGTCATTTGGAAATGGTGTTCCCGTTGGTCGCCCGGTCAGCAGCTCTGGAGCGTACATTATGGACCTGAATCAACGACTGGTGCCTCCTGGCGTGATGGGTGAGCTGGTGGTCACCGGAGACGGCCTGGCTCGAGGCTATACCGACCACGCCTTGGACCGAGATCGATTCGTTCAGGTGACCATCAATGGCGAATCCATTCGGGCGTACCGAACGGGCGATCGAGCCCGCTACCGACCAGGAGATGGCTACATCGAATTCTTTGGTCGCATGGATCAGCAGATCAAGATTAGAGGCCACCGAGTCGAGCCGGCCGAGGTGGAGAACGCCATGCTGAGGCATGAGGCAGTGCGGAACGCAGCCGTCGTGATCCGAGTTCAAGACGGCCAGGAGCCGGAAATGGTTGGTTTCATCGAGCCTCGCGACGGCCATGTTCGACAGGATCCGGTCACGAATGGCACCACGAACCACCAGGTAAACGGTCACGCGAAATCCGCTTTACGGTCTGAGAGTGAAGTCCGCAGCTGGCTACAGGCCGTGCTGCCGCTATACATGGTTCCCGAGCGCATTCTGATCCTTCAACGATTGCCTCTCAATGCAAACGGCAAGGTTGACAGGAGAGAGCTTGCTCGGAAGGCAAAGACCGTTCACAAGAGCACGCCGGACCCTGTCCGCGTGGCTCCGCGCAACGATGTAGAAGCTGCGCTCTGCGACGAGTTCTCCAATATTCTTGGCGTTGACGTCGGCATCACCGACAATTTCTTTAACCTTGGCGGCCACTCCCTGATGGCCACGAAGCTGGCTGCAAGGCTCAGTCGCCGCCTTGATACACACATCTCGGTTAAAGACGTCTTTGACCAACCCATCATCGAGGCTCTTGCCGCCACCATCCGCCAGGGATCCACCCCACATAGCCCTATTCCAGTAACGCAGTATACGGGGCCTGTGGAGCAGTCCTTCGCCCAAGGGCGCCTTTGGTTCCTTGACCAGTTGAATCTCGGTTCGTCATGGTACCTCATGCCGTTGGCTGCGCGATTGAGAGGACCGCTGCAGGTGGACGCCCTTTCGACCGCCGTATTCGCTCTCGAGCAGCGGCACGAGCCACTGAGGACAACGTTCTCGGAGAAGGATGGCATAGGGTTCCAGGTCGTTCACCCAAGCAAGCCGAAGCCTCTCAGAGTCATTGATGTCTCAGCTGAGGGAAGTGGAAGCTATCTTGATGCTCTCAAACGCGAACAGACTACCAATTTCGATCTGGCGACTGAGCCCGGTTGGAGGGTCTCGCTCCTGCGACTCGGAGAGAATGACCACATCCTCTCCATCGTCATGCACCACATCATTTCTGATGGTTGGTCGATCGACATCTTGCGCCAAGAGCTGACACAGTTTTATTCGTCGGCACTCCGAGGCCAAGACCCGCTATCCAACATCAGCTCACTGCCTATCCAGTACAGAGACTTTGCTCTGTGGCAGAAGAAGGAAGCGCAGGCGGCCGAACACCAGAGACAGCTCGAGTATTGGAAGACACAACTAGCAGAGAGCAGCCCAGCCATGCTGCTAACTAATCACCCACGGCCATCTCTGTTATCTGGCAAGGCTGGTATCGTCCCCATCACCATCGACAATGTGGCATATGATCGACTCCAGGCGTTCTGCCGTACATACCAGACGACCCCTTCGCCACGTTGCTCGCTGTCTTCCGTGCGACACACTACAGGCTCACCGGTGTTGAAGATGCCGCTATTGGCACGCCGATTGCCAACCGTAACCGACCAGAACTAGAGAACATGGTCGGTTTCTTTGTCAACACCCAGTGCATGCGCATTACCGTCGACCGCGATGACACGTTTGAGAGCCTGGTAAAGCAGGTCCGGTCGACCACGACCGCTGCTTTCGCCAACCAAGATGTCCCATTCGAGCGGATCGTGTCGGCGCTGCTGCCTGGGTCAAGAGATACCTCTCGCAATCCCCTTGTGCAGCTCATGTTTGCGCTCCACGCCCAGGAAGATCTTGGAACGTTCCAGCTAGAGGGAGTAGCTGGAGAGTCTGTAGTGGGCACGATATCTACTCGCTTTGATCTCGAATTCCATCTGTTCCAAGAAGCTGGGCGCTTGGTTGGCAGCATTCTGTTCGCAGAAGACCTATTCGAGGCCTCCACAATTCATGCTATGGCCTCAATCTTCCAGGAGATCCTCCGCCGGTGCATCGAGGTACCTCAAGTATCCATCTCAGCTCTTCCGCTCACAGACGGCGTCAATCATACAATCACCTCGCTGGAGATCGAGCGGACCAACTACCCTCGGGATTCGAGCGTCGTAGATGTCTTCCGTGACCAAGTGGCAGCTAGTCCCGAAGCAACAGCTGTCGTCGACAATGCCTCCAGTCTAACATATGCCGAGCTGGACCGACAATCAGACGAGGTTGCTAAGTGGCTTCGAAGCAGGCATATGCCAGCCGAGACGCTGGTAGCAGTTCTTGCGCCGCGGTCGTGCGAGACAGTGGTGGCTTTAATCGGCATTCTAAAGGCGAACCTTGCCTACCTTCCGCTGGATGTCAACGTTCCCAGCGCGCGCATTGGGGCGATTCTATCAGTGATTGAAGAACACAAGCTGGTCTTGCTTGGTACTGGAACTCCGGCTCCGGAAATCCAAGTCCCCAATGTCGAGATAGTCCGAATCAGCGACACTATGGGCCACCAGAAGCTGCCTAACGGCACAAGTGCCAGTACCGCCGTGGGACCGTCGGCAACGAGCCTCGCATACGTCATCTTCACCTCTGGTTCGACAGGCAAGCCTAAGGGAGTGATGGTCGAGCACCGTGCTATTCTTCGCCTGGTCAAGGAAAGCAATCTGCTATCAAACAAGGAAGCTGCCATCCCCGTTGCTCACATGGCGAATCTGGCGTTCGACGCTACGACATGGGAACTTTACGCACCCCTCTTGAATGGTGGCACCGTGGTCTGTATCGACTACATGACCGTTCTAGATCCGGCTGCTTTGGCAGCCACCTTTGCAACCCAAGGCATCAAAGCAGCCTTCTTTTCCACCTCGCTGCTCAAGCAACAGCTCAGCGAAATGCCTGCTGCTATTGCTTGCTTGGATCTGCTGTTTGCCGGTGGTGAGATGATGCGGCCAGAGGATTCCTTCCAAGCCAGGGAGCTGGTCCAGGGCACTTTCTGCCATGTCTACGGTCCAACCGAAAACACCACATTCAGTACCATGTACCGGATGACCGAAGAAGAACAGTGTATCAATGGTGTTCCGATTGGCCACGCAGTCAGCAACTCTGGCGCCTACATTATGGACCCGAACCAACAGCTCGTCCCGCCTGGCGTGATGGGTGAGCTAGTCGTCACCGGTGATGGTCTGGCCCGCGGCTACACCGATCCGGTCTTGGACAGAGATCGATTCGTGCAGGTGACAATCAATGGCGAGTCTGTCCGAGCATACCGAACCGGAGACAGGGCACGCTACCGCCCAGCAGATGGTGATATCGAAATTTTCGGCCGCATGGACCAGCAAGTCAAGATTAGGGGCCACCGAATCGAGCCTGCCGAAGTAGAGCATGCGATACTTGCAGATACTGCGGTTCGCGACACAGCCGTCATCGTTCGGGCACAAGAGGGCCAGGAGGCGGAAATGGTCGGATTTGTCACCCTCCAACGGCGCAGCGACACCACCGAGGAACAGCATGAGGTCACCAACCAGGTCGAGGGTTGGGCGGCACATTTCGACACTAATACTTATGCTGAAATCGATACTATTGACCAGTCAACTATCGGTAACGACTTCATGGGCTGGACGTCGATGTATGACGGGATGCCTATCGACAAAGCCGAGATGCAAGAGTGGCTCGACGATACGATGCATACACTTCTAGATGGCCACGCGCCGCCCGGCCGCGTCTTTGAAATCGGAACCGGTACTGGCATGGTCATGTTCAACCTTGCCAAATCCGCTGGTCTTGAGAGCTATATCGGACTCGAACCATCGCATTCGGCCGCCGCTTTCGCTGCTAATAAGGCTAACGCTACCCCAGCTTTGGCTGGCAAAGCTGAGGTACGCGTCGGCACCGCCACGGATATCAACCAGGTGGAGGGACTGTGCCCCGACCTGGTCGTGATCAACTCCGTAGCCCAGTACTTCCCTTCGCCGGAATACTTGATGGAGGTGGTTGACACACTTACGCGGCTACCAGGCGTCAAGCGCATCTTCTTCGGTGATATGCGGTCCTACGCCACAAACAGACACTTTCTCGCGGCTAGGGCTGTTCACGCGCTTGGTAAAGATGTCACCAAAGAAGGTGTTCGACAGAAGATGGCAGAGTTGGAGGACCGTGAGGAGGAGTTGCTTGTGGACCCGGTCTTCTTCACCAGCCTAGCGAGCCGCCTACCAGGCCGAGTCAAGCATGTGGAAATTATTCCAAAGACCATGAAGGCTACAAACGAGCTCAGCTCGTATCGATATGCTGCTATCATCTACGTGGGCAGTGTACAACAAGACCTACCGCCTATCCATAAGATCAGTAACGACTCCTGGATCGACTTTACAGCAACTAGCATGGATCGCTCTAGCCTCCTACACCATCTGCAGAGCTCATCGGGCTCATCGGGCGCCACGGCAGTGGCGATTAGCAACATCCCGTATAGCAAAACGATTCTCGAGCGGCATGTCGTGGAGGCGCTTGACCATGATGATATCGACGATAATGCGCAAGACACACAAGATGGGCTGGCCTGGCTCTCGTCTATCCGCTCCCAGGCGAATCAGTGCGCGTCCCTCTGCCCTGCTGACCTTGTGGAATTGGCCGAGGCGGCAGGCTACACTGTACATTTAAGCTGCGCGCGGCAGCGGTCCCAGCATGGCGCCATCGATGCTGTCTTCCATCAGTACCCTCGACATGAAGGGGTGCGTGTCTTGCTACAGTTCCCTACCGATAGCGAGAGTACACTCGTGCCTCAGACAAATCGCCCGCTACAGCGACTACAGAGCCGCCGCGATGAGGCGCAGATTCGAGAGCGACTTCTAGCCCTACTCCCATCGTACATGGTGCCTGGCCAAATCGTAGTGCTAGACCACATGCCTTTGAACGCAAATGGTAAGGTCGACAGGAAAGTCCTTAGCCGGAAGGCCCAGGTCGTGCGCCAAATCGCACTTGACTCTGCGCGCGTGGCTCCCAGGAATGACATTGAGATTGCTCTATGCGATGAGTTCTCCAATCTACTTGGCGTTGACGTCGGCATCACTGATAACTTCTTCGACCTTGGTGGACATTCCCTCATGGCCACTAAGCTGGCTGCACGAATCAGTCGTCGACTAGATGTCCACATCTCAGTCAAGGATGTATTCGACCATCCTGTCATCGAGGATCTTGCTGCCACCCTCCAGCAAGGGTCCTCCCTACATAATCCCATTCCTAGCACACAGTACGAGGGACCCGTCGAACAGTCGTTTGCGCAAGGGCGCCTTTGGTTCCTGGATCAAATGAACACTGGTTCCACTTGGTATCTCATGCCGCTGGCTACAAGGATCCGCGGGGTTTTGCAAATTGGCCCTCTCTCTGCCGCCATATTTGCCCTCGAACAACGACACGAGACTTTAAGGACGACATTCTTAGAAAAGGATGGCGTTGGCCTGCAAGTGGTTCACCCGGCCCAGCACAAGCCTCTCAAACTTATCGATCTATCGGCCGAGGAGGATGGAAGCTATCTTACACTGTTGAAACAACAACAGACAACTCCATTCGATCTGTCCTCCGAGCCAGGCTGGAGAGTATCGCTGATAAAACTAGGAGATGAAGACCATATTCTTTCCATCGTCATGCACCATATCATCTCCGATGGATGGTCAATCGACATCCTACGCCAAGAGCTGGACCGTTTCTATTCTTCGGCCCTCCAAGGCCATGACCTGTCCCAGGTTGACTCGCTGTCGCAGGTGACCCCACTACAAATCCAGTATCGCGACTTCGCCATCTGGCAGAAGCAGGCCGATCAAATCGCGGAGCACCAGCGGCAGCTCGAGTACTGGATGGAACAGCTAGCGGACAGCTCTCCAGCAGAGATCTTGAGCGACCGACCACGGCCAACCATTCTGTCTGGGCGTGCTGGTACTATCGAGTTCTCTATCGAGGGTGCGGTATACGATGGCCTCCAGGCCTTCTGCCGTACGCACCAGACAACCCCCTTCGCCGCATTACTCGCTGTGTTCCGCGCAACGCACTACCGACTAACAGGCGTCGACGATGCTGCCATTGGAACCCCGATCGCCAACCGCAACCGGCCAGAGCTAGAGAACATGGTTGGCTTCTTTGTGAACACGCAATGTATGCGCATTGCGGTTGACCGCGATGACACATTCGAGAGCCTGGTCAAGCAGGTTCGGTCAACAACCGCGGCCGCTTTCGCCAACCAAGATGTTCCATTCGAGCGCATCGTATCGGCCCTCTTGCCTGGGTCGAGAGACATGTCTCGCAATCCACTCGTGCAGCTTATGTTTGCGCTCCATGCCCAGACAGACCTAGGAAAGATCCAGCTAGCTGAGCTGACTGGAGAGCCTGTACTGGCAGCAGTTTCCACGCGCTTCGATATTGAATTCCATCTATTCCAAGACACGGGCAAACTTGGCGGCCGCATCTACTTCGCGGAAGACCTCTTCAAGACGTCCACCATCCAATCCATGGTCACCATCTTCCAGGAGATACTCCGTCGTTGCGTCGATGAGCCCAACGTACCTATCGCGGCTCTTCGTCTCGTAGACGGTGTTGAAGACCTTCGCGAACTAGGCCTGTTGGACATCAAGAAGACCGACTACCCTCGCGAAGCAAGCGTCGTCGATGTTTTCCGCGCCCAGGTGGCTGCTTTCCCACAGTCGACGGCTATTGTCGACGCTTCGTCGCGCCTGACATACACTGAGCTAGACCAAAAGTCGGATGAGGTCGCCCAATGGCTTCGCAGCCGGAATATTCCAGCTGAGACGCTCGTGGCAGTTTTCGCGCCGCGATCATGCGAGACACTGGTAGCCTTCTTCGGTATCCTCAAAGCGAACCTTGCTTATCTACCGCTCGATGTCAACGTTCCTACTGCTCGCATCGAAGCCATCCTGTCAGCTATTCCAGGCAAGAAACTGATTTTGCTTGGAGCCAACACAGCCGTTCCAAATGTCCAAGTGTCCGAGGTAGAAGTGGTCCAGATCAGTGAGACTACAGGCCACGTCGGTCCATACGATAACCTGCCCACCGCTGTCGAGCCAACGGCTACGAGCCTCGCCTATGTCATCTTTACATCTGGTTCAACAGGGAAGCCCAAGGGCGTGATGATCGAGCATCGTAACATTGTACGATTGGTCAAGGAAAGCAATGTCACATCTAAGATTCCTCAAACCGCTGCTATTGCGCATCTTTCTAATGTTGCTTTCGACGCTGCGACATGGGAGATATATGCGCCACTTCTCAACGGAGGCACGGTAGTTTGCATCGACTACTTCACCTCACTGGACAGCAAGGCACTCGAGGCAACGTTTCTACGGGAAAACATTCGTGCAGCTATGCTCCCACCTGCCCTGTTGAAAGAGTGCTTGGCCAATATCCCTTCCACAATCCGTGCTTTGGATGTTCTCTTTGTTGCCGGCGACCGCTTTGACCCCCGCGATGCAGTCTATGCCCGAGCGCTTGTCGGCAGCGGTGTATACAACGCCTATGGTCCAACTGAGAACGCTGTCTTGAGTACCATCTATAATCTTCCAGAGGGCGAGGACGAGTTATTTGTCAATGGTGTTCCGATCGGTGGAGCAGTCACCCACTCTGGCGCTTATATTATGGATTTGAACCAGCAATTGGTCCCCCTGGTGTCATGGGTGAGCTAGTCGTCACAGGCGATGGTCTTGCCCGCGGCTATACCGATGCAGCCTTGAACCGAGATCGGTTTGTGCAAGTGACCATCCACGGCGAGGTTGTCCGAGCATACCGAACCGGAGACCGAGTGCGTTATCGACCGACAGATGGCTACATCGAGTTCTTTGGCCGCATGGACCAGCAAGTCAAGATCAGGGGCCACCGCATCGAGCCAGCCGAGGTGGAGCATGCCATGCTGAGGCATGAGGCAGTCCGGGACGCAGCTATAGTCGTCCGATCCCAAGATGGACAGGATCCGGAAATGGTCGGCTTTGTCGTCGCCCACGACCACAGCAGCACTATCGACGAACAGCGCGAGGTCACGAATCAGGTAGAAGGGTGGGCGGCCCATTTCGACACTAGTACATATGCTGATATCAGTACCATCGACCACTCTGCCATCGGAAACGACTTTATGGGCTGGACATCTATGTATGACGGGGCCCCTATTGACCAGGCGGAAATGCAAGAGTGGCTTGACGACACAATGAAGACACTGCTTGATGGCCGCCCGGCTGGCCGCGTGTTCGAGATAGGAACCGGCACTGGCATGGTGATGTTCAATCTGGCCAGATCCACTGGTCTTGAGAGCTACATCGGTCTCGAACCTTCACAGGCGGCAGCTGACTTCGCCACCAAGAAGGCTAAGGCTATCCCAGCCCTGGCTGGGAAAGCTGAAGTCCTGGTCGGCACAGCCACAGACATCGACAAAGTACAGGGACTCCATCAACCGGATTTGGTGGTCATCAACTCTGTAGCTCAGTACTTCCCTACACCGGAATACTTGACAGAGGTCGTTGAGACGCTCACCCGTCTACCAGGTGTCAAAGAATATTCTTCGGTGACATGCGCTCTTATGCCACCAATAGACACTTCCTTGCCGCTAGGGCTGTCCACGCCCTTGGAAAGATATCACCAAGGATGGTGTGCGACAGAAGATGACAGAGCTCGAAGAGCGCGAAGAAGAGCTACTGGTGGACCCGGCATTCTTCACCAGCCTAGCGACTCGGCTACCGAATGTTAAGCATGTGGAGATTATTCCAAAGAGTATGAAAGCCACCAACGAGCTTAGCTCGTATCGATATGCTGCGGTCATCTATGTCGGTGCTCAAGCAGAAGATATGCAGCCGATCTATAGGATCAATAGTGATTCTTGGATCGACTTCACAAGCACCGGCATGGATCGCCAGAGCCTTCTCCAACTCCTGCGAAGCCGACCAAGCGCCGCCACGACAGTGGCTATTAGCAACATTCCATACAGCAAGACGATTCTGGAGCGGCATGTTGTGGAGTCACTTGACCATGACGATAGTGACGACAACAAACAAGGCTCACAAGACGGCCTAGCTTGGCTATCGGCTATCCGCTCCAAGGCGACTCAATGTTCATCCCTTTGCGCTGCAGATCTCGTAGAGCTCGCGGAAGAGGCTGGCTTCACCGTCGAGGTGAGCTGGGCCCGGCAAAGTCCCAACACGGCGCTGTCGACGCCGTCTTCCACCATTATCCTCCTCACCACGCAGGAGCACGTGTCTTGGTCAATTCCCGACAGAGGAGGAGAGGGCATCGATTCCCCGTACAAATCGACCATTGCAGCGTCTACAGAGCCGTCGCGTCGAGACACTGATCCGAGAGCGTCTACAGGGTCTGCTGCCGTCATACATGGTTCCAGGACAAATCATCGTGCTCGACCAGATGCCTCTGAACGCCAATGGCAAGGTCGACAGGAAAGCGCTAAGCAACAAGGCCAAGCTAGTCCGGAAGATTGCGCTAGACTCTACACATGTGGCTCCGCGCAACGATATCGAAGTTGCCCTGTGTGATGAGTTCTCTAGCCTGCTTGGCGTGGATGTCGGCATCACTGACAACTTCTTTGATCTTGGCGGTCACTCTCTCATGGCGACCAAGCTAGCAGCCAGACTCAGCCGGCGACTGGATGTACACATTTCGGTGAAAGATGTCTTCGACCATCCTATCATCGAGGATCTTGCTACCACCATCCGCCAAGGATCCTCCCCACATAGCCCTATCCCTGTAACACAGTATCAGGGACCTATCGAGCAGTCATTCGCTCAAGGACGCCTTTGGTTCCTCGATCAGCTCAACCTCAATGCCTCATGGTATCTCATGCCAATCGCCACGCGTATTCGCGGACCATTACAAGTCGATGCGCTTTCTGCCGCATTGTTCGCTCTGGAGCGGCGCCATGAGACGCTGAGGACCACATTCTTGGAGAAGGATGGTGTAGGGTTACAGGTCATCCACCCAAGCCAGCCAACAGCCCTCAGAGTCATTGATGTGTCAAGTGAAGGCGACAGCTATCTTGAACGCCTTAAGGAAGAACAGACAACCCTCTTCGACCTGTCATCCCACCCAGGTTGGAGAGTGGCCATGTTCCGCCTCGGCGATGAGGACCACATCCTCTCTATCGTGATGCACCACATCATATCTGATGGTTGGTCGATCGACGTTTTACAGCAAGAACTCGACCGTTTCTATTCTGCTGCACTCCGAGGCCAAGACCCACTGGCACAGGTGAGCCCGCTGCCGATCCAGTATCGCGACTTTGCCGTATGGCAGAAGCAGGCCAATCAAATCGCGGAGCACCAGCGACAGCTAGAATACTGGACGGAGCAGCTTGCAGACAGTTCTCCAGCGGAGATCTTGAGCGACCGGCCACGACCACCTATCCTCTCTGGTAGTGCAGGCGCTGTGCACCTTGCTATCGAGGGTAGAGTCTACGATAGTCTTCAGTCGTTCTGCCGTGTACACCAAACCACATCCTTCGCCACGCTCCTGGCCATTTTCCGGGCCACGCACTACAGGCTCACCGGTGTCGAGGATGCCACCATCGGCGCACCTATAGCCAATCGTAACCGGCCAGAGCTAGAGCACATGGTTGGTTTCTTTGTCAACACCCAATGTCTACGCATCACAGTAGAGCCAGAAGATACCTTCCAAACGCTTGTTCAACAGGTCCGGTCCACTACAACCACCGCGTTCGCAAACCAAGATGTTCCATTCGAGCGCATCGTCTCAACACTTCTGCCTGGCTCGAGGGATGCATCTCGAAACCCACTTGTACAGCTGATGTTTGCGCTGCACTCGCAACAGGATCTAGGTAAGATCCGGCTGGAAGGCCTCGTAGGTGAGCCTGTACCAGGCACCGCATCGACTCGCTTCGACCTCGAGTTTCACCTTTACCAAGAGGCAGGAAGGCTGGCTGGAACCATTCTGTTTGCAGAGGACCTGTTTGAGACTTCCACCATCCAAGCCATGGTTAGCATCTTCCAGGAAGTGCTTCGTCAGTGCCTCGACGCACCTCAAGTCCCTATATCGGGTCTTGTCCTTACAGATGGCGTCGACAACCTTGGCGCAATGGACTTGTTGGACATCCAGAGGACCAACTACCCTCGAGATTCCAGCGTTATCGATGTATTCCGCGCCCAGGCGGCCGCTTCTCCGGATGCAACAGCTGTCATCGACAGTTCCTCCACCTCCAGCCTGACATACGCTGAGTTGGACCGAAAGTCTGACGAGGTCGCTAGCTGGCTTCGAAGCCGTCGACTTCCAGCTGAGTCGCTGGTAGGAGTACTTGCACCGCGGTCTTGCGAGACAGTAGTTGCGTTCTTTGGCATTCTAAAGGCGAACCTTGCCTACCTTCCGCTTGACATCAACGTTCCTACTGCTCGCATTGAAGCTATCCTGTCTGCTGTTACTGGAGACAAACTTATCTTATGTGGTAGCGGAATATCGCTCCCAGATATTCAAGATCCCAAGGTAGAGTTCGTTCGGATCGGCGACACCCTGGGCCAGGCCGATGCTGTCAGCGGTGATGTCGGACCATCGGCGACAAGTCTCGCATATGTCATCTTCACATCCGGTTCGACAGGAAAACCCAAGGGTGTCATGGTCGAGCATCGCGCTATTCTACGCTTGGTTAAGGAAAGCAATCTAGTGTCTAATGCGGATTCTGCTGTCTGCGTTGCTCACATGGCGAACCTGGCGTTCGATGCTACCACATGGGAGCTCTATGCTCCCCTACTGAACGGCGGGACGGTGGTCTGCATCGATTACATGACTGTCCTGGACCCCAGTGCCTTGGCCGCCATCTTCTCAAGCCATAGCATCAAAGCAGCTTTCTTTTCCACCTCACTTCTCAAGCAACAGCTAAGCGAAGCTCCCGCCGCCATCGCCACCTTGGATCTACTATTTGCCGGAGGTGAGAGGATGCGACCAGAGGATTCTTTCCAAGCCAGGGAACTGGTACAAGGTGCATTCTGTCACGTGTACGGCCCGACAGAAAACACCACGTTCAGTACTGTGTATAGGATGGGTGAAGACGAGCAGTGCATCAACGGTGTTCCGATCGGTCGCGCAGTCAGCAACTCTGGTGCCTACATCATGGACCCGAACCAGCAGATTGTGCCACCTGGCGTGATGGGTGAGCTTGTCGTCACCGGAGACGGTCTCGCTCGAGGATATACCGATGCAGCATTAGACCAGGGTCGATTCGTCCATGTGACTATCAATAGTGGCGAGCCTGTTCGGGCTTACCGGACTGGAGATCGCGCACGCTACCGACCAACAGACGGCTACCTAGAGTTCTTTGGACGAATGGACCAGCAAATCAAGATCCGCGGCCACCGAATCGAGCCAGCCGAGGTAGAGCATGCCATCCTTACGGATACCGCTGTTCGCGATGCCGTTGTCATTGTCCGGGTACAAGAAGGTCGGGAGCTAGAGATGGTCAGCTTTGTCACAGTCGAAGGCCAGAACAATACTGCCGGCGACCAACAAGAGGTGACCAGCCAGGTCGAAGGCTGGGCGGCACATTTCGACATGAATACATATGCTGACATTGACACCATCGACCACTCCGCCATCGGTAACGACTTCATGGGCTGGACTTCCATGTATGATGGAAAACCCATCGCCAAGGTTGAGATGCAAGAATGGCTCGACGACACGATGCAGACACTTATAGATGGCCGCCCGCCAGGTCATGTATTCGAGATAGGCACTGGTACTGGTATGATCATGTTCAATCTCAGCAACTACGCTGGCCTTGAGAGCTATATTGGGCTCGAGCCGTCACAGTCAGCGGCTGCTTTCGCTACCAACAAGGCCAAGTCCATCCCGGCCCTCGCTGGTAGGTCTGACGTACAGGTTGGTACAGCCACAGACATAGACCAGGTTCAGGGGCTTTCTCCAGACCTGGTGGTCATCAACTCTGTGGCCCAGTACTTCCCTACGCCAGAATACCTGATGGAAACGGTGGTTGCGCTCACACGCTTGCCGGGTGTGAAACGCCTATTCTTCGGCGACATGAGGTCCTACGCTACCAATCGACACTTCCTCGCAGCCCGAGCTGTCCACACCCTAGGGACGGATATCAGCAAGGAAGGTGTGAGGCAGAAGATGGCAGAGCTAGAAGAGCGTGAGGAAGAACTTCTTGTAGACCCGGCCTTCTTCACCAGCCTCACAAGCCGGCTGCCAGGTCAAGTCAAGCACGTGGAAATCCTTCCGAAGAAGATGAGAGCGACGAACGAACTCAGCTCGTACCGGTATGCTGCTGTCGTCTACCTGCACACGCCGCCAGAGGAAGAGGAACAGATTATTCACACGATTGATGACGACTGCTGGGTTGACTTTACCCGGACCGGAATGGATCGCTCTAGCCTTCTCCGCCTCTTACAGAGCTCGGCGGACACGACCACCACGACCACCACCACCACGCCAGTGGCTATCAGCAACATCCCATACAGCAAAACGATTCTAGAGCGACATGTCGTGGAGTCGCTTGACCACGAGGATATCGACAACGAACAGGACTCTCAGGACGGGTTAGCTTGGCTCTCGTCTATCCGCTCTAACGCGAACCAATGTCCATCCCTCAGTGCTGCTGACCTTGTCGAGCTGGCCGAAGCGGCAGGCTTTACCGTAGAGTTGAGCTGGGCGCGACAGCGATCCCAACATGGTGCCATCGATGCTGTCTTCCATCATTATCCGACACAACACAAGGGAGCGCGTGTTTTGATTAAATTCCCAACCGACGGTGAGGGTTCACTAGCACTGGTGCCCCTGACAAATAGGCCATTGCAGCGCCTACAGAGCCGTCGCGTTGAGACACAGATCCGCGACCGGCTACAAGCAGTTCTACCGTCATACATGATCCCAGGACAGATCGTCGTGCTCGACCACATGCCTCTGAACGCAAACGGCAAGGTCGACAGGAAGGCCCTCACACGTAAGGCCCAGATCGTTCGCAAGATCACACCTGATTCTGCCCGTGTCGCGCCCCGTAATACCATCGAGGCTACGCTCTGTGACGAGTTTTCTGATCTGCTTGGTGTGGATGTCGGCATCACTGATAATTTCTTCGACCTTGGCGGCCACTCTCTCATGGCAACCAAGCTGGCAGCCCGACTGAGTCGTCGACTAGATATCCGTATCTCGGTCAAAGAGGTATTTGATCACCCTGTGATCGAGGACCTTGCTGCCACGATCCGCCAGGGATCGACCCCACACAACCCCATCCCGGTCACCGACTATAAGGGACCTGTCGAGCAATCTTTCGCCCAAGGCCGCCTATGGTTCCTGGACCAACTTAATATCGGTTCCTCATGGTACCTCATGCCGCTGGCTACACGGATGCGCGGACCGATGCAAATCGATGCTCTTTCTGCCGCTGTATTTGCCCTTGAGCAGCGGCACGAAACCCTACGGACAACGTTCCTGGAGGAGGACGGTGTCGGGCTACAGGTCATCCATCCAAGTCGCCCGAATTCTTTGAGGGTCATCGATATCTCATCTGATACGGATAAGAATTATGTCGAGATCTTGAAACAGGAACAGACGGCACCTTTTGACCTTTCATCTGAGCCAGGGTGGCGAGTGTCACTGATACGTCTGAATCATGATGACCACATCCTCTCCATTGTCATGCATCACATCATCTCCGACGGTTGGTCCATCGATATCCTGCGACAAGAATTAGACCAACTCTACGAAGCTGCAGTCCAAGGACAGGATCCATTGTCGCTTCTGGCACCCTCCCTATCCAGTACCGCGACTTTGCCCTGTGGCAGAAGAAACCTGAGCAGGTAGCGGAGCACCATCGGCAGCTCGAATATTGGACCACGCAGCTAGCAGATAGCTCTGCAGCGGAGATCCTGAGCGACCGACCACGACCAACTATCCTCTCTGGGCGTGCAGGCGCTATTCAGCTTGAGATCGAGGGTGGAGTGTATGATCGCCTTCAATCATTCTGCCGTACGCACCAAACCACATCCTTCGCAGCGCTGATGACAATTTTCCGGGCGACGCACTACCGCCTTACCGGCGTGGAGGATGCCACTATTGGCGCACCGATCGCCAACCGTAACCGACCAGAGCTGGAAGATATGATCGGCTTCTTCGTCAACACCCAGTGTATCCGCATCACTGTAGAGGCCGATGACACTTTCGAAAGCCTGGTCACACAGGTGCGGTCAACTACGACAGCCGCCTTCGCCCACCAAGATGTTCCGTTTGAGCGTGTTGTATCGGCACTTACCCCTGGATCCAGGGATACCTCCAGAAATCCACTTGCGCAGCTCATGTTCGCCCTCCACTCACAGCAAGATCTAGGAAAATTCCAGCTCAAGGGCCTTGTTGGAGAACCTCTGGCAGGTACAGCTTCAACTCGCTTCGATATCGAATTCCATCTTTTCAAGAAGCTGGAAAGCTTGTCGGCAATGTCCTTTTGCGGAGGACTTGTATGAGACTTCTACTATCCAGACCATGGTGAATACCTTCCAGGAGATTCTTCGCCGGTGCGTTGAGGCACCTCAAGTACCAATCTCAGCTCTGCCTCTTACCGATGGCGTCAATGCCCTTCGCACGATGAACTTGCTGGACATCCAGAGGACCGACTATCCTCGGGATGACAGCCTAGTAGATGTCTTCCGCCGCCAAGTGGTGGCTTGCCCAGACGCAACAGCCGTCGTCGACACGTCCTGCCGTTTGACATACGCCCAGCTAGATCGAAAGTCGGATGCCATTGCTAGCTGGCTTCGCAACCGCGATATGCCAGCTGAGACACTCGTGGCAGTTCTTGCGCCGCGGTCATGTGAAACGGTAGCAGCGCTCTTCGGCATTCTGAAGGCGAATCTCGCCTACCTTCCCCTCGATGTCAACGTCCCTACTGCGCGCCTCGAAGCCATCTTGTCCACCATTGCCAAGGATACACTCATCTTGCTCGGTACCGAAACATCGGCTCCTGAAATCCAAGGCCCTGAAGTGGAGCTGGTGCGGATCGGCGACATCATGAACAACCCCGATGCAGATGCATATGCTGCTCCGGGTGAAGATGTTGGACCGTCGGCCACCAGCCTTGCCTATGTCATCTTTACTTCGGGATCGACCGGCAAGCCTAAGGGTGTCATGGTCGAGCACCGTGCTATTCTACGATTGGTGAAGGACAGCAATGTGGTATCCAAGGTGTCTCGCGGAGTTTCGACATCGCACCTCACGAACCTTGCCTTCGATGTCGCCATGTGGGAAATTTACGCATCACTGCTGAATGGCGGAACTCTTATCTGCGTCGACTACTTCACTGTCCTGGATAGCCAGGCTCTTGAGGCCTTGTTCCTTCAAGAAAAGGTCCGCGCCGCCATCTTCCCGCCTGCCCTTCTCAAACAGTGCCTGGCCAACATCCCTTCAACGATCCAGGCTCTAGATGTCCTGTTCGTCGCAGGTGATCGGTTCGATCCTCGAGATGCCATCCACGCGCAAGGTCTTGTTGGTGCCGGTGGTGTTTACAACGCCTATGGCCCAACTGAGAATGGTATCTTGAGTACGATCTATAATCTCGACCACGCCGATTCCTTTGTCAATGGTGTGCCTATTGGCCAGGCCGTCAGCAACTCCGGAGCTTATATTCTGGACCTGCACCAGCAGCTAGTGCCACCTGGCGTAATGGGTGAGCTAGTCGTCACTGGGGATGGTCTGGCTCGAGGCTACACCGACGCCAGCCTAGACAAAGATCGATTCATCTCCGTGACTATCAATGGCCAGCGCATCAGGGCGTACCGAACGGGAGATCGGGCGCGTCATCGACCGACAGACGGCTACATTGAGTTCTTCGGCCGTATGGACCAGCAGATCAAGATTAGAGGTCACCGCATCGAGCCTGCCGAGGTAGAGCATACGATACTCACAGATGATGTGGTTCGTGATGCAGCTATCATCGTCCGAGTACAAGACGGACAAGAGCCGGAAATGGTCGGATTTATCGCACTCAAGGGCAGCAGACAAATGCTGCTGATGATAACCAAGAGGTGACCAGCCAGGTCGAAGGCTGGGCGGCGCATTTCGACACTAATACATACGCCGATATCAGCACCATTGACGAATCTGCTATCGGTAATGACTTCATGGGTTGGACTTCCATGTACGACGGACAACCTATCGACAAGCTTGAGATGCAAGAATGGCTGGATGACACGATGCAGACACTCCTAGATGGCCGTGCGCCTGGCCATGTGTTTGAGATCGGAACCGGTACCGGCATGATCATGTTCAACCTTGTTAACGGGCTTGAAAGCTATATAGGTCTTGAGCCGTCGCAGTCCGCAGCTTCCTTTGCTACAAATGCGGCCAAGGCCATCCCAGCCCTCGCTGGGAAGGCCGAGGTACAGGTTGGGACAGCCACTGATATCAAGCAACTACAAGGGCTCCGTCCAGATTTGGTGATCATCAACTCCGTAGTCCAGTATTTCCCTACACCGGAATACTTGACAGAGGTAGTTGACACGCTTACACGGCTGCCAGGCGTCAAGCGCATCTTCTTCGGCGACATCCGGTCATATGCTACTAATAAACACTTCCTCGCAGCCAGGGCCATCCACACACTTGATAAAGACGTCAGCAAACAAGGTGTGCGGCAAAAGATTGCAGAGCTGGAAGAGCGCGAAGAAGAGTTACTTGTCGACCCCGTATTCTTCACCAGCCTGGCGAACCGTCTTTCAAGTCGAGTCAAGCATGTGGAGATTCTTCCAAAGTTGATGACAGCTACAAACGAGCTGAGCGCATACCGATATTCTGCCGTCATCTACGTGGCCAACCCAGAGGAAGATCTTCAGCCCGTATACACGATCGACAATAGCTCCTGGATTGACTTTACCCGGACCGGCATGGATCGCGCCAGCCTTCTCGAACTTCTACGGCGCGCGCCAAACGGAGCCCCGGTAGCTGTGGGCAATATTCCATACAGCAAGTCCATCGTTGAGCGTCATGTTGTGGAGTCGCTTGACCACGATGACATCAACGATGATGGGCAAGCGCAAGATGGCCTACCTTGGCTCTCGTCCATTCGCGCCAAGGCGGCTCAATGTTCGTCCTTCTGCGCTGCTGACCTCGTGGAATTGGCCAAAGAGGCTGGCTTTAGCGTGCAGACTAGCTGGGCGCGGCAACGTTCCCAGCATGGCGCCGTCGATGCCGTCTTCCACCATTATCCGGCGCCACACGATGGATCCCGCGTCTTGCTACAGTTTCCGGCCGATGGTAAGAGTACATTGATCCCCTGACAAATCGCCCGTTGCAGCGCCTACAGAGCCGGCGCGCCGAGGCCCATATACGAGATCGACTTCAGAAATTACTCCCATCATATATGGTGCCAGGACAGATCGTCATCCTTGACCATATGCCTCTCAATGCCAACGGCAAGGTTGACAGGAAAGCGCTAAGCCGGAAGGCCCACATTGTCCGCAAGGTTACCCTTGGCTCTACTCGCGTGGCACCCCGGAATGATATTGAGACCGCTCTATGCGACGAGTTCTCCAATCTTCTTGGTGTGGATGTCGGTATCACTGACAACTTCTTCGACCTTGGTGGACACTCTCTCATGGCGACCAAACTTGCGGCCAGGCTCAGCCGTATCTTGGATATTCGTATCTCGGTCAAGGACGTGTTTGACCATCCCGTCATCGAGGACCTTGCTGCCACGATCCGCCAAGGCTCGACCCCACACAATCCAATCCCCGTCACAGCAAACAATGGCCCTGTCGAACAATCCTTCGCCCAAGGTCGCTTATGGTTCCTGGACCAGCTTAACCTTGGCGCATCATCCTACCTCATGCCTTTGGCAGTACGCGTACGCGGGCCACTGCAACTTGATGCTCTTTCTACCGCCATCTTCGCTTTGGAGCAGCGGCACGAAACATTGAGGACCACCTTCTTGGAGAAAGATGGCATAGGACTACAGGTCATCCACCCAAGCCAGCTCAGGCCGCTCAAGGTGATTGATATCCCAACGGACAATTATATCGAGGCTCTGAAGCAAGAGCAGACAAGCCCTTTCGATTTGTCGTCTGAGCCGGGTTGGAGAGTGACCTATTACGCATCCGAGATGACGACCATATTCTCTCCATCGTAATGCACCACATCATATCTGATGGCTGGTCGATCGACATCCTACGCCAGGAGCTAGACCGCTTCTATTCCGCAGCAATCCGAGGTCAAGATCCGCTGTCGCAAGTCAGCCCGCTCCCTATACAGTATCGCGACTTCTCCTTGTGGCAAAAGCAAGACGCGCAGGCGGTCGAGCACCAGCGACAGCTCGAGTATTGGAAACAGCAATTGGCAGAGAGCATCCCAGCGGGTCTTCTGACCGACTTTACACGCCCAGCCCTATTGTCCGGAAAGGCTGGTGTTGTCCAAATCAAGATTGACAATGTTGTGCATGATCGGCTGCAGGCATTCTGCCGCACATATCAGATAACTGCCTTTGCCGCATTGCTCGCAGCATTCCGCGCAACACACTACCGCCTGACCGGGGCGGAAGATGCTACTATCGGCACGCCAATTGCCAACAGGAATAGGCCAGAGCTCGAGGATATGATCGGCTTCTTTGTCAACACCCAGTGCATGCGCATCACTGTAGGGTCCGATGACACATTCGAAAGCCTTGTCACACAGGTGCGCTCGACGACGACAGCAGCATATGAACATCAAGATGTTCCATTCGAGCGCATCGTATCGGCACTTGTGCCTGGATCAAGAGACACTTCTCGCAACCCGCTTGTCCAAATCATGTTTGCCCTACACTCGCAGCAAGATCTTGGCAAGATCCAGCTAGAGGGCCTTGTCGGAGAACCAGTACCAGGCATAGCATCTACTCGATTCGATCTCGAATTCCACCTGTTCCAGGAGGCAGGACAGCTAGGTGGCAGCGTTCTGTTCGCAGAGGACCTATTTGAGGCTTCCACCATCCACACTATGGTCAATACCTTCCAGGAGATCCTCCGTCAGTGTGTTGACACACCTCAAATACCCATCTCAGTTCTCCCACTTGTAGATGGTCTCGACAACCTCCACGCTATGGGCTTACTAGACATCGAGAGGACGGACTATCCTCGAGATTCAACCCTAGTAGATGTGTTCCGTGACCAGGCGGCCAAGTGCCCAGAGGCAACGGCTGTCGTCGACGCTTCCTCTTCTTTGACATATGCTGAGCTAGATCGACAGTCCGACGAGGTCGCTAGCTGGCTGCGGAAGCGTCAGATGCCCGCCGAGACGATCGTTGGAGTGTTTGCGCCCCGATCGCGCGAGACAGTGGTGGCGTTCTTTGGCATTCTGAAAGCGGGCCTTGCCTACCTTCCGCTCGATATCAAGGTTCCTGCTGCTCGCCTCGAGGCTATTCTGTCCACTATTACGGATAAGACACTGATCCTACTTGGTGGTGACACACCGGCTCCGGAGCTCCAAGGCTCTAACGTGGAGCTCGTTCGAATCAGCGACACCATGGGCCACCATGATGCATATGATGTCAACGGCGTTGTCGGACCGTCGCCGACAAGCCTTGCATATGTCATCTACACGTCCGGATCCACAGGAAAGCCCAAGGGTGTCATGGTTGAACACCGTGCTATTCTACGACTGGTCAAGGACAGTAATGTCGTCTCTAAGCTGCCAAAGTCCGTACGAATGGCACACCTCACGAACCTTGCCTTCGACGTATCGGTATGGGAGATATTGGCGGCGATTTTGCTGGCGGAACCATTGTCTGCATCGACTTCTTCACGACCCTCGACAGCAAAGCCCTTCACGCTCTGTTTATCCGTGAGCAAGTAAGCGCCGCCATGCTTCCGCCTGCGCTTCTGAAACAATATCTTGCCGAAGTACCCGACACGATCGGGACCTTGGAAGCCCTCTTTACCGCTGGTGACCGCCTCGACAGGCGTGACGCTCTACAGGCCCGGGCCCTCGTTCAAGGTGGGGTTTATAACGCATACGGTCCTACCGAAACCCATATTTGCACCATTTACGATGTTACCGGACAGGAGTCGTTCGTGAACGGAGTTCCCATTGGCGTTGCTGCTAGCAATTCTGGAGCTTACATTATGGACCCCAACCAACAGCTAGTACCCCCGGCGTCATGGGTGAACTAGTCGTCACCGGAGACGGTCTGGCTCGAGGCTACACCGACCGAGCCTTGAACAAAGATCGATTCGTGCAGGTGACCATCAATGGCGACTCGGTTCGAGCATACCGAACCGGAGACCGAGTGCGTTATCGACCCATCGACGGCTGTATTGAATTCTTCGGCCGCATGGACCAGCAGATCAAGATCAGGGGCCATCGAATCGAGCCAGCTGAGGTAGAGAATGCTCTCCTCCGACATGAGGCAGTTCGAGACGTGGCTGTTGTGGTCCGGGTACAAGACGGTCAAGAGCCCGAAATGATCGCCTTTGTCGAGACTCGCGACGACGATTGGATGCGACAAGAGTGGGCCGTTGACGCCGGTACGGAGAATGCAGCAAGCTTCGATGAACAAGTTGCTCTACGAGCCGAAAATGAGCTTCGTACTTTGCTGCAAGGGCTTCTACCGTCGTACATGGTCCCCGAACGAATCTTGACTCTTGACCGCCTCCCTATCAACGCAAACGGCAAGGTCGATCGGAAGGAGCTTGCACGACAGGCCGAAGCCGTCTGTAAGAGCACACTGGAGGCTACCCGCGTGGCTCCACGGAATGATGTGGAGATTGCGCTCTGCGATGAGTTTTCCAATCTGCTTGGCGTCGAGGTTGGCATTACCGACAACTTTTTCAACCTCGGTGGCCACTCCCTTATGGCGACTAAACTAGCAGCCCGACTTAGTCGTCGTTTGGATATACACATCTCAGTCAAGGAAGTGTTCGATCAGCCCATCATCGCGGATCTCGCCGCCATCATCCGTCGAGGTTCGGCCCCACATAGTTCAATTCCCGTCACAGAATATGATGGACCGGTCGAGCAATCCTTCGCGCAGGGTCGCCTGTGGTTCCTCGATCAGCTCAACCTCGGCGCCTCCTGGTATCTCATGCCATTGGCTGCGCGAATGCGTGGACCATTGAATGCGGATGCTCTTTCAACTGCCGTGTTTGCGCTGGAGCAGCGACATGAGACTCTGCGAACGACGTTCGTAGAGCAAGACGGTGTAGGCCGACAGGTTGTTCACCCAAGCGAGCAGAAGCCTCTAAGAGTTATTGATATACCAACCGCGGATGACGGAAGTTCAAATTACCTTGAGGTTTTGAGACAGGAACAGACGACTCCCTTCAACCTCTCCACCGAACCCGGCTGGAGGGTATCACTGCTACGACTAGGACAGGAAGATCACATCCTGTCGATCGTCATGCATCACATCATTTCTGACGGATGGTCAATTGACGTGTTGCGCCAGGAGCTAGACAAGTTTTACACTACCGCTACCCGCGGGCAGGATCCCCTGTCGCGCGTGTCCCCGCTCCCTATCCAATACCGTCACTTTGCCCGATGGCAGAAGCAGCCCGACCAGATCGCCGAGCACCAACGGCAGCTCGATTATTGGACAGGAAAGCTGGCAGACAGCTCTCCAGCAGAAATCCCAAGTGATCGACCAAGGCCATCAATCCTGTCCGGCCGTGCTGGTGTTACCCATCTCGCCATCGAGGGTACCATCTACGATCGCCTCCAGGAATTCTGCCGCACCTATCAAACCACTTCCTTCTCTGCCCTACTGGCAGCATTCCGCGCAACACACTACCGCCTTACCGGGGTCGAAGACGCTACTATCGGTACGCCGATCGCCAATCGAAACCGGCCGGAGCTGGAGCACATGGTCGGCTTCTTTGTCAACACCCAGTGTATGCGCATCAGTGTGGAGCCAGATGACACCTTCGATACCCTTGTTAAGCAGGTCCGGACCACTACAACGGCTGCCTTCGCCCATCAAGATGTTCCCTTTGAGCGTGTCGTGTCAGCGCTGATCCCAGGATCGAGAGATACGTCGCGGAATCCACTTGTCCAACTCATGTTTGCGCTACACTCGCAGCAGGATCTGGGCAGGATACAATTACAAGGCCTCGTTGGCGAGCCTGTGCTGGGGACCGTATCGACTCGCTTCGATATCGAATTCCATCTGTTCCAAGAGCCAGATAGGTTGATCGGCAGCATTCTGTACGCAGAAGACCTCTTCCATGCGTCTACTATCGACACCATGGTGAATGTCTTCCAGGAGATCCTTCACCAGTGTGTTTACACACCTGAAATACCTATTTCGGCCCTCCCACTTACAAACGGTATCGATGGACTTCGCACAATGGGCCTGGTAGACATCCAAGAGACTAGCTACCCTCGAGATTCGAGCGTGGTAGACGTCTTCCGTGCCCAGGCGACCATTTCTCCAGATGCAACAGCTGTCGTTGACGCCTCCGGCCGCCTGACGTATGCCGAGCTGGATCAAAAATCGGACAACGTCGCTAGCTGGCTTCGCAAGCGTCAATTGCCAGCCGAAACGCTTGTGGGAGTCCCGCGCCGCGGTCATGTGAAACAGTGGTGGCTCTCTTTGGTGTTCTCAAAGCGAATCTTGCCTACCTTCCACTCGACGTCAATGTTCCTACTGCTCGCGTCGAAGCTATCCTCTCTGCTATCAAGAAGCATACGCTGATCCTACTTGGCACCGAAACACCAGCTCCAGACATCCAGGTGCCTGAGATGGAGCTGGTCCGCATCGGCGACATGATTGCCCACGACGCTTCATATGACGGTAAGAGTGCCGACATGCAGCCATCAGCGACGAGCCTCGCATATGTCATCTTCACGTCCGGATCAACAGGAAAGCCCAAGGGCGTGATGGTTGAGCATCGTGCTATTCTAAGGCTGGTCAAGGAGAGTAATCTGCTCTCAAACACGGATTCCGCCATCCCAGTTGCTCATATGGCGAACCTCGCATTTGATGCTACGACATGGGAAATCTACGCCCCCTTCTCAACGGCGGAACCGTCGTCTGCATTGACTATATGACTGTGCTAGACCCTGCTACTTTGGCTGTTGCTTTTGCCGCTGAAAACGTCAAGGCAGCCTTCTTTTCTACAGCACTTCTCAAGCAGCAGTTGAGCGAGACCCCCGGCGCCATCGCTGGCCTGGATGTATTGTTCGCTGGTGGTGAGAGAATGCGACCAGAAGATGCCTTCCAAGCGAGAGAACTAGTTCGAGGCTCATTCTGCCATGTATACGGCCCAACGGAAAACACGACATTCAGCACAATGTACCGGATGAGCGAAGAGGAACAGTGTATCAATGGTGTTCCGATCGGTCGAGCAGTCACCAATTCTGGGGCCTATATCATGGACCCGAACCAGCAGCTCGTCCCGCCCGGTGTCATGGGTGAACTTGTCGTCACCGGAGATGGCCTGGCTCGAGGCTATACCGATTCAGCATTGGATACGGATCGATTCGTACAGGTGACCATCAATGACGAATCTGTTCGAGCGTACCGAACAGGTGACCGAGCGAGAATTCGGCCGATCGACGGCTACATCGAGTTCTTCGGACGGATGGACCAGCAGATCAAGATCAGAGGTCATCGAATCGAGCCGGCAGAGGTAGAACATGCAATCCTTAGGCATGAAGTAGTCCGAGATGCAGTTGTCATCGTCCGCGTACAAGACGGCCAGGAACCGGAAATGGTCAGCTTTGTCACGGTCCAAAGACAGCTGGAGGCCAACACTGCCGACGAACAGCACGAGATCACTAATCAGGTCGAGGGCTGGGCGGCACATTTCGACACGAATACATACGCTGAGATCGATACTATCGACCAATCCGCTGTAGGAAACGATTTCATGGGCTGGACATCCATGTACGACGGCAAGCCTATCGACAAAGCCGAGATGCAAGAATGGCTCGACGACACGATGCAGACCCTCTTAGATGGCCGCGCAACGGGCCATGTCTTCGAGATCGGAACTGGCACAGGAATGATCCTGTTCAATCTTCCTGAGTCGACTGGCTTTGAGAGCTATATAGGACTCGAACCTTCGCAATCAGCAACGGCCTTTACTACAGCCAAGGTTAACTCAATCGCAGGTCTGGCTGGCAGAGCTACAATCCAAGTCGGCACAGCCACCGATATACACCAGGTAGAGGGACTACGTCCCGACCTAGTCGTTATCAACTCTGTGGCCCAATACTTCCCGACACCAGAATACTTGGTCGAGGTCGTTGACACGCTTACACAGCTGCCAGGCGTCAAGCGCATCTTCTTTGGTGACATGAGGTCCTACGCCACCAACAGACACTTCCTCGCGGCGAGGGCCGTTCATACGCTCGGCAAGGATGCCAGCAAAGAAAGTATCCGAAAGAAGATGGCAGAGCTGGAAGATCGCGAAGAAGAGCTACTCGTCGACCCGGCATTCTTCACCAGCCTAGCTAACCGGATACCGAGTGTCAAGCATGTCGAGATTCTTCCAAAGAGAATGAAGGCCACGAACGAACTCAGCTCGTACCGGTATACTGCTGTGGTCTATGTGGGTCAAGAGGAAGACGTGCAGCCCATCTACACGATCGACAATAATTCCTGGATTGACTTCACAGCGACTGGTATGGATCGCGCTGGTCTTCTACGCCTCCTACAGAGCTCGCCAGATGCCATGACAGTGGCTATCGGCAATATCCCTTACAGCAAAACGATCGTCGAGCGGCATATTGTGGAGTCGCTTGATCAGGACGACATGAACGATGACAAGCAGGGATCGCTAGATGGTTCTGCTTGGCTCTCATCGGTCCGCTCCACGGCTAGTCAGTGTGCGTCCTTGTGCGCCTCTGACCTTGTGGAACTGGCCAAAGAGGCAGGCTTCGCTGTCCAGATGAGCTGGGCGCGCCAGCGGTCCCAACATGGCGCTGTCGATGCCGTGTTCCATCATTATTCTCCTGTCAACGACTCTCCTACCAGCGACGAAACGCGTGTTCTTTTACAATTCCCGACCGAAGATGGTAGCCTATTGGTACCCCGTACCAATCGCCCGCTACAGCGCCTACAAAGCCGTCATGTCGAGTCGCAGATCCGCGAGCGACTCCAGGCAATACTCCCATCCTACATGGTGCCTGGGCAAATTGTGGTGCTCGACCAGATGCCTCTCAACGCCAATGGTAAGGTCGACAGGAAAGCTCTAAGCCGCAAGGCCCAAGTCGTCCGCAAGGTGACACCAGATGCTCTCCGCGTACCTCCGCGCAATGAAATCGAGGCTGCGCTCTGTGAAGAATTCTCGAATCTTCTTGGGGTGGATGTCGGCATCACTGACAATTTCTTCAACCTTGGCGGTCACTCTCTCATGGCCACCAAGCTCGCGGCCAGGATCAGCAAGCGCCTGGACACCCATATCTCAGTCAAAGATGTGTTCGACCATCCTGTGATTGAGGACCTTGCCGCCACCATCAACCAAGGATCGACCCCACATAACCCTATCCCTGTCACTCAGTATGACGGGCCTGTGGAGCAATCCTTCGCCCAGGGTCGTCTATGGTTCCTTGACCAGCTTAACCTTGGTGCCTCTTGGTATCTCATGCCGCTTGTTGCGCGAATGCGCGGCCCGCTACAAGTCGATGCTCTTTCTACCGCCATTTTCGCTCTCGAGCAGCGGCACGAGACCTTGAGGACGACCTTCCTCGAGAAAGATGGCGTGGGCCTACAGGTCATCCATCCCAGTGTCCTGAAACCTCTGAGGATCATTGACTTTTCAACTCATGGCGATGCCACTGGAACCTATCTGGAGGCGTTGAATCATGAACAGACAAACCCCTTTGATCTGTCATCTGAGCCGGGGTGGAGAGTTTGCTTGCTCCGCCTTGCCGATGATGACCACATCCTCTCCATCGTCATGCACCACATCATCTCCGACGGTTGGTCAATCGACATTTTACGCCAGGAACTGGACCAGTTCTATTCTGCAGCCCTCCGAGGCCAGGATCCACTGTCGCAGATCAGCGCGCTACCTATCCAATATCGTGATTTCGCGCTATGGCAAAGGAGGATGCCCAGGCCGCCGAACACCAGAGACAGCTCGACTACTGGATCAAGCAGCTGGCTGATAGCTCTCCCGCTGAAATTCTGAGCGATCGGGTACGACCAGGAATACTTTCTGGACGTGCTGGTATCAGCCAAGTGTCTATCGAAGGTGCCTTGTACAGCCGCCTTCAGGAGTTCTGTCGCACACAGCAGGCCACTCCTTTCGCCGCCTTGCTCGCCATCTTCCGTGCGACACATTATCGTCTTACTGGTGTTGAGGATGCTACTATCGGCACGCCAATTGCCAACCGAAACCGGCCAGAGCTAGAAAATATGATTGGCTTCTTTGTCAATACCCAGTGCATGCGCATCACTGTGGAACCGGATGATACATTCGAAGGCCTGGTGAGACAGGTCCAGTCAGTCACAACTGATGCCTTTGCAAATCAAGATGTCCCATTCGAACGCATCGTATCCTCGCTTATGCGCAAGTCAAGAGACACATCTCGAAACCCACTGGTACAGATCATGTTTGCCCTCCACTCGCAGCAAGATCTAGGAAAGATCCAGCTAGAAGGCCTCACCGGCGAACCGGTGCTAGGAACGGCATCGACACGCTTCGATCTTGAATTCCATCTATACCAAGAGTCAGACAGATTGATCGGCACTATCATGTACGCAGAAGACCTATTCGAGCCCTCCACCATGAAAGCTATGGGCACGATCTTCCAAGAGGTCCTCCGCCGCTGCCTCGACGCGCCGCAAGCACCGACATCTTCTCTTCCACTTACGGACGGTGTCGATGACCTTCGAATAATGGACTTGGTACATGTTGACACGACCGAATACCCTCGAGATTCAAGCGTCGTAGATGTCTTCCGCGCTCAGGTGGCTGCTTGCCCAGGATCCACTGCCGTCATTCACGGTTCCACCCGCCTCACTTATGCCGAACTGGATCAAAAGTCGGACGAGGTGGCTAGTTGGCTTCGAAGCCGGCAACAACCAGCTGAGGCTCTTGTTGCAGTCCTTGCGCCACGCTCGTGCGAGGCCGTGGTTGCCTTCTTTGGCATTCTCAAGGCGAACCTTGCCTACCTTCCACTCGACGTCAACGTTCCAACCGCTCGCATCGAAGCTATTCTATCCACCATTGCACAGGATACACTGATCTTGCTTGGCGATGGAGTACCGGTTCCCGAAATGCAACTCACCAACATAGAACTGGTTCGCATCAGCGACACAATCGGCCACGACAGTTCAGATGTCGGTACCGATGTGGGACCGTCCGCGACGAGCCTTGCATATGTCATCTTTACATCTGGCTCGACAGGAAAGCCCAAGGGCGTCATGGTGGAACATCGTGCTATCCTACGACTAGTCAAGGACAGCAATGTGGTGTCGAAACTGCCAAAGGCTGTGCGAATGGCACACCTGACAAATCTTGCCTTTGACGTCGCTGTGTGGGAGATATACGCAACGATCCTCAACGGTGGAACCCTTATCTGTGTTGATTACTTCACTTCCTTGGATAGCCAGGCGTTAGAGTCACTCTTCCGACAGGAAAAGGTCCGCGGGGCCATCCTGCCACCTGCGCTTCTCAAGCAGTGCTTGGTCAACATCCCTTCCACAATCCAAGCCTTGGACGTCCTCTTTGTCGCCGGCGACCGCTTTGACTCTCGCGATGCGATCCTGGCACAATCCCTTGTTGGCGCCGGTGTCTTCAACGCCTATGGTCCAACCGAGAACGGTGTCTTGAGTACGATCTATAATCTGCCTACCAGTGACCATTCATTTGTCAATGGCGTGCCGATTGGCCAGGCTGTCAGCAACTCTGGAGCCTACATTATGGACCTGAACCAACGACTAGTCCCGCCTGGCGTGATGGGTGAGCTAGTGGTGACAGGAGATGGCCTGGCTCGAGGTTACACAGATCCTACCTTGAACAAGCAACGATTCGTACAGGTGGTCATCAATGGCAAGTCGGTCCGAGCATACCGAACCGGTGACCGAGTACGCCATCGACCCACCGACGGCTACATAGAGTTCTTCGGCCGGATGGACCAGCAAATCAAGATTAGGGGCCACCGGATCGAACCGGCAGAGGTAGAGCATGCTATCCTCAGGCAAGAGGCTGTTCAGGATGCAGCTGTCATTGTCCGGTCACAAGAGGGCCAGGAACCAGAGATGGTGAGCTTTATTATCGCCCGTGACCAAGATGGCACAGATGAGGAGCATGAGGCCACCAACCAGGTAGAAGGCTGGGCAACCCATTTCGACACCAACACATACGCCGAAATCGACACTATCGACCGCTCCACCGTCGGTAACGACTTCATGGGTTGGACCTCCATGTACGACGGCAAGCCTATAGACAAAGTGGAGATGCAGGAATGGCTCGACGAGACGATGCAGACGCTGCTAGATGGCCGCGCACCGGGCCACGTCTTTGAAATAGGAACCGGTACTGGTATGATCATGTTCAACCTGAGCAAGTATGCTGGTCTCGATAGCTATATCGGACTCGAACCTTCACCGGCAGCCACTCTCTTCGCTACGAACATGGCAGAATCAATCCCAGCTCTAGCCGGCAAGGCGAGAGTACTGGTCGGCACAGCTACAGACATCGACAAGGTAGAGGGGCTCTATCCAGAACTGGTAGTCATCAACTCCGTGGCCCAGTACTTCCCTACACCGGAATATTTGATGGAGGTGGTTGACACCCTCACATGTCTACCAGGCGTTAAACGCCTATTCTTCGGTGATATCCGGTCCTTCGCCACCAACAGGCACTTCCTCGCGGCCAGGGCTCTTCACACACTTGGTAATGACGTTACTAAGGAAGGTGTCCGCAAGAAGATCGCAGAACTAGAAGATCGTGAGGAAGAGCTGCTTGTCGACCCGGCCTTTTTCACTAGCCTGGCTAGGCGGTTCCCCACTCGAATCAAGCATGTGGAGGTTCTTCCGAAGAGGATGAGAGCCACGAACGAGCTTAGCTCGTACCGTTACGCCGCTGTCGTCTACCTGCGCACGGCAGAGGAAGACATGTCGGAACCCACTATCCACACGGTGGATAACGACTCCTGGGTTAACTTTACAACGACTGGCATGGACCGTCGCAGCCTTCTTGACCTTCTACAGCGCGCACCAAATGGAGCCGCGGTAGCCGTGGCTAATATCCCTTATAGCAAGTCGATCCTAGAGCGGCACATCGTGGAGTCGCTTGACCACGACGATGGTAACGACAACGGACAAGATGGGCTAGCTTGGCTCTCGTCCATCCGCTCAAAAGCTAATCGGTGCGCATCTCTCTGTGCTTCTGACCTCGTGGACCTGGCCGAAGAGGCAGGCTTCGCCGTGCAGATGAGCTGGGCGCGGCAAAATCCCAACATGGTGCTGTGGATGCTATCTTCCACCACCACCGTGCCGCACCTACAGGATCCCGTGTTCTATTGCAATTCCCGACAGAGGATGAGAGGACATCAACGCCCCGCATCAATCGACCTTTGCGGCGTCTACAGAGCCGCCGCGTTGAGACGCAGGTTCGAGAGCAGCTACAGGCATTACTTCCATCGTATATGATCCCGACACAATTCGTGGTGCTTGACCAGATGCCTCTCAACGCCAATGGCAAGGTCGATAGGAAAGAGCTGACGCGCAAGGCTCAAGTCATCCACAAGATTACACCGGAGTCTACACGCGTAGCTCCGCGGAACGACATTGAGATTGCACTCTGTGAAGAGTTCTCTGACCTACTTGGTGTCGATGTCGGCATTACTGACAACTTCTTTGACCTTGGTGGCCACTCACTTATGGCCACTAAACTGGCTGCCCGGCTCAGTCGCCGCCTGGACACCCGCATCTCAGTCAAAGACGTGTTTGACCAACCCATCGTGCAGGACCTCGCTGCCACCATCCGCCAAGGATCGACGCCACACGATCCCATTCCTATCACCCAGTATACAGGACCCATTGAGCAGTCCTTTGCTCAGGGTCGACTATGGTTCCTTGACCAGCTCAACGTTAGCAGCTCTTGGTATCTTATGCCGCTTGTTTCAAGGATGCGCGGCCCGCTACAGGTCGATGCCCTTTCTGCTGCTGTGATTGCTCTTGAGCAGCGGCACGAAACCCTGAGGACGACGTTCCTAGAGAAAGATGGCGTAGGCCTACAGGTGGTGCATCCCAGCAGTCCCAAACCCTTGAGGATCATTGACCTTTCAGACAAGGGTGATCGAAGCTATATCGAGCCTCTGAAACAAGAACAGACAATGCCCTTTGATCTGTCATGTGAATCAGGGTGGAGAGTCTCCGTGTTCCGCGTTGGCGAGGATGACCACATCATTTCTATCGTCATGCATCACATCATATCTGATGGCTGGTCGATCGATATCTTACGCCAGGAACTAGACCGTTTCTACTCTGCAGCACTGCGAGGTCACGACCCACTGTCACAGGCCAACCCGCTACCTATCCAATACCGTGACTTCGCGGTATGGCAAAAGCAAGAAGCGCAGGCAGCCGAACATCAAAGACAGCTCGAGTACTGGACCACGCAGCTAGCCGACAGCTGTCCAGCGGAATTCCTCGCCGACCGACCTCGCCCTGATGTACCATCTGGCCGGGCCGGCCTCGTGCAACTTGCCATAGACAGCTCGGTGTATGATCGCCTTCAAGAGTTCTGTCGCATTCATCAAACTACCTCCTTCGCTGCGTTGCTCGCAGTCTTCCGCGCCACACACTATAGGCTCACCGGTGTCGAGGATGCCACCATTGGCACGCCGATCGCCAATCGCAACCGGCCAGAGCTAGAACATATGGTGGGCTTCTTTGTCAACACCCAGTGTATGCGCATCGCCGTAGACCGCGACGAAACATTTGAAAGCCTTGTTAGAGAGGTCCGGTCCACAACCACAACCGCGTTCGCACACCAAGATGTCCCATTCGAACGTATCGTCTCAGCCCTCATCCCCGGCTCGAGAGATACGTCTCGAAACCCACTTGTGCAGCTCATGTTTGCCCTTCACTCACAGCAAGATCTAGGAAAGATCCAATTGGAGGGGCTTATTGGAGAACCCATAGCAGGTTCAGTGTCCACGCGGTTCGACCTTGAATTCCACGTGTACCAAGAAGCAGGAAGAATGGTTGGAAGCATCTTGTACTCACAAGACCTTTTCGAAGCCTCCACCATCCAAGCTATGGGCAACATCTTCCAAGAGGTCCTCCGCAGGTGCCTCGACGCGCCTCAGACACCTATCTCATGTCTTCTGCTAACTGATGGCGTTGGCGAACTTCGCAAGATGGGCTTGTTAGACATCCACAAGCCCGACTACCCTCGGGATTCAAGCGTCGTGGATGTTTTCCGTGCCCAGGTGGCTGCTTGCCCAGAATCAATAGCCGTTGTCGACGCTTCGTCCCGCCTTACATATGCTGAGCTAGATCAGAAGTCAGACGAGGTGGCTAGCTGGCTTCGGAGGCGTCACATGCCAGCCGAGACGCTCGTTGGCGTGCTTGCGCCGCGATCATGCGAAACGCTGGTGGCATTCTTCGGCATTCTCAAAGCCAACCTTGCCTATCTTCCGCTTGACGTCAACGTCCCGACTGCTCGTATCGAGGCCATCATTTCCAGTCTTGGAAAGGATACGCTAATCTTGCTTGGTGGTTCAGTAGTGATTCCGGACCTGCAAGCCGAACTGGTCCGGATCGGCGACACCATGGGCCACCGCGATTCATCCGAGGATACGAGTGGCAATGTCGAGCCATCCGCAACAAGTCTCGCATATGTCATCTTTACATCCGGCTCGACAGGCAAGCCAAAGGGCGTCATGATCGAGCATCGCAACATCGTTCGATTGGTCAAGCAAAGCAATGTGGTCGCCAAGATACCAAAGGCCGCACCTGTAGCCCATCTTTCTAATGTCGCCTTCGACGCTGCGACATGGGAAATCTATGTGCCGCTCCTGAACGGTGGTACGGCGGTCTGCATCGACTACTTTACCTCGCTTGACAGCAAGGCTTTGGAGGCGGTGATTCTAAAGGAAAACATCCGCGCAGCTATGCTTCCACCTGCGCTGCTCAAGCAGTGCTTGGCCAACAACCCTTCCACAGTCCAAGCCTTGGACGTCCTCTTTGTTGCCGGTGACCGCTTCGACTCTCGAGACGCGGTCCATGCCAGAGGCCTTGTTGGCGACGGCGGCGGCGTGTACAATGCCTACGGTCCAACCGAGAACGCTGTGTTGAGTACCATCTATAATCTCCGCGAGCAGGACGATTCATTTGTCAATGGTGTACCAATCGGCGAGGCCGTCAGCAGCTCTGGCGCCTACATCATGGATCCTAACCAACGACTCGTGCCCCTGGTGTCATGGGTGAGTTGGTGGTGGTCGGTGATGGCCTGGCTCGAGGGTATACCGATCCCGCCTTGGACCAACAACGATTTATTCAAGTCACCATCAACGGCGAGTCTGTCCGAGCATACCGAACGGGCGATCGAGTCCGCCACCGACCAGGGGATGGCTTCATCGAATTCTTTGGCCGCATGGACCAACAGATCAAGATCAGGGGCCACCGAATTGAGCCAGCTGAGGTGGAACATGCCATACTGACGAGCAACGAAGTCCGGGATGCCGCTATCATCGTCCGGATCCACGACAGTGAGGAGCCGGAAATGGTTGGTTTTGTCGCAGTCCAAATGGAAAACCACACTGCCGACCAACACCAGGAGGTCACCAGCCAGGTTGAGGGCTGGGCAACACATTTCGATACCAGCACATATGCCGACATCAGCACCATCGATCAATCTTCCGTTGGCAATGACTTCATGGGCTGGACGTCTATGTATGACGGCCAGCTCATCGATAAGGTGGAGATGCAAGAATGGCTCGACGACACGATGCAGACAATCCTGGATGGCCGCGCAGCTGGCCATGTATTCGAGATAGGAACCGGTACCGGAATGATCATGTTCAACCTTTCTACCGGTCTTGAGAGCTATATTGGCCTGGAACCTTCGCAGGCAGCAGCCACCTTCGCTACCAACAAGGCCATGGCCATCCCAGCCCTCGCAGGCAAAGCTACGGTCCAAGTCGGCACAGCTACAGATATACACCAGGTGGAGGGACTTCGTCCTGACCTCGTCGTCATCAACTCTGTAGCCCAATACTTCCCTACACCGGAGTACCTGGTAGAGGTCGTTGACACACTTACACAGCTACCAGGCGTGAAGCGCCTGTTCTTCGGTGACATGAGGTCCTACGCTACCAACAGGCACTTCTTGGCAGCTAGGGCTGTTCACACACTTGGCAAAGATGTCAGCAAGGACAGCGTGCGACAGAAGATAGCTGAGCTGGAAGAGCGCGAAGAAGAACTCCTAGTGGACCCGATATTTTTCACTAGCCTCGCAACCCGGCTACCAGGCCGAGTCAAGCATGTCGAAATTCTTCCCAAGAGAATGAGAGCGACAAACGAGCTTAGCTCGTACCGATATGCAGCCGTCGTCTACCTTCGCACGCCAGAGGAAGATATCCAGCCTGTCCATGCGATCGACAAGAATTCCTGGACCGACTTTACAGCGGCTGGCATGGATCGCGCTGGTCTTGTACAGCTCTTGCAGAGCTCGCCAGACGCCATGGCCGTCGCTATCAGCAACATCCCATACAGCAAGTCTATCTTCGAGCGACACATCGTTGAGTCGCTCGACCAGGATGACCTCCACGACAACGGCCAGGCACCACTAGATGGCACAGCTTGGGTTTCATCAGTCCGCTCAAAGGCTACCCAGTGTGCATCTCTCTGCGCCGCTGACCTCGTCGAGCTAGCCGAAGTGGCTGGCTTTAGCGTAGAGATGAGCTGGGCTCGTCAACGCTCCCAGCGCGGCGCTGTCGACGTCGTCTTCCATCACTATCCGTCTACGCAAGGATCGCGTGTCTTACTCCAATTCCCCACCGACAGTGAGAGGACAGCGGTAGCCTACACAAACCGGCCGCTACAGCGCCTACAGAGCCGCCGCGCTGAGACGCAGATTCGTGAGCGACTACAGACATTACTCCCGTCCTACATGGTACCCACGCAGATCGTGGTACTGGATCAGATGCCTCTCAACGCCAACGGTAAAGTCGACCGGAAAGAACTCACACGCAAGGCAAAGGCCATCCGGAAGAGCACCTCGGATTCCGCACGTGTGGCTCCAGAAAACGATGTCGAGGCAGCTCTATGTGAAGAGTTCTCCGACCTACTTGGTGTCGACGTCGGCATCACTGACAACTTCTTCGACCTTGGTGGCCACTCACTGATGGCCACTAAGCTGGCAGCTCGCCTTAGCCGTCGACTTGATACACACATCTCGGTCAAAGATGTGTTTGACCATCCTGTGATCAAGGATCTTGCCGCCACCATCCGCCAAGGATCAACCCCACACAACCCCATTCCTGTTACCGAGTACGAGGGACCTGTCGAGCAGTCCTTCGCCCAGGGCCGTCTATGGTTCCTTGACCAGCTCAACCTTGGCGCGTCTTGGTATCTCATGCCGCTTGTCGCACGAATGCGCGGCAAGCTACATGTGGATGCGCTTTCTGCCGCCATTTCTGCTCTCGAGCAGCGACATGAGACCTTGAGGACCACCTTCTTGGACAAGGAGGGCGTAGGCCTACAGGTCGTGCATCCCAGCGACCCGAAGCCTCTCAGAGTGATCGATCTATCCACTGAAGAGGAGGGAAGCTACATCGAGCCTTTGAAACAAGAACAGACGACGCCCTTTGATCTATCTTCTGAACCAGGGTGGAGAGTTTGCTTACTCCGCCTTTCCGACGACGAGCACATCCTCTCTATTGTCATGCACCACATCATTTCCGATGGTTGGTCGATCGACGTCCTACGTCAGGAACTGGATCAATTCTACTCTGCCGCCCTCCGCGGCCATGACCCGCTGTCACAAGTCAGCCCACTGCCCGTTCAATACCGCGACTTCTCGGTATGGCAAAAACAAGACGCGCAGGTGGCCGAACACCAGAGGCAGCTCGAGTACTGGACGAAGAAGCTAGCCGACAGTTCTCCGGCCGAATTCCTAGCCGACCGACCACGCCCTGCAGCACCCTCTAACAAAGCTGCCGTCGTCCAACTCTCAGTCGAGGGTCCAGTCTACGAAAATCTCCAATCATTCTGCCGGGCTCGCGAGATAACATCGTTCGCTGTACTTCTCGCAGTATTCCGCGCGGCGCACTACCGTCTTACGGGGTCGGAAGATGCCACTATCGGCACCCCGATCGCCAATCGCAACCGACCGGAGCTTGAGCATATGATTGGCTTCTTTGTCAACACCCAGTGCCTGCGCATTCCCCTCCACGACACCGAAACCTTTGAAGAGCTGGTACAGGAGTGTAAGACTACCGCAACCGCCATGTTCGAGAATCAAGATGTTCCTTTCGAGCGTGTCGTATCAGCGCTCCTACCCGGGTCCAGGGACACGTCACGGAACCCGCTGGTGCAAGTACTCTTCGCTGTCCATTCTCAGCAGGACCTGGGCAAGATCAAGCTGGAGGGCTTGGTACACGAGCCCGTCGCGGCACCTGTGACGACCAGATTCGACATAGAGTTCCATCTATTCCAAGAGTCAGAGAGACTGAGCGGTATGGTCTTCTTCGCGACTGACCTGTTCGATTCCGAAACCATCGACGGCCTCGTCGCTGTGTTCCAAGAGATCCTGCGGCGCGGCCTCGACCAGCCTCTGGCGCCAATCGCAACCCTGCCTCTGACCGATGGGTTGCCTGAGCTTCGCAGCATGGGCCTTCTCAAGGTCGAGAAGTCCAACTACCCCCGAGATTCGAGCGTCATTGATGTCTTCCAAGAGCATGTAGCGGCTACTCCCAATGCCACAGCCGTCACAGACTCGTCGACACAGCTCACATACTCTGAGCTCGACCTTGAATCCGACAAGGTTGCCACCTGGCTCCGCCGGCGAGGCATGGCGCCCGAAACCCTCGTCGGAGTCTTGGCACCGCGCTCGTGCCTCACTGTGGCCGCGTTCTTCGGCATTATGAAGGCAAACCTGGCATACCTGCCTCTCGATATCAACACTCCTACCGGCCGCATCGAGACGATTCTGTCGTCGGTGGCAGGCCACAAGTTGGTAATTGTAGGGTCTGATGTTCCCGTTCCAGATCTTCAAGTACCGGATGTCGAGTTGGTACGAATTGACGACATAATGAATGATCACGGCCAAGACGACTCTTCCGATTTGGACATTTCGAAGCCCTCTCCTACAAGCCTTGCCTATGTCATCTTCACCTCTGGATCCACCGGACGACCCAAGGGTGTCATGGTCGAGCACCGCAGCATCATCCGCCTCGTAAGGCACAGCAGCGTTTCCTCCAGACTCCCTGAGGCGCCTCGTGTAGCACACCTTACGAGCATTTCCTTCGACAACTCGGTGTGGGAAATGTATATTGCCCTTCTGAACGGAGGAGTGTTGGTGTGCATCGACTATGTCACCATCTTGGACAGCAACGCCCTCGAGGAAACCTTTGAGCAACAGCAAGTCCGCGTGGCTATGATCCCTCCTGTGCTGATCAAGGAATGTCTGGCCAATGCGCCTACCACGCTTGCACACTTGCACACTCTTCTCGTGGCCGGCGATCGATTCGATAGTCGCGACGCCATCGCGGCCAAGGAACTCGTCAAGGCTGACCTCTACAATGCGTACGGCCCCACTGAAAACACAGTATCAGCCACGATTTATCGAGTTCAGGAGAACGAGCTATTCGTGAATGGCGTCCCCATCGGGCGAGCCATCAACAATACTGGCGCCTACGTCATGGACCGACAGCAACAACTTGTACCGATCGGAGTCATGGGTGAGCTCGTGGTGACCGGTGACGGTGTGGCCCGAGGTTACACAGACTCGGCACTAGATACCAACCGATTCGTGCAAGTATCCATCGATGGCCAACTGGTAAGGGCGTACCGCACCGGCGACCGCGTGCGGCATAGACCCAAGGATGGCGAGATTGAATTCTTTGGGCGAATGGACCAGCAGATCAAGATTCGCGGCCACCGTATCGAGCCGGCTGAGGTGGAGCACGCGATGCTAAGCCACAGCGCGGTCCGCGATGCGGCCGTTGTGGTCCGAAAGGAAGCCGATCAGGAACCGGAAATGGTGGGCTTCGTCGCCGCCGGCGGCGACGCGTCCGCCGAGGAGGGCGAGGCGAGCAGCCAGGTGCAAGGATGGGGAAATCACTTCGAAGAGAGCACGTATGCCAACATTGATACCATTGGCCAGTCCGCCGTCGGCCGCGACTTCATGGGCTGGACGTCCATGTACGACGGAAGCGATATCGACAAGGCCGAGATGCAGGAGTGGCTTGACGATACCATGCGCACAATTCTTGACGGCGGCGCGGCCGGGCACGTGTTTGAGATCGGTACAGGTACGGGTATGATCCTCTTCAACCTCGGCGAAGGAATGCAAAGCTATGTCGGCCTCGATCCCTCCCGCTCGGCAGCCGAATTCGTCAACACCATGGCGAAGTCAGATCCTTCTCTGGCCGGTCGGGTCGAAATGCACGTCGGTACAGCGACCGACTTAAGTCGCCTGGGAGGGCTCCACCCGGACGTGGTCGTGCTGAACTCCGTTGTCCAGTACTTCCCCACGGTAGAATACTTGATCGAGGTGGTGGACGCTCTCGCGAGGATTCCAGGAGTCAACCGCCTCGTCTTTGGCGACTTGCGATCTTACGCTATCAACAGAGACTTCCTGGCGGCGAGGGCGCTCCACACACTGGGCAAGGGAGCGACCAAGGATAGCATTCGGTTGAAGATGGCGGAATTGGAGGACCGTGAGGAGGAGTTGCTTGTTGACCCAGCCTTTTCACCGGCCTGCGCAGCCGACTGCCAGGCCAGGTCAAGCACGTCGAGATTCTGCCGAAACAAATGAGGGCCACTAATGAGCTGAGCGCATACAGATATGCAGCCGTCATTCATATTGGCGGCCCTCAGGAGGAGGCGCAGGCCATACACTCCGTCAACCAGGAGGCTTGGATCGACTTCAGCGCGTCCCAGATGGACCGCCATGACCTTCTCCGCCTTTTGCAAAGCTCACCAGACACCTCTTTGCCTGTGGCCGTCGGCAATATCCCCTACAGCAAGACGATTTTCGAGCGCCATGTTGTCGAGTCTCTCGATAACGACAAGGGAAGCGATGGCTCAGGAGATGGAGCAGACTGGATGGCCACCATCCAAGACAAGGCCGAACGTTGCCCTTCACTATCTGCGACCGATCTCGTTCAAGTCGGCGAAGAGGCCGGCTTCAGCGTGGAGGTCAGCTGGGCACGTCAACGATCCCATCACGGAGCACTGGATGCAGTCTTCCACCACTTTAAGCCCACCAAGGAAGGCGCTCGTGTCCTGATCCAATTCCCCGGCGATGATCAAGCAGGACGAGGGGGCAGCACCCCAACCCATCTTACCAACCGTCCGCTCCAGGGGATGCAAAGCCGACGGATCGAGACGCAAGTCCACGAGCAATTGCAGACACTCCTTCCACCATACATGATCCCGTCGCGCATCATGGTGCTTGACCAGATGCCCGTCAACGCCAACGGCAAGGTCGACCGACAGGAGCTCGCCCGAAGAGCTCAGACTGTGCCAAGAGCGAAACCTACCACGGCGCGCGTGGCCCCGCGCAATGATATCGAAGCAACCCTGTGCGAGGAATTTGCCGATGTCTTGGGTGTCGAGGTCGGCATTACGGACAACTTTTTCGATCTCGGCGGACACTCTCTCATGGCGACCAAGCTCGCATCGCGAATCAGTCGCCGGCTGGATACTCGCGTGTCTGTCAAGGACATCTTTGCTTACCCGGACGTTGCCGACTTGGCTGAGAAGATCAGTCAACCACTCAAGGAGTCGGCAGTGGACAATGTCGACCTCCGGGAGGAATTCCACAAGTACGACGACAAGCTATCTCAGTTGTCGATCCCAGAGTCGCCAGCTCCTTCAACGTATACCATTTCGCAATCCTTCCTGGTGACTGGCGCTTCCGGTTTCCTCGGCAGCAGCATCGTCAACCAACTCCTCCTGCGACCGGGCGTCTCCAAAGTAATTTGCTTGGTTCGCGCGGAGAACGACAGCCACGCAATGCAGAGAATGATTCTCGCAGCTCGCAAGGGCCAATGGTGGAAGCGGGAGTATCTATCCCGCCTCGAAGTCTGGAGTGGAGACTTGAGCAGGCCCAGGATGGGCGTCAGCGACTCACGATGGGAGCGCATCGGCGCCGGTCCTGGCAACAAGGACGCTATCGACGGCATCATCCACAACGGAGCTACAGTTCACTTCCAAGCGAGCTACCAACATATTTCCGACGCCAACATTGGTAGCACTATCGACCTCCTCTCTGCTTGGTCGCTTGCGCCCGCGCCCCTCGATTCACATACGTCATGGGCGGCTACTTTTCTGGCGCCAATGAAACGGATGATGATATTCTCAGGCTCCTTCCCAGGATCAACGGCTATGCCCAAACCAAATTCATTGCGGAGATGCTTGTCCGGCACCAGGCTGAACGAGTACGTCAAGTACGGCCAGGTTTGCCAGGACCATTGATACCCAAGCCAGGCATGATCATTGGTGATGCAGAACACGGAGTGTGCAATGTGGACGATTTCATTTGGCGTGTGGTTGCCTCCGCTATTCGCATCAACGCGTTCAACGTTCAAGAATTTGACCACCCCAACGCGTGGCTTCTCGTCTCTGGCAGTGATCAGATTGCCACGAGAATCATTGATAATTCCACGCAAGCGTCAAATGAAACCCTACCGGCCCGATTCGTCGATGGTGTTTCGGTCAAGCAGCTGTGGAGTGTTTTGATTGAAGAGCATGGCTATCCACTCGTGCCGATGTCCGCGGAGGAATGGCTTCGGCGCTTGAAGGAAGACATGGAGAAAGAGGGTGCTAGTCACCCTCTTTATCCAGTATTCTATATTCTGGAGCAGGCGCATGGTTTCCTTGGAATTCCCAGACCAACTGACGGAGAGCCCATCTTCCCTCAGGAGGATACCACCGCCCGCCTCCGGAAGAGTATTGAATATCTCAAGGGCATTGGATTTTTCCAAGCTGCGAACGGACAAAGGGTCAACGGCCCTACTCTTGACATGACCTTCCGCCGATCTCAACTTCAGCGAGGCAGGGCACGCCACTCCTAGACATTTACAGCAATGGACTAGCTTGACGGGTGTACACGAACGTACACTGGGCCGTCATATTTATTAGCGCATCAGATTGCTTCTGCGACTTCTACATCGTGAGCTATTGCTCAGATATTAGTTGCTGTATATGCGCGACGCGAATCACGATGATTCAAGACACAACGTCATTTTGTTTCAAACTTTCCTTTTTCCTAGTTTCCTTTTCATACTTTCAGTCTCCACCGTTTCCTTTGTCACATTTTCCGTTGTCACATTTTCCTTATTCACATTTTTCTCTTCATCGCGCTTTTTTATTTCTTAAATGGTCACTGTATCTAATTTAGTTAGTATCAAGACATACATTTGACCCAAACTATGCAGGCACCAGAAGCCACATTAGATTTTCAGTTCGTGATAGTAACAACAAGTGACAAAAGGAAAAAGCCAAATGCCCGGGCCTGCTGCAGATAATGAGCGGGAGTTGGCCAGCCCAGGGAGCAGGGCACCGTGGCGGACAGAGGCAGCAGAAAAGGCTAAACTACGAAAGCAGGCAGTCGATTAGGCAAGCGCCGCAGGACTAGGAAGGTCGGTCGCAGCGCAGGTAAGGCATAGCCCGCAATTCTGAGCAGAGAGGAAATATACGATCCGGACCCAGAGCCTAGGCAAAGGCCATAGAAAAGGAGGGGTCCAATGCATGGACCGTAAGTACAGGCACAAAAAGTATGTGGGCCAAGGTGGGGCCGTGGATGTGTCGTGGGCCAATGGACCAAGGAGGACCACGGCGATGTTAGCCATACGGACGATGGGTCGACAGAGTAGGCAAGTTGCCGTGGCGGGACGGAGGCCGGACCGCAGGATGAGGAAGGTCGTTCACGGTCCAAGTCAAGGCACTTATGGCCCACAATTCTAAGCAGAGAGGAAATATACGATCCAGGCGCAGAGCCTAGGCGAAGGCCATAGAAAAGGAGCGGACCAGTGCATGGACCGTAAGCTCAGGCACAAATGAAATATGCGGTCTATAGAAGTGGCGCCGTGAGGCAATCAAACGATACCTCGGGACTCAGGATTGCTTGAAAGTCGAACGCTATCCGTTCGACTTTCTTAGTCATCTATCTGAGGTTCTCCTTGCGCCTCATGCCTGGACCGCATGTTCGTTTTGTGCCCATGTTTACGGTTCATGCATCAGACCGCCCCTTTTCTATGGCATCTGCCTAGGCTCTGGGCTTGATCGCATATTTCTCTTCTACACTCAATTGCGATCCATACCTTGGACCACGCCCGACCTTCTCAGTGCTATGTGTTGAAGGATGCTGGAAGGATTCCTGCTGGAAATAGTTATCCGTCATGGAAACAGATATCTGTTGCGGATACCGGTTTCGGGACCCACAAACGGATCAATACCTACTCCCGGTCCGGAAGATAGTATCCGGCGTTCCAGAAATGGCAACTATAAAGACCATAGATTTCCACATAGAGAAGCTCCTAATAGAGGAACCAAGCAGCGAATACGAACACACACTTACCCCCAATATCTGTTCAGTAGTTATGAGCCCAGAATCGCTCTCAGCTTAAGCATCATTTCGTCCGCTTAGGCTGCTAGAAAGATGTACCCATTATTAGTGCCCTCATACATTCACAATGATGTCACTATCACTGAATATATCCACCGATAAGAAGAGCGAAGTGAATCTGGAATCGCCGCTGACCGTCCGTAACGCCCGGATACGTTCCACTACGAACATCCAACATCATCTTCTTCCGCAAATCATCCTCCTCTAGCCGTCATCTTCTTCCAAGGGGAAGAAAACCAACTGGGCCAGAATCGCCGCGGACCAACCGCAACGACCGGATACTTTCCACGACGATCTTCCAAACATGACCATCCGTGGCGATCGGATCCAACATCCATTGATATAGCCACAGAGCCGAAAGGTGATGGCCGCCAAGGGCGGGATAGTATAGAAACAAAAGTTTATATAAGGAGGTAGATAGGTCCTAGAGGAAAGGAAGCTCAATACCCTTCCCAGTACTTGATTCAAGTCATACCTAACCTCTACATTTGAATATGAGTCACGGACCGTGATGTCTTATACTAGTTGTTGCCCCGCTGGGCCAATAACAGGCCCCAGCTGTTCTAACCCTACACAACCAACCTACCTCTAAGTTAATCCTAGTGCTAGAGCTTCACAATGGAGGGGAACCGTGAGAATACCAATAGTGTCATGCGCAGTCCAGGGAATAAGGTGGCCAGGACGGATAAAGTCGACAGAAAAGCTTAAGCTATTGAAGCAGCTCACCAGTAGAAAAAGCACCGCAAGACTGGGCTTAGGCAGATTGCGGTCCACCACTACCACAAGTACAATCAACAAGCTCTTCCAATTACACTGGCAATAGAATCTTTGCTAAGTGCACGAGCTACTTTGGCACAGGAATAGCTGATAGTAGTTTTGCCTCAATCTGCGGTCCATGCCTAGACCGCACACTTCCACGGCGCTCATACTTAGGATTCATGCCATAGCCTGCTCCTTTTTCTATGCCCAAGCCTTCTATCTATGCCTGGACCGCACATTTATCCTCCACTCATACTTGCGGTTCACCATGGACCGCAATTTTCCTGTAGTCCAGTCCTGCGGTCCTTCTTCCATTCATGGGCTGCTGCCGCAGTTTAACCTTTTCTGTCGCCTTCGCCCGCCCTGGCGGCCTAGTCTGAGCTGTCTATGACATCGTCGCCTGTCTCTTCTAAAACGCCTGATTCCGCATACGAGGCCTCTGCTGCAACCGGGAGTCCCCGCCGCCTTCCAGGGCCTGGCAGACGCCCCAGGCACCGAGGAGGTGGTCGCCGCCGATCTCGACGACGTCGGCACGCTAGTTTTGGCCTTTGAGGGCGCCAACTTTCTTTTAGCGTCACTGACTATTAGGAGGCTTTTATGCGCCACGACTACCGGGTTGCGGCGTCGGATCAGGGTATCACCTGCTGTCGCATCACGTACGACGTAGAGTATCGCCATAGCAAGAGCATTGCCGATGCTGTGGCCACGACTGCGGACACGCTTGAGATTTTCTCGTGTCGACGTTGAGCCATGCTAGCAAGGCGACGGGCGGCAAGATGACGGAGCTATACCACCACTTTGATACCAAAGCCGATATCTTTCCCCTGTATCTTGAGATGAAGTATCTCGAGTTGGCTGCTAAAACGTCGTGTATCCATACGGGATATTTCTTCACCAGCTACAACATCCTGCCCGAGGCGTACTTCAAACGAGTATGATTCATCATTTACCTGTCCCCTTCTCCTGTCCACCCTTCCAAACTTCCCAGCCTCCCTTCGCGCAATATAAGGAAAATAGTACTATGCTAACACACTTCAGAGTGAGTATGGGAGCTTCAAAATGCGATTCACCATGAGTCGCGACAAGCTTGCCCGCATCTTGACCCCGTTTCTGACATGGGAAACTTCACCTACACCGTGTACCAAACGCCCCCGGCAAGGCTACATGGCCGCCGGCACCTTTTTCTCCTGGCACGAGTGGATAGAGTCCTGGGGCAAGATTCTCGGTTGGGCGCGAGCTACGAACAAATGTCGCAGGAGGAGCTCATGCTTCCACTTTTGATAAGGACTTGGGTATCGAGGTCATCCACATGTTTGATTATACCTCGGAGCCGGGCTACGACGGCGGGTACGAGCTGCCTGCCAAGGACTTAGTAGAGGTGCGTGTCGCGCGCCGTAGGCGCCTACTTAACTCAATCCACAGCCTTTGATGATTTGCGCTCTGAGGGCTGAGTTAACTTCACATATTTCTCTTAGAACGGCATTGAGTGCCCGATGACTCCGTGTGAAGAATGGGCGAACAAGAACGACTGCACCGCCGTTTTCTTTTTTGGATAGATTATGACCAAGTATCTGGGGAGGAGCTTTGAGATGTTACTAGCCTGCTGCAATATTGCGCTCATGGGGCGCACTTAATGAACCTCGATTCAAAACTCTAATGCCTTTAACCTACTGGGTGTCGGAACTCCATGGGGGTAATATCTTTGATCCACATCGCCGAGCGTACACGATAGCATCTAATCTACATGTATCCTCAAAAGTCTTCCCAGTGTTCCAGATCCGAATCCCGTGGATCTCTTGAGCCCCACACTTAGCACAACAACCCTCATTGGAGGGCTAAGTTTCACTCATAGGTCTCTGAGGTAAACATGGTGTTAACAAGATGATAAAACTTTCACCTGATGCTAAGTTAATCGCTGCTAATGTGTGGAGGACTTGATCAAAACGCGCCACTCCTTCGGGCGTCTCTCTACTGTCAGAATAGCACTTTAACTGGAAAAGGCTCCACATATACCGTTGGTTATAAGCCTAGTAACGGCACAAATGACTTATAGATGAGTTAGCCGATAGTGAGAAATCTCAAGCTAACGTCCTTTGTCACCTGAATATGGTACAGACGGTAAGCATGTTGCTCACCATTTCTCCAATAACCATAATCTATTTTGACTCTGCGCGTCACGGTGGAATACCCTAACATAGGTTTACTCGCCAGTGGAATCTCTGGCATTGCGTGATTCCAGCCAGTCAAGCACGCCCTTCTTCTCCAAAAGGGGCCAAACGGTATACACGACGCAACCAATCGCGAATCACCAGAAGGCCCAAATATCAGGGGAGGACACAAAACATGCATTTGCCCCACGACAAGGTCAATGTTCGTCACAATAACCAATATCGTTATCTCGAGAAGGATGACTGCACCCCTCAGTTTGTAACACACGTGGTCGAGATCCGCTTTTCGCCAGATTTGGAGCTCTATTCCAAAACACATCCCTCCTAAGACTATTGGGGCAGCCAGCCATTCAGGGTATAGTTGCCATTCAGGGTCATATGTCGCGGCCTTCTGAGATACGAGAAGTACCGTTGATGATATGAAAAGCAGGATGAGAATAAACCTTCTTATAATAACTTTCCATAAAGGTCGATCGCAAGACATTCGTAGGCTGCGTAGACCTGAACAAAACATAACAAACATACCGCATCCCAAAATGATGATTGCGGTGAGAGAAGCGATACTTGCCCCGCCCCTACAGCCCCAGGTTCAGGTTCGACCGCAAACGCAGCTATCTGCGTCCCTAATATCATAGTCAGGAGTGTGAGGCGTACGTAGTTTGATATCCAACCACGTGGGTGATGAGTTTTGGTTAACATAATATTCGACAAGTTCCAGAATATTGGCATGAAAATGGGGAGAAGAGTTAATTCGGCCGTCTTTGCTATGAGCTGTATAATGTCCATAGGCTTGTGGACCACGATGTGGATTGCGATGGCAATATAAGATATTATGGAGATAATCAGGGTCCCTCGGAATAGTGTCGACTTTTCAGTATAAGTTGTATATAGTTGCTGTGCCCTTTCAGCTGGATCATCTGAGCCGAGCGGCTCGATGTTAAGTACGGACGCTTTGATTTGACGGTGAAAAACGGATTCTTCGTAGTTGCCACGCTGAGTGCTTGCACCTAAGGCTATCGGTTCTAGGTCTATCAAAGAAACCACATCAGGGGTTTCTGTGGCTTGACAGACTTGGAGTATCATCTGGATGGGTGGCGTTGATTGAATCTGGATGTCTTCCCGCCTCTAAAAGCTTTGTACCATTGCTGCAAGTGGTGCTACCAGGAGAATAAGCGGGAAAATCTGTCCAAAGGTCCAATCACTCTCTTCCACAGGACCTATCATCCTAGTCTTTAGAAGTTGACGGGTTCCCCATATGGCGGCAATAAGCAACCAATAGACCTTAGTACATGGATTAGTCTTTTATCAAATTAATGATGATATGATTCTCTTCTTACCTCGGCGAAGAAGGATGTGAACAAGTCAAATTGGGTCTGTAGAGTGAGCATGAACGAGCCAATTACAGATGCCACAAAGTTTCGATCATGTTTTCCTTTTGGGCCAGAGTCTTGAGAGGAGTCTTGGGGGAATTCATCCGTGTCAATCTCTGTACTCGTACCATGAGTTTGGGCTGAAAAGAATGCAGGGCGAACCCCTTCGCTTTGCCTCGAAGAGTTGAGTCGCAGCCGAGCCGCATCTTGGCTGCTCGAATCGCGTAAGAATAGACCAAGAGCAGGACTCTGATGATCATGAACTGACATACTTCGGATTTGATGTCCATAGAGGGGCCTTCAAGGTGGCATCGGGTATACTGGGAAGGCTTATTGTCGGGCCGTTCCCAATCGAAGAAGCCAGTGAAAATAAAGCCGACCATCAACATTGCGCCCAGCGGGAATGTAAAGAAGCCTCGTATGCGCATCGCTTTAGGGTTATTGACAAGGTAGTTGCGCAAAAACGAGAGCATGGAAAGGTGGGTCAGAGAAGAAAACCATGCTAGCTGGACGACAAGGAGCCAGTGGTAGGACGAGAGACCTTTGGGTATCATGGCATATCCACTGATGAGGAGGGCGAGGCCGGTGAAGAGCTGGATATCGGCAAAGGCAAGCACGCACTATATATATTATTCATCTGTGTGAGATGGCAGATTGCATTAAGCCCGCAGGGGTTGTGCCGCTCGTACCTTATTCAATATTGACTCCATGTCATCCCGTGAGGGCCACTCAAATGATCGAATCCATCGAAGACATTTCCAGTTGCAGGAATAATCCAGGATTAAACTGCCAATCTTGCGCAAAGATCCCAGGATTACTATATCAACAGGGTTTGGAATACTGCAAGCCCTCTGGGACCCAGTTGCAGTCCGCGAACGGAAAGGGTCCAAGCGGGGATCAAAGACGGTGCAATAATACACGATGAGCAACGCAACGACCATCCACCCGGTGATGAGATAAGAGTACATGACCTGTATTTCAATCCAAGTTAGTTCCTTATCGATTTCAGGAATATGATAGTCACCCGACGCTTTTTGGTACATACCCCAAGACCCGCAATATCCCCATAGGGCTCGATACTATCCGGGGGCGCGGAGCAATTATAAGCCGACGTCATGGTGACAGTCGTATAACGGCGTCTGCTATTTAGTTTGCGGAGCTTCAAACAGGACTCAAACCCATGTCCTCGGGGAAGTGGATATTATTATCAAAACGTAACATTGAATGGATAGATGTATCGCAGCCCTTTTATAGTACCGGTTCTTGGGCATGGACTCCGGACCAGGCTACGGCTGAGATTTCTAAGCGCCGCCACCGCTTCTCGACGTGCGTGGAAAAGGCAAAAGAGAACAGCGACGCTGTCAAAAGAAGCTGCATTGCAGCGACCAGGGTCTGGTCGATGTTGCCAGAGACAGAATTTAGCAAGGAAGCTGCATTCGCTATTTCCTTGAGCAGACTGTTGCGCAACCATGATTAGACCCTCCAATGCTGGCACTGTCGCCAACACAGCCGCCCTCACAACGAAGAGGCGGAACGCCTCACCTTGGCATCGCGCTACGCAGCAAACCTCGGCTAGTAAAATTTGAATAGTCCGGTGCTTCCATAGAACTCTCCAGTCGACCCGGCTAGTTTGAGGGTTGCTTTCGGCTCGTTCCTAGCCCAAGCCCAGTCCTATGAAACACGATGTTAAGATCGGGCGCGCATCTCGGTACCCTATCTGTTGGCATTTGGGCCGCCATGCGGCCAGTATCTCCAACATCCCAGCTTAGTTCCCACACAGAGCGAGCAGCCCCCAAAGCTAACAGTGCGTCTTGCGTCCAATCGCGCGCGTTTGCTTCGCTCCCCATTCGACACTGGAAACAAGTACGAGTGGTTGCTCCTTTGTTTCATATAGTGGCAAGAGAACAGATAGGGATTCATCTCCGCTTGGTTTTCTTTTCTGGATAGTTCCAATACGTCAACAATGAGATGAATTGGGCGATGTAATGACGCACTGATCTTTGGAATTTCGCCTATATGCTCCCTCCTGGTGGAAGGGATACCCCGCCGGCAAATGTGCTAACAAATTACCTCGGATGTAAAGGCAGGCAGCACTGGACTCGATTGTGGAAATACCGGCGGTATTGGAACCATGAAGCGGCAGTATTGCGAATGCGGCGTAGGTTTCGGTTGAGACATAACTCGAGAGGGCTGCCTCTGATAGTTAAGAGCACGAGAACCACACAATGGTTGGGAGCAAAGAAGACATAATTATAAATCAAATACGACGACAGGCAGACACATCGAAAGAGAATCCTTTCGAATAATTAGACTAGAAATCGTTCTCGATATCGGTTTCCTTGTCAACTAGCTTGTTTCTTGCCAGACTGCGGATGGTGGAATAGTGCAAGCTCTTCGACACACCGTTCTGGCATTCATCGCTGTCTCATCTTACACGCACATTGCCCAATCGCACTAACATCAAGCGGAGGTTGAAGATTTGTGTGGAACTGTTACTGTGCAGGGATCATATTAGTTGCTCCGCATTCCTGACGAGACAACATTACTAGCACGGGCAGCCAGAGAGCTCTGCTACTATGATAGACGCAGAGTATAGTTCTTTCTGCGCACCTCTAATAGCCGAGGGGAAACCCCAGCTTCAACTTACACTAAGAACACACTTTCGCTCAACCAGACTTAGGCCTCGTCTCGCCGTTGGCTTGTAAAAGGGGGCGGAGCAGCCCCTCTTGAAGAGTACGACCGATTTCTTCGACCATTCCCCTCGTATCTTTGATAAGTGCAAACGCCAATCACCGACAGTTTCTTCGGGGAAGACGGCATCTGTAGCTGACCCGACCCACACTTAAGGCAACACCCCCGCCCAAAGGACTAGTCACTAGTCTTACGGTGAGATGGTGCGTAGGGATAACGCTGTTGTCACTTGAAGAGAGGTTTTGCAAGGGACATGGTGCAAAGGAACAAGGATCCTATTTATTCTATCTCCTTGGGCGAGTATACCAGCGCCTTTCATCGCCGCGGGGCGGGGCGCGGCCGAGGAAATCGTCGCGGCCCACATAACCAGGAACACGGGAAGAATTATTGGACCATACTAGTGATGGATGAAAGGAGGTCCCCCGTTCATGTTGGTTTTTCCCGACACGGTGGTGCCATCTTCTCCGATTTTTCTTTTGGTGCTAGAGGGATTACGCGGCCAAAGGGAGAGACCCACCGATTGTGTCTGGAACACGAGTGCCGCGTTAGCCATGTGAGGCGTCACTAGCATACGAGTTTCTCGCGCTGAGGTGGGGATCAGAATGGAGACATTTTTAGCGCCGCGTCTCCTGACTGCTATTGAAAATCTGTTAAATACCTCCACGAGGGGCCCTGTCTCTCATGAGTTGGGGTGCAACTTGACATTCGTTATCAAATCCATTCGCTCGCTTTTTCTCCTTGTGCCCGTGTGTGCAAGCGTCCTTCGTTTTCGTCCGGCCTGTTTGAGCCCTCGCAATAAGCCTTGCCGCGTTGTTAGCCTTTTTTCTTTTCGTTTTCTCTTTCCTTCTCGGGATTACATTTTTATACATAATTCATCAGTCGATATTTGATCTCCACCATGTTTTCGAAGCGCGCGCTTGGAGGCTTGGCAACCATCGCCCTTTTGGGGTTGAGCCAAGCCCAAACCTCGACCGATTGCAACCCCTCGAGAAGAGTAAGCGCCCCGGTTTCAATCTTTCGTCTCCGAGTCTGCCAAGATGAAACTCATCAACTGATCCTGTTTAGCTTGTCCGGCGGATCCCGCTCTCGGTACGAGCATCAGCATCGACTTCACCAAGGGTAAATCCGATTACTTCACCGGCAGCGGCCCGACGTACGGCGATGAGGGCGCCGTCTTCACGGTATCCAAGTCCGGCGAGGCCCCAACCTTGACGTCCACGTTTTACATCATGTTTGGCCGCGTCGAAATCCGGCTCAAGGCCTCGCCGGGCGACGGCATCGTCTCCTCGCTCGTGCTGCAGTCCGACGACCTGGACGAGATCGACATGGAGTGGATGGGCTACGACGGCGCCAACGTGCAAACCATGTACTTCGACCAGGGCGTCGGCCCGAGCTCGCGTCTTCTCATCGTGCCCGTTGCCAACAACCAAGAGGAGTTTGTCGATTACGTCCTCGACTGGACGAGCGAGCGGCTGACGTGGTCCGTTGGCGGCACCGTCGTGCGGACGCTGGAGGCGGGCGACGCGAGCACAGCCGAGTACCCGCAGACGCCCATGATGGTCAAGATTGGTTCGTGGTCGGCGGGTGACGAGGCGACGAATGCTGAGGGGACGGTGGAGTGGGCGCACGGTCCTACGGATTATACCAAGGGCCCGTTTAGCATGTACGTGCAGAGCATGGCGGTGACGGATTACAGCACCGGGGACGAGTACGTGTACGGCGATAAGAGCGGGTCGTGGAAATCCATCGAGGCTGTGAATGGGGTTATCAATGGAAATCTGGACGGTAGCTCTTCCGGCTCGTCGGGAGGCTCCTCGAGCAAATCTACTACTACTAAAACTACTGCCACCAGCGCGACCAAAACTACTAAGACCTCCACGGCGTCCACGGCGTCTACGGACTCGACGGACTCTACGGGTTCCGCGGATTCCACAGGTTCTACAGGTTCTACAGGTTCATCTGATTCGAACACGACCAGCAGCGACTCTTCGAGCACAACATCCAGCACGGCGGTTCCCGAGAATTCAGCCGCGCGCGTGACATACTCTGATATCCTAGTCTTTGCGGTAACGGCGGTGATGCTTCTTGCCTAGATTATTGACATGACTTGATTCGACAGTCAAGTTGGCGGTGTAAAATTCCTGCAGTGTAAACATCGCAACCTCTGCCACACCTTCGCAGGCATGCAGCCTAGTCACATAGCCATAGAGAATACCATCCACAGCAGGTAGCCGCAAAGAACGGCTCGTGTCCAGGCCAAGTTTTCACAATCGATGATTTCGTGCATTGTGATATCATATGGCTATACTCAGAGTGCTCTCTTCGCACAAAAAGCAGGGAAAGGCCATACGTAGGGTAGGATTCCCAGACCCTGCTCAGCATAACAAAAGCACACGATAATTCTCGTGATGAGCCTTTGTGGGCGGTCAATGCGACGAGGTGAAGAGGATCGCTCCCGCCCCGTGGCTCGAACCGGGCGGATGTAAACGGTATCACGGCCCAAATAGGGGAAATGCTTCCCAACCTACCTCGATACTACGTCTGCATTACCTTTTGCTCGTTTGCCCCATCTATTAAGCATAACCCAAAGCTACCAGACCCAACGAAAAGACCAGGGGTAAAGTCTACGAGCTGTCCTCGGGCCCATTGTTCAAGCCCACCATCTGTCGGCCAGCGTCTACGATTGGGTGCTTTGGGCCTGTCTGGATTCAATCCTTACTCTATCACGGATTCCTTGACGCACGCGGGACAGCGTTTGATCCGGTGGCGTCAATGAAACCCTACTTCAGCTGAACCCTCACCTATCATGAGGCGCGGCGCGGACCGGTGCACCACTACAGCCCGTGTAAAACTTGATAGTCGAAACATCGGTTCATCGCGATTTTGGTTGTAGAAATGGGCGAGGCGGGGTGCATGTCTAGCGAGTTGAATAAGCTACTCGCTTGCGAGCACAGCCAAACGAGGCAGGGTCCGGCTATTCTCACGGGTGCCCATTTCAATTGTGCGCTCGTGGCCAATATATCCACTTTGTCTGCGCCGCCAAGCTGGCTAATTGTCTAATAGCAGATTTTTGACTGCACAGCTCCCAGCCCTACACAGATGGTGATGAGAGCTACGATAGAAAGGCCATTTCCTCTCTTTACAGAAAATGTGTTGACCCGTCGCGTCGATCGACCATCGTCACGAGTCGTTCCCCTCTGCTAGTTCTTGACGTCATAGACTCGGTGCTTGGCGTTGTCAGGACTCATCGCGCCAAGCTCTGATCGAGTGCACTAGTCACGCCCTAAAGATCTTGGCCCTGAGATTAGCCCGCTTGGCTAGCCCCGGCGGCGGAGGCGAGATGGTGCGCGCAGGCGGCCGCTGTGCCTTGATGTAGGCGGGTCGGCGCAGTTATAGCCAGAATCGGGCAGAAGGATCAATTGATGACGCTGCGATGTGCAATGGAGTCGGCGGGGGCCAATTGGGGTTGGACGACGCAATTTTGCTCCCCGCCGATCACTCTGCTTCTTCTGTACGACCTTGCAAATTGATTTTTCGGCCAACGTCGGGACCGACTCGGGGGAGGAGCTGTGGAACTGGACGCAGGCACTCCATGTACAATGATCTATTGTAGCACGAGTCTATAAGGCTGCTGCGCCTAGTGTGCCGAGGACGGCGAGATATCTCAGATTTATAAAGATGATGAAAGCCCCACCGATGATCACACCGTGACCTCTGGATCTGTGAGTGCCAATCTCTAGACTTGGACTAAACCTCCCTCTACTTTGACTTGAATACTATACCCGTCATTTTTCCCAACCCAAGCTACACACGATGCAGAATCGACAAAGGAGCGCGGCGGCGCTTTTCCTCTTGCCCGCCCTCGCAGCGGCCGCCCAGTTCTCCAACTCCACCATCCAAGGGTGTCTCGACCTAGACTGCCCTAGGACGTCGCCGGGCAAGGATGAGGTCAAGTCCGACTCGCAAGCCTGGTGCGCCATGAGCGTGGGCGTGGCCGACGCCGCCTTCGCGGAGGACGTCATCTCGGTGCCCGGATCGCAGAGAAAGCTCTCGCTCGGCTTGACGCGCACCCAGGGGGTAGGGGTGCTGGATTCGCTGCACCTCTCGTACAACTACGAATTCTGGCTCGTCCAACCCGAGGGCTTCAATCTTACCACCGGAGAGGAAGACGGCGGCGACAGCGAAAACGATAGCGGGAGCAGTGGCAACAACAACAACAACAGCACCGACGGCAACCCGGATGTGTGCGGGTTTTTCCTCCGCTACGCTTACCAGACGTTTCCCCGTTTGAAGGGACGTATGCGCTGAGCTCCAACGAGACGTTTACCAGCAACGGCGCTGCCAACTCGACGGATTGCGTGGGCACCGTGTTAACCGAGACGTGCATGAAGGATATCGATGACTTCCTCCAAGACGTCGACGTGGGCAGCGACACCGCCGCCAATTCGACACGCTGCGAGGCCATCGCGCAGCAACTCGAAGTCAAGCTCCATCGTAGCTCGTGCGGCATCCAGGTGCACACGCCCCTCATCACCGTCACCGGCGTATCCCTGCTCGGCAAGGACGCGCCGCAGGAGAGCGACCAAAGCGCCACGCGAGCGGACGACGACAACTTTTGCTTCGCGAACCAGGCTCGTGCTGGGACGTTTATCTCCCTCGACACCCTGACTGTCGTGACGCCCATCGACACCTCGGACGAGGAAACCCCCAAGATTCCGCCTCGCGAGGTGGGCGGATACCTTCCCTTGATTACGCTCCCGCTGGATGATGAGGGTCGTGCGTCGGCCGAGGCCTCGTTTATTTGTATGAAGACGTTGGATCAGATTTACTGGACCGAGTCTGCTGGCGTGCGTAGTGTTGTGCAGACGATGCGTGTTGTGGCTGTGGCGGCTGTGGTATCCGCGGGGTTGATCTTTATGTAGAACTGGATTATTGGTTTTTTATATTTTTTAAGCGTGCGCGTTTGTAGAGTCTGTTAAGGAGAGGGGTTTACGATATACATATACAGGATTTTTGTTTTAGCGTTGATTATGCACAATTCTGGTAGCTATTTGTTTTACTCAATGCCGGATATTTCTCAGTGTCTTGGAGAGGAGATCCGCTTGTGCATAAGCCTACTGATCTTTTGCCTTTGTTCAATGACGATTGATATTGGAGGTGAAAGTGCTGATGAATACATTTAGGGACCAAAGGTATAAAACTGACGTCCGGAGAAGTCTAGGTTTAGTATACTCGTAGCATCAATGTACAGTACGGAGAGTCGCTATCCTATTGACAAACCAGATCCCTCTGTATAGACCTGCTTGCTACATTGGAGACATGAGCCGTGAATACGCCAGTGACAAATTACTCTACCGACTCCTCCTTCTCCCCCACCCTCTCCAGCCCATCGCGTACAAGCCTCTGGCGCTCCTCCTGCACGGTATCGGCATCAACAACCTTTCCCTGAGCGCGCAAAATCACCTCGAGACCATTAAGCCCTTCGAAGAGATCCCCATCCTCGCCCGTTTCTTCTCGATGGCGCCGGGCCAGCGCGGTGGCATGGCGGATGCTCTCCTCCGCCACATCCCAGCGATGCAATCTATAGCTCATATTGGCGAGCAAGGAATAGACGTTGAAGGCACCGTCGGGATACTTGTCGATGGAAAGCGCCTTTTCGGGGTCGCGCAGTACTCCTCGATAAGGGCGACGCCTTTTTCCAGCATATCGCTACTAACCTGGTTGACCCCGTGGTGGCGGTAGTGGCTTGCCCAGCAACTCACGACCACGATGTGGCGGGGATCATACGTGGGATGTTGGTTCTCGAGGTCCTGTAGTAAGGATCGAAATTGCCTCGTCTTGTCGTCTGGGTTTCCCTCTCCATTGGGATGGATTAATCCAATAGCCAAGCCCCGGAGCTCTACCGTCCACGGATGCAATGGTCCGATTTGGCGCGAGAAGCGCTCGACGGCAATGTTAGCGCACATAGCCAAGTGGTGTCGCCTCCCCGAGCTGGCGTAGTTAGAAGGCCCATTCTGTATTCCTAACCAAAGCGTGCGCCAGAGCACTGCTGTGGGGTGCACAGGTCCCCCGACACCAGGAGGCGACACGGTAAGTTCGTGCAAATGCCGAAGCAGCTGCCTCTCAACGGGTCTAAAATCTCGCGCGGACGACTCGCGAAAAAGCGCCGTGACGTACATCATCCAGAGCGGCAGCAAGGGTGGCTCGCAACTTGAACTGGGACACACGAAGCGCGGCAGCTCGGCGAACGAAATGCGCATCAGACGCACACCCTGGGCAAAGTCGCCCGTCTTGCCGCGGTTGTTGCCGCACGACGGCCGTTCGAGCATCAGCACGGCGGCGCGGAACCGGCTGTACGTTTCCTCGCCGGCGCGCATGGCTTTCTGCGTGCGCGCAATGGCCTGTCGATCATGATCCCCTTCAAAGGCCCACCGACGCGCGGCAAATGCGCCGTCGTAGTAGTCCCGTAGAGCTCGGTATACCATCTCCTCGTGGCGCAGGTCGTCCGGGGCGTGGGTTTGGTGGGCGGGGTTGGATTGGGACGAGTGCTTCCAGAGGTCCCAGCGGCGGAAGCGGGTCTTGTACATTTTTCCGTAGCGGAGAAGCCGTATCGGCTCTCCATGAGCTCCGTGATTTCGGCCAAGGTCTTGTTGTGCTCGTGGTAAAGTTGCGTGATGATGGGCCGGTACTTGGTGAAATCGTCGTCTGTTGCCCATTGTGGCTTTTCTGGTTGTTTGCGGCTTGGGGGTGACATCTTTGAGATGCGGGGAGAAGAAAAGTCTTGAGCTGGAAGAAGTGCGAATAGTGGCAGTTGGTACCTGGCGAAAGCTGGTTATGTAGGAGCGTTCGAGGTAGCCCCGAAGATTTTGGAGAAAAAGGACTTGAACGGCGGTCTAGAGACGGCGACACGAGAAATGGTAGAGGCCGTCACGCGGCCCCGGGCTGTCGATATCTCCGACCTGACCAAGCCCGTAATACTGCGTGCGCTCCTTTAGTACGACGCTGCCCGCGAAGCAAGGCCCTTTAACCATACTAGCCCACCTAAACGCCGATGACAGGTTCATTCGTGTCTCGCCTGTCATTTAAACAGACTGGCTGCGCTGAAACCTGGCTCGGCATTATGTGGTGTTAGTGGGGTTCTCCAAATTGTCATGTTTGAAATGTTGGAGAGTTGATTGGAGACCCGTTAATTGAGTACCTGCGGCGCGCATTTCCGATAGTGCAGTGCAACGTTGGTTGATGCGAGGCCCTTTAGCCAGACTGGTCCACATACAACCCCAATTTGTGATCGGATTGGCATTTATGTGTCACTAGAATCCGCGTATATTGAAGGGTCCAGCATTCGAGAGCCTCGTTCACGCACACTGCCTGCAAACAAGTCATCTTGAAAGGGAAGCACTGGTCTAGGAGCCCGCCGATCACGATTCCTCCCCAGTGCAATGCGCCTAGCCTTGAGCATATTATACCCAATCATGGATTACAGTACCGCTTCCAAGGCGGACACGTCAGGTTGGCCTCTCCTCAAAAGGTCTATCGAGACAAGTATATAAACCACCCATGGGCCAGCCTCAATCTCCATCTTGAAGTCATCCAACACAAGCTCATCCCATCATCGCTCTCTCTTCTTTACGACACCGATTCTTCCTAAACGACAGTAGTCAACCGCCAAAATGCATGTCCCTTCCACTTTCACCATCGTCCCCGCCCTTGTGCTGGCTCTCTTCGCAGCCACCGGCCACGCCGCACCGGCCACCGCACCGGCCTGCTCGGCAGTCGACAACCGTTTCCCCGTCGTCACCTTCCAGTCGTGGGTCACCGAGTGCGGCGACAAGAGTGGCCACACCATGGGCACCAACCTGGTCTACCCTTCCCACGTTGACACTTGCCTTCCGCTCAACAACGAGATCCGTGCTCTGGATCTGCAGGACGTTGCCGAGGGCTGCCGCAGTATGTTTTCGTGCACGTGAAAGTGCGTGGTGAATCTTGGTATTAACGAATGTTGCACACAGTCACGGCGTACCGCAGCCCCGTCTGCGACGACTATCCCTCCGAGGGCATGACTCGGGAAACCGTCGGTTGTCTTTGGGCTGGCAATCAAGAGTTCCACTCGTACAAGTTGACTTGCAACAAGCTGCCTTTGCAGTCGGAGGCTTGATTGCCATGGGACAGACAGTGGCCGCCCTGGTGCACCCATGTTTACTGTGTAGGGGATAGGAGGAGGAGCGAGATGGTGGATCAAGGTCGGGTTCTTGAGAGGTACGAGTGGCAAGACGATGGTACCCTTAGTGTCGATTTAAGGTCATGAATAGATGTCATTATTTTGGTGCGATCAAGCTAGAAACATGAGCTTCAAGTATTCGTGACATGAGCTTGATCCGACCGATGGTATAGAACTTAGGCCGCGCGACACTCTATTGTGGGCACGACATGAACGGTCGCAGTTTGTTCAATAATTAAAAGTGGCCAGCTCCGCACTTCTAATACACAGTTCCGTATATCACCCGAGCCTGATGTATGGACCGAAGGAAATCATTCCGGACCTCGCACTTATCGCCCAGGGCAATCCACCTCTGCACAAAGTCCAAGCAGCCCGAATCCTCCTCGAGCTCCTTTTCCGAAAATTCCCTCGTCGTCAGGACGGCGTGTCCGTCCTTCATGCAGGGGGAACCCCATCCCCGATCGATCCATTCCCGTCGCATGACTCGATCATTGTTCGGGATGAGGTTTTGGGGTACGGTCCGGATGTTTGGCCGATAGCTCCAGCCTATGCAGGCTAGATTCGACAAGAACAAGGTCTTGAGACGGGGCGCCTGGCGGACAATGGCCTTGGCCTCGTCCGGCCACTGACCGCCGTGGCCCGTGTTGACGAGGAGCACGTTGTGGAGCTCGAGTCTGCGGAGCCAGGGCTGCCGCGCGACAAAGGCTGGTAAGACACCGGGGAGGATGCACACGCCGCGGAGTATCAGGTGTGTTAGCTCAGGGAGAACCACGTTTTGCCGCACCAGGGCGCGGAACACGCGGTTGTAACTGGGGATTCTGCACGTGCCGCTGTAGGACTCGTACTGAATGGTTTGATACATGTGCAAGTCCAGCGTTCCAAGGTGAGGCATGCAGGCCACCAAGCCAGCAACACCGGGATAATTGTCCGGGCTGAGAACTTGAGGTAGGTTCTCGGCGTAGCGGCCGCGAATTTCCGACCCCTTGGATTCCTCGATGGCTCTGTCAAGAAGCACTCGGTCTTGCTCGGTCTCCTCTTCCTCGCCTTGTTGTTCTTCGTCCGATTCTTCGCTGGATTCTCCGTCGCCTCGCGAGGGCGTCTGACTGGTGGTATCGTACCCGTCGTCCTCGGTTCCCCACCACTGACGCTGAATCTCGCGTTCCGCTTCCCGATGGTGGGGCCGTAGGCGGTGGTCCAGCCCTTCCAGCCATGGTCTACCCGCGTCGAAAAGCTCAAGGCCATGGATCTGATAGAGGAGCACGCCCTTTCTAGTCCTGCTTTTTTCAAGCGGTCTAATCCGACGGTGATGTCGTAGGAGGGTAAGCTGGCCCCGAGAGAGTTCTCAAAGATCTTGAGGGTGACTGGTGTTGGTGTTGCCTGGATTTTCGCCATCGCGCTCATGGCGAGGCGGTAGAATTGGGATGATCGTATGAGCAAGGCCTGGTGGTCCTCGGGGATGACGACATCATCAATCAGCTGGGCGAAGCGGTTTCCAGGGCCTAAAACGAAGCGCGCATCTAGCTCCAACGTCGATATCCCCCTGCCATTCCACTCTAGGATGGAGCAAAGTCTCCGCACAACTTCTTTTCTTCGTCTTCCCCTATACCATCATCCAAGGCTCTCATCCAGGCCAAATCGGCCTCCAGCTCATCAATGCTCATCAATGGCTGGCTGATTGGGTACGTGGGATTAGGCCTCGGGCGGTCACCGGCAGTCCTCTCCCTTTCGATCCGCTCCGTCGTCGATAGGAGAGCGGGGGCCTCTGCCATGACGCGAATGTGGTCAACTTCTCGACTAAACGCATCGTGGCGGCGGAGGGCCTCGAGCGAAGAGAGACTTGCAGGCGAGAGGTTGGTCGTTTGGCGCCGAAATAGGGCCAGGTACGGTTTCCCCGCCGCTTTGCGGCTGAGTTGCCTGCATACGAGACGTAGCTGTCTCAGGTCCTCGGGGTCGAGGGCCTCGGTGAGGAGGTGGACGATCTCCGTGGGAAGACTGGCGAGATTTGGCTTCATTTCTTCGGTTCCATCTGCGAGTATGCCGACCCTAACGCACAGAGATTGACGAGAGGCTCCAAAGCTGCCCTTGATGTCAGACTCGGGCTTTCAGCTCCGGTTTGCCAGCGATGGCCGCTGACATAATCGGCGCCAGGTCATCCCCCTGTCTACTCTGCTCGTGGTTGCGTGTGGTGGGTGGGATCGACCAAGCAAGTCTGCCTCGTTCCATTCCACATTGCACATTACGCATCCCTGATCAACAACATTCTTCGTAGTATTGTATCCACCAAGTAACTGAAATCCGATTCGCACGAGTATTTCTTGTCTCGTAGCGATTCGTAGTAAATTTGGGCACATATGCCTCTGTGAAGGTCAAAGTCGCTGATCAATTCGAGTACGTCCAAAATCGGCTTCTCCCCAACGAGCAAGGTGGACCCGAACGATTTCAAAAGGTGGTGGCAAGTCACGAGCTCGTCCTGCCATTCTTTTATGTCGACCTCCCGTAGATCTTGACATGAAAGGCGCAGCCATCTCCGGTCGATTTCACGCCGAGTGCCGGGATGATCGACTTGTAGGGATTGGCGTAGATACCGGACCTTGCTCCCAATACTCCGGCGCCCTCTTAGCGTGTTGTAGAATCCCTTGGGAGCTGATGCCATGACTGCTTTATTGATGGCGATTTTCTTCTGCTGAAAGCGATCATATTTCTTTAAGCTTTCCTCGTACTCCAGCACGTCCATCTCATTTTCAAAATGATCAAATTCTGTCTCAGGCCGAACCGTTATAGGCTTTGGTGGTTTTGGTCGGACTGGTTTAGGTGATATTTCCACCGACTCGCCCCACATTGGCGGGAGGTCGAAGTAGGGGAGGATGCCCCACGAGTTACACCACGATTGTAAGTCGGCATACCAGTCGGGGAAGTCTTCGACTGTTTTTAGCTTCATGAGCTTGCATTTATACGTCTGTTCGTCAGACATTGTTGGTAGTGGAACGGAAGCCGACCGTTCTTGTCGAGGGTGCTGGTTGTGATAGCCACAGTCTCTAGTGATGGAATGGGGCCGTTGTGGTTGGTTGGGAGCTGAGGAGCAGACTTGGAGTGAGGAGGAGTGAGGAGGAGTGAAAGGGTTCAAATTTGCTGGCTGTTGACATCCCGGGACGGAGACAGGATCGCAATGGTATTTAGACCCTTAGATGACGGATCCAATGGATGGAACGCGCTAAAATTTTGATGAAACAGACGCTGTTCGAGGCTCGACACAAATCAAGAAACGGGTCCTAAGAAGGATCCAAGCAGGCAGCGAATGCGATCATTATCCCTTTACTTCAATTCAATAGCTAGCTTCTACAGTGCCGCATCTATCCGGGTGACAAGGAATAGCTGCCCAGGATTCCAAGAGGACGGCAATTGACGGGATCGTGTAGATATCCTAGAAAATATCAGTTATGAAAAGGACAGCAATTCTCCTGTAGAAACGGATCTATTACAAGGTGTTGGATAAGGGATATCTGCTGGATGAGGGATATCCGCCGGATCCTAGTCCAGCTGACAGCCCGGATCCTAGTCCAGCTGAAAGGGTCGCGTATCCAGCTGGCCTCCAAATGGAATGACATTTGACGATGGATCATGTAAAATATCCCAGAAATATCAGATGTAAAATGGGCAGGAATTCCCCCATAGAAACGGATCTATTAGAAGAATCCGAGCAGCGGATACGAACACATTTTGTTGGCAAGGATATGGAACCAAACATGTGTCGGTTCAGAAGCATCATGATGTGTGGGCAAGGATTACGGAACCCAAATAGGTGTTTGGACAGGGCCATGAAACCATCCTAGCGTTTGACGTACGGAGATGAATCTGAAAGCGTTTGACGCTAAGACTATCAGATGCATTCAATCTGGAAGTCCGTTTCCGTTTCCCAGTCCAATATTCGGATCAGTAGATCCGTTTCTACAGGAATTGCTGCCTAGATAATATTTCTGGGAACCACTATTTACATGGTCCGTCTTGAATTGCCGTTCCGTATGGATATAAAGGTAAACGCCATCCGGGTATAGACTCGGCAAGAAACGCTTCCGAATTCGGTGTTATTTTGATACCCCTTCTCCTTCCATCCTTCTATTGAACAGAGGGGAGAAATGTGTTCGTATTCGCTGCTTGGATCCTTCTAATAGATCCGTTTCTACAGAGGAATTCCTGTTCCTTTAATAGTTGATATTTCTGGGATATTTTACATTATCTGCCGTCAAATGTCGTTCCATTTGAAGGCAACCGATGGTCGCTACCACCAAGGCAGAGGTTCTTGCCACTTGCCACCTGGATTCGGATCCCTGCTGTTGGCAGGCGGTCTGACTGGAGCACCACCATTGGTGATGGATGCCCCCGATCAGTTTGATCCTCTCACACCTCTTTAGTTCGGAACGGTTCCCCTTCTGGGAACCTTTTCCTCCCATCCTGCATCACCCATCCACATTCAGATCCTTTCCACCATTTTCTCCCCACACCTGCCACGGGATATGGGTTTGGCAGATATCCCCTATCCCTTATCCTTCCATCCTTCAACACCTTCCACGACGACCTTCCACACATCTTGTTCCACACATCTTCCTCTTCCAAACATCTTCTTCTTCCAAGCGTCACATTCCTTTCAATAATCCATCACTTCCAAGAACCTTCCCGCCCATCTACACCATTCCAACTATTCCAACGATGCCACCCAACGCCTTCAAACTGACCAAGCTTACGGAATTCCAAGACTTTCCAAAATGGTATGTGGATCTACGAGACTACTGTAAGATCCATGACATTCTTCAGTACTATGACCTTCCACCTATAGGAAAGAAATCAGAAACCATCCAAGCAGATAGACCAATAGCTCCAAGATGTCCAGAAGCGCCACCGCCATCAGCAGATCTAGCAGAACGGGGCTATTTTGACAGACTACTTGCGCTCTACCAGGAAACGGATAAGATCTACCAAAGGTTCATCACAAAGGAAGAAAAACTAAAGGAAGTTATTTCCCAATCGATCCCAGCTGAAGCGAAGAAGGAATTCCCAAAGGAAGCAACTATAGAAGTCAGGGTATCTTCTATAAAAGAATTCTTCCATATCGGCGACCCGCAGTTACTCCGAGATATAGAGAAGAAATGGCTATATATCATACGCCAAGACCTTCGGAAATCGAACCTCAGGAAATGGCAGAATGCCCTTCTTAAACACCATGAACTCCTATCTTTATGGAATTCCATCCTAGTTCAAAATGACCATGATGTCGATTATTTCATTTCTGCAATGAAGGACTTCAGCAGACGTGATGGAGTCCACGCTAGAATAATATTCAACAAAATCAGAAGGGAGAAGAAGTCAGCCACTTTCAGGTATATTGTGGAATATATCCTGAAGGAACTGGATCTCTTGAACCTAGCCACATATAAGGGTTCTAATATCGACCTTGACGTGTCCAACGGATCGTCATCGAATTCGACATCATCGAAAGTAGATATCTCAGCTGACGATGCCTGCAACGGAATGTGTAACTACAGGAGTCGACACAACTGGAAGACATGCCGTGGATTACGACAGTATGTCAAGTATGGCGACGATGTCAGGAACCTTTCCACCAAGCGGAAGGCAGCCTGTAAAACATGGCTACAGGATCCATCGAAGAAGGAGAAGGCTATCAAACAGTGGAAATCCACAGAGACTCCAATGAAAACAAGGCCAGCAAAGGCAAAGGAAGAAGAACAAGCACTTCTTTTGAAATCACTGATTACTAAATATCAGGGTAAGATAGAAGCTATCCTATATGTCTGCATTTTCCTGTGTCCTAACGCCATCAAAGCATGTGCCGAACTCGCCCGACATACCCTGTTACCTACACAGGAACATATAGACGCTGCGGACGACCTGATCCGATATCTACTAGAAACAAGGAACATTGGAATTCAATACGGACCCAATGGTCCATCTGACGATCGATCCGACGATTGTGCCGACGACCAATCAGCCGACTTTGTCTGCTTTAGCGATGCACCGTTTGCTGACGATGTGGATGATAGAAAGTCCAGCCAAGGATACGTCATGGAGTTCGTTGGTGGACCGATGATGTTGAAGCCGGGACGACAAGACACTTTAACCACATCGTCTGCAGAAGCGGAAAATCTTGCAATCTCTGCTGCAGGAAAGGAACAGATCAGGATGCAGCGAATATTTGACGATATGGCTCTTTCGTTGGAGGATGTTGGTCTATACATGTAGAGACTATGTGATAATCTGTAGACAATCAGGCTACTAACGCAGGGCGGTCCTCCTTCATACCTGACTACGACATGTAGATATCTATCGCCATTGGTTATAGCAGAAGGTCCAACGTGGAACGATATCTACCAGCGAGATACAGATAGACGAAATGGCTGCGAATGGAATTATAAAGATCCTTCTATATTAGAAGTATCAGCGTTTCATCCCACTGATGCGTCTTGTAGAAATCAAATATCTAGATGGCTTAGATATCTAAAGGCCTTCCTTCTAGATCTTGGAGGAAATGGAGATCCGAATGACGCTGATTTAGTCATGCCCGGATTCCAGTTTCTGAGTCTAATATTCGGATAAGTAGATCCGTTTCCGAGCCTGATGTGGATCTGGATCAGCAGACACGTTTCTAATAGGTCCTAAAATGTCATTTATAAGAACCATAGAATATCCCTATAAAAACGGGTCATAGAAAGGATACATTTCAAGCAGCGAATACGAAGCCTGCTCAATAGTTATGAGTCTAGAATCGCTCATAGCCTCAGCATCCTTTACTTGTCTTCTTAGGCTGCTGGAAAAAGTACCTTTCGGTAGCATTCTCATATATTTACAGTGGTGTATTTACCATTAGATACCTCTGATATTCACACCTCACAACATCCCCTTCCACCACATCGAAGAAGTCATCCAAAATCTTTTAAATAGTTTGTGATATTTGTATTCGCTGCTTAGATCCTTCTATTGAACAGAGGGTAAAATGTGTTCGTATTTGCTGCTTGGTTCCATTATTTGGAGCCGTTCTATGGAGGAATCTACGGTCTTTTATAGTTGCCATTCCTGGAACCGTCGGATACCATCTTCCGGAACGGAAGTCGATATCCGTCATGTGGATCCGTCGGAAACCGGTATCCGCATCGGATACCTGTTTCCACAACGGATATCTGTTTCCACAACGGATATCTGTTTCCACAACGGATATCTGTTTCCACAACGGATATCTGTTTCCGTGACGGACTTCTATTTCCGTAGGAATCCTTCCGTCATCCTTCAACACCTTCTACTAGGTCCATTTCTACAGGGGAATTCCTGCCTCTTTTATGTCTTATATTTCTGGAATATTTACATAATCCGTCTTGAACTACCGTTCCGGTCAGATATAGAGGTAATAAACGCCATCCGGATTCGGATCTACCATCAATCAATATCCGCCACCTAGCTTCGGCATTGCTTCGGATATCCTTATCCTTCCATAGATCCTTCAGCTGACGTCCGTAACGCCCGATACCATCCACGACGACCTTGCACACTCCAAGCATCGCAGTTCTTCCAACAATCCATCACTTCCAAGAACCTTCCTGTCCATCTACACCATTCCAACTATTCCGACGATGTCATCCAACGGCTTCAAACTGACCAAGCTTACCGAGTCCCATGACTTTCCAGAGTGGTATGTGGATCTACGAGACTACTGTGAGATCCAAGATATTCTTCAGTACTATGACCTTCCACCCATGGGAACGAAATCGGAAACCATCCAAGCAGATAGACCAATAGCTCCAGTATGGCCAGAAGCGCCACCAACATCAGCAGAAAGGGACTAGTTTGAGATCCCACTTGCGCTCTACCGGGAAAAGGATAAGATCTACCACAGGTTCATTACAAAGGAAGAAAGACTAAAGGAAATTATTTCCCAATCGATCCCAGCTAAAGTAAAGAGGACATTTCCGAAGAAAGCAACTGTAGAAGACAGGATATCATGTATAAAAGAATTCTTCTATATCGACGACCGGCAGTTACAAATAGATATGGAAAGGAGATAGCTAGATATCCTACACCATGACCTTCGGAAATCGAACCTCTAGGAATGGCATAATGCCCTTCTTAAACACCATAAAATCCTATCTTCATGGAATTCTGTCCTCGTTCGAAATGACCTTGATATGTCTGCATCGTCCTGTGTCCTGACGCCCTTAAATCATGCGTCGAACTCGCCCGGCATACCCTGTCACCTATACAGGAACATATGGACACTGCGGACGATCTGATCCGATATCTATTAGAAACAAAGAACATTGGAATTCAATATAGATCCAATGGTCCATCTGACGATCGTTCCGACGATCGTTCCAACGACCATATCGCCTACGGAAGCAGAACATCTTGCAACCTCTGCTGCAGTAAAGGAACAGGTGGGATCGGAACAACTGTTTCACGATATTGCTCTTTCGTTGGATGATGGTCTATATGTCCGGATCCGGACATCAGTATCAGATATATCCGGATCTGGAAGTCTGTTTCCAAGTCCGATATTCGGAATCAGTAGATAATATGGTCGTTGTCAAGTTTAAGGCTGGGTAATTGATTCTCACGTGTGGATAATGATGAAATCGCCGTTGGAAATGGGAGATTCGAATGATAGATTCCGACAGACCCCGATACGACAACCATAAAAACGGTAGATTCCACTGGTAGGACAGCCTTGAGTAATGATAGGAATACTCAATCAACTATTCAAATGCCGTGAGATCATCTAGACATTCCGCGCATTGCCTTTTAGACTAAATCGGATTGTTGCCGAACGTGGCCAAGTTTGCACAACTCATCCACTCGTCACTCTTTAGCCCGTCATTAAGTCTAATGGAATTCTCAAGGTTCTTCTTTTTAACATGATAAAGCGTCTCAATAGACGGTGCGATGGGGGCTACATTAATTGAAGCAGGGAAAACCTACTGTTTGCTTGAGCGCGAAGTGAAGGCCGAAGCCACCTCCGAAATGTCGGGTCTGGATATTGTAAACCCAATGGAGTCGCCTTGCTAAGAACTACGGGCAGAAATTTCGACCGCCGGGGTCTTATGAATACATGTATCTCATGAATCCACGAAATCGTTGGCGTACTGCCAACTTCATCGATCCTTGGCGCTTAAAACCATGAAAACCGCCCGCGCTCCTTGTCTGATTGGTTAGTGGCCTACTCAAACAACATGTCTTGACCGCTTCCCCGACCTATTAGGCCTCATGGGAGGCGATTGTCAGCTCCCCGCTCGTCCGCAGCGATTGTCCTTCTTCCCAACGATGTCGCCGCCGTCACAACAAATAGACAAAAGAATACCTTATGAACAGCGTGTCGATGAAAAGACCGTCCTGAGACTACACGAGCTATGCACCAATTGCACACGCGTCGTCCGCGCTTCTCGGACTCTACTTGAGCTCAGGAATGGATCGGTATACAGGGGAGCCGTGGAAACGGTTCATTTTGGGACGCCAAACGATCTGAAATTAGGTTATCTTTCCGACTGCCACCTCTGCGCCAAGCTATGGAGCCTCGCGAACGGGTATCTGCTCGACCCTGACGATGCAAAAGTTACCGTGGACAAGATGTCGTTTAGCTTCGAAGGGAGGAATCCGCCCCGACAGAATCGGTGGCGGGCCTTGGTGAGCCAAGTGCAGTCGTGGTGGAATGGTCCCACCCGGAACCCTTGTATGTGGCCTACCTAGCTTTGATACATGATTATCCGCAAGCTCACCTTCGTATGTGCCCACAGCCGTGAGATCAGGGGCGCTGATTTATGGATCTCCGAAGTTGGACACCACGAGATGTCGACCCTATACGGACGGAAAACATCGGTGACCATTTATCGATCCTCGGGTATGGTTCTCTACCTTATAAAAACTGTGTAAAGCGCGGTATCTAACTTTCCCCATGTAGATGCTGAAGTCAATGACAAGGCACCGAGCCAAGCCCGTTGTCCCGTGTCCTCAAAGCACGAGATGACGTTGGAAACAATCCAGGCATGGCATAAGCAGTGCATGAAGAATCACCAAAAGTGTAAACAGTTTCCCCAACTCACATCCCCTATCGATCAATACCCTACTCGGTTACTCGACGTGACTGGAAGCCGCATTCGACTCGTATCCGAGGTCGAGGCATTCAAGCCCGATTACACAACCCTCAGCCACATGTGGGGTCCCGACCCGAAACTATGCCTGTCCCTAAAGACGACGAATATCGATGACTTTAAGATCGATATACCAGAGTCGTTGCTCGCGGTGAAATACCTGGACGCGATCCGAATCACTAGAGCGCTTGGGTACTCGTATATATGGATCGACTCTCTTTGCATCATCCAAGATTCCGCCGAGGACTGGAAAAGGGAAGCTTTGAAGATGGCAGCGGTGTATGGACGGACGAGTTGCAATTTCTCGTACGTCTATCCTCCGTCGGACACAGCTTCGACAAAACACCTTCGAGATCCTCGACTGGAGCTACCTTGCCGACTAAATTTTGCCCCCAAACCTCCACGTCGGACGCGTCAACTTCGCCAGAAGCATCGCCATTCCTCATCGTCCGCACGACGTCTCGATCCGCCCAGTGGACCACCAACACGCAAGGCATTTCGTGGCCTCTCCTCACCCGGGCCTGGGTATTCCAAGAGCGTCTCATGTGTCCTAGAAACATCTACTACGGCGCCGGGTTCCTTCTTTGGGAATGCGGAGAGATGGTGGAGGACGAGTTCCTCGGCAGCGTCGCACGCGGCACCGAGATTGGCGGCAAGCGCGTGCTGTACCCCATCTTTTCCGGGACGGAGGATCTCGCGGGCGACAGCCAGCGCAAGGATACCTTTAACTATCAGTGGTTCTCCCTCGTGGGCGAGTACAGGATGCGCAACCTAACCTACGAGACGGACCGCAGCATCGCTTTTGCGGGGATCGCGAGAGCTATCCAGACCCATACGGGGTATACGTACCTCGCCGGCATGTGGAAGGAGTTTGCGGTGTACGGAATGCTATGGCACGTTAGCGTATCCTGGTTCAAGATGGAAGAGCGGCGGGACTTTTGCGCGAGGCGGGAGACTACGGCGAAGAGCGCGCCGTCTTGGTCGTGGTTCTCGGTGCCGGGGCACTGGGGCGAGAGAGTGATACGGGATGTGGTCAGGCCGCTTTTCTGCATCGCCACCTACGAATGCTCGTCTTACGCCATCTACGAGGCTCGCGTCACCTCGTTCCACCACCCGAAACTCAAGACGGACCCTACGGTGCTATTTCACGATTACATGGGCTTAGAAATCACCTTGCGCACCCGTCGCATCCCCTGTGCGCTCGAGTGGGACGCAGCCGGAACCGGAAAACAGGTTTTGCGGGTGTTGCCGTTCGGCTCTCATATCAAGGGGGTCTCTTTATGGGAGAGCGGGTGCAGGAAACAAGGGACGCGATGAATTATCAGCACGACGATATCGCCCTCCTTCCGGGATCCGACCCTCCCCGCGACACTTTCATGGTGCTCCTGGTGTTCCAAGGGATTGGTGCCGAACGGGGAAAAAGAACCGGGCTGCCGAGACGACAGATCCTCGATACACGGGGATGAGGGTGGATTGTCAGTATGGCGGGTTAGTGGTGGTTCCGGCCGGAAAGAACGCCGTGGGCCAGGCCTGCTGGCGACGGGTAGGTGTGTTTTTATTTTCGGGGCATGTAGATGATCCCGACGATACAAAGTACCCGTTTGACTTGCATGGGGGCGAGGATGAGGATGTAGTTCTGGTATGACATACGCGTGGACGATGGGATCAACTCTATTTGGGATGGATAAACTTCCACGAAAACCACGGCTAACTTATTCCAAATGTAATACTCTTCACCTCGAGGAACTCGTCGATGCCGATACTCGAACCCTGCAAACTTGGTCGTTAGTATCATGGCCACTTGCTACAGCTCTTGGAGGGATGACAAACCTCTCGTCCCAGCCCGCTCTGTTTGACTCCCCCAAAGGGCGAGGCTACATCGCTGATGATACCCGTGTTCACACCAACCTAGGCATTACCCGAATTAGCTTGATCGACAGGGCGCGATGTGAGAGAACATAATAACACAAGACCACGAACCATTCCGACTTCCAGTGCTTCCGCCACAGCCCACGCGCGAGAAATGTTCTTGGTGAAAAAGTACCCCGCAAGCCCAACGTCTGTCGCATTTGCGAGCCTCACCGCATCCTCATCACTCTCGAATTTGAAGAGTGGAAGCAGAGGCCCAAACGTCTCCTCCCTGGCACACAATGCGTCGTTGGGGACGTCCGCCAGCACAGTTGGCTGGAAGAACGCGCCGCCGAGCGTCTCCTCGGGTTGCCCTCCGATCAAGAGTCTCGCGCCCTTATCCAAAGCATCCTTGACGTGGCCGTGGACCTTTGTCACGGCGGCTTCATTGATCAAGGGACCGATGGTTGTCCCTTCGTCGATGCCACGGCCTAGACGGAATTGGCGGACCCTTTCCACGAGGAGGCTCGCTAGCTTGTCGTAGATACCGACTTGAGCAAAGACGCGGTTCGCGCACACGCACGTCTGCCCCGCGAGACGAAACTTGCTCACCATGATGCCGTCCGCGGCCTTTTCCAGATCCGCGTCATCGAAGACGAGAAAGGGCGCGTTGCCACCCAGCTCCAGGCTCACGCGTTTGACCGTACTCGTGCATTGCGCCGCGAGTAGCTTCCCGACGGCCGTGGACCCCGTAAAGGAGAATTTTCGAACGGCGGGGTGCTGCGTGAGGACCTTGCCCACGGCCACGGTGTTGGTTTTGGAGGTGATGACGCTGAGCGAGCCGGCAGGGAAACCCGCCTCCGAGGCCAGCCGGGCCAAGATGAGCGCCGAGAGAGGGGTATCGGGGGAGGGCTTCATGACGCAAGGGCAGCCGGCGGCGAGGGCGGCGGCGACTTTCGCGTAACCATGGCGGCGGGAAATTCCACGGCGTGATGATGCCGCAGACTCCCACGGGCTGCTTCACCGTTACGACTCGATGGGACGGGTTAGAGGCTTGCGGCACGGCGCCGTCGATGCGGGGCGCCGCGCCGGCAAACCAGTCGATGAAGTCGTTGGCGTAGGCTACCTCGCCGCGGGCCTCGGCAAGCGTCTTGCCGTTCTCGAGGGTGATGACGGTGGCGATGTCCTCCTGGGCTTGCTGTACGAGGCGGTGCCAGTTGCGGAGGAGTTGGCCTCTTTGTTTTCCTGTGAGGAGCTTAAGCTGGGCGGCGGCTTGGATGGCTCCGTTGACGGCGGTGGTTGTCTCTGTCTCGCCGAGATCGGGGACGCTGGCGATGGTCTGCCATGTTGCTGGGTCTACGATCCGGGAATGCGTTAGCACGTGTAGACGATGATTGAAAGAGACGGACCTTGTACTTCAAAGAGGGTGGGCCCCGAGACCCATTCCCCGGTCATGAAGGCGGCGTTGGGCGTGAGTAGGGTTTCGTCGTGGAGTTGCATTGTTGCTGCTTTGGCTTGTGCTTGTGGTAGCCTCTTCAAAGGGATGAATGAGTGAGGTTTTGATGATTATGGTTTATTTATGGCGGCGAGGATCGTGTGGAATCCCGAGGGTTGTGCGAAGGCTGGCCGAGAGGTGTCACTCCGATCCAGCCCCGACACGGTGTCGTTGGCGAGGGTTTTGGGGTAAACGTGGGCTGGGGTATTGGAGCCCCCGACAATATTGGAGTCTGGAGCCCGCCCATATCGACGTTTCTTCTCCGCCGACCACGTTCTGGTGGAGTAGGGAGTACTAGCTCGTGGAGCCAATAACCGATGTGAATTGGGGATAGCTCTAGGTTCAAGACGTTTATGTCCAAATATTACATGTACCGAAGTGAGGTTAAATCTTGGTACCAAAAGAATATGTGGTATCGTCACATCTGGGCTGCAAGCAGTGTTTAGGAGAATATAAGCCTACCAGCAACCACGTACTATCTCCAAACGAGAGATTCGCCTGAGAATTACATGGACCGTCCGATTTAGCATACATCTCCAGCCTTTGTAGATTTGAATTCTCCCGGCCATATTGCCTCCTGGTTACGCCTAAAAAGTCTCCATCATGCGCAAGCGCTACCCTGACTTGATCCCCGCCTCGGATGCCCTCCCTCATAAGTTTGGCAATTCTCTGGACCGTGTCTTCCGCCAAGCTCTTGTCCGAGTGGATGCAGACATGCATATCGTTTTCCATCCATGTTGCCATCCCCGTCTCGCCATGGAGGATGCGGGGATGGTGGCAGGCATCACCAGCGAGGTAAACCCATGAGGCGTCCCCAATGCGTGCCAGCAGATTAAGATGGCCTGGGAGATGGCCAGGGCTGTCTACAATGTATATAGATCCGTCGCCGAATAAGTCCATAGCATTGGGAAATGGCCCAAATGCCTTCCACCTATGTTGTATGCCACGGATCAGAGTGTCCAGACCATGCGTAGGCAGGCAAGAGTTCTCTATAGGTTTTGCGTGACTGCGCTTTTGTTCGGGCTCGGGGAGCTCAATAGTTCGATCTGGTGGTAGCAGGTCCTTCTCAAACTTGGCCGCCGAGTGGTACTTCATGCCATGTTGAAGCAGGTGCCGCGTGCCGTACCCGACCATGAACTGCGCCGAAGTGAATTCCCTAGGGTCGCCAACGTGGTCGTAGTGCACGTGGCTTAGAACAACGATGTCTACGTCAGAAGGCTCGAGTCCTCCGTTTCGGAGAGACTCGCTCGCGTCCGGCACGGTATGGATAGGCTGACGTGTTTGTAGATGGGGCTGGATATCTGCTGGGTACTCATCAAGGTTTCGCCGGATGCCAAGGTCGAATACAATCCTCCGTCCCGTCGAGGGTGTCGTATTAAAAATGACATGGACGGGACGAGATTCTTGACGGTGACGTCGTGTTGGTCGGCGCAGAAGAAGTGTTCGGGAAGCGAAAGGAACCCGCTGGGAAGGAGGGAAACCCGCGCGTAGGGGGTGGGGAGAGAATCAAGATTTTCCTTTCCCGCCATTGCGACCCATTGTTTTTTTCATTGTTCATTTTCTTTTCGCAAGATTGCGGCTCCCTTGAGATGAGGTTGGAATATTTTGAGAGCTTGGTTGGAGTAAGTGGCAATTCGGAGTAAGTTGGAGTTTACTCCAACGCCCCCTCCCACTCCTGTCCAAGGGAGAAAGGCCTCTTGATTCGGGAGTCTTTTTCTTCTGTAGATGACTCTCAGGGTTGGTGATATGAGGGATCGAGATGGGGCGGCGGGGCAAAGTCCTATATCTGCATGCTAGATCCTCGCTCTCTTTAGGTCATCCGAAGGCCGGAGGACTTGGAAAAGCACACTATGCATGAGGGTCTACATCCAGAATTGGACCTGTTAGATTTGCTATTTTGAGGCCCGAGTTCTCACTTTCATTCCATCGGTTCTCTGAAACCATTATATGGGAGAATGCTCTGTGTGGTAATTCGCTTCTCCCGCAGTGTATTTCCAGGGACTCTTCATGAAGCTATCCATAGATCCATATATTTCGCCGGTGGTGGAAAAGGATCTCCAAGGTTCCCAGTTCTAGCATTGGCTCGCAACGCTAGAGAATACATGGTACTTCGTAGACGCTAGTACGGTTCCGGCGTGTCGGCGACCTAGATGTCGGCTTTCTTTCCTCGTGTCTTGTGTAGCCGACACCAAAGTGGCCGGCCCCACGTTTCCCTTCCCCACAATGGCTCGATTGATGCACTACTTCCCCTCAGGGAAGGCAAAGGCCACGCGAAGGAAGTCGTTGCACTGAGCCATCGCTCGTCGAGCTCGACGCCCCCGCATGCACCGTCTGGTCCGAATTGGTCATGGTCTTGAATGTTTCCCACTGGTGTCTCATCCCTCCCAAAACAACAATTGGGCCGGTCCATCGTTCCAGTAACATGGAGACCAATCTGCCCACGCATGTCCCATAGACCCTGCCTCATTCCATCGTCTGTAGATGGCAGCAGAAGAATCGGTTCACTAGGCCGCTTGCCGTCCCCGTGCTTGATTCGCTCCCCACATTCCGCCCGAAGCCACTAACATTTGAAATTTGCATCAAGCCATCCACGTGAGGGGATTCCCTTGTGGCCCTCAGCCTCGATGACTCGACCTCAGCGTCGTTCTGCATATCCACAACCCAGTGAAAGAAGCGAAAGCCAAGCACCTCTGGCGATTTCACGCCGTTGAGCACGTAGAGTAGGAAAAACATGACCCCGCCGCGTGTCACCCGCCGCTGCCACTTTTGTTCCCGGGAGTTTGCTCGGTCCGAACACCTCACACGGCATGAGCGTACTCGTAAGCTAACCAACCTATCCCCCATGTCCCGTGTCTAAAAAGAAACAAACAAGGCCGAGGAGGCGGGGTCGAAACCATGTGACTGAGACTGTATACTAGATACCAAAGAAAAGCCTTACAAGTGTAGCTCGTGCATACAATCCTTCTCCCGCCCCGATCTTCTCCGACGGCACGAAGCCAAAGCACACGACAAGAGACGCCCAGATCTCAGACGCACCACGCGGAGTACCACCGTCTCCGCGGCCCCGGATTCTACAGGCCATAACGCCGAACCCCGGATTGTCACCGACCCTAGCCATAGGATGTCCGAGTCCGAGTCCCACCTTCCCCGAGTATCATCGGCAGTGAGGTAGGTTCCAATCCTTTACGAAGCCCATTGCTCTTTTTCGTTGGTGTAGAATATTCCAAGCTAAGCATTTGACACAGGAATATCCCGCTTTTGGTGAACAATTGCTCCCGCAGCTCAGCCCAGCGTCGCCAAACTTGCGCACCCCAACAGCCTGGGCATCCGACATCGTGCCGGATATCCAGCGCGCGCAGGAACCCAGCCACTTCCTAACATCCCATCTTCTCCCCGACATCATCAGTTAGCCCAGCACGCCACGCGACGTCCACGAAGTCGAGCGCTTCCACTTTGACGCGGCTCGCTTCGCCGAGCTCCCGACGCCATTCTCGAAGCCTGCACGAATCCCGATTACGAACTCCACGCTCCCCGCCTCGAGGCGCGCTCCATCCTGTCCCGGCCGACGTCCCCCAGCAGAGATGCCCATAGCATCAACTCCGGCTTCTCCCCGCAGTCCGCTAGCGCGCTTGAGATCACGGACGAGCATCACAAATACATGCAAGCCCGCATCTCCGAGGTGAGCGACTTTGTCCTGCCCTCGCGCCACGCCATGGCCGGGTACGTCAACCGGTACTTCAACAACTTCAACAAGCACCAGCCCTTGCTGCACGGGCACACCTGGTCGCCGAGCGAGGCTCCCGTCCCGCTCGTGCTCGCCGTGTGCGCCAACGGATCGGCGTATAGTTTGGAACACGCCGAGGCGGTGGAATTCTACCGCCACGCCGTCAAGCTGCTGGCGCCGGCGGACTCGGGGCTTTGGGTGCTGCAGACCATGATGCTCGTGGCGGCGTTTGCGGCGTGGAGCGGGAATTTGGAGGATTTGCAGACGGCGCTGCAGCTCCAGGAGGATGACGCTGGAGCTTCGCAAGGAGTGGAATTTGCTAAAGGATCCTGCGTTTGCCGCGACTTGGGGGATGGCTGGAGGAAGAAATTCGAAAGAGGTACGTACGACTTGGTTTCGTGTTTGGGGTGTGACGAACCACCACGCTAATAGTCGTCGACCCAGAGTGACCTATTGTGTTTTCACCTTGCTCAACCTCATCAACATCGCATTAGACATCCCCTCCTCCGTATCCCTCGAACCCATCCACGGCCTCCTCCCACGAGAAGCAGTGGGCCGCCTCCACCGAGCAGGAATGGCTCCAAGTCACGCAAACCCTCTCGCCTCGCACGTGGCGATCCGCGCCCGCCGTCGTCGACAGGCTCTTCGACCCGACGCAACCCGTGCCCGACAACATCGGCATGTTTGGCTGCCACGTCGTCATCTCCTCCATCCTGCAAAGATCATCTTTTTCCGAAAAGCCCAATCCGCCACCACGAACGCTAGTCTCGACGACTCCCGCCGCGGCTTCATCCAGGCCCTGCGCCGCTGGCAAATCATGTGGGAAAACGAACCCGAATCCTCCCTCTCGCCGGACCACCCCGAGGGCCCCATCCTCTTCAACTCCACCGCCATGCTGCGCCTCGCCTACGTCCGCCTCGTGGCCGACTACGCCCCCTTACGCAACGCCTTTAGCTTCTCGTCCCCCGATGCCGACTTCCCGCTAGAATCGCGCATACCCGAGCGTCTCCCTCGCTCTGCCGAGACCGCAAGGGCGGCGCTGCAGGCCGTGCTGGCACTCAACGTCCCCGCGCGGCTCGGGTTCCGCGTGGTTTCGCGCACAAGCTTCTGGGTGTGGAGCGTGCAGCACGCGTTGAGCTATTTTGAGTGCGCGTTGCTCTTGTCGCAGTGGCTGCAGTCCGTGGAACACGCCGAGGCCGGCTTGTCGGAGGAAGAGATGGGGATCCGGCGCATGGTCGAGGAGATTTTGCAGTTTTCGAAGCCGCGGCTGGTCGCGTCGAGCGGACAGCAGGATACCGCGGGCGAGCTGCCGCTTTCCGTGGCGGTGCTGTTGTTGTGGGCGGAACTGTTGGATACGGGGGACACCACGGTTTGGAAGATTATGCCCATCATGTCCAAAGTGTTGGAGAATTACGCCAACATGCTCTTAAGCGGGCGTGATAATAAACGTTAACAACTGAAATGTGGGAGGCACTTTCTTGGATTGGCAAAAAGTACAGGGGCATTTAGAGTCTGTTATATCATCCACCAATATATGATCTAAGGCGCACGTCTCCTCACTGGAAACACTGGTCGCATTCATGGTCCATGCTATTGAGTAGAGCTCTTTCTATAAAAAGACTGTATTGTAAACTGTCAAATCTATAAAGACCAATTTCCATTCTTTCGAATTCCACATTTCATCTACTGCTTGATAACAACCCCTTCCTTCTCCATATCAATCAAGACCTTCTCCGCAGCCTTGAAAGCCTCCATGCCCGCAGGAACACCCATATAGATGCACACTTGAACAAGCACCTCGCGGATCTCGGTAGCAGACACGCCGTTGTTCACCGCCCCGCGCGTGTGCACGGCGAGCTCGTGCACCTTTCCCGTGGCGGCGAGCATGGAGAGGTTGATGAGGGAGCGCTGCGTTCGGTCTAGTCCGGGCCGATCCCAGACGGCGCCCCAGCAAAAGGCCGTGGTGAACTCTTGCATGGCCTTGGCGAACTCGGTGCTGCCGTTCTTGAGGGCGTTGTCGACGTATGCGTCGCTGAGGACGGCGCGGCGGATGGGCATGCCGACGTCGTAGAGGGCCTTTTGGAGCTCGGCGCGGTTGGACTGAGACATTATGAAGGCTTTCGGTTGGGTGTGATGGGAAACAAAAGGGTTTGTGGCTTTAGAGGAGGGCTGACAACGTGTATTGTGTTTTTGGAGTGGATGGCAGAGGCTCGCAGGAGAGTACCTGTTATGTGTGCGTGGGCGTTTGTGTCTGTGTATGTGTGTGTTGTGCAAATTAGGACTTCAATGCTGGGTTAAGCGTGGATCATAAATAGTAATCAAGTCTTGGTATACTGACACAGCACTTGAGCTCTTTTGGGGAGCAATGGAGCTGCCTTCATCGCATTCAATGCTGTCTTCGTCGGAGTACGGTTAGTGCACCGAGTCTCGGACGGAGCAACGCTCCATCTTCTTAGGCTCCAACTCTCCAACATGGTGGGGATATGCGAACAGCCCCTGTGCGCCGTAAACCATACGACGCAGTTTCTTGCTGTACTAAGCGCTTCTTCCCAAGTGGAGAAGCCCCAGACAGACCTGACAAAAGTGCGATTTGTCGTGGCTACTCCAATCCAGCGCACGACTCCACATCGAGATCGGACACTCCATTTTGCTTTTCCTCTCAACTCCAACCCACTCCAAACTCGGGGTCTGATGGCATGGGTGATTGCATCCACTCATTCCACCCCGACCACTTAGACTAGCTCCAACGATCCAAAAACTGTCGAGATGCGATCTCCCCATGTCCCCTGCATCCAGGGGCGAGGGTACCCCAAGTATCAGCCGGGTAGCGTCATCCTGTAGTGCCGAGTCGTGTGTTCAAAATGCCGGCTGCATCCGCGAGGCCTTGGATTTGTACAAGTGCCTCACATCAGAACGTCCTATGCATCAAATCTCGCCTTGACAGAAGACATCTAGATATCTTCCACACTACAACCCTAACACAGAATCAACATGGTTGGCATCGTCGAAACAACTACCTATGGCTTCATCGGTTCGTTGGATCAAAACACGTGGAAATAGGCTTCCGTTGAACTAACTTGCGCAGGCCTCGGTCAAATGGGACATGGCATGGCCAAGAATATCTGTCTCAAGGCTCCCGAGACCAGCCTCGTGATCGTGTACGACATCGCGACACAGGCCACTCAGCGACTCGCGAGCGAGTTCAAGGGCCAGGGTCGGAACATCCAAGTCGCTACCTCGCCGAAAGAGGTTGCGGAATTTGCTGTAACAAAGCCATCTCCGTCCCAAACCGCATGCAACCGAAATAAAACTAACTCGTAATGCATGCTTATTCGTAGGACGTCATCTTCACATCCGTCCCCCAAGCCGCTCACGTCCGCGATGTTTTTCTGAACCCTTCTACTGGCCTGCTGGCCGCGCCTAAGAAGGAAGGGCGAAGAAAGTTGTACCTCGAACTCAGCACGATTGACGTCGCCGTGTCCTCTGAGGTCGCTGCGGCCGTTGTTGACGGCGGCTTCGGTGACTTTGTCGACGCCCCATGCTCCGTAAGTCGTGCCTACGTTCTTACACTCCCTCTCAACTAATCTATAGATCTCTCACTGATTCTTGCCACGAAATGCTATACAGGGAGGAGCGATGGGTGCCGAAACCGGAAACCTTTCCTTCATGATTGGCTGCCCCGACAATCTCTACCCCCGCGTACTCGAGCTCTGCAAGCTCATGGGCAAGGAAGAAAGCATCTTCCACTGCGGAAACCTCGGCGCCGGCCTCAAGACGAAGCTCCTCAACAATTACCTCTCCTCTCTCACGGCTCTCGCGACCGCCGAGACCTTCAACATTGGCATCCGCGCAGGGCTGGATGCCAAAACCTCCTCAAGGTCATCAACGCGAGCTCAGGCATGAACTTCAATTCCAAGGTGAATAACCCCGTGCCGGGGCTCACGCCCAAGAACGCCGCAAGCAACGGGTACAATGGCGGGTTTTCCATCGAGCTGTGTCTGGGCGTTTTGGAGCTGGCCGTGAAGGCTGGCGAGGATCTGGGGGCTACTATGCCCATTGGCAAACCGATGCTCGAGGCGTACAGGCAGGTTGCTGCTGATGTGCGGTTCAAGGGGAAGGATTCAAAGGCGATCTACAAGTGGATCGGAGGCTCGGATCCGGACCTTGGGGAAGCGTAATAGACGTGACCAAGTTATGGAGGACGAGAAAAATAGGAGCTTTAGGCTTGAATATTCCATCATAACACACCCAAATTTAAAATGGTCTTCAATATTTACCGGTGTACAGAACTTTTGTAGTTTCCGAGAAGCTAGCGACGTGTTTGCGCTTTGGTGACGATCCAATTGGTTCACTGCATGCAAAACCGGGGGCTATCTCTTCATGTGTCGCGCTCCCCGTTAGCATGCGGCGAATAATACAATCAAGACGGTTGATGATTCCCACTAGCTATAGTATGCCTCATCGCACCCGTATCACATCTCATCCCTTTGTGGCCCCATCGTCGCAAGAGTTGATGCCAGGGCCAGCGTTGTGGAGTAAGTGAGCAGCGGCGTTGGAGTAGATGAATCGTGTTGGAGTAAGGGGCTGATGTCCACATCGGGCATAGTTCTCCAATTTTGCCAGCACTGCCGATCATGGAGCCGAGAGAAAAGGGGAAAGTTGACACGGGTGTGGAATGACGCAGGATTTTTCTGAGGTCTTGGAAACACCCAGGATGGCTTCGCCCCAGCGCGGGCTGCGCTCATCGCTGCGGTGCGGAGATGCCCCGTTATCACTACCCCGGATTACCCCGGATTACCCCGGACCCCAACCTAGGCCCCCTCCGAAAGGTGAACGATCCTATTCCTCGACTAAAGCAGATGCAGACTCGTATCAGACAGAAAAATTGCAGTACAAAGGGGGAGGTGTCGTCGTCCTTTCGCTTCCTTTTTCTTTGGGGTTCGATACGCTCACGCTTTCCTGCCACGACAAAACTACACAATGACTACCGATATCAAAGACCCCCAGATCGAGCATCTTGATGCCTCCACAACTGAGAAATCCCAGGTACTGATCACAGATGAAGCATGGGTACAGCGCGAGAAGAAACTCGTGCGGAGACTCGACTGGACGTTGATGCCAATGCTCTGGGTGTTGTATCTCTTCAACTACCTAGACCGTAACAATATCGCGTGAGCCTTGCCAGTCCCATAGTTTCCTATTGCGATAAAACCTTGGCACGCAACTAACAAAAAGTCATCAACCATAGCCAGGCTAAACTCGACACGTTTGAAAAAGATCTCGGCCTTACCGGCAACCAATTCAACGTCGCCGTATCTATCCTAAACGTAGGGTAAGTTATCCCTTGATTCGTGGGTCTCTGGTTGAAGCTGAAAGCTAACATTTCCCCTTCGTCAAGGTATATGCTGATGCAACTCCCGAGTAACATGATTCTCACTCGAGTACGCCCATCCATTTACATGCCCGCCTGGGTTGCTGCCTGGTCCGTCGTATCCGCCAGTACCGCCCTCGTCCACAACTTCAGCGGTCTCATCGCCGTCCGCTTCATCCTCGGCATCACCGAGGCCCCCTTCTTTCCCGGCGCCTACTACGTGCTCTCCTGCTGGTACACCAAGAAGGAATTGGCCCTCCGCATCGCAATCTTGTACTCGGGCCTCGTCCTCGCGACGGCCATTTCGGGGCTCTTGGCCGCGGGCATCTTTTCCGGTCTGTCCGGCGCCCGGGACATTGCTGGTTGGCGCTGGCTGTTCATCATCGAGGGAGTTGGCAGTTTCATTGCCGCCATCGTGGCGTTCTTTGTCCTTCTCGACTACCCAGAGTCCGATACGGGAGCTGGGAAGTGGCTCTTTACCGAGGAGGAGCGTAAATTCGCTGCCGAGCGCATGGCGCGCCAGGAGGTGTCGAATCAAGAATCGAACCGTTCGGTTTGGTATGGTCTCAAGTTGGCATGCATGGACTACCGAATGTGGATATTCGTAAGTCTTGTATACCTTGCCGGGATGCACGCAAGCTTCTTCTAACCTGATCATCTCATCTTTCAGTCCTTTATTCTCATCAGCAACCACACGGCTTATGGGTAAGTTGATTGATCAACGGGCGCGGAACCCACACAGAGACATGATACTAACAAATCCCCTCAGGTTCAACAACTTCTACCCATCCATTGTCCGCGGCTTCAACCTTGGAAGCCGCACAGTTACTCTGTTGTGCACCGCACCACCATACCTCATCGGCGCCGGTGTTTCCTTCTTCGTAGCCTGGTCCAGCGACAAGCACGCGGAGCGGGCTTCCACATCAGCACGCCCATGGGCGTCGCAGCCATCGGCTTCATCATCAACGTGGCCACTCTCAACATTGGCGCACGCTATTTCGCTTCCTTCCTCTACGTCTCCGGGTGCTTCGCGGCCAACTCGATTGTGTATAGTTGGGCTGCCAGCTCCTGAGCCAGACGCCCGAGAAGCGCGCTTGCGTGGGTGCCATCATCAACCTTATGAGCCAGCTCGGTAATATCTGGAGCCCGTATTTCTTTTCCCCGGGAGACGAGCCCCGCTACACCAAGGCCATGATTCTCATGGTTGCGTTTTCGGTGGCTAGCATGATAGGATGCTGGACGATGAAGTTGATTCTCAGGCGCGATAACAAGAAATTGATTGCCGCGCATGAAGGTACGGGGTCACGCCTGTTTTGTACACTCTTTGAAATGGATCATCGCAGCGGATTGGAATATGGTACGCGATGGTTATGACGTCTGCGGATGCTAAAATGATCATGCACGCCGTTGTCACTCAGACCCGGCGGTCACATCCATCGCGATGGATGTGGGGGACCACCTACAGATACAATTGACTCTGTCACGGCAGAGGATTCGATAGCAAGCCTGAGAATATGGAACAGGTGTATAAAACAAGAGTAGAGTTCCAGAAAACGCGCATAATTCTGTTCTTCGCCTGCCGATACACGTTGAAGGATCAGACATCGGAGTTCTTCCCACACCAGGTATAAATTCTGAAATGGGAACAGGCTCGCTCATTTAGCTACACCCCTTCCAAAGAGTATTGGGCCCAAGAACCGGCCCGAATTTGACCTAGTCATCTTACTACTTCACCAACACTCACTGCAACACCTCAGCCTCGACACCAGTCAAGGTCGGCGTAATCTTCTGCATAAATCCATCGGCCCCAAACGTAACCTTGTCAATCGAAGTAACTCTGTGAGTACCATCTCCATCAGGAATAGCAAATCTATGATAGGCAATGTACCAGTTGTCCGTACCGGGAACATTGACGATTGAGCTGTGTCCCGTGGCGAGGATTCCCTGGCTCGCATCCTTCTCCAAAACAACGCCTCTATACGTCCAGGGCCCGTTGACACTCGTCGACGTGGCATAGCCAACCTTGTAGTTGACGGAACCTGTATCATCGATTGAGTAGGTAAGGTGGTACACCCTCGCGGTAGTTGACAAAGATGCCCTCGCGGAAATCGTTTAGCCCGGTAATCTTCTGGATCGTACCCTCTTTGAGCGTGACCATGTCGTCCGCAAGTTCAGCATATATGGGGGACCCATTACCCCAGAAGAAATAATACTTGCCACTTACGGGGTCATGGAAAGCGGCGGGATCGATCGCCTGCCCCGTGGTGACGGCCTCGTTGTTGAGAATCATGGCTTCCGGCTGCGCGGTGAACGGTCCATCGGGAGAATCTGCCACAGCCACACCGATCGTCTTGCGGTTATAGACGGGGTTGTGTCCACTGAAATAAAAGTAGTATTTTCCGCCCCTCTCGGTGATAGTAGGCGCCCAAGCGTTGCCAACGGCCCAGGGCACATTGCCGTTCTCCCCGTCTAGCGTCAAGAAAGGCTGCTCGCTACGCGTCAATCGACGAGGTTGGGGGACTTCCAGACGTAGAATTCCTTGCCACCCCAGCCAGGGAAGCCGTCCGTGGTGGCATAAATGTAGTATGTCTGGTTGAAGATGGCGATGTTCGGGTCCGCGTAATAGTCGGGAAGCACAGGGCTCCCGCTGAGGGTGTCGGCAGCAGAGCTAGCCTCCTGCCTCTTTGCCTTTATGGACAGGCTGCTAGTAAGAGCGGATAGTTCTGCCGCCGTGACGGGGATCACGGTTCCGTGGCGGGGGCTCCGTGGAAGACTATACGAGCTCGACACCTTCCACGCCGGGTTGGAGATATCGGCCGTTTCGAGAGGGATGTAGCCGCGGCCACCATACTCATCCACGAAGAGGTAGAACCTTTCGCCACGCACGTCGCCAGGGTTCGATTTGAAGGCGGTGGGGCCTTCGACAGCGGATGTGCCGGCATTTCGGCCAATGCAAGAGTCTGTGATCCTCCACGCGTCCAGTGTGGCCCGTAAATTCGTTGACTCCTCCTGGATAATGTCGCTGCATCCGGTGCCACCGGCGCCCTCGTCCTTGCTAAATCGGTAATAGACGCCGTTATCCTCGAGGATCGTGGAGTCGATTCTCGAAGTACCGGCGTCCTGCCAAACCTGAGTCTCGCTAAACGTCACAAAGTCACGGGTCGTGGCGTAGAGCATGCGATGGTACGTATTTCCCGCGTGGCCAGTGTCGCTCTCCGCGTAGATGGACGAAGCCCAAAAGACCACGTACTCGCCGATGGTATCGTCGTAAAGGCCTCGGGCGCCCACGTGTTGCCCGCCGAGGCAGGAGAGACGAGAATATGGCGCTGGTCCGACCAGTTGACGAGGTCGTGCGATTCCCAGACTTCGAGGTACCGGCTGCCCTTGCGCACGGCATCGCTCCACGACGTACCTGAGCCGATGGAAAGGTCCGTGGCGAGGAGGTAAAACGTGTCGCCCTCGTGGGAGCGTATGATGAAGGGGTCTCGTAGTCCCTTTGTGCCGTACGACGACTTTAGGACCGGTTGCCCGGCATTAAGCTCCTTCCAGCTGAGGGCATCGTTTCCGTTGCTAGCGGCAAAGAAGATGTTTTCGCCGGCGAGAGAACTGCCCGTGAAATAAGCAAACGCGTAGCCTTCATACGCATTGACGCTAGCTTGCCGGCGCACAATGGCGTCAATTCTTCGACTCTGCAACACGCCCTCCGCGTCAATCGTCGCAGTCAGGGTAACTTTGGCGTCTCCCAGTTGGCGTTTAACCCGGCCATCCGTCCCAACAATGTCCGGGTGGCTGCTGTTCCAGGAGATGGGCAACCCATTTAAGCTAGTCGGTAGGGAGAGATGACCGCGGACGTCGTCGATCTTGTGAAGCTCGATGTCAGCTAGGATCCGTTCGGCGCGCGCCGACAGCGCGTGTGGCGTGGAGCTTCCGGTTGGCGAGGCGTGGGTTAGAGAGGCGCCGAGCAGCGGGAGCAGCCCGGTAAGCCGAGAAATGACGCCGATCCTCATCCTACCTATCACAATCTTGCAACTTTCAATGTGTTCGTGCGTGTTGTGTTTTCTTCGCTTTTGAAAATTCCAAGTTAGAAGTCGACTTGTCTCTTTGCCGGCCAGTCCATTCACGCCCAATGCAGATTTCCATGCGCGGAACCTGGATAATATACCATATTGTTCCCGCCCGCACTTTATATGCCGTTTTTCCACGCCCTCGCGCCCATCTCCACGGTTGTATCGAAACCTGCATGGTAATCCCCGACGCAGTTGATTTCATCTTGTCGTGAAGCGCCCAAATTATCGTCCTGGGACTCGGGTCACGGGACGTCACATTGAAGATTGAAATTCGCATCATGGAATACGCTCCCTATTTCTCGGCCGTACTACCCTTCAACCTCAAACTGGGGCCTATAATCCCTTGATGAATGGTCAGGGTGGAAGGGACTCTTTACTAGGTTTTATCGTGATCATGGGTGCGGGGTTGTATAGCCGGGCCACTCACGTCGCACGGCGGCGTTGCGGCGATCCAGACTTGGTCGAGGGATTACCCGGGACGTCAGTGCTAAGGCGGGTCCTTTTGCCTGGAACCGGTGGCCTGCCCATTTCCGGAAATGTAAACTGATAGACGGGCACTTTTCCAACGCCTCGGATATATGCCCGACCCAGAATTCACCGGATACGTTGTAGGCGACGGAGACTCGCGCGTGCGGGGACCAGTCGGGCGACGCAGAGGCGGTCGTCATCTCGAACCTCGCGTATCTTGCCTCCCCTTAGTGCGCTTATAGCGGAGCGGCTGCAACCCCGGATTGTCGCATGAGGGTGGGGCCGAGGCGTTGCCTTGGAATATCGCATCACCAAAAGGCACTGATCGGCTTGTGACTAAAAAAGCAGATGGCGGAGTAATAGAAGATTGTCAGAAGCAAAAGGTTATGAGCGCTTTTATGCCGACGAAGTGTCGAAGTGGACTTCTTGTCAAATTCAAGCAAAAGAGAAAAGGATGCTGGTACATGAAGCTCCTGGAGGTTGGTTCTCCAAGTACTGCTGGAATGAAGGCGCAGGCGAGCTGTGGCGACACCTTGCTCTGTATTGCTACATGTAGTTATTGAGAGGGAGTTCGTGAGAGTTCAACTAACTCGGGCGACAGGGCTATGATCCGGTACCTAAGCCGATACTACGCATTGTAATCCGAAGGGTCGGCTTCGCTCGTGGCCGAAGCAGCATCTTCATGCGCGGGATTCAAATTGGCAGAAAATCGAGAAAACAACTCAAACTCCATTCTCTCTGCAGGCTTGGGACCATCTCTTATCTCCCCATCATATCCGAACCGGGCGGGAAATCGTGCTCAAACACGGGCTCTCCGGCCCCTCTCATGTTGGTCAGCACAGCCTGCCGGAAATGCCACCGGAGAAGTTCGGGAGCAGGCCTTCGCTCGTCGTTTAGGAGGCTAGGCTCTAGAAACGTGCCGGAGACATTCTTTGCGTTTGGCTGAAAGGAGATGATTTTATGGTTATCCTAGGATGAAAATCAGATGAACACTAGCCTAGCATATAAGACGAAGGGCGTGGACTCACATCCGGATTAATTGCGACGTTGAAACGATCAAAGACTTGACGTATATCGGACCGGAGGAGCAAGCCATTTTGCACAGAGTTGATCACTCCTCCCCGGCTAGGTGGGAGTGTGATGCAATGGCCAAAGTTGCACTCGTTCCACAACTCTTCGTACGCGAGGAAAGATGTGCGCCGCCTCGAAGCCATCCCAGAGATTAAATCTTGCGCCAAGATTCACCTCTTTTGTGATAACGCAGCCTCCGTCCCGTTGGCGTACTTGATTTCTAAAGACTTGAATTCTTGTCCCTGTATCAGGGGATGAAGTCCGAGTCATGGCCACCTCGTCTGATACCTCAATCTTATCGTCAGCGACGACAAAGTACTTGCCGGGCAGAAGTGGCTTTGCGTCTCGTGAGAGAATCTCTCCGGCTTCGTCCTGGAGAACATAGGTGCCCGTGATGATGAGGACGATTTCAATCATGGAGTAGAAATTATCGTTTGTGACGCCTGGGTTGAGGACGAGGCCTCCAAGTAAAGTCGCTGGATCCTTGCTATCATAAAAAAGATATCACGGGCGAGGGCCCGTACCCCAACACCCGGCATCTCGATGGCGGAGGCGCGTTCGTGAGGACGGCACAAGTGTCACGAAAGACGTGGAAGGAAATTCGAGCTAGTAGAATCCAGCGAGTCCAGGGAGGAAGGTAGACTAGCTTGGATCTGAGCCGTGGAACTGGGATAAGGTCCGTAGGTATCCCGATTGGATGAAACTCGTCAGCGCTAGTCGCTACAGCCGTGGTCGAAGGGTTTTAATAATGTCGAGAGAAACAATGATGATGTAGAGCGGACAAGGTTAGAGGCTAGAACTTGAAGTCTGAATGAGGTCACGTGTGATACCGAGAAGCAAATTTTAGTCAAATTGGAGATATATTTAGCAGCAAGTAAACCTCTAAACATCCCCAAAATCCCACAAATCATCTTTTGTGGAGGTTATAATCACCTCGGGGCAGGAAGTTGAGGAAGCAAAGTGCTCACCCAGCCGATGATAGCTGGAGCCTCGAGCGAAATCCTGACCCCCATCGCCGTTTTTGTCATTTTAGTGCTGGTCGTCGACGTATTCTGTTCGTGGTTGCCACTCAGGCTAAAGGGACCATAGGTTACCTTGCTATAAACATCATGGGACGAAGATGCAAGAGCTTCTTCGAGAGGGGCCGTGTCGCCGCGGAACTCGAGCTCCACATTCGCCGCGATGACGAAAGAGGTAGGGTACGACGGGAAGCAGCTGTACTGTTCCAAGCCCGTGCCGTCGCCGTCGATAGCCTTGATCAATGCCTGGGGGCCGGGGGATAAGTGCACGTTGCCGGGGACGTTGAGCTCAGAATCGGCAAAAAGCTCACCGTGAAGCCAGGATCGATTAATTTCCACGACAAGGGCTTCAAAGGAGATGTCCACGTCGCATCTGGATGCCGATTCTGAAGCCTTGCTGTAAAGCTAGTTAGTTTTAGATACGGAAAGTTTCATGGGCGGGATGAAGTGACGTACGCGTTGGCCTGCGGGTAGGTTTCGCTTAGCGTGGAGGATGAGCTTGCTGCTCTCTCGTTTTGAGGGGACGTGGGGATAGTAACCCTGATCTATAAGATTGTTAAACAACCAGAAAATAAAGAGATAGATTGAACAGTTGTACCTTTGTCCATGGTGAAGGGTTCTTGTCTTGCACGTCGTTACCACCATTCCGAGCTTTGGCCTTGCCAAGACACAAATCAGCCCAATTGGTAGGGTTGAGGGTAACCCCGGCCATTGCGTGGTGCCATCTGTATCAATGACAACGAGATTCCGGTACGCCTCTTTACTCGACTCGATTCGCTTCATGGCCGAAGATTGACCTGTGAGGTTAAAACAGTATTCAACCCTGAATTTGTACCCATTGGTAACCCCTGGACCTCATTGTTAGCTCGGCTTTGCGCGGAGGCATTTGTCGACGGATACTCACAATCCATGTACTTTGCCTGAATTCGATCCTTGTACTAAAGACATAGCAAAGTCTTCGTTAGCTTAAACTGTTGCCGGCCGCTTTTTCTTCGGCGAAGACAAACGCACATCGCGGCTGTTTTCTTGAAGCCATCCAAGGTAAAGCTGTTGAAACATTTTAGGTTCCAGTGGATGCCACTGTTTCAGGTCCTCTAGAATAAGAAGCGACACGTTCAATGTTAGGTCCGTCGTCCAGCGTAGGGCAAGTCGTCTGAGTAATTCACCTCTTGCTCGTTTCTGCGCCTGTTCCCATTCGCTCGCTGCCATGATCCACGCTTGCTGCTTCTTGGTGTACACGTCCATGACGGTCATGTCGGTATCGCGGTCCTTTGACGAGAGAAACTTCATGGCGGATGCGTATCGCTCTGCGCCTGAAGTCCGGCCGGGGCCCATTGTACCTCCACTCATGAAGGGATCCTCGGGAATGAGCATGTCGAGAGCGGCATTGTAGCTATGAGCCACGCTCTGGCCGGTGGGGGCCCTCTATCACAGATCCAATTCGTAAGTCAGTGCTTTGCTAGCACAAAAGATTGGTCGGGACTCACCATGACTTTGCTCAACGGGACCATGCCGTCCGTTAGTCGGGCCTCGCTCACCTTGACGCCATAGGGTGTTTCGGCATGCTTGCTTGGATTCCACCAGAACGGCCCAGACTCGCTGTCGAAACGTAAGCTGGGGATTCGCTTTGGGCTGAAGTAGCTTTCAACGAAGGGCTAGAGATGCAGATACGCACCTGCAGTTAAGCGCCGTGCCTGGACTTTGAATCGTCAATAGTTGATCAGGCGCAGCTGGTAGCGAGGCTTGGAGCGCGTCTCGGATTTTCTAAGCATCCATGCATGCGAGATGAGATTCTTGGCTCGATTTCGTGTTCTCTTGACGACCTACTTGAGAGACGGAAATAACTTGATCACCCATTTGAGCTGCTGCGTACGTCTATGAAAAGGGAAATAAAATACAGCGCCGCAATAGTCGGCGATACGATATCAATAAGCGACAATAACTCAAGCCGGTCGCCCGTTCCTTTGGGCCTCTCTTAATTACCATCATTGATCTCCCCGAGGGGTGAACCCCATCTTATAGTCTTCATTCATAGAAACCAGAACTGCTCTGTCAGGACTGGCGTTGTTTTAGCGGCACTCGCGACTGATCATAATAGGGAAGAAATAGCTAAGCTAATGAAGAATATTGAATATTTCGACCCACCGCGGTATTATTGGGGCTGGCTGTCATGGCGTAAGCGCCCAATTGCGGGCCGGTCCGGCGCCGGAGGAGTGGCACTGTCTTGGCTCTGTCAAGTCTGTCAGAGAATAATAGTCGCAATCGATATTGGAATGATTGTCCTCCTTGTTAAGGTACATTGGTACTTCTAGACGCGGGGTTCTCAGTGTCTTGAAAATATTCGCAAAGACAGCATCGACATGGAGCTTAGTAATTTGCCGTACGGACATACGAAAAAGCCGAAAAGTAAAGCCAACGATACAATGCCCGACAAAGGATTCGGAGAGAGTCTCTTGATTGGAAGAGCCAAGTTGATTGGATGTGCACATCCGCATGATAGAAGTCATGATATTGATACATGGATGTAACGTTCAGGTGCGAGGGGTTAAGAAGGAATCACAACTACTGTAGGCTCCCGTGGTGTCGCAGCATCTCGAGATGGATGGTGCTGTGCTCCTTTAGTGCTCCTTCCGTGCGACCACCAACAAGACAATATGTTGTCCTGTCCGGGATTCCAAACCCGGACGCACGTCTCCTCGCAAGGATCGGCCCCGACATGCAAACATCTTGTATCTCGGGAAACATTGAATACTCGGGTCGAGACATGCGTCCTGCCACGCTTCCCTGCGAAATGACGTGGGAAATCGTTCATGTAGCACAGTCCATTCCGCGACACTAGGCTCCAATGGCGATGTATACAGATCGGTGCCAGAAAGTAAACATGGAATCAGGTCGGGTCGCAATACGATAGGGACGAAAAGTGTGGCGCGTGGTAATTTTCTGTTTGTTGGTCATTCAAGAGGCCAGGAACAGTTCATAAGGCGTTTTCTTTTTCTTTTTCTATTTTCCTTTTATTCTATATTCAAGAGACTTGCTGCCATCGCCTCCGCATTCCCTTTGCGCAGGATCGGCGTTGTCACATCTATGGATTTCTTCAAGGCACTGCCACTGCCATAGGCGACGTAGACTTCAGCTATAGGTAGGTCCGGGAACCGCAGAGTTTCATTCGACAAAACGTGCATCGATGGAGCTGATCTTGAGGTCCCCGCGCCACCATTGAATCCTACGCACCCAATCATCGGAACCTGTCATGGGTTTGCAGAGTGTTACCGCATAAACGCGAGTCCGGTCCTATTCGACGGAATTCAGGCAGGAATGAAGTGGCAAGTCCTAGATCTGGCGACAGGCTTTCCCAAAAATTGATTTTTATCTCCGTTGGGTCACGGGGGCAAGGTTAGTTAACTCCCTTGTTTCTTTGTTTTGTTTTTCTTGAGAGTAGCGAGGAGTTGGACCTCGAATTTTATTGTTACTTGGACGAACGATGGCGGCGACCGGACCGAACAGTGGCGCGGAAACTACGCAGCAGGTCGCATCAAGTCCACAGACACACAATGCCGAACCAACATCTTCGCGAGCTACCCCAGATGTTAGTATCTCACCTAACGAACACCGAGCAATAAACCCAGAGGAATCTCACAACGAAAATGTGCCCCAACGCGCCGAGCCGCCGCCCCGATTCCCAGATGAAGGCAGGACAGGCGATCCCGAGCACATTGAAGATGGGGCCGGCAGCCAGGCTACTCACTCCAGCCATAGTCTCCTGCAGCCAACTGAGAAAACTCCCTATGGCTGGCGTCCTCGGTATCTACGACGGAGAGTGTTTGGTCTCTTCATAGCAGGATTTCTCATTCTTGCTGCCCTCATTGTCCTTCTATGGGCCATCTCGAAGCAGCGGAATGGGCTTACCGCGGCCAAGGAATCGCTCTACTACCTCTGGATGTTTAGCCCGACGATAGGTATGAGTCCCAGCACTCATTCGGTTTCCTACGTTGAGTTGAACTGGGCTAACTCACTGTAATCACAGCTTTTACGGTATTGCTATCTGTATGGACGCGCGTCGATTATCAAATCAAGCGATACATGCCCTGGATCCAACTAGCACACAGCACATCTCCCAACGCTCGTCGGCAGCGCGGCTCGCCGATTGATTCCAGGCGAGCCTTATTCCTGGACTACGCCAACATGGCGCAAGTCAAAGTGGCGTGGACTTCGTGGAAACACCGCGACCTCCTCGTGTGGGGCTCAACCATGCTCTCCTGGCTCTTTTTCGTCCAAATCACCCTGTCCACGGGATTGCTCAACCTCGAGGACGTGGCCATGCAGGAGACCACCGCGCTCAACGTGTATGACGCGTTCGAGCAGATCACGGGAACGGACCAAGACGTCTTGAACAGCAAGATTCCCTCCCTCATGATGAACGGCATGGCGATTCTCAACTTGTCGCTTCCGCTCGTCCACCACCTCGGCAACGCGTTTCAACGGTTCGGCCCTCGCTCGGATGCCGACTCCGCGTCCCTTAGTCAATATGCGTCGCTGGAGACCACGCTGGATGTGACGTGGGTGGACCCCATCTGCGAGCGGCTTGATGTCACGGCCGAACAATGGGATGAGGACGCGATGGCTAATTATTTCGGGCTGGACATTTCCTTTGATTCGCCTCACTGCGAGACGCACCGTCACATTATTAGTTCCGTGAACAAATGGGATGTGCCGCCGCTCGGTCAGAGCTACTACTGGGTCTACAACGAGAAAGGCAACTGCAAGTTTCCAGGCGTGCAGTCGGATTCGACGTCAACCATCATCTCCGCCGTGATCGAAGTGAATACCACCGAAGACCAGATACAGTACGTCGCCTCGTCCGCCTTTGCCTGCCAAGTCGCGCTCGTACTGGCAGAGCAAGTCCCCGTGACCGTCACCGACGGCTTGGACATCACAGCAGCCCTGGATGCAGCGACCGCGAGCAAGACTTTGGACGGAAACATCGTGGACCATATGAAACGGTTTCGCGGGGACGACCTGCGAGATGGCGCGGAACAGCAAATGCGTACAGGTTCGGATTACGTCGACGCGATTTTCCTCTCGCCGTACCGTCTCGGCGCACGGATTACCCCCGGTGGCGTTCCTTCGGTCCCGGAGCTTTTGGATGGTAGGTTGGAGGATCTCGTCAAGGCGTGGATCAGGGGTTCGGCTCTATACTCTCCCACTACTTTAACCGAAAACAGCTGGCGGAGCCAATAGTCGTCTCCGCAAAGGGCACTGTCTTGCGGCAAAGGCTTATCGTGAAGGAGTCTACCGCATGGTCCATGTTTGGGGTTTCAATCGTAATGACAGGACTTCTGCTGTTCATGTACGTCGAGGCGGCGAGGACCTCAAGTTTCTCGTCCTTTGTCACCCGGGACCCGGATTCCATTGCGGGTTGCGCTGCCCTTCTCGCCAAGAGCGAGCAGTTTCTTGACTCGCTCATGGGAACCGGCGATGCCAATGTAGCAGAATTGAAGAGGAGGCTACGGGAACGTACCGTACAACCCTGCTTCTACCGCCCGGACCGTTTCCCCAGGAGCACTTCCTCCTCGTCGATGAGGGCACCCCAGACTCTCCCGCCTCCGAGGGGCCGCGAACGTAGGCAACGCCAAGGAGAGCGGGCGTGGTTCGTATACTTATCGTCCATGGTCCCTCCGACGGTGGGTACGAGTATCTTCCCTAGTATTCATCGTCGGCCTCGGCGTGGCAACTGGCGTGATTTATCATCAATCCAACGTCGGAGGCGGACTTCTCAGTCCGGGGAGAATTCAGCCGTCCATTATTGGTGGTCTGTAGTGCCAACTCTGTTTTTCGAGGCGCTTGCCATCTACCTAAAGAGCTGCGACTTCAACATCCGGTTTCTGACGCCCATGGTGACTCTGCAAAGCGGAGAGGTCCATTTCGACGAGGCTGTGGGGATTTCGTACGCCAACGCCTTTGGCCCGGTCGTGCTCTGGAAAGCGCTGCGACACAGGAACTGGAACGTATTTCTCTCCAAAGTCATCGCTTGGCTCGTTACCCTGCTGCCCATCGTCACGAATGCTCTCTTCGCCGTTGAGATGGGAGAGGTGCGGCAGACTGTGCAACTACAGCAGCAAACCTGGTTTGCGGCGGACGATTCCGTGACCTCGTCGTACGAGGCTCCGTCTGCGATTGGCGGGATGCTGCTGGCGGACAAGGACGCCAACATGTCGTTTCCGCAGTGGACGTACGAGGAGTACGCGATTCACCGACAAGCCATTCTCCAGGGAGGCGAAGAACTCGTGGGCACGGTGCAAGCGTCTGTTCCCGCCGTAGCTGTTAGTCTGGAGTGTTCCTGGGTGCCGACCACGGCGACGGTGGGGTCGACCCCAACCCAGGCTCGAAACCGTCGGTGCTCAGCGTCAAGTACGGTGACGAGGGTTTGACGTGTTTAAGAAATATCAAATGCGAGGATCACACCTACTTTGGCGCGGTGCTGGGCGGTGAGGTGGAATCGTCCTCGTGCGGCAAGACCGGTCTACCCGCCACGAGCTATGTCTGGGGAGTCTGCGAAGGCAACGAAGTGACGTTCATCAAGGGCCTCAACTGCACCGAAGTAGCCCATGAGATAGATCTCGACGTGCGTTTTCTAGATGCGCAAATGCGTCTCGATACCATCGTCTACCCACCGACACCCAAGCTCGACACTCGCCGACAGAGTTCCTTCCACGGGGAAGCAGACAGCCTCTACAGCTTCATCGACTTTATCGCCTCCAGCCACCTAGGCCTCCCTTCGAATAGCGACCTCCACGGGTTATTCGAAGCCGTGACGAGATCTCGCTGGGCGGTGCCGCTGGAAAAGCTCGGGCTCGACTCGGCGAGCGAGGAGGTGGCAGCCGCTATCAGCAAACACCACGGCATCATCCGCGCGCAGACGCTCAACTATGACGGGCGGCCGAGCATGGCGCAGACACCCGTGATACGTCGTCCTTTCGACGAGGATGGCGACCTCCCCGCCCCGAAATACCCGCCTTTGACAGCGGATCCGCCTGCGCCGTTTGATGCGTCTCTTCGAACGGCGGAGAACAGACTCCTGCAGAAAAAGGGAGCGACGTGGACCGTCATCGCCATTCTCGCGGCGATTCTTTTGCTACAGGCGGCGTCGATTGTACTCACGGCACCAGTCACGCTGTATAAACCCCGGGAAGCATCAGCAGCATCGCCAGCCTGCTCGCCGATTCGTCTCTCTTCATGTACCTGCCCGATGACGCGGAGTGGCGCTCCGATGGGAAGCTGAGCAAGCATTTTGGCGGGGTGAAATTCCGTATCGGGAGGTTTCCTGCGATGGCGAATGCGGAGACGCCGATCGATGGGTCAGAGCACGAACAGGCGCTTGAGTATACTATTGGGATTGTCGAGGGAGAAGAAGCGATGGTGGGGATGATGGGGGACTTTAATGCGGATGCAACGGCCGAAAATACGCTAGGCCCTTCTGGGAACATGGACTCTGCGACTACTTTGCCTGTTATAGTCGTCGAGCATGCCCCGCGGCCGTAACCGAGGCTCTCAAGGGTCGCACTCAATCTACTCATGTCTTGATTCATATAATTTCTACATCTACTAATATACCCTTTGTGATTTCACGCCTTGTAGAGTTTAAACGGACAGCTCGTAGGACCTACTTCCGGCAGCTTGGCGTAGACAATCTCTCCCTCCTGATCCCAGTCCGAGCACTTGTCCAGGATCGTCTCGAGATACACTCGAATCATCATTCTGGCGAGACTGGCTCCCGCACATCGGTGGATGCCCTTACCGAAGCCGAGATGGGTGCTAATGTTGTCGCGGCCGAGGATGAACTTGTGAGGGTCGGGGAACTGGTCAGGGTCCCTATTCGCCGCCGAGTATACCACGGTAATGGGCTCCTCGGGGGACCTTGACTTGCGAAATGACCTCTTCCTTGACGGCCGTGCGGGAGAAGCCTCGATACGGTACGTGGAGACGGATAAACTCTTCAATGGCTGCGGGGAGAAGGGAGCGGTCGTTTCGGAGCTTGTTTTGGAGTTCCTTGTCTTCGCTGAGATGCTTGGTGATGGCTGTGATGACGATTGTCGGGGCCACCATGGCGATGATGACAATCTGACGGATGCACCCACTAAACACAAAAAACATTGTTAGCTTTTCCTGAATAGATGGGGACGTGAAGTTGTAACTGACATGATGTGTTCTTCGTCCAGAGGATTCCCGTCACTATCCCGTTCAAGAAGCAGGCTCGAAGCCGGATCAATCTCCGGATCCAGCGGCTTCTCCTTCCTCGCTGCAACAACCCTATTCGCAATACCGTACCAGGCCTCACTCCACTTCTTCACCGTAGCCCAGTCCCCCGTCCGCCAAGCATACACAAAGGGGCTAAAACTCTCCACGAGCAGCGCGCTGTCCTCCTCGTCCAGGTTCAGCCACTCCTTCTCCACCCAGCTGGTCCACTTGGCGGCGAAATCCTCGTAGATGTCCCCGCCGCCCACGTCGATGAGCGCCTGCAGCTCTCGTTCGCAGTGCCCGCGGATGATGGGTTCTAGGCGCCGCAGACGGGCGGGCTTGAGGGTGCGGTCGACGGCGAGTCGGTAGGGTTTGTGGTTCTCGCCGTCGAATTTGAGGGGGCGACGGATGCCGCGGGGGTCGGCGGGGACGACGGCGCAGAGGTAGGAGATGAATTTTTCGTTGTTGGATGCTACTTCTTTGACGTCGTCGTATCTAGACAGGGCCCCAGAGGTAAGATCTTAGTAAATTGTAATGCCACGACCCTCTCCCAAGCACGATACATACTTTGTCAAGATCCAATACCCGTCGTGCGCGTCAACGTGTGCGACGGGGCACTGTCTACGGAGATGATCATATTCGCGGTAAATCTTGTCCGGATCGTTGCTGTGAACAATGGCACTGTTGTTGACATCCCAGTCCGCGGGAATGTCTACTTGGGCGGCAGCCATGATGATGGGGGTGGGAACACAAGACGTGCGTGACTGGCGGCTAAAGGATCCTTTGAAGTCTGGGCATACATACCAGCTTATATATAAAGGCTAGATCAATGGTAGACTCGGCAGGCGCATCTTGGCGAGAATAACGCCAACGGGGAACGGGTAGACGGGGAGCGGACGCAGCTTGGCTGAAGCTTATGACGTTGAACCTGGTCAGCAATGTTCGCCATTGGCCCCCTCTCAATACCCCAGACCGTTGCCGAGAAAACCTCCCGCCCCTCCTCTTTTTTTTGAAACCAACGCCCGAGAAGCCGGGCTAGCTCGCCTGCCTGGGGCATCTGGGGACATGTAGATATTCGCAGGGAATAAGCCTCGCGCTTGACTTCCAAGGTTGTTTTCCCCACATTGCGGGCTTCCCCACATCCCCACACAATCCCCACGTTACCTTAATCCTTCGACTTTCCCCGGGTTTGTCCCCCTATTAGATCCAATACTCCATGCCCGACACAGAAATTGATCGACATGCTTCGTGGAGATGAAGGTCCAAAGCAAGACGGAGAGGGCAAGTGCAGCGATGCAAGAAGGATCACGTCGCTCGGCTTGAGATAACCGGATCGCGCTCGGCAAGTACAGTCGGGAAGGTTAGCCTGGGTTGTTCCCTCTCTCCTCGATGGAGGCGCACGTTTTGGTTGGCTTCGAGGATGTAGAGAGCAGGAATGGGACGAAGATGGTACGGAACGATCCTTGAAAGACCGCTCCTTTGATTTTAATCGGCAATTCGATACTGTAAATGTCCGGGAGCGACGAGGGCTCGACCGTTATAGTTGGACAGGTGATTGGCGCGATGGTTGGATTCGATCCCCGTGGGGTAATGTAGATATAACATGGACTCCATCCAGCTCGGTGACAATGAAAATCTTAATTCCCAGCAACTCGCCCTCGACACGAGTCTCTTTTCCCCTCTCACGCCTTTACTTTCACCGATTCGACCATGGATGATAAAGAAAAGGCATCCGTTGGCCTGGAGCCAGCCTCCACCACTGCGCAGAGAGTGGGCTACTACCCAGCCACTCCTGAGCAAGAGCGCCTGGACAATCGCGTCAATCTCAAACTAGACTGCATCGCCGTCTTCCTCGTCGCGTGCGGCTTTCTGGTATGTAACCTTGCCTACCTTTACACAAAAACACCGTCACGTTCTCCTCAGTCAGTCTAACAGAGCACACATAGTTCCAAGGCATCGACAAGGGCAACATTGGCAACGCAGCCACAACAGAAACCTTCGTCTCCGACACCGGCATCCTCAAGACCGATGTCTCCGACTCCGTCTCTCTCTTCTCCGCCACCTACGTACCCTTCATGCCCATATCCCTAGCCCTTGCCTACCTCCTCGGACCGGGCCGCTGGATCCCCATCATGATCCTCGGCTGGGGCGCCGTCACCCTCGCCCAGTGCGCTCTCCACGGCCGCGCCATGCTCTTCGGCCTGCGTCTCCTCCTCGGCGCCTTCGAGGCCGGCTACGTTGCCACCTCATACTACTACGTCGGTACCCTGTATCCCGCCTACATGGCCGGTTTCCGCATGGGCCTCGTCTCCACCAGCTTCACCTTTTCCGGCGCCTTCTCCGCCCTCATCGCCTACGGCATCCTCCAGCTCGACTCCCCGCTGGGCCAACTGGCAGCTCATGTTCATCATTCAGGGCTCCATCACCCTCGGCATTGGCTTGGCGTGCCTCGCCCTGCCGACCCGCCTTAGCAAGACGTGGTTCCTCAACGCCGAGGAGCGCGCGCATGCCGTTCGCCGCATGGAGCTGGACACTGCCATCATGGACGGCGCGGGCGGGCATGCCAACGCCGAGGGCAACGTCCGACGCATCCGCTGGAAGAATATTGCCACGGCGTTTCGGGATTGGCGCAAGATTCTCATCGTCGTCTGGACGGCGTGTGCCACCGTCCCTGCGTATGGTTTCGCCATCTTTCTGCCCCTCATCGTGCAAGGTATGGGCTACAAGGGCGTCAGGGCCAACTTGATGAGCGTTCCGCCGTTTCTTGTCGGCGCCGTGGCCCTCATCACCTGGGTCTGGCTGTCCGACCACTTCAAGCAGCGATCCATCGTGGCCTCCACGGCCATGTTCATCTCCATCATCGGCTACATCATGATGATTGCTAGCCACGACGACAAGGTCCGGTACGGATCCCTTTTCCTCATCATGATTGGCGCCGGCAGCATCAACCCTCTCGGCGGCCTGGATCAACGACAACACCCCAGACAAGGCAACCCGCTCCATCATGATGGGCATCTACGGCTGGAACAACGTCGCGGGCGTCATCGCCGGCCAGATATACTCGTCAAAATACGCTCCTTCGTACAACACCTCGGTCAAGGCAACCCTGGGGATCGTGGTGTTGGGAGCGACCGGATTCCAGGTCTCGCGGTTTTTGTATGTGCTCGAGAATCGGAAGCGCCGCCGAGAGATTGAAACTTGGACCGAGGAGCAGTTTGAGGAGGAGAAGGCAACTGCGGAGAGGCAGGGGCACAACAAGAAGTATTTCTTGTTTGGATATTAAGTATGAGTTGCGGGGTGCTGGAAACGGCACATGGTATCCTTGTATCGTGAATAAGTTCCACCTGGAGAGGAGACGCCACATTCTTCCCATAAGATACATTGATGTAGCTCATAGTCATGGAACTAAGCATCCAATACCAACCAATCACCCCTAACCCTAAGTATCCCATAATTGTAGCGTCCTAGGTTGTTAGGTTGTGCCCGTGTCTGCTGTAGAGGGGAATGGCAGAAAACAGAAAAAGGTCCGAGTGGCGCTGCACGAATCAACAAATCATTTCGTCGATAGTCTCTCTATTTTTGAGCTTCATTACAATAGCTAAGGTCCTTTGCTAGTGATCCAGTTGAGCAGCAGTAGAGAGCGCCTATAGATACAACCGAGGACGTCATCCACCACCTTTTAAGTTGGGTGCAATCCCTCCTCCTGCCGCCACAAGCCACGCCTCCCAACAAAGTTGCAACTTCCACAACTGTCAATGATTATGAGGGATATTTATTTAATGGACGGAAGCCTAGGTTAGGCAGTTTCCAGGTACCTGATCGTAGCGGGTTTTGAAGAGAGCGTGTTTGACCAATATCTCCCAGCCTTGCTTGTTCCAAGACGAAGACGGCGTGTGTCCTCCGCAGTCCCACTAGAGAGAAGCACTTTACTGGCTTAGCAAAAGTCACTTTCTTAGGGTTTGGTAAGACCGATGGAGACTATGATTTATTCGTTTCCATGTACCGCCCGTCCTCTCTGCAAAGCCGCGTGTTACTCTTCAGACAGTGCTTAAAGGATCGGCGATTCATTGAGTACGAGGTGGAGTTTACCTGACAATTAAAAAAGAACCAGTGACGCTTATACGAAGGACGGCGGCGAGATCTTGTTTTCTTGTTTTTCTTCTTCTCGTCCGCCGTAGAATGGAAAACCCCGGTTCCGTCCAAGAGAGATACCTTAGTCTGTACCAGCCTCGACAGCCTTGAAATCAGCGACGGGGCTCTTGGCTCCCTTCTCGGAGCTCTCCTCATCGCCCTGGCTGGCGTTGCCTTCTGAAACCTCACCTCTCTTTTTCTTCTTTTCTCGTACGACGAGGTACTGGACTCCCACGGCGGCGATGATGGAGGCGATGACGAGGGCGAAGCTGGTGGGGAAGCCGTACCCTGAGGAAGGAAACTAGATTAGCTTCTGCGGCGGGTTTATGCGAGGCATGGCTACTGTGGTATAAGGGTAAAGATGAAAGGAACTTACTGAAGTCGGGCGCCATGGTTTGCGGGAAGATGAGAATGGGCAGCCAAGCCACGACGGCGTAAGTCATGCCGTTCATGCTGCTGGCTACGATGGCGCGTTCCTCGTTGTCCTCACGGCAGACTTCCATAGCCCAGGCGAAGCTGTATCACTCGTCATTAGATCTTGATTGTCAAAACATTCGAATCGGATGCAGACTTACAATACTCAGGCATAAGCTGGACGCCGATGAATAAGAATGCAAACATTTTGACTGCATTGCCCGCGGGCCAGACTGCGAGAATACCATTGGACACCAAGCCAAGCGCCTACACTCACGTATTAGCAACTTTTGTTCGCAAGAGTGGAAAAAGACTGAAAAAGGCCCAAGACGGTGGCGGGCACAACTTACTAGTGGAATCACGACAAACAGGAACCTGCTCCCCGTGTAATCGGACAGGTAGCCCCAAAGAACCGTGGCGAAACCAGAAATGATCCATGTTCCGGTGGGAATGACGTTGCTCTGCACGACGCTGTATCCTTCGGACTTGAGCCAAATGGCGAAGAAGCCGGCAGACATGGACGAGCAGCCGTAGAGCTAACAGAAAAAAGGCAAAGCCAGTGTTAGCTAGATGCCATTGAAAAAATACTCAAAAGTGAGAACTTACGACGTAGGCAATCACAAAGGCGTACCATCGCCATCGGGTGAGGACGCGCCCGACATGCCTGAAGCTGAGCTCTCCAGGGGCGCCGTTCCCTGCTTACGAACTCTCTCCAATGCCAAAGCGCGCTCTTCCTCGGTGAGGAACCAGGCCGTGGTCGTGTAGGGCGTATCGGGCAAGAAGAAAAAGGTGGCGATGCCCACGGGTACAGTCATGATCTGCATCATTGATTAACACGGCTCATGTCAAGCACAAGCGCTCGGCTTGATTCACGGCAGATTTCTTTAAAACTTACTCCGCAGATGATGTAGAGCCACCGCCATCCGGCGAGGCCATTGACGCCGTCCAAATTAGTGTAAACCGCCGCCTGCAGGTAGCCGGAGAACGCGGTGCCGATGGGCGCGGTCATCATAAAGATGGCAGTGCGCTTGGCCATCTCGGTCTTGGTGTACCAGCCTCCGATGAGGTAGACCAGCACGGGGGAGAAGGAGCTCTCGAACAAACCGACGAGGAAGCGGAAAGCATACAGCTGGTTCGAGTTGGTGATTCCGGCCTGGGCAAACGTCCAGACGCCCCAGCCGACTTCCATGATGGCGAGCCACAGGGCGGGGCGAACTTTCTGCACGATGAGGGTGCTGGGCACCTGCATGATGGCGTAGGCAATGGTGTACATGGTCATGGCGTAGGTGTACTCGTTGCCGTTCATCTGGAGATCCTCCTTCATGCCCGAGACGTAGGCGTTCATGAGGTTGGTCTGGTCGAGGAATTTCATGAAGAAGCCGAGACAGCCAATCACGAGGATGGACAGGTCGAGCTTGAGCAGGAGGCGCAGCTCGGCCTTGCTCTTGGTGTGGGAGTCGGCATCCCAGATCCAGGAGCGGAAGGATACCCGATTGGGCTTGGCGATGCCCGTGTCTGCCATGGCGGGGAGTGAGGTGGGTAGAATTCAACCCAGGGCAGGTAGGGAAATGGTGTGCGTGCGACGATGTGCCAAATGTGGGCGGAGGAGAGGGGATAATTGAAAAAGAGGCAGCGGATTCTCTTGGATATTCTTGAATAGAACCAAAAGAAAAATCGGACAAGACACTTGCACTGCCAAACACACACCACAAGGAGTCTAGACGATGGTGGTTGAATTAAAAAGTTGGAAGCGAGAAAGGGCTGGATATTGCTCCGTATTATAATCGAACTGTCCCGCGACCGGCCGAACCAGACTCTGTTGCCAGGCCTTTGCCCCCTCCCCGGAAGACGTTGTGTTGGTTGGTGCAAAAGGGACGAAATATTGATAACGACATCGAGCCCTGGTCTCTACGAAAACGCAAGGAAAAAAAAGCTGTCGGACTTCGCACTCCGATTTGGCACTCTGGCTGGTGTCGGCATGGCGCTATCAGTTGTGTTGGGGGCAAAGGGCGGGCGGGGTCCTGCCCATGTATTCCCTCTTCCCTGCACGACTTCCCCACGCCATGGCTTCGGTGTCGCTAGATGTGGCCAATCACCGACTCGCGAACCCGGCCTCGAGGAGATCCGGGTTTGTTTGCCTTGGAGCACGAGGACGAGGGGGAGATGGACGTTAGAAATCAATTAAAAGACATGTGCTGCCAATGCTGTTCATCTTGTTTATCACGTGGACGGCCAGGTTCCGGTTTTTGGGGGACGGAGAGGGAGAGGATCATGGATTCCAGGGTTCGCAGAGGGGTGCCTGCCTGCATTTGACTACGACGCGGCGGCAGATGGAAGCGAGTGAGTACATGTACAACTCGCCGCGATCTTGCGGGACAGGACATACAAGGTGCGTGCCCGGGACACAACCCCGGTACGCCGGCCGTGTCTTTTTTTTTATGCATCTTGAATTTTCTGTCGTAGCTACCCAAGACTCCCTTTCCTACGTGGTGACTCAAGGAACGCACTGGTTCAACGCCCTGATGGACTGCGCTCTTCTACGGCTAGATACAAAAAAACCGCTTCTCCGGCACGCTCTTTGCCATGTATTCCTAGCAAACACATGTGCATCACAAGTATACGTTTAGGCTTTGCTCTTAAACAAAAGCTGTGTGGCGAAATTCGGAAGCGTAGCATTATCGTGATACGTCTCTGCCGGTCGTCTCTGCTCCTCCTTGGCATACTTGATATCGTACGTCGTCAGCAGATGCACAAGAACAAGCTTCAGGGTATCAGCGGCGTAGTTCCGCGCCGGGCACGCGTGGAAGCCCGCGCCAAACGTAGTCTCCACGTTGGACAGGCTCGCGAACTGGAACTTGTAGGGGTCAATGGTCTCGCGTTTGCGGAGGAATCGCCAAGGATCAAATGTCTCTGGGTCTTCGTAGAACTCGGGGTCGGTCTGCGGGCCGCTGTGGAGGATCTGAGCCATTGTGCCTTTGGGGAGGTGGAGGCCGTCGCCAAAGGTGAAGGGTACGCGAGCCGCACGTGTGACGCGTGCTAGACAGTGTTAGCTTTGGTCCGAAAGAAAAAAGGACGAGCCTTTTAAAAGAAAACGTACCGTGTCCCATAAAGTGAAGCCGCTGACTTTCTTTCATAAAGCTATCCAATTTCAAGAGCTTGGCCACGGCAGGCCGGGTCCAGCTCGGGTACTCGTTGGTAATCGCCGCAATCTCATCGAGGATTTCCTTCTTCGCATCTTGACGTCTATCATCGAGCAGGTCATACAAGATGGACAGGGCAATGGCGGAACTGCTATGGATCGACGCCACGGCCAAGAACAGCTCGTGCTCCGCCAGGATCGCCGGGGTCAGCTTGCGGTTTTGCGCATCGTAATGCTCCATGAGCCACTGCACGCCATCGTTGAACTGCGGCCTCTTTTCCCTAGGGATGCGCGATGCCTCCGCCGGGTGGCGAGCACGGGGGTGAGCAGCTCCGTTGCTCGCTTCCTATCGGCCAGGACCGTTTTCACGGCGGGGAAAAGTACCGTGCGGCCCAGCGCGTGTAGGCGGGCCACGAGGCGCGGAGGGCGTGGGCGGCTTCCATGGACTTTTGCGTGAAGCTGATGCAGATGCCGAGCCATTCCTCGTTTCTGCCGAGTTCGGGGCCGGCGATGACTCTGGCTGAGAGGCGTGCCATGACGAAGGCGAAGATGGGGTAGGGGATTACAGGGGTCCAATCTTGGATTCATCTTGTTAGTGAATCGGGGGAAAAAGGACTTGTTTGGTCGGTTGAACTCACCTGGGGTTCGCGGAATCATCTTGTCGAAAATTACAGAGCATTCATCCTTGACCCCGGCAATAATGGCAGCTAGAATTGGTACAGGAGTCAGCGATCGCGTCTAGGGAGGCCTGTTTTCATCTAGATTCAGTTACTTACGCAAATTGCGGATCAGGTCCGTCCGCATAACGTGCGACGCCTCCTCCGTGACTTTGGCCATGCCGATTTCATTTTGAGAAAAGAGCTGGCATTTTTTCCCGTCAGTAAACTCAACCAAGAACAACCAATCCACTACGCTATTGCAACAGGAATGGAAGCGAGACTAACCAATTCTGAAAAATACGGAAAGCTGAGCTTGGACTCGTGCGCGGTCTTGAACTGATCCAAGTACTTGAGTGGCAAATACACCTGCGGACCGAGTTCGTCGATGTAGTTGCGCATGGCAAATGCTTGGCCATGTTTCAAATACTGTAATTTGTGTAATTTTGTACATGCAACGCCATTAATACTAGTCTCTTATCAAATTTGTGTTGGTGGCGTTTTTTGGGGTTACCTTTTCGTAGCCAAGCTTCAGCAGCTTGGTGCTCTCCGCTACATATCTCTGCCTCGAATCATCACCATCTTCAAATTTCAGAAACGGCAACCTAAGCTCTCGCGAGGCTCTCCATCGCCGATAAAGTCCAAGCAAGGCAGTTGCAGAGACCGCGATGAAAATAATGGCTCGTGTATCGAGGAGGTCCTCGGGTAGAAGTTCGTTGAGCATGGTGTTCGAAGTGGCTCCGTTCCCCCTTCTCAAAAAAGCTGTGATTAGCGAGCAAGTTCGGGAAATGAAGATTGACGAGGTTGGTGTGTCGTGTGCCCTTCCCTTGTCTAGCCAACCCTCTTTGATCGGGAATACCCATCCAACTAAAGCTCACCTATGAAGTCCATTTCCAGGAGATGGACTACACTTGTGATACCAGGTCGGCCCCCCCCTCCTCCTCATCTTCAGCATTGCAACCCCGATCCGGGCTAGGCTTGTGGGGGCCGGTCTCCGGAAACCTTGAATCATCGTGCTGGGGAAAGTGAGAGGCGAGTTTGCCATATCGGAGATGAGTCTTGGCGCAGTGCGGGAACTAATCTCGAAATAGTCAAGCGGTGGTGTCAACGGCAGCAACGACGCAGGGCGTTCAGCCAACCGGAGTCGCTTACATATGCAGGGCGCGTCTCTTCTCCGATGGCTCCATCCAATCGGACTCGGCCTTTGACTGCCTTGATGACAAAATCGTCTCCGGTACATTGAGCCAATCGGAGCACTGGATTTGGATCTACGATTTGTGATGCTTCTCGGCCGTGCTCCGATGGCAGTAGGGCTGGCTGGCATCGGTCGTGCTTGCCCAGTGATTGTAATCCCCCTTCTTCAGTTGAGCTTCCCAATTAGCTAATCTGCTCTAGCAGCATCGTCCTCTCTTTCTCATTCCAAGCATCTTTAATTTATTTTTGTTTCTGCTGCAAACTATTCTTCTTCACGAGTTTGCCTGCCTGCTTGCTTGGATTCATCGCGGTACACACCATTTAGACCATGGCGACACAACCACCCCCAGAAACGGCCAAGGCCCTTGACGCCACGGTCCTAGAAGCCAAAGAGCCCTCCGTTTCGTCCCAGGACCTGTCCACGACCGAAAGCAGCGGGAAAACCGTCTTCGACAACCGCACCGAGTCCATCGCGCCCACGGCGGACGAAGCGCAGCCGGCTGCTTCCACGACCAAAGAATCCGCCGACGAACCCGCGCCGGACGAGTCCGCTGAGAAGCAGGTCTACGACTGGCGCTTTTATGCCATTTTCGGCGCGCTGGTGGCTGCAACCCTCCTAAGCGCGCTCGATGGCGCCATTGTTGCCGTCGCGCTACCTACGATTGCGGCGACCCTTGATACGGGACCTGACTATGTATGGGTGGCCAATGTGTATTTTCTTACTGGGTAGGCTTCTCTCTATGCCACGGTAGCTACTCAGCTCCACTAGTCAACCTCTTTTTTCCTGCCTTTGTCTAAGCTGTTGCATCTTTTCTTTCCTACGATTGCCATAATTATTTTAAATGTGGTTGTCTTTGCTGGTGAGGGTAAATCGTGTTACTAATATATACGTGATGATTGCAGAGCCGTATTCCAGCCTCTCTTTGGCCAAATGTCCGACCTCTGGGGCCGACGATGGGTCTTCATCGCCATCCTAGCCATATTCGTCCTCGGCAGCGGTCTTTGCGGCGGCGCCAACTCTTCTGAAATGTTAATCGCCGCACGTGCCGTCCAGGGCATCGGCGCCGGCGGCATCAACATGATGGTCGACCTCATCGTCTGCGACCTCGTGCCCATGCGCGACCGCGCCAAGTTCCTCGGTATCCTCTTCGCCATAATCGGCATCTTCACCGCCGTGGGACCCCTCATCGGCGGCGCCCTCGCCCAATCCGGCCAGTGGCGCTGGGCCTTTTACCTCAACCTGCCCATCGGCGCCATTTGCATCGTCGTCACCTTCCTCTTCCTCCACGTCAAGAGCCGCGTGGACGGCACTTTTCTCGGCAAGGTGCGCCGCATCGACTGGGGCGGCGTGACGATTTTGACCGTGTCCTGCATCGCCGTCATGTATGCCGTCACGTACGGAGGCTCGCTCCGCTCCTGGCAGGATCCCTCCGTGCTCGCCCCCTCGTTGTGGGCCTCGTCTTGTTGTTCGTCGTGTTCGTCCTGTACGAGGGGTCGCCGTTTGTTGCGGAGCCCGTGACGCCCTATCACTTGTTCGCCAACAGGACGTCGGCCGCCGCGTTTGCCATTACCTTTTGCACTCCATCATGGGTCTCTACAGTGTTTACGTCTTCGCGCTGTACTTCCAAGCCGTCGTCGGCGCTAACCAAACCCTGAGCGGCGTGTATCTGATGCCCACCGTCATCGGCTTCCCCGTCTCCGTCTTAATCGGTGGCACGCTGACGACAAAGTTTGGCCGCTACCGGCCCATCCACCTCGTCGGCTTCGCCTTCATGACCTTGGGCTGCGGTCTTTCCTCCATCCTCGGCGTGAATTCTCATCCGGCTCTGTGGGTGTTTTTCCAGCTCTTTATAGCCATTGGCAACGGCCTACCCATGGCTTGCATCCTACCTGCCGTCCAAGCGCGGCTGAAAGAGGCCGATGCCGCTCTGAGCACCGGCACCTGGGCGTTTATCCGGAGTCTCGGTGTGATTTGGGGCGTGACCATCCCAGCCGCCGTCTTTAACAATAGGTTTGACCAGCTGCTCCACACTATTGATGACGAAGAGGCGCGCAGGCAGCTGAGCGGCGGCCAGGCGTATGCGCACGCCACCGCGGAACTCGTCAACTCGTTTGGCGGTTCGGTGTCGGACCAGGTGAGGGAGGTGTATGCGCAGAGTATCCAGAGAGTATGGCATATTGCTATTGTATTCGCCGGGGCTAGCTTCCTCTTATCGTTGGTGGAGAGGGAGATATCGCTGCGCAAGGAGCTGGAGACGGACTTTGGGCTGGAGGAGAAGAAGGTGCTCGACGACAAGGTAGCTCCGTAGGTCTGAATGCAAGACCTTGTTCAAGTTTCTGCAAGAAAAAATGGTCAAGGTGGTTTCTAGCACATTATTGATAATCGTCCTTTCTTTTGTATTTTTGCATTTTATCTATCATATAAAAGCACTAGGCATAACTAGCTCGGTTTCAATTCATTGCACACGGTTTTTGGATTGTAGGAGAGTAACAATATAAAACTAGAGATATTCATGTAATACAATAAAACCTATACCAAAAAGAAACAAGAACCCGAATACGCCAGAAGTAACAAAAGAACTACATGAAAACCATTACTCCTTGACAAACTTGGGAATCAACAACTGCCCCTTGGCAGCCCTTCTCAGGAACAACGCCAGCAAATAGTTCAGCCCAGCCTGTTCCGCACGATCAACCCATTCCGCAAACGACAAGACCTCAAACGCCTCGCCCGTGCCAAGCTCCATGATGGCCTGCATCTCGCCCCCGCTGATTTCAATCTCCCCGACTGGAACAGGTATCGCACCCCGCCGCCCTCTTGACCGCCGCCCAGCACCGCGCGCACGATGTCGCGCCCGACCGTCTGCACCGACACAAAGTCGAAGCCGCCGTTCCATTCCGTCGTGTCCGGGATCGCCTTGGTCGCCTGCACGTACTTGGTGATGTTGCTCATCAGGTCCTGCTCGCTGGTATCCTCGCCCGTGACGCTCGTAGGCCGATGGATCCAGACGGGGAGGTCGAGTGCCTTGGCGGCGCGTTCCACGAGTACTTCGCTGACCCATTTGGAGGCTACGTAGCCGTCTTCCACGGCGGCGCGTGCTGATGCGGGGGTAGTTGGCGATGGACTCGGGGCCGAAGCTTGTGCGGCCGGCTTCGAGCGCGAGACGGGCTACCGTGGCGGAGGAGACGAAGTGCAGCGGTAGTCGGCGGGAGGCGGCGAGGCGGATGAGCTCGCGCGTCGATGCGACGTTGACGAGTCGGAGGGATTGGTATGTTTTCAAAAAGGACACGTCGGCTCCGGCGTGAATGACTGCGTCGACGCCTCCTTCGTCGCCGAACAAGAGTTTGGCATTCTCTTCGGAGAGCCCTAGGCGCGGGGCACCCAGATCGCCTGAATATACCGCTACTTTGTGGTGAGTGAAAAGACTGGCGGGAAGGTCGAATTGATTCTTTCGAACTGCGAGGCAGTACACCTTGGAGACGCGATCGTCGGCCAAGAGTCTGCGCAGGATCTCTCGTCCCACGAAGCCGGTGGCTCCAGTGAGGGCGACTCTCTGGACTGATCGGTTGTCTATCGGGGATGCTGCATCACTGCGCTGGATATCAGACGGAAGCGTTGCCTCTTGCTCCCAGTCCACTGTCTCGACTGGTTCGTCCACCGCCGCGCCGACGTCCCGAAGCGACGCGGCCATGGCTCCCAAAGTACTGCTCTGGAAAAGCTTGTAGAGCGAAATAGACAGATTGAGCCTCTCCTTGATGAGTCCCTGGAGATTGATGAGCGAGAGCGAACTGCCGCCCACGTGGAAGAACTCGGAGGCTCGGTTGATGAAGTGACGGTGTGCGACCCCCTCGGGAAGCGTGGCTTCCCAGAGTTGACGAAGCGTCACCTCAAGGGGAGTTAGTTGTTCGCCATCCGGCGTCGAGGCTGGGGCTTCAGTTTTGGAGGCGTTCGGAAGCGGCCAAGCGTCGATTGCGCGACGGTCGCGCTTGTGAGAGCTATTGGTAGGAAGGTGGTCCACTTCGACGGCGACAACAGGCTTCAAGTACTGCGGAAGCGGTAAATTGCGCGGAAGCTCCTCGAGAAAGCGCGCCTTGTCCGCCGGCGAGGACCCGCGATCGGCGAGCACCACGAAAGCGACCAGATATGGAATATCCGAGTCCGCGCTCTTGCGGGCCGAAATGGCTACCTGGTAGACGTCCGGCGCGGCTTGGAGGATCGTGGCCTCGATGTCTTGGACGTCAACGCGGACACCTGCCAACTTGACCTGTGTGCTGCCTTCAATCCTGCCCTGTAGGACAAGCCGGCCGTCGCTCGTTAGGAAACCGCGGTCTCCTGTGCGGTGCGCTCTTGTCCAGCCCTTTGACTGGAAATAGGCGCTGGCGTGCTTGTCCGGTACGAATCGCTCCGCCGTCAATGTCTCGTCGTTTAGGTATCCTTTAGCAATCGCGGCGCCGCCGAGGATGATTTCCCCGGACACGCCGACTGGCACTGCGTTGAGGTTCTCGTCTGCGATATAGATGGAGCCATTGGGAGTAGGTGAGAGTGGGGCCTTGGGGCTCCCCGCCGCATCCTCCGTGTTAATGACATCAAGAGCGAGTTTTCCGTGTGCACTTGTAATGGTGGCCTCGGCAGGCCCGTACGCGTCAATGACGTTCAAGGTCGGGATGGCGAGAGCCTTCAACTCTCGGACTTGCTGCTTCGTAATGGGTTCACCCCACGTAAAAGCGTGGCGCCACTGCGATTTGCGCAGCAGTTCCGGGTTCCAGTGTCGCGCCCAGGTTAGGTATTCGGTCGGCGTGGCGCCCGTCACGGTGATGCCCTCGTTGACGATGAGCTGGGAAAGAATGGCGGGGTCGCCGCGCGCTTGGTTTCCGACGATGACGACGGTGCTGCCGATGCCGAGCGCGATAATGGTTTGCTGCAGGGACACGTCGAACGAGTAGGCTGCCTGGTTGAGGAACACTTCCTGGCCTTCCTGGACATCCCAGGTGGGAGGGACCACGTCGGCGTAGTTGGCGATGCTGGCGTGGGAGAGGATGACTCCTTTGGGCACGCCAGTTGAGCCGCTAGAGTAAATGATGACCGCGGCGTCTCCAGGTGCCGCTTGATTAGGAGTGCTGATTGAATCGGACGTGGAATGCACGTCGGAGACGTTGATAATGGTGGGAGGAGCCGGGAAACGTTCAGGTTCGGTGACGAACGCGTCGCTCTCCGTGTGCGTGTCGACCAAGATGGCCACCGGGCGGGAATCCTTGACGACAAGAGATAGTCTATCCGAACCGACCTTTGGATCGAGCGGCACGTATGCGGCACCGACGCGTAGAATGGCCAAGAGAGGTGATCCAATCTGCAATGGAAGCTTGGAATACCCCCACAGTAGAACGGCTATCGGCGCCGACCTCAAGCAGCCGTTGGGCAATATCGTTGACGCGCGCAGCAAGCTCGCGGTAAGTCAATTCTTTACCGTACGAATCCTTGAGCGCTGTTCGCTCGGGATACTTTTCGGTGATTGCGTCTATGCGATGCACGATTGTCGGGTAGGTGACCGGTGTCTCGACGCCTGCTCATGAGAAACGGCCTTTAGCGTGCCACCAGGCAGGGGCGAGGAACAACAACAAGAATACAAAGAGCAGAGGAGGCTTACCGCGACCGAGACTAATGGCATTTTCGACATCCTCGTTCGGATGGAGGCTGACCCAGGTAATCCTCGCCGCAGGATTGTCGGCAAACTGGCGCAAAGAGCACGGTAGCTCTTGGCCAACGTGTCCGCCGCAAGTTGGTCGTACAGGTCTTTTTGGACGGCGATGGAGACGAGGCTTTCCCCGCCGTTGGCGGTAAGATCCAGGATATCCACGCTCACGTCGTAATCCGTCTGGCCCGTGGCGACAATGTCTAGTTCGCCGTCGCAGCCGAACAGGCTTCGCGCTTCCTGATGATTCTGGCGGTAGTTGACAAAGGCCTGGAACAGCGGGCTATGCGACGGCACGCGCGGGACGTTGAGCTCGTTCAAGAGCACGTCGAACGGCACGCGCGAGTTGCCAAAGGCCGCGAGCGTCGCCTTTTGCACGTCCTTGAGCGTATTGGCAAACGTCTCCTGGGGCGACCGCCGAAGCCGAATCGGCAAAAGATCGAGGAAGATGCCCAAACTGCCCTGGACGTCGGCGTCCTTGCGGTTGGCGTCGGCTACTCCGATGCACATATCTTCAAGCTGGGCCGCGTAGCGGTACAGTAGGATGTGGAAGATGGTGAGGTGCAAGTGGAAAGGCGTAACCTTGAATCGCTGACTGACTTGGCTGACTTTGTCCGAGAGGTCCCGATCGAGACGGAAGCTCGCTGTGTAGGCGCCGAACCCGGATGTGGTAGGTCGCGTCGATAGTGGCGTCAGAGGCAGCAGGGGAAGGGCGTTGGGCAGGTCTTGGAACTGGCTGCGCCAAAAGGAAAGCTCGTTGGCCCACGCGCCCGACTGATACTCGCGTATCTGCCTGAGCGAAAAGTCGGGGTACTGAAGCACATTTGACGGCTTTGTTTCGAGTACCCCGTTGTATGCCTTTTCCCAGTCCGAAATGAAGACGACGTAGCCGATGCCGTCCAAATAAATGTGGTGATATCCGAGGATGATCCAGTGAGATTCCGGTGACTCGGACAAGAGTTGGATTCGTAGAGCCTCGCCGTGTTCAATATCAAATACGTGCTGTCTGGCTCGCAGGACCTCGCCGTCTAGCTCTTTCTCATTAGTTATCGATGTCTTCTCAAGTCGCAGGAGAGACTTCGGCAATACTGCCTGCTTGGGCGTCCTCGTCTTTTCATCGATGAAGAAGAGAGTCCGGAGAGCTTCGTGGCGTTGCCCGACCTCGAGGAGTGCTTGTTCCAGGGCGTCCACCTGGAGCCGGCCCTTCAACTTGATCACGGTTGTGATGTTGAAGGCGGTTTTGTCCTGCACGTAGTGCTTCAGGAACCAGAATCTAGATTGGCCAAAGGACAAGGGTACAATTCTCTCCGCCACCAGTTTTTCGCCCAACGAGCTCGGCAGCGAGTGCTCAATAGGAGCGGCGATTGGCTTGGGCAAATCATTTTCGTCGGCTTCGGATGGCACTTCGGAGCTTCTCGGCGTGGTGTCCTCGCCCGTTGACCCTCTTGAATCAGATTGTGACGAGGACGTGGCCACCAGATCGGAGTCTGACTCTGCTTTGCGAGTGAGCTGCGGAATGTCTCCGACTAGAGGCACCGTGAGCGCCTGCTCGGCTGATTGGGTTTCGCCCTCGCGCGGGACATTGGGGATCACGCTGGGGGTACGGAGTTTTGCGCAAACACCAAGAGGTCCCGGACGGACGGAGAGTTCAGGATCTTCAGGACCGGCACATCGACTCCCGATTCCTTGAGGAACCAAGACCGGATATCGACCGCCACCAAAGAGTCGGCGCCAATTTCGTCGAGGCTCAAATCCAACATGGGTTTATTTGGGTCGGCTTGCAGGGCTGCCTGCAGCTTGAGCAGGAATCCCTCTGTTTTTGTAAAGATTAGCACATGTCGTTGGATTTTCGGAGCACTCAACTCCGGGGGCAAGGGGAGCTTACCTTTGAGGATCTCAAATACTTGCTCATTCGTTGTTGCCGTCAACAGCCGAGCCTTGGTCTTGATAATCTCCTTGGCTTGGACACCAACGCTCGCAGTCGTATTTCCCTTGACACCGAGATGCTGCAGCATGGGAGGCTCGTCGACGATATCACGCGAGCGCCCTTCGTCGGTTCGAAGACCTGTTTCAAACTCCGAGCTATCCTCCGAGTCCAGACGGCTGGCAAGAATTCCCTCGGCAAATATTTCGTGGGCATCCTGCTCCGACATCCATACTAGGCCAACTTTGCGTAGGTATTCCTGCTGCTGTAGCGACAATTCTCTGGATACATACCCGGTCCCAAGAATGGCGCCGATGTTGATGACAGAGGCAGCCAGGCCCCGGCGCCGCCTTTGCGTAGCAAGGCTGGCCATGAACGCGCTAGCCGCCCCGTAGATGCTCTGTCCGGCGTTACCAGTCACGTAAGCTACCGACGAGAAGAAGACGAAAAACTCCAATTGATCATTGGAAAAGAGCTCATCTAGATAAATGCTGCCGTTAATCTTGGGTTTGGTGATTTTGTTGAAGCGGTCCACGTCGACGTCGGCGAAGAGCGCATCATCCAACACCATGGCGCCTTGAGCGACACCAGCGATGGGCGGAAGAGTCTCTGAAATCTTCTTGTGGAGCGAAATAACATCATCTCGGTTTGTGACGTCGCTAGATATTCACATAAGTATCCATTACATATTAACAAAAAAGAGTCAAAACGTACTTTGCAAAGACTCGAACAGTGCAGCCTAGATCTGCCATGGCCTGCTTCCAGCCATCGTCCACTCGTGGATTTCTGCTGGAAAGAGCAATGTATTTCGCGCCGTGCTGAGCCATCCATTCACAGAGAGACAGTCCCAGGCTTCCAGTGAGACCGACCATCCAGTACGTCTTGTCCTTGGAGAACCGCACAACTTTGGTGGCGGGCTGGAGCTGAACGGGGGTGCCTCGCAACGATGACCAAGAGAGGAAGGTTTGCTTGCTGAGGGAAGTGGTATACTTGGACAACTCGGAGATGGCGACCAACGGGTGCGATTCGGGGACCGTAACAGAAAGCACGGATCGTGTCCACGCAGCTTGCAAGTGGCCTGCTACCGCCGAGACTGTCGTGTAGCCCAGGCCAACGCTGGGTCCAAGGCTCGTAAAGTCTTGTTGGTTGACCACCACACATTTGGGCGGCAGAGCATCAATGATGGCGGCGACAAGATCATCGCTATCCCCACTGTGGATAAAACGTCTCAGGTTCCTTGGTATCACCCTCTGAAGCGCGTACTTGGTCGCGCGCGGGTGGATAGAAGTCCACGGCCGAGCGGTAATCTCCTTGCCCGTAGCGGCATCGGTGAGGAGGATGATATTTACGCCTCTCTCGGCGCTGTTTTGCGTGAGGATGTTCCCGAGAGAGTAGCAAGGGTTCAGGATCGCGACCGACTCCCCAGCCTTGACGCCCCAGAGGATGTTTTCGGTGAGAATCTGGAGGTAAAGGCCCAGCAAAGCCCTCTTGGACTCTTCTTCCGACTCTGAATTAAGTCGGAGCACCCAGCTCTCGGGTGTCCGAATGCGAGATTCCAAGGCAACGGACAAGCAAATGACTTGTTCGTCGCTCAAAACATCGTGACCAGTCGACAAGTAGAGAAAACTACCATTTGGCAATTTAACGGTCTTGAGGAGCGAGTATTCGAGGCAAACGTCGACGTAGCCAGGCCGTGCCGTATTTTGCGTGTCATTTCTTTGCTCAATCACAAAGCTGGATCCCGAGTGTCTCACGCCAACGACCGCCTGGTCGAGGTTGATGTCTTCGGTGAGCAAGCGTCGACCAGAGTTGTATCTCCGGTTTCGCCTCGAGTCTAGGCGAATGCGAGGCACCAAAGAGGTAGAATTGTGGACCAAGACCTCGGTCTCTTGATACCAGAGAAGGTCGTTTGTGCGGCCTGCCTGCTCCCAGACGCTGAAGGCTTCCAGCTGCAGGAGCTTCGATGCAATGGTCTTGGCATCGACGTCTGTTTCTGAGGCAAAGTCGAGCATCTGCACCTTCAAGTCTTTCAACTCCTTCTGCATTGTTCGCTGCAAACCCCTGTACATGTTTCGGTAGGGGCTTGCTTGGAGAGCACCGCGCGTCGCCCAAAGGACTGTCTTGCTCTGCTTGAAGATCTCCTGCAACGCCGCCAGTTTCTCGGGGGTGACTCGTTCAAACGTGGGCTCATCCTCCAAGTCCAGGAGACTGACGAGGCTCCCCAGGTATGGCAGCTCGTGGCGCGGTACATCCTCGAGCGATAGGATTCTCCTGGGCTTGCTCTTGTATTGGTGGCTAACCGCAGCCTCGATTGCCTGAGCCAACTCCGAGGTCTTGCTGGTGGCGCCCCCAAGAATGGTGAGGCTCTCGAGCTGGAGAGATTCCGCTGTTCCTGCAAGAGTATCAAGAAGGAAGGTAACTCGGTCATCCAGAGCCTGTGTGGCGATGACGGAAAGCGGGAGTGGGAAGGTCTGATTGTGGGATGTGATGGCCTCAATCGAGGAAAACCCAGTCTTGGCAGCGAGCGTCTCCCACTCTTCGATGCCAACACAAGGCGACAACTTCCTGCCCTGGTCGTATCCAAGCCACCAGCCAGGAGACCTCCAAAATGAAACCGAACCGGATAGGATCGTTGTCCGTAATTTCGAGCATGATGAGACGACCACCCGGCTTGAGGAGCTTGTGCACGTTGCGCATAGTCTGGTCGAGGTCGCGGGTGGCATGTAGGACCAGAGAAGCGACGATGAGGTCAAAGGAGTGCGGAGCATACCCCTGCGCGAGAATATCCTTTTCTATGTCCAAGACTTTGAATGTCATTTTGGCGCGGTGTTGCTGGAACTTGACCTGCGCATTCTCGAAGAAGCCACTGGAGATGTCCGTGTATGTGTAAGACGCAAATGACTCCTTGAGCTGACGGAAGATGACATCCGTAGCACCGCCAGTACCCGCGCCTGTGACCCAATTGTTAGGATGTCCTGGTAAATGCTTTGATTCAATACAGAGGCGACTTACCAATTTCCAACACGTTCATGTGCGGATAACGGTGGCTCAGCTGGCCTACCATACGGGCCAAATCTTGCAAGTAATCCTGCATACCCAAGGAGGTAGCGTAGAAGTCGTTCAGCATATTGTCCTCCATCATGGCCTCGAGGATGTTCATGTCCTGTCGCATCGCAGATTCCAAATTGGTCCCCACAGCTCGCATGATACGCAGGTCAATACTGTCGGGGAATCTACAAGAAATCGAGTTAATTCAGCACGCTTTGAATAAATGGGAAAAAGGGGGCCTTACCGATCAAAGATCTCGACCAAGTCATACTGAGTATCGTTGCTCCACTCTGCTCGAGCAAACGGGTGTGTTCCTTGCTCTACCCATGCCAACACATGGTCAATATACTCATAAAATGCCTTGTGATACCACTGGAGATTGAGCCGTTCACCCGGAGGTATCGCTTCATGCAACTGCTTCACATAGTAGTACGCGACCCTCTCTTGAGCGAAAGCAAGATTGTAGTCGTACGAGTTGCCTGTTCCTCCCCATAGGCCTGGGTTCCCGGTCGGCGCATCAGGCTGCCAAGACGTACGGAAGAAGAGCTGAAGGTCGTTGGACGGAGCCGGTGGCGTCAAAGGCGTCGTCCGCAGCCCTTGAAGCTGAACAAGGGTCGCGCTACCGTCCTCGGAATGGATCTCGACGTCTCCTGACAGGTCCGTCGGCCTATCCGATGTGATGTACGCGAAGAATGGAAGCCTCTGTGCATCCGGTCCCTTGTGGCGAATAATGCTCGACGGGTCAATCCGGAGACGGTCAATGCTCGTCGGCAGGTAGATTGATCGGATCCTACCGTCGCCCGGGAAGCTATACGCCAAAATAATCGACTGGATAGCACAATCAAGAGTACCGGGATGAATAATCAACGGGGTCTCGCCTTCGCTTTCCTCGTCCGGGGTCTGGATGATGCCGGACGACTCACCCGACCTCCTTCGGGCTTCGACGATTCTTTGGAACGGCCCAGTGTATCCCAATCCAATATCTCGAACCGTGTTATAGAAGCGCTGGGGATCAACTTCTAGGAATTCGCGTTCCGAGATGTACGGGCTGGGTAGCTCGTTTTCGGTCGAGGCCCCGAGAGAGATGCGCAGGTTGCCGTGCGCGTTTCTCGACATGCTTGTAGAATCCTTGGTGGATGCGGAAAAGAAAGAAAAGACGGCTTCCACATAGTGTTCGGCTGCTTCAATCACTCGGAAGCTGAAGAGGGTCTCGACGCTAGAGTTCTCCTCTAGGACGAGGGCTTGGCCGATAACCACATCGTACAGGTCAATAAGTTGTACCGAGCGAGAACCGTAGATTTGAGCCACGGCTTCCACAGTGGCCGAAAGGTAGCCGGCCGCGGGGAAGACGATTTGCCGATCCACTTGATGGTGGACAAGCCAGGGGATTTCTCGGGGGTGAAGGTAGTTTTTCCATCGCACTTCGTTTTCCGTGCCGTCTGGCAATTTTGTACCGAGGAGCTGGTGCGGGCGTTGATTGCTGGAGCGGAACCCCTTTGAGTAGCGAGACTCGTGCCAGTACACGCGATCATGCTCCCAAGCATACGATGGAAGGTCCTTTAGCAGCCTGGGCACATCTTCATCCGAGCCATTGCCGTGAACCCGTCGGTCGAATGCCGAAAAGTCAATGGCTTTGCCGCCCAAATATTGCCAGACCGAGCCCAGGCCCTCGGCAAGAGCCTCGACGTCGTCTGCGCCACGACGAAGGGTTCCGACGTAGGGAACTTCGCCGTACGTGACGGCTTTGAAGGTTTGCAGAGCGGGGCTTTTCAAGGCCGGATGCGGACCAACCTCGATGGCTAGGTCGATGGGCCCACTGGCGCTGATGGCGTATTCGAGCGCCTGCGAGAATTTGACCTGGTTGACCATGTTCCTGCTCCAGTACTCTCCAGAGAGCGTGGAAAGCCCAATGGTTTCAATGTCTTCGCCGTATACGCTCGAGACCCAGCGGGGTGCTCGTCGTTTGACGACCGAGTTAAGGGTTTGACATTGGCGGCTGTGAGAGCTTCTATGTACGGAGCGGCACAAGGAAGCATGTGGTGAGAATGATACGCCTTGTCCACTTTCAACAGCCTAGCAAACTTTTTCTCGTCCTCGAGAATCTTTTGCGCGAGCTCAATGGCGTTGGAGTCGCCTGATAGAGTTAGACTCTCGGGCGAGTTGCTCGCGGCGATGCTGATTCGCCCCTCGAGATCTTCTAGCTCACAGAGGTCTTGGGCATCTTCGTATGTGATTCCCACGGCCATCATGGCGCCCCTCCAGAGTCCTCCGGCCCCTGCGCCAGATGAAGAAAGTAGCCCCGATAATAAGCTATTCGGATCGCGTCTTGGGCCGAGATGTACCCAGCAGCGTAAGCCGCCGCGATTTCGCCCGATGAATGGCCGACAACGGCCGCAAACTTGATCCCGGCAGCCTTGAGAAGATCGACAATGACAATCTGTATGGCGGTGCACAAGGGTTGCGAGAAGGCCGCTTCCGAGAGACGCGAGGCGGCCTTATCCTTGGAGAGCTCTTCCAAAAGGCTCCATTCCGGTACATGCTCCGCCGGGAGGCTGTTCAGGGATTCTTGCAAGTCCGCAATGCGATCCGACGCCACCTTGGACGTAGCCAGGAGCTTCGCGCCCATGGATGCCCACTGCGCGCCTTGTCCAGTAAAGACACCGAGCAGTTTCGGGCCATCGGGACCATACGAGGTACGGCTACCCGCAGCCACGACACCCGTAAGCGACTGGGCGAGATCGTCCAGCTTCGACACGAGGCCCTCGGTGGTTTTCGCCGCCACGCTAAGCCTGAACGGCAGGGTAGAGCGACGAGAATTTAAAGTCCACGAGAGGTCGCGCAGGCTAATTGATGGGTTTTCCCGTACATGGGAAGCGTAGGCGGCGAGAATTGCAGACAGTGCCTTTTCCGACGAGGCGGAGAAGTTGAAGGGACTTAGCTGGGCAGCCTGCAGGGGCGGGGTGATTGCCTGATTCGAAGCCGGCGTGTGCTCCTCGAGGATGGTGTGAGCGTTGGCGCCTCCGAAGCCAAAGCTGTTGATGCTCACGCGGCGGGGCACTCCTGGCGCGAGGGCGGGCCATTCCGTGGCCTGCCGGGGAATCTCAAGGTTGGTGTAAAACGGCTTCACGTTGGGATTGAGCTCGTTCAGCAAGAGGTTCGGGGAACGAGTCCGTTTTGCAACGCAAGCGATCCCTTGATCACGCCGGCAACACCGGCCGTACCTTCGGTATGGCCGATGACGGTTTTTATGGAACCGACGTAGAGTGGCGGGTCGGACTCGGACCGCTTGAAGCCGACGGTTGGGCCGAAAAAGGCCGTGCTAATGGCTTCCGCCTCTACAGGGTCTCCCGCGGGCGTACCTAGAGTTTCATTAATATCAATTCTTGCAGGTTAAGTTTGCCGCCCGATTGAACTTACCAGTGCCATGGGCTTCAAAGTATTGAGGTCGATCACCCGGTCTCGACAAGTCGAGACCAGCTCTCTTATACGTAGACCAGATGAGGTCCGACTGAGCAGTGGGGCTCGGCATCGTGATTCCCTTTGTGCGACCGTCCTGGTTGATTCCGGTTTCGCGGATCAGGCATTCAATCGTGTCACCATCCGCCAGCGCAGCGCTCAAAGTCTTCAATACCAAGGCCGCCACGCCGTCACCGCGAGCGTAACCGTTGGCGTCTTTATCCCACATACGGGATCGCCCGTCGGGCGAGAGCATCTTGAGCTTACTCTCGGCGACAAACTGCTCGGGGCTCAGCGCCAAGTTGGCGCCGGCTACGATGGCGGCCGGCGACTCACCCGAGCGGAGGCTCTGGACGGCTAAATGCAACGCGAAAAGACTGGAAGAGCAAGCCGTATCTATGGTCATGGAGGGGCCATGCCAATCAAAGAAATAGGAAATGCGGTTGGAGAGAATACTCCGGGCGGTGCCGGAGGCGAAATACGTGGGGAAAGCATCGATGTCACGAGCTAGCAGCTCCATGTAATCCGCACTCATCACGCCGACGTAAACGCCCGTCTTGGAGCCTTGTAGTCTGTCGAGATGCAGACCGGCTCTCTCGAGCCCTTCATAGACTACTTCTAGCAGGATCCGCTGCTGCGGATCGACCGAGTTGGCTTCTACGGGCTTTATCCCAAAGAACTGCGCGTCGAAGAGTCCGATATCTTCGTTGAGAAGGTAGGCGTGCCGGACGTTGGACGTCCCATGGTGCAGCGGGTCTTCGTGATAGAAGCCATCCGGGTTAACTATAGGAGGTGGACGAAGAAAAATACAAGTTAGCTCAACCCCAAAATTATCCCGGTACAACAATAGTCGTATTGATGCACGCTGGCTATCAAAGGTAAGACTGTAGGATCACTTACAGCGACTATCTGGAATCTCTTGCAGCACATCGCGTGGCTCTCGTAGCAGGTCCCACAACTTGGACGGCGACGAGGAATCGCCAGGAAAGCGACAGGCACTTCCAACAATAGCTATTGGTTCATTGGGGTATCCATGAGCACTCTTGGCCGACATCTTGGTATCTCTTCTTTTTGCCCGTCAAGGTGTATAATGTCAGAGTTTACTAGTTGATAGTTGAGTGTTGAGCTCTGGATCGGATTTGTTGGCTGGCCAGTTCCTCTCTCTTGCTTGAGGACGACGGAGCCAGAACCGCTACCTGATGTACCTCGCAACAGTGCATAACATCAACCACACTGAGGATTGCGTTCTCAGCCTCCCCGATATGGCTGGGTCCCTCGTTTGCAGGTACGTCCGGCCCATCCCGGGGAGGGAGGGAATGACAACCCCGTACTATTCTCAAAAGGGTAAAGAAAAAGACTTTCCGAATCGGGGTTAAGTCCAGGAACTAGTTCCGAGTGGTTCCCCCTCGTATCGGAGCCAGGTCCGGCCCTCGGGGTCCGTCGGGAAGCCCCCACCGATGTGGCTGGATTTGGGCCGACGCATCGATCCGGCACACACCTTTGGCGCGTCTAGAGCGAAGGGGAGGTACTCGCCATTTTCATTCGCGCGAATTCTCCGATGAAGAATATCCCGCAGCGAGTCGTAGCCGCCGTGGCTGCCCTCCCGCCCATTTTCTTCATGCTGCAGAGTCTATAGGCATCCCCTTGACAAGAGGCACTTCCTTTTTCCCTCCTTTTTCGTGTACGCTCAGCCCTTAGCAGTACTATCCCAGTTTACGTTTACCACACAACTCGCCAAAGCAAATCTTCACGTTACTCCGACCGAGACTTCCAAGTCACGATGCATCAATTCTTCCCAGGCGTATTTTTCAACTTTGAGACCGTGCGTATCGCCGGCATGGTCTTCAGCGGCGGTGCCGAGCTCGCAGAATGTCTCGACGCCGTCGGTGCCATCAAGGACAATGATCCGGAGAGCTGGCACTCTGCCTGGGCGCAGCAGGCGCAAAAAGCGGAAGCGCTGGCAGAGGAAGCCCGCAACAGCGGGAACAAGATCGCAGCCAAGAATGCACTTCTCCGTGCCTCCAACTATACCCGCGCAAGCTACTACATGCTCCCCGGCGACGGCCCCTCCGCCGCGATCCCCGTCTCCTCCCTCTCGCCGAGCGATCCGTCAAGCTCTTCCGGGACGCCACCAAGCTATTCGACGAAAACACCGTCCGCCCTTTGCAAATCGAGTACGAGGGCCACAAGCTCCCCGGCTATCTGTACCTCCCGCCGTCATGGCGAAGACTCCCCGGACGAAAAATCCCCGTCATCGTCTGCAACAGCGGCGCCGATGGCCTCTCGGAAGAAATCTACTTCTTCGCTCCCGCCACGGCGGTAGAGCTCGGATACGCCGCAGTCACGTACGAAGGCCCCGGCCAAGGTCTCACGCTGCACCGTGAGGGCCTGCAGTTCCGGCCCGACTGGGAGGTCGTCGCCGGTGCCGTATTCGATCACCTTGAAAGCATAAACGCAGAAGAGCCCGAACTCGGGCTGGACTTGGATCGTGTTGCCATATGGGGAACCTCGCTAGGAGGCTACTTTGCCCTACGGGCAGCGGCCGGCGACGAGCGGTTCAAGGCGTGCGTGGCGATTGACCCCGTCCACGATTTCTGGGACTTTGCCACCACTCAGATCCCCAAGCCCGTCCTAGCTAGCTGGGAGCGTGGCTGGATTAGTGATTCCGTCATTGACACAGTGGTCGGCATCACGACACGCTTCGTCTTTCAGATGAAGTGGAACATCAATCTCTCCAGCATCATCTTTGGAATAGCGCGGCCCTCCCAGATCATGAAAGCCATGAAGGCATATACCCTGCGTCTTCCCGGGGAAACAGCCTGTTGAACAAAGTCCGATGTCCCGTTTTGGTGACCGGAGCAAGCAGTTCATTGTACTTGGATGTCTCCGATCACACTAGGGCGGTATTCGATGGGCTGACCAACTTGAAAGAGGGCGCCGATAAGGAAATATGGGTGGCGGGCATACCTGGAGAGGGGGCCTCCAGGCCAAGGTCGGTGCCCTGGCGCTGTCCAACCAACGCGTGTTTCAATTTCTCGACAAACATTTTGGTATAAATAGAGACAGTCTGTAAGGACGAGATGGAGGGAAAGTGCAGCCGAGCTCCGATAGCGACGGCATGGTGTCCGATGGTTGCTATGTGGCCTGCTCCAGAAAGGAGAGTACGGGGGCGATCAATTTTTCATAAACACTTGAGAGTTCAACTAAAACTATTCTGCGCCAATCACATCTTCCTAGCAATGTTGCCAGGGAACATTTATGTCTGTCTTAGGATTTGGCAACTACATCCTGTATGTACTACGTCTTACAACTTGGCTCCATAAACTCTTGGAAGGAGCAGCGGGGAAGCCATAGTCAGTGCAATTATAGTCAGAACCTGTCTTGGCTTTATCGCTGCGGTTCTTCATTCTTATTACTCATCTCTTGATCCCCGCGAAGTAAATTTGTACTCTCAAAGTAGAGTGTCCCGTGTCATGCTGCCAAGACCTCCATCGCTTGTCTCACCTCATCTTCCGGCCCGTCATAACCGACATCGACACGGAGGAGATAGATAACTAGAGAGCGTCGCTCGTTCATACCAATCTATCAAACATGTACTACGAAATTCCGTGGGCCATCCACAATCTCGTTAGATGCCCATGATCCTGATGACCATCTTTCAAACCCCCTTTAGTGAGTATGCCCTCGTCATTTACACCATTTTGGTCTAAATGTTGATATACCTAAGAAGGAATAGTTAGTAAACAGACAGAATAAGGCACTAGGATAATTGGGTAGTCGACGAAAAAAAAAATGAGAGAAAGAAAGATAAACAGTACCTTCGCTCCAGCAGTGTCTGGATATTTTTATTATCCTGCCAAGCGGAGGAGGCTCGCCATTTTGCGCACCACTCTGCATCATTTCCTGCGAGAGGATAATCTCACGGATCGATATGGCGACGGGATCACTGATAAAGGGCAGTCGGTGTTCGGACTCTTCGTTGGGCTTGGGAGACGACGACCCGCCCATGATGCTCGCTGGGTTTATCCCGAGGGCATTGCTGATACGAAGCAGCATTCCCGAGGTAAGCTCGATCAAAACCCGGACTTGAATCGCCAAGTTATTCTCGAGCGGGAAGTTGCCAAACTGCAAGCCCGGTAAGCTAATGAGAGAATTCACCTCGCTTGTGGGTGCCATGAGCAGCGCGTGGTACAGTCGCGCAAAGACGGCTCGACAAGTGCGTATCAGGCAGACATACGTCGTAACCAGATGCGCGCTCAACAGCGGATCGGGACCTTTCGCCGACTGCGACGACACCGTGGGCAAAAGGAGCGGGAATCCATGTCGCCGTTAGCCATGTATCCCAGATCCGCACTCCTCGGCCGCACCGCGCCCTGTCCGTTGCCGTTACTGCTGCCATTCACACGATTGCTCGTGCCGTTTTCATACCTAGCACCCTGGTGCGGCTTCTGCACCTCGCTCGCCGCGGACAGGCTCTTCAGGATATCCCACAGCCGCGAGGCCTGATCGAGCATGCGGTTAACGGGCTGCTGCTGAATGGACGAGGAACACTTCAACGGGTTGGGGGTTAGCGGGGGTTTGGGAGGCCAGGGCGCCTTCATATCCATCATCTGCTGGTCTTCCATGAGCTCCAGGCTCAGCCTCAGCAGGTCTTTGTGGCTCTTGGTTGGATCGTGGGGCGGTTCTTCCGCCACCGTCGGGGAGCGTCGGTTTCCTGATCTCGCCCGGACTCCATCGATCCCTCGGAAAACCCTGCGTGGGTCGTGGGCCAGCTGGGTACACTCGTACTGGCAGGGCCGGTGGTGGAAAAGTCTTCGTAGCTGAATCGCCGTCCTGCGTCTTCTCCGTCCCCTTGCCTGCCGCGTTCCATTGCTCTAGACAGAGACTTGTTGTGGTCCACGGGGTAATCGACGATCAATAAGGACAAGTCATTGGAGTCAAACGCCATATCCGGCATGGAGAAGTCCATTCCGTCGATATCCTACAGGGAGAAAAAAAGATCGTGGCGTTAACTCGTCAAAACTCGCGTATAGTCAGAGAACGCTCATCATGGCAACATACCAGCGACTCTTGGTCCAATGGCATTGCGTCCGCCGTATCCTCCGCCACTCTCCTCGCCGTGCTCATGATCGGACGATTTATCCCGTTTCTCCGCATGTCTTCGAGGGCAGAAGGAACGACGGTATCGCGCGTAAACTCGCCTTGCGCGGGAGACGGCAAGATCACGGACGGCAAACGCGAGTCGTAGCCGCTATCTCTCCGGCTCGGGTGTTCTGGTGGGGAATTCGACCAGTCCGGGGACGGTAAACGGGGCTCCAGGTTTCCGTTGGTCTCCATTCTCGCACCGCGCTCGTTGCCATTGTGAAGGTGGCCGCCGCCGCCGCCGTTCGGTCTCTGCGAAGCCTGGTCAAATGTGGTCGTGCAGACCAAGTGGGCCTTCAAACACCGGTCACATGGTTCGTTGGGTTGCTCGTCTCGCTGGCAGCGGAGCTTGTAGGCTCGACAACGATCACAGGCGGAGCGACGGGACCGGGCGGTCGAACCTGTGGAGGGGTTCGCCACCATCTTCGCTGTGGCGCTCTTCTTTCACGGTTTTTGCTTCCAGGGTGCAGGGTGGGGGAAGGAAGGAAAGCAATCAACTTGTTCTTTTTCTTTTCTTTTCGAAGGGGTCTATTGTGTTTGGACGTAAAGAAAGTAAGGGTAGCAACGCGAAAACCCTCTCTCGAGACACCAGCCACGACGCGCACCTTATCGTTGGAATCCAAGGCAAGGGAAGGGCGTACGAATTGAGGGGGCGCCAACTCGACTGACACGAGAGTGCTGACCTAATCAAGACAAACATGTACTACATTGAATCTTTTGGGAGTGGCAAGAAAGCCGTCCTGCGGCTAGTGCCGTCTGCCGCCCGGGCCGCTCACGCAATACTCGCTACAATATTCGCAATTCCTCTCACAGTGCCGCGTTGCATGCGGTTGAACAAGACACGCATTGAGAGGCAAGAGCACCAGCGCTCGAGGGCAGGGAGGCGGGGAGGGGGCGACCTTGAGCATACAAACAGAATCGGTTGCCAGCGGTTTCCCCACGCCCCTGCCGAGGATTGCATCACAGGCAGCACAAACTCACAAGCCGACCCCTTCAACCTGTGAATGAATCTTTTGAGGCGCCGAAACGGTCGCGCCACCACCACCGCCCCGTAGGATCCAAGGAGGGGAATACACCAGAAACAAAAAAACGCCACGCACCCCCAACTAATGCGGATCGTTATCGTTAGACTGGTGGGATATCATGTCCTAAATCTACTTGTCACATCCCGTCCTTGGGCAAATCTTCATCGGTATCGGGAACCGCGACCTATGCAACTGCACTACTGTGCCGTGGAGATCGGATCCGCAGTTGCTTTGGGGGGCTTTCCACACGAACCCACGTTCTTGTCGAGGAAAGCATTTCACCTGTTAAGCGTGGGCCGAACTGATTTAGCTACCACCTCATAGGCTCTCGCGGGCCGCCATAGTATATGTCGTTTGACGAGAATGGCATGCACATCCCCGCCGCCCTATGCACTCTCCTATAACTGCCAACCTCCCGACCCGTCGTGCCGTGTTTCTTCATCGGAATACAACGCGGGGAGTTGGGAATACGTAGATATGGGAAAGATGCCATTCCACCAGATCTAAGCCTAGACCCTGCGCCTTTTTGACTACCCTAAAACCAAGGGCCCGCTGGTCCCTGGTAACCGGACGGCGTTCTTCAATAGAAATCTAGGGGTTCTCATCTATTTAGCCGCGCGGTGCTCCAATCGGAGCGGCCATCCGAGCGGGTGTGGTGTTTGTCCCTCACCTTCCGGTCCCCCTCCGAAAGCCCCAGGAATCGAAAGCCTTTCCATATCAAGACTAGTGATGACCGTGAGCGATGTGGGGATATCTTGATGCCACACGAGGCCGTGAAGAATTGGATGGAGATTTCACAATTAGGATGATTCTTGCGTATTAGTCGGAATCGTTCCGTGGGGTGACCCACAGAACCCTTCAAGTGGGGGCAATGGCACTCTAGTGTTGCAGATCCGTCCGTTAGCTTGGACACTAAGACCCGGGATGCTATGCCTAGTGGCGGAAGCGGAAGCGGAGAAACGACGTTCGCTCTCCTCCCAACTATCAAGAAATCCAGCAACGGATCTCGGCATGGAGCAGCTTGTGTTCCAAGGTCTCTTTCCCGACTGACTTGTCCTCGGGATATCTTTGATCCCCAAACAAGACGGTCGGTAGCGGGACCGCTCTTCTCCTACCTTCTTGTTCTTCTAATGCTACAGCCGTATACCTCGGTACGAGTCCCCAATCTAACAATCGAGAATTTGTATTTGCCTCTTCAGTATTGGTCCAATGGTTATTTGATGAACCGGGCCACTGCTGGGCCTGCGGACTGGTGTACTCGGACACATAGATGGGAATTCACTGTATTTGGTTAAGTGTATATAACGAAGCTGCAGAGTTCATATTTCTTTTACGCTGTATGCTCCACTTGTATTTCCGCGGTAATATAATGGCCGGCCTCTTAAGCTCATACTTCCGGATAGGGGCTACAAAATTCCGAGTTGATGCTCACTTTGCTCATTAGCTTGTCACTGCAGGGCTGTTTACCAAATGTTCACCTGCGGGTTGGCATGGAGGTGCTCATTTTTATGACGTGCAAACCAGCAATGCTACCAACCTACTATCTACGAAGTACCTTTGGAGATTTATAGTTAGTCTTGTTGTAGATCCTTCCTATATCGTCTCCCCACGACATATCGGTTCCTGTCCGGTAATAGCGCGCATAGAAAAAGCCTATCACAGTTATGCTCAGATACGATGCAAGTATGATAGTGGAGTACCGAGCTCGTGATTGAATATTCGATCAATCAAATGCATCCAGATGAATTGTTGCCTAATAGTGTACCAATGGCAACATCATTCTCGTATTAATTCACCAATCTCACCTGAGGATAACCGAGCCTTCATCCGTCTAGTCTCTATAACACCATTGTTATCTGAGAATTGAACTTTGTGATATTCTCTTGGGCGATTCTATAGAATATGTCTAAACTCTGGTTTTGGGTTGTATTCGTGGCTTCCCGAGCCCATATCGAAGATCTTTCAACGGATAATCGTATGTGTCAATAGAGATCTATTTGTAGAACCTATAAAACCCAAGGTTATACCAGCATACTTAAGGTTAATAAGCCCATCTTCCAGGTTGGTGCTAGGAAGACTATCTTGACGTCTAAATGCTCTATATTGCACGTGTACCGGTTATTGCCTCGTACCCCCTCTGATAATTCGTTTATATCTATTCGGCCATCGAGTCACTGCGATAACAACTTAACCTCCATTTCCAACTGCCCACCACCCTTTAGTATGGAAAGGAAAATGTGGACACAACCGAGCACTCTGAAGGCTTCCTATGGAGTCATCTATAGCTTAGTTTCTGACATCGAGACTCACGGCCGAGAGATTGCTGAAAGAAGCATTCAGTGGCTTCGATGCGCTAAACACCCACCACCCCAAGTCTCGGACCTGGTTGCAGCTGCCGAGGGCGATTGTTCGGGATCTGACATGAGCTTCGGCTGTGGTTAAGTACCCGGCCCGTGCTGCAACCTCAATGTCACAGTTGTTGGAGTGCTCTTGGGCCATGGTGTAAAGCGACACACTCTGGACAGGGGTGGCAAAACACCATCTTTTATCGGTGGCTGAAAGTGGTCGTGAAACCATTGTCAATGTCGAGATGCTCTTAGATCATGGAACAGAGTTAGACGCCCAGGGCAAGGAGCCAGACATCATTATCATGGGCAGCAAGCCATGGCTATGAAAAAGTCGTCCAGATGCTGCTGTCCCTTGTGGCGAACTATACATGTCAGACGTAAACGGCAACGCCATTATCCTAGGCAGCGGCTGGTCGCCACGATAGCATCACCAAGATGCTCCTCACGAAAGCAATCAACATAAATCCTCAAGATAATCAGAACCTAACACTTGCTTGTACAGGCTATGGCGCGGCTGTGTAATTATTTTTAAAGTCTAATGCTGATCCGGATATATGCGATAATACAGCGCTATGGTGGGCAAAGATGGCCATGGAAAGGGTATCACAACGCTCCTTGAATCTGGAGCTAGTGACAATCTGCAAGATGCGTATGGCAGGATACCACTCTCGTAGGCCCTTTCAATTGACACGATGCTGCTGTTACAGTTCACTTGCAATATAGAATATAGCCAAAGAGGTGTAGGATGGTAGACAGTTTCCAAATCCAGTATGGCTTATCTGTAGCGCAGCCTAGCCATTTAGAAAAGTGAGCTAACACTAATTTCCCGCACGATGGCTATTTCGTGAGGCTATCACCGATACTTCTGTGCCATGCGCTCCGCTCCAAAGATTATATAGTTGGCTGCTCAGGGTCAAAAGGAAGCCCATGTACCGTTCGTTTCCCCGAAGTCCTATTGAGTTTCCTCGCGTGCAGACGTCTCTTCTCCTTCAGGACTGACCCAAGGACCCAGTATTCTCATGATTGACTATTCCACAAAGTTCCTTTTCAACACCATGCTCTTCACAGGCAATTTGAGAGTCTCCGTCACCCCAGAGCCAGACCACTGTCTCTGCGTACCAACCTGACCTCCGACCACGGTCGCCGTGTATCCTGTCCCTCCAACGCCTTCGCCAAGAAAGTACTCGAAGTAGATATTCTTGTGGGTAACGATAAAAGTCCATTGCTTTCCACGAGTTGGCGAATTAAGATCCAGAACAAACCCGGTAGCCTTGTCCTTGAGTGTACCCGAGACTCCTTCCTTGTCGTAGACCTTTTGCCAGGAAAAGTAGTCCTCCGTGTCGGATGGTTCCGTACGCCGGCTGTCAAAAATCTGCTCTCCGTCTTCGGCCAGTACCACTGCTGGCACTCGTAGGCCCTTTTCCAGCCACGATTCAAACTCCCAAAATGACAAAGCATAGGGACCGGCCTTGAGGCGCACAAACGTCATGGAATCCAAGCAGGTGAACCAGTTGAATGCACCCCAGAGTCGCTCGTGCCCGCCACTGCCGGACCACTTGACTGGTTTTCCGTCAAAGACGGCGTCGACCGTGACGTCGGCTACCGGGATAGGCTCAAACCAGTAAAAGTGCGGCACGGTGAGCAGGGAGGCATCCTTGGACGGCCACGTCGACCCGTCGGCGTAGCGCGGCGGCGCGATGGAGTTGAAGTCGACGGTGCCCTTGGTCTTGGGCGTGTCCCACGTAACCCGAGCCTTGCGCAAATCGGCAGACACGTCCCAGCTGTAGACGTAGCCGTCGCCCTTCCACTCGCCGCGCCAGCCGACACCCGGGCACGATTCAATCGTGGATTCCGTAGGGTAATCAATCTGCACGAAGCGCTCGCCGTTGGGGTGGGCAAGCTCGACGTACATGCGCAAGTTGCCGGCGCCGAGGACCGAGTAGTTTGGATCGCGGTAGAAGCCAAAAATGATGCCGGACAAGCCGTCTTCCGAGACCGCATCAAACTCCCACTGCTCGCCCGCCGTCTCATTCATCGGGACGATTCTTGGCAGCTCGGGGTCGTCTGTCGGGCTGGTGGAGAAGGCGACTGGCTTCCGGCCCTTGGAGATTTCGTACGCGGTAACATGGCTGACTTCGCACGCGGCGAAGCTATCGGAGCCCAAAACCTTTTGTTGCTCTTTCCAATCTCCCAACCAGATTGGCTCGGGATTTTCTGCGGCTGTGGAGGCTGCCAATGCTCCAAGAACCAGAAGAGCGAGACTGCGTGGCTCTCTCCAATGCATTTTGTTTTTGTTTTTTGCCGACGCTGCTTCGCGTACAGTTCAAGGTAGCCAACTGATGGACAAGACAAGGATGGCCCGATAAAGTAACGGGAAGGGTGGCACTCCTTGAGTTGGTCACACATATCCAAACGAGGTTCAGCTTATTTAAGGCAGAATTGTACCGGAGAAGAGCTGCATGACGACAGGAGGGGTGCCGAGCCAATCCACCTACCAGTCCATGGATCCTCCGAAGCTCCGGTGTCTACATGTATAGTCGGACACGAATGGGTACCTCGGAGAATTTTGATTCGCCTATCTCGGAGAAGGGCGTTCCAGCTATGGAGCTGGTCGACGATTATTTCCCTTTCGCCGTCCAATACTATTTGTGACATATGTACTTTGCATCTGATGTATAGTCGGCAGCCAAGAGATTTCGCAACAAAGAAAGGATTTTTGAATCTGCGGCAACTTCCATCTCCAACCCTTGAAACCTTTTCGCGTGACCCAACTTACGTTAGCCGTCGCAACATGTCTCCTGATATTCCCATACCATCGACGCATACCGCCATCATTCAACATGGAGGCGGCGAGTTGAAAGTTACTCATGGCATTCCCGTGCCCAAGGTCTTGCCCGGATGGCTCCTCGTTAAAAACGCAGCGGTGGCGCTCAACCCGTGCGACTTCAAGATGGCCGCCCGGTTCCCCACGCCGGGACTCAAGAACGGAGTCGATTTCGCCGGTACCGTAGCCGCCGTCGGAGACGGTGTGACAGAATTCGAAGTGGGTGATCGTGTTTTTGGCTGCGTTCCGAGCAACAAACAGGACGACCCAGAGTCTGGCTCTTTCGGACAGTATATCAAGGTTGAAGTTATTTACGCCCTCCGCATCCCGCCGGATACTTCGTTTGAGCAGGCCCTTGCCTTTGGCCCGGCCTGCGTGTCTACAGTGGCGTTGGCGCTACACGAGTGTCTCAAGATTCCCGCGACGCCGGACGAGATTGCCGACTACAAAGGGCACAAGCCAGGTGAGACGGTTCTCGTCTATGGAGGAAGCAGCTCCGTCGGCCTCATTGCTATACAGCTCCTCAAGTTGTAAGTAACGGATGGTAATACTCCGGATACCGTGTTGATAGCACTGACAACATTTATACGGCCGTAGATGCGGCTACAGCGTGGTTACGACCTGCTCGCCGCACAATTTCGACCTCGTGAAAAAGTACGGCGCCGACGCAGTCTTCGACTATCACTCCCCCACGTGCGCAGCCGACATCAAAGCCTACACCCGCAACAGGCTCAAGCGCGTCATCGATCCCTTTGGAGAGGCCGCCACCACTTCCCTGTGCTACGAGGCCATCGGACGTGCCGGTGGGACGTATTGCGCCCTCGAGCAGTACCAAGAGTCGCTCTGCACGCGGCAAACCGTCCACCATCAACTAGTCATGGGACCCGCCATCTTAGGGCGAGGTGTTTTGCTCCCCGAGCCGTATGGCATCGCGCCCGATCCGGAGCTTCATGAGTGGTCGAAGCGATTTTATCGAAGCCTCCAGACGCTTATTCAAGATGGCACGCTCAAGCCTCTGCCGATTCGGGTCTTGGAACCGGCTGGCTTCGACACGGTTTTGTCGGGTTTGGAGATACTCAAGGCGAAACAGGTTTCGGGGAGCAAGTTGGTCGTTCCAGTAGCAGCGCAGTAGGCAGTAGGCAGTAGGCACTAGGCATATACGTCAATTACAATGGATGTATTCTCTTTCACTCGTCGTTATTTAATCTTTCGATACTTCCAGTCTGTCCAATCTTTGCCGGTACAATTAATGACTTTCACCCATCATTCACTCCTGTCTCCAATCGTAGACAAGCCGAGCAACCACCCGTGACTCCCCTCTACTAGTTACATTAGTCCTGGTGAAATGCCTCACTCCATTCACATTTTCAAAGGTCCAGATCCCCTCCGTCACCCACTCGCCCGTCTTGCTCTCGGCAAACTCCTGGATAACCGTGTCCGAATCGCCATCGGCCGCGCGCTGTTTAAACGTCTCGTCGGAGATTTCGGCGACGGGCACGTACTTGGAATGCGCAGACAGCGCCCCAAAGATGGGCACCGTGGAATCTCGGGACTGGGAATCAAGTACATACGACTCCTCGCTGGAGAACCCACCGGGCGTCACAACCTGCTTCACGCGGATCGAGACGACGGGGCCACCACCTAGGTTGTCCTCTGGCACAGATGTCGTTTGAGTCATGTGCAGAGATACACCGGCAAAGGACAAAATTTTGCGCAGTGCCCAGGGGACTCCTTGCTGCATTGACGATTAGCCGACGTTCCCGACGACGTCTTTCTTTTTCTACGACTGGTAAAACAATAGAAATCGAACTCGGACCAGAGCAAAAGTAGAATCAAAATCATCCGACAGCTCCCGATTCTGCACAGAACAAATTTCAGCAATGCGATCGATCGATTCGATGGTTGGTGCGAGCGTCACCGTACCAGGATCCAATTCCCCGTCATGTTGAGGATGCTTGCTGACGCCGGAGCCGCCATCGGTACACGTCGGTGTGGGTCGGACGTTGATGCCAACAAGTCAAAATGAGATTTTCAAGTGTCCGGACTGATAGGAACGAGTTGGTATGCATGATGGATTGCTGGGGGCTTCTTCGGTTCTTGTATAAGAAAAGGAATTATCTCCTGGTGTCTTTTCCAACGCGCTTGTGTCATGGCCGGAGTCGAAGCCGGCGCCCCGCATCGGCGCTCGGAGTCGGCTGAGAGTGCGGAGCGCTAACAATAGGACCCACAGAGCTTAATAATTATGGGGCGCCAAAGGGTCCGGGTACAAGGTATCCATTGCATCAAAGGCAGGTTGATATTGCTAGGAGACCAACGCTCCTCCTACCAAGTCGTCAAGCGTTTCCCTACCAATTATTCGTGCCACCATATTGGATAAACCATAGACCTCAATATGACGCTACCCATTGTCGCCAGCCTAGTCGAGCAGTATGAGACGATCAAGGAGCAGTTCGTGGTGATGCAACAAGCCTTGGCACCGCTCAACCTTACCAAATGGCAGATTGCGCGACTCCTCGCGGCGCAGCTCTACCGTGATACTCCCCGCTCGTGCGCGGGGTCCTTCTTTCGTCGTCGGCCTCTCCCTGCTCCTAGCCCTCGATGCTTTCATTATCCAACCGTACTTTTACTCTCTTCAAAGGCTCGGTGTTCCGAAGCTCACGCCGTCGAACGGGAAGCACGCTTTCGATTACAAGCCGATGCTGGATGAGGCAGCCAGAAAATATCCCGATCGGCCTTGGTTCTTTGGCTACTCTGGGTTCGAGCTCGTCGTGTTCCCGTCCGCCTACGTCAACGAGATTCGACGGCTTCCGGCGAGAACCGCCTCCCTAGTTGATTTTCTCACCACGGTTCAGTTTGGAGGCTACCGTCTCATCGGCACGGACGACTCGAGCAATACGCTCCACAAAACGGCTAGCACTGACTTGGCGAGGAGCATTGCACCCTTGGGCCCGGCTCGACAGGAGACTGCGCGACGTGCGGTACGTAATCGCCACTCGCCTCCCATATGCCGACAGCGAAACTTGCTAACCTAGCCATATGCAGTGGGAATCAATCTAGGGGACTGCCCTCAGTGGAAAAAGGTATCTTTATTCTGGACAGTCTTGGACGTCGTCGTTGCCACGGGTGCGACAGGCCTCGTCGGTGAACCCCTGAGTCGCGACAAACGGTGGCTGAATGCTGTTCGGCTCCTCCCCATAGGAGCAGGAATCGGCGTCTACATTAGCTGCCAGTTTCCACGGCTCTTGCGGCCCATCGCCGCCACCATCTCCTATTTCCCAGCGCTCGTGGTGTACAAGTACATGAGCTACTTGCTACGGCCAACAATCGAGCAAGCCGCGCGAGAATACCATGACTTACCAAACGGCAAGGATAGTCCTGACAAGAAACTCACGCTGGTACACATGCTTTTGGGTCGATACAAGCAGGGTGAGTTCAACCATGACCAGCTTGTCAAGGACGTCATCACGGCCACGTTTGAATCGACGCCAACCACCGCGGTGAGTCTCTACTGGATGCTCACGGAGCTCCTGCAGCGGCCGGATCTGGTCGAAGAGCTTCGGGAAGAGATTACCGGGGTTTTGAAGGATGGGAAGCTGCCAGCAACGCAACTTACCGAGCTCCCAAAGCTGGATAGTTTCATGCGCGAGTCGGCGCGAGTCAACACCTTCCACTACCGTAAGCCAGATCCACCCCATCTATTCCATTCCGCTCTGCTAGGATAGTACTCTAATGTCAAAAACAGTCGGCCTGAGCCGGATCCTCAAGGAGGACGTACAGTTCTCGATCGGGCCTAAGCTCCCAAAGGGCACGATCGTCTGTGTGGACCAGCATCACATTCATAATTCTACGTCCCTATACCCCGACCCAGAAGTGTTCGAGCCCCAGCGCTTTCTTCGCCTGAGAGAGAAGCCCGGCCATGAGACACGACATCAGTATACGAGCAATAGCCCCGAGCTTCTCACCTGGGGTGACGGGCCCCAGGTATGCCCGGGACGTGTCTTTGCCGGCAACACGATCAAGATTCTGCTTTCCCACCTCCTGTTGAACTACGATATACAGTACCCATTGGGAACCCAAAAGCCTCCGAGGCTTTCTTTCCCCAACGGCTCCGTTCAGCCGGATATGAAGGTGCAAATTTTGGTGCGCGAGAGACAGCGCTAAAGGGGCATGGTAGTGTATCATGGCTTTGTCGAGCATGATTGCCAGAGAAATTGTAAGGCCAGGAACACGCAGACTTGGCAATGCTGTTCCATCGCCCAAATCCAGGATAGTACAATGGCGTAGCACAAGAAGCGTGCATTACACTCGTCAAACTAGACCAATAAAATACCATGCAATCTTTCCAAATTCTTCAGGCACAAGGCCTGGTAACTTGATCACCAGTAGATTCTTCACGTTCCCTGCCTTGTCTGCACACTCCGTAATTTTGAACTACTAGAGACTTGCTAGATTGCACCCGGGTCAGCTCGTCTTCCCTGACCTCGAGTCCTTGACCTCCCCAACTACGCTTCGTGTAATGGACGCTAATGCAGGGGACGGAGTGTGCCGCGGACGCAGAATACGCCGCTTCACCCCAAAAGCCATCGTTTGATGCAGCACAGATAAGTAAGCAGTTCCGAAATTTGATGTTTTGTCAGCCCCCGAGTCCGCGATTCAACGACGATCAGTCAAAAACCGGCCAATCGGAATCGCATTTCGGCGGTGGTGTCATTGAGGAACCGGATGTTGAGCTCCGATCGCCCACGATGATTTCGAAGCAAAAGCGACAATGAGCCAAAACGGCGTCTACAGCCTTTCTATACGGCCTTTAGCACCGGGCAGTCCTTTCTCGGATTGCCCCCTCAAGTTTCGCAATTTGGGCAAATCGACCAAAAAAAAAGGTTTACTGGCCAAATTGCCGCATAACGCAACAAGATGGCGACAACTACTGATACGCGAGGCATCGATCGGCTCGAGGGACTTCATTCCTTCGCGGCCCAAATTCCAGCCGCCGCCATTCCCGCCTTCGACGCTGCCACCATCCCCCGTCGAAGCGTGCCGCCACCCTCCACGTCTCTCGGACGCATCGAATCCGTCGCCGTGATTGGTGCCGGAATAAGCGGGGTCTCGACAGCCTCTCATCTCCTCCTCGCCGGGTTCAACGTCACCGTGTTCGAGCGCAGCGGCAACGTGGGCGGGGTGTGGGTGTACGACCCTCGTCCTCCTCTGACGCCTCCTTTCCCCACGTGGTTCCTCCCCGGCGGCCTCGCAATACGTCTCTATCCCCGATCACCTGACGGCGGACGAAACATCCGTCTACTTCGCGTCGCCGGGCCCGTGCTATGCGGGGCTGAAGAATAACATTGGTACGGCCGTGATGCGCAGTAGCCTTCTCGAGTGGCCCGAGGGAACCGATAAGGTAATCACCGCGGAGCAGGTCAAGGACTACATTGGGGAGCTTGCCCAGCAGTACCGCGTGCTGGATCACGTCCACTTCTGGACTCGCGTAGAGAACATCTCCAAGCCTGCCGGCGCCACGCAGTGGAACGTGCGCACCAAAAGTTTGTACGCGACGATGACGCCTTCCACTTTGAAACCCAACATTGGGCTTTTGACGCCGTCGTGGTCGCCAGCGGGCACTACGACGTCCCGCGGGTTCCAGAGATTCCCGGTCTCGCGGAATGGAAGGAACGGTATCCGGACCGCGTGACGCACTCTAAGACGTACCGGTCGCCGAAGCCGTACGAAAATTCTACCGTGCTCATCGTGGGCGCTGGGGTGTCGTCTTATGACATTGCAAACGAAATAGACAAGGTTGGCGGTAAAACGTACCAGATTACTCGTGATGTTACGAGGGCCAACACGGCTCGTCAGGAGGGGCTGGCAGAGAGTTGCGAGCGAGTGCCCGATGTCCAGGAATTTATTCTTGATCCGGACTCTGATGTAAATCAACAGGATGCATTGAGTTCTGGAGAGCCGATACCGGGCAAAGTTGTTCTACGAAACGGCCGCGAGATCACCGGAATCCACCACGTGGTTGTCGCAACAGGGTACATCACAACCTACCCATTTCTCGGCGAGCTTCAGAAGCCAGCAGTCGCCGTAGACGCGGCCGACGACCAACTCATCATCACCTCGGACGGGTACACGCTCCACAATCTACACAAAGACATCTTCTACATCCCCGACCCTACCCTCGCGTTCGTCGGCGTCCAGTACAACACCTCCACATTTTCCCTCTTTGACTTCCAAGCGCGGATCCTCGCCAGAATATTCAAGGGAGAGGCGAAGCTGCCGCCGCGAGACGAAATGTATCAGGCGCACCTAACGCGAAAGGCAAACCAAGACCCGGCTGTCAAGTTTCACAGCCTCTCGCTCCAGGATATTGCCTACGCCGAGGAGATACTCGAATCCGTCAACAGAGACTTGGAATCCGCTGGCTTGCCCAAGATGGTGGCCTTTGACGAGAAATGGCACAAAGGATTTGCTGAACTCAAGGCATTCGTGGCGTCTGTTCGCCCTGATATCGATCAGGATAAGCCGCTGGTTCAAGGGAACTAGTGGGATGATGGGAAAATGAGTAGCTTTTGTATGCGAAGCATGTAGTTTATCATAGCTAGTCCCACAGTAATTTCCATATTGATCTATTCAAACAATAGACCCCACGACAACGCCAGTATCGTGTAAATTCTAACAATGATCTCAGCTGATACATCTAGAGACGACACCGTAGGTAGCGGGATACCAACAATCCACATGTTTATGTCCAGCCCCTGAGTTCAGGTGAGTTACTATCCATTCATGGGTAGTTGATTAGAGGAGTGATAGCTACCCAAGCTCCACGGGAAGGATACGGGACATAAGGGTCTATCTACAGCTGACTTGGCGGAGAAAGTATCGGGACAATTCTAGACATCGATGCTCAAATCCCAAGTCTAAGCGATGCGCGTACCACAACTTCATACAGCTGCACGGTTCTTCGTCGACATGTATTTCTATGTAATGGGAATTTGAGCTGGAATCCAAGCAGCCCACCGTTCACCCTCTAGTCATGATCGTTAGCATTACGAACCAAAAATGAAGCACCACTCCTCAAAACACGCCTTTCAATCACACTTACCTACGAAAAGTGGATTCCACCGTCAATGATCACGCTTTGACCAGTAATCAGGTGCGAATCCTTGCCCACGAGAAAGCTCACGCAGCCAGCAATGTCCTCGGGCGTCGAGGGCTTCTTCATCGCGGGCCTCTCCTGCACACCCCGCTGCCACGCCGTGCCTCTGGGCACCCCGTACTTGTCGGTGATAGACTCATCGATCTGGTCCCACATGCTCGTCTTGACCATTCCAGGACAGTACGCGTTGACGTTGATCCCGTGCGGCCCGAGCTCGATGGCGGACGCCTGCGTCAGACCGCGCACAGCCCACTTGCTCACCCCGTACGCCAGGGCCGAGGGCTCCGGACGATAGCCCGAGATCGAGCAAGCGCCTACGATGCGACCGCCCTTGCCTTGCTTGATCATCTGCTTGGCGGCCTTTTGGTAACACAGAAATACCCCGCGCACGTTGACGGCCTGGACGCGGTCAAACTCTTCCACCGTGATGCTTTGTAGGTCCTTCATCACGATGATGCCGGCGTTGGCAATCATGATGTTGAGCTCGCCAAACGTGGAAATGGTTTGCTCGAGTAAATGGTCAACGTCTTGTTCGCGGCTCACGTCTCCTACCACGATCAGCGCGCGTCGCTTCTTCTGCTCAATCTCGGTGGCCAGAGTGTTGAGGTTTTCCCTTTGGCTCTCCATGTCGTTGATGACGATATCGTTTCCATCGTCTGCGAGGCGAAGGGCTATGGCTCGCCCAATGCCTTGAGAGGATCCGGTTACGATGGCAACGGGCATGGTGAATAGGAGACACGGAAGAAAGGAGTTAAGAAGGAAAAAGAAGGAAAAACGGGTTAGTGCAGTGACAAAACGTGTGAATCAGAACCCTGGATTTTTATGTGTTCCACATCTTATACCCCCTCCGCACCTTCCACGAATCGACGACTAGCCAAGACTCTACAAGGCAGTCACGAAAGGGCTCCAACGTTCGCTCCTTCCCAGCACTATCTTCGGCGCTCGGCACTCGGCATTCCCACATTTCCCCACAGATTCCTGAACAAATAAGATTGATGGGGGTGGATGCCACTGGACCACTTCGGGACTAGTTTTGCAGCCTCCCCGCCTTCCTCCACCATGTGAAAGGCTGTCTTGGGGGAAATGCAGCTTCCCCGCGTTGACATTTTTCTTACCATCATGACCCTCGGAACTTGGTGACGTTGTTCCCCTGACGCGGAGAAAGATTTATCGAATTTTGACCTCGGGACGGAAATACCGAAACGACTATATTGATCCCGACATCACTGTCCTGCAGTGGATCTTTGCACTTTTGTTATCCTTGCAGAAAGAGCCGCTCTTCCTTTTTCCCCTGCCAGCGCATTTGCCGTCTTCCTAGCCCTGTCCCTCTTCGGCATCGAAGAGCCTACACCAGCCGCCCTTGGAGATCCGTTCCAGCAAGGCATGATGCAGCAAAGACCCGGTAACCGAGCCCACATAGTCTGCGTACAGTGTCACGCGAGAAAGGTATGCAGACACCCTGCGTGCGCCTGCCGACTTTGTGTGCAGAATTCCCTAATCACTCCTCACAGGTCAAATGTGACCTTCAAGATCGCCCCGATAGCTGCTGTGCCAACTGTCGGCGCTCCAACCAACAATGCGTGTTAGTTCCGTTTCGTTGTTTCTTTTGTTCAAGCCACCCCTGTGCCGCGGCTTTTCTTTTTCCTTCCCCATTCCCTAACGCACGTTATAGGCGCCGACATGGGGTGAGAGCTCGGCGCAAGCCTCCCCACGCCATCGGCACCACCCACGTACCTCATTCGCCCTCGCCCACCGTCGACGCGGCGTACCAGGACCTAGGCATCCCGTCCCCGCAAAGTCCCACGAGACCTCCTCGTTCGCAGGCACGGCCGGCTTGGCGCGGACACCCACCGATGGCTACATCGATAGCAGCTCGGTCATGTCGCACGACGCTACCACCCCCTTCCCTCAGCCATGCTCCGCAGTACCTGAGCCGTGCCAAGGAAGCCATCTTGCGTGCGACGCAAGCAGCGGAGCTACCCCGGCCCGCACTCCTCGCCGCCTTGATTGACGATTACTTCAACAATGTCTTTTCGGCCACGCCCGTCGTGGACCCGCAGGATGTCGCGGGGCCCAACGCCTCGGTGCTTCTTTTGCAGGCCGTGTGTCTTTCGGGAAGCCTCGTACGGCAGGATAGAGATGGGCCGACGGCTTCTTTTATCTTTTACGAAAAAGTGAAAACGCTACTGTACCTAAACTACGAGACGGATGTCATCGTCAATCTCAAGGCCATGTGTCTTTTATCCTGCTGGAGCAGCGTACCTACCAACGTGGTTACGCTTGATGGGCCTTGGCAATGGCTTGGTAGCGCTATCCGCCTTGCACTCCAGATTGGACTGCATCGCCGGTCGACGTACGAGGGGCACCCTCAGGCATCGTGTCTCCGGAGGATCTTTTGGTTCCTGGCGGTACGGCCACATAAATATCCCTCTTACCTTTTTTCGCTTTTCCCTCATCTTTCAAATTTCAAGCAAAGGGCTAACTCTTTTTATTTAAAATAGAACGCCGAGCGGATGATGGTGGCGTGCTGGGGACGGCTCGGTTCCTTGAGGGTGGAGTGCTGCGACGTGCAAGCACTGACTGCCGACGACTTCCCACACAAAGCCATATACGCCACGACTTTTACGCGCGTAATACCCGTCATCGAGATTGTCGGCCGGATCGCCGAGATGACGATCCAGAAGCAGGTCGTATCCGGGGAGCAGACGCTGCACTTTATTGACAGGTTATGCGAATGGATCCACGATTTGCCAGACGAAGTGCGGCTCTTTGACCGCGACGAAACTCGGCAACCATTCAACCGCCACATCTCCGAGCTCCACATTTACTACTTCGTCGCCATCATATTAACGCAGATGGTCGGGAAGCAGGCACGCCAGTACTGGAAACCCCCTCTGATTTCGGTGATTGCGGCGTCGGCCCTGGCTAGAATCTACGAAGAGATCTTTTATCGGGAGCAGACGCAATATCTGCCCTCGATTCACGGATTTCTGTCCCTGGTAGCTGCTATTCCGCTCATCTACTTTAAATCCGACTCCGCGCAGGCGGAAGCGGAAAGAGCGGAAGAATTAGAGATGATAATCTCGGTCATCAACTCGATGAAGTATAAATTCGGCGGGTGTCGCCTAGTCTACACCAAGATCCAGGGGCTCAAGCAAGAAGTCAAGGCGCAGTTTCGACAACAGGCGCAGGCGCAGCGGCAAGAGGACGCCGAAAGGCCAGGACAAACTTCCAAACCACACGAAAGAGGCCTGGGGTCCATCACCTGGGCAGATCAGAAGATTGGGGAGCGGCTCGGCCAACTATTTCCTATCCCACATCCTTTTGCAGAGCGATGGCGCTGGTGGACGGCGCGGCGACGGCGGCGGAATCGTTTGACGAACTTGATTTTGCCGCCATCGATGGTGGCGATGCGTCGGCGGCGTTCAACACGTTTTTCTCGGTCATGGACACGTTGGGCATGGATATGACGGCGGAGGATATGGGCAATGGGGAAGCGTTTAACAGTATTTTCAACCTCGAGATGGGGTAGGCTTAATATATTACTTGTAACCGTCTCGTCATTACGAATTCATCGGTGAATCAATGTTTTCTTCTGTAACCTACTCCTCCATAAGATAGTCATTATGTTCACCTTGGATCCCAGCTGAAGTTCCCACAAATCTTGGCTTTTTTCGGGGTCATCAAGATCGTTGGTACTGTCAAGGGCGGCGAATACGCTCGGTCTCGGCAGAGTGGAGACTTCGGCACAAGGAGCTACTTCGGTACAGCAGCGGGGATGGCAGCTCGGCAAACAAGGTGAAGTACGGAAGCGACCAAGCTCTGGGATTCAATACAAAAGGCGCAAAATGTGCGAGAAAGATATTTTACATCTATAGACCACTTACCAGCGTGCATTGTTCTACTACTTAGCATCCTCCTTGAATATCACGAGCCCCGACACCAAACAGCATCCTGTCACTATCCCTTGTCCCAGTACTTTTCCAAGTCTAATCAATCATCACAATGGCCCAGCAACCTTCACAGAACCTATTGACTGGTGCCAAGATGGTCCAGGAGTTCTTCGGCGATGAGATTCTAGAGGGCATCCGAGCTCAATCCGTAAGACAGCCCTTTTCTTACAGCAGCCTCCACATCCCCCTTGGTAGATAAAGCCAACTACAACGTTCTGAAACCTGACTTTGTCAATGAAAGCGTGACGACCTTCCGGCCAAAGTAAGCGCCGAATACATTGCGGAAGTTTGCTTCTCGGCCTACGCCCGTCCAGGCCTCGTCTTTCGAGAGCGCTCGCTCATGAACATTGCCATGCTGATTGCTCTCGGACGGGGTCCCGAGCTTCGTCTCCACATCCGCGCAGCGCTGTACAATGGCCTGACGGAGGAGCAAATTTGCGAAGCGTGTCGCCATGCCATGATTTACTGCGGTGTGCCGGCGGGGAGAGATGCGCTGCTGGTGGCGAGTGATGTGTTTGACGAGGTCAAGAAGAGCAAGACCAAGGACTCTAAACTGGCGTAACTTATCTAGATTATGTTTTAGTACTTATAGAATTTTATCACTAATAGAGATTAATAAAGGATTCTATTTGCGGTAATAACAGGGCGGCGTAATACTAGACGATGTTGCAAAAGACAACAAGAAGGGATAAAAAGGAGTGAGAGGCGCTGTCGCCATTTCTGAAAGCACCATACAAGTTCCTCTAGGATACCTATCCTAACTGATTTTTATTCACTAAGCTGCTCCTGCCTCTCCCTTAAGGCGAGTATAGATGAGTTGTCGTTCCGTAAATAGAAATAGGGAGCGCGATAGATGTGGAAGGAACGATACGCAAAAGGAATGATCTAGAACAGCTTTATGGCCATCACACTGTGGCAGTACCTAACTCGGTGCTCCAGTCCTGATAAACGACAAGCCAAGTCTTTGCCCGCTATGTATCCACAAGCAGTCGCGAAAGCTGTCTCGCGAGAGGGGACATCTTGGTAGTCCACTACACGTGGAACCACATGTTGAGTAGCTAATTGATCCATAGATCGATCTGAATAGAACTTATTCTTTCTCCAAACGAATATTCATATTGGTATTGCAGCTACCTATCAACCCAAACGTAACCTCCGCGCCTCGTGTCATCTCTAGCATTACAAAGTATAACGGAAACCGGGAACCCCCTCGAGGACAACACCCTCGTTGTCGGCCTTCTTGTTCTGCCCCCAAAAGTACAAAGCGAGGCATCCTGCAATGATAGCATTGACAGCCATGCATGCGAATGTAGCGTACAGACCGGGGCGGTAGCCCGGGTAGTCTTGCGCGCGGAAAACGAGCGATCCCACAATGCCACCGATACCGCCACAAACCGTTTGCACCGGCACGGCAAATTGCCTCTTTCTCGTAGTTGCCATATTGTTGGACATGAACGCTAGCACGGTGGGGATTGCGCAATTGTTGCCAGTCACGGCCAAAAGATTCCGCACAGCTTGGCGCCGGTGTTGGGCCCCCATCCGACGAGAGCAAGGCCAACGCAGACCAGCATAGAGTATGCCACGATGAATGGCGATCGCAACTTGACGCGATCGGCAATCATGCCCGTACCGATGGAAACAATGGCGGAGAAAATGTAGGGCGGGGTCGTGAGAATCTGGCTCAGTGCCACGTTGAAGCCAAAGCTAGAGAGGATAGACGGCGTGAAAAAGGCAAAGAGTAGGCTCCGGCGGTAGGAAACAGCAACATGCTACCGAGAACGTATACTTTCCAATCCTTTAGGGCTTCTTTAAAGCCCTGTTTCGTGTCTACTTCGGCGCTGATATCTTCGCCAGAATCTCGAGATAGCCGCTCTCGCAATAGTTGGGACTCCTCGGGCTTCAGCCACCGAGCCTTTTCCGGAAAGTCGGAGACGAACAGCCAGACCGGCACGGTGGCAATTATGGTGACGAGACCTGGGATGATGAAGATCCATCGCCAGCCTCGAAGACCGCCTTGACCTTCCATTTGACTGAGTCCGTAGGAGAGGATTCCCGTGAAGCCAGAGATGACAGAGCCGCTCACAAACCAGATGGCAAGTCGTTGTTGGACCTCGTGTCGCTTATACCAGCAAGTGATGACATAGATGGTAGCCGGCTACGGGAGGAGGGGAATAGGTTAGTTAGTGGACCGAAACGAACGATACAAGGCCTGGCTAGTAGTAGTAGCCGCCGTCCAGTTGTCTCACCTGAAATCCTCCTTCGAAGATACCCAACAGAACGCGGAGGGCGGCAAGCTGGCCAAAGGTTTGGACAAAACCGAAGCACATGGCCACGACGCCCCAGCAAAAACCATAATGGTCAGGTACGTCCTCGGACCGATGCGTCGAAGAATGGCATTGGAGGGTATCTCGGTGAGGATGTAGGTTATGAAGAAGATGAGAAGTGCGATGGAGTATTTGTTGCCGGTGAGGTTCAAGTCTTTTTCCATGCCGGATATCTTGGCGGCGGCGATGTTGGTCCGGTCGATCAGGGACAGGGCGTAGGTGATGCAGATCCAGGGAAGAACGTAAAGATCGACCTTGCGAAGAAGCTTGCGTTCCCTCGCCTTGGTTACTTGCTGGGTTGCTTCGCTTTCGACATGGTCGACGGAGAATGGCTCTTCTCGTTTCATTTCGCTGCTACCGTGAGCAGACATCTTGTTTTTTTTTTTTTTTTGCACAACAGGGGCCAACGCAAGGTTCCAATGTGTACTGATCTTGGATAAATGTTGCTAGCCGTGCTCGAGGAAGGGGCCCTTGATAGAGAGAACAAAAGAATGAAGGATTCCAAGTGTGGAGGGCGGATCGTCGTTTATATCTGCGGGTTTGCTAAACCCGGGGACTCGGGACGTCAATTTGGCACAAATCTGGGGAAAGGTCTTGGAAAGAAAAATCCGGGGAAACAGGGGCAAGACCTGGTTCGGGGCCTCCAGATGCGCGAGGCTTGGCGTTGGTCGGGGTCGGGGTCGTGATTGTGGGTGACGGTTTCCCCAAACTAGCGCGGTCGGTACTTCGGCAGTCGGTACAGAATCTCGGCGTTTGGACCCAAAACCCCAACCTCTTCCACGGGCGTCGGCCCATTCCCGCTATTTGGTTCAATTGCTGGCCTAGATATGTCGGCAAGGACTAGCGCTGGAGGTTTGCATCGCCAAGCTGGAGAAGATTAGGGCCGGGTTATGTTCTTGGCCGTGCACCTTGGCAACGAGGATCGCGATGGCGACGACAAGGCGGGCGACGAATCAGCTGGAGATCCAACGCATCTAATTTGTAGTATATTGGGCGGGGTTAAGGTGCTAAAATGGCCTCTACTGTGAATAAGAAGACACATGGATGTAACGAATAATTACATGTAGGATTGGTACATCTCTATCGATGCGGGTTTTCACGGAACACTGAACGGTCCGACAGAACACTCTATAGCACAGGATCTCAGCTTTGAATGAAGCTAAACTGGATTACATTGTATCAGGGAATTTCTATCTAGAGAGAATTCTATTCTAACAACTCAAGCGTATATACACGAACCATCTACAACTTGTCCGGCTCATCCAAGTACCAAGTCGGGTCCCCTCTCCCAACTCCTTGGTCGAGTATCCATTCCCGAGGTAAGCAAAGCGGTTGCGGCCCTCTAGATACGTGTATTCCCAGTCCTCTCCACGGAAACTTTCCAGCATGTGGAAAAAGTGGATTCGGCTCCCGGGATGGAGAGCAGTGACGGGCCCATCGACGGTACCGTTCTTGAACCACGAGATGCAATTCCCGGCCCATGACGTGCGCGGCATAAAGGCTTGGATGTGTTCAAAAAGATCATCCACAGCTCTCTGGGAGGGCTCGATGGCCTTGATGTTTTCGGTTTGGCACTTTTTGATGATGCGGGTGAGATACTTGGCGATGTGTTCGGTGATTGTGAACACGCTCCCGTGGCCAATGGGCGCGTTTGGTCCGAGGAATGCTAGCAGGGGAACGGAGTTAGTGTTAAGTTTTATTAGGTCTGTCCTCGGCTTGTTTCAAGACCTTGCGAGGATTGGACACATGGCTAGTCAACCAGCGAGGCCACTTACTAAAGAAATTGGGAAACGTCGGCACGGCGCAAGACATGTACGCCTTCGGCAGGTTTTGGCTCCATGTATCCTGCAGGTTTCCCTTTCGCCCGATGATGGGGAACCGCGGGCGGAAGGAGACGTCGAAGCCAGTGGCGCAGATGATTGCATCCACGACAATGGTTTGTCCAGCCGAGGTCTCGAGGCCGCCAGCTACGATCTTGACGATGGGATCCGTGACCACCGTGACGTTGGACTCGCTCAGCGACTCGAGGTAACCCACGCCCGGTGTCAGGCGCCGACATCCGAGCTCAAAGTCGGGAATCATGGCGTTGCAGAGACGCTCGTCTCCGTTCAAGGCAGCCGTCATGTACGCCTTGGCGTTTTGTTGCATTTGCTTGGCGAACTCAGTGTTCTTTTGGGTCTGTAGCATTGTCAGGCTCCGCTAAATACAAAGGATCCGTGGAGAAGGCGGTGATTGGGACGTACGATTGGAAAGTTTCCATTGACCACCTCTTCCACAAGCTTGACGAACTGGTGGTAAAGGCAGGATCGGACTTGAACTTCTCAACCTGACGCGCCGAAAACTTGCCATCTTCGTCGAGCTCAATCTCGTTCATGATGCCCTCACCTGCACCTTGCGCCAAAAGCTGCAGACGAGACGGCACTATCCACGTGGGTTCACGCACGAAATGCACCACATGTTTCGCGGCTATTCTCGCACATTCATTAGTATGCAGCTACATAGCAACCTCAAGAGTAGCGAAAGTTCTTGCCTTTTGCGCCTCGGGGAGAACTTGCACGCCCGAGGACCCGTTGCCGATGACGGCCACGGTCTTGCCGTGCCATGAGAAATCATTGGCCCAGTTTGCCGTGTGCAGCAGGGTTCCCTGGAAATCATGGAGCCCCGGTATGGCGGGCCATTTCCAGTTGCTATATAATGATCTGGTAAGTATATGTCTGCCTCTTTACTCCGACACGTGGTGAAAAAGTAATACGCGTGTGTGTTTGTTTCAACTTACTTTAAAATCCCGGATCCATCTAACAAGAAATGACAATAGTCCTCAAACGTCTCATTGGTGCGCTGATTCAGGACCGAGAGACGCCATGTTCCAGTCTCCTCGCGCCACTCGGCTCGATTGACCAAGTGCTCGAATTTTATCACCTCGCCCATCTTCTCTTCCTCGCAGACTCGACACAGATATTCTTGGATTTCACTGGCGGGCGAGAAAAACTCGCTCCATTCCGGGTTTGGTCGCCACGAGAATTGGTAGTTGTGAGACGGCACGTCGCATTTACACCCGGGATACCGATTCTCATACCAGGTCCCTCCGACTTGCGGATTCTTCTCATACACGACATGCTCGTAGTTTGTCAGATGCAGTCGGAGCGTGCGAATCATGTTCATCCCACTCATACCGGCTCCGACGCACGCGACCCGAAGGCGTCGGGTTGTGCCGATGGGTTGCTCGAGAACCGCATAGTCCGACTTTTTGATGGCGTTGGCATCAGGAGCAAGCTGATTCGCTAACTGCGCGAGACGCGAAGCCATGTTGAATTTTTGAGTGAGCTTAAGAGAAAAAAAAACAGGATTCCAAGTGTATGTGGGATATCGATGGGTGGCTTGGCTTGGGCGGCTGGGACTGGTACAGGGATGACTACTGGAAAACAGGCGCAAGACTTATAAATAACGTGTGCTGGTAGTAACCAAACTTTTTCCCTATTAACCGCGAAGACGAGCGTTGGGTCAATTACAGTTGACGACTTTCGGCGCTCGGCGCCTGCTTCAAAGTGTGCCGAAAAAGCCGCTGGGTCCGTTCGGTAGTGGGTGTGGGTGTGCCGAAGTATTTCGTGCGCTGGTCAGGTCCATGGCCTTGGGAATCGGACCATTGGATGAGTCGATGCAACCCCTGAACGATCGCCTTGGCAAAATAAATGCAGAAAAAGCGCGAGGTAGGCCGAGAGGTGTGTATCTCACATGGCGTGATCATAAATGAGTTGCCGTTGGTGATGAGTTGCGGGTCACTGGTAGCTTATCATCAACTACATGTAGAGACTGGAGCAATTACACGCATACATACTCTCCTCGGGTTTCGACTGCGAGTTGAACAGTTGCAGGGTAGTGCCATGATTCCATTGACAATTCTATACATGTAATAATTTTCTACGCCGAGTATCTTTGTTCTCAACGGTCCGGAATTTCAGGAGAAAGCAGAAATGCCACCGCGCTCACTTCGTACACTATTTCTACATCTCCACCCAATTTGAGTCGAGGCCCAAGAGGAACGAAGTCCTGCTAAGTTTGCTTGCTATTCGTCGTGTAGCTGATCGAGATCTCATCCGTCCTCTTGATTCCCCTCATGTTCCCATTCTGATCCTTTGTATCTCGCAGGATGCTCTCGTCACTGGCGTTGCCTTCGTTGAAGGTGATGACGGCCTGATGACTCGTGCTCGGTTTCCCTTCCATGCCCATCGTCGAGCCGATGCCATATGTTCGGGCGCTGTGGTTGCCGTACATTGGCAACTTGTAGGAGCTACCGTTACCGGAGCTTTCGCCCTTGCTGCCGTATCGGAAGCGGACGTATAGCGGCCGCAGGACGGGAATCGACGAGCACATGATGGTGACGGTGCTTTCGGTGGCGGACCAGATGAGCATGGGTACGGTATCATCTACTCTATTGTTAGCCTCCAGCGACGACGTGCGTTGTGGGTTACTTTGGGACATACGGATGTACTCTGTGGCGTTTAAGCCATCGAGGGCGACGGTGCGCACAATACCGCAGATACCGGCGCTGTGATAGACGTTAGTGGGTAATTTGCGGAGACGGAAGAGTTGAGATGGCACGTACAATACACCGAGACTGAGGCCTACGGCGACGGTGATCTTTTCTTTGCGCTTCATGTTGAGGTCCCAAATCACGAACCAAGGCAGAATGGCGAATCCGAAATCGGCAACGACGAACCAGCCTGATTCAAGCGGAAGTCAGTCTCTCGCAATGTCCACGGAAGACCCTAGGAAGGGCTTGGTTGTCTCGAGACGAGCGCACTTACATCCGACAGTCCAGCCGACCTTGGAGAAGTCGAGCCAACAGGTACCCTCGACGGTGGGGTTCCATGTCCTCTGGACCGGAATACACTGGACGACGACGGTGATGCTTGAGAAAAGGGTGATGAAGACGGTCCCCACGAGGAACGCCCAAATGACAATGGACTGGATCTTGTTTCGCACGATTCGGAGAAGGAAGACGCCGACGGCGCATTTACCCACGCCAATGACCATGAGGCCGGCGACCTGGCTAAAGATTTCATATTTCAGCGCCGTAAAATACGCTTCGGGATCGCCCACGTCGGCGAATAGTCGTCCGAGGCCGTAGAGGGTCGCGATGGTGACAAAGACGGTGTACAGAATTTGAAGAACCTGCCGGTATCACGTTAGCGCCCCAGTTGCTCAAGAAACCATCGGGATATTCTTTTCATTGGCCCGTACCAGCGCGACAGCGATGAGGTAGTCGTCAGGACCAGTCGATTTCAGGATAAACATGCGCGTGTAGAGTCTAAGGCCGACGAAAGGGCAAAGATGACGACTTCTACCCACAGGACCGCGTTGGTCATGGGCCCGAGCCCGCCATAGTACGGAGTCATTCTGCAGGGCGGACTGTCGAAGACGAGCCCTTTTTCGAGAAGAGAGGAAGAAGGAAGGAAGAGGGTCAAAGTGTAGGTGCGTCTGTGAGGATGTGGCGGAAAGCGCACCTTTTCTCGTCGTTCCGAAAAAGAAAAAGTGTGGGACTTGTCCGTGTTATCAACTCCGCAACGCCAGGAAACAAAGATCTGGGCCCGTTCCCACTCCTATCCGCTGAGTGTAGTGGGGATTGATACTGGGGAAATCATACCACGGGCGGATAGGCCAGGGTATTCTACGATAATCTTGCTCTTCCTGGCATGATGGGGGTGGCAGCGAATAATAACATGGGCAGCACCGAAACAACGCAGGGCAGGGCGAATGCGAATTCTTTTTCCTCGCCTTCCAAGACCCAGCAGAGCGGAATCATGTCCGGAAGAGCGCCACAGGTTTCGGTGCTAGAGTTGACACCTCACTTCATGCTCGATGGCTTTCCCCCTCATTGCGAAACCGCTCGCCCAGGGCCTCTCGTAAGAGATTTCTGGCCCCCGGGGATGGTTAGCGGGATACATGGATCCATTGCATGTAGTGTATTGCGGCAGGCAAGGATTTGCAGCTGGAAAAGGGGTAACAAGATCGAGAAACGGCACGCTACAAGTAATCATACAAGTAATAATAATAAAGGGGTGGTCTGCTGGTCTTCTGTTCGGTGCAACTTTCCAGTGCTCCCCTCAGCAAAATGAAACCTGGCTCCATGAGTCTCTTTTCGGTCGATACCGAAGGTGTCTCGACGTGTTGGGGAATGCTACCGAGTTCCCATCAACCTGAGACTTTCGGTATGAATGTATGTACGCTACGATCGGATACCAAATGTTGGACTTGTTTGCGAGATGGGAGACTTTTCCTCCGAGCCGGCAATCACACGGGATGTCTGTCGCCCATCGTCGCGAGCGAGATGTCGGTCCATTGAGCCCAGAAAACAAGCGAATTGAGATTGTCAGGGGATCTCAAGACAGGGAAGCCAAAAAACATCTTTCTTCACAGGCGAAAAGCCACGACCTTCTCTCCGGATTCGCTGCGGCCTGCGGATCCGACACCCCGAGCCCTGCATACAGGGGTTGCTGCCTGCTGACGAGCTGCATGAATGAAAAAGGGTCGACTCGCGTCAAAAGGAACCAGGGCCAAGCAGGGGAAGTGCTTTATCAGTTTTCCATGAAGAAAAGAAAAAAACAACAATTGACAGAACGTCAAGATAGAAAACTGACAGAATTGCACACTAGTGAAGCACCCCCAACCTGCGAGGCAAGGTCTCCTTTGAGGTGGGGGAAGGGAAGAGAGAAGAATTAGACTTATTTTCTAGTCGAAAACTAGCCACTTTTCGTTTAAGCTTCCTCGCGACAGTCCGTCCGGCTCACGCTTAGCGGATCAAGACATTGATGTACGAAGTACTAAACAAAGTTAGAAGCGACAAGAAGAAGGGGGAAGAAGGGCCCAAAAAGAAAGGGCGGCTTCTTCTCCCGAGTTAGTCTATCAACAGAGAGCCTACCCCTGTCAAGAAGGTAACTGTTCCATCTTTCAGTTGCAAAGGGCCCCCTTTTCTTCGCGTTGTCTCTTTTCTTGGAAACACCCCGCGCGCGGCTGGCTTCGCTTCACCATACATCCCCCAGTCTTCGCAGCAGTCGACCCGGGAACTATTGCCCGCGGCGAGCGGTGGCCTGTTCCGGGGACAGCACATCCCTTGCCGAACCTGCTCAGCGTCTCCACTCGCGCGTGTGGCTCAATATCCGGGTTGAGGTTTAGCGCGTCGCCTAGCAGGGGGTGCCGTTGGAACAATCCTTGCAAAAAATTGGGATCCCATTCCCTTGCCCGCACAAATTCCTATGTGGTCTATTATCGGCGGTTTTTGGGGGTACCTCGCAGCCAATTCGTCGTCGAGAAGACCGTGGGGGCTCTTTTCGCACTGCATAGCATGGAGCCCCCTTGCCCCCTTGTTCGACTGACTCGCGGAAAGCTGAGGATAGATACTTGGATAACTCCGCGAGTGACAAAGCCAAAGGCAACCCGAGGAGGGATGGAGATCCTGAGGGGGTTTGAACGTGTTTAAAATGGACCCATTTGCCACCTACCCATGACAGCGACTCGACGTCCAGTGTCCCCCGCCCCCTCTCCATACATACGAAGTAGATGTTATCATGCTGAGGCCCAGGATCGAGACCTTGAACGTACCCTTCTGGCTAGGATGCCGCGTTGGCCTTTACCCCAATCTATCGTAGCGTAGCTAGATCCGACTCCTCTCGGAAGACCCTCATCCTCCTCTTAATACATGGTGGTGCAGTGCTTAGGGATTGTGCGAGGAGGAGGAGGAGACGAGTATTTATACAGGGGAGACACCAGCTCTCCTCCTCCCCTCTCAGTTGTGGAGACCGCCACCGTGTTATTCCCAAGTGATTTTCCCCGCAACATTAAGGGAAAAAAAACCCAAGCAAGATCTTCATACCTCAAACTTTCCCCCTGGCCATAATACAGGATGGCGTCCCAGCCCAGCGAGATCATTGCCCTGCTCGACGGCGTCCACCACGGGTCCTTCAACGGTGACGAGGTCAGTCGTCTCGAGGTTCGGGCCGCGGCGCGCCGCCTCCTTGCCAGGGTCGAGTCCCCGTATGAACGGGCTTGGGGTTTCTGCTTTGAACACCCCGTCGTCTTTGCCGCTTTACAAACCTTTATCGATCTGGGCCTCTGGAAGGCCTGGACGGTGGGTGGTGGCGGTGAAAAGTCGGTGGATGATTTGGTCAAGTTGTGTGCGCGTGATATCGAACCAAACCTCCTTCGTACGTCTTTTGGCCCCCAACCCACTATGCCCGCATCCTCAACATGCTCTCATGATGCCGGCGAGGAGAAATAATAAACGCTATCCGCTATTTAGTAACTTACATGTAACGTGATGAATAGGCCGATTGTTCCGCCTTCTCGTTGCCTTCAACGTGGTAGAAGAGACAGGGCCGGACTCTTACAAGCCCACTCCCTTCTCCTCCTCCATTGGCGATGAGAGCACCAAAGTTCGTGCATCGCTTCAAGCCGCGTATGGCCCCTCTTCTACTCCAGTACTCTGGCCTCGTATAGCCCCGAAAGCTAATCATTTCCATGCACTAGCAACAACCAATACATCTTGGCTGGCCATAACCTACCCAAATATCTCGCCAAGATCGACTTCAAAGAACCCACCGCCGTCGACGTCAACAACCACTCCGAGAGCGACCCCGATGGCCTAAACTTCTTCGGACGGCTCCAAAGAGCCCCGACTACTACGAAGCCTTCACCGGCCACATGGAGGCCTGGACGGCTTGGAAGACGCCCTGGACCAAAATCTACGATCCCAAGAAGCTCCTCGAAGGCGCCAAGCTCGGCGACGATTCGCCCCCGCTCGTCGTCGACGTCGGCGGCAACACGGGTCTCGACATCTCCCACGTCCTCAAGGCTCTGCCCGACCTGCGGCCCGGCGCCCTCGTCCTGCAGGATCTTCCCGAGATTATCGCCAAGGCTCAGGTCGACGACAAGGTTACGGCCATGGTGCACGACTTCTTCCAGCCCCAGCCAATCAAGGGTAAGTTCCAAGACATTGTGTAACCCACGCTCGAATTACGAGAGAGACACTGGGCTAATTCATCAATTGATTATTATAGGAAGCCGTGCCTACTTTATGCACGCGGTCCTTCATGATTGGCCCGATGCGCAAGCCACGCAGTTGTTGGAGAACACGCGAGACGCCATGGTCAAGGACTACTCCAAGCTCTTTGTCTACGATATCGTGATGCCGCCGACAGGTGCGAGCATCAGCCAGTCGACCATGGACGTGCAGATGATGAGCCTTCTTTCGGCCGCGGAGCGCACCAAGAGCGCGTGGGAGACTCTTCTCACGGGTGCTGGCTTCAAGATTGTCAACTTTTGGCCTGACCCGCAAAAGTATGAGATGTTGATCGAGGCCGAGGTTGCTTAATGGCGTGTGTTTTATAGTATAAAGCATTCAATTCAGTCTTGATGGCAGAATAGAGACATCATCTCCGCAACGCGATGATTCAGTTCGCATTGATGTAGCCCAGTGACTATAACCTACAAACAACATGGCCCTTGTCCCGCTCGAAATCAAGTGGCCGTGCGCACTCACAACCATCACGGCGGATGGTGAACCTCCCCTGGAATATGTATAGTTCCTGACCTTTATACCATGAAAGCCATGCTAGTAAAAGATGTTTGACAAACCTATGGAAAAGAACAATCACGCTGTACTTGTACTCCCGATATACACCACCTCCACGGCCGCAAAGGCCGCCGTGGCTGAAAAGATCTCCACCTTTTTCGCACCCGTGAATAACGCCAACGTGACAGCAAAGAGCGTCGTGAAGACAATGACCAACCCAATCCTGTGGATCATGTCCTTGACGAAATACAACGCGAGAATCACAACCGTGGGCAGGATGGCAGAGAGCGCGGCGACGATGCCACGACCAATGCGGGCAATTTTCTCTTCTTGGTATTTCCGGTACTTGTCTCGTTTTCCATCCTAGTGTGTGTCAGTTAGCCAAGACTATCCATGATCTCATACAAGAGACTCGCGAACTAGGGGAAAGAGAAGAAGACTAAGGGTAATACATACCTTGCCATGCCTCCCGATTATCGCATGGTAAGTGGCCGTCAGGGTTCCGTTAAGAAACCGCTGGAACCCGTCGATTTCAGCAGACGGCGGCTGGATCGTGAGAAAGTCGCCCCTATTCGCGTCCTTCCACGTCTTCGACTCGATGCCCTTGAGGAAGCCGGCGCCCATCTCCGGCCGGTCCAGCCACTTTTGAAGAAAATCCAAGTCATGATCAAGGGGTGCCGTGGCTTTGCCGAGCGTCATGAGCTGGCTCAAGGCTTCGTCTGATGGCAAGCACAAGTCAGAAAAGCGCGTCCCGAGGTTTTCTTTTACATGTCCGCAAGGCCACCGAGGCAAACTCAACTATATTGAACGAGCTTGACCCGAATATCCTCGAGCAGCTCGTACTGGGTCGAGTCGCCGTCGTCGACGTATTCCCTCATTCTGCTAAAACATGTGCCGTATTCCCGGCGAATTGGATCGTCGGATTCCAGGTCCTCCTGCAGGACATCCTGAAGCTCGTGTTCCAGGGACACTAATTCTGCTTGTAGGCGAAGGGCATTGAGGACGTGTAGGAGCTTGAATTTTCTGAAAATGCCAGCTTCGGGTGTTTTCACCATTTGATGCGCGAGCTTGGCGTAGCCCACGTCTTCGGCGGAACAGCCGCCGTTGGGGTTCTCCGTTGACTCCATCACAGCTCAGCGCCGGTCGGTGCAAAGCGACCGGTCCCAATTTGGTTCAAACACCAACTCCGGATGATGTGTAAGTTGTTGCGAGTGTCGGCAAGAAAAGTGGATTTTGTGGCTGCAAAGACTTCAAATTTCAGACTTGACCTGGCAGCAATGATCGAGATGGGTCACGATGGAATTTTCAATGTGATCAAATCTTGGAAGTCCACAATCCATCGGCTCCATTCAGCTTCAAGGATTTCCCGCCCCCTTGAAAAAGGTCACGTCACTCCTCTGATCAACAATGCTCCATTCCATCATTGACCTATTGATGGCCAAGATGGCTTGCAAGGAAGTGCAAAGAGCCAATCATGGATGCAGGTAGAGGCGGAGCAAATCCTTTCAGCTCCCAGCTCGAGTGGGAGAGATAAATGATGCACATGCATCGAATTGATATCGATCTCGACGTTCCCACAACGCTCCTTTTAAACCAACTGGTAAACCCTCAACCGTGGACATGGTCAATCTGCCAACGGGCGCCCACAGAAACAAGACCTTTTCTGGGACTTTGAAGCCATGGCCGACCCTCTTAGTATTACCACGAGTTTTCTCGCGCTCATCGACACCGCGAGCAAGTTGACTCGATCTCTGAGCCTCGCGCCAAGAGTCGACGGCTACCGGCTTCAACGCAGCCTCGAGGCTCTTTCCGAGATCCTTAGACTCGTCTCCTCTCATAACGAGCAGTTTGACGAGAAACTGACTTCCTCCATTTTGCCTGGCGTAGGCGATGCCATGAGCCTGGCTGCCTCGCTCATCGTGAAACTGGAGACCAAGACTGCGCGGCTTGGTATTACCGTGGCTGAATCAGAACTAGAGCGGGTTCGAGTAACCCTCGACCAGTATACGAGCCGTATACGAGACCATTACTTGCTGTAGGCCCTTTTGGTTTCCTTCCTAATTACAATGCCGGGTTTTGATAAGAAATAGGCGGCTAACCCGAGATATGGATAGATCAAGAATCTTCCAAATGAATGAAAAAATCAATGATTTCGGATCCGTCGTGGAAAAGACGTTGCAGAATGTAATCGGTCTCGAACTTGACGAAATCTCAAGCCAGCAGCGGAGGGTAGAACAGCCCACCTCGGACGGCGCCAGCACCCGCAACAACGGCCGCCTTCAATCAAGACAGCAAACCCTCGAGCAGATGCGATCAACCCTCAACGACGCCCTCGGCCGACTGCAGGGACCGAGTTTCAATTCTCCCCGGGTAAACCGGGCCTGCTTCCCCTTTGTGATTCTCCCCCAAGGCCCAACGACCGAGGTCGAGAACGTGGTGGCTCAGATATGCCTCGACTCCATGTCCATGGATAACTGGGTTCGAGCAGACGTGCTGGCGCGCTGTGGCGTCGTTCCCATCCCGCTGGACGAGGACGACGAACGCCGGGAGAAAGTCTATGTCGGCGCGGGCGGTGGGCAGTTTACGTCGCAGGGGAAAGTGACCCTCACGTGGTATTCGGAAAACCAGGCGCGAACTCAAATTACCGAGTTTCTGGTTGGGGGGACGATAAGATTCCGGCGGATGCTATTCTGGGGAGCAACTACATTTTGTCGAGCATGGATGCGAGTATGATGGAGTTTAAAGAGCCGGTCCTTCCCATATTTCACGTTTTGGAAAAAAGTAAGCGCATCTCTCTATCTCTCGCCTTCTACCTGCATGTATCTCTTTGTTCCTCTCGCCTTCCGCTTGCATGTCTTTCTTTGTTTCGCTGGAGTCCGACTCATGGGGTCAGATGTAATTTCTGACATGAATTTTCAGATGACTTCGACCAGCTGCAGCAAATCCAACGAAACAATCACGCCTCCAACGAAGAACAAATCATGCTAGAAAAGGCACGGCAGAAGAAGGCCCGAGACGATAAGCGTCGTTTCAAGGCCGCCTCCAGGGCCACTACGCCGAGTGGGCTGAGAAGCCCCTCATCCATGTACGGCGGGCCTTCGCTAGCAACCACGCGACCCGGTAGCATCATCGGCATCTCTCCTCAAACAGCGACGTTGCGAAGGGGAAGTATGCAAATTGCTCCAGAGGTTCCAATGCGATTACGTGAGTCAGTCGACTCGGACAGGACGTCACGAAGCTTTGGGGCTACGTCATAGACGGTTGGGTTGGTTTCAAAGCCTAGCGAAACTGCCGATGTCCCCGGAGCTGTCTACCCCATCTCGGTGCTGTCGGCCGGGGCCGAGATATCACGGGTGAAACGACAGATGTACACCAGCCCGGAGTTTTCGATTTGTTAACTTCTAGGCTGGACAAGAAAAGTCTTTTGAGAACGGCCTAAGGAGAACACTGCAATAGATCTACAAACGCCAGTCTTTGAGTCCAAAACAACAAATTCTCAATTTTGTACATATGAGTGTGCTTCAATCTATATAAAGAGAGCTGTGATAGCCATAGAGGCAGGGAGGGTGCTTTGCTTGTGAGTGAGGACCTACGTCTGCATTACGGGGTGTTGTTGCCCATCGATTCAGAACAACTATTCCATCGGTGGACTTTGGTCATGGTCGTTGATAATTCGACCGAATCCCGAGCTTCCAGCCAACCGTATACACTCTGTTGTTCTAGTTGGAGCCCCGAAAAGAATAAAAATGTAAAAATACAACATGCCTGCTTTGCGACTAGGGACTCCATGCCAAGGGTCGGTGTTGATCAATTGATGTGGATAATGTTGGGGAACGACCAGCGAAGATTTGTGCTGCGCCACCATCGCACCCTCCCAATTTGGCTGGGCGCAGCAAAACTTCGAGGCCTCTCAACCAGAGCAAGGGAAGCAACACAACAGCTTCCATTTGTGGCTGGGATGTATTGAAAATGGAAAAAACCATCATATTCTCAGGAAGAGGTAGGGCTTATATATAAAATATTTCCCAGCAGGCCCACGAGTCACGCGGCCCGTAGCCAAAGGCGAGCCTCTCATTAAGCCTCAAAATCATCACGATTCAGGACGCGCCATTCGAGACGGTTTTCACACAGCCAACATGTCGAGCGATCCGGCGCATCGCGTTCTGCTCTGTCTCCCAGAATGCCTCGAGGCCATATTTCTCGAACTCGACAATGCCACTCTCTTAACCTCGGCCCAATTAGTGTGCAAGTCATGGCTCAGCGCGGTTCAGGACTCGCGCAGGCTACAGCGAAAGCTCTTCTTCGCGCCAATCTCCCGCCCCGAGACGGGCGGGACGCGGACCCGAACCCCCTTCTCCAACACAAATTCCCGGCCTTTTTCAACACGGGCTTACGATCAAGGATCATCCGCGAAGAGGCCCTACAGAACTTCGGTGGCGCGAAAACCAAGGATAAGAACGTCACCGCGCAGAGACTCAAGGCTCTGTTGTGCAAGGGCGCGAGTTGGCGGCGCATGTATCCCGAAGCGCCGATAAGCTACAAGATTGGCGTCGTTGAGTCGCGGGGAACAGCGAGCTGTCCTTTTACAGCCAGGTCCTCGACGTTCCCGAAGGGGTGACCATGGGCAAGTTGTACGATTTCGCGTATAGCATGCACCTGGGTCGCGCGATGGAGGGCGGCTGGTTCGGGGTGTACTGGAGAGAAAAGAGCCAGGACCCCCGGTCAACAATTATTCGTGGAATGCCTTGGAAGAGGTGGCGCTTTCACGGTTTGCCGAGGACGTGCGGATTGTCCTGTGTCCGCGCGTGCGAGGCGAGGCGCTCTGCCGAGCACGAAGAAGAAGTTGAAGGCGCGGTATATGCCGGCGGAATTCGAACTTTGCACGATCAACCTCGAGTTTGCGTCTGCTCAGGATTTGTTCGGTTGAGAGAGAAGAGAGGGGCCCGTTGGTGGAGCCGGCTTTAGTTCCAGTAAAAATAGCTTCTCAAGGTCCATAGATTCCGTCCGATGCTGCTTTCCGCGATGACTTGGAATGACGCCACTCGAGGACCTCGGTAATTCAGGGTCCATGGGAAGCTTCATCGTGGGAGAGATTGGACGAGTGAGTGTACATTAGAAAATCCCTTCTTTCCGCCTCCACCAGAGAATATTCCTTCACGAACACTGAAGTGGAAGGACCCATCGCCTGAGGGGAGCATACAAGATCACGGCCCCACGCCAAGACGTACCAGTCTCCCACCGTCATACGACAGGGGAAAGCGTCCCCGCTGTAGAATCGAGGAAATTTTTCTTCTTTTTTTCTATGACCATCAGCCTATCACTGATCGGTGTTTACATACACGATGGAGAGCGGGACAAGTCCAGACCCCATCACTGATGCAACAAGGGGCATGCAAATTGATCGTTTAAGAGGGGATTTTACAGTCTGAGGTCTTGTGTCATCGGCCGAGGAGGGTTACCGGTCCCAAAAAGACCGTGTGGAATATGTCGTACAGCTTGGCGCGTTCCGAGGTTTAGGTTGCGAAAGGGGACAGAAAAAAAGATCTCGAGATTGATAACAGAGATCTCATCTCATCTAGGCCCCTCCATCACAACCCCACCATCCCAAAGCTTTGGTCGCTTGCGGCATTTCTCCCCACCCCACCCCCGAAATTGCGACTCGGACATGGCCCGTTCTAGGCATAGTGCCTGGCGTCTTGGCATCAAACCCTCATCCTTGGATACGAGTTTGTCGCGCTTTTGTAAAGAAAAAAAGATGGGATGACCCGGAGGAAGGGGCTCGGGTCGTACTAGAACTTGAGGGCTTCAAGGGTCCCAAGGCGGTATCCGCTCATTACCCACAAGATCGCGAAAAAGAACGGGGCAAACCACGATGGTTTTTTACCTTGCCGCTCGTGGGCCTTGGCGGGGGGACTATTATAAAGACGATCTTATCTGATCATCTCTTTCACAACCTTTCCCTCGCTCTCCTAGCAAGGGTTACACGTTTTGCCGAGAGTTGACAAGTGCATGTGTAGGTTCCCAAGACACTCGGGATAACTGTTCGATATGAAGGTCTCTGCCATTGTCGGCGCGCTGTACGGCTTGCTAGCCACTGTCGAGGGCACGCTCTACCGTTGGCCGTCTCCGTACGATGAGATTGAGGACATCTTGTCGCTACAAAGCGGCTACCTCGCCCGGAATTTCGTCGCCGGTAAGCTTCAACCCCCTCTCGAACAAAGCCAGCCTCATACAGCAACGTTTCTTCTGTCTTTTTTTCTTTTGGTCTCTTCTGACGTTCCTCATGCAGGCGTGACACCGTGCTCCCAAGGCGGAAACGTCAAAGGTCGCCAAAACGCCGCCGAGTGGATCCGCACCGCGTTCCACGACATGATCACGCACAACCAGCGCGCGGGCACCGGCGGTCTCGACGGATCCATCTGGTTCGAGACCACGCGGCCCGAGAACAACGCGCGCGCCTTCAACAACACCTTCAACTTCTTCAACTACCTGTACTCGACGCGCGCCTCGGCCGCCGACCTCTTGGCCATGAGCGTGGTCGTGTCCCACAGCGGGTGCGGCGGCACGACCAAGATTCCGTTCCGCTACGGCCGCGCCGATGCCCCCGCCGCCGGGCCCTACGGCGTGCCTGAAACGCACACTCCGCTGGACACGACTACGCAGCGGTTCCTGGACGCGGGGGTGAGCCGCGAGGAGATGATTCTCTTGGTGGCGTGCGGACATACACTTGGGGGCGTGCACAGCGTGGATTTCCCCGAGCTCTCGCCGGGGAGTAGTGATCCGTTCAACGACACGGTGACGCACTTCGATAGCACGCCGCACGCCTTTGACAACGCGATTGCCACTGAGTTCGTCAAGGGTACCACGAGGAACCCGCTCGTGATTGCCGCAAACGATACGCAGAATTCCGATAAGCGCATCTTCAACTCGGATCGTGGAAAGGTCATGCAGACGATGGCGCGCAAGGCTTCGACGTTTGAGCAGAGGTGTTCTCAGGTGTTTAGCAAAATGATTGACACCGTGCCGAGGAATGTCCGGCTCTCCAGTCCCATCGAGCCCATTGATATCAAGCCCTACATCACCGACTTGTACCTCAACGATGCGGGCTTTTGAACTTTACCGGCCGCATTCGCGTGAGAACGACAGAGGGTGCCCGAGCAGGGCGCGACCCTAATGATCTCTCGGCGCACATTACCTACGCCGACCGCCGCGGTTGGGGAAGCGTCAAGGTCGCCACGACGCAAGCCGGCCCTACCCAAGGCCTCTACGGCGAGACGTTCACCTGGTTCGAGTTCACCACCACGATTTCTCCTAGCTCAGGCATCAGCAAGTTCTATATTCACCTTACCGTGCCTTCCAAGAAGCGCACGACTCTTCACACTAACTGGCTCCTCGGCTACCCCGTTGATGACGCGCTGCTCTACCAACGAGCCGCCTCGTGCGTGTCCCGCACAAGCGTCAACGGCGGCCGCCCCATGACTGCCACCGTTGCCGTGCTCAAGAGTCGCGCCAGCGCGCCGCTTACCATGGACGTTGTGCGTATACAGACGAGATCAGGTACTCTTGTGCGCAGCCTGACCACGGAGACGCTTCCTTTTGCCAAGAATGGCGAGGAGAGGGATGGATATGTCTTTTTACGGCGCCCGTCTCTTTGACTACGATAGGGTGGTCAACGAGCTTTGATATTATTCAGGGGGTGGCTTGGGTCGAAAAAGGAGTTTATCAGGACAGAGGCGTGCCCGCGGGTATAATCATAGCCTCATGGGCGGGGTTTCAATAAAAAGACAGGTATTATATGTAATGAGAATAGACAATCTATTGATTTTGGCGTGCAAGGACGTGTGCCCCTACGCTAGGATATGATGGAGCTCAATGCTTCGTGAGAGGAGAGAGATAACACTTCACCGTGTACAGCACAAAGAAACCGCCTTATCCGGTCCAAAGTGCCTCAGCACTTAGTAACTTCCTCTTCCTCTCCAGGAAAAGTGGGACTCGAGGCTTGTGGAATACAACTACTCTTTTGTGACGCACCAAGGATATAGCCAAGACCTCGACATTCTCCTAATCATTCCCATGTAGCTTGCATGGATCACATAAGAATACCCATTGTGGTATTGCATTGTTATCTAAACATCATGCCCAAGCCTAACACTATCGGTGCCAGGCCTTAGAACCCCTCCCAGGCCATCGTCCCAGACTCATTTGAGTCCCTTCGAGTTAAGCGCTCCTAGCAAAACCTCGGCAAACCGCGAAGCGTGGGACGCATACCCTAGATGGCCCCCTGGTAGTTCCAGAATATCCAACCCAAGCTTCTCCGACAGAGCTTTATTCGGCCGATACGGGAAACAGTCGCGCGAGGCATCCCCGCCGCGAGGATCAAACGATCCGCCAAATTCTTCAGCACGCCCACGTCTAAATCCGCCGACGTGTACTGCCGAACTTCGTGCTCGAACCAGTATTGGATATTGGCGGCACTCCTCTCGGGCGCGTCACCGCTGCTCGACCGCGCTCGCAAGTGTTCGGCCTCCTCGCGGGTGAGCACGCCCGCGACGAATTTCTGCATGCCATTCTTCACCCCTTCCTCGCGATACACGTCGTACACGTCGTTGAAGAATGTTCGCCACTGCAGAGCTTCCGCCTCGGCTAACAAGTTCACGGCGGGCGGTTCGTGCGCAATCAGCGCGCGGACGGCGGAGGGATGGCGAATCAGAAGTGTTAGTGCGACGACGGCACCGGAACTGCTTCCGAAGACGATGGCTGGGGTTTTGGATAGATGCTCAATCAGGCGTCTGGCGTCGTCGGCGTCGGTGGCGAGCCGCGTCTCGTAGTTTTGCGGTCCTTGCAGCTCGCTGCGGGAGAAGCCTCGCCGGTCGTAAGCTACCACGGTGAAGTGCTCCGACAACGGGACCGCAATCTGCTGGAAGATTGTCGCATCGCCGTTGGCCCCGGCGATCAAGAGTAGGAGGGGCCCTCTCCTCGCGTTTCGTAGTACAATGAAGCCCCGGGGACACTGAGATGGTCACTTTTCGGATTCGAGGCAGCCATTTTGCACCTGAGGATGAAGGATGGATTAGGAGCTAGCCTAAGTTTGCAGATTCTCAAGCCACCACGAGGGGCGTTATATATCTGCGCACATTGTGATATTGGGGCCGGGAAACTAGATGACCCGACGCATTAGACAATAAATCGCGTGATTTTTCAGGCTTTCGGGGTAGTCTTTCGGCAGGAGACTTCCAGAGTCAGTGATCACAATCCCAGGGGCCATAGTACATGGACTCCTGCGCTGCATTCAAGAACTAGGATCTTTGGCTGAGGGGAAACTAGTAGAGAGAGCACAAAACACCTAGCAAACGCTGTAGACAAGCGTGCAAATATACCTAACCAATCCCTACATGTCGTCATCTCAGGTGTGATCGTGGGGGTTTCGGACACATCAGGCGAGAGGTATTCCATGGACACCACTCCCTCCTGCTTGCTCCACGTCGGAGGCGGATCAAGGTCCGGCTTTCGAGGTGATGAAAATAATCACCCATGTCCATCATCCCAATCTTTTCCTCCGAAACCCGAAACCCGAAGCCTCATGGCATCCTTCCGGAACTCGCAAACCCCACAATCCGGTTCCATTCCACCATTAATGCCCTCGACTATCCATAGCCGTCAGTTGCAGTTCCTCTGCAGCAATGGCACCCGTCGCAGTTCCCTGTATTCATTACCAAGGAGTTGGATTGAGACAACGGCGGCCTTGGTATTTGTACATCCAGTAAATATGAGAAAGCCCCGAAACCCGCAAAACAAACATCTTTACAGCACGCCGGTTCTGCATGCCACCCTAAAATGGAATCGGCAGAGGTATATAGCAAAAATTGCACCGCAGAGGGCAAGGGATAACGAAACAGAAGCGGCCGGGGCACGGATCGTCGTCGTTGTCGTTCCTACCCTTTTCCATTTCCGCATCGTAAGGAGGAGGTGCTTGAGGGTCTATGAAGGTTTCAACATTAGCGGATGAACTCAGCAAGTGCTGGACGTAATTTGTGAAGCTCACCCATGGGTTGCATCGGCGGTGGTTGCGTCGCTCGGAAAGGCGCGGCGTCAGCGGCAGGGAAGCCAGCCGCGGCTTGGCGCTCTGGCTGATAAGCCATTTCAAAAGGATGAGCTAGATGTTGCGAGAGATGCGAGTATGAGGCGGGGAGGGCACGAGGTAGGAAAGGAGCAGACCGAGATGTCTTTGCAGAAATCGATTGATTTATCACCGTCAGGGAGGATAGATAGATCCCGCATGTCCTATTAACAATCAGAGGGTATAAGGAATGACGACAGTTTCGTCCGTCCTTGCTGGCCAAACTCTAATAGCATCGCGCCTATAATAATGGATTTACACGTGTCACGGTTATCCCTTGATTAATACTACAGGGGAGTAGAATGGGAATGTCTCCCACGTCATTCCTAACCTTAAATTCTCCGTGCCTCTTGGCACACAAGCAGCATATATTCACATGTTCGCCATTTCGAAGGGCACCGTGACTACCATTTCGACTTGGCGAGATTCGTATCAACTAACTTGTAACCGCAAGTTCACGTGAAGTAAAAATGTGGCCAATTTCCAGTATATTTGCGAGCGTAGATGGCCGCCCTCTATTGCAAACAGCCGAATTGCAGCATCTACGCGAAAATTATGTACATGGAAAGTGGCACTATAAGTTTAAAGGTTCTCATCGCGTCTCTCAATAGAGCGCCGCGAGACATGCTCCCCCACTTTGGACGCATCAAACCTCTTCCTAACGGAAAACGGCACGGGACCCGGCCAACGAGCACGGCTTCAAGTGACGATTCATAAACAGTGCCCAAAATGACCCCATCGCTCGCAAATGTTGGGCCGTGGTTGTGCGTTCATCGTGGAGGTCGTTCGGATAGGTTGAAGCATTTAACAATGTCCAAGCCGGGCTACCCGCCGAGTTAGAACACCATAGGTCAAGGGAAAACTACATGTAGGGTGGTTGGGCAACTTACCAAGAGTGCACTGGGAGCTAGTGTAGTGGCCGTTGACATAGCATCCAGCGGATAGAGAGTAATGCCAGCCGCTGTTGGGGTAAGACCAGTTAGTTGGAGCTCCGAGGTGCGTCGACAAAAATCAGAAATAGACCTACCAGTTTGTGGACCCATCCAGCGTGATGCATTCTCCGGAGACAACACAGACAAAAGAGTGGCTTGATCCCTTGGACAGCTTCTTCTTGGCCGAGTACTTGGTTGATGGTCCGCTACGGCAGTTTACGGCGGCCCGGACAATGGAGCAGGTGGTGGGGGTGCGGCGCTTGAACAGCTCGCTGGGCGACACGACATCTGCATCCTGGGGCACAGGGGTGGCCAGGGCGGCCAAAGGCAGAAGAGCAACGGTAAGGAGCGAAGAAAGCTGCATCGTGACTTTTGGTAAAGAGTGTGGTGAACTACGACTGGTGCTGTTGTCGAGACGTTGGATGAGTGAGAAAACCTTGGCGTCAACTAGTCCGCCTGCTCCACGCATCTTATTATATATATTCATTCTAATACTTGTCGAACTGTTTTCCCCTTTTTCTTCCGCACCCATCCTCTATTGTTCGGGACCTGCATCGTAAAATTAAAGGTTAAGGCGATGCGAGTTGGTCGGCAAGGGTACCCTGAGCAGAAAGCCGAGAAGCGCGGCCGGTCGGTGGAGGTGATTGGTGAGATCCGTGCCGTTGGCCAACTCGGCACGTCAGACTCGGGGAGAAATGGCGCCGTCATCCGATTTCTCGTGCCTTTGGTGCTGGTTCCCAAGGGATAAGCAGCGCGAGAATCCGGCACCCTCGGCCATGGCTACGACTCTCGAGAGGCAGAGTCTTGTGTTTGCAATTACGCTCGCACGGACAGGGCTGTGCCAACATCACAAGCCTTTACGTTGACAGCTATGCAAGGGAAGCCATCCATGAAATCAATTGATCCGTCTTGTTTGACGCCCTTTGCTCGCACTCGGCCGAAATCGAACAATCTCCATCCCTATCCGCACCCCACATTTCCGATTTTCCTCACTACACTAGCACCGGCCCGACGTGTTTGGGTGCCTTAATAAATACAGAACCTGGGTACCGGGAATTCCAGGTTTGCTTTCCCTAAAAATAGAACATGATGGTAGTGTGGCCCGAGGCTCGATCTTGGCAGCTGTGCTGTTTACTATTCAATTGTAGCTCCTCGTCACAGGCCATCGAGCATGGGCGCGAAGCTTTCCTCAAAAGACATATTGAAAAGAACAAGAACGCGATAATGGCTGCTAGCAGCTTCTGCCAGAAATCATAGTGAAACCACGCAACGCGTATGACGCCAAAGAGTGCAAGCATAATAGATACAAAGAAAAGTAAGCCTCTCATTCCCCAACACGAAAAAGTGGGGACGGGATTCAAGCGTTCAAAGTTCGCCGCTTATGCTCCGGACTTGACATCCATGGATGTACATAATCCCACGCATTCCAAGCAATCCTTTTCCCTACTCTACCTTGCTTGCGCGCCCGTGCATCAAGATTGTTTGGGGTCAAGATGTTGCTCTACCCCAACGCCCCTGGCTCGATCGATGCTTTATACATCTACAGTCTCCAAATGTACGGATCATCTAGACAAGGGATCTGAGGAATTGTGCTTTTTAATCAAGCTTTGAATTACTTCTCTCTTGTATTCCTAGCGTACATGTAAGTAAACCAAAGTATACATGTAGCATCCGCATCCGCTTTAACTTGCCGTATCTGCTACGCCATGGTTCACCAGTTTATGTAGCTCCCTCTGACAGTATATAACGTTCACCCGATCGAATCGAAGAGCCAAGCGAAGTACTACAATTTCAAATGCTTGTGCGACAGTCAGCTCCTGCTTGAGATTTGTGATCCAAGTGGCTCCGGTACGAAGGCCGTGGGGATGGAGCAGAGCCTGACGTAGACGCACTCCAGATCGCCATCACAGAAAAAGGAAAGTCTCATCCTTGCTTCGGGTTAGGGGTGGTCCCACACGGCTCCGTAACCGCGGTATTCTGCCTTGGAGGGCAGGTTTCACGCGAGGTCGAGCCACACCGGCCTAACGTGGCAAAGAGCCGCGCGGGATTGTGACAGGCCGGCCTGTTGAAGTCATCGCCACACAGCACACGTTGGAGAGGTTCGCTCACTTCTCTGTCTATATGTCCTCTAAGGCCCTCGCAACCGACCCTATCTTGCCTGTCTCTCTCATGGAGACGAGATCCGGCACACTGCCACCCGCTCTCCGGACAACCCCCAGCAACTTAGTGTTAATCCTCGAGAAGACTCCGGTCGTGGAGCCACGATTCCTAAGCCGAGAACCCGTCATCAATTTTGCAGCGGTATACGACTTCATTTTTCCATTCCATCGTTGATCCCCCGCCGTTTTCACTCTCATTCGACGTCCTAGCAAAAGTCCTCGAAGGGGCGCAGGCTTGGGTTTGTTTCTTTTTCTGATTGGTGACGTAGGACGCTCCCAGTCGTCGTTGCTTCTTTTTGGAATAAATATGGGGTTTGGGGGCGTACATGTACAGAGTGACGGCAGGGCTCCGCCCTGCAGGAAGATCCGGCTGCCACTTGGGTGATTATTAAACCATAGCCCCCGGTGATCAAAGGGAGGCCACATGAGGAGGATTGCGCGAAATGATTCAGGCGTGCAGGTTGGGGCCTATCAGCGACGTTGCGGTCCAACGATCCGCGCGAGTGCGTGGTTATCCTGTGTTACCCTTCGCCTTGTGTCTATCCACATTGTAAGCCGACATGTACGTGGAGGATACGCCGGTTTTTGGTGATTGGAAGAAGAGCGAAAGGAGCCATTGTGCAATGCTTGGGCGAGAGGAGATCGGCAGAATATCGTCCCTTCGGTTAGTCGTACTGCGCAGTAAAGTAGAAACTCGAGCCTGGTCGGAGAGATGGGATGAAGCAAGATGAAAAAGTATAAAAGGCCAGACAAGGTCCTGGTCAGTTCACTATTCTTCTCCTCGTCGATATCAGCCTCCCAACATTACATAGCCCATTACCTCCCTTACTATCCCAAACCAATCTCTGTCCCATTTCAAACTCTATCAAAATGCAGTTCGCTCTCATCCAGCTTGTTTCCTCTTCGTCGCCGGCGCCGTCGCCATGCCCAGCAACGCCCAGGAGGGCAACCTCGTGGCCCGCGCCGACTGCGGCCACATCCTGCCCGCCTGCAACGGCGGCCGCGTGGTTGGCCAGACCAACTGCCGCTGCTCCGGCCAGAAGGAGACGTGTGATCTCTGGACTTGCCCCGGTGGAGCCCCCAACACTGTGAGTACTCGCCGAATACAGCCCTAACCTGGGGGAGGTGTCCCCATGCTATATCCACATAAGACTAATGGGATTATTCTGTTGGGTAGATGGTTTGCGGCCAGGCCGGCACCGGTTGCGTTTGGATCTAAGTTTGGCAGTCCTACGGGAGAAGATGCCATCTACCAGAATGGAATTCAGTGCCGGTTGCAAAAGATTCTTCGGGGTTATTGTGTCTATTTCAATCGTTTTGGCCCAGGATCACGCTCGGGGCCTTGCGTTCGTAGCAGTACCAAGTTTTGAGTAGGCCATATCAATGTCTTGCTGCTATAGAAACTTTATCTACTACAGGCATCTTTTGATCTGTCTATTTTGCAAGTCTTGCGTTGCTTCTACTCCTCCAACCCACATATAAAAGCCGGTTGACTCTGTGACTATCAATCTACGCGTTGCCCTTGCTGCTCTCATCGAGATAACTCGTGTAACCTACAGTCATGCGTTTCCAAAGACGTAGTAGCGGCCCGCAATATGTTTATGCGTGTGCATTCCACTTCAAACCGCGGTACCTTGCTGATCTTGTTCAGCTTGTAGTCTTTACCGTCATATTATCCAGCATGTACCGTCCTGGCCCGCAATGGACGCAACTTCATAATGTATTACGTGGAATTCTTGATGTTGTCAGCACAATATTCTGACGTATATATCTAGGTGGATATTACTTGGGGCGCAAAACGTTTTAAAAGAGATACGATTCAATAGAATAGATGTGCTGCCCTCTCACTCGCCTGCAAGACCGAGAGAGATTCGGCATTTTCTCCACCGGCCGTATGCCGGCTTCGGGAAACCAAGTCACCGGATCTATTAGCATTTCCCCTCATTCATTCGGCGCCGATAGACCCCGAGCAAGACTTGGAAGCGATGCGGGGCTCTGCGCGCTTCAGAATGAGGACGGGAAGGGTAAACTTCGAGCGTTAAGCCCAATCGGGCGGTGCAAGTCTGAAATGCGAACCCGCTTGCCGCTTAAGACTAACTCCGGGTCTTTGAATTACTAAGTCGCGGGGTGATGCCGATTGCCGATGCGGAGAAGGGGAAGAATCGGAGGGGCAATTGATCTTGTTGTACCAAAAAACCCCGCACCGATCGCCCGGGTTGGATTTGCAAGCTGAGAAGGACGTCACCTGCTGCATCGGCACGAATTGGCATAAATATCACTGCTTCGAGAACGAATTTGATGCAAGAGTCAGAAGACGTGAGCTCATTTGATAATCCTTTCTGAAAACATCACGCAAAATGTCGACCGCACCGCTGTGTACCACCACGTTTAAACTCAACAATGGTGAGTTTCCGACGCTTTCTTCATGGAGAGAGACAAGAGCCTGAAATCTGAAATTATGCTGACATTGAATGAAAAATAGGGCTGTCAATGCCTGCTGTTGGTCTTGGAACCTGGCAAGGTAAGCAATCAAAGATCCATCCTCTCCCCTTTCAAATCAGCAAGGATTAAAAAAGAGTCGAAACGTCGTGATTCCTGGTTTGTATAGGTCGCCCTGGATCCGATGATGAAAAGGCCCTTGAGGACTGCATCGTCACTGCCTTGAAGAACGGCTATCGCCTTCTCGACACGGCGCAGCGGTACGAGGTCGAGCCTGTGGTCGGCCGCGCCATCCGCAAAAGCGGCGTCCCGCGCGAGGAAATCACCGTCGTGACGAAATTCTGGGGCGAGTGGCACCACAACCCCGCCGAAGCCCTCGAGATCTCTCTTCGCGATCTCGAGCTCGACTACGTCGACGTGTTCCTCATGCACTGGCCTTGGGCGACCACTCCTGCGCCCGAGTGCAAGCCGCTGCGCATCACCGAGAGCCCGACGTTTGCGGAGACGTGGACGTTGATGGAGGGTTTGGTCGGGCCCAAGTGTCGGGTGATTGGCGTGAGCAACTTTACGCAAAAGACGCTGGATGTGCTCTTGGCTACGGCCAAGATTGTGCCTGCGGTAAATCAGGTTGAGCTGCATGCGCTCAACCCCAACTTGAAACTCGTCCCTTACTGCGAGTCGAAAACATTCACGTCATGAGTTGGAGGTAAGGCGAGCTGCTATATCCTTGCGCTGAAGCAAGAATGTCATGTGTGGAGGCTAACCTCTGACTTCGTCGTGACCTAGCACCCTCGGAGGCTCCCGGCCAGGCGCCAACAACGAGATTCTCACTCACCCGCTCTTCACGGAGATTGCCAAGGCGCATGGATGCTCCACCGGTGTCGTATCGCTGTCTTGGGCCGTGCAGAGGGGCACAACCGTCATCCCGAAGAGCAGCTCGGAGTCACGCATCATTGAGAACATCAGGCTGGTAACTCTGACGGAGGACGAGATGCAAAAGATTAATGATGCTCACAAAACGATACATCAGTACCGGCTTGCAGACCATATCACGGGCTTGATGATCGAGATGGATGGTCAGCAAACGCTTCAAGGGTGGACCAAGGCCGATTTTGGTTGGGAGGATGAGAATGGCACTTGGCTTGTGTGAAATTAGGGAAGCAGGAGAGCTCGACTAGCATTCTAACATAGATTCATGGATATACAACCCGTCACTCGAGCATCGTGTACATACAGAAGCCAAGCCGCCTCTGTCATATTAGCATTATCCTCTTTGACTTGAGTGTATGTATGCTAGGAAATTTTTGGCCTCTACTGTTCCGAACTTCAAACTCATTGAAAGGGTTCTGTACTAGACATCGCGAACGCAGGGTTGAATACCGTCTTGTTCTGATAATGTCTGCCAACCTCCCAAACCTCGTGCATCAATATTCTCATTTCTTTGGCCTTTACAGCTCCCAGGCTCTACCCAAGTGCCATGTGATCTTCGCAGGGGACCTGAGGTATCAGTTGGCCTGGCCTCCGGCACGGATATCGAGGGGGAAAAAAGCTATGGGGGATCTATCGTCAGAAACGTTAAAGACACCGTGACCTGTGATGGAGATGCTTTCCATCGTCTGAACAATAGACGCGCAAGCAGCAGGCAGCAGGAAATGGGACGGCTAAGGTGGTATTTTCAAGCCATGCCAAGCGCATCACCCTAGAGCTGAATATGGATGCCAAGGATGGGCTGAAATCAAAGTACAAGACAACACGTCGCTGTCAAAAATTCGAGGCTCCAACTCTATAATAGGTCGAGCCAGTCTTTCTCGGCTTCACGGTTCACGGAACTCTGCAGCGCTAGCAGAAACGGCTCGCAATGTCCCTCGTATAACGAGTCGCTCCCAGCTCCAAGATGCAGCGCAACGCACGAGCTTTTTCACGAGCGCATCGTCACCGAGTCCCGCTAATACAATTGCGGCCATGTCGCTTAAAGATCAGAGACATTTTCACGATAATAAGTCTGCCTAAATTTCGAAGAGGCTGGAATGCCACGAATACGAACAACCCGGCCGCCGGTTCCTGCATTGTTCAAGTCGTATGTTGCCGTGGTCATGTGTGTAAATTGCGGGCGCCATTCGCGAGCCGACAACAGACGCCGGCCAGTCAATCTTGTCCTGGCTGTCACCCAAAAAGAAAAGAAGATTATTTAAAATCTGCGAGCAGGAGCCTCAACACGGGCAGCTCAACGACATGAAGCATCGCTGAATACCTCGGCATCACCTTTTCAAATAGAGAATCCGCCTCCCGTACCAGAACAACTTTTTTTTCGCTGAAGCAGCCCAACAAAGCACCATGTCTGTACAAAAGGATGCAAAGTGGTGGGACGGCCACGCTCGCAGCTATGCCAAGAAGCCAGTCAGTGACGAAGCCGGCTATCAACGGACCCTCAAACGGGTGACTGGCTTCTTAAAGCCGACGGATAGGGTCCTCGAGTTGGGCTGCGGCTCCGGGTCCACCGCTTTGAATTTAGCTCCGGCGGCGCAAACGTACCTGGCCACCGACATCTCCCCAACCATGATTCAGATCGCCAACGACAAGATTGCCGCGTCTCCCGCCCCAAATCTGTCATTTCGAGTAGCGTCCGCCGAAACTCTGGCGGCCGAGGACGCGCGGTTTCACACCGTGCTCGGATTCAACTATCTTCACCTGGTGCGCGATCTCCCGGGACGCTGCGCAGCATCCACGCGGTTCTCGAGGATGGCGGTCTCTTGATCACCAAGACCGTCTGCGTCCAGGAGATGAACTACGTCTTCAGGATGGTTATACCGGCTATGAAAGCGCTAAGCCTTGCGCCGAACGTGGTATCGTTCAGCGCATCACAACTAGTCGAAAACTCAAAGAGGCGGGCTTCGAAGTTTTGGAAAATGAGTTGCATGGCACGGCGGGTGCTGATCCGCGTCCTTTTATCGTCGCGCGCAAACTTTGAACAACGGGGGTAGGAAAGAGAATACTGGCATTCTGTACTCGGGGACAAGGCTATGTCCATGGAGGCATGATTGGTATTGGTGGCGGGGATTTGAAATTGAACTGAAAGAAAGGCGGCAAGATGTTATAGCTTCATTCCCTCAAGTTATCCCAAGTTTGGGCTGGTCCTGGAGGGTTTGTCGCGTCAGCCCCCTCAGCAGCCGCCTCGGTATCTATTTCCTTGGAGCCTTTTCGCCGCCCCCACCGCCTCCAACTCGGATCGCTACCTGATGACTGAGCCTGTCTCTGAAAAGGTCGCCAGTTTTTAATTGCCTTCAACCGTCTAGTTCGTATCTGACGATCCAGGTTGAAAGCAACTAAAACCGACGGGACAATGAGAGCGACTGAAATCGCAACTACGTTTCAGAGTAGATTTAGTAGAACCCTGGATGATGCACCATTTGTGTTGCAAGGGCGGAGGGTCAAGAGCGCTAGAAGACTTACGAACGACTGTGAGGACAAAGCCTAGCTTCAGATTCCCGCCTTCGCTTCGTGGAAACTCGTCGATTTCGATGGTGAGAAAGGAGGACATGAACGAGAGTGGTAGCTGCATGTATCCAGAGGAATACTCGTTAGTACAGCTGGAGGAGTCTTGGACGACATAGATAGCCATTATAATAGGCAGTGGATGGACGAACAAAGACGATTGTCGCTACGGTAAAGTACATGATTGTCTTGCCCTGTCGATCAGTGCCGTCGCTGATCTTGAAAATGCTACTCGTTAGTTCGCGGGTCAACTTTTCCTCCGGGAGATTGGCTTGTTTATGCTTCAAGTCTAGTAGTTGTTCAACCTGCTTCAGTGGATTGTGGCGAACTGTTAGCCCTTCATGTTAAGTTATGGGTCATGATCAACAAAATCTTTCTTCTCCTTACCGCTTGGGCAGCGCGCTCTGCAAACCGATCAAGGCGAACAACTTCATCAATATTGCGTTCAACCACCAAAAGCATCGGTGAGTGAGACGCGACGTGATTCGTTCTACTTCCGCTGGTCACGCTGTCGTCGGAAAGGATCATGTCTGCCATAATTTGCCCCCTTTTGCGTGTGAAGGACGGAGAGCAGGATGTTGAGCTCATCGCGGATGTCTTTGATCTTACGAAGGTCTTCAATGTCCTCTTCAATGTCCATTGACATCTCTGGCGGCTCTGGTTTGCTGCCATAGAACGCTGCCTTAGCATGTTTGGCTTCTTCAAATTCTTTGAGATCTCTAATACTCTTTTGGAACTTCCTAAAACGCCTAGTTTCACCTTCCGTCTAGTCATCGAAGAAGTCAGCACAACATTGAGACCCTCCATGAGCGGGCTGGATGAACAATGAACAGATGATTCAACCTACGATGTCGCCAATAGAAGTAGTGTAGATTTGTAAAAACTGGGTCAGCTCATGCCGGTTGCTCATGGTGTCAAAGTAAATCCTCGAACACTCGGTAGCAATAATCTCGGTCAGCTCTTCCACAGACGGGCATGGGAGCGGACCCCGCAATATATCCCGCAATATATCGACAATATTCGAAACCAGCGCCGGCATCCTCTTTGGGTCTTTACAGGCCATGCGATCCGACCTCTGCGGAAAGGCGGTTATCACGGTGGGCGGCGCTGTTCCACATGCCGGTAGGATCCACATCCAGAGCTGGTCGACCATGGTAAGCACCCGCCTCAACTCGAAAGTCTGACCTTCCAAGTCACCTTTCTTCTTGTTGAAATATCTAACACACGTCTGGTCTTGGTCACGTTCCTTGGTATCCGACAGTGTGTGGTAATAAAATTGATCGAGGGTGCGCCGCGGGTGAAGGGGATGGTCTTCCTCGAGATATCTCCAGTATAGTTTCTGTGTACTACATAGTCTCGCATCTCCGAGGGCCGTTTTCATACGCGCTGTATGCGCTTCTTTGGCCTTGGAGTCTCTGGAGTCCTTGGAGTTTCTGGAGTCCTTGGAGTGCTTGGAGTTCTTAGACATATACAGTATTGTCTTTGTTTCCTTCATAATATCTTGGAGCTTGTTGTATTCTTCCTCAAGCTCCCAGTGAAGATACGGCATCTAGTGTTCGTGCCGCCCAGTCAATAGCTAGCCATAGAGCTGAAGCATTGAAAATTGAGTTACCACGGGGCCCTGAAGCACTTACGAAGAGAACCATGCCGCTACGCCTGCCGTGCGAGTCACGGTCATTGGGGAGCTCGTTGACTTGTTGCTCGTCTTGCTGCCTGAATTGCGTAGCTGCGGTCTCCCTTGTGCCTTTGCCGTCATCTTCGGGCGCAGCATCACCCTGTGCCACATTTAGATCCTGGTTTTGTTTGTGCCACGATCTGGTTTTACGCGGTGTGGGCTCGGTCCGTGGAAATTTAGCGCCATCAGACCTAACTTCATCCTTGGGCAAATCTTGCTCTCGTTCCCGTTCGTTTGACCTTGGCTGGGCGCTCTGTGTCTTGCCATGGATCCGCCCGGACGGTGTGTCTTCTGGTGAACATCGCGTTGTCAGTGTCAAAGCGTTGGTTGGGACGGCAAAAGGGGGAAGCCGGTCAAGCATACGGAGATTCAAGGAGCGGCATGCAGCTCGCATGTATCGTGCGTGGTATAAGCCATGCGGGGGTGTGCTGTTGTTTTTCCCACAACCCATATTTAAACACGAGGTGGTCCTTCCTCGTCTCTCTGTCCGCGAACGCGTCGTAATGTTTGGCAATCAATGCCTGGTGAGTCGGTTAGTCAGTCTGTCTATAGCGCAGCAGGGGATAGGGGTGCCGTTTGTCTGCAAAGCCATACCTCAACCCATCTCATCTATGAACAGCTTAGTTAGCAGCTGCTGTTTGTGCGTTAGGGTATCACACAAAAGATGAGGCTAGTTGGCGTACATTGTTTGCAGGAGATGTACCCATCTGCAACTTACCCTTTCTAATTTTTCCAGCGAATAGGTGGGTCTCTCGGAGAGGAGGAATCCGAGTGGAACTCTTTTCGGCGTGATATCTCGCTTGGTCTTGTCTCGCTCTGGAACACTCAGAATGGTAACAAGAAAGTCTTTATCCGCGTTAAGTGTATCCCCGTTTACACGACCAGATGGACCCGGGAAATTTAAGCCGTTCGAGGATCTGGTGGTATTTGGTCAACCCCTGAGATGGAAGCTTATCGTCGGCTTCGGGATCCCTGACAACGTCCTTGCGTGTCCCTCCGTCGATATCCGTGAGATGTGGGATGGGCTCCGCGTCAGCTACCGGAGAATGAGGACGATCCCGAGTTTGCAGAACCTTTTGGAGTGTCCTCCCCTTGGAATCTGTGAGGGACGGGTTTGCGCCAGCTGCCAGCAGAGCGTCAAAGGCTTCCAAGCGTTGGTATATTGCGGCATACCAAAGAGGTGTCCAATTTTTGTCCGTGTCCGAAGAATTCACATCTACACCCACCTCTATCTTCCTCTTCTGGGACTTTCTGGTGGCTTCTCTGGCGGTTCTTTCGTCATCTGTATCTAAGCCACCGTCTCTCTTCGGTCTTCTCTCTCCTAAGCAAAGCAGCACCCCAATTACACCAACCTGTCCCTTTTCGGCAGCCCAGGAGAGCGGGGTCCTGCATTTCTCGTCAGGAGTATCGGGGGCTACGCCTTTGTCTAAAAGGACTTGGACACAGTCGACATTCCCATGTTCGGCAGCCCAGGAGAGCGGGGTCCTGCGCTTCTTGTCAGGAGTATCGGGGGCTACGCCTTTGTCTAAAAGGACTTGGACACAGTCGACATTCCCATGCTGGGCAGCCCACGAGAGTGGTGTTCGACCCTGGGAATCTTGCAGGTTAACATCGAGCCCATCCTTTCTGCACAACTCCTCCATTTCCAGCCGATTTCCCATCTGCGCTGCCCAAGAAACAAGGGTTCTGCCGTCATAATCCTGGGCTGAGAGGTATTTCTTCTGGCTCAAGATGAGCTCCCCATTCTTTGCTTTCTTGGGCCATCATTCCCACGTGTATCGGTAGCATCGCACCCGTCCATTTCGTCTATATCACCGTCCTCGCGCTCATAGCTGTACCTTAGGGCAAGCTCTGCGGCCCGCACGCGAGGGGTTGGATCGTCTCCTGCCACAGTCCTTTTTTTCTTGGTGTCTCAATGAAGGCTTTGATCAGTTCATGGTTGTCGCCGTCCCTTTCCAAGGCGAACTGAATCGGAGCCTTGCCGCACGGCTCAACCGAGTGCATCTTGGCACCGGCTTTGATCAAGAACCTAACGGTTTCTAGATGGCCATTCTCGGCGGCCCACGAGAGACAGGATTGGCCATAATGACCCTCGGCGATGTCAAGATCCGCGCCGGCTTCGATGAGCGCGTCGGCACATGTACTTCTACCCATCTTCAATGCGAAGTGTAGCGCGCTGCACTCTTCCGAGCTCTGGGCGGCGTCAGTGTCGCCTTTCGAGCAAAGCACTCTGACAACTTCGACATGCCCATTCTCCGCGGCCCACATCAGGGGTGTCTCACCATACTCATTGTCGGATATATTGGTATCAGCTCCCTTCGTAAGGAGAAACTCAACCACCGCGAGCTGCCCCGTTTGAGAGGCTAATACGAGTGGGGTGTTTCCGCTGAGGTCGCGTTCGTTCATCGAACCGACCGCTGCCAGCCGCTCAACACCCATCGCGGATCCGTATTTGGCGGCAAGGTGAATAGCATAGTGTCCATCGTCATCTGGCAATCTGAAGTTGAGCTTCGCATTTTCGCCGAAACTTTGCCACTCGTCATCATTACCCGCCACGGCCATTATAAAAGTCAACAAAGCAAGCCCACTATTTGTTGGTGGGAAACCCTGCGCAATACCCGCGCCACGGGAGTTAAGTCTAGAATGATCAAATAGACGGCGGATGATCGCCATGTGTCCGATGGCCGAGGCATGACACAGCGCACTATACCTCGTGTTGTCCAAGAGGGAGTGTTCAGCGCCAGCCTCTAGCAAGACTTGGACATTGTCATCGCGGCCCCGCTTGGTGGCGAGCATCAAGGGCGTCTGCCCTTCGTCGTCGCCCAGATCAATAGCCTTGGTGACCCCCTTGTCTGGCACAGTCCTGATGAAATACCCCAAGTCATGTGGGCTTCCATGCCCCGCAGCCACAAAAAGAGTGCCTCTTCCCTGGCAGTGGTTCTGGAAAAAGGTGTGGTCAAAGAAAATAAAAAGAGAGGACTTTCTGTTTGCTGTTGACGGCAGCGCACCACATGGGGCTCCACCCGTCCTCGTCCGAGCATTCGAGATCTGCTCCTCTATCGTAGAGAGTTCTCAAGAGCTCAAAGTAGCCATTTTCTGCGGCCAAGGATATCGGTGTTTGCCTGTGTTTCTCGTCCACCGCATTTATGTCGGCCCCCGCCTCCAGCAGTTTGACGACCTCTTCGGGCTTGTTTCGTCGCACAGCAGCGATAAGTTGCTGGTCTAGCCCTGCGACCTCTGCGGTAGTGTGGTCAGCTCCCATGCCGCCGACGAGATTAGATGGCCTTGGGAGTTTTAGGTGCTTGATCTAATTTAGGTCCAGAAAGGTGAGTAGGCATACGGTCACTCATATAAAGACTTTAATGGTTTTGGGCGGCGGAGGAAGTCCAGTGGCAGCCCAATGAGGACATTGATGTGGGGGTAGCAAACAACTCTCGCAAGCCAAGCCACAGCCTGCTCGATACATGTAGCTGATGGTACAAGGCAAGGTGATTGCTCAATTGCAAATCCAACCCAACATGACTACGACGTGGCGCAACATCATTGCCCAATTCTGATTCTAGACCCTGCAAGTCCTAGCATATCCTCGCAAGAACAGCCAAACGGTGTCTGGCTTCCATCTCCATATTGCTGCTCATACATGTACCGTGCAGAAGAGGCGTGCTGGATAGCCCAGTTCTATGGCCTCACACCCAGACAGCGCAGATGTAAAAGTCATAGCTTTGCCAAAAAGGGAATCTATTTCTACACAAATATTACCACAGAATACGAACGCGTATATCATATGTTCCGTTGGTTCGTCCTTCAAACAGACTAGGCGTCGTGGCTTGTGGGCTCGCGGAGTCTAAAAGCCGAAGTTTTCAACCCAAGGACTCCCTCACGGTAACCCTGTCAGAAACGAACCAATAAATAAATCTCTTCTTCGTCAATCTAGCCACTTGGTGTGTAAGTCGCGTCCTAGAATCTGGATCCATGGATGTCTTTTAGTGCCTCCCTCTAATCACTAAGGACTGAATTTCAGCAGCAGTGGTCCGTTTCCTAAATAATGGATAGCTATAGAAGTCTATAGCTCTTCAGCTATACTCGGCTCGGTGAAAAGCAAAATGATAGAACGAGCGAGACAGAAGATACGGTGCGTAGATGTGCTCTCCTCAAGTTAAACAGGGATTGCAGTATGCATGCTCAAGTTATATTGAAAAAAGGGCTCTGAGATATCCGTACATGGGTATCCGGATCCAATAGATCCATCCCTAACTCTAAAAGGTTGGAGTAGAACTAAGGTCTAGCAAGGAATATTGCCAAAGGATAGATGGGTCTACGGCCCTATGATCCACGAGACGTCCATCAGTCTCTGTATTCATCCATTCCATTGTCTCTGCTTCTGTAACTAGACAGTCAAAATGCCTCTAGCTCTTGATATTCGATAGTGCTTTGTACTTGCTATAGCTTAAAGCTTCTGTGAAACCGGGATCCCGACAAAACGTTGTCATTTGGGCTTTATGCGCGTAGTTGATATTGGAGTAAACATATGGACATGTGGATCCAGAGTGAACATCCTCGTCGCGGGGCTGTTCTAAAGCGGGCTCGGTAGATAAAGGCCTCTTTGGGTGGTCAACCCATGCATAGATGGATAGCCAACGGTACATTGTAGATTTGAGCCTGGAGGGTGGACTCCATAGTCGCATATGTATATCAAGCTGGGTTCTTCTTCTTCTCTCAATTCAAGGCTGTACCAATACCCTCCTATACCACATCAAATGGACTGCTCTATTTCTTTATCCCGTAACGTGATTCGCCTAAACATTGCCCCTCCCACCGCATATGACTTTACACACAAAAGGCACCTTATAAGGAGGGACTTGATAAATATAAAGCCTGCTATTGCGATATGTAGTGAACTCTAAGATCTCTCGTCCACGAATTCAGCTCCGTGCACCCGCAAACCCCCTTTGCATATAGTCATCCCTCCATCGAGGCTACTCTTCACTAAGGACGGTAGTTGAGAACGGAGTATACAAATCGGCAATGGCACGCCCCGCTATGCTCACCGTAGACAGCAGGAGGCCCCAGGTGACTAGGGGTTTTGTCGGGTAATGTGCAATATCGCGAAAACGTCAGAAGCAAAGTTGTGGACTATAGTTGAACAAATAAGTGGGGCCGGCAGCCAATCGTTCCGGTGCTCTCGGCTTCGTTGACCCGGCACCTAGTTTCGCCCCACGTCGATCCCCGCGTGTCCCTGTCCGGAGTGTCCCCGCGCCATCCCAGGCGCTGTGCTGCTCGCCCCCTTTGGACGAATCGCAAAGGCTCAACTACATTTGCTAGGTGCCTTAGTCGCGTGTGAGTGGACGGCGGCATTGCTAGGAGGCAAGATTGGGGAGGCGGGGTTGCGCGGAGCCGAATACCCGCAGTGATGAAATATAGATGACGGGGCCAGTTAATTTACGCGAAATAGATTTCGAGAGTGGGTATCGGCCCCGGCATTTACGATTCGGTACTGCCATGGCACGGCACGTACACACAGCTTGGGACCGCCGAGCGGAGGGTATTAAGAGGCCGTTAGTCTCCACTGCGATGCAGGGCCAACGTACGTTTTGGTGCGACCAACTCGAAACTATCGAAAACCCGTCCCAACGTTTTCGAGAATGAAGCTCTTCACAGTTGCCGCGCTCGCGCTCGTCGGCCCCGTCCAGGCGGGCCTACGCTTTGGATGCTCCACGCTGACCACGCAGCGGCTCGACCCCATCGTCGAGCCTGGCATGGTTCCTTCGGCGCATCTGCATCACATCGTTGGCGGCAACTCCTTCAATGCCACCATGGAGGGCGACGTTGGTGCCAGGGCCACCTGCACTACTTGCGAGATGTCCGAGGACTTTTCCAACTACTGGACGGCCGTGCTGTACTTTAAGCACCCGACTAACGGCTCCTACCACCGGGTGCCGGTCAAGAACAACGCCGCCCTGGCCCAGGGAACGACGGGTGGCATCACTGTCTACTACACTCAGTTCGATTTCAACACGGATGCCCTGGAGAGGCAGCCGATCAAGGCCTTCCCTCCCGTGAGTTACGCTGAGGAGGGGTTGTTGGAGTAACGATATACATTCATTCTAACCTTGTGTTTCTTTTTCTTTTTCCAGGGCTTCCGTATGACGGTTGGAAACCCCGGCCACGACGACGCTGCTGCTGCCAGGTCCGCCGTCGGTTTGCGTTACAACTGTCTCCAGACTCTGATCAACAGAGGCCCCGAGCTGGCAGACTTCCCCGACAAGCCGTGCCCGGCCGGCATCTTTGCCGTCCATCACTTCCCAGCGTCAGTGCCCCTTTTCTTTCCCTTTGGCCACACAAAGTGAGATGACTCCTCGTGCCAACTAACTCGTCGTAGATGCTGGGATGGCAAGAACCTCGATAGCGCCGACCACCAATCCCACATGTACAACACCATGGACCGCGGCGGATTCACCAATGCTCCGCCTTGCCCGGCGTCCCACCCCGTGCGCGTGCCTCAGGTCACCTACGAGACCGTTTGGGATACCACGCAGTTCAACAGCATGTGGCCCGCCGGCACCCCCAACCCGTTCGTTTGGAGTTTCACCGGCAGCGCCTACGGCACCCATGCCGATTACCTCTTCGGCTGGAAGGGCGATTCGCTCCAGCGCGCCATGGATACTCCCGAGTGCTTCTACGACGGATGCGGCTCCATCACCAAGCAGGCCATGTCCGCTGCGAACCAGTGCAAGGTTGAAAACTTTGTGGACGAGGAAACTGACGGATGTATGTCTTGAAACTTTTTGGTGCGTCGTTTGGATCTTTGCTAACCTTTGATAGGGCTCACTTCGCGTCCCGGCCAGGCCGAGTAGTTGAATGGTGGAAGTATGCGACTGGCTTTTGACTTTATCAACACTGAGGATGAATATCCGGAACATGGGCCGAATGAGAGAAGAACGGTAGGAAGGAGATGAGCAGCCCGTCTACTCAACAAGGTCTCTGTGATTGTACAGTCATTACCGCAGTAACTAGGTATCTCTTATTCTTGGTATTCAAATTAATCCCACCCAAACCCTTTTGCTCAATCCACCGCAGCCACATCATATATTAGCTGCGCCAGTCCCAACCGCCCGAGTGCTCCTCCTCATATCTTGTGCAATACGGTGTCCGGCCAGTCCAAACCTTTCAATAAACAAAGATCGTGTCAAAAATGCTCCTTTTCATGTGCGAGCATGATTAGAGAAAAAGGAAACACGCTGTTACATAGAGTCATATAAATGTGGTTCCGCACCGCAAAGGCTACGATTAATAGCCAGCCCTAAAAGCCTTTCCTGACGACGAGGAGATGAGAGCATGTTCTTCAAAATGGGCGTTGTCAGATTGCCCTCCGTGTGCCGTGCTGTGCTTATTTGGGTGGTCCGGCTCTATTTCTTCGGTTGAGTGCCTCGAAATCGTGTAGTTGTCCGGTATCCGCTCCTCGAATCCGCCCTTGATTCCAACTGCGAAGAAGAATTGCGTTAGCATCTTTCTCATTCCAAACACTATGGCCTTTTGAGTCCGATGAGGAAAAGGGGAGGCAACGTGAGGTGGTCTCACAGGCAATATAGTATAGGTATTTGGCCAAAGTGGGCGTCCACACCATGACCGCGACGAACTGGCCAAAGCCCCAACTGGCCAGTTCGCCAAAGTTGGTTTCCGAGATGGCAATCACGAGGAGCGCATTATACATGCCGACGTTGAACGCAAACGTCATGTTAGCCAGGGTGAGAAAGACGAAGAGGACCCGCGAGCCAAACTTGGTGCGCGTGCGCGGGTCCCGCAGCCGGGAGGCCCATCGGAGGATGCCGAACCTGCGGCTCGCCGTCGGGAGCTTGCTATGCAGGGTAAAGGCGACTTGGTCGATGAGCAAGCCTACCCAGCCGACCAGAGCGACGATGCAACCAATGTAGACGGGGATCGCGCCCATGGTGGTGAAGCCGGGATCCTCGTCGAGAAGACCACAGTAGACGACGGGAGGTGGGTTTTCCCGCACGCGGGGACGGCGCGCTCATGCTGAAGGGCCTGCCACATGCCCTCGGGAGACACCATGAGACTCGCCTGCCGAGCGTATATGATGATGGTCAGGATGACCGTCATGGACATGGTTATGAAGCTGTACCACCAGTAGATGCCGGCGCGCTGGAGGGAAAATTGCATGAGCATTATGGGGGCGACGCTAGTGACGCCGAGAACGATGGAGGCCTCGGCGTTGAAGACGGCCTCGCCAAAGGATTCGCCCTTGTTCCCGGCGGCGTTGGGGTTCTTTGAATTGAAGTAGAGCAGCGTCGCGATCTGGATCGAGGCTACAAAGTAGCACTGCACTTCGTGAAACTCGACGACGGATGATATGGCCGCACCGCCAAACGCGGAATGCGCTATCCGGCTTTGCAGCAACGAGGCTCGCTTGCTGGCGTTGCCTAGCCTACCCCCTCCGAAGAGGCGAGCGATTCTCCTCATCCATGTTCGAGAGAACTTTAGAAAGATGTATAATATGGTGGCGAAGCTGGTCTGCAGGGCGTATGAAATGATGACCTAATACGAGTTAGTCTTCAAGAAAGCTTGGAAGAGGATAAGGAGTAGAAACACGAGAAAGGAAAGAAGAATAAAGGTTTGAAGTATAAGGCCAAAGACAAAGGAAATAGATCGACATACTCCAGGTCCCGCGATATCGGCGTCCATGCGGAAGTTGGTCACAGAGCAGTACTCGACCGTTTTGGGGATCAAAGAGCCCACAGTCTCCGTAGAGAGGCTGTTGGCGGGATCACCGATTGTGCGAACCGTGTCGGCAAAGTCGGCACAGCCTTGAGATCGCGACTCGTCGCAGCCATCGACGACGCATTCCGCGACGGTGTCAAGCACGCTCGTGGCGTTAAAGGTAGCCAGGTCCAGTCCACCCCACGACTCTAGTAGCCGAGTGGTGTCCCCGTCATCGGCGTCGAGTGTGTAATTTTGCCGCTGCACGAGCAGCGCCGTGCCCGCGAGCAAAAGCAAGAACGGAAACTCTCGGGTCGAAAAAGACTAGTCGGGTCCAGGCATACTTGGGTGCAGTTTCCGGGGCTGTCGCCGCCGGTTTCGCAGGCGCCGGTGCCAAGCGCGAGATCCACGGGCCGACCCGAGTCCGAGGTGGCGTTGTTCAGGAGCCAGACCCACTCCAAGATGATTTCTTGTAACGGCGGAATGGGCAGGTCGCGGTCGGGCAGCCCAAACAACGACCATGGATAAAGCGATTCTTTTCGCTCGTGCAGCGAGATGAGGTGTTGTCCCGATTCTTCGTCGTCGGCCATGGCGCGCGGCGAGGCCCTCGTCGTCCGAAAAGTCGGGGGGCGGCTTTCGTTGGGCGTTGGGCAGTGGCAGGCGGGGGCCAAAATCACGTCGTCGTCGCGGGTTGCGGATCAAGAGCTGGGAGGGAAAAGACGCGCTCGCCAAGAGGGAAATGTTTGAAATTTCTCCAAGATGGCTTTAAAATGACGAAGGACTGCATGGAAATCAAAGGTATCCAAATGGTAATATTAATAATTGGGAGTAAGCATGGGGGCCAAAAAAAAAAAAGAGCAGGGGTTTGAGGGAAGTGGGCTTGGAGATATGCAAATATGCAGCTCGACGGGAAGAGACAAAAAGGGCTGTGCCGTCCCGCCACGCTACAGCTGCGAGCGATGCTTGATGGCGCGGAAAGCTCCCCCTCCATGCCTCCACGGCGCAGGGCTGTGCTCGCCCACATGAGGACCTTGTCCGTGATTCTGTGGCGTATTGGGGAAGTCGCCAACTGATCGTCCATCCTCCCAAGGCTTGAAGGGGGCATTGCCGCTCTCCCAGGGGGCAGAGGGAAGATCATCTTGACCAATTGGTACGTCGTGTCACCCGCATTCCTGCCATTAGCTCTGACAAGCTCCGAGGTATTCAAGTTTGACAAGCGCAGGAGCTAAATTTAGATACATCAATGGATCAATTCAATACATGTATTACATTCATCCATGGATTCATTCCAAAGGGTATTCGCACATCTCGTCTAAAGCATCCACATAACTCCGCGTTACACCACGCCGGCCCCCTCCCCGTCATTACCACCGAAACTGTCTCTAAAGTGAACTTGAACCCACTACCGTGACCGTGGGGCGTATATCAATATTTTCTTTCCTCCGTGATACACAGATATTACAGCATTAAATAATCACCAGGATCCTTCCCATCACGGAACTCTCAGTCTTGTTCTCGCACCTCTCACAATAATCCCCCAAACATCGAGGCAACAGCAAGAGACACGAGAGCCAGCGCAACGTGTGCGAGATGCGGCGCTGTTGAGCCGGCTGCCGATTCATCCAAGTCTGCAAGGTCGACTGTCTTGTTTTGACAAGAGTAGTCGCCACCGAGGAAGCGCTTTTCGGAACGAAGATAATCAAGGCTGCTGCAGTTGAACTCGGCGTTGCTCGATTGGATGTCGATGTCCGTGTACACCTGCGTCCCGTCGTCGCTGTTGAATGCATCATCGGTGAGATGAACCCTTTTAAGTTTCGAGCAGTTAGCAAGGCCGCTGGGAAAATTATACACAGGATGAAAGGAGAGACCCCAGGGAATACTCACAGGAATTTAGGATCAATATCAGCACTGAGCTCGAGATGTTGAAGAAATTCCCAATCAAACACCCATGTTTCTGGGTAGAAGGATGCCGGTTTGAATCGTCCATCGCAGGTCTCTACAATGGGATCATCCACCTCTTGGGCAAGTTTGAGCTTGGGATTATCCTTGACAATGATGCTAGTAAGCTCCCATTCGAGCGGCTTTCCTGGCACCGCCAGCCGCAAGTTGGGATTGTTCTGGATCGTCAGCTTTCGGAGCCCGCTGACGGAAAATGGAAAAATCTCGGCCGCGTTGTTTTCGAAAATAACCTCTCTCGCGAGCCACACCGAACATGCATTCTCCACCGCGCCCACCCCGGTGATGTTGACGCTCGCGCCCCCTTGCGAGGAACCCAATTGCTCAATGGTCAATTCCAGCTTCCCATTCCCCGCAACCGTAAACTCAAAGACATCGCTCAGAGACACTGAGAGGCTATCGACGTTGGGAATGTCGCTGAGGGAGACGGTGTCGGCAGAGAGCCCGTTGAAAAGGTTGGTCAGATTACGCGCCCCCACGTTTTCGATCCGGACCGTCGATCCACCCACCAAAGGGGCACCGGCCGACTAGTAGAGCTGTCGTCTGTCTTGGGAAGTACAAAGGTAGACAGTTTCGGCGCATCCACGATGTAGAAGCCAGTCTGGACCGAGGCCAACGCCGGCACCTTGAGCTCCGTGAGCTCAGGCACTCTCCGGACTTCAAAGCGGCCCAGGACCCTCGTCAGCTCCGGAAAGTCCAGGCGCTTCAGATTTTGATGGCCTTCCACTTCAAAAACGCCCTCGATCGTGCGAAGATCTGGTGCCGAAATCGACTCGAGGTTCGCCGTGGCTGGGTCCCGTTTCAGCGAGCCAACAGTCCAGTCACCGCCGATGCTGTTGACTCCCTTGAGCACGATCTCGCCCGTCGCCTCGGCCGCGACATTAATGCTGCCCTTGAAATAGCCGCATTCGGAAAGCTTGTCGGCGTCGGATTGGCTTAGGATCACAAACGGGTTCTCGGTCGGGCAGTCGGCTGCAGTGGCAAACCGGGCGCACGCTGTGAGAAGCGCCGAGTAAACAAGCGCCGAGTGTCGCCAACTGCGTTGGGATGTTCTTTGTCGTGCCATTGCAATTTGGGTGTGTGTTGGTTCTTGTCCTCACTAATCGTGAAAGTGCACGATATCCCCTGGAACTTTCAATGGTCTTGCTGCGAGATGGTGGTGTTCCATCGCAATGGGCTTGACGAAGGGCGAGTGTGGAGCGGAGCTATTATTAAGTACTTTAACTTTTCGAGGCCCAAATTGTGGGGGCCGCTAAAATAGCCAGGCACAGCACGGCTTAAACTTGGCATTTCCTCAAAAGAAACATCTCCCAAGGAGAATTGATGCAGGATGATTGTTCCTGGCACATAATAGAGTGAATGAAATGGATCCATTCCTTTCCAACATTCTTCATCTGCCAAGACCCAAAGCCCGCGTCCGCGGGATCTTTTGGTTAAAATGGATCGCAAAGTCAGGCAGACTACGCACGGCTCGATTCTGTGCCCAATGACTGGCTGGTGCAGTACGCGATGTGGGGATCAGGAGCACAGCAAATTTACAGCCGAGCAAAGGATTCGTTAATGTGACCCAAGCGCGAGAAATGAGGCCCAAAAGGAAATCACATCGTTGACGAGAGTGTTGGCGAGCCACGGCTCAAGTTGGTACCGCCGTACCCTCGACAATTCATCTTCCTTCGTGACACAGGCCTTGTCGGTGGAACAGCAAAGTCACGATGCTCGCCAACGTCGAATGCGCCAACGTCGGATCAATAATAGCCATTTGAACCAGGTGCCATTTGCAAGAGAGACGACGACCATCATCCAATATACATTCAAAAGATTCCAACTCTACATGTAATAGCAACCGTGTACAACCCCGTCTTCTCATTCCCTGTCACTCCCCATCCTCGATTTCCTCTTCCTTGGACTCTCTAATGTAAAAGATTCCTACGCTCGCCAGACAGTATAGTCCAAAGGCGATAAAGTACGGCAACGCAACAGCGTACCCCCTTTCTCGATTCCCCAGGAAAACGAGAGCCCAAAGACAATGGGCGCAAGCAGACTAGTCACACCGTCAAATAAAGCCATGGTCGTGTACAAGAGTCCAAAATTCTCTTGCGGGACAAGCGAGGCGAGAAGAGACCTTAGGATTGCAGAGTAGGCGTTTCCTAGGGTGTACACGATAAAGGCTACAAGGTATCTCACACGTTAGTTCGCTTGCGGCGGTAGTGCGCCAGCCTCAAGAGAGAGAGATGGGAACGTACAAGTGATGAACAGTGGCACAACAGGTGCCAGAGCCATTCCTAGTGTCCCAAGGATGAGGAGAACAAGGCAGTAACTAGCCTGGGCAAGGTTTGCCGAAAATGTGCTGCCCTTCCGCCGCAGCAGGAATCGGTAGAGCAGAGGCATGATGAAGAGGAGAACCGGAATTTGCACCCCAGCTTGAGTAGAGAGTAAGATGTTTGCCTGTCTAGGTGTTAGCCTCCTTTTCGCTGCCGTTTTTCCAGTTTTCTTTTCCCTTTTCCCTTTTAGTTGGGGCGGTGGCTGAGGTGGCATGAGGATTACTCTTTTCCTTAGCTTTCCGCCTCCCCGCCGTGCCAAAACTGCCTAGTCTAGTTTGATGGATCGCGATGCTTACCGTTCTCAGCTTCCAGCCAAACCTAACAGACACGTACTGTATCGTCACCTCCAAGAGGGGCCGGTAGACGCGATGGACCATGAGAGACAACAAGCCGGTCAGAACACTAGCACGGAGCAATAGGCCCCATACATCGTCTCGGAGGAATCGTACAGCCTCCATCATTGAGTGTTTTCTGTTCGGGGATGCGCCGCGACTAGAAGATTGGTAATCTCGGCTACTCCGTGCTGTAGAACTGCTCGCGTAGTCAGCGTCCAAGAGTCCGTTGCCCTCGCCCTGTTCTAGTCCACAGGCATCGGTAGCCTGAGGCTCCTCGTCTTTGATAAAGTACATGACAACGAGGCTTAGGAAGTAGGAGGGAATGGTGGCTAGAAACGCGAGATGGGGTCCGATAGCCGCCGTCAGGATCGAGCCGATGGCAGGACCTATCAACTCCGAGACCATGATCGTGACGCTGAAATAGAAAAAAGCCACAGTTCTACAACAAAGTTCGTGCGGCGTTAGATTATGAAAGTTTGCAGGCATCTGATATACCGTTTCCCAAACAAATAACATACCTGAACTCATCAGTGCTTGCATGCGTGAGCATTGCCATAATCATCGCAGGCACAACGACCGAGCCACCGCCCAAGAGGATGAACGCCGGAGCACCATACACAGCGTTGGTCGGGAAAGCTTTGTAAAAGTAAAGCGAGACGAAATACCACGTGTCGTGTAGTATAACGCCCAATATTCCAATACTGCAGATCAACTTCCTTCCCCATTTGTCAGCTAGGACGCCAAACGGGATGGCGAGTATTATTCCTAATCGCAAGAGTTAGACACCAAACGCTCATTATCAGTGATTGAAAGGTATAACGGTACAAGGAAAGATGGAAAGAGGGGGAAAAGTCCATCCGAGCGACGCCCGAGAGACCCAAGGGGTCGTTCGTACCTATCAAATACTGGAGCATTTGAAGATAGCCGCGCATACGGGCAAGCGAGCTTTGAACACCCTTTAGCTTGCATAGCTCTTCGGGGACGCTCCCGTCGTCCCCAATCAAGCTTGGGTCATGGACGCGGTAATGATCTCGACATAAACCAAGCTCGAGCATGCGAACCTTGGCGGCATCACCCATGAAATTAGGGTAATCCACGAGAAAACGAGTAGACCGCAGAGATATAGTGTCGACCAGGTCGATACATGCTGGCTGATCCGAGAAATCCATGATCGGGCCTCGGTCGGTGCGCTCCGCCTCGGGGCGCGGTTGAGAAGCGGGTCTGTCTCGTCGTGGGACGGCCTCATCGTGTGCTCATTCTATTAGAGCTAGGTCCGCACGGCGCTCAATCCGTTGCCAATAGGAAAAGAGGTTTTTGAATTGGGAGGGTTGACAGAAGTAAAATAGATCAACCTATGCACCCAAATACAGGCTTACCAATCCTTATTCCTTATACACACCAATCTATGTCAGATTCCAGAGACAATTTTAGGGAAGAAAACAAAACGTCATATCTTCTTGTCTCGCAATCCCGTTCCTCCTGTTTCAAGAGCTGCATTATTCGAGACCTCAAGGGCTGTTGAGTATTAGATAATTTTTACACTAAAATCGAATGGAGCACTATACAGCCGACAGTCCAGGCAGCCAAATTAATTCCAAGTTGTCCAGTACAGTACCTAATGCCGATTGGCTGTAGTCACGTGAATATCATCTTGATCACATGGCAGCTAGCATAACTTGGAAATTACCCTCCTCGGGCATGACGTGAATCCTCCGCTCTGCTCAGTGCCTACCCGGAGGATTCAAGTCACACGATTCGACGTTACACCGCAGACTTGGTCCACCTCTTTTTAAGCACAAGGAATATTAATCATCTTGTTGATAACCGCAATGCCTTCCACTCTTCGTTCCTTTATCGCGCTTGCTCTCCTAATCGCTAGCACCCTTGGCGCACCTAACCCGTGGGGTTCTTACCTTGACTGGGACGGAGAATGCTGGTCGTGTCAGGATGCGGAATATGAAAGATGTGGCGGTGGTGTTGCCAGCATCAACGAAATGGCTGCCTGTGTCTGCGTGAGCCCACAAAAGACTAGTTTTACATCATGCTTGGAAAAGTCTTGCGCCGATGATAGTGCCCGCGTGCAAGAAACGCTCGAGTCCTACTGTGCCCGGTATATCACACCGGATGATGCGGAAAACAGTCCGACAACGACATCCTCGTCTACGGCAACGGCAACACCCACCGACAGTGGTAGCCCTTTGAACGCAGATGCGATTTATGGCCGCACTTTGCTGATCCTCGGCGGCCTTCACTTTGGCTATCAAACTCTTGCTCTCGTAAGAATACCGTAATTGTTTTCTCTCCTAATTACTAAATGTATCTAGATATCACAATTGCTTTGAGGCTTTGGCTCTCACCTATGTTAGCACTGAGCTACCTCGAGTGGCCCGCGCAACGCGCTTTGTTGAGGTAGAAATTGAGCATCAGAAGTTTCCAACCCGCCCCTCGATTGTTGTTAGCGGACATCTATTTTTAGGAACCTTCAAATTCTCCACAAACTTCAATCCAACGCTGTATCCGGGGGTGGAGCACTCGCCCTACATCACTGATGTACCATAATAGCAGAAGACTGAAAGTCAATTCTAGATGGTCCACTTCCTTGCCCGAATTGGTGAAAGTTAAACGCAACTGGCTACAGTATTTCAATACAGATGAATGCCTCTACTAGCATTAATCAAGTCATATTTTCAAGTCATAATTAAAGATTAAAGGCTGCATATGGTACCGCTGTCGATGGGTAACCCTCCTCAGTCCTACGTATATGCGTATATTCTCAATGCTGCGCTTGACGACGCTGTCATCATTCTTCCATTCTAGGCGATAGAGGCGGTATTATCTCACATCAAAGGTTGATTCACGTGACACCGTGGCGTCTCCATCCATGACATCGGATCTACGACACTCACCGAAGCAAGTACAATGCAATTTGTATCGCGACACACCTCGATTCCAGTCCCACAAGTATATTGCGCTTTCACACACAAGGGTACCACTTACATCGTCATGGAGAGGATCGTCGGCACAACGGCGAATGTTGGCTGGGGTTTCCGTCCTCCAGCATCCAGAAGAAAAATTTTAGAGCATCTAAAATCGATGGTCGCCCAGCTTCGCAATATTCAACCACTAGATACCATCGGCGTCGCGAATGTCGACGGTGGGCCTATTTTTGATGAGCGTCTTCCGAAAAAGTCAATCTAGGGCCCTTTTCAAACCATCAAGGACTTCCATCGGGAGCTTCGAGATGGAATCGAGGCCAGCCAGCTAGACGATAATTCTCTAGCTGGCCTCTGTGAACTCTGCGCTTTTCACGATGAACCGTGGCCTCGGCCTGTCTTCACGCATGGCGACTTAAGCAGCTTTAACATCATGGTTCACGATGACAAAGTCGTGGGAATTCTTGACTGGGAAACGGCCGGGTGGATGCCACCATACTGGGAATATTCTTCGGCCTGGAACGTCGCTCCAATGAATCAGTTTTGGCAGGATGAGGTGGATAATTTTTGACACCTATGCCGCGAGAGTTAGAAATGGAAGCTATTAGGCGGAGGTGGTTTACAGCAATCTAGTGATACATCTCACGTCGGTCGACCAAGATTTCATGGCGTCGTCTCTGTCCTTTCCAGCAAGTCATAAGTCGCCACCTTGCTAGTATCACACTGGCCAGGTTCAGCCTTGCCATCAAATCTATGCTCTGCTGCCTTCTTCCCAACATACCACATTACTATATCACGTACTGTCTTCCAGTCAAGTACAGAGGTACCCAGGGCTTGTCCATCCTTCTGCAACCTCTCCAAGGCCTCGTTCACCCATTCGACGCAATTCCATCCCAGCTTTGATCCTTGAATAGGCACACTCTGCAGGACGGGTATGAGGCGGTCCATGTTTAGATCCTAGCAACTAGCACGCGGACTAAGATGTTCGTACGTAGAATTCAGGACATCCTAATCTCATACCCAACCCGGCCTTGCATGCTCGAGAGTAGCCAGGCTTCCTCAAGATGGCATCTGTTCTTAGCCGAGGGCCCCGATTGACCGGCACCTACTCTCTCACCCTTAGACTTTCGTACCTGGAGGCGTAGAAGCATTGCAGCGCCATCTTGCAAGATATCTATTTCCCAATTCCTTCTGTATTCTGATCCTTCAATGGACCCACCTAGCCGGAGGGGCCACCAATCCCCATTGCTTACCCTCATGCCGGGACTGGGTGTAGCATCTCCAGATGTCCACAGGAATCACAGTGCTTGCCTTCAACTGCAATCTTATAGATTGTTTCGATAAAGGAAACAAAATACATCATATAGATACCACACTAGAGCTTGATGTGAAGAATTACGCAACATCTGAGGCGCAAAAGGTGCAAGATGCGTATCAAATAAAACCCCTCATTTCCAGAGACCCGAGGTACTCCCTGGATCACGATATTCACCAGTCGCGTCCACTAGCTATCTTAAACGTGCTCCAGAAACCAACCTCGATGATTCCTATAGCTAGTGGTAGCAGGTAGGAATAGTCCACACAAGTTGAAGCCAACTTCATATCTTCGATGTAATACGTGCACGACAAGAATGGTCTTAGGCGAAAACGAATGACCAGAACCGGCAAAACAAAATGATTAGCAACGAAAAGGATCGCCGCAATGAAAATACTTGCCTTCCGAAACTTCCGCTGATATTGTGACGGCCGAACTCTTATCGTGTATAAAGTCATGCCTGCGGCAAGTCCAGACCAAAGATACGCGAAGCCTAATTTGCTGGACAGGGGCAACGAGGTCCACACCATCTTTGTCCCAAATGAAATAGAAAGAGGCAATATGGCGGCGTAGAGTACAGCGTAGGCAAGCCAGATATAAATCATGGCGATTTCTATATATGCATCCCTCTGCCATGTGGCGGAGCCGCCAGTCCAAGCAAGTATTTGTGGCAAAGCCGATGTCGGAGCGCCATAGCTCTTGAGCATCTCCTGGCTGTCTTGCAGGCGCTTGATATACATAGAGCGAAATCGATCGGACCGGTTGCGATTGTACCGCGAGTAGAGGCCTTTGTGTGTTTCAAGGGCGGGTCCACGTAGGAGAGGGGGTGCATCGCTAAAATCCTGGTCTTGAGCAGCGCAGGCGCTAATGTAATGTATGCGTCAGCCCTGCGCGCCTTCGTCTCCAGTCTCAGAGCTGAAAGAGAAGGTGAAAGGAACCATTGACTCAAAAAGGAACCTCCTGGGTTCCATCCAATGTCTAACATTGCTCGTAAAGCCGTCATATTAGAGCACTTCAAGGCCAATTTGAGGTAGCTGGCTGCCTTTGAATGTCCAATTCTGACCTGGGCCTCAATAACTGACCAGAGATCGACCCGATCAGGACGATTTCTAACAATATTTCCAACGAGTAGACAGTGATACTCGGAAGGAGTTATTGGGTGCCTCTTCCACTCCGGCGCCCCGTCTTCCTCTGATCCGCCTCTGCGAGCCATCGCCTTCGCTGTGAGTCGACGGGCCCTGATGGCCAGAGGCTCTCTTTAGGCCGTCTAAACCTTGTAGCCATCAAGCTCTTAAGCGTGTACTGACACTGCGTATATGACTCCGTAAGCAATACGTGCTCTGCGGTCGTTGTGAAATGTGGAAATTCTGGAACGTCTTCCTCGACGTGAATCCCGAGCATTGGGCGAATGTCTTTATTTGATGCGCGCTCAAACTCGGCGAGAAACTGCTCTATCCTCGAATACTCGTGACACTTTAACCCCCACAGCTCCGGACACCGCTTGATCAGGACATCAGTGGCCCGGAAATATGAATTAGAGAGCGATGCAATAAGAAATCCGGGCGTGCCCTGCTTAATGAGGTAAGGGTTTGAGACTTGTGTGATACGAGACCTATCTCTCCGTCATTAGAGTTTTCGTTCTCCCATATTAGGTTCCAGGCCCGACAGAAGACATTTTCACGACACTTACAAAAGTAGTGGTCTTGGTGCTGAGCAGAAACGGCATGTTCAAGTGCTGCCCGTACAAGATTGAAGTGATGTTGGTGCTGCGGCTGCCGGGTTCCAAACAGCGCGTGAGGCCCGAGGAACCTCATCACCGCTCGCGACCACAAAGAGTCTCCGATCCAACACTCTGGCAGGCTGCATCTGATATACGCGTATGTCTTCCAAACGGAACTATTCTCCTCAACAAGGCGATCAAATATTTCCCTCTGGCCGAGACTTATTGCCAGCTTCATCGTAGGGGACGAGATGTCAGGCCAAGTCGGTCTATATGATCGCTGAAGAAGCCACCAGAGTGGTTCCTTTGCCGATTCCTTGTTTTCTTGAAGCAGGAAGTCGACAGCATCAAGACTACCACCTTCTATTGCAGCGCACAGCATCATGCGCGCGAGTCTGTCGCGGTCGGCATTGTCCATGGCAAGCAAAAACCTCATTGTCCGTTGAAGCACATCCGCAAATTTGTCACCGTAGACCATGGCGCGAAAGAAATTTTCAGGAAGGTCGAGGGCGGCAATGGCGACATTATGAAAGGGGACCTTGCTGAGAGGAAGGAGTTCTTGCCCGGTCCAGACGTTGATGTTCCGAAGATCAAAATCGTACCCTGCTTTATGGCTCTGAAGATGTGCCATTATGGCTTCCAGCGCATCGGCATAGAATAGAGCGAGTGAAATGGCCAGAACTCGCCTAAATCGCGAGCCAAGCTCACATATGCGGCAGACAGATATCGCATCATCTGCGTGGGCCATCTTCAGGAGCGCATCAAGCAAGGCGTTATTTCTATGAAGGATCGAGTTCAGGATTGGACAGCATCTGAGGCCCAGAGAAAAGATGGTCCGATTGGTTTCTTGCCAAACAGGCAGGGACTCCTGGCCCAGGCTTGCCGTAGACGCGAGGCGAGGGGCGAAGCGCCAAATTTCAGACGGAGGAAACGTCGCCATGAGATGAAGAACCGTTTGGCCCATGCGATTAGGGATTGAAGCATCAGTTTCGGTCTCGCTAAGAAGATAATCCATAACCTCATATTGCTTGTGTATGGCAGCAATCAAAAGCGGAGTGTTCCCACTTGGGTCTTGACTGTTCACGACAGCCGAATCGGCGCTGATGAGACTTTTGAGGGCATTGAGGTCGCCATCCCTCGCTGCCTGGCAGAGTGGTTCTGGCATCAGATTGTCGGGAAGGAACGGATCATCATCCAGCGCCCCTTCTTCATCAAATCCCACAAAGTAACTCGTGGAGTCATCAACAGCCGTTGTAGTACTCGCGGCAGGAGCAGAGACGAATTCGCCTTCGGTTTCCTCGAGAACTGTTTCAACCCGGCAGAGTCCGCTACCAGGTTCCACGACAAGTGCTTTATCAGGAACCAGCTTACTCACCACAAGTGATTCCTTTTGAAGGTTTCGCTCATATCGCTGGCTAATAGCTCCACTGAGGGCCTCATAGTACGTCTGCGCAGCTTCAATATTATTCTCTCGCGCAAATTCGAGCCAGAACGCTGCCATCTCAGGATTCTGCTTCACGCCGAAGCCGGAAAAATAGCAGACTACAAGCTCCCAACCGGCCGCAGCATTCCTGGGGTCGCTGGGATTCCGCGCTATCACTAGGAGCTTTTGGGTAATAAACTCCTTAAGCTGGTGGCTGCATTGAGAGAGCGTATGATAGCCAATAGTCATCTTGTAGGAGAAAGAAATAAGCGCCAAAGCCCAGATTGTACCAAGAGATCGAACGACGTGCACACATATACCAAGCAAGAACTCTTACCTTTTCAATCACGTTTAGCGGAGGGACCACCGGCAAACCTTCATACGACTGACGTTGCCTCGTCCCTGACGGTGCGTAATTCTCGGCTTCGAACCTTATTTTTCGCGTTAGCAGGAATACTGAGGGGCGGGCGAGTGAGTGCCCATGAAAAGGCGAGTGGGGATGAAGACTTACTTCTCGATGAGGCATACACAAGCTTCCATGCTGCGGTGCCCCGGGTTCAATTGAACCGTCTTCCTCAACAGGAAGCCACAGCTTCAACGTCAAGATCGGAGTCGTAGTTATTCTTATCTTCGCTCTCCAGCAGTTGTACCGCCTTATCCAGAATGCTTCCGTCCTGTTTTCTCTTCTCAACATCGTCGATATCCAAATGAAATGGCCTGCCCAGCATAATAGAAAGGATCACAAGGCCATAGGAGTAGTAGTCTGTCGACTTCAGCTCCGCAAAAGTCATATTGGTCGCGCTAGTAGCCTCCGGGGCACACCACCAAGGCGTAAACGCAGGCAAGGTTTCTGGGTCGTCGCTCATGAGTGCCGAATGGCCAAAATCAGTCAACTTGACCATGAAGGAGTCGCGTGCATCTTTGCGCGGGAAAACTAGGATGTTCTCCGGCTTCAGGTCGCCGTGCACAACTCCGCAGGCATGAAGTGCCCGTAATCCCTCCGCTATATCCCGGCAAAACTCGAGGTTGGCTTTGAAACTAAGTCTCACGAAACTCCAATTCTTCCAGAAACTATCAAGCGCTCCTTGGGGCGCAAACTCTTCGAGGAGGATGGGCCGCGGAATCGTCGCCTCGTCATCCTCAAAGTCCCAGCCCACACCCTCAGTCGTGCGACATTAGGATGCGCGGCAAGAGAACGGTGAGAGCGGATCCGAAGGTCCGTGATGAAGCTAGAGAGGGCATCAGACTTGGCCTTTTCCTCCTGAACGTGCCGTGGACGCTTGAGAATAATGCCCTCGTCATAAGAAGCAAGTGAGCCTCGAACAAAATCGGATGGGGCCTGCTGCACCACACGGGTGTGGCTCACGAGGCTCGTATGCCCCTTGCCTTGATATGTTTCAAGAGCGGGCGGATACTGCCGAACAGCTACGAGATCATGGTCTTGCCTCTGGTAGATCTCGCAGGCGAGAGAGACGAATGTGATGAAATCCGCTTTCGGGCCGCTACCCTTCTGCGCGCCGGCCTTGGTTCCACCTCGGATGCGAGTGAAATTGGTGCGAGTTCGGGACGCAGAGTATCGCAAGTCCTGGAGATTGACACGTCCCTGGGGCGCAAACCTGCGTGAGGCCGTCTTCGATCGCTCCATTCCGCTAGAATTACCAGTTTTCCACAAACTGGACGCCCAAGGCCAAAATGGGGTAAGATTCGCAACTCTTGCCCCTACTTATTTTCTCTGTCACTGCTCTGAAATTGCGTTTCTCCTCTGGGGCGAGGAGACGCGGGGACAAAGACAGCCGACGCCGCAGGAGGCTTGGAGAAAAGGTGGTCAAGGACAACCTCCCCAAAAATTGCCACCTCACCAGCCTCAGTCTGTGAAATGGATTAAAGATGCATGCATGCATGCTGGCGCTTATTGGATCCAGTTGCTCAGCCACCCCCAAACCCTTGAACAGGGCTGGACAACAAAGAGCTGCATGCGCGCATCGAGGAGGGGTGGTTTCTCGGTCGAGTCGTTTGAGCCCCCAGACGCCACTGGTGCTCCAAGATCGCCATGCTCATCGTATCTTGTGCTTGTTCAGCTCCATGTTTTTTTGTCTCCGTCGTCGTATTACCAGTTTCCCTTTTTTTCAATTTTCCCCTTATACCTCCTCCTTGGTGTCTTTTATTTCTTCAAAAATAGGTCGCGAAGCACAGTTGGCCTTCCTCCCCAATAAACCGCAGTTATATATCTTCCTCATCATGGCATCAGGCGTAGAGATCCTCGGTGCTGTCGCAGCCTCTATCGAACTAGTCAAGGTCGTTTCGGTCTGTTTGTCAGCTGTAAACGGACTGAGAAACATCAATCTTCAAGCCAGGGAACAAAAAGATGCGCACCTCAACCTCTTCATCCAAGGTCTGAGGTTCGAGAGATGGTGCTCAACGCTTGGCGTCCAAGAGGTCATCGGGACCATGGAGGCGCGTCCGAAAGATTGGGCGACGGCTCCGGAGATCACTAACTTTGGACACGCCCTCGAAGGCAAGCTAAAGTTGAAGAGCCCTGAGTTTGTACAGCTCACCCTTGCCGCGCTCGCTGGAATGCGAGACAAGTTTATCGAAGCATCAGATCTTATTTCCAAGTACGCTACTACATCAGTTCAGCTGGCTCACTCATCGCCAAAGCAAACAAAGCTACTCAAGACATGGGGTAAATTCGTGAAGCGGAGCCCCTCACCAAGGAGCATACACGACGTTTCAACAGGTGCGGCCAGCGAGGCCAGCGAGGAGCAGCTGGTCAAGTCAAAGTCGCGGGCGGGATTGAGCATGAAGTGGATCACCTCGGACAAAAGTGCCATTCTTGTACTTCTGGAGAGCATAGAAAAGACCAATAACCTTTTACTCGAGCTCCTCCATCCCATGTTACATCACCAGATAGACCGGCGCGCCGAAATGTCGATCCTCGATAGCGTTGATCACGACACACTCATCAAGACTGAAAGATTACCTAATGGAAGTGGGTTGAAGAACATGGCAAGGATAAAGCAATGGCAGTTGTGCGAGAGCAGAGAGTGGGAGGGTGATGATGCGACCTCATCCAGCTCCGTGACCCTCACCGAGGCAGCGCCGCCGCGACGAATCCAGCCCTACCAAACCAAAGATTTCAAACGCGGGACTCTTCTTTACGGCGAATACCGATCTCTCTCCAACCTAGACGGTCAGAGCGTCATGGTGGAGTGGAAATATTGCAACAGGGACTCCCCACGAGGCTCGAGCAAACTCTTCGCCTCAGCGAGCTTGCCAGCGTCCTCAATCGCGATAACTTGTTCGAGAAATTTGCAACGCTGCACTGCCGAGGACTAGTGAACGATACTGAAAATTCGCGAATAGGTATGATATTTTCCATCCAAAGTGGAGGCGGTGGGCAGATGGAGAGCCTTCAGGACCTCATTCGCCGAGAGAGCACCCCATTGCCTCTCGGCCATCGTTTCGAGATTGCGAAACGCCTTGCCACTGCCGTGCTACGCCTTCACTCTGTTCGATGGCTACACAAGTCGATCCGTAGCGACAACATCGTTTACTTTCGCAGCGAAGACGAGTCGAATCGTCCTTTCTATGAGCAAAATGGCCAATCAACGAGAACAGAACGCCCCCATCGGGTCACCCCGACAACTTTGTCCCATGCGTTGTCGGATTTTTATCTTTTAGGCTGGGACCTGTCGCGGCCAGATCATCCTTCTGAGCTCTCTGAGACCTTGTCCGTGTCAACGGCTGGCTTCCAGACAAAACGTGATGCCATAAGGTCGTACAGTCACCCTGAGGTCCATCCGGAATCGGAAACGATGCGGCAGCGCTATCGATCTGAGTTTGATATATACAGCCTCGGGCTGATTCTCCTCGAAATAGGGTTATGGAGGACGATTGACACCATTCGTATACGCTCCCAAAACGACTCAGAGTTTAGGCTCAAAGTTCAGACAGAATACTGCGACAAGCTATTGCCCAAGATGGGTGAAGTTTATTGGCGCGCCGTTCAACGATGCTTGAACAACGATTTCGGCATCTCTGAAGATGCTCTCAGTAGGAGTGATTTTCCTCTTCAGGTCTCGTTTGAAGAACATGTTGTATGCGAACTTGAGAAATGCTTTGCGTGATTTTTCAGACTCCTCAAGGCGCACTACAAAGAGAAGAAGCGGCGATCACAGGTGGAAAGGGCAACAGCTCACAGCAAATTATGACTTAAGGCCTCGACTTCTTGATATCGATGCCTATGAACGTATTCCGCGGCATTAACAACTAGAACAGGGCCTATATTTTATATACTCCCTCAATCTTCCATCAACAAGCACGGCTACATGATGCCAAAAGGACAACTTTCATCTACCAAGATTGTATTGATCATCAGCAATACATACCATTCCTGCTCTCCATTTCCCAGTATCCCTGTTTTTGGCACCTTTATACCATCCTCACATGGCCGCCAGCTCGATGGCCTGTAGCATTAAGTGTTGATGCAGAACCCTTCAAAGCTGTGTCACACATTCTCATCCCCCTACCAATCAGTGACGAGTCGCGGTCACTCCCCGGTCTTCATCCACCCCACACATGCGCTGACCCCGCATCTCAAGCTCACTCCTCCCAGCAGAATTTTATCCCAGCACAGAGGGATAAAATGAGACTCTTAAATGCCTGGACCCTGGAGATCGAGGAGTTTGGTGCCCGCAAAACGCCGCCATATGCAATTTTGTCGCATACATGGGGTGAAGGCGAGGTACTCTTGCAGGATATACAGGCCGGCAAAGAAAAAGCTCTAAAGGGATATCCCAAAATCGCCGGCTGCTGCAAGCAAGCGAGAGAAGATGGGTTTGAGCACGTAGTAAGTCTGGGAACGTTAGATGAGAGAGGCAGTATCAAGGAGAACACCCATCGTACGTTTTGCCAACGCCACCTCACCTCGATCTAACCACCTCTCCCGCTTCAAGTGGATAGATACATGCTGTATAGATAAGACGAGCTCGACGGAACTTGCCGAAGCCATCAACTCCATGTTCACTTGGTACCGCAAGTCTGTCGTGTGTTATGCCTACCTTGAAGATCTCGACACCACCGAGGTCCGAGAGAACCCAGAGCTCCTATGTGGTAGCCGGTGGTTCACCAGAGGATGGACACTTCAGGAACTGATAGCTCCTGGGATTGTGGTTTTTTCGGCTCGGACTGAGAGAGATTGAGACACGCGATAATTTGGTCAAAGAGATATCCGACGCGACTGGTATAGATCAAGGTTTGTTTTTCAACGGTAAACTGTCCGATTTTAGCATTGCACAGCGCATGTCGTGGGCCGCGAAGCGCCAGACAACCCGGCTTGAAGACGAAGCGTATAGTTTACTTGGCCTCTTTGGCGTGAACATGCCTCTACTCTATGGAGAGGGCGCAATGGCGTTTGTGCGGTTACAAGAAGAAATCATGCGGCGTTCCGACGATGACTCCATCTTCGCTTGGGCGACGCCCAACACCACCAACTGTGGATTGCTAGCCCCTTCGCCTAGTTGCTTTTCTAGTGCTCGGAATGTCCGCAAATCTAGGAGTCGAGCTCCTCAATCTCCGTTCTTCCTGACCAACAAAGGGGTGCAAATCACCCTACCCATCCTTGGCTGGACTCAGAAAGACAGCCTACCGCCATTTGAGCTCATGAGCTCCGGTCCAGGACCGAAAATCATCATAACTCCCCAGAAAGCTTAATAGCTGTTCTGAATTGCGAGGACAAAACTGGCAGGCGTCTCGCACTCGCCATCAACCGCACCAACGTCAACGAGCCGTTCCATCGCATTAACGCGGATCTCGGGCCTTACTCGCTCTTGCCAGAGGACTGCCGGAAAAACTCGGAGCCCAAAAGATTTTTGTACAGGCGTATAACCTAGTAAACGATTTCTCGCTCTGGGAAAAGTTGCGTCCGACCTTTTCGGAATCCGGGGCCTCCCACGCCTAGGGTCAGAGTACAGGCTCGCGTTTTCCTTTGGTGACCTCACCATCGAACCGGAAGGTATGGCTTCGGCTCGCCTCTCAAACGGAACGCGCGTTGGTTTTGTTTACGAGTCTACCGAGGGCCATGCGTTTGGGGTCTGTATTGGGGAAACTGATGAGAGGACGGGATGGGAAATCATGGCCGGAACGCATCAAGAAGTTGAAGCAATGGCCCAACGATTCAAATACAAAGATAATAAGTTCCTGACTGGCCTGCGCTCCTGGTCCCTCCCCATAGATTTGGGAGGGTCCAAGAAATTACAAGTTTCCATGGTTACGCAGAAGCGACCACACGGATTTTCGAGTATAATCAAGATCGACGGCAATAGTTGCCAGACCGCTTTCACAGTACAAGCGCCTAGTACTGAAGCTGAACTCAAAGCCCTGCTGGATGAGGCCAAAAGCCAAGGTGGAGAATATTGGGCTCCGAGGTCCTCGGAGGGCGCCCGAAATACTTCCTACCCGATTCCCGCGGGGCAGTCTTCCAAGTATAGTCATCACGTAGACCGGCTCCCAAGTCCACGATATCATACTCTCAGAAACCTCCAGAGAGTCACTAAGAACCCATGGCCGACGAGGATGGCTACGATCTGTGCTTAATACAGGGCTCCACGTGCGGTGTACATGAATATTCCTTCCAGCCACCACCCGAGAGGTTTGAAGTTTAGACGGCGATTGTTGTATAGCACGGATTATACGCCCATCGGCAGCTAAGTTTGTATTGAAGGAGGGCCTCGGTGTGTACCGCCGAGGGTTTTATTATCTGTCAAGGCGGTGGCTCAACCTATACACCTAGATACAGTAACTATATAAGAATCAAGATAAGCGAGCACTTGATATGAGGTGAAGGTTGAGTTGAAATAGCCTAATCCACTTCCCATACACCTACGATCTCTCCCTCTCCCTCATTTGTGTTGTCCATCCCCTCTGGTCTTGCACATACTCCCATCTCCGGACACTGCGGTCTGTCTACTCCTGTCCACAATAGAAAAGAAATCACAACCGAATAAGATAGTTACCTCTTCATCCTGCTCTAGCCCTTTAACTTCCAGTTTGACACAAATGGACGCTACCTCATGCCTCCCTTCGTGGGCTTAGCAACTAAAAACTAGCTAACATCAATCAGAGTAGCTTCCATGGAAGTCTCTAATAGTTACCAATTTGCCTACATTTGAGCATCAGTCACGCTACAGAGCTCCTATGCCTCTTTTAGTCTAAATAAGGTGTTTTCGTATAGCTTCTCCAAATAGAGATTGGCCTCGTACGTCCTCACGTGTGGTCTCTGTCTTGGTTACGCATGCTACATCCATGTAGCGAATTGCCATTTCCGCCCCACACAAGGCTTTCTATCCACCAGCTCACCATCGATCCTTGGACACCCTGGCATCTTCGGTTGGCATCCTTATCAGCCCTTTACATAATCTCTTTTCTGTGTCTATCTAAACTTGATACACATTTGGCCGGCTATCGGCAAGATGATATCACCCGTGCAGGACCAGATGTATGGATGAGATGGAAACATTAACATTTTCGTCATTCTCCCATATCTGACGGTTTAACTTAGAATAGTTCTAAGTCGAAGCTATATCGCCTATGGTTTCCCTCATTTCGACAGCTCTACGTTTTAAGCCTCTCTAACGAACTCCACGTCTGGGTACTTTGGTGACGGCTTGGCAAGAAGGCCCTCCCCTTACATCCCAGACTAAAGTCAATAAAGTCCGACATGTATTCCCGCATGATCTTCATGGCCCGGGCGCCAGTGATGTTACCCAGCACGTTATCTCGCAGAAACTCGTCCTCCTCAAGCCTAGCATGTCGCCAATAGGGGCAAAATCGCTATAGGTGGTGTGCTGCGCTTCGGATATCCTCAGAGCCTTGAGCCAAGTACCTGGATGGTTTGTAACTGTGGCCTGCCAGAAGTCTTCCCACGTCCTGTCGAGCGTAAAGGTGTGGGTCTTGGAGGCAAGCAAGAGGAAGGGACGGTCGACACCCGACGTTAGGCGTCCATATTTCGAGCCGTACATAGTGCCGTCCAGGTTGATGCCGGCTACGACACGCGTGTCGCTAACCATGAGGGCAGCTGCTGCGGCGCCGCCGGTTGAATGCCCGGTGGCGACGACTTTGTCGTGTGGGCCGACACCAATCGAGTCGAGGACAAACGATGCATCTGCCACTCGGACTTCCTGTCCCCAGGCCATGAGCGGATCATCCGGGTCCTCCTCGTCCCATTCGTACGTAATCCTCCCGCCGTATATCTTGGATCCATCCGGGAACCTGACCACGTTGGACTCGTAAGGGTGATCCATGGTGATGACCTCGTAGCCCATGCCGGCCAAATTCTGGGCGAGAACTGAATAGATGTGCCTGGTCGCGTTCAGGCCTGGTCCGAAGAGCACGACGGGAAAGTCGCGCTTACGGGTCTTTTGGTCGCAACACACTTCCACCTCGAAATCGCCATAGATGCCTTCGGGCCAACCGTGCGGATAGAGAGGAGGTCCGAAGATCTCCTCGATCTCGGTTACGATGCCCGGTTCGATCCATGGCCTACGGCAAGTCCTTTTGCACTCTCGCGGCGGTACGGGAGTGAAGCGCGAGATCATGAGTCGCCGTGCGTGCGAAGAGTTGAAGGGATCAACGCGGCCGTGGTCGATGAGTTCTTGTGACGTCCACTTGACAAGATATGGCGTGTCCGGGACCTCAAACACAAGTTTGGCGGCGGCGCCCACCAAAGCTTGGCCGACCAAGCCGGTAATCGCGGTGATGACGATGGACCTCATTTCTTTTGCTAATGTTGTTCAGCACCATAGATGGGAGGCTTACGAGGCATGCACAGGATGGAATTGGATGAAGCGCCAGGGCTGACGACTTTATATACTACTTATAATGACTACGCACACGATCGTATCCGCTCAAGAAGACTGGATTCGGCCTCGGACCTTTCTGCAGAGCAAAGAAACAGGAAAGTAATCTATTGCCGTTACATTGTGGAATAATGTATAACTCAACATCGTATAAGTCGTCGGTTGGTTACCATTGTGGCCCTGAAGAAACGGCAAAGGTGGATCCCAGCTATCCGCTTGAGGTTAGTCTTGACTCTTGCCTATTTGACGAGGAGCGCTTTCCAGCTTGGCCAGGTCTCCATCATTCCGTTCCGATCCCGCTGACCAAGCGCTAATGCAAGATGCCGTAAAATACAGGGTGCGAAGGCCTGCTGACTGATAAAACGGCCAAAGAAGTGGGGCAGCAGAAATCCTGCTGACTGATGGGGTAGTAGCTTGACAACTTGGCAACTTGGCGGCTTGGCAGCTCCAAGCCCGGCGATCGGCCCATGAATCCATAATTCCCGGATCTGAAGCGTTCGAAGACTTTGGGAATGAAGAAAAGCAGGACCAGCCTAGATTGACCGTGGCTAGTGATTGGGTACCGAGAAAATAAAGGCATTTCTCGGCCGGTGCAGGAGGTGGAAATCCCTGCGCTGTATGCGGGGGCTCGGTCACATCCTCTGGAACATCTTATTAAGATGGGGCGATTTTTTTATATCCTTGTCAATGAGTCTCCCGTTACTTTGTATTGAACAGAGGGCAAAAGATGGGGGTAAAATGCTGTTCGTATTCGCTGCTTGGTTCTATTATTTAGAGCTGTTCTATGGAGGAATCTACGGTCTTTTATAGTTGCTATTCCTGGAACCGTCGGATACCATCTTCCGGAATGGAAGTCGATATCCGTCATGTGGATCTGTCGGAAACCGGTATCTATATTAGATATCTATTTCTATAATAGATATCTATTTCTATGATAGACTTCTATTTCTATAGGAATCCTTCTATTATTCTTTAATATACCCCCTATCTAGAAGGCTTTAGATATCTAAGTCTTCTAGATATCTGATTTCTATAAGTCCTAGTAGATCTATAAAATAGCGATATTTCTAGTATAGGAGAATTTTTATAAGTCTATTAGCAGCTATATTATTAGTTTATATCTAGCTAATAGATATCTTCCTATATTATACCTCTTAGTATAGTTAGTAGTAATAGATATTAATATACTATAGGTAGGTATATAGTTGAAAACTATCCTATATTAGTAGCCTAATAGTCTATAGGTTATTATATAGTATTTATAGCTTATTATCTAATAATAGGCTAATATCTTTAAAAATCATCCTATACTAATCTATTCCTTTACTATAGTAGATATTATATAATATTCTACCTCTATAGATAATATAGTTATAGTATCCTATTATCCTAACTTCTATATAATAGGTTTACTAAAGAGCTTTATTATATATCCTTAGCTAGACTTTCTATTATCTATATTATTAGTAAATACTATATTACTATAGTAGATAAAGTTAGCTAATTAGTTATTAGATTAACTATTAGATAGACTATTAGATAGACTATTAGATAGACTATTAGATAGACTATTAGATAGACTATTAGATAGACTATTAGATAAACTATTAGATAGACTATTAGATAGACTATTAGATAGACTATTAGATAAACTATTAAATAGACTATTAGAACTATACTATATTTTAATATTCTTTATTTCTAATAGATATTAGATTAGATTATCTATAATATCTATATAATCTTATATAGATAATAAGGTATATATCACAACCTAGCCACCTAAAGAAGCGGCCTAGGGAAGGTAGTGAGGACCTATAGAAACACTAGACTAGAGGAACTATAGGTAAAAGGGATCACCCCAGTCACCCAGTGATCTAGGCAACCTAGATCACCATAGTCATAGTGATCAGAGCTAACCAATCACCTAGATCACAACAGGACAACATAATCCACCATCTATATAAAGAAGTAAGTAGATCTTAAAGGGAAAGAGGTTCTATATCCTTCCTAGTAGTCAATTTAAGTATACTTAACCCCTACACTTAAATATATATTATAGATAATAATATTATTATACTATTTAATTACCTCATTAAGCTACTAATAAGCTTAACTATTCTAACCCTAATATAACCTAACCCTAAGTAGTATATCCTAATATTAAAATATCATATATTAACTACTCCTATTTAGTAAGTAACCCTTTTAGATAGTATTAACTAAAAACTATATCCTCTATTATAAGAAGTACTAAGGGGAGCACTAAAGGTAAGGGGAAGGAACTAGAGAAGAGTTCCTCTTACCCCTATTAAAGAAGATAATAAAAGGATAGAAGTAGACTTAGATAATAAAACTAAATATATACCTAAAGACTAGGTTAATAACACCTTTAGAAAGGTATAAGATAATATATAAGGCTAGTAATAAGTTATTAATAACTTATATAGCTACCTTATAAAAATTAAAGCTATACTATAAAAAATAGTAGTAGGATTAGTAATAGAAGGGGAGGTATTATATCTTAAAATCCCTAAACCTAAAAAGTTTAATAGAAACTATATAAAACTCTATATATACCTTACCTAAATAAAAGAGTACCTATTATATTACCTATAACTAAAGATAGGTATAGACTAGGTATAATATATAGTAAGGTATCTTACTAGACCTACTTTAGATTAGTTTAAACTAACCCTAAGGGACTTCTTTAAAGTTAGTATTTATAGATAGTTAGAGTTTACTAAAATAGTTTTTACTAGGTATAAAAACTTTAAATATACTATTAAAGGAGCCTTTAGAGAACTAGATAAGGATAAAGCTATATAAAACTAACTCTATAACCTTAGATAGAAAGGAGTAGCTTTATAGTATATTATTATATTTAGATAGGTAGCCTTATATCTAAACTACCTAGATAAGGTCCTTATTAACCTATTCTATTAAGGACTTAAAGAAAAAGTAAAAGACTAACTTATTAGAGTATAACCTCTACTAGTTATATTTATAGACTATATTAAGCTAGTAATATCTATTAATAACTAGTTATATAAAAGAGAATAAGAAAAGAAGTAGTACTAAAACCTAAATAGAAATAACCTATTTTAGAAAAAATACTATACTAATACTAAGGCTAGAAGAGCTAATAGTAATACCTTATAGGGAATATACCCTAGACTAATAGAACTTAAAGTAGCTAATAGAGAACTTAAACTAGTACTAAGTAAAAATAAAGAGTATTTTAACTATAGAAAACTAGAGTACTATATATAGGAATACTAAAGTAAGACTAATAGTAACTTTAGAAATAAAAAGAAACTATAGAAACCTATACCTATAATAGGATAGAAATAGTATAATAAGTAAACTAAAGAGCTAGGAAGTACTAGTAAGCTACTAGACTACTATATTATATATTAGATAATATATTATAATAATAATTACTATACCTATTAAGATAGTAAAGATAGAGTAGGATATTACCCTAGAAAACTAAAGTAACTTAGAATAATAAGCTACTATAGGATATACTACCCCTAATAGAAAATAGTAGAAGACTTACTTAAATACCCCCTTAAAGTAATAGAACTATTCTATAATAAATAGCTTAAGTATTAACCTAATAATAGAACTAAGGTCTAAAAGTTCTAGGAATAAAACCCTAAGCTAAGGGAGAAAGACTATAATTAGAAGATATTAGAAAACCTATAAACTAGTCTTAAAGAAAATAGGTATATCTTTAAAAACTAATATAACTTAATAAAGAATAAAGATACCCTAAAAAGATATAATAGTTTAAGAACTAATAAAAGGTAAACTAAGACCTAATAAATAGTTTTAAAAACTAAAAAGTATATATTTATATAGTAAAGGAAATATATAGAATAATATAACTATATTATCTATAACTTAGAGTACTATAGAAACTAGCTCTAGGAACTAGAAATAAGGGACTAGGATATACCCCTAATATTACTTAATAATACTATCTAAAAAGTTAAAGAAATAGGAAACTAGATCTAATAAAATAAAATAAAAATAAAAGTTAAACTAGAGAATTAGGAAGATACTATCTCTAGGAGACTCTATAAAATAGAGTAATAGGTCTAAATACTATAATAAGAACTCTAAACCTACTAGGAAATAACCTATAATAACTTCTAGTAAGTATAGAAATATATAGGAAGGGTAGATAAATAATAGGAAGAATATAAAAAATTTATAGAAGATATATATATTCCCTAATAAAAGAGTAGGAGTATTATATAATAGCTATAGAAGAAAATATAGACTAGCTAAGTAACTAAGGTAAATAAATCACTAAAGTATACTAATAAATAGCTATACTATAAGAGGAACTTAATAGTATAGAAGAATAACTAATTAAAGTATAATACTATATTATAAAAAATAATATAAGAACTAGTAAAGATAACTAAGAAATTAAGGATAAGGTTACTAAATATAAAAACTAATAGTATTAGTAAAGGTATAATAGGGACTAAATATTCCTTAATAAATAGAAGGAATACTAGGAACTAAAGGAGAAGGTAAGATAGCTACTATAAGTCCTAGAATAAATCTTACTATTAGGGAAGTAATATAACCTAGTTATTAGAATAGCTAGATATATAAAAATATCTATAAATACTAAAGAAATATAGTACTAAAAAGAATATAACCTAAGTATATAAAATAATAAGTACCTTAAGGTAATAGTATAAATAAGGGGAAAATAGTATAATACCCTAATTAATAATAGTATATAAGGAAACTTTATCTTACTAGATATAGTAAATAAACTATAACTCCTATAAGACCTTAAATAAGACCTATATATATTAGTAAACTATAAAAGAGTATTAGTTAGTTATAATAATAGATAGATTAGATAAGAGACTATATACCTTAATATT